AAAAAAAAAAAAAAAAAAAAAAAACTAGCCCCAAATGGTCCCGCTCTGAGCTGGTGCGTGTTGGAACTGGGACGAGATTGCCAGACAAAGGGACTAATCGGGCGCTCGCGTTCAGACTTTTGCCTTGCCCCGACGGCGTCCCGCGTCAGCGCGCTTTTCAGTGTTGCTACTCAGTCCGTTGTGGCGCGGAATCACACGCATCTGGTACTTGAAGAAGGCTGTGGAGTTGTCTTGTATGCTGGATATGACCTGCATTGAATGCTGCTCGGATTATAAGCGTAATGGGTGTGAACGTGAGCTCAGACAGTGTTCACTTTTCAGAGGGAGAGAGGGAGGGAGGGAGGTGACGAGAACAGCATTGCGGCGGCTTGGTTTTCACTTTATGGTTGGCTGCTTCACATGCGGCGCCAGGGTCACCAACCTGCCCCGTGGCTGGGTTCCAGCCAAAAACGATCTTGAAAAAATTTCGTCCTCCTTTTCGGGTCATGCAGTCGTGGCATGGTCCAGATCTCAGCCCTGATGTTGTCGTCCCATTGGCTGTGGCAGCCAGTTTTACGGCACAGATCTGGGGAAGCGCGGCTAAGGCAGGGGTTCCATGCAGCTCTTCCATGCCCCCTGATTGTCATGATTATCGAGATTCCTGCCCATGCCAAGTAAAAACTTGAGATGAACCTGACGAGGTACACTACAGTCACATTCTTCCGAGATATCACACTTTCCATCTGTTATGATGGAATCTCCTACGCTGCTTAACGGCTGAGTCTCCAAAAAGGAACCAGCCTTACTTTGAGAAATTCCAGTTCCCTTGCGTACTTTCCAGGCAGCCGGTCACACCGACGAGCCCGAGCCCGGCCACTGAAATGGCTGAGCTGGCTTGCGTGTGCCCGACTCCTGCTGGCCCGTGGGCAGCTGAAAACGGAGAGCAAGTAGGGCGGCCAATGACAGCCAACAGCCTCGCAGAAGCTGCCTGCAGCTTGACACCAATCCGCAGGCCACACGTGGATGCAAGGTACACATATCTGATCAGACCCTGAGTATCATTGCGGCCCAAGAGTAGCCTATGCGGTCTAAAGGTGTCATAACAATCTCTCAACTGGTGAATGATGAGCTGCGTGCCCAAGACAGTGGTGATCCGCGCTGTGTTCTCGCAGCAGGAACGGGTTCAAATTCCCCACTGGAATCGGGTTAGGGTTCGGTGTCCACTTGCAAACTATCTCCGATGAAGGTACCTGACGGATTGGGTGCTTCGTGTTTGTCCGTTATTGCATGACATCGCTTACCGTAAGAAACAAGGACATTACATACAGATTACGGATTACGCCGTGAAACACTTTAAAGCCCCCACCAAGTGAACAACGGTCGCGGTCGTGGACGCGATGATATGCAAGCTTGAGCCAGAAGCAACTTTATCAGCGGCATTGGAGCTCTGAATCAACAGCCGCCATCAACACCGCAACAATGATGCACCCGGCGCGCAAGGCGTATGTAGAGGATGCAGAGATGGAGGTGCGCATTGAAACTCTCATTGCACATAATCTTTGATGCTTGAAGCCCATACTAACTACCTGGTTGACGACTTCTCCAGGATCGGGGCGGCGTCACTTTGGACAATATCCGTGAGTATGACCGCTTGGTTCCAAAGCCGTGGCGGATTGACTAACGCTGGAACTAGCCATCGATCATGATTACGAGATTCCCGCTACGGCAGCAGGTATTCCTGCCGAAAAGGCCTCGGCACTGCTCTCCCAGTTCGAACGTAAGAGGCTAGCGGCCAGCATTGCCGTGCCTACCAAGGATGAGCAGGTGCGGGCCAAGCTCCGCGAGCTCGGAGAGCCCATAACGCTTTTCGGCGAGGGCCCGGCAGACAGGCGCGACAGACTACGAGAGCTTCTGACAGAGCAGCTGCAGAAGGCACAAAAAGAGGGAAGCCAGGAGGGGGCAGATGTGGAGATGAAGGATGCCCAGAAAGAGGAGGAGGAGGAAGCCGACGAGCAGGAGGAGGAGTTTTACTCGAGAGGCTCGGAGGAGTTGCTTCAAGCCCGCATCAACATTGCCCAGTACTCAATCCCACGGGCGAAAAGGCGCATCGAGTTCCAGAAGAAGGAGGCCTCGATCCCGCTACGCACGCATGTCAAGTTCCGCAAAGAAATTAAAGAGAGGCTTCAGGGCTTCGAGTTGCAGGGAAGTCAAGCAGCAGGCGACCGTCATGTCAGCATGGTCAGGATATCTCCCAACGGCAAGATGGTGGCAACGGGAAACTGGGGTGGGCAAGTTAAATTGATCGACATTCCCTCCCTTGAGCACAGGCAGACGTTGCGAGGCCATGTCAACAAGATCAGCGGCCTTTCCTGGATGCCCGGTGCCACTCTACCAGAAAGCAACATTTCCGAAGATACAGTCAACCTCGCGTCAGGCGGCGCCGAGGGCAATGTCCTGCTCTGGTCTCTCACCAAGGACACGCCCTTGGCCACGTTATCCGGACACGCACAGCGCGTATGCCGTGTCGAGTTCCATCCGTCGGGACGGTATGTGGCATCCGCGTCCGAGGACACGTCGTGGCGGCTGTGGGACGTGGAGACAACCACAGAGCTGCTGCTTCAAGAAGGGCATTCGCGCGGCGTGTACGCGGTGGCCTTCAATACAGATGGATCGCTCCTGGCGAGTGCAGGTCTGGACAGCATTGGTCGTATCTGGGACCTTCGATCTGGGCGGACAGTCATGATCCTGGACGGGCACACAGATGGTCACATCAAACCCATCTATGGGCTTGATTGGGGTGCCGATGGGCACCGGGTACTGACAGCATCGGCAGATGGGTGGATTAAGTGCTGGGATGTACGCAAAGTACAGCGGACGGGAGGCATTGGTGCGCACACAAGCACGGTAGCAGACGTGAGGTGGTTTAAGGGCCTTGATGATCCACTGCTGGGCACGCCGCCGGGCGAAGATGAGAGGGGAAATCAGATACCGAAGAAGTCAGGCACCTTCATCGTGTCGGCTGGATTTGACCACAAGGTCAACATATTTTCGGCCGACGACTGGGCCCTCGTTCAATCACTAGCTGGGCATACGGGTCCAGTGGCCAGTGCGGATGTGAGTATGGATGGGAGGTGGATTGTCAGTGGCGGACACGATCGGACAGTTAAGCTATGGGGTCGCAACGACTCGGCGGGCATGTACGGCGACTGACTGATCGCGGATGGATCATGCACTTAGGTGTGTGCCTTGAGTACGGTACTGAGTAAGTACCTTACGGATATATGGGATTTACGCATACACCGCTGTAGAAGAACCCCCGGCAATCAGATACCCCAAAGTTGCATGCGGCTCCATCTTGGCTGCATCGCTGTTGTAGGATTTATGATGCGTACTCGTGCTGCTGGATGAGAACTACAGATCCAAGTCTATTAAGAGTGCATGAGACAATAGCCATATCTTGCTTGGCAATACCCTTCTGATGGATTCCTGCTTATATCCAAGCAAGTTTGCGCTGTGAAACGCACAGACCACCACGCCAAAGGCGTGGCGATAAAGGACGATAAAGGCTAGACTCGCTGGACATGCCGAGACGGGGCTCTTCGAACGAACGTCAACTACCTTGCCTACCTAGGTAGATACCTAGCCTATTCTCCTCATCGTCTCAGTCATTTCATATCTCTTGGCTCCCTGTATTTGCAACCCTTCTCAATTCGCATTTGCGATTGCAACCACCACAGCGGCAGCAGACCGGGCTTCATATAACTGGAGCCACGCATAGGAACCATCGCTCGCCATGTCGACCATCGACAGATACCGGCCCCAGCGAGAGGGCTACCAGCCGCCCAGAGAAGCATATCAGCCTCCAAAGGAAGCCTACCAGCCCCCCCGAGAAACATACCAGCTCCCGTCTCTACCGCCAAAGCCCCCGCCGACTATCGCGGACCGGCAATCCAAGTCCCCGTCCAGGCGACGCGACGTGCCGCCTGCCGTGCCCTCTCCGCCGACTCACACTTCCCGGACATCGCCGCCGCGGCCACAGTCGCGCAGAAGCATGCCGTCGCCAGCACAGCCAGTGCAGGCCAGTCCACAACGCGCATCGCAGCCGCGGCCGAACCAGTGGTTTTTCACGGCCGATGAGGTGGTGAGCACTCCGAGCATCATCGATGGCCTGTCGCCTGCCGAGGAGAGGTTGCGCCGTGCTAAAGGCGTCAACTTCATCTACCAAGCCGGCATATTGCTGGAGCTCCCGCAGGTTACACTGTGGGTGGCGGGTGTTTTCTTTCATCGCTTTTTCATGAGATTTAGCATGGTTGAAGAGAAGGGCGGAGTCCACCACTACGTAAAGAAGCCACCTTTTCCCCCGAAATTCGAGGTTCTTTTTTTGGCTAACAATGCCTCCTCACTCCAGAACATTGCCGCGACATCGCTCTTCCTGGCCAATAAGACTGAAGAGAACTGCCGCAAGACCAAAGACCTGATCATCGCTGTGGTTAGAGTAGCGCAAAAGAACCCTCGACTTGAAGTCGATGAGCAGAATAAAGAATATTGGCGATGGCGCGACAGTATCCTTGCCTACGAAGAACTTATGCTCGAGATCCTTACTTTCGACTTGATGATCGAGAATCCCTACATCCGCATGTGGGAGTTCTTCCGCGACCTTCATCTGTTGGAGAACCGACCCTTGCGCGACGCAGCCTGGGCCTTCTGCAATGACGCCTGCCTGACCGTTCTTCCCCTTCTCCTCCCGGCACGCGAGATCGCCATCGCCGCCCTTTTCTTTGCCTCATCCGTCACCCACATTCCCATTGACGATATCGATGGCCAGCCCTGGTGGCAGCACCTGCGTGCCAACGAGACGAACACCATCCGCGCCGTACGTGTTCTTACCGATTTTTACAAGGAGAACCCCTTGCGTAAGCAGGATGCGAAGGTTCCCGGTTCCCCGAAGTTTGACCTGGAGAGCACCCGACGCCGTGGCGACCTCGCAAACCTCAGCGGCCTCAGCCAACTCGATCTCGACTCATCAGCCGCCGCTAGCAGCCGGAACGGCACTGTTACACCGAGCGACGGCCGCGCGGGGACACAAAGTCCTAGAAAGACATCGGTTAATGGCAGCAGGCCTGCTATGGAGGGTGATTCTGGCGCTAGCGCTGGCGGCAACATTGAGAACGAGAAGCGTGGCGAAGAAGCGGCTGCTGCAGCAGTGAGTGCCGAAGCTGGCGATTCAGACGCGGCTCTTAAGGCAGCAGCGAATGATATATCGGTGCACCACAACGATAGAAACAATAATGGCGGCTTGGTATCACCCAGCATCAAGAGGTCCGTCGAACATGATGTCACCGACGAGGCGAGAAATGTCAAGAAGCAAAAGGTCGAAGAAGGCATGTCAGATGACGAGGATGAGGGGGAAATTAAGGGTTCTTAAACGGCATTTGTCTATATTCCTTGCCCGCTTACATTAGCTATCCTATTTTGTTTTACCATGGAGGGGTTGTTTTACGGGATGTTACGGTTTGGAGTTGGGCTGTATGCGGCATTTACGATGGAGTATGGGCTCTCGGTAAGGGGTTACGGTCTTGCTTGGAAGGTCAAGAGGTCGGAAGTTAGGCGTCGTCTCATATCAATATCCTCAAGGGTCCCTCTTTATTGGCCCAGAAACTTGTATTCATACCCAATCTTACTCTCACTTCTCCCTTCCCTCCGTTGCCTTTTACAGGAAATGGCCCAGTCCTCGGTCCCTCAGGTCCGAACATTTGGGAGCGAATTTCCCAAAACCGTGTGTGTCCTGAGGAGACAAGAAATGCCCGTTTTAAACCCGGCGCTCTGACAGCTACAATTACTAATAGGAAGAGAGACTTCAACTGAGAATGGAATATCGAACCCTTGGTGACATATGACATCAAAACCTTCATGTGTATCCCGGGGTATATAAATCCATCTAGCTCTTAACCGGCAACGCCGTTACTTCAGTCTATCCGTTTCAACCTCGAACCCATGGTACTTCTCCGACACCGCCATACGACTATGTGACTAATCTCTCCTGATCCCTCCATCTCCCTTCCTCTTTTCATCCAAGAAGTCTATCAAGTCTACCATATTCCCACACTTATTCATCATTTCGCTTCTTTCGCCTCTGGTTAGCAGGGCTGTCTTGTTCGAACCCATCCCAGGACCACACATCTCATTCACATGATGCAGGACCAGAGGAAAGGGAAGAGGGGCCTTGACAACTTTATTCAAGAAAGTCTCCACTGCCGACCAAGGACAGTGATCATACCCTGCATACAGAGCTGGGTTGGCGAGAAGAGCGCGGGCCGACATCAGCCCAGAGAGATGCGGAATGTGTTTGAGGAGAGGGCTAGGAGAGGGCGCGTCGGGGACTGAAGGATCAGAAGTTGTGAACGTGGGAGCGTTGGTCGTGTGCAGAGGAGTGGTAAATGGGAGGGAGTTGAGCGCGAAGACGTCGCCTGACAGGAGAATCGGCACCTGTGTGCCAAAGGTAGATGTCAAAATCTCAAGAGCTTCGAGGTTAATAGGAGTGCTCGACGGCGTCCAACGCGTGCGTGGATGAATGGTGAGAAAGTCAATGTTCCGATCCTGCGGGTGGCCCAAGACCGTAGTGATCCAGTCGATGGTCTTTCGCAGATCTTTGTGAACTCTGATCTTGACGCTCACACTCCTGCCCTTGGGGTTGTCGATATCAGCCTCTTTCCCAACGGCCCAGCCGTCCTGGAGCAACTGGTAGCGGGTTGCGATGACCATGTCGCGGACGAGTTCCCGCTTCTCCATTAGCGCTGCTCCAAGAGTCTCTGCGCAAGCCCAAGACTGTGGGCAGCCGCAGTTGAGGTCGATGCCATTGCAAAATGGAACTACGAGGGATGAAGCACGCGCAAGTTCCTGGGGTACGTTTGCACCAAACTGAACAATCGTAGGGGGCTGGGGACCGCATGTGGATATCGTGAAGTCTGTCGAGGTTAGTGATGTTTCAAGGCCATGCTTAAAGTGGACACGAACCACTGTCTCTTGCTAGCTGGCTCCTATTAAATTCCTTTGCCAGAATCATGGGAGTCCAGCAAAGGTCGGTGCCATACTCATAGACGGTCTGACGGAAAGCAAGCTGAAAGTAAAGGTCAGAGGCAGACTTTATTCACCATAAGGGCATGAGGTTAGCTTGGTCATACCTTGCTATAGCGCACCATTGGCGCTGACGCATACAATAGTCTTTTCTCATGTCTTGCAATGTCGAAGAGCTTAAGAGGGCTGTCATAATAAGTAAACAGTGAGCGAGATGACGATGTTGCAAGAACTAAGGTGAAATGCTCACTGGATGACCTCAAGAAGTGACGGCTCAAGCATATTTCATAGACAAATCATGGAAAGTCTACTCTCTTGGAATTAACAGGAAATCTAAGATAGAAGCCATTAGACTTCAAGATCTGAGTCAGGGTGAAGCATCAGTACGCAGCAATAAGGAACGAATCTCTCAGGACCCCATGAGAGGTTCATTCACAGGTGAGTGGTGAACGGCCTTTTCAGAGGGTTTCCCCGCATTTGGGGGTCCTGCCCACCCTCTGAAAAGTTCTCAATACCAACGCTAATTGGTTGAAAAAAACACCCACTTCAGTGCTGCAACCTAGACAGACCCCCTGAACATGGACTAGGGGCATGGCGGGGCATGGAGGGGCAATGAGCCATCGTGGGGCACATGAATTGACATAGTCTCATTTTGACGGTCGCAGATCTCGCGAAACAATTGACAGCACGGCAACAACGCCAATCTGCCATTTATCAGAGCCCGCGAAAGAAACGCGCAACAAGATAAGCTACAATGGCCGAGAGCAGAAATCCCGTCATCGGCCTGCTAGGTGGTGGGCAGCTTGGTCGTATGCTATGTGAGGCGGCCAACCCTCTCGGTGTCGACATCGCCATCCTCGACGCCGAGAATGCTCCCGCCAAGCAGGCTCACAACACGTATCGCCATGTTACCGGCTCGTTCAAGGACCCCGAGCGTATCCGTGAGCTTGCGATAAAGTCAGACTTTCTCTCTGTGGAAATTGAGCATGTCGAGACCGAGGTTCTCGAGGATATCGACAAGAACGGCGTCACTCTCCCTGATGGCTCTCTTCATCGGCCACCTATTCACCCTTCCTGGCGTACCATCCGCCTGATACAGGACAAGTATCTCCAGAAGGAGCATTACCGCAACAGCGATAAGAAGATTCCGATCGCGGATCAAGTGGCCATTGACGGCGGCGCTGCGGCACTGGCTTCACTGAAGGATGCTGCCGCACGGTTTGGCTTCCCTTTCATGGTGAAGGCGAGGAAGGGTAGCTATGACGGCCGCGGGAACTATCGCGTCAATAGCGAGGCTGATTTTGAGGCGGCAATCAACGCCCTCAAGGGCCTGAGCCTGTATGCTGAGAAGTGGGCTCCTTTTATCAAGGAGATCGCCGTCATGGTTATCAGGACCGAGGACGACAGGGGCAACCTCAAAGCCTGTGTGCCGTATCCTGCTGTTGAGACCATCCACGAAGACAGTATTTGCACCAAGGTCTTCATGCCTCCGAGGGATATATCGGAGGAGGTTTGCGAAAACGCAAGGAAACTTGCCACCGAGGTCGTCAGCACCCTTTGGGGCAGAGGAGTGTTTGCTGTCGAGATGTTCGTTCTTGAGGATGGTGAGACGGCTTGCACTTCTTTCGCATGTTGTCATTCTGAGGCTGACATCCTTCTTCCTAGGCTCTCTCATGGTCAACGAGGTGGCACCTCGCCCTCATAATTCTGGCCACTACACCATTGAAGCAGTCCCGCAGATGTCCCAATACAAGGCTCAGATTCACGCCGTGTTGGACCTGCCAGTCCCCAAGCAACTAAGTCCTAGGGCCAGGTCGGCCATCATGCTCAATATCCTTGGCGGCGCAACCCCGTCATCCCACCTAGGGCTGGCCAATCTTGCGCGAACTACCTTCGACGATGACATGGATGTTCACCTACACCTTTATAACAAGGAATCCAAGCCCGGCCGCAAGATCGGTCACATCACCCTGACTTCCAACACCCTCAGCATCCATGACCTTGAGGCAAAAGCCAAATCCTTCATCGATCTTGTCGACCAGATCCGCCGTGACCGTCTCGCAGCCACGACAGAAACCCTTCGTCCCACACAAGAGCCTGCTAAACCACAAGCGGCCCAACCAGTTCCGTCCGAAAAACCACTGGTGCTCGTCACAATGGGTTCTGACTCAGACCTACCCGTGCTCAAAGCCGGGTTGGATATTCTCCGGCAATTTGGTGTACCTTACGCCCTGGATATCACGTCTGCGCATCGCACCCCGCGCTACATGATGAAGGTTGCCGACGAGGCTGCAGCACGCGGTATCAAGGTCATCATCGCTGCCGCAGGCGGCGCCGCTCACCTGCCAGGCATGATGTCGTCGGAGACTCCTCTGCCCGTGATTGGTGTGCCAGTTAAGGCAACGCATCTGGACGGTATCGATAGTCTGCTAAGCATTGTACAGATGCCGGTAGGTCTTTGCTAACACTTCTTTCATCCTCAAGCCCGATGCGTCATGGATAAAAGTTAACTTTATGGCAGCGTGGAATTCCAACCGCCACTGTTGGCATCAATAATTCGACTAACGCTGCTCTGCTGGCCATCCGCATTCTCGGCACTTCTATTCCAGAATTCTTCACCAAGATGAAGAAGTATCAAGAAAAAATGGAAGAAGAAGTCCTGACCAAAGGTAGCAAGCTGCGAGAGATCGGCGACGTTGCCTATCTTGCCAACATGGCTGCTAAGAAATGAACCCCGTCCACAGGGTTGCGATCCGAAGAGTAGGGGTTGTCTGTTGATAAATGTCAGCAAAGGACTCATTTGTGTGTACATGAAGTGTACAAGTTCTGTAGAGCCTGGGGCGGCACTTGTCGACCCGAGCGGCAGTAGTACAAGCTGTTTAGTAGTTCAAAGACTAAACATAGACCTCAACGTCGCGTGCTAGGAGCGGAGATACCAAAACAAAACGAAAGGCGTACTGGCATCGTCAACAAGTCTTTTTTTACTCTATGACTGTCCAGCGGGCAGACGGGGAGCCGTGATCGTGGTTTACCTGTGTGCATGACCACCTAGTCAATCTTGACAGCCGGAGAAAGGATAATTGATCAAGTACTTTACAGACTCCAGAACAAAGGCATCAATGTCGCATAACATGATACAGGGCAAGGACCGCTGCCGAATTTAACAATATGACGCTTAAGCAGAATCCATATGGGAGCTTTTACCAAGGGTTATGCCCAGAAAAACGTTTCAATACCCGTTGCTGACACTGAGCGGGTTGCGCTACTGCCTTTAGGAGGAGTACCATAATGTTCCCTCCACACCCTGATGTCATCGAACTACCTAGGCATATTACCTGACAAATTCTCCTGGAGAAATATCACCTTGGACCTCTTGAGGACCAAAAATAAAACACGACCTTGGAAAGACCAATAAAAAACCACGCAAAAGTGTAAGGTCCCACCCGGACTCGAACCGGGGTTGTCGGAATGTTCTTGGGGAATTCTGTAATTCCTCAGAATCCGAAGTGATAACCGCTACACTATGGAACCTTCACTTTGCTGCGGCCTAAAATGTTGATTAATAGATGCTGCTTTCCCACACTACCTCGCCCTCCTTCAGGCCAGTGGCTCTGAAAACATACCTGAGCTCCATCGGCAGCAACCATCTCGAGTAAACACCTTGCAGCGATTCGACGATTCTCCTGCGCCAAGCGATGGATTGGTACAATGCCATAGCCGAAAAGAAATGACGCAGGAGAGTAGCTGAGACATCAAACAGTATTCGGATCTGGTGCCAGAAAGTAGATGCGCTTGTTGCCTTCAACACTCAATAACCACCAGATTCGTAATGTCTTTTTACACGTCGAAGATGGATTATAGATTATACTGCTCACTTGTATTGGCATCAAGCTGCGTTCTTTGACATGCACCTTCTGTTTCCGAAGAGAACCACATGTCCACGTGCCGCTTTCCCGTTTTACATTTAATACTCAGCTTGCGCATTCTTCAGACCCCTTCAATTGCCCTAATCTTCACAATTGGAGTAACTGAAGGAGCAGAAGACATTTCGCTCGGACATGGAGGTGGAGTGACCTTGGGCCATGGAGTGCAATCGAGGAAGCACCTGCGATGAAATCATGATGATTAGCGTCATTACCCGATACACATTCACCTAAAAAGGGGGAATATATTCTAGTGCACGTCACTGAAATAAGTGAAAGGGGGGATCAGCAACGCACTTTCCGAATGCCATACCACACTCATTAATTCCATCTACGCAGACATATCTGCTATTTCAAGAAGTGCTAGCAGGTGGAGGGGAGGTCTTGGTACTAGTCGTGGTGTTGCGATGACTAGTGATGGTACTACTGGAAGTAACTGTTGTTGGTGATGTAGTTGACGTCGGTAGCACCGAGGTGCACGGAGGGCCAGTAAACGTTGGCCAAGGCCCACCGCAGTGGTTAAAACATCTTCCTCCGGGTTAGAAATCGCAGTCTGCCATTTTTCGCCTGCATTCGCAGGTTGATAGGACACCCGAGGGGTCACGTACCCTCCGTACCACTGGCCGCACTCGTTGACGTAGTCGGCGCAGACCCAGTTACAAGTACTGCTCGGTTCGGATGATGGCTCACTGGTAATGCTTGTTGTGATTGTGATAACACTCGTAGTGGTCGACGTACACGGGGGAGGAGTAAAGGTCGGCCAGGGCCCGCCACAATGGTTGAAGCACCTTGATTGATTTAATTGCGACACAGGTTAATTCCTTTACGCCCACTTGCAAAGGAGGGGATGGGTGACTGGTAGCAGCACAAGTCACTTACCCGCCATACCACTGACCGCATTCATTAACGTAATCGGCACAGATCCAGTTGCAAGTGCTAGTTGAGGACACAGGGGGATCAATGGTGGCAGACGTTGTGGTTCGAATGCTTGTGGTGGTTGGTGGGTAGCAAGGAGGAGCTGTGAAGGTAGGCCAGGGTTGGCAATCAGGGAAGCATCTGTCAAAGCAAATTGATATCCAGCCGCATAGTTCAAAAATGAAAGAGGATCTACTTACCCTCCATACATTTGACCGCACTCATTTACTAAATCCAGACAGACTGTCTTGCTAGTATCACAGACGCTGCTGGTCTCAGGCGTATCACTAGTATAGCTGACAGTCGTCGTAATGGTCGTAAGACTACCCGTTGACTTGGAGCATGGCGGTGGTGTGAATGTTGGGTAGGGTTTGCAGTCGGGGAAACATCTTGGAATGTCGTCAACACTTGACCCCTGAGTCAAACCGTGTGCCTCGCATAGGACAACACGTACCCTCCATACATCTGTCCACACTCATTGATGAAGTCAACACAAATGATGGGACTTCCGGAGCAAGCAGTGCTTGTTAAACTTCGTTGTGAGATGGAGCTAATGCTGGCGGTAGTCAGCGCATCGGTGGTGAGAATCTTTGTACGACAGGCATTTTTTTTCGTTGATGTTGTGGCAGGACTGGTGCTGGTGCGTGGACATGGCGGGGGAGTTGGTTTGGCCTTTGGGTCGCAAGCATCATAGCATCTAGTGTACAGCCAATGCCTTAGTATAACGACATTTGCTTTCTAAGTACCTTCAAGGGCAGAACATCACAACAAGGTGGACTCCCAGGTTAACCATACCCGCCGTATCTCACTCCGCAGGGATTCAGAGCGTCAACGCAGATAGTGTGCGGGCAGTTGATGCCGGGATCTGCCACTGGAACGGCAGCAACTCGGCTTGCCAGAAATAAGATAGATAGCTCAAAGATCATAGAGTGCCGCATCTCGACAGCTGGAAGGGTAGCACGCGGATTGTAGGAGCCGTTAACCTTGTAACGCGTGGCTAAATCCCCAGAGAGGAAGGTGCGAAAGCCGCAGTATCAGAAGAAGTGCCCTCTTTCGTAGTGTCTCCCTGCGCTGACAAAGCCAGTTTATACAGCTCTGCCACAGCAGCGCGCGCAATATGACTACGCTAAGGGCCCGGACAGCACGCGACCTTGGTCCGCAATTCCTGGAAGTTGGACCACATTATTCCTTGTTTCGGTTCTTGTCCCGAAGATGAACCCGATATAGACTGGCAAGCAGGGGTGGCTTGGGGCATGTCCTCATTCGTATCCTGAAAGCCCAAACCCTGTGGTCGAACGCCACACTGTGACCCAAGGATGGCCACTTGGCACCAAGAACGCAGAATTTCAGAGTAACAAAGCAACAGTGGAAGTGATGGCGCTGAAAATCGTGGCTCTGCTTTTTGGGGGAACGCTTAGGTTAAGGCTGGGGTTACGTTGATAGGGTCGTGACTTGGAGGGAAACAAACAGGCTAAGACGGATCGGCGGCATGGCAAGGGTGCATTTCTGGGGAAGCATAGTCTCCGATATCCTAGACAGGCACGGCTACCACCCTATCGAACCATGCAGGCATGCCATCCCTCATCGATGCTGCGGCGCTCACCCTGTCAAAAAGGTGGCCCAGCGTAAGTCACAACAGTGGCCGTTGGCCATGCTGGGCCCATAACATCGGACCTAAGGAGGTAAGGGGACCCAACAGTTGAGGATGTGGCTTGCTGTCATGAAGCACTGTTGTCTACTGAACTAGCCCAAGCCACATGCTTAGTAGGGCTGAACTGGCCGCTCATTAGTTCTGGCCGAGGGCTGAACCCTCGCTGCAGAGAAATGCGAGAATAGGAACGGCCAGGAAACTGAAGGATAGTACGACTGAATCTACTCAAAGCGATTGGTAAGTAGGCAGAACTTTTGAGGTTGTCGATAGCTCCTCTCGGACGCAAGAGTCATACTGGAGACGGATATTTGGGCGCGGCACTGGGGATGCAAATGTTAATTGATTGTGTTCTGCATCGACTCCGCGAGGTCCGTTGTCGAAAAGGAAGGACACAAATGTGGAAAAAATGAGAAAAATTGAAGAGGGTAGGTTTCTAACCTTAAAGGTTCCGGCGGCCAACCGGTGACGAGGACTCCCACGGCCTGCCAATCTTCGCACCGAACCTGGAACGTAGTGTTCTAGAAGGAACAGTATCCTGAAATTGCGTTACAGCAGAAGGGAGTCAAAGGACTCAGGAGTGACGCACCATCTTTCCATCTGCCGAGTTGCCGAGCAGCCGTTTCTGTGCTTCAATCAACATAGTTCATCTGGTCAGCATCATCATCGTCATCAAAATTGTCTTGGCCGACTACTGTTGCGTTGGCATGCGCCTGTAGATAAGGCGATAACGCCGTGAACCGGGTGTCTGGAGGAGGGGAATAGCCGGAATGCTAAAAATAAGCGTCCTCCGAGCATCTGCTCAATCAATCTCGTGGCCCTTGGACAAAGGTCAATCAATTCTCCGGAAATATGCTGCAGCCTTTTTCTGCCTTTTCTGCAGCCTATCTGGACAATTAGCCTTCGTCATGGCAGGAGCCGAGAGACCGAGGTTCCAGCGAAGCAATTGCAGAGTATTGTGCGGATGCGTACAGGCAGTTCAAACCGTTACGCGGGGTGACCAGGACGGCGGAAGCAGACCGAGAGTTATGTCCCGTGATGTCGTCGCGAGTTGAGCCTGTCTTCCCCGTTTTCCGTGGAGGGAAGGTGCAAAATCTCTACGATGACGACGCGGCGGACGACAACGAGAGCAACTGGACACTCCGTGAGACCTGCGACCTACGAACTGTGATGTTGGGTCGATGGTGTGAAGAGAGGAGTCCTGACTCCTGAGGAAGAGCTAGGCAAGAGTGATTGAATCGAGGGAGGGCGAGGACTCAGAAAAGCATAAAGATCGGCCCCCTCCTTCCTCGATACGGACACGGACAGGACTGTACGACAGCAGAGATCACCACCCAAGCAAACACAGCCAGCAAAAGGCCTTGACAACACTGGGATCTGCATTTTACTTAACGTCTTCCACGATCTCGGTGCAAAACTTCTCCCAAAGACCATCATCATCGTCACCATGCAGCTACTTGCTTTTCTCCCAGTGTTACTGGCCTCCTCGGGCCTCGCCAGCCCCGTGTGTCGTAACGTCAACCAGCCCATCTATACCCTACGCCTGGCCTCGTAAGGATCTCTTCTTATAGTCTACCTGAAGTAGGTAGAGAGAGCGCCAGCCAAACAAGCTAACGCGGTCAGCCCCGAGCCTTCCCTCCACAACCGCCCTCTGACTATCACCAACAATTCGACCCTGGGCGTCAGCGCGTCACCCGAGGTCAAGGACGAAGTGCACTTCTACACTGTTGTCAACCCAACGACCGGCCTGGCCGAGCTGCACACCTCATCGCCCGTCAATGACGCAACACTGACCCTAATCGGCAGCAACGGCGTGCTGGACTTCACTCCGCTCAAAAACCCGGCTGCCGTCACGGTGCCTGTGGGCACGACTGTCGATTGGACATCATTTGAGCTAGACGAGGGCACGCCCGGCGAGGGGACCGTCAAGTATGTGGGAAAGGAGGGCCGCTGGGTGATGTTCCCCGAGGGCGACGAGTGGGAATTGAAGTGGAGGAGCGGTGAGTCTTGGTGTCTCTCTGCCTGCTTACTTGACCGTATCGCCTGGTATGATGCTAACCTTATGATGCAGCGGATGCTTGGACGATAGAGACTTACATTCCAGTGCAGGTTGTGTATGAGCTCGTCAAGGAACAGAACTAGAAGGTTGAGCCGGGAGGGTAGTGGTGTCAAGGGTCAGCGGAGCGAGCCACAGCAGGAGTTGTTTGCGCCGGGCTGATCATGGACGCTGCCGGGAATAAACTGAAGTCGATTATGATGATGGGAGAATGTAGATTGTTGTTTTATTCATGATCAAATTTTCGGTAGGAGTCAGTTACTGTCTTACATAGTCGTAGAGTGTTGAGCACGTGATCAAGATCTGATTCGGCCTCTGAGTAGTAGAGTGTATATATGACCTTGGGTCTAACCCAAGCGCAAGCGGAGGGAACCCAAAACCTGCTTTCATAAACCGGCACGAAAACCTAACAAGCCGTCCTATTCTGTTGCTTTGACAAAGTAAACTCCAACCATGCACGAGAGACAAGGGAACTGTTTACAGAAGTATGTATCAAGAAAGTCCAATTCCGAGGACCCTTGATACGTGCCGCTTAGGCTTTTTTTTCTTTCCATGCCTACACCATGCCACCCAATCCTGTACTTTCATTCTAACAGTACGCCACCCAAAGACAACAATACACTCCCTTCATTGCATTCGTCCCCTCAACAACCAACAGATACCTCAACCGCGTAACATCCCCGCGTCACACACACAACACACACTCGGGTTTCCCGCTTAGAAAGCAAGCTCCTTCTTGATCTGGGCAATGGCCAGGCCGGGGTTCAAACCCTTGGGGCAGGTACGGGTGCAGTTAAGAATAGTGTGGCAGCGGTACAGGCTCATGGAGTTGTTGAGGGCGGCCTTGCGCTCTGCCTTGCGCTCATCACGAGAGTCGGCGAGCCAGCGGTATGATTGCAGCAAAATAGCGGGACCCAGGTACTCCTCCGAGTTCCACCAGTACGACGGGCAAGACGTCGAGCAGCACGCGCACAGGATGCACTCGTACAAGCCGTCCAGCTTCTTACGGTCCTCCTTGGACTGGCGGTACTCCTTGCCCTGTTTTGGAGAATGCCTCGGTTAGAAACCTGACCAGTCTACTTGCTTTGAAAAAGGACGAGTTATATACTGAAAACAAAGGGGATAACGCACATCAGGAGCAGGAGTGTCACGCTGCAGGTAGGGCTTGATGGACTTGTACTGCTTGTAGAAGTGGGTGAGGTCGGGCACGAGGTCCTTGATGACGTAGGTGTGCGGCAGCGGGTAGATCTTGACATCACTGTTGTCCTCCTTGGGGATCCGGCCTAGAAAAGCAAGGTGGTCAGTATGTGATGCGACCAGACCACTCCTCCTTACGACACCCACGGCACCACAGCTTCATGTTCCGGGATGGCACATACACAGGCAGGCAAGGGTGTTGGTGCCGTTGATGTTCATGGCACAGCTGCCGCAAATGCCCTCACGGCAGCTACGGCGGAAGGTCAGGGTCGGGTCCAGCTCGTTCTTGATGCGCAGCAGGGCGTCCAAAACCATGGGGCCGGTCTTGTTAAGGTCAAGGGTGTAGCTCTGCATGCGCGGCTTCTCGGTCGGCTTGTCCGGGTTCCAGCGGTAGACCTGGAAGGTCTTGAGCCGGGGCTTCTCGCTCGACGTAGCGGTCTGCTGGGCGGCGTCGGCGACTTGGGCCATGCCGCGGACAGCGGCAGCGGTGCTGGAGGTGACGGCGGTGCGCAGGGCCGGCCTAGACGCAGCAGCGCCCAGCAGGAGGGCAGACGACGAGCGGATGGCGGCCATGATGTCGCGGTGGTTGGCAATAGCGGCGGTAGTCGATGGCGGGCGTCGTAGGCGGGGTGTTCGACTCGATTGATGGGCGCGGACGGGCGCTGGGACTCGAGGCAGTCGGCACGCTGGGCACGCTGGGCACGCTCAGGCACTCTGGGCTTTGGGCGACGTCGACGATGGCGGTCGATTGAGACAGAAATCACAGGTCGAAAAGGACTCGGGAGCCGGCAGTCGGGACAGGGTCAAGTAAGTCCGAGGTTATTAACCAGCCAATCATACGCGAGTCATTGTAAACCTGTCCCCGGCGGCGAGCGGGCAACACAGTGGGCTGGTGGGGCAGAGCGGGTGGCTCCGGCTTATGTCATTTAGGCCCCACCTCAAGGAAGGGTCCAACGGCACTGGCTGGCTGGCTGAACTGGGGAGCTGTTTGGAGTGCTTATATAAGCAGCAGTAGCGCTCCAGCACTTTTCATACGAGAGGGTGAGAGCCTCGTCGACATCCACATTCACCTCATCGTTGACGTCGACGAACCATATGCCAGACCATGATGAGTGGTACCGATCCGCTGAGCAGCCCCAATTTTTTTTTAAAAAAATTTGCAACTTTCTGGATGCGATATTTGTCGAGCTGTGGCTGAGACGTGGGTACATATTCCTGAGCAAAGGAAGCCGGAGCACTTGGCTCAGTGAGTTCATCTCACATGCGATTCATCGCCGGAGACGGTGACCCTAAAAGTTCCCGGCACTATCCATGCACGTTTTCAATCCCGCCACCTGCCTTCCTCTGCATCATAACCGAGCACCTCCGGGTCTATATTCAGACTCTTGAGCATCATCGACATTGTAAATTCCTGTAGTATAATCCGTCAGCGTCCAGCTCTCCCATCAGTTCATATCACCACAGCCCATCCCATACAAACTCACCTCACCATCTTCATCCTCCAACTTCTCATTCCCTTGGTCTGCTTGACCTTCCTTATAGGCCTCGTATCTTCCAACTTCATCATCTTCGACTGCACAAGCACGGGTCTTAGCCTCGCCGTCATTACCATTATCCCGGAATCCCCAGTTTCCTCCCCGTGCCTGCCACCTCCGACTCTCTCTCCATGCCTTCGCCCCTCCCATACTTTCCACCCGTCCTTTGATCAGCTCGTAGAGCTCCTCCGCAGCCAACCGGCTTGCCGCCCGCCACTTGGCTGTCAACTCCCTCAGCTCGGCACCCACATCGAGTTCGCCTTCCTCTTCATTTCCATCATTGGTCGCTTCTTTTCTCATCTTCTCATCGCCTTGTTGGGGACCTTCCGAGGCAATTTTCTTCCGCTGTCGTGCCTGCCATGCACGAGCCTGATTCTCGATCTGCCTTGCTTGGCGGACTGTTTCCAATCGCTGGTGCACGGCCCGTAGGTGCTGGGCTGCGAGCTGTCGGCTAAAGGCCTCCATCTGCTGAAGCAGCTGAAGATGCCCATTTGGTTGGTTAATGCCTGCTGCCGATGCTGTCCTAGTCCTTGATAATGGTATCGGTGTTGTAGTGCGTCGGGGAGTAGATGACCAACTTGGTAGTGGCGCAGGTGATGTTGCGAAAGAGGGCGTAGTCTGGGAAGTGCTGCCAGCGCCGAAATTTCCAGGTCGGCTTCCTACTCCTGTCCCCCTCACGGTCGAAACCCGCTGTGACTGAACAGGAGTCTGCGGCGTGATACCGCTTGCTGTTGGGCCGCTTGGCTGGGAATGATTCTGAGCCTGACCATCGCTAGGCGAAGCTGTTGTGTTTTCGGTTTCCTGTTGCCGAGACTGCCGACTCAGTAGTGGCGACCGAAAGGGCCTCCGGAGCTTTACGCTGGCTGCATCGAGGTCAAGACGACGGCGCTTGGCTGCGGGAGTTGGAGTCGGGACGTCGCTTGTCTTGGTGTTGCCGCCGGGCGTGTGAGTAGACGTCATTATTTTGGGGGGTACAAGGCGAGCACATGGTACATCGTTTCTCATTCAAAAGTGGGTATTATATCGTTTTGTATGTCAGATGAAGCTGCCTGGATGCAAAATTGTTAAGACAATTAAAAGGTAGGGGTCGAGCTGAAGTTTGAAGGTTTGAGACTAGAAGTTTTTGCTCAACGAAAGTCGGTTGTTGATTTGAGAGGTTGCAGGTGATTCGTGAGCGTTGCCAAGATGAGATGAAATTAGAAAGCTACCACAATAACTTAAGGCATCTACCTACCAAAGTGCCTACCTCGCCTAAAGAGGGTCGATATGAGCAAATCCTGTCAACCCACCAAATTGATGTAGATCTTTTACTGACATTTTTTTCAAGTTCTTACAAAGAGATATCGAATAAGTATTGAATTCAAATAGCCCTGAATGTGCCACTTTAGGATCACTTGACCCAGAGCAAAACAATAAAAGCTAAGTGCAAAACACAGACACAGCCCACTTCCTAATCACGTCGACATATTTATCGTCATTGTCATTCGAGAAACATACATCCCGGAAACGCCGCCGCTTTATTATTTCATGCACAGGCCCTCGTGATACTGTATACAACAAACTAATCGCCATTGCTGAATGCTATCACACCCCATGCAATCTCTCCTCCTCAATGCCCAACAGCCCACTGCCCAAATTGAGGATCTCCTGGTTGTGGGAAGAGTTCTTGCTGCTGTTGTTCTTGATGTTGTGCGGGTTGTTGGGCCTGCTGTTGTCCATGTTGTTGACCCTGGGCCTGTTGTTGTTGCTGCCCAAGGCCTTGTTGTGGCTGTTGAGCCTGCATTTGCTGTTGTCGAACCACCTGCTGTTGTCTTTGGTTCCGATACATGATCAGGAACGCTAACACAGCCGCAAGCCCAAGAATAACCAAGCTCTCTGTTAGACCGTCCTCAAAGTCAAGCGGGTCTCCGCCGGGCATGCTGTCGTCGTAGTACTCATCATAATATTCCTCGTAATACTGGCCTTCATCGTTCTGGAGAAAGTTGTTGATCCACTCGCGGAAGGACCACTCCTTTTTTGGTGCTATGTTGTCGGCCAAACATGTCAGTCAAAAAGCATTTAACGTCATGCGGATGGTCTGCTTACCTGGTTCGTCCTGGATAGAGTTGATTCTCCCGTGTGTCAGGGTGTTCCATGCGCTTTTTACCCGCAGCTTCAAGAGACTGAGAGTTACGGGGAGATAGGCCTCCTCATTTGTCTCGAGAGCCGAATCATAGTAGCGCTTGGCCAAATGATAGTCCTGGTCCAGTCCGATACCATGTTCATGCATCCATCCTAGGTTGTAGAGAGCCTGGGCACTTTGAAGATACTCAGAAGCGCCAGTATAGCACTGCACAGCCTTATCGACATCGGCTTCGGTACCGATTCCGTAAAGATAGTAATCGCCCATCTTCACCAACGCATCAATGTTGCTCTGACGTGCTGAGCGAGTCCAGTAGATCAGTGCCAGTGTCGGGTTATGCAAAAGCGGTGATGTCGGCGTGGGAGACAACAGCCTGTGAAGGAAGGGCAGGCGAGACTTGTCTGGATCAAGGAGGTGTGCAACATTGTTCTGAGCCCTCTCGTACCCTTGCTCTGCTGCCCCAAGGTATTCAAGAAGTGCCAGCTCAACATTCCCGCTTTCGTAGGCAAGGTTTGCATCTGCCCAAGACGAGACAATCGGCTCAGCCCTCTCGGCAACTATCTTGTAGTAACTTACGGCCTGCTGGCAATTAGGATCACGGCCGACACCATACATGTTGACTTCCGCCATGTAATAGTATGCCTCAATGTGGCCCCACCGCATGGCGAGCTCGAAATAATGGTTTGCGGCAATCAGGTCCTCTGTGTTGCCTTGGTCCAAGTAGAGAATGCCCAGCTGTACCTGAGCAGCTGCATAGTCCAGGCTAGCAGCTGCCTTGAAGTAATCGATGGCCTGAGGCAGATCCCGCTTGACGCCATAGCCATGGAGATACATCAAACCCAGGAAGTGTTGAGATTGGGCGTCCTTAAGCAAGGAACCACGCTCAAGCCAGAATTTGGCACGGTCGAAATTTTGTTCGACCCCTTCACCCCGAAGATACATGCGGCCAATGTAGCCAGCAGCTTTACCCGCAAACCTCTCCAGACCGCCTTTGGGGTTCTCAATCGGGCGGTTCTTCTTCCAATACTTTTGGACAACGTCAAGGAAATACCTCCTGGCAATAGCCATGTTTTTACTCAGGCCTCTCTGCCCTTCGTAGTAGATACGACCCAAGTTGAATGCAGCTTTGAAGTCGCCTTTCTGGGCCATGAGATCTAAATATTCAATGATATCTTCGATCGATGCCTCGGAATCAGGGTGTGATCTGGCAGAGTTCTCTCCTGCGCTGACGACACTTGCGCCTTCGCCATAAGCCCCACCTGTATCGTCGGCGATGCGATGAGCCTCGAGAATCCATGATCTCCCACCCGGCGGGCCAGACCGATACCATTCAATGGCTTTGTCTGCGACTCGCTTGTAGTACCTGGCAGCCACTTCACAGCTTTTTGGTGTTCCAATGCCAGCATGGTGCCGGTGCGCTACCGTCATCTCGGCCCGTGTATGTCCTTTATTGGCAGCGAAAGTGTAGTATAGGAGTGCACGAGCTTGATCCCGTTCGACTGCGCCACCAATGCCGGTCGAGTACATAAGTCCTAACATGTACATCGCCGAGGCGTTACCGTTGAGCAAAGCCAGCTGATGGTAGTAGCCGAAAGCGGCTTTGAAGTTTCGTGGATGGGAATAGTTTCCGTAAAAGTTCATCTCTGCAAGGATATAGAGTGCGTCTGAGTTGTTCAGCCTAGCCGACTCCTCGAGAAGCTGGGTCGCATGTCGAAGCGCGTTGCTCATACGGCTTGCGGCTGCCTGTTCAGGGGGTGAAGCAGTGAGTCGAAAGGTCGGTAGGGCTGTGATGACGAACTGCCCCAGAGCACTGAAGAGGCCATTTGGTTTGCGTGCGCGGGCATGTAAGGGCTTGTACAGCTTGCGCAACTCTGTTAGAGCAGATTCGACAAGTTCGGCACCTGGCTCTCGAACTGTCTGCCCGGCTGCTTGCGCAGTGATAATTTCTGCCCCAGATGAATCGCCCGTAGTCGCCTTCGATGATTTACCGCCGAGAACATGTTGTTCAGTGTGTAGGTTGGCGGAGGTAAAGGCAATGGACTGCAAAAGCACTGTTCATAGTGGTGTCAGTGAGAGCCTTTGATCACCGGTCACCATGGAGGATTCCTCAGCTTACAGAGCAGCCACAAAACATAGCGCCACATCTTGAACTATTGTTAATCAGAGGTCGCAGGTCGAGTGTCATGACATGGCTGCGTGAGCGTTTTGTAGCGAGGGTACTTTGTAGGCGAGCTTGTCGATGGGCTTGACACTTTGGAAGCAGTCAGCAAGACTGCCCTTCTTGGTGATGGAGTTACCAACTGTCCAGATCAACTATCCCCACTGATGATGTGCCGACACAACGGCAGCTCGGGAAAGCTCCTGACAGGCCAGGCTCAACCCGAGCAGGTCACCCATGTGGGGGGCGGTATCTGACCGCCTTCCTGTGTTAGCTAGTTCCTCTCCAGGGAACTCAGCCAACTGACAGCAGCTGGCGGACACGCACACTTGCAGTCCTGACGCTAGCCCAAGATTGCGCCGACCTATCTTTCGACGGCTTTGGGGCGATGTCTAACAGTCATTAAGCTTCGGAATAGGTTGGATTGATATCTATGACTACAAGTGGATGTGCTAAAGTCTTAAAAGAAAGTATGTGCGCTGCCACGCTGGCATGAACGTCGACCGCAAATTCCATGTCCAAAAATTTAAAGTGCTCCAAACAAGCTGGGTTTGATATGACTTACACAGACAATGAGACAGGAAAATCTGATAAACAGTCTTCGTATAACAACAAATCATGTATAATCTGCTCTGTGCAGACGGGTTCAAATACCCTAAGCAAGAAACTTACGTCTTAGACCTGCTTCCCACCGCAGCAGGCCTTGCAGTAACGGCATCAGATCAGACTGTCAGTATCTTTGACCCCCTCGGATTGAGCCAGGGCCCTATCAAACAGGTTACCACCGATCATGGGAATCTCAGGGCAGCCAAGGTGTATAGCCCAATTGAGTCGATAATTTGCACAGCAGGAGAAAATGGGACTGTGGCCGTTTGGGACTTGCGCCAGGCTCCAGGGAACGCCAAAGCTCTGCAGTTAGGAGGTGAGTCTGATGAGATGGGCACTCGCATATGATGACGACGATGCAGTATATTTACCGATATGCATACCTAGGAAACCTACCAAGCCTGTTGTCTTTGGCTTGCTCCAGCGCAACAAACACCGTCTATGCCGGCACAGAGCTGGTAGATCATCAGGCTTCCATCCTCATCTGGTCAGTTCCATCCCCTGCACTACTCCCCGTACAATTGATCGAAACATCTTGCTGACCTCTTACAAGGGATCTCCGCTCTCCTTCCACTATTCGAACAAGATACACAGAAATTCACTCTGATGACATCACCGAGGCGAGTTACTCAAGTTCTTCACTGTTAATGTCCCTCTGTATTCAGAATCTAACACGTCATTCAGTTAACACCGCACCCTACGTTCCCTACGCACCTTCTTTCTGGCTCGACTGACGGTCTCGTCAACATTATCGATACATCTATCATAGATGAGGACGAAGCAGTTCAGGCTACCTTCAACCATGGTTCAGTGCATAAGGCCGGTTTCCTTAACGTGGCCGAGGTCTACGCAGCATCCCACGACGAAAAACTAGCTCTGTATGACTGGAGCGACACGAATCAAGAGAAAGGCGCTGCTACGATGGATTTCGGGGATATTCGGCAACTTCTTGGGGGAGGGGTTCGGTACCTAGCGGACGTGGTGCCTAAGGTGGATGGGATCGGTGCCGTGGTGGGCGTTGGCGGCCAAGAGTAAGTTCCTAGGTACTTAACAGCGTTCTCAATGCTCTGCTAACTGGACAAAGCAACGAGATGTTCCAGTTGATTCACTTGGCTAAAGGCCCGACAGGGTGGACGCTGGACCGGGAGACTGTGGTTGGGCTGCCTAGGGCACATGGCTCTGAACTTGTAAGAGGCTTTTGCTTCTTCGACGAGCAGCAGGTTGTATATACAGGTGGCGAGGACGGGTGCGTGAAAGCTTGGAGGCCTAGCAGCTAGCCGGACACGAGGGACACGGGGGGCTAGAAGAGGATCTTTCAAATGATAGAAGTCGTGGCCGACATGGAATAATTGACCTGCGGTCCGGGCTCGATCCAATGGCTAGTGGCCTTATATTCCACTTAGCTACTACGGAAGAGTTTGCAATATGGAACTTAGAGATTGGGCTTGGCAAGCTCTGGGACCGCTCCCAAACTATAACGGATAACCCTCGTGCATTAGAATTGTATTCCCCCAAACGCGGATAATTCGGCTCTCCATTTACCCCCTTTCCCCCACACCTCATGGTAATCACAACGCATCACACACCAGGGCAGGTAACTCACTGCAAGTTCTCGATAACCAAAGCCGAGGCACCGCCGCCGCCGTTACAGATACCAGCCACACCAATCTTGCCCTTCTTCTCGCGCAGAACAGACGTAAGAGTCGTAACAATGCGAGCGCCCGAGGCACCAAGCGGGTGACCAATGGCAACAGAGCCACCGAAGACATTGACCTTCTCGGGGTCGAGGTTGAGCAGCTTAATGTTCGCCAAAGCGACGACCGAGAACGCCTCATTGATCTCATAGTAGTCGACATCCTTCTCCGTCAGGCCGGCATGTTTGATAGCCTTGGGGATAGCAAGCGCAGGGGCGATGGTGAAGTGAGCAGGATCACGAGCTGCGTCAGCCCAACCAAGGATCTTGGCCAAGGGCTTGATGCCGAGCTCTTTCAGCTTGGCCTCGGACACAAGCACCACAGCAGCGGCGCCATCGTTGATGGGGGCAGCGTTTGGAGCTGTCACAGTACCATCAGGAATGAAGGCAGGGCGGATCGCCTTCAGCTTTTCAATGTTGAGGTTCTTGACCTCCTCGTCACGGTCAATCTTGACGGGAGGCTTGCCACGACCGCCAGGAACCTCAATGGGGGCAATCTCGGTGAAAAGGCCGGCCTCAGTAGCTGCCTGGGCTCTCTGATATGACCTGATTGCGTATTCGTCTTGCATCTCGCGGGTCAGGCCGAACTCCTGGGCACATAGTTCTCCTTGCATGCCCATAAGCTCCTTCTTGCCATAGGCATCGCGCAGGCCGTCCTTCTGGACACCGTCGACAAGTGCAGAGTCGCCGTACTTGTAACCGGCGCGAAGGTTCGGGACGTAGTGTGGGGTGTTGGACATGCTCTCGGTGCCACCAGCAACGACAATAGAGGCATTGCCCGTGATGATGGTCTGGGCACCGAGGATAATGGCCTTCAGACCGGAAGCGCACACCTTGTTGACGGTGGTGCAGATGACAGACTCCGAAAGACCGGCACCTAGAGCGCACTGGCGGGCAGGGGCCTGGCCGAGACTGTGTAAGGCAAACAGGCAGTTAGCGCAATTCCATGCCCAACAAAGAGCGACAAGCCAGAAAAGAGTACCAGAGAGTCTCCGACACTTACTTGGCCGACAGGACGTTGCCGAAAAAGACCTCCTCGACATCCTCAGGCTTGATCTGAGGAACACGCTCAACGGCAGCTATGCGCGTATACGGTCAACATGGGAAAATTTGTTGGGCAGGGACATGAAGCGCACCCTTGATAGCATGAGCACCCAACTGGGTAGCACTCTGGCTGGAGAGCTGGCCAAGAAAACTGCCGATTGGCGTCCGGGCGACAGAGACAATGTAAACGGGGGGCAAGCCAGACATCTTGAAAGAGCGTTCTGGAGTTTGGATGGGATGGAACGAAGAGTCGACGTGTCAAGATGAACGGTTGGGGTTGGGGGAGCGACTTTTGTCGGTGTAGCTTGGGGCATTCAACAATCCAGCCAGGGGTTCTTGCCCGATAAGATTGCCCCTCCCCCGCCAAGGTAACCGCTGCAGACACGATCTTTGATCAGATAATCTGATAATTTTGCTGCAAGGGTCCGGTCCGAATCCGTCCCGGCTGTGACGGTGGCCCGGCGGCCAGGCTTTGTTCAGATCCTTTGCGCCACAATGTGGCAAGTGCGCCATGATCCGTAAGCGAGCAGTCGTCCGTGTACAGATTATGAATGGTACCCGTCTCAATTACGGTAACTTTGAAACCCGTAATTTTCACCCTTACATCACCAGCGCGCGACGCGCCTGCGGCTCAGTGAAAGTTTCGGGCCATCAACCACCGACTCCAATCACACGTTTCCTGACCTCGCCGCAACTATGGATGACGATCTGTATGACGAATTTGGCAACTTCATCGGAGAGGAGGCCGAGTCGGAAGAGGAGTCCGATCATGGAGCCAATGCGGGCGTCTACGCCTACGACGAATATGTTGACGAGGCGCCTGAGGAGCCCGCTGAGGAGCAGATGGACATTGATGGTATGAGCTTGTCGTTGCTTTTTCTTCGTTAACGCAAAGTTGCTTTGCGCATATAATGCTGACTTCGTCCTTCAGAGGAGCCTCCTTCCAATGCCGTTATCCTCCATGAAGACAAGCAATACTACCCGACAGCCGCCCAGGTGTTCGGCGAGGGTGTCGAAACGTTGGTCCAGGAGGAGGATGCGCAGCCATTGACGCAACCCATCATTGCGCCCGTGGAGCAAAAGAAGTTCAGTATCCAAGAAGCCGATCTACCACCTGTATATTTCGACCGCGGCTTCATGACCGATCTGATGAACTTCCCCGAGCAGATCCGCAATATTGCGCTGGCTGGCCACCTGCACCACGGCAAAACCGCCTTCATGGACATGCTTGTGTTGGAGACGCACGCTATTCAAGAACGCTTGGACAAGCGGACAGGAAAGAAGCGTGATGAGCAGCTGCGGTACACCGACGTCCATGTGATAGAGCGCGACCGGGGCCTGTCGATCAAGGCCGCTCCTATGAGTTTAGTTCTGTCCAGCACAAAGGGAAAATCGCATCTATTCAACATTATCGATACCCCTGGACATGTGGATTTTGTCGATGAAGTCGCTGCAGCTTTCCGTCTTGTAGACGGTGTCTGCCTTGTTGTTGATGTAGTGGAAGGTGTCCAGGTCAACACAGAGCAGATTATCAAGCACGCCGTTCTCGAGGATATTCCTCTCACCCTGATTATCAACAAAATGGATCGATTGATTCTTGAGCTTAAGATTCCTCCTACGGATGCTTACTTCAAACTCAAACATGTCATAGAAGAAGTCAACACTGTCATTGAGAACACGATTCCTGGTCGGGGAGAGAGCAAAAGGTTAAGCCCGGAGAAGGGCAACGTGCTTTTCGCGTGCACTTCTATGGGATGGTGCTTCACTCTCCAATCATTTGCTAAGATGTATTCGGAAAGTTATGGCGGCGTCAATGTGGAAGAATTTGCGCGCAGGCTCTGGGGCGATGTCTACTTCAACCCCAAGAAGCGTACCTTCACAAGGAAACCGATTGAAGAGGGAGCGAAGAGATCATTTGTTAATTTCGTCATGGAGCCCATCTACAAGCTCTACTCCCACACCATCAGCGAAGGCCCAGAAGATTTGAAGAGGACCCTGAGCAAGCTGGGAATTTTCTTGAAGCCATCCCAGTACAAGGCTGACCCCAAGGTTCTCATGAAGTTGGTTTGCGAGCAATTCTTTGGTATGTTTTTCTTGTACTGATAGTCGCAATTCCTTTGATCACGGGACTAACCAATATCAGGGCCATCAACGGCCTTTGTGGATATGGTTATCAAGCATATTCCCTCACCTCTCGAAGCTGCGGAAAAGAAGCTCGAGAGATATTACACTGGGCCTCTTGACACCAAGATTGCGGAGTCTATGAAAAATTGCGACCAGAACGGGCCCCTAGTGGTCCATGTGACCAAGCTCTTCAACACCATTGACGCAAAGAGCTTTTACGCCTTCGGCCGAGTGATGAGTGGCATTGCCCGGCCGGGCGCAGATGTCCGGGTGCTTGGAGAGGGCTATACTCTTGACGATGAGGAAGACATGGTGGTCAGCAGAATCTCCGATGTCTTCATCGCTGAGACAAGGTACAACATTCCAACTGACGGCGTGCCAGCCGGCAATTTTGTTCTTCTTGGGGGTGTTGACAACTCCATTGTCAAGACCGCAACTATTGTCGACAAGAAGTTCGACAACGGCGAGGATGCCTATGTGTTCAAGCCACTGTCGCACTTTACTGAATCCGTCCTCAAGGTAGCTGTTGAGCCCATTAACCCTAGCGAGCTGCCGAAGATGCTCGATGGTATCAGGAAAATCAACAAGAGCTATCCTTTGATTACCACAAAAGTGGAAGAGTCAGGAGAGCATATCATCCTGGGCACTGGTGAGCTATACATGGACTGTGTCTTGCACGACCTGCGCAAGCTCTACGCCGACATGGAAGTCCGGGTCTCAGACCCTGTTGTCCGGTTCTGTGAGACGGTGCAGGACATGTCGGCCACCAAGTGCTATGCTATTACACCCAATAAGAAAAACACTATTACCATGGCAGCAGAGCCCTTGGATGATGGTATTGCCCAGGACATCGAGTCTGGGGCTGTCAAGATCAAGGATCCTCCGCGGAAGGTAGCCAAGTTCTTTGAGGAAAAGTATGGGTGGGATAAGCTCGCTGCCAGGAGCATTTGGGCATTTGGGCCGGATGAGATGGGCCCAAACATCCTGCAGGATGATACACTACCTACAGAAGTACGTTTTGTGCTGACCCAGTATCTCTGCATCATCACTTACAAGCTTGTTACCCCGGGCTACTAATCCCCCGCATTTCTGCCGAATCGGGCCTTTTTCGTACCAGGGGAGAAGAAGCTGACCGTCACATTACACAGGTCGACAAGAAGCGGTTAGCAACAGTTAAGGAATCTATCCGCCAGGGCTTCGCCTGGGCAACCAGAGAGGGCCCGTTGTGCGAAGAACGTAAGTCACCAACCAGATAGGCGCTCTTCGATACCCTTGGGTTGTCTCATGATCTACTAACACATACTTGACTGTAGCTATCCGCAACACTAAGTTCCGCCTCATCGATGTCTCCCTTGCCCAGGAAGCCATTTTCCGTGGTGGTGGCCAAATTATTCCGACCGCTCGACGTGCTTGCTATTCCTCTTTCTTGATGGCCTCCCCCGCCTCATGGAACCCATGTACTCAGTCTCCATGACTGGCCCCCAGTCGTCGGTCAGCATGGTCTACAACATTCTTTCTCGCCGTCGCGGCCACGTGCTGTCTGATGGCCCCATTGCGGGCACGCCGTTGTATCGGGTCAACGGTCTTATTCCCGTCATTGACTCGTTTGGCTTTGAGACTGATCTGCGCATCAACACACCCGGCCAGGCCATGGTCAGCCTGGTGTTTGACCGCTGGAGCATCGTCCCTGGTGATCCTCTAGACCGAGAGCAGGTCACTCGGCCGCTACAGATGGCTACAGCTCAGGCGACGGCGAGAGACTTCGTGCTGAAAACTAGAAGGAGAAAGGGTCTGAGTGAGGATGTGACCGTGGCAAAGTTTCTTGAGCCGGAGTTCTATCAGAGCTTGTTGGAGAGCGGGACGTTGGGTGAACCTTAAAAGGAAGGTTGATATGTTTGGTTCAGTTTTAAATATGTGTTCCACCTTATCAAGACAGACTTGCGGCTGGCGTTTCCTATGGGGGTTTAGCAATGTAAATGGAATCAGAGAGACGATTGCCTTCCACCTCTCGTTTTATGATCTTATTTTCCAACTGATTTGGTGTATATGCCTGCATCACTGTATACGCAAGTCGCATTCTCACCTTGGTTACTTTCCATACGTATTGATTATCTTTACTCGCAAGCGCTTAAAGCAGGCGATGACAGCGTAGTTGTTTATCGTGCCTGCCTATATTTAAAACAATCCGCTAAAGGAAGAGACGCGCTTTACATCTTCGAACTATGCTGGCTGATGTTATGTCAATCTTGACGGCCTATGCTCCAAACTTTCGGAGATGTTTGAGTCCATCTACTCATTCCCTAATGTCATATCGAAGCTTGCACAACAGGTGCTGATCGACATATCAACACATGTTCTGTGAGTTTCCTTTCAGAAAGCGTAGCAGCATTCCACATTCACTTACTGTTAATCAGTCATCATGTTTATTGCTCCTTTTGCTCTTTTTTTCAGCTCAGTACGTAATGCTTAGTATGAATCGATTAAGCTATTAACTGAAACCTCTCCGTAAAAAAAAAAAGGCTACGCCTTGGGCTTCAAACTGTCCTACTGGAGCATTGAATGCAGCTGTGCTTCGCCACTGCCCCCAGTCACAAAGCAGGAAGGCATCTTGTGCTCTTTGACACGCTTAACAACACAATGCTACCCCATGTCACTGCTTTCAAGAACCTGGCATAAGATATACATGGGATCTAGATGTGACAGTCCGGGCAGGTATGAAACTCGCGATGCCTGACCGTTGGATGTACCACAGCACGTGGCAGCCCTGACGGCATCCAACGGCTGCTAGCGGACAGGCTAGATTACTATGCATGGCCATCCACTACCCAGAAAGGTAGGAGGTCAACAGGCTTCGGTGTTGTATGCAGTAGCATGCCTAGACACGGTTGCAAGGTAGCGTTACCAGAGGCCATCATACATATTTACCATGACTACCGCCCTGATCTAACAAACGAACCTGCTTTTCTTTGGAGAAACAGGCCCGTCTACTCTGGGAAAGGAAGGTGAAATCTAAAGTGGTGCCCGGGAGCTGTCAAACCCAACTGCCTGACCACAATAACGTGATTGTTAGGGTCGAACAGGTCATCGCTTTAAGGGTCACCGCGGCTGTCTCGCTCTCGGCTTTATCTCTTCACTCATAGGTCAATCAGCATCATGACATAAACATAAGCTCAATCGAAGAGACGAACCATGTTCGTCCTCCCATATTGCGTGGAGCCCATGTTCACAGCGGAGAGAAGTTAAAGCAGAAAGTTTTTCGGGCATGGACTAGGGACGGACTGTTGGTCCCCTGACTTAAGTAACCATAAACCCGATCATGACAGCATCGCTCCTGGGCCCCATATGCTCACTTCAGGATTGACCGACTGAAAACGTGGGAAGACCAGGTATATTGGGCACCATGCAGAACGCACGGGCATCCAAGAGTTGAGGCTGCACAGTCAGCACATGCTGTAAAAACCAATGAGAAGTTGGTGACACGTTAATCCGGAGACGACAAGAAAGGGGTTTAAGAAAGGGGTCCAAGACTGAGAGTCGCGCAACCTAAGTGCCCCCCCCCCCCAAAAAAAAAAAAACAAAATGGAGCTGCCGAGCAGCAATCTTTTCACCCTGGTAACTGAGCGGTCACGAGAATCGCCAACTGTTTCGTCAAAAATAGAACGTTTCTTGGGCAGCCGCGTGCTGCCTGAGGGCGAAGATCACCAAAACACTTGAAAAGGGGGGGCACAGGTTTCTGCGTTTGGAGCTCCTAAGACGGATAGAACGGGAGCGAGAACCCCGCGTCGAGGACCCTTGAAACAAGCATTGTCAAGATGATTTGTCCTCAAGTACACCTAGGAAGATCAGGCTCAATAACTGCGGCGTGGCCACGAGCCTTTCCTGTGCTGCTGCTGACAAAGGGTGTTCAAGATGGCTCATTGATGAGTGAATGGAGTCTCGAGGGACACAAAGCGGTGGTGCATGCGAAGATACCTAACCATCACATGGTCTAGATGCTCCCCACCGTTCCCTCCAGCCTACAGTGTGTACATTTTTCCTTGCATGCCAACAGTAGCCCAGTGCAGGAAGGAATACCTACTTACTTGGATTTAGCGCATGTATGTACGTATGTACATAGGGATACGCAAGGCAATGCGGCTTCCCTCGCTATGATCTGGGCTGTTAGCGTCCTTGGAGTTTTTACACTACACAGGTACGTAGGTGCGATATGATACCCAGCCCTGTCGGTAGCGTTTACCCCTGCTTTGCATGCCTGCGTTCCCCATTCCCGGCTGGGCTCTCTGACACTGTTCTGGCAACCGAGAATCCTGCAACTTCACCCCTTGCCGCCACGAGAAACGCATGGAGGAAGCCAAGACTCGTCCCGAATGGGGCGGACGTGCATCCCTTCAAGCTCAAGCCGAAGTTGTCCCGCCAATCGCCAAAGAGCGCGTCTTGGCCAAGCTTCATTGCTCGACGACTAGGCTTCTCCTGTGCTTGCCATCTGCTGACGAGAATCCCAAGGGCATGTTACCTGTGTACAAATGTATTGCTCGCCGAACCCCTCAACATCCAAGCCACAAATATGACAATCAAATGCTGAGACGTTACGTGGATGTATGCTTCTTGGTCACAAAAGACAGCTTTCAAACACATGTCGAGAGCATCTTGTCCACCATCCTTTGGAGTGTGTCGTTCTCAAGAGCCGCGGCAACTCTCTCCTTGTCACCGAGCTGCTTATTGACCTGATCATCCTGCGCGTGAGAGCCTTCCTTCATCTTGACCTCGACTCGGTAATTAGGCGGCAGAGTTTGCTCTAGCCTGCACCTAACGGCTAGGCCGATGACAGTGGCGAGTGAGCAGTGATTGATGGTGGGAGTGAGATCAACGCGCACGGTCACCAGAGCATCTGGACTTGGAAGCTTGGCTGGCGAGGGGCTCAAGTGAATATCGGGAAGCCTTACAACTGACAGCTGGCCCAGGGTATGCGGGTGCTCAGGGTCTGAGATAGTGGAAATAAGATCTAGGACATGTTAGTTTCTGAGCTACCACGGTGAACCAGAGCGTCATAACCACGCGCATGAACATGGTCGATAAAAATAGTATGGTCATATTCGAGCATACACTCTATAGACCATGCACATTGCACCACTGCGCGCTCTTCACCCCGACGCTGTGGTTCACATGTAAATTTCCAAGTGCCGACGCTTACCAAAAATGTCTTGCTCGTCAATGGGCTCCTCCTCGTCCTCTTCCTCGTCGTCCTCACCTGACGACACGCCTGAGCCATAGGGCCAATGCTGCCTGGGGTAAACTATGCTGTCACACTTGGAGTCGGGCCCGCGTCTGACTGCGCCTCCTTTGCGTCTCCTGCTGGGCAGTTGCGAGACGCTGAGAATGGTGGGGTTGGCGTTGTCAAGACCCCTCCCCTCCATTTTGGTTGCTCTATCCTCTGACGGACGCGATTTTCGGTTTCTTGCGCGCGCGAAAACCGTAAGTTGTTTCAATCCGTTTGGTGAGTCTTACTACGGGGTATATCGGAAGATATTTGCAGCGTGGTCTGTAGGAATGCCTGTAGTTCCCTCAGCAAGCGAGTGGAAGTTGCCACTTTTGAGATTCCCCTCATTCACTGCCAGCTCGGGTGATGAAGTCGACGGCCTCGGCGGGCCCCAATCTTCAGGTGGATCCGTGGATGTCGTTGGTTCGTTGACGGTTGACCATCTTTTCTCAGTCATACGTCGATCCTCATTGGTGGAGTTTGAACAAAGAACCTATATGAGCTTCCATTTTACTGTGTGTGGATCCCAGGCTCCCCCTACCCCACCCCCAAGTTCCACGGTGAGCATCAGAAGGGGTGCGCCTCTTGGCTTCTCGTGCCATCATATCCGGCCATCTCCCTTCAACCACCCCCGTTCTAGTCGCTACCCCGTTCAATGACCCCGTTTGCTGACCGGATTTCGGCACGATGGATCTACGCAGGATGTTCGATCTGATTGCTAGCCCACCTTGAGCTTCACAGCTTGACACACCACGTTTCCTTCATCTATGGCACCCTTCCGGCATTTCCGATCTCGAGTTGTGGTGTTTTATCGCACCGATGTCAACAGCGAAATCGACGTTCATGCGTCAGCCGCAGAAAAAAAGGGGCTTGCTCTTGATCGAAATCCCGAATACGGATGGAAGGGTGGGGGGTTGGGTTCTCCAGTGCCCCTGTAAGCCGTTGGACATCGTGCTCAATGTTGTGATGGCTGGCAAGCAAAGCCGCCGATGTTCAAAGATTGAGCAGAAGGACCAAGCCCGATGTGCTTGGCATCCATCCATAGATCCCCGTTCCCGTTGGCCTCGACCCATCCCCACGGTTAAGGCTGCGGTGACGGAGCCGTCATCGGAGCTCTTTCTACAACGGGTCTGGGAGGTTGCTTGAAAGAACAGAAGAAGAGCTCAGATCCGCGATCTCCAACCTTAAATCCAGTGCATCTTTGGCAATGAATTTGGTGCCTGCATCTCTTCAAGTGCCGGATCAAACGGCGCATCTGTCTGCGTTTTGAAGCGCGTTCTACACTATTTCCCGGCATGCTTGCTTCCGTTCGTTGGATTTCTGGATAACATGTCTTGCATGACACCCTGGGATCACCGAACCAGGCTCCTCGTTCTCGGCCGAGTGGAAACCCCGGGATCCGGAGAAACAGCACCGGACTCCTCGACCCTCCAACCTGCTGCCTTCCCGATCTGTCAAATAAGGCGTGGACAATGGGTCGTCGATTTTTTTTGATGGCAGCCATCCTTTTTTCCAGCACACCCGAGGTTCAGCAGTTTATGTACTTGTATGTTGATCACCCCGTTTTGGACGGGTTCCTCTACTTCCTTGTGCTTAGCTGGCGTTCGGCAACTCCCGGGAAGTGTCGCAACACTCATTTCTACGCGCATGTTCTTGACCCTTCAGTGCCTGACCCGCAGGAGAGGGCGCTTGTGTTAGGCGTCACAGACAGTTAGTGAAACGGCCAACGGAGGCAGGACGCCGGCACCAACTTTTCCCTCGGCAGTCTCCTGCGGCAATTTGAGAGTCGGTGAGGGTTCGCCCCACTTTTGCTGCTTCCGTGCTTGAAATTTTGAGCATGTGATGGCCACACAAGATGCATGCGAGATCGTCAGGTTTGCGATTCGATCTTGTATCCGTCAACGATCAAAGTATGCGGACCAGTATCTCATTGTAGGCAAGATAGATACCTAGGCCTTCTTCACGTTTCACAATTCAGCAGAAGGTCGGAGTCGTGATGGTTGGCCGGGGTTACTGGCCTTTACGCTAGAATTGCGATGAAGTTTCCACAAGAGCAACACCTTCAACTGGAGATAGTGTGTACATACACCTGCACACGTGCTGTAGCGCGCAATGTGCTCCACTGACTATTCCATTCGCAGAAAAACCTGCATTGAAACGAGCTGCGGAATGGTTGGGGACAGTGCGTTGTGCTAAGTGCGGGATCGATCCGCACGAGGGCATTCAACGTCGTTACCAGTTCGCTCAGGTGTAAGATACACTGGTGAGTACACTGATTCATACGGCACAGCCAGGGGTGACACCATGGGAAGCCACTTCTGGCCAACGAACCAGGGGAAAAGAAGCAGTACGTACTGACAACAGCATGCCCACGTCCAGGGAAATCTGGACCGAGCCTCTGAGATTGAACCCGAGGAGCGCTCTCTTGAGAAGATTGCGTCCAGATTTTGCGCTTGGCACCGATGCCAATAAAATGCTGAGGGAAATGGCAGAGCTTTCATGATACATTGCCGCCTGCTCAGCGGGTGCTTGGGTGATACGGTGTTTGAACGCACGTTAAGAGCTTGGCTCAATGTCGAAACGTAGTGTGTTGGGGGCTTGCAAATAAACCCGTGCTTGTAGTTCAGTAGCCATCGGGGCTGTGAGCACTTTACAAGACGTGCTCGGTATGCTGGAAGAAGATACGGAAACAATACAAAACAAACCGAAACAGTGCAATACTTGCTCCGTACAACCCCTGTGAAGCCATCAGACGAGAACCTTGAGCATCCAGGATGCCCTTGGTAGAAGGATCCTGTGCTATGAAGTCGGCCGGAATCACACGTAGGTGGGTGGAAGAACCAGGCATCGTGTGCATTGGCCGATCACATCGCCTGCGAATCTTGCGATGGCCTAAAGCAAGCGGCGGGCCTCTTCGGTGACATGGTCAGGCTTAGTGACGAACAGGGGAATAAGCCTGGCGGCTGAGAACACAACTGACTGGTGGCTATGCCGTCTTCTAGAACATTTCCAGCTGCGTTTCAATCTGGCTACCCCGCGCTGGAGAACACCGGAGAAGCAGGCGGGAAATCTGAAATCCGGCTGGGTTGCCTCCTGTTATCTCCTGCCTGTTGACATTTTCCAACCTTGCTCACAATGAGTGGCGAACTGACAACAAGGAGCCTGGGCAATCCATCATCCCGGGAGCCTTGTCAATATTATGACAACATTGGCTATATTACTTCCAGAGAGCGGGGTTCAGGTCCAAACATACCACATACCTGGAGCGGACTTGGGCCGGTACCTATTCCTCTTGTCTCTTGCGACGTCTGCGCACACCTGCATCGCTTAGAATGCGTGGATGTCCGCGGATAACGGGTACCTCACACGTCTGCTCGTCCATCACTCCCTGAGAACCTGCCGAGCCAATCCAGCGGTTGCATCAAACTCGGGTCCTGCTTCCACCCGTCCAGCACCAGACCATTGGAATTGCTGGGTATTCACCGACGAGTGTAACCTGTAACCTGCACCACGAACATAGATATATAAAACGTAGCAGCTGCCATAATCCCTAGATCCCTAGATTCATAGTATGTACATTCCTGACTTACACACCAATACCTTAGGTAGGTACGGTAACCATTGACGCTGGCGTTGTGTCAGGTAAGTAGTGTACCCAGATGTAGGCAGGTCGTTGCAGCCGGTGATTCGCTGGTAGCAGTCTAGTAACCTTTTTTTTTTTTTTTTTTTTTTTTTGCTTAACGCATGCAGACCGAGTGGCCAGGTTGTGCAAATGCTGGAAAAGCTCGGCAAGTGGAATATGCATAGGTAGAGATAAAGGTATTTTCCTCTATGAGGATTTTTGCGCACCGTTCCGTTAAGAAGGTCGACGTGATTCTGCACGCCAAGTTGGGGGGCACTTTCAGGCGCCACTAAGGCTTCCAGGCCAAGGGTAATCGCTATTACCAACCAGGAAAGCTGCGTGGGCTAGGTGGTGTATGGGGCAGTGGGGGTTTGGTTTTGGAGCTCCCTTGAGATCCCCCCTCTTTACCCGGGTCGAGCCAGGAAGGCTCACCCTCCCACTTCCCGCTCCACTGTCCCTTTCCCCTGCCTGCGTCTTGTGTCTGCTGTAGCTCGCTAGTACCTGGTAGTCGGTGCCCGGAGCCTCTGACGCACACCCACACCTCCTGTTTTGGTGATATTTACAGTAGAATTAGAGATTACATGTTGACACATCGCCGTCCTGTAAGGGATTGGGTGTTTTTCGATCCTGGCGACTCGACATCTTCAAGGCCAAGCATGAAGCCAACGCTTATGATAGCTCGTGTTCTGCATCGCGCACCCCGATCTCAGCAGGCTAGCCAACAATACAACTACCTTACATACTGTGGTACACCAGAGCCCGGATCTTGTATGGCGTCAATGCGAGCGCAGCAGTAGATGCATGGCCCCATGTCCTACTGTGTAGTGTACGCTATGGATAGCAGCAGCGCCCTGAAGATCCCGGGTCAAGCCTCAGATCCGCATGACAGAGGTCCTGGACTCCTGGTCGCTGGCGAATTGCGAGGACGTCACCACACAGAACACAGCCATAGTACTTACACCACTTGCCAAGTTGGCGTTTGCACTACAGCACCCATCGTCCCACCAAGGCAGCGAGGGCCAAGAATAGCCGGCTGCTGTGGATGCCGTTTCTGGATCTGGCAAAGGAATCCCATCTCGATAGCGATGTTGAGCATGCCGTCAGGGTCCTGTGGCTGAACTGAGCACGCCGGGAGCGTTGCATCTTCGACGCTCGGTCGTCGTGTGTCGAGCAGCCACACAGCAAAAAAAGATCACTCGTGGGTATTCCAAGTTGCGGGTATGGGCTTATGGGCATGGGTGAGGGCAGGCAGGCAATCCGTACACTACTAGGTACCTACACCACTAGTGTAGCCGTAGTGGTCAATCAGACAGACCCTCACCTTCTTCGTGCATCCCCCCCCCCCCTTCTTCCCGTTGATCGAAAAGTCGTGTGGTCTGGAGGGTCGGGGGGTCTGGTGGAGGGTGTGGAGGGCAGGGTAACCCCGTCGGGAGTTTAACATACGCAGTGCTGGGTCCTTGCTCGCCCTAAATTATTAGCTCCTTCTCTGGCCAGGGCAGATGCAGATGCTACAGCCCAGAGCCCCAGACTCGCCCTACCTAAAACCCCGTGCGTCCTCGCTGTCCCGCTGGCATTGATTTCCTTTGGTCCTGCTGCCGCCACATTTGCTCAACGGAAAAGCATCTGCTTGGTTTGCTTCTTGTTGCGTGCGCAGACGACATTCGCCGCTCACGACGCTGCCGGTCCGGACGTGGAGCCGCAATCGCAATCGCACGCGCAACCGCAACCGCAACCGCAGCCGCAGCCGCAACGTCGGCACGATCCATCATCACCATCCCGTCCAGGGCGACAACCGATCGGCCCATGATCTGAATGTGGAGTCGTCGCCTGCCGTGTCGTATCAGCGCGCCGCCGTGAGCGTCCGTGCAAGCCACAGACTTGCCCCTCCAACATCAACATCATGTCCAACGACACCACGACCCGAAGAATCCTTCCCCAGAGCTCCCAGATGGGAACCTTTGCCTTTGCACCGACCACCTATCACCATCCTCAGCAGCCACGCGAAACACAAAAAAGTGCGCCCGCTTGAATCCTGCTCTGTTCATGCGTTTCCCCTCTCCTGCTCAGCCTTCTGACATGCGCTGCCAGACTATGTGTTCGTGGACGAGCACAACCGCCACAAGCGGTTGAAGGGTATGACTTTCCGTTTTCCAAGCGCTCCTCGTGGCCACGTGCATGTGGGAGCAGCCTACTAACGCCTTCTCGCACAGTGATGAGAGCGTGTGAGGGGTGTCGGAGAAGAAAGATCAAGTGTGATGCTGCAACGACCAACACCTGGCCCTGCTCCGCATGTATTCGTCTGAAGCTGCACTGCGTTCGTCCGAACGGTTTTGACAGCACTGCAGACACTCAGACGCAGACTTATGAACCCGTCCGATCCCATTTTGAGTCTCCACATGTTTCTTCCAGCTTCAGACAAGCGCTTCCTCTGCAGGACCAGCCGCTCCTTTCCCATGCGCCAAAACCAGCCCCTCATATCTACCAGCCGGTGACGTCCTACCCGGATACGTCGAGTCTTTACCATCCTGTCCAGTATACGGAGCCTCAGCCCGTTCCTCACGACCTGCACTATGCCCCAGTTCACCACCCCGTGAATGTTGTCGAGCAGCAGTACACCACGGCCCAGCCTGCCACCTTTCCGACTCCTCCCCCGCTGCACCAGACGCCCCAGTCTGCATCATCCCCGTCAGATGCTCAGTCCGAGTATGCCCAACAGGACTTGGCCGATCTGTTGGGTTCTCTCAAGGTGAATGAAGCAGGAACAGGTCCGTTCATTTTGCCAGCCTTGCTCCGGAGATTTTCGGTATTCTGACCTGTCTCTTGCAGCGCCATATCTCAACAGTAAGCTCCGGTCGTCCAAAGACGAGGAGCCGGCTGTGGAGGAGGATGACGACTTTAAGAGTCTGCTCCCTCCGTTAACTTCGGGTCCAGGCACCAAAATCCGCATCCCGCCAGAGCTGATGCCTGACGACGAGACGGTTCTTCGCTATTTTGACTTATACTTCACCCACGCTCATCCTTACGTGCCGGTGTTAGACAAGACCCAGTTCTACCATCAATGGCAAAACAACCGAGACTCCATATCCCCTTTGCTTTTAGAGGCTATCTTTGCCATCGCAGGACGTTTGGCGGATGAGCCAGCTCAGGGCCAGCAATGGCTTGCTCTCGCATCACGTACGATTCCCTTGAAGTTTGCTGATGGCACTCTCAGAACAAACTAACTCTCTGTTGGCAGGGCATGCGGATTCTTTCATGGATGTGCCTCGGCTGAGCACTCTCCAGGCGCTTATGATCCTGTTAAAAGCGAAGGAATCTGCGCCCAAGAAGGGTTATTATTATCGCTCGTGGATGAGCATTGTTCAGGCCGTCCAACTGGGTAAGGATCTTGGGCTAGATGAACATTATGCCGACCATCAGGCTGGTAGGTGTGCAGGCTCTCCAGCCGAGTGCGCCTTGAAAACCCGGATCTGGCAAACCTTGTTTGTGGTCGAGCTGATGATCGGCTCTCCTCAAGGTACGCTTGGCTCCATAAGAACTTCAAGATCCATCGAACAAGAACTGACGATCCGCCAAGGTCGGACTGACTTCCAGGTTGAAGAGGAAACGGTCGACTTCAGTATTCCCCGGCCGCTACCAAACCAGGACGAGTCTGAGTATCAAGTATCTCGCAACTTCGTGTATCTGGCCAGGATTGTTCGCGCTGTTGGCAGAATGGTCAAGGTTTACAAACGGCTCAAGAGGACAAAGGATTGGGGCATCGATCCTGCCTTTGTACAGGCCGATCCGGAACACGATTCCTCGTGGCTGACTAGCCTGCCTTCGGATCTTACGGTCACTTTTCCTCCTGACGGCTCGCCTCCTTATCTACCCTCGGCGTATGTCGGCAACGTCCATACCTACTACTGGCTCTCAATCATCTTGTTCCATCGTCCCCAGCTTACGGCGCTATCGCACTCGGCACCTGGCGGTCAGTGGAAGCAGCACATGCTCGTTGCCTCTAACGCTGCAAAGATGATATGCAGACTCCAGGAAGCAGTTTTGAACTCGTTTGGGATGACGGGGCTTCAGTGCATGCAGCGGGGAATCAACTTCACTATATATGCAGTGCTTCAATGCCTGGTTCTTCATCTGGTATGTTTCTCCATTTTGCATTATTCTCATATAATATGTCAACATTGCTGACTGCTCTTTGTGTTATTAGGTTGCCATAACGTGTCCGGATCCGGACGTCAATGCAGAGTCCAGGGAATACTTTACTCGCCATATGAGGCTCATCGAAAAATGCATGAGTGCCTGGCCAATGCCCGAAATGCAGAAGCAGATTGACTCGATCCGGGAGGCCTTCTCTGCCGATACCAGGAAACCCTTCGTTCTGAAGCCAACATTCCCTTATGGCAGCCCTCATTCAACCTCCCATCCGAGCCCTCCTGGCCGGCATCTGGACACTCATGTTCCGCACTCCCAAGTTAGTCTAACCAGTCATCCCCTTACGCCCGTCTCGGCCGCCTCACTAGATGCCAAGAGTGAATCGCCTGTCGTTCAAGCGCTAACCTCGGTTCCCTCTGTTCCTGCCTCCCAGGCCCAAGGTGTAACGGATACCTTGCCCATGCCGGAGGCGCCCACGTGGAATCCCTCGCGCATCTTTGAGTAAGTAGCTTGGTTTGGCCATGCGTCGGGTTCTATTCCGGGCGACAGCTAATGTCTGTCACAGTCAGTGGAATAATACATTTGGCGCCCCGCAGATTCAGTCAACCCCTCCCCCAGTAACGGCACCCACTCCCTCGTTGGGTGTCCCTTCTGCCAATGGGGTAGGATCAACTGGCCTGCACGATATACCGAGTGTACCGAGTCAGCTTCGTACTACTTCCCAGCCTATACCGCCGCCCCCTCAATACGCTGCCGCACCTATTCAGACTTTCGTCACACCAGCCATGTGGCAAGAGTCTGTGGCTAGCGTCTACGAAGGCGGCATCAAGCGCTCGTGGGATTACGATAGCCACTTACCTATAAAGCGGCACCATTGATAACGGCCGGCATATCGTCTTATATTTTTCTTAGCCCATCTGTACCGTATCTCGTTTGAATTTTTTTTGTTTTTTTTTTTTGCCTGGGTGCTTTGTCTGATATTCGTTTTTGGATACCTACCTTGTCGGATTTCGTTTGAGGTATTTTGTTTTTCCCTTTACCCGTTGCAGGATCATTGGGAAGGAAGGGTTGTGCTTGCAGTGAAAACGAGCGGGAGCAAGGTATGGGTTGTGCTTGGATGGAACCAAACAAATGGTTTAGGGAAGCCAGGGCGGCATTATTCTCTCTGAGTTTGGGCAACGATATATTTGGGTATTTGTGAAGTGGCATGGGCGGTCTTGACGCCCGTTTCGGCGGCTTGTATTAGTACAATTTGGAAGCTAGGCTGGAAGAGGAAGTGGTTTGGGCGCTTTATTAATATGCGAGATGCAGTTTGGGTAAAGTTCATATTGGATTTTGAGAGGTAGATATACGATTCTTTATGTCAAGTGTGAGCTGTATATACAGGGTAATACATGTGTCTAAGTCTCTACTGTATGAACTGGCGGACATACCTGGCAATGGAAATGTGTGTGGTCATCTTGTACGTACTCACTACGTTAAGTTACAATGTAATACATGATGGTTCTGGGGTTCTGCGGTCAAGTTCAGAGACGAAACATGCGCCAATGTTTTCTTAAGAGGCTTCCTCACAACACTTTTGACAGTGTGTGATAGGCGCATGTGCCTACACTTAACATAATAAACCACGTCAAGTCAATTTGATCCTCCCGCTCATTTCTTTGCCGGTCCGGCTCTATTCCTTATTGTTTCTGCCAACAAGCTCCACACCCAGCCATTCTTCAACCTCTTCTCGTTCAACCCCTGAGACGCCTCCTGCACACCAAACTGCCCAACAGCCCTCCAACGCCACCACGCCCGCTCACTGTTCAGCTTGGTCGTGTCGCGCGCAAAGTTGACAATGCCGAAACGCGCCCGCGTCGGCCGAAGGTCCCCCAGAGTCATGCTGCTCACCCGGGGCTTTCCGATTGCGCTTATTGTCGTGATGTCCAGCTTGGTGGAAGGAGGTGCGGTGCGAGCAAAGCGTTCGAGGATCTGGCGCGACCAGCGAGCGTAAGGAGGCACGTGGATGTGGATTGCCGCGACGTAGGGGGCAGTGGTGTAGTGCACGTAAGCGGTTGGGACGATTCCGCAGAGGGCGACTAGTAAAGGGTTAGGTTGGGTGACTTGGGTGAGATAAAGAAGGAGGAAAGAGAGAGGGAGCGGTACTGAAGAGAGTTTGTTGCCAGGGCTGGTTGGCGGCTAGGTAAGAGGGAACCATGAGGAGGTCAAAGAAGCCGAAGACGAAAAAGGTTGAAAGTTTGAGACAGGCAAGGAAGGTTGTTCCTTTGAGAAAAGAGTTAGTGAGGGTATCGGACATTGAATAAGGGGGGATGGTGGTGATTTGACGGTCAGACTTACTGAGCGTGCCGCCATGGTAGATGATCATCCTCTCAGGATAAACTGTACACATAGAGCTTCAGAGTTAGTTGTTGATTCCCTTTCATTCTGACACCGTTTTATTGACCTGTTGCTGATCAATGGCATGGATAACTCACCCGGCTTCGAACCTGTGGTAGGAGTAGCCTGGACCTTTTCCTCCCCGGCATTTTCTCCTTCGATCGATCTCCACCTTGAGCTGGTTGAGAATGAGGTCTTCTGTAACTGTCCAATGGCATAGATCTGTAATTGCCTGGTATACGCTGGACGGGTGTGGCATGAAAACTTCACAAAAGGAACTCTCGACGATGAAGTGAAGAGAGCCGCGCAAGGCATCAAGCCAAAATTTCTGGCTCCAAGGCCAGCTCGTATTTGTCGCAAAAAAAGGACATCTCCACGAGCAGTAGTTCCATAACTTATATGTATGTTCATTTTCGACTGTGGTCTCGTTTTCACGGTGAGGATGAGCGAGGATATCCCAATCGCGAGTTCCCGGACTTCATGCCAAGATCCAGACTCAAACAAAATCCAGCTAAACGAACAGTGGAGGTTAGAGCCGCGGCAAGGCGGATATTAGCCCGACGGTGGTCCGAGCTTCCAAGAGCTTAGTCCCAAACACAACCGTCATGATGATTGTCGACGGAGTTTCTCAGATCAGAAACAAGTAGCCTTTTTCTCTGAAAGAAACCATGTAATTACCAAATGCAAACTATCACTACGTTTGTCCAGAATGATAAATTCATGCATGCTTGGCAAGAGGTCATAGGACAAGCTTCCTTTCTCGCCGTCGCTGTTCCCCTGCTGCCTGCCGCAGCGGCTGTTAGTGACCATACCAGCAGGCCAGAGACATTGTCCCGTCCCCTGCTTGCCGCCAGCTGGTCCTCCCCATTGCAAGAAAAATAGACCCCTACAACATAGCAAGTAAAGAAAGTTCGAGTTAAAAGGCTCCTCATTGCTCAGGAGATAATACAGACACCCAGATCCCCTCTGCCACCATCACCACACCATTCCATATCAACTACGTGTCCAATAACTTTTTGCAAGATAAGGAAGGAAATACGTGATGGATGAGATGTGATGTCATGTGAAGCGCCAACGAACGAGTTACTAGATTCTACTCAGGGAATGAAGCGCGGAAAGAAGACAGAAAAAACGACCCGTCCGACCCGAAATCCCGCCTAACCATCCATCCACCCGTGCATCAACCCAACTCGCCTCTACGCCCTCCAAAAACACTCGACTGTGAAAGAAACCTTTCAACCGTCCATCGCCACATCGGCACCAACCCCTCGCTGCTGCTGGGGCTGGTCTTGATCAATCTTCAGCCCATTCGGCAGCAGCTCGCCTTCCTTCCACTTCTGGTACTCGTTGTTGACTTTTTGCACCTCCTCATGGCTGAGGCCCTTCATCCAGGCGTTGTTGGTAACCATCTTCTCTTTGAGCTTCTCGGCACGAAGCTCGCGGCAAAACGCCTGCTTGGCCTTATGCTCCTCCTCTTCCTCAGGCGTGCGATTGCCCGTGGTATTGTAGATAAAGTAGTCCGACGTGCCCTTCTCAAATACCATCTTAGAGGAGTTCAAGCAGATGCGCACGACCAAACCTTCGTGGATGACGAGAGGCTTGGGCGTGTAACCGCCCTCGCCATCAGCACCATCCTTTGCATCCGAGGGGAGGTTGCGCTCGAGGAGCACCTTCTGCAGACGTGAACGGACAATACCTTCGGTGTGCTCAACCCGCATGTAGGATGAAATGTAGTACTGCCACTGTTGGATGCGCTCCATCTCGTCCATGTAAAATGTTGTCTCGTCCTTCTGGAGCCAACGGACAGTGACCTCCTTCCTCTTAGGGTACTAGAGAAACAAAAACGTTAGTCCTAGATGCCATCTAAGCGCGCTTAGTGCATTACATACCCAAGCAATGACAAACATCTCGCCATCTTTGATACACTTCTCAGCGAACTTGCGCATGCTGATCTCATTCTGGAAACTGGTCTCTGTCTGTTGGCGACTTTCGAGGTAGGCCTTTACCAGTTCCTTGGTCTTTTCGCCCTTAGAATCGGGGTTATTGCAGCTGAGCGCAAGACGGCAGAGTGTCTTGAGGAGGTCGTTGATTGTGTACAACTTCCAACCCTTCTTTAGATAGTAATGGCGCAAGACGTCTTGGTAACGTGCCTCATCAATTTCGCCGGTTATGAAGTCCTCGATGTGTTTAACGGTCTTGCCCCAGAACTCATGGGGCTGCAGACCGTCGAAGTAATGCAGGCCATCGTGCACCATGCCGAGGATCTTGGCCGGCTTTTCGGCCGACTCGCGGCGAATCTCCTCGAGCACGCTGTCCGTGTCGTGCTTGACACCTTCCAAACGCTCGTACAGTGTTTGGAAGATGGTGAAAAAGACGTAGATGTTCTGGTTGCAGTAGAAATTGTACCAAGTCCGCTCAAACGGTGCGTCAGCCTTGAGCTCACCATCCACGTTGACCAGATCGGCTCCCTTTCCACCCTTGCTCTTCTCGACGATGATGGGGCCAGGGACTGTCGGCAACCAGCGGCTGTTTGAGACCTCCGGAACCGTTGAGTCCTCTGGCGCATCCTGCATCTCTTCTTCATTCGCCGAGCCAACTTCTGGCGTCGTCTCTTTGCTGCCCGAGGCTGCACTGCCTTCCTTCTGCCCACGGCTACGGCTGCCATTCCGGCCGGGATCAAGGACTCCGCGAAGGAGATCGCCCTTCTTACCGTTGCGGCGACGGCCGTTGGTAAGCTCGATCGGGGTGGCGTCATCTTCGTCTTCCTCAGCTGAGTCCTGTTCAATATCGGCAAGACGCTCCTGAACCTTGTCATCAGAGATGTCGAAGAAGGCAGGGATGAAGGTCTCGAAGAACTCGAGGATACGCCTGCGTTCTTGGGCATTGTGTTGACCAGCGTTGTGAGCATAAAGAACCATAAAGCGGAGCAGGTCGAGCAGAAGTGACTCGTCCTTGAACGAGTAGAGGAATTGGTAGCGCGGAGTCTTGCCCTTAGCAGCCCGGATGCGACGCTGTTCCTCGTGCTTGGTCTTGATCAGATCGACCAAGTGTTTGGCAGCAAGGTTCCGTTTGTCGTTGGTCTTGACTTGGATACCCATGTGATCAAGACTCTTGAGGTGCATTGCCTCAGTCTGAGCCTGCCATACCTTTTCCCATTCACGCTGGGTGAAGCGCCATTCTTCATCCTTTTGCTTCAGGCGGGCCATGACGATGGGAACCACGGTGAAAGGATTCTTGAACAGGTCGTTAGCAACCTCGCAACCTTTCTCGGGTCCATAGATCTTCTTCAGCACACGCTTGTAGATTGACGTGCTTTGGCCGCCTAGACCAGCAGGCATCTTGAAGTTGGCCCGCTCGTGGACGGGTAGTGACAGCATCTGCTGAGCGATTGGCTCCAGGAGCTGAATGCACTTCTGGTTCGCCTCGATGTAGAAGTCATAGTCGTGCCTTTCCTCCTCGATGCGATGGAGGCCTTCTTCGTAGCCGTTCTTTCTGTGGGCGACAAAACCAGAATCCTCAGACGCCCAGGTCGGGTGTGACGCCCATTCATCATTGAGGACCGACCGGCAGAGCTCATCACGACCGGAGCATGGCTTGAGACGCTCGCGCTTCGGCAGTAAACGATAGCTGGGCCCAAAACCCCGACAATTGCTGAGGGAAACCCGGCCTGTAGGGGGCTCGGGACGGTTCTCAACGACATCCTCAGGGCTGTCATACCTAACAAGTGCCTTTAATGCGTTGAGAAGCTCCGCATTTCCTCCCATGAACTGGTTGGCCTTGTAGATGAGCACATCTTTTGTGATCAGATCCTGATTCCAGAGATTCAGGAGCTTGAGAAACTCGGTTGTCGCTGTCCGGTTTCCAATGTGCTTCTTGACCTTTTCGAAAAATGCGAACTCATCTTGAGCAGAAACGGCGAGCGGCGAAGGCGCGAGAGGTTCTGGCATGACGGGAGTCAGGGTTGGCTCGACATAAGAACCGTCAGTGGCATTCGGTTTGTGAGAGAGTTTCGCGCGCTTGGCGGCAGATGGCGCAGCGGGAAGCGTGCTACGCAAAGCCGACTGCGCCGCTTGCTCTTGCGCGGAGAGAACGGGCGCCGGGGGTGCCTTATCGACCCGGCGCTTCTTCGTTTCCTTGCTTGCGCTGGCAGGCGGTGCGAAGTTTCCGACCGGAGGCATCTTAGGGCCTTCGCGAGCAATGTGCCCAGGCTGGGGGGTCGGCGTTGCCATGGGCATCGGCATGTTATCCTCTGGACGCTGGGGCATGGGCCGAGTTTGCGCAGCCGACTCGGGAAGGAATTGTTTGAAATCTTCAAGCAGATCCGGGGCCGAATGGAAGAGGCTGGTAACCTGCGAATAAACGTCCTGGATCGGCTTCTGCTCGCGCTGGTATGTTTGGAGAATTTCTAGGAACTGCTTGTATATCTCGGGCTTATCCTGGAAACGATTCTGCACAACAGTTAGCAGCGCTCTTCAGGTTCACTTCGCAGTAAGATACCTAAGGATCCACTGCAATGACTGCTCAACGATAAAAAGTTGGGACGAAAATGAGGATGCGAGCATTCATGGGTCCTCCCATCCTGGGACTCTCCGGAGAGGACACTCCTCCAAAACCACACTGTAGAGTAACACAAAGCTCCCTATCTTACCTTGATTTTGTTAACATAGCTAATGGCATGGTTGAATTCCACAGGGCCGCGCTTCTCGAGATTTGACTGCTGGCCCGGGCCAGCAGTCGACGGGGGTGGACCAGCGGCAGGAACAGGCGTGTGGGTGGTTCGTGGGGGCCCGTGGCTCAGCGGCGGGCCGCTGGGTGCCGTAGGCGCCGCTCTCTGCTGAACAGGACTTGTGTTATCATAGTGTCCGGCCTGTCCGGGGCCAGGATAGCCAGAAGGAGCGCTCTGAGACGGAACGCTGTACGTGGCTTCCGGACTCTCCACGCTGTGGGCAAGTTGTGGCTGCTGCCAGCCCGGCCTCGGGTTCAGGTAACCCTGTGACGGGCCAGGAGCTGGTTGCGCAGGCTCATGTTGGGCCGTCCGGCCAGCGCCGATCGAGTGAATCGTGGAGCCAGAGGGAGTAGTGACCCGGATGCTGTTGGGGTTGTTCTCCAAGCCACACTCGATACGGTATCCTGGTGGAAGGAAGGTATTAAATCCCTGAATAAGATTGGGGTGGCCGGCGAAAAGCTCGGAAACGCGACTAATGACACCCGGAGTGTCGATGCTGTCCCCAGTCAGTCACTCATTCTTGGGGAAATACCAATGATAACTTGACAGCGACTTACGTCTGGCTCTTGAAATCCTTCATAATATCAAGAAACCGATTGTAGACATCCGGTTGTTCATGAAACTGCACCTTGACTTGGTCAAGGTAGCTCAGCGCATCCTGGGGAGATAGACAAAACAAGTCAGCTCAACTGGATTCGCACCTGATAGCCTTTTGGGAAATTGTCCTTACATTGAGAATAGGCTGTTGTCCCTGAGGCATGCCACCAGGACCAGGAGGCATGGAATGGCCGCCGCCCATGGTGGAGTTGTACGGCATTTGCTGCATACTGCGGACACCCGAGGGTTCCTGGGGAAGCCCGCGGTTATTCTCCTGCGGCAGAGGACCGCCAAACATCGAGCCGGAAGCACCCGAGCCGCCGAGCGAACTGTTCGGCCCGTTTGGCCCGTGGGACATGGGCGCAAACATCTGATGTTGTTGTGGGGCTGAGCCAGTGCCGGGGCCGCCATGTTGAGAGGGCCTGCTGGGCTCGCTGTGGAGGGAAGAGCTGTAGCTGGGGCCAGGAGCAGAGGGACCGCTCATCGGCATCGACGGGGCCGAGCTTCCGTGGTTAGAAAGGAGGCCACCAGGACCGGTGATGGATGTCGAGATGCGCGACGCAACTGGCTGGTGGATGGGAATAGAGCCAGTAGAGCTGTGATGAGGGGCGGTGGGCGGATAGGATTCCCGGTGCTGGCGGTCAGCCTCATCACGATCGCGATCACGCTCATGTTCGCCCCGATCGCGCTCCATTTCTCTCTCTCGCCGCGCAATCTCCTCAGGATGGAGGGCGCGATGACGCTGCTCGTCCAGTTCGCGATCACGGTCGAAGCCGCTGGCGGCGTGAGGAGGCTGTATGTTGACCATGTTGTCACGCGGCCTCAGGCGTCTGTTAGCGTCTGTTTTGGGGGGCATCAGCATCGCCGCTTTTCAAACAGAGATGGAAACAATGCATGCTCTATATAGAATAAATGTCAAGAAGAGCAGCATCTGGGCATGATAAGGACGAAAGGACGATGCGACGGCGCACAGGTGGTGCATTGTTGGTCGCCATCTATGCCTTCAGGGGAGCAAAACAAAACCCCGACGGAAGAGCGCGAAAGACCTGGCTGAGACTTACAGCTTCGACTGCTACCATACGGTCTCTGGTGCGTCGGTGGGAATGCTGATGGAGCAAAACGAGATGTGTGCACTGTATACTGGGACCGTATGTCAGGCCGCGCTGTCGCTTGATTGAATGGAGAAGGGGGCAAAGATTATAAGGCAGGCGGGCTGCGAGAAAAGAATCACATCGCAAGATGGTGCGCGGCACGATTGGAACACTTCTGACAAGCAGCACAGGCCGCAAGATCTCTTTCGTCGCAGCTTGATAGCGATAAGCGGTTAAATCTCGGTTGATTCTTTATCCAGCCGGTCTCGGGTCATCGGCCCCACTTAAAGATTGCCGATAAGCAGTCGAAAGCGCGAGCGCGAGCATCACCTGCATCATCGCTGCGAAAACAGCCGCTACCAACTGACACTTTATGTTGTGTGTTCTTGTTGTGGCTGTATACCTAGATGATACTATTGTTCCTTTTCATCTCAATGTTCATCTCAGGATAAACCCTTCAATTATATAAAAGCAAAGCAATGAAGGATTCCTCTGCGCAATCATATTCTGTTGCTCATGGAACAGAGGTCCCGCCAACTAAATATGCTTGCTAGCCACCCGTCATAGGCATCCGTCCTATTCATATACTCCATCACTCGTTTGAGAGAGCCTCAGTAATAGGTACCTTGCAAAAGGTACCTTAGGTAGGTAGGCATAAAATTCCCTCGTCTATGCAGAAAGCATCCCGATACCGCTAGCCATACACATACCTTGTGTATCCAAAGCAATCCGTGTATAATTTCTGTGCCTATATGGCTTGTCTTATGTGGCCATGAAAGCCTAGAGATGATGTCGGACTCCTCGGATTATCCACTAGCGAAGCGTTGGTTCGTCAGCTCGATTGACTGAATGCGGGCTTAGCCTCGAGCGCAAGGGATCAAGCGAGTCGTACCAGTTCGCCGTTAGCAACCGTTCCGGCAACGCTGACCACTTCTATGTCATCAGGCTGGATCTAGATCCAAGAGTTAGTGGCTTGTCTTGGTTGTACATCAAGATCTTTGCCCTCCGCCCTACTCACAAATCGTTTCCCATCCTTCTCTTCCCACCAGAGCGCCGGGCCTCCTCCAACGGGTCTGACTGTGTCGCCCTCACGCCATGGGCTCACTGGTACCATATGCTCCTCCACGAACCGGCGCAGATTGCACCTAGCCCTATCAATCCCTTCTTCTCCCTCGTACGCATTTTTACCGAGAGCGCCATACTCTTGGGGGTCTTCCCACGGCTTCTGGGGCAGCTTTTCAACCTCAGTATTGAGTGGAGCGAGAACCGTCGTGTTCTGGGCCTCATCGTCTAGTCTAATCAACGCACACTCACTGTCTCTTACGAATCTGCCATCTTGCATGTTAGAAATTGCGTAAAATGATCGCTCGACTTGCCGTGTTTCTGCAGACTCACCCAGCGAACATGCTGATGCTCTTGTCCCGACCCATGATATCAGAGAGGACGACTTTCCCCTTAGGAATTGGATCTGGAGATGATCCCGAACCGGGCGATCTACCCATCTCAGGTGGTAACACCGGTCCCGGCCCTGTAATATCGGTGAGGGGAAGCTGGCCGTAATTGAAAGCCTCACGGCGTCGTTTCTGGAAAGGCGGAATCACCAGCTGGACTGAAAGGTGTGGTCCCAGCAACAGAACGAGCAGAAACACCCTCAGCCTTCTCATTTTGGGATTGTGCGGATCTTAGATCCTCCCTGCTTGTGACTGTCGCGAAGATACCCGGATTTCCTCGGATCGGAGGTTTGCACCGCATCTCAACGCCCCGTTTACGGACGGTTGGACGCGGTAGAATGCCACTTTTGCAATGACGTAGGGCGCCATGATCCTAGTCCGAGCTCGTGCAACCAGCTGCAGAACGCCCTTGAAAACAGGAAGTCCTGAATGTGTTAATCCAGTCCTGATCATTCCACGTAGAAGAGCGTCAAGCTGCAGTTTCAATCGCAAGGACTTGTTGTTGACATGGAAACGAAGGGGTTGTTGACGGTCGGCCCCATCCCTTCCGCTAAGTCAACGTCTTGAGTCAACGCCTCGAGGGGCATGATTGACATGATCGATAAACTGGGCTGTTTCGTGTGGCTGCGTGGTCGAGCGGTCGAGTGGACGTGCGGCGTTCCACCTCATCGCATGCAAGCCAGTTGGGGATGAACTGTAGTCAACTGCATCCGGACATATGGAATTGGTGTCGAAACAACATCATAGTTAATCACAGGACGGCCAATGGATGGGCCTGCCAGCAGTAGAATGAAGATGCAGCTCGACGCGCATCCGGTGTTTTACGGGTCCGGCTCCGATGGGAGCTGGGGAGCGGACGATCACATGCTTGAGAGCTGCCTACCGGTACTGTATAAACACAGGTTCAAGAACTAAGGCACGCTACGCTAGCATTGACATTAACGGCGCGGCAATCCTGCATCCCCAGGATGCCAACTCCAACGCTGCGGCCGGGTCTTGGCAGCTCCCACGTTGAAGCAGCTCTGCAGCTCCAAAAATTTCTTGAGGTGAAGCGTCGTCCGGCATTACACTACCTAGCGCACCGGCGTCTTGCTTAATTTGACCGATCAGGACCGGATGGCCGAACCGGTGGTGCTTTCGCCGAAATATGCCTGACTGCCACCCAGCACGGAAGCGGGCCATCAGCATCACATGCAAACCATCATAGATGTGCGGCTGATCGTTTGGGGGTCTGGGGCCGTGGACTCTAGGGGCGTCTGGAAGGGGGGGATTGTCCGGGGCCGCGTCTCGTGACAGCCGCCCGCGGGGAAGCCCTGCAGGGCTTGGGCCCTGGGCAGCAAAGACAGGGAGAGCATCTCATCCACGGGCATGGATGCGGCGATAGAATTGGAAGCTATTCTGATAAGATAGACAAGCGGCCAGCTGCCCGGAATTATCCACAGGATACACTACAGGACGGGGAAGATGGATGGCAGCCTGGAAGATTCAGGTTCCAGGTCTCTGTCTCCGGTCCAGATCCTCTCATGTTTCGTCTGGGCGGCTGCAGTTGTGGTGGTGGCTCTGGCAGTGTCCCACGTCGAGCTACCCCACACTGCGTGCAGGGCTCCAAAGGGCCCATCCCACCATGTTGGCTACCAAGGGTGTGCTGTTTTAGGGAGCCGTGGCAAACCTCGGCCCATCTGCCGAGTATCCACGAAGCCCGCTTTGTCCTCGGCCAGCATCAGCGCGAAACAGCTCAAGTGGGCGTCCAGCAAGGCCTGCTGGACTCGGTGTATCAGGCGGGTAGAGAACACATAGAAAATACTTAAGGGAATGTTTGTCCGCACTAATTGACAGTTCGCCCCGTGGCACAAGCTAGAACTCACACTACATACCTACCTCACCTAATCCTCGGCAAAGCACCTGACACACCGTAAGTTTTCAAGGTTCCAGCGGCTGCGGTCGGTGTCGGCAAGTTGGGACTGGCAGGTGGAAGCGTTGTCATCACCTCACTGACAGGCTATAGGCGGAAATCCACAGGCACAACCGGCCTGCCATCCCTGTCGCTCGCCCCCCCAGCCTTGACCTCGGCTCACGAATCAGCGCGCCAGCAATTCCAACTCCACGTTGTTACTAGCTCGGCAGGAGCATCCGTCACCCCAGCGAAGATATCTTCGACGCATTCCTCCCTTTCACCGTCTTCCTCTCTCCCTCTCTTCGATCCTCATCCACCCAACTTCGCTGTGCCCAGTGCCTTTGTTTCTTCTCTCTGTTTTTCCATTCATTCAGATTCAGATACCCTTCCATCTTCAGAAAATCAAATATGGCCCCCAACAGAGTCATCGTTGTCGGCGGCGGCTGTAAGTGGCTTCCCCAACTTTCCACTTCCCCTGTCCTCGGCAACTTCGGCGTTTTCTTGCCCCGGCCACACGCTGCCGTTGCTGGCGTCGTGGATGCCGTCACTTGTTTGCACGGCGTGAATGAATGAATCTGAATATGAGCTGACCGCGTTTTCGCCCTGCAGTGTCCGGCCTGAGCGCTGCCCACACCATCTACCTCAACGGTGGCAACGTCGTTGTCCTCGATAAGCAGGGCTTCTTTGGTGGCAATTCTACCAAGGCCACTTCTGGTATCAACGGTGCCCTCACCCGGACCCAGGTCGATCTTGGCATCCAGGACAGCGTCAAGCAGTTCTACGAGGATACCCTCAAGTCGGCCCGTGACAGGGCCCGTCCCGACCTCATCAAGGTCCTCACCTACAAGTCGGCTGCTGCTGTCGAGTGGCTCCAGGATGTCTTCGGCCTTGACCTCACCCTTGTCTCCCGTCTCGGGTAAGTTCGTCTGTCTTGTTGCTTGTATCTGCTTGTACAGCATCAGAGACTGTTTGCTGACAGCGTCACAGTGGCCACTCCCAGCCCCGTACTCACCGTGGCCACGATGCCAAGTTCCCCGGCATGGCCATCACCTATGCCCTGATGCAGAGACTCGAGGAGCTCGCCGAGTCTGAGCCCCACCGTGTCCAGATCCTCAAGAAGGCCCGTGTTGTTGGCCTCAACAAGGAGGGCAACAAGATCACCGGCGTCAAGTACGAGCACGAGGGTCAGCTCAAGACCATGGAGGGCCCCGTCGTCCTGGCTACCGGCGGTTACGCTGCCGATTTCGGCGAGAACTCGCTTCTCCGCAAGTACCGCCCCGATACCCTCGGCCTGGCTACCACCAACGGCAACCACGCCACTGGTGACGGCCAGAAGATGGTCATGGAGATTGGCGGCAACGGCATCGATCTCGACAAGGTCCAGGTTCACCCCACTGGTCTCGTCGACCCCAAGGATCCCAACTCCAAGTGGAAGTTCCTGGCTGCCGAGGCCCTCCGTGGTGAGGGTGGTATCCTCCTGAACTCCGATGGCGACCGCTTCTGCGACGAGCTCGGCCATCGTGACTACGTCTCGGGCATGATGTTCAAGGAGAAGGAGAAGGGCAAGTGGCCCATCCGCCTGGTTCTCAATTCCAAGGCCTCCAACGTTCTCGACTTCCACACCCGCCACTACTCTGGCCGTGGTCTCATGCGCAAGATGACTGGCCATGAGCTTGCCAAGGAGATCGGCTGCACTCCCGAGCACCTCCAGAAGACCTTCCAGACTTACAACGCCATTGCCGAGGGCAAGATCAAGGACCCTTGGGGCAAGCGTTTCTTCCACAACATGCCCTTCGACATCAATGACACCTTCCACGTCTCGCTGATGGAGCCTGTGCTCCACTTCACCATGGGTGGTGTTGAGATCAACGACAAGGCTCAGGTTCTCAACAAGGAGAAGAAGCCCTTCGAGGGTCTCTTCGCTTGCGGTGAGCTCGCTGGTGGTGTCCACGGCGCCAACCGTCTGGGTGGCTCTTCACTGCTGGGCTGCGTCGTCTACGGCCGTGTTGCTGGTGACTCCGCCAGCAACTATCTCTTCCAGCAGGCGCTCCAGAGTGTCTCGCAGCCGGCCGCCCGTCTGGGCCAGATCGCCCTCCACATCGACCCTTCGAATCCTGGCAAGCTCTCGATTGAGTGGGCCAACGGCGCCGCTGCTCCCGCTGCCCAGGCGGCTGCCCCCGCCCCCGCCGCGGCTGCTGCTGCCCCGGCTGCCCCGGCCGCGAAGAAGGAGTCAAGCCAACCCAAGCCCTTCGCCATCCCTGACAAGGAGTTCACCATGGAGGAGGTCGCCAAGCACAACAAGAAGGATGACCTTTGGGTTGTCGTCAAGGGCGTTGTTCTTGACCTGAGCAACTGGCTCAACGACCACCCTGGTGGCCCTCAGGCTCTCATCAACTTCGCTGGCCGTGATGCCACCGAGGAGTTCGAGATGCTTCACGATGACGAGGTCATTCCCAAGTACGCCCCTGAGCAGGTTATTGGCCGCGTCAAGGGCCAGAAAGTTACCCTCCAGGTTTAAGTGATAATTGCTTAGACGTGGAGCAAAGGCATTATGACATTGGGCGAACTTGTCGCATCTTTTAATAGACAAGGATGACTGGACTTAGGCAAAGCGAAGTTGGGCAGACGGGATTAAGTGTCCTTGGGTATGGTTAGAGCGGAATGTCACTGAAGCGGGGGCGGTATCATCATGCATTTCTTGGGGTTATTGTGGACGCACTCATACCGGCCGGGATTTTGGATCAGTCGCTGGTTTGGCAGTGACGACGGCACTGCAGTGTATTGATAGTCTAAATTGGTTTCTTGTAATGGAAATGATGTTTTACCTAATTTCAGGTCTTTTATTTTTATTGTTTTTTTTTGCTCGTGATGTGCATATATGCCTTTGTGAAGACAGTTTTAAATCGGTTTGGTACTGAAGGTTCCATAATTATGACTTTGCAGCTGTATGGCACAAGCAAGCAAAGACGGGAAGCACTCGGGACATTCAAGCTCTCAATCCAATCTTTGGAGTCTGCAGACAATGAGTGCATGAAACTGTCAAAAGAAGGGGCTCGTAGCAGTTTGCGTGTTAAATGTCTCACCAATGTTTCTCTTTCACGCCACATTTTGGATGCCCACCCGTTCTCTAGGAATTGAAGGTGAACAACCCACAACCAAACGGAAATGTCCCGAAGTTTAAGTCGACATTTACAGCAATCCAGGCATTCTCGCAAGAGTAGCTGGAAGAATACTCTGTGATCTAGTAAACCCGTCTTTGTGCTAGCAGATCAGGGTTCCTGCCTTGTAGTTGCTGCTATACTGTGTGTTTCCGTGTGTTTCCCAGGATCTAAGACTTTGCCGCCCATCATTAGGCAATTCCGTGTGGCAACCGTGATAATAGGGGTATTTGAATGGGTTTGTTGCTGTAAGCGGGGTGTTAATTAGCTTACCTGGCTTAGGCATGTTTCAATAGTAATCTTACACCTATGTTCAAAGTCACTTGAAATCCTTTGACCCTGTCTTGCTTCGTGGTCTGGAAGAGCATCACGCCTAGGCAATATCGCTGAGTCTTATTCAGCCCTAAGCCCAAATTCTACAAAGTCTTTCCCTCTCCAGGGTTGATCTAGACTAGGTGAGTCAAACCGCGCATCCCCATACTTCCAGAGATCAACTCCCAGCTTCATTGAAAACTGGGGTTTGCATAGTCTATTGATAATGCGGGAAGTAACTCCGGCTCTGGTGAATATAACACATGTCAATGGCCTCACATATCTGAGTTTTTCCTAGGCATGATGTAATGGAGATAACCCTTGTAGGTGACAAAAATTTCGCTCTCGTCCCGCCATCATGGGTCTGTGCTCGTGTGTGGCTCGCGCAAACTTTAAGAGTTTCGGTCCTTGCGTACAAAATGAGGGGCATTCACTGCAATTAAGAGGTATCTCATTCTGTCATGTGGCTGAAAAACTCCGAAGGCAACCTGAGCTAGGAGTTAGCCTTAGAGTAGCTAAGGTACTACAAAGGTTGATGTGAGTTTTAGTCAAGACCTGACCACTGGGGTGACCCGGGTTTCTTCGAGATCATAAGCTTTTTTCATTGTCTTGATGTTGTCACTTTTAACCCACCAATTCCCAATATTCAACAGTCAATTTCAAAGGCGGTCTCCCGTTACGTGCCTTCTTTACCCATCTTTTCTTAAGGTAGATCATAGCCCGATTAAATCCTCGATGTTCTAACTCTCTATCCAACTTTCAAAAGCAATTGTTTGTGTTTTTGCCTGACCTTATAGGGTATTCGACCTACTAGTATATCAAGCAGCCTCATCTGCTAGATATGCTGCACATATAGGTAGGCAAGCTTCGGTCTCCTCGTGCTGCATGTGGCTTGGATTGCTTGGACCCTTCTCAGCCGGTTTGCCTGCATTTATGGCGTCGCCAGTGTCACCCGATACCATTCTTCGGACATGGCCGTGAGTAGCGCTCTGGTAGGCCCTTCTCGGCTTAGGCATTGGTATCCAAAGACGGGGGCAAGTGACTCGTGATAGTTACGGACAACGCTCTTTCTATGTATCGTCCTGTCGATTCGCACCCAGAAGTCCGTCCCGAATCGCTGCAGTACGTTCTTACCACCGCCAAGTCTGAAACATGTTCAATGGTTGTCTCTCCTCACAAGTCAAGTTGCCAAAAAATTGAACGAACAATCGATGGGAATTGATAAGTGTGTTGGATGACGGGTAGACTAGCCGAGCATACTCTGCTTGGCATCATGGGTCGACAAGCACTACGGATCCGTGCGTATGTCTCGGATCCGGGAGTAAAAGCAGACGTTGTCGTTCATGATTAACAAGACAAGCCTGAGACATTTGAGCATAGAGGTCGTTCACGAACCAGTCGCAGGATTATCAGGTTCTCATGTCCCCCAGAGGCGCGTGCACGGCAAGCTATAAAGCGTCTTGTGGCTGAGATATTTTGGGCCAACCCCAAGCAAACATAAACCAGTCGTTGCCTGTCGGACGGCGGACAATAACAGTTGATAAGAAGAGAGCATTGCTTAGCTTTCCTAAAACCTGCTCAGTCCTCGTACGTAGCTCTATGGCAGCCTTCCTGTGTGCTTCAGGTTCTCGGTGTATTGGCTCAGGAGCCAGGTAAATAGCCCGAGGTTTATACTCACAATCTGGTTGAGTAAGCATAACAGGTGATGGTGACGGCTGGCGGCACAATTGACAAACATTCTACCAACAAACTTGTACCTCTGGAAATCCTTTTCGGACTGCCCATGTCAAAGAGCTGGGTTGACGTGCGGCACAGACTGGGCGAACCGCAACTGCAGGTAGGGCCAATGGATCGAGCAGAGTGGTCCGACAGGCTGCAGTAGGCGCTGGGGCTTTGGTCCCTACAAGAAAGACAACCCAGCACCTCAGTAGCGAGAAAGCTTTGCATTTCATAGCTGTGCCAAGCCTATACCCCTCTCGAGACTATGAATGATTAGTCCTCTTGACTATTGGTGCGTCCACAACGTGCTTTTAGACTGAATTACCAACAGTCTGAACGGATGTAAGGAACGAGATTATCAAGATGCAGCAATGAGACATAGAAAATGTCGACAAGCGGAGGTAGTTGGTTGATACGACGCACAAATTGTCAGCCTGGACAGTCAGCCGACACTGCCCTCTTTCGCAAGACAGAGGGGAAGGTGGGTTTTGGATGGCACCCAAACATGTCACACTGTGGCCTTCTTCCAGGTTATCTCATCCCCGCATCCATCTGGTCAAGCCATGGTTCCAGTGCAGCGACGAGAGTCGCTCAGCCAATGGACGCCAGACAAAGGGCTCAGTTTTCCCACTGTGTGGTCGAACCAGAAGGCACGCACTCCCTCAGAAAAATCCAATTGTGACAAGACGAAAAGCGGAACGAGACTGACCGGTGGGACTAGGTCTTCACGGGCAGGTACGTAATCCGTACACTCGGTGCTGGTATTCCATCGCAGGCTGCACGGGTGCGCGATACGCGAGGACCTGCTCAGGAACTGGAGGAGTTCCAGTGTCAGGCAGCCAGCAATTTGAAAGAATCGAGACAAACCGCCGTACTCGGACTCGGGATCCCTATACCTTGCCTGAGATGATGTTCCGGCGAAATTTCCGAGGTCTTTTTGAGTTTTTGGCTACAGCGTACAGAGCGGTCGATTCCAGCCCGGATCCAAAGTCATTCTTGACCTGATTTTCCAGGCTTCCCTTCTGCTCAGAATGTTTGGGCTTGCAGGTGGTGTGGCGAGTTGAAGTACTTGTACGAATCCGTAGCGGTACAGTTCACACTTGTTTGATCGTTAGCGCGAAACCTTGGATAGGGTCCTGATCAGCCATATAGTTGAATTCGCAATTTTCTTCCTCGAAAGTTAGTTGAAATGATTAAGAAATGGATTCTCCATTCATCAATACCACTTCTTTTCTCTGGAAGTAGTCTTTTTTTGTAGTTGCGTTGTGATATCGTTGGACAAATCTTGATCCTAAAGTTTTGCGCTGACGAACAAATCAGGGGGATATTGTACGTAAATCTGCACACGGCAAAGCCTCGACCAGCGGCGCTACAATTCATACTGTGACATACGGTACAAGTTGACTTGGATGCTCCGTGCACAAAGTGGTAAGCATTGGTCATTGGGTCGACAGCCGGTTAAGGGACCATCGCTTGGCCCACCGCTCTCCCCACTGGCCAGCAGGGACCAAAGCAAGGGGCCCCGCTTTCTCAACGTCGGATCCCCCAGAGTGGGTTCTCAGGTGCCGTGCCATCCATCCCGTCCCAAGGTCTGGTCTGCAGCGACTTTTTTTGCGTCGCAGCGGGCTCTCGTCACTTTCCAGTTTGTGGGAAAGTCAGCAACGTCAAAAACAGACAGTATACTATGGAGCAACATCATAGGCGGAGCGGTGACGGCTGTTACGTACATACGCCCATGACATGAGCTGCAGCCGCTGTCAGCGCGCGCAGCGCTCTGCCCGCCAAGTGCCAAGTGCCCTGCACCAGCGCCACGACTTGCACCAATCTGGAATGGCGCGATAAGGGGGTGAGCGAGAAGCTTAGGGATGCTGGTGTGCAGGTGTGGAAGAGAGCAGGCACAGCGTGTAGTGAGTACAGCCGGGCGTTGCTGCGCTTGTTGTGGTGTTGGTCCCGGTCTTTTGCAGCCCCCTCCATAAAGGCTCAAGGCGGACCAGCCCCAGGCTGAGTTTAGCGTGGATGGGGACCTGGATGGACCAATCAGCGCGCACATCCCGTCTGCGGCCAAAATGTGCTTGATCTTGAATCCTCCCTCTTTCTGTCCCCATATTACCCACAGTTCCAAGGCCGCACGACGACATAGCGAAGCGCCATTCTCCCCCATTTCAGATGATCTCAACGACCGGCTTTCCGATCCCACCGCCGTCGCATCGTAACCCCCCGATCCTTCTGCCGAAAGCGACATTGGATCTGGCTTGAAGGGAGCCTCTTTACTAGACCATGGCGGTCTTCGCCATGGGCTGGCAAAAGCCCGACAATGTCGCCGGGTCGTCTGCCCCAGCGATTATGGTCGGGCTGTTTGTCGCCAGTGGTGGGCTATTATTTGGCTACGATACTGGGTAAGACATGTCGTGTTGTGGTGTTGCAGGTGTGCCGGAACATTGGGGAGAAGTGTGACTGACCTGTCCACCGTAGCGCAATCAACGGCATTCTGGCCATGGACGCATTCAAACGAGACTTCACGACAGGATACGTGAGCGAAGATGGCAAGCTGGGTATGTCCCCGGCACAAGTAGCATTGATCGTCGCGATGCTCAGCGCGGGAACGGCTGTCGGGGCGCTGCTGTCTGCTCCGATGGGAGACTTTTGGGGTCGTCGAACATCGCTCATTGTCGCTATCGGCATCTTTTGTATCGGCGCCATTTTGCAAGTTTGTGCGAGCAGGATACCACTTTTGGTTGTTGGGAGGTATGAGCAAGAACCATCGGGTGTTTGCGCAGGCTGCGCGTTGTTCGATGCTGACTTCGTTTCGTATTAGGACGGTGGCAGGTCTCGGTGTTGGTATCGTTTCCGTTCTGGTCCCGTTATACCAGTCCGAGATGGCGCCCAGGTGGATTCGTGGTACATTAGTCTGCGCCTATCAGCTTTCCATTACGATGGGTCTTCTTGCCGCCGCAGTCGTCAATATCTTAACGTATAAGCTCGAGTCAGCAGCAGCCTATCGCATTCCAATCGGTCTCCAGCTCACCTGGGCTGTCGTGTTAGCTCTCGGTCTTCTCATCCTTCCTGAAACACCTCGATATCTCATCAAGCGTGGGCGCAAGGACGATGCAGCCCTGTCCCTTAGCCGTCTTCGACGACTCGACATCACGCACCCGGCACTAATTGAGGAACTGGCTGAAATCGAAGCTAACCATCAATACGAAATGTCTTTGGGTCCCGACACCTACAAGGACATCATTTTCGGAGAACCTCATCTCGGCCGTCGTACGCTGACTGGCTGCGGCTTACAAATGCTCCAGCAGCTGACTGGCGTTAACTTCATCATGTACTACGGGACCACCTTCTTTAACGGAGCAGGTGTTCAGAATCCACACACGATCTCTCTGATCATGCAGATCATCAACGTGGTGTCGACATTCCCTGGTTTGTTTGTGGTTGAATCCTGGGGGCGACGCAGACTGCTTATAGTGGGTGCAATTGGCATGGCGATCAGCCAAATCCTTATCGCTGCCTTCGCTACCGCCATGGGTCAGGATAACCAGACTGCCCAGAACCGGATTTTAATCGCCTTTGTGGCAGTATATATCTTCTTCTTCGCAGCCTCTTGGGGGCCCGTGGTATGGGTCGTCACGTCCGAGATCTACCCGCTCAAAGTTCGCGCGAAATCCATGTCGGTGTCGACCTTCTCGAACTGGCTACTCAATTTCGGTATTGCTTATGGCACGCCCTTCATGGTCGATACTACTGGCGTCAAGGAAGATGGGAGGGTACGAACAGCAGATCTGGGCTCTCGCGTCTTCTTTGTATGGGGTACATTCTGTCTGCTTTCGATTGCGTTTGTGTGGTACATGGTGTACGAGACGAGCAAGATGAGTCTCGAGCAGATCGACGAAATGTACGAGCGCGTCAACCACGCGTGGAACAGCCGCAATTTCCAGCCCAGCTGGAGCTTCCAGCAAATGCGCGATCTTGGCTACTCTGACAGTGGTATCCCTCCAGATCCCCAAGTAGAGCTGCAGCAACAACAATCGAACCAGAACCACTCGTCATCCTCGTTGTCATCGTCGTCATCGAGAAGCAGTACCTCACAATCGGAATCTGGCGGGAGTAGCGCACCAACGGGTATCACAGCTCCGAGTTTGCCTAACTCCCAAGATAACAAATTCATGTCGAACTTGGGCCATGTCGATTTTAGTTACTGATGCTCCGCTTTCTTTTTTCTTTTTTTTTTGCTATTTCCTTCGGGATATGATGTTTTAGTACATGTTAGGGATGTCGGTCGTTTTCATCTTGGTATTGCTCATTTCTTGGCGATGTTGGGTGATATATATCAGCGATGGAGTTTTCTGATATGTCGGAGTTCAAGGAGGGAGGCCGGGCGTCAATATGTGGGTATATCATTGGGTATCAAATGTCGTTTTCCGTTGTACTTCTTTTGGATATTGCGGAAGAGGGATTTGGGCATATATGAGCTTTTGATATCTATGGTTTTAGTTTCCTGTGTAGCTGGATTCAGGTCAAGTTCATGTTTAGCCTGGGATGGCATCTTGTCCTCGGACATGATAAAATAGTACTACTAGTATATTCCCTGACCACAGTGCTTCCCATGGATAGCATCTGTCTTGTTGAATGAGAAGTGAACCTCCTGTCCGCTTGAGCAAGACTTGTGTCCGACTCGACCGATTTCATCCAAGGTGCTGTGCCACGAGTCAAGCCGAATGCTTCTGCCCGAGTGGCCACAAAGAGCGTGGAACAACAAACGATTTCCTCATGTACGGCCCGATCTCGTACCTGGCTTTGCCAAAACACGCACACACCAAGTGTCGCTCTCCACACAGTGGCAGTCCTGTTGACTCGGTGGATGTCTGTGCATGTTGTGTTTGTGGCCCTTTAATACATTAATTGCCAGTGTTTAACAACACATCCTCACACGGAGCCGAAGCCGGCTTTCCTTGTACCACCAGTCACCAGCACTTTTTGCCAGACACCTTCAAGCGTGTTGATCGCTAATTTGCTCTCCTTTGTGAGCCAATATTGACTTCTATTATACTCCTGTTTGGTTCCCTATCACGCATTTGATGCGATGTCCAGGGGCTGTTGTCAGCCCCTCACCTATGGCGTACTGGTTATCTCGAAATTAAAGAATAGAGGAGCATTGCCTATCATCGTTGATCCTGATCCAGGCATCCATTTAGTTTTCCATTGCCCTGGAAGCAAGTTTCTGCCTCTCCTCAAAGCGACCGCGACCTGCCAATTCACGCCATGACAAAATTGACAGCCACGACTTCAATCCAGGGAGGAGCATCTGGCTGTGATCATGCGCGTACTTACCCCATCACTGTAGGAAACACAGCAGAACCATGTGATGCAACTCCAAAGAATGTTCGGAGACTTGGCAGATCAGCTGTTGGCACAGAGCCAGCTGGCAATATTTTGAACTCATCAGTCCTCAAGCCTGTCGGTCGCTCTCTCAGTCACACAATACTCCAGTCCTATGCTGACAGGGTGAGTTTTGAACTGATCAAGCCGATTATCAGCTACCTAGTTTGCTTTAACTGTCACAAAAGGCTATTTGACTTTCTTTCTGATGGTGCTAATGTTGAACCGAGGTGTCTTCATCATCGAGTTTTTCGAGGTTACCCTGCTCCTTGGTCACAACCAAGGCCATAAGGCTCATGAAGCCGCTCATCGTTCTGATCATTGGCATTCGGGTGGTATTTGCCGAAGCGGCTAGGGAGGCCAGCATTGAGGCAGAGGTCAAGCCAACAATTTGGGCAAACATCCACAAGTCAAATCCGGTGTCATCGGTCAAGGAGAAATTTCTCTCGGGTTGGAGACGGAAAATCTTCCAACTCGACGACATAGAGTCCTTAAACTCACTTGCATTTGGTCTGTTACTCTTACTGTTCTTGCTGGTAGGTGGCTTGGCCTATCTGACCAGGGGCCGCCAGCATAGAACATCGAGAAAAGGAGTAACACAAGCAAGCCAGAGGCCCATCTTGGTCGCTATGGCATCGTTCACATTTCTCTCGCTCCTCCTTCTCACAGCATTGCATCTGCATCTTAGTTCATCCGCACAGCACGAACACCTCTCGACTACATGGATATTCGGTCCTCACTCTTCTGCATCAGCAGCCTCAAACCAGGAACCAACATACACACTCTCCCCAGAGGTTGATACGGGCCAGAATGTGCTGCCGAACATCAAAGATCCAGAAGCCATCAATCCGCAAGCTATTTGCCCCGGGTACAAGGCCGCAGATGTTCGCTATACACAAGACGGAAGCTTCACAGCAAGCCTGCACCTTGCAGGAAAGCCGTGTAATTTGTACGGCAATGACATTGAGCACTTGATTTTGGAGGTCGAGTTCCAGGCTTCAGACCGCTTGCACATTGAGATTAAGCCAAGATACATTGGTCAGGAGAATGAAACATGGTTCCTTCTCCCAGATGTGCTGGTTCCGCGTCCTCGGCCGGAGTCTTGGTCAGAGCAAGGGCCGAGTGATTTTGAAGTTGAATGGTCCAATGAGCCAACTTTCTCGCTCACAGTGAAGCGTCGGGAGACAGGGGACATCCTGTTCTCAACAGAGGGAACAGTACTAGTCTACGAGGACCAGTTCGTAGAATTTGTGAGCTCGCTGCCTGAGAATTACAATCTTTATGGACTGGGTGAGGTAATCCACGGGTTCCGGCTAGGAAATAATTTGACGAGTAGGCTAAGCTTGACCAGTTAATGATGAGTGAAAACCACTGACGATGTTTAGGAACGCTTTATGCCGCCGATGTGGCAGACAACATCGACGCAAACATATATGGAACTCACCCTATCTACCTCGATACCCGGTATTTTGAAGTAAATGAGGAGGGCTACATGACCTATACACCCTATGCAGCTGCAACAGACAGGACAACCAGCTATGTGTCCTACACCCATGGTGTATTCCTCCGGAATGCCCACGCACAAGAGGTCCTCTTGACATCCGAGGGCATCACATGGCGAACCCTGGGTGGTAGCATCGACTTATATTTCTTCAGCGGGCCCACGGCAGATGCCGTCATCCAGTCATACCAGCGAACTGCAATCGGGTTCCCTGCCGCACAGCAATACTGGACTTTGGGCTTTCATCAATGCAGGTGGGGTTATGAGAATTGGACCGTTGTACAGGAAGTCGTGGAAAACTTTTCCAGGTTTGAAATTCCCCTGGAGGCGATCTGGAGTATGGCAGATCCTCCCTACTCTCGAAGAAGGAATCATAGGCTAACATACTTCCTTGACAGCCGACATTGATTATATGAACAAGTACCGTGACTTTGAAAATGATCCTCAGAGATACAGCTACGAAGAAGGGGCGGAGTTCCTGGATCGATTGCATTCCAATGGCCAACATTACATACCGATTATCGACTCGGCCATCTATGTTCCGAACCCGGAAAATCCAGAGGATGCTTATCCGACATATGATCGAGGTGTGAAGGCCAGTGCCTTCCTGCTGAATCCGGATGGTTCCATTTACTACGGAGCAGTATGGCCTGGATACACCGGTATGACATGAAGAGAGAAAGCCTGCCAGAAATCCTTGACGCTAATATTAAAGATAGTCTTTCCAGACTGGGTCGGTGCCGTCTTGAACGGAACGGGCACTATTGACTGGTGGATCGAAGAATTATCGATTTGGTCGGAGAAGGTTGCTGTAAGTTGACGGAGTCGAGGAATGTACCGTGCCGAGAGAACTAGCTGACCCGTCTGCTCAGTTCGATGGAATTTGGATTGACATGTCCGAGGTATCACTGTCGAAAACAACGTTCCCCCATGCATCAGTACTAACCGGTTCACAGGTTGCTTCGTTCTGCGTGGGAAGTTGCGGTACTGGAAACCTCACGCTCAACCCGGTTCACCCTCCCTTTGTACTACCTGGAGAGCCGGGAAATCCGATCTTGGAATACCCAGAGGGGTTCGAGCTCACTAATTCCTCAGAGGCAGCGTCAGCTTCAGCAGCCAAGCATTCTCGCACTGCAGCGGCTAAGCCAACCAGCACGACCAAGACGTCTAGCTACCTTCGAACCACTCCAACTCTTGGGGTGCGGAATGTCAACTGGCCACCATATACAATCAATAACTTTCACGGCGATCTGGCTGTACATGCGGTCAGTCCTAATGCAACTCATCACGGAGGATACCTCCAATACGATTTTCATAACCTCTTTGGACATCAGATTCTGAATGCCACCTACCAAGCTCTACTCAAAATCAAGCCTGGCAAGCGACCTTTCATCATCGGCCGTAGCACATTTCCAGGATCGGGCAAGTGGGCAGGACACTGGGGCGGAGACAATGAATCCAGGTGGGCGTTAATGTACTTCTCTATTCCGCAAGCTCTGTCCTTCTCAATTTTTGGCATCCCCATGTTTGGGGTCGACACGTGTGGCTTCGGTGGCAACGCCGACGCAGAGCTCTGCTCGCGGTGGATGCAATTGAGTGCCTTCTTCCCCTTTTACCGGAACCACAACATCCTGGGCGCCCGAAGTCAGGAACCATATGTATGGAGCAGCGTCGCTGAGGCCAGCCGTCGCGCTATGCGTATCCGTTACATGCTATTGCCATATCTCTACACCCTTATGATGCAGGCGAGCTTGGACGGGAGCACCGTCATGCGAGCCTTGGCCTGGGAGTTCCCCAATGAACCCTGGCTCGCGGACGCAGACCGGCAGTTCATGCTCGGAAGCGCAGTAATGGTGACGCCGTGCTTGGAGCAGGGGGCTACCACAGTCAAGGGTGTGTTCCCTGGTGTTCGAGACGGAAAGACTGTTTGGTATGACTGGTACACGGGGAGGAAGGCCTCGGAAGGGGTCCGACCGGGCGAAAACATCACTATTGATGCACCCCTCGGGCACATACCTGTCTTCTTGAGGGGAGGCAGCGTGGTTCCTGTGCAGGAGCCCGGCATGACGACGACAGAAAGCAGGAGCAAGCCATGGGGGTTGATTGTGGCCTTGGATTGGCACGAGTTTGCGGAAGGCGTGCTGTATTTGGATGATGGGGAAAGTCTGATGCCACAAGAAGTGACGTGGGTCAAGGTAAGTTACATACCTATTCTCACTCCGTAGTGTTTAGTGTACGTTTCTTACTTGATGGTCAACAGTTCTCTGCCTCCACGGGCTCCCTTATCGTTCAGCCTGCGGGCACATACGTTGATATTAACCCGCTTGCGAATGTCACTGTCTTGGGGGTAAAAAATAAGCCCCACAAGATGTGGCTAGATGGGCAGGACGTTGAACCCGGGTACTGGAGATATAGAGAGGAAAAGGAGACGTTGGAGCTGCGAGGTCTGGAGGCCTTGTTTATGGAGGGGGCTTGGAAGAAGACATGGGAGCTTCGGTGGGAGTGAGAGAAGTGATTGCGTGGGGGTGACCATGAGTGATGGAGTTGCTATAGGGTTTTATATTATAGACTTTATGGTTATGGGTGTTTGAACTGGGCTGATCGAGAATGAATGCCGTGTCGAGGGAGCAATGATTTTCTTTTCCAATATTAGATTCGATTCCTTGCCATTGAGATCTTCGTATGCGTTATGCGGTTTTAACTTTATGCCAGCAATAATATTCTATCCAAAACCCCAGGGCTTAATCCAACTTTCTGCTCCTTGCTCCGTCACCACCACCGTTCCTTCTCCGTCCCCCAACGACTTCCTGTCTCCAACCGCTCTCCTCACCACTACTATACCCATCTCTATCCATTAGTCGAATAGATTCCTCGTCTTTCCCCCTGCCTGTTCCCTTCTTACCCTTCGCTAGACCCGCCTCCTTAGCCAGTAAACCGGCCGTGTTCTTCCGACCGGTCTTCCCCATCACATTGCCAAGGCCGATCCGCCTGATATTCCGGTTCCAGCACGACAGCATGAAGATGATGAAAGCCGACACGACCATGACAATGGGCAGCGCAATGACTAGTACAGGCTCCTCGCTCGGAGGGCGCTTCGGCTTCTCCGGGGCCACCTTGGTCTTTTTCTTGGCCTTCTTCAGAATCACGGTAGGACCCTGGACCCAAGTCGAGCGCGGGGAATCGGGGGCCAGGTAGACCATGCAAATGGTGATGTTTGCGGAGCGCAGTTTCTTGGAGTTGAGCAGGGACTTGTCCAAGTGCCATTGATAGAAGCCCCAGGCGGCAGAGATGGAGTCAGTCGTGAAGGCCTGTTCGCCGCCGAGGTCATGGGCGGGGGGACCGGGGAGGGGTTTGTTCTTGTGTTCGGCCTCGTCGGCGCTGGTGATGTTAGGGAACTCGGACGTGTAGAAGCCGATCAAGCGGAGGCTCGTGTTGGCTGTGGGGAAGTAGTCCGGGTCCCATGTGACTGGTATTGGGTGTTAGCATGGTTCAGGACCTGGATGCGCTTGGATGGAGGGGTAGAAAGAGGGACGTACTATAGTGTGTGGTATCCCAAGCGTAGACATCGCCGTGGCGAGGCAGGCAGAACGGCGCAAACTCGCCGTCGAGGTTGCGGCAGGCAGCGAAATCATCTTTGCGGTGCTCATTCTTTGGTACTTCCGGTGCGACGTTGGCGTCGGCGTCGGCCTTGTCGGAGGCTGCGGATGCTGACACTGTGGCTGCGAACAGCCAGGCCGGCACAACAAGCGCAGAGACGAGCATGGTCGGTAGACGATGTGCTTGATGTGCTCGACCGGGCAATTGAGCTCTGCAAAAGGTGTTTTGCCTGGCGGCGACCTCTGCACTTTGCTGTCGCGGGCTCTCGGTGTCCCTCGGTTGCGGATGGCGAAACCGACGGCAGACGTAAAGAACAAACGCGATCGTTCTCTCCAAGGGAGAAGGGCAAGGGGCCGAATTTTATAATTCTATACGCAAAGGCGGGGAGGGGGGGAAGGAATGGACGGCTGACTGCTGGAATTGACGGCCCTTGCGCGACGTCGGTGCCAGGTCGAGGGCAATTTCAACGCTCCAGCCGGTGACTTCGGCAACTGGGTCCTCGAGACAAGGGGCACCCCGGCGCTAGTTCGCGGCCGACGCGGGAAAAAAAACGCGCGGATCATGCACGGCGCAGCGGAGCCACGGGCGGTTGCCAAGCCGGCAGGCAGGTTGCCTACCTGACCCAAGTGCCTTGCAGCTTTCAAAAGCTTTGAATACATGGACAATAGTAACTAAGCTATGGATGTACAGCCTACAGCACAGATATGTACTCCTCCCATCTACAACTGGCATACTAATAGACGGTATTCTTCTCGACAACCTGGCGTGCAAACTCCCCAAACGTCAGCCCTGTCTCGCGATCCACCACCTCACCCAGATTCGGTTGGGTAAAGACGGCCAGCGTGTTGCGCGCGATGCGGCCCTCGCTCAGCGCGGCGCGGACCCCGCGCACAAAGTGCGGCACGGCCTTGAAGCGCCCGCCTGTGATGCGCTCCAGCGCTTCTCCCGTCTGGAAGGCGATGCAATCGCGGGGGATGCGAACCTGCACCGTTTCTCCGGTCCGCGACTTGATGTACAGTCCGGCTGCCGGGTCCGGCGAGGCGTCGAGCTCGGGGAGCGGCATCAAAGGGAGCTGGCGCTGGCTTTGCGTGTCGGAATCAATCTCGGGCGCTGCGATGGTCGGGTCCCATTTGGACTCGTCGACGAACATGGCTGATGTCAGTCCAGTCAGGCAACCGTGGTCGAGATGCGTCGTGCACCAGTCATCCGGGTCGGGTGCGCCGTCGTTGGCTTCGGCGTCTGATATGGACAGCGGGGATGGCTGTCCGGTCGGATCGACTGGGTAGTAGTGCAACAGCCGGGCCTTAGTCGTCGTCGACGTGCTCACCATCTTCTCGAGGTAGCCAGCTGGGTACCCCTCGATCTCGCGCTCGGCAAACCGGTCGCAGGAACGGGCGACGAGCACCGCTACGTCGATGATCAGGCGGCATAGCTGCTCAAAGGTCTCGCGAAAGCCCGGTAGAGTATCTTCTCCTGGCCAGATGTTTGGCGCGAGGTACTCTGGGAAGCTCTCCGGATTGAACTGGCCTGTTGGCACGGCGCAGTCCAGGGATGGGTCGACGTAGAAAGCACAATTTGCGTAAAAGGACCCCTTGCGGTCATCGATTTGCCCATCTCGGAGCTTCTCCTTGCCCTTGGCCCAGCCGATAAGGTATTTTGCCTTTTCATTCTCTAGCTTGTCTGCAGAGCGTCAGTGCCTGTCTGTTGGGGTAGAAGCAGACGAAGGAATGACACGGCTCACCCAGCTGTGACTTGGGTAGGTTTCCAAGATACGACGCATACGAGAGGAGATGGTGTCTCAGCCGGCCGAAGTCAGGAGGAACATCCTTGACGAGTAGGATGCCCAGCGACTCTGGCCCGAAGGCTTCGCAGAGTGTCTCGAACGGTACTGTCCCTATGGACGCATGGTTGGTTAAGCGTGATATCCGGGGCAACCATTTACCATTTATTCAGGGTGCGGATTAATTCAGCAATTCATAATCATAAGTATCATACCGTCCTTGAGCTCCTGCAATGATACCGTCACGGCCTTAGCGGCGGGAGCCATGGCGACACGGTCACACGTATACCGGCACGGGAATGTACTGATGGTGTAGGTGGTCCAGGAGTGTAGGAGGGTGTAAGTATTCACCACCCTCTCAGACTAAGTAAAGCGACAAAGAAGAAGTGTAGAAGATCAGCACATGAAACAGCACCGGAAGAATACTTAGGTAGGTAGTTATCTGCGATCCTGTGGCCCCCCCTGGTCAGCTTCATGCTTCTCTCATATCTCCCACTCTGGGCCACTCATGATGACCTTGATGGCGGGGCTCCCCGATGCCAAGCCTTCAAGGCCCTTTGGCGTGCTTAACCTGGTAGGTGGCAGAAGGGCATGACGACAGCACAAGGCTGCAGTGGGTCCGCAGATGTGGGCAAATGGACCCCCCAGCATGCGGTCGGAGGGCGCTTGCGCTTATTGAGGGCTCCACAGAAGCTTGGCACCCAATCGGACGCGCTTGCTGAAACTTCGACTTTCTCCATCTTGACATCTACGACACAGGTTCTCTCTCATCACCCTTCACAATGGTCAAGCCTCTGACATTTAAAGGCGACAAGAAACCAAAGAAACGCAAGCGCGCTGTTAATGACGACGACACGGGACGAGAAGTCAAGGCAGCAAAGCCCTCGGCCGACACCGTCGATGTCGAACCGGAAGCCGACGACAGCTGGGTCTCAGCCGACGTGCCCTCCGACATTTCTGGGCCGGTGATGCTCGTGCTGCCGACTGAGCCTCCATCGGCACTAGCATGCGACGCCAACGGCAAGGTCTTCACAATTGTCATTGAGAATATCATCGACGGTAACCCGTCTAGCGCAGAGCCGCATGACGTGCGCCAGGTGTGGGTAGCCAACAAGATCCCCGGGACGGAGCATTTCCGGTTGAAAGGACATCACGGGAAGTGGGTTTCTCCTTCGATTAATCCCATCTCCCCCTCTTCCTTTAGCCACCACAGCGCTGACGTCGCGACCGCAGATACCTCTCCTGCGACAAGATCGGCGTACTGAGCGCCACGGCCGATGCCGTCTCCCCCCTGGAAACATGGGATATCATTTCGACACCCAGCACACCAGGCACATTTCAGCTCCAGACACAGCGCGACACTTTTGTCACTGTGCGGGAGACGCCTAACTCCAAGAAACAGCAATATGAGGTCCGTGGCGACGAGACTGACGTGACCTTCCACACAACGTTACGCATCCGCATGCAGGCTCGCTTCAAGCCGCGCGTCCAAAAATCCAAGGAAGAGAAGGCGCTCAAAGAGCGGGTCATCAGCCGCCGCGAGTTGGAAGAGGCTGCTGGCAGAAAGCTGACCGACGAGGAAGTCAAGATGTTGAGACGCGCAAGGAAGGAGGGTGATTATCATGAGAAGTTGCTGGATATCAAGGTCAAGAGCAAGCATGACAAGTTTGGCTGAAGATGCCGATCCCCACAAAATTGTGGTTAGACGTCGATTGGTTGCATGCAATGTGGAGTTGTGTGGGCAAAACACATGAAAACATACATGACAATGATACCCGTTGATTTGATTTTAGCGGAGTTCCGTGTACTTACACTATGGAGCCAGATGTGCAAAGATCCAGAATGACCTAAAAATGCCTAAACACCTTACTGACGAAACTGCATCCATAGTATGACGCCCACGCGACATTTGTTAGGCGCACTCAAGCAGGTGGTTGATACTTCCGCAGTTGAAACAAAAAAACGCTCTAATTCCTGTGCAAACTAGTCGAAAGAAATTGTCCAATTCCAGTTCCCACTGAGAAGAGCCAATATTATACCCGCTTGGCTATGCCCTAATCCATACGTCCACCGTCTTTTGTTACCCAAAATCAAGCTAACAGCCTATACCCAATTCCTACCCGCCAAAAATGTATGTAGACGTGAAAAGAAAGCCAACCCAATGAGTCAAAACATCAACCAATTCTGTTCCTTTCCGTAATATACCAAATGCATCGAAGTATTCAAGAAGGGGGGTATGTCAGAAATGTAACAAATCTCAAAAACTGTACAACCGAAAGAACATCTCTTTCTCAGGTCTTTCAGACCTATTAATGTAAAAGAGCCCCGCTCAAGGCGCTTCAACTTTCAATCTTTTCGCGTCATTTCCTTCACTGGACCCCTCACCTCCGCTATTCCCATTTGACCCCGAAATTTCGGGGCTCTTCCTCTTCAGAAGACTCGGTGGTGGTGCCGGGTCATCGCGCAGGAACGACGGGCCCGTGCCAACCACGGGAGTGGCAAAGTTTAGAGGGCTTGGCAGCGTGTTGCTATCGCTACCGCGAAGGTTCCATTCAGGGTAGAACGAACTTGGGCTAGGTAGATAATCGGTGTTGAGGAACCGAGACGGAAGAGCCGAGACGGGCGTATCGATACTGTCGCGATTACTGTTCTGCTGCGGCAGGGGGCGTGCAAACGGGTTGGGCGGACCGGTCGCGCCGGCCGAGAGGAGAGCAGAAGCTGACGGAGACGGCGGAGGAAGGACGACAGTGGAGCAATGAGTGAGCCTGGATGGTTGCGATGTCGCTTCATTGGTCGTTGTCGTGCCCTTAGGGGATGCTGATCCTGTCGCGCTGCCATTGTCCGACTCATCAGGAATTTGCACCTTCAACCGGGGCCGTACAAGCGGGCCTCCAGTGCGTAAACTGTTTGACCGGGATGGCGGTGTGAAAACAGTCTCTGTAGTCGAGGAAAGCGAGGTTGTCCTAGTGATCTGAGGAGGCTGTACAATCTGTGGGTTGGAACGCTGTCCGTTCGACGGCGAAGAGTTATTCGAACCGCTTGTGCTGACAGGCTGGGGCTTGGGCTCTGGTGGGCTTGACTTGTCCGCAGCGAAAGCGGCCAGGTGCTGTGATAGAACTGACCGATTTTCATCGATAGGGGTGAAGATGCTACCACGTCCACGGGGCGGTAGTCTCTTGATATTGGTGTCTAGCAGTAGAGTTGGTTGACGCCGTTCTGGTTCTTGAATCGGCTTAGGCTCCAGGGGGGCAGGAGGTTGGCTCTCATGCGGTGGAGGCATACTCGAAGCCGGTTGCTGGATTTGCGGCGGCTCCATAGTCCGTGTCGGCTCCGGGTTGTGAGACGTCTCTTGTGGTGGCGGCAGAGATGGTAATTGCTGCTGAGGTTGAGGAGGGGTCTGCATCTGGTGAGCTGTTGGTTGTGATTGTTGCTGAGGTTGAGCAGAGGGTTGTTGAGGCTGTGACGGAGCTGCAGACATCTGGGTTACAGGCTGCGGATGGAACTGTGCAGGCAACTGTGGCGCCGGAGGCTGGGGAGGAGAGAGAGAATGCCGTGGTGCTGTAGGCTGCGTGTGGGGTGGAGGAAAAGCCGGAGACGGCTGCGGCCTCCTTTGGTCCTCAACAAAAGGCTGCATCTGAGGGGGTTGAGGTGCTGGTTGAGAATACGGGAACTGCGGATGGGGTTGCGGGAGACCATGAGTTGGCATGCTGGGGGGCAGCGAAGCGTTCTGAGGGTTATAGATGGCAGGCTGCGGCATGTAGGCGTACCCGCCGTTTACTGGCTGAGGAGGGGCCTGTGAGACGACTGGCTGGGTCACCATGTTCGGGGGCATTCTGCGAATATCGTTCCGCGATGCTGGACGAGAGCCAATTTGGGGCTGCGGGGTATGGCCACGAGGAGCGTTTGCAGGATGGGCCCCGAAGACAGCACCGTTAGGCATTGGCGGAGACAATGAAGGAGCGTGTTGATGCCTTATTTGCGGCGGAAACTGGGCTTGTGGTTGAAAGGGCGGGACGACCATCTGAGACTCCATTCCGGTCTCGTTCTGGGGCGGAGTGCCATTGTTATTGTTGTTGTTGTTGTTGTCATCGTCTTCCTCCTCGTCGTCTGCTGCCGCTGTCTGGAAGTCTTGCGGTCCCTTGTGTTCGTTTGGCCCGCCATGCTGCAGAGCCTGATGGTAAGTTAGGAACAACGTCCGAGAGAATGCTCAAACGGCCCAAACAACACAGCACAACTTACATAGGTGTACCGTGTGATCATCTCCCGCATGTCAGTCGACGAATACTCGTACAGCTTCTTGTTGTTGCCAAAGATGAAGACGGCAACATCGACACAGCAGAGTACGGACAGCTCGTGCGCCTTCTTAAAGAGACCTCCCTTTCTTTTCAAGAAGGTACTATTGGCGAGACATCAAGTCAGCGGCTGTTGTCAAGGAGGGGATTGAAGAATGATAGGAGGCTTACACAGAACGGTTTCTGTCATCTTTGATAGCTTTGATTTCGATCTTCCTGCGACCCATTTTGCCGACCGCCTAACGGGGCGAGAATGGACTAGCCAGGGCAGAGGAGAGGAAAAGCAAGCCGATGCTAGCGACTACCTAAGTAGATAGTAGTAGTGTCGGGTATCGGCCAGCGGCAAATAACACCAACGGCAACAAGTCGGGCCAAGGAGACGGCGACGTGGTGTAAGTGCAGTGTGGTAGCTAGGCGAGCTAGGGGCAGGGGACCCCAAACAAAAAACAGGGCGAGAGTAGGGAGCGCCAGAGACGTTGAGGACCCCAAGGGCAGGGCGTGGATGGAATGCCGCGTGAGACCGGCGTTGGATTTGCCGCGTCTAAGTCTCTGTGGATGATGGAGGAGATGCAGACCAGAACAGAAAGGACCACTGTCGTGACAAGTGTTGAAGCAATGAGATGATGGGGCAGGGCCGCCAGGGCAGGCTAGAGATTTTGTATAAACTCGGTCGAGCTAATAAGCACGGCCTTGCTGCTCGCTGCTCGCTGCGTGTTGCGTGCTGCGTGCTGCTTGTCCCTGATCGAGTCGAGCAGAGCAGCCCAACAACCGACGTCAATTGAGCGACGGCGTCGTTGTTTAATCACAGGACGGGACGCGCGCTGCAGCAGTATCTAGGATATAGTATCTCGCCGGCACTCCGTACCTGCAGCGACGCTTGTGCGTGCAGTTTCCAGGCTCGAGGTTGCGTGGAGGTGAGGCTGGATCTGGTGATGCTAATAATAGATCGAACTTGTGAGATCAGAGGAAGAGAGACAGAACGTGTGGGCAGCCCGGCATGGAAGTGTGGGCACTGGAGCTGCGGGCACGAGGGAGCGAGCGGCGGGTGAGCAAGCGGGCGGTGGGAAGGGATTGAAAAGGCATCGCCTGGGGGGACAGCATGCCGATTCAGACAAGCCAAAAGCCACGAGTCAGGCTTGGCAGACCCACCACTTCGAGCGGGCTGCACCCTTGTGGAGCCGGACCAAGGCTAGCGTCCTTCTCGAACAGGCAATCGTGTACAAAAAATTGGTCTTGGAGAGTGGTGGCCGCCCTATTGTTGATCAAGCCGTCCGAGTTTCGTTGCGTGTGACAGTCGAGTCTAGAGACCACAAGCATCGGCAAGTATTGACGAAAGCTCCAAACAGAGGAGCGTCAGAGATTTCTCGCTGATGAGACGACTACAACTTCGTCTGATTATAGACAAGATGGTGAGCCTTTTGGTGAGATCACACGGAGCAAGAGAAATTTTGTAGGAAATACGAACATCGAAGAGATCTGCACTCTGAAGATTGCAACTCGTGATACAGGCCGTTTGACAGGCTGATTTTTCTGTAGCAATGGGGATGGAGCGTCCGGCTGGCGCACATGGAAATCAAAATCAATATATCCGGTTGAACTTTTCACAGATCACTGATGATCCGGTTGCAATGCAGCAACGGAACCTGGATTGTGCGGTATCAGTCTTAAGGAGTCCGTCAAAACGTAGATTTTCGATAACTTCTAGCAACACATCTCCTGGAACCCACAACCTAGTAATCTGTGAGCAGGAAGCCTAATTAGTGTAAAGCATGTAATCAGTATGTACACTTGCTGGGCAGACATCATGATGCTGGTGAGGTGGACTTCTCATTCGCACAAAGTGCGTGAAGACAAGGCTGCATCTTAGGCAAGATCGAAGCCAAGACCTCGCTTGTCCGCCCTCCTTTTCGCTCGGCTGTTCATAAATCTCAAACAATCCAGATCCGACTGAACGGTGGGGAGGGGGTGTTCTTTCGCCTGAGAGGGCTCCGTTGCCGGCCTTCAACGCTCGGCCCACAGCAGGCCCGCCTGTTGAGACTGGTTGTGAAGAGCCGCATCGCAAACAATGAATATCGATTCAGATGGAACCTACAATTCTGTTAAAGCTACCTATCGCTCTAAGTCTCGCACGGTTTCCAGCAGCTAGGCCCTTGACTTAGTCTTGCCTATAGCCTTTCAGAAGGACGGACACTGGGGGCCAAAAGGCAAACCACGTTTTACCAGTCGAGCGGAACGCTCTCTGCCGCAGCCTTAGCGCGGAAATCCTTGCAGGCAGTCTTCCTAGCCAGACTGCATAAGAAGCCTGGATGCACTTAAACGCCTGTAGCCCGATTACGGGTTGTTACTGAGCTGCTAAGCAACATGTTACTCAAAACGGTTGCGATGCATCCAGAACAGCAAACGATTCAAAAAGGTCGAGCTAAGAGGAAAACCGTTTCATGGGTTTCTCGGGGCTAGTAGTAAGTCAACAGGTTGCGCATTTCCGGTTTGTGATGTCCCATAGTGTTGAGGGGTTGAATCACGCTCCTCCTCCAGCCCGCTGCTCACCTGCGAAACCCTGCCATTCGCATCCCTCCCCGCCCGCAGCACGCCTTGGGCTGTGGCAGTCAGGCACAGCCCTCCCAGGTGGAGCAATTAGTGCTCGTCACCGCGTCAATCAGAACTCCGCTTTGCGTTCCCATGAGATGATTGGCCGACTGTCTACGAGTACCGAGGAGTTTCTCACAAATGATTGGTCAACGGCCGCCGCCATTTTGCCCGCAGGGCTCTTGCAAGCGCCGGAAGGGTTAAACTCGCCATAATTGGGCAAAATTGACAATTAGCCCGATTTCTGACCCCACACGTTTGCCCTGTCGGCTCTATTTTTAGATAATTTTAGCAACATCACTTGCAGCTCCCGCACTGCTCCACGCTTCTTGTCACACATCCGAAAACTCCATCTGGTGAGTTTTTTCAACGGCTGCCCGTTAATCAGCCCTGTCGGCGAATTCTGAAAAGCACATGGACAAGCGATCCAAATGTTGCATTACCGATGTTTTTTTATCATCCAGGTTTGTATCGACAGTTTCCACCAACCAACAGGGACAGAACACTACCTAGTTGATATCCAAGTCCCAACATGCAGAAGCCAATATAGTCCCGTTCTACATTGCTACGTATCCAAATTCCCCTCGCCAGCTGCTGTCTCCAATCATATCAGCCCATTTGACGTCCTCTGCTCCTGAAATGGAAAGAGGCTCACAATAGATTGTATTGTCCACTCAGTTTAGAACTTCTGCCCCATCTACAGCAAAACTCGCTTCGATCCAAAGCCTTGGTAAAGGCGCCATCTCACATCAACTCCTGCTCGGCGCGGCGGTTAAGCTGCAAGATAGATTAAGCCATTGTAAACATAGAAACAAAATATCAATCACTCTTTCATCGCCCTGACCTCTGTTTATGTGAAGTCGATCGCTGAGGATGCATGTTCATCCAACAAGGTACCTTGCACGCATCCGTCTACGCACGCCATTTCTCACTATCGTTTCACCGTTAGAGTTGATTAGCAACTTTACAGAGTTTAAGAGAAAACCTTCGGTGCATGGCAAAAGATTGCCGGATCGAACCGCCGCACCATCGGTAATGGATGGCACACTGCGCTTGTTGAGCTCCAAGTTTAGACCCTCATCAGCAAGGCTGAAAAGGAGTGGCAGGGTCGCAAGGCGTATGTGATCCTCGGTACCGATATCCGGGAGACCAACACAACCTACGGATACCCAAACACAAACGCCGGTGCTTTCCCGCGCACGGGTAAAATCTCACCACACTGCGCTTCCATGGCGCGGTAAACGCTCGGTTCATTCTACCTGACGAGACGAAGCTGGTGAGATCTGGCTGGCCGTAAAGCAGTTAAGCACGTCAAGAAGCCCGAAGCAAAACAACTTAATGACTTGCGCCGGTTTGTACCACCATAAATGTACCTAGCACGGTGGTCACTTTGCAGACTTTCAGTTTAGAATCAATGATTTATATGAAGATGGGTTCAAACAAGCATGCTTAATGGAATCCGAACAGAGCTGAATTGCTGAAAAAGAAAATCACCTCTCAAGTAGCTCTGGAAGCAAATGTCCATCCAAGACCCGAGTCAATATTATGGCTCGTTCCCAACACTTCCCAGAATTTTTCCCAACCGGACTAGAACAGGTAATTTCAAATTATTCCCCCACTGCTTGTCTTGCAGCTATTGATGTAGGAATGGATCTCACTGCTTTCTGAAAGGTAGTATCATGCCCTCCTTAGCAGCCTGTCTCGCCCTTAACTCAGGAATGGAGCGGCACTCTTCCTTCTGCAAATCTCTGGAACTAAACATATCATGAAACAATCCCTGAGAGCAGAGAGCAAAAGACTGGAGCAAAAAGTGATGCGAGAATCCGATTGCCAGGGTTGGTGTACATAGGCAGACATCCCATCTTTAGAGAGGAGCAGATGCTGCTGTCAGCACGAAACAGCGGACCACGTCATCGGACTCAGTCACATCTTACACTGCGACTCGGCAAACCAAACAAGAGAGCACCAAGTATAGCCCGGTACCCAGGTGGCAACAGCCTGAAGTTGATTAAACACTACACCCAAGTATCCCATATATGGTATGATTCATCCACGACGCCATGGAAGCCAATGTTTGTTGACCCGTAACCCCTTGATGAACCGTCCTGCAGTCCAAACTAGACCCTTTCATCCGTTGACCCATCCTCCATTCAACCCTGCCCATGTCATGCTATGCGATGTAAGAGTAAGAGAACAAATAAGGAGGAGATCGATGATTCCGCTCCTCGATTGATACACAGCTTAGTGAAAAAGACCAAGTGGTATCATCCTGTCGTGGCCATCCAAATCCCACCCTATCACTTGAATCTTCCGGTCCTCCCGGATCGCCGCCAACAGACGGTCCGGTAAGCAGATCGCCAGGAAGACTAGTACTCCAGGTAACCAACCATGCTGCCAGTAAGCCAACCGGTGACAAAGTGCCCTTGGAAGAAAAGGAGCAGTGCATGGAGATCCATAAGTGTGCTGTCAAAATAGTTCAACCCTCCCCACTCCTAAAAAAAGGAAATTCGTCTCAATTGCCTGGCATGAAAGGCAGGCCCTTGCCACCAACTCAAGCAGTTGATGTACAAGAGGCTAACCCCCACACACCCAACACATGGGTGAAGGCACCTTGACTACCCCTTGAATTTGTACCATCTCCGTCAGGCCACATTTTAACTGGTAATGGCCTGGTAATGGCGTGTTGTATGTCTTTTTGAGTACATGTCGCCCAAATAAAGGTTGACTCAACTAGGTTGCCATATAGTGTCAATGGTTCACCTAACTAAGGCTGATAAAGCTGGCGGCAACAGGAGCATTGGTCGACCCCAAACTAGCAGCGTCATCCGGGTTCTGGTTCTGGGGACGTGAGCCGTTAAGAAGTGGGCAGAGCCTGACATTCGTTGATTAATCGTTAGCAACCTGGTCATTCAAAAGTTGACGATTATCTTCCATGGAGAAAAGAGGGGGGAAAAGGGGGGAGGGAAAAAAAGATAGGGAAAACGAGTCCAGAAAGAGCATGAAGGGAGCGGAGCGCTACCCTTCCCAAGCAAGCCCCGGATGATTCTTCCGGAAACCATAGAGAAGCACTTGACACCTTCCTCAAGGTCCAAAGGCGGTAACCTGCCTAAGGATCCTTTCGTAAACTGTCTTCATATGCCTTTGCAATACAAGGAACTTTGGGAACAGCATCCATCGTGCGGCTGAAAGTTGTCATGTCCCATTTGCTTGGGTCAAAGAACCGATCTCTCTTGCTCTGCTCGGACGCGGGCCTGTTCTTGGAAAGGGTCCTTCTCCGTAGTAGAGCTAAAAGATTTTTTTTTTCATGTTGGGTTGGTTTGTGGGGGAGGGGGGGAGAGGGAGGAGGCGACCAGAATCCCCCTTTGTGAGGCTGTTGCAGCAGCGTTTGCTGCTGGTTTCCAATCGCGCTGCCACTGGCAGTCTGGAGAACCACAGATCTTAAACTGACTCCATCGTCAAAGTGACTCTGACATCCAGTGCATACGTACTTTTTGTTTGTCTTAATATGGCCGACTTGGCCGCAGTTAGCGCACTTCCTCGTGGTGCCGGTAACCTTTTCGGTGGAGGGTTCTGGAGAGTCCTCGTCGAGGATAGAGATATCGCCTCCTTCGCGCATCTTTTGTTGGAGCTTCTTTTGCTTCTCTCGCTTCTTACGCCGTTCCTTGTTCTTTTCAAGACGCTCCTGTTCGATGCGGGCCCTATTGGATGTTCGTAAGCGAAACCGATTTTCAGGATCGCAAGGGGTAGCACAGCAACATACTTTTCAAGAATTAGCTCATCCTTCTCGGGATCACCGGTCAGTTTGGCGTTGTAGACACTAGAGGAAGAAGTGTTAGTTGGCATGTCAGTTTCGAATGATGGCAGGGTACGCACTCAATGTTCTCGAATTCCATTTGACGGCGCCTCTTCAAGTATTGAGCGATTACAACGGGGTCGTGAACAATCTCGGTAACTATCCTCGTCTGGCCATTCTCGTCCTTGATCTCGCGAATGATCTTCAATTTCTTCCGGTTCTGGGTACTCGCTTGGCTCTGGCTGACTTGGCTAACACCGTCGGGAAGATTCGTGGACTGGGCAGGCACTTGGCTCTGCACGTTGAATCGGTCGTCTTCGTCCTCTTGAGCCAGGACATCATTGTCGTCGTGCTCAGTTGTGTCTTCCAAGCTCTTACGTTGTCGCTCCCAGATGTCCCGAAGAGATTCGGTATACAACGTGTCCTGGTTCTTCACGTTGTACATGTGGCCGCCGTTGGCTTTGCGCTGACGCTCAATAGCGTCGGCTGAGGTGGCGAGTGGGCCGTGAAGCTGCTCCAAGAATCCGCCCTTCATTGATGTCCTGATATAACTGACGCCGAGCCCCTTGCCTGTAGGATCGCCAGGTCCATGGACAGCGATCATCGCTTTGCCATGGCTGGCATCGATGAAAGCCTTGGTGAGTCTCCACGGTGCCATCTTGTTAGCAAGGGCATCCGCTGGAAGATCATCTCCAATATTGTCAAACGCTTCATCGTCCTTGAACATGGCATCGTTGATCTCGTAACCACCATTCTCAAGCTCGTGGGCACCGACCTGCATCGCATCCAGGAGACAGACGTCCTCAGGGCGGACGAGCGAGCGAATCTCAGACTCAGGCATCAACTCTTCTCCCTCCGGAAGAACCCAGTTCCTCTTATCCTTCTGGAAGACGAGGAACTCCTTGAGCTTCTGGCGGTTCTGGGACTCGTTTGAATCGGCAACATGCTTCGTAATATCGCTGAGGGTGACATTATCACTGCGACGCAAGAGCCGATACGACACCATCTTGAGGCGATTCTTTGCGATGTTGGTAACACGACGCGAGTGAGGGCCAGGCACTTCCATAGATGGTAAGGTTTGGCCAACGACGAAAAGGTGATCGATATTTCGAATGTACCAGGTCGAGCCGTTCTTGCCAGTTGTGCTCCGGCCGAGGATGAAATCGGTATTCCTGGGGGTGTGTTTGAAGATGGGAGCACGGAACATCTGATTGTGAAGGGTCGGAACAGTCTCGCCCGGCTGAACTTGGCCAACCATGGCAAACGGTGAGCGGTCTTCTGGCATGAGAATATAGGGCTCACCCAGCTCTCGCTTCTCGGGCCGCGAGTCGGTGCCCTTTGAACGGCGGTAATAATTGATGATCTTTTGCCCCATTCCATGGTTGGAGAGGACAATCGGGATTTCCTCGCAGTACTCGAAGAGAATGGCCGTGGAGTTATCATTCATTGAAAGGTCGGCGGATGTCTGGAAGATCTCGGGAATGCGCTTGCCCTTGAGAAGCTTCTTCCTCTTCACTGCGGGCGGCTTAAACCTGACAGGAAGGAAGGCCTCTTTTTTGGGGTGAAACTGAGGCCGATGATAACTGTGGGGGTCGCTAGCAGCCAGCTTCACGCGATAGAACGGATAGGTGAGGCGCTGTGCCGTCATGCTGTGCTCGATATTGATAGAGTACAGAGTAGCGCGGACCTTGCTCTGGCTATTCTCTTTGAGCGCCTCGTATGCGGCATCATTGGAGAAATTGAAGCGCTGTGTTAGATCACGACCCAGGCGGCCATTGGCCATGCGCACCATTTTGTGTTGAACCTTGCGACGCTTGGCTTGTCGTTCAGAATCGACGTCTTCAAGAAGCAGGTAAGGATCGTTCATGTCCAAGATAACGCGCTTGCCAAGCTTGGCAGTGGCCTCCTCAAAGTTGTCAAAGTTCGGCGCAGTAAAACGTGGGATTGGTGGCAGGCCTTTTGGCGGCGCACGACGCTTTTGGGGAATAACCCGGCTGTTGGTGCTGAGGAACATTCTATCCCAATCCTCGTCATCGGGATCGACCTCATTCTTAATGAGGATGTTGTCGTCAAGACGAGGCTCGGGAATAGGGGCAGGTTGGGGCGACGGAAGCCTGTCACCCAAGCGTATCATCGAATCCCAGTCATCACAAACCAGGGCAATGTCGCGGAGTGTGAAGCCTCCAACCGTTTCGCTATCTTCGTCATCATCAATGTTGAAGACCTCAAGGTCGGCTTGCTCGATGGGTTCGGGTTCTTCGAGACAGATCAGTCCGCGCGCCTCGGCATCCCGGATCTTTTGGCGGATGGGGACTTGTGCAGGACCAGGAATGCGGAAAAGCTTTTCTTGGTCAACGTCAAGCTCCAGACTCAACTTCGTCGGCACCAAGGGCTTTGGGGGCTTGGCGGGTTTCTTGGATATCCATTCGGCCTGCTTAGGGCGCAGCAGTTGGTTCCAGCTGAGGATAGCGTTCTCTTCGAAGCCCGGATACACTTGCTTGACGGCCTCCAGAAGGTTCTCCGCAGGGGGGGGGATATTAGGGTCTTGGTTGGACGCCAAGTTGGGCGGGTCAAGGTTAAAGTTGAGAGCCATGAGCTCGGCCAGGCTCTCACGAGGCGCTTGGTGTTCATCAGCGCTCTCCTCGCCCTCACCATCGCCGGAGATGGAGCGAGGAGAGGCTACGATGTCGCGGTTGCTGTCGCGCGACGTGGGGCGGTCGCCAAAAAGGTCTTCTTCCTCCTCTTCCGGAGGGTTCTCGTCGGCCGCATCAGCTGTGTCTTCGGCAGCAGGCTTCGCGCGCGACGGAGGCTCTTCGTCGGGAAGCTCATCTTCACTCAAATCGATGTCTTCAAAATCAATGGCATCTTCGGCCTTGCCGGTTTGGTCAAAGGCCTCGCCAGCCTCGATTCTGCTGAGGAGTTCAGAGGCAGCACTGGTTGCGAGGTGCTCATTGATGTTTTTAATGATTTCATCGTCGCGAGCCTCTTGCTCCTTCCAGTCGTCGTCGTTCAGGGTGGAATAGTCGATCTCGCCGTCGTCATCCATGGTGGCGGGGTAGTAGCTGTGCTTTCGCTGGCGGAGAAGAAAAAAACCGAGGGCGACGGGACGCTCTCCGCGAGACTCTTGATGCGTCCCGGTTGCCGCTAGTTACGCCTCCACGGAGCGAGCGAAACCGTCTGAGCAAATTGCTTGCGCAAGGCGGAAAAGGTGAACGAGTGCGATGCGGAAGTCGAAACGGTTCGATGCGGTGCACTAAGTCGGCTTTGGTCGGCGTGGAGAAATTTGTGTGCGGTGAGGGGAAATGATCTAGCAAATCTTTGTGTGGAGCAGACGCTTTCAGGGCGCAGGAAAGCGTTGATTCGGGTTGACAAGTTGAGCGGTCGTTGAAAGGCCAGATGGTTGGAAGGCACGAAACAACCAAGGTTGAACTTCGAACTGGGAAGGAGCCGAGATTGGAGCCGCACTGTCGGCGCGGTCGCGTGTGGGTCGTGGGTCGTGAGCTGGGGAAGCTGAAGCTGCCGCCAGGCGCGTATGGTCCGTGCGTTTCTGCGTCCCGCTTTGAAGGCTGAAGTCCTGCTTCCTTGACATTAGGTTGCGAGAGACTGAAGATCAAAAGAAAAGTCAACTCTGCAGTCCACCAGTCTACTGACAACTGCTATTGTTGGAAAAGTGGGAGAATGGGAGCTTCCTTGAGAGTGTGATGTGTGTCTAAGGCAGGCCATGGAGCATACTACGCTGATTTTCACGACTTTTTTTTTTTTCCCTGTTGGAGAGCGTTTCATTTCTGAAGGCTATGTTTCATCAGTTGTAGATATCTCCTTAATCTCTTGGTCTCTTGGTCCGAGATACCGCCTAAGAGTTGTCTACGTCTCGTTTCCGTATAAGAAGTACACAACTGAGAGAGCTATTGAAACAGGCAAATCTTGTGCAAAGGAGTTCGTCCAAACTCCTCTCTCCATGGATTTTCGACAATCATTCTTAGGCATGCCAAAAAGACGTTTGATCCTGCTTCTCAGAAACGCTAGAGAGGTATGGAGTGCTGATTATCGATGACAAAGCGCTCAAAATCAGCATTGTTTGGGGATGCGTGCTGTTCAGGGGAATGAAAACCATTCCGTTACTATTGTTACAACCGGCCCCAAGGGAACACAGAATCGCTGAATCTGCAATTGTCGGACAGCACAGCAGTCAGGATGGTTGTCGGAACGCATCTCCTCACCCTTTTGCCATCTGACTTGTCCAACCGTTGGACCCGACAAGATGCCGTCTCTTTAAACTCCAAACGCCAAAGATCAGCCTTAACATTCAGTACCTTGCCCATTATAAAGTCCTTCTTGGCCTCGTAACCTAACACCCATTACTTCATTCTAGCTCCCCATTGCAAGTCGAACAGCACGCACAGTACATTATACCCATGGAAGTCCAGGAGCAGCCGTCTGCTTATTCTCTAGTGCTGGTAGCCCATTACTTGCATCTCTTCTCCACGATACCCGCGCCGTTCTCCTCGTATTCTTTCCTCGAGATCCACATCTGGTGGAAGGTGCCCAAGCTTGCCAGGATGCTGCCACCGATCCAGGCACCGAAACGGCGTTCGCTGGTCAAGCCAGCAGCGTGCAGCTTGATTTTGAGGCCGGGATACATATTCGTCAGCTCGTGATTGAGACGGTCATTAAAACCGTTGAGCAAGCTGGTGCTACCGGTAACAACAACGTTGCCGAGGAGGTTAGGGCGCAAGTCGACATCAACGCCGTCCAGTGCGGCCTTGATGAGCGCAGGGATGGTCTGGGCCTTGGTGATGGCCGCCTCATCAGGGTTGAGGGACGGGTATGCTGCCGTTTCGTCCCACATGCCCTCCGCGACTCGGTAGCGTTGCTCGCGCCACATCTGGTTGCTGCCGTCGGGGAACTCGAAGACGCGGCCGGGCTGGGTCTTGGCAAAGTCCTCATTGCCCGGGTTGAGGTACTTGCCCGGGCCGCGCCAGACCTCGACAACGGACTCCTTGAACTCGGTGAGCACACGTTCCTCCTCGAAGGCGCGGAATGAGTCGTGGATGGGGAAACCGAAGTTGCGGAGACGGCAGTCGGGTGGAGCGCCCGCTTCGACAGGCTTCTTATTCTCGACCATAAAGGTGGGCACAACGTTGACTGGAGGGTCTTGGCTCTTCCACATAGACCGGATTTGCCCGCTCAGCCAGACGCCAGCGGCAGGAGACCGCTGGATAGAACGCTTCAGCACCATGCCATCATGGATGGCAGTCACGCTGGTGTTGGCCCCGCCGACATCAATGACGAGGGCGGTGGCCTTGCCGGCGGCGAAAGCAGCCAGCACAGGGGTGCGGCTCAGCCAAAAGGCGGGCGTGCCCCAGTTCTCCATAACCACCTCAATTGCCTTCTCGCGTGCCTTGGGAGTGTTCCAGGGCGCCTCTGTCATGAGTAGCGGATTCTCGGTAAGCGGTTTCTCTAGCGCGTCGAGGGCATCCTCATTGGGGGCGCTGTCCTCCATCTGCACATCGCCATCGTCGCTGACATTGAGACCGTTCTTGCTGGCGGGCGTCGGCCGTGGAGGCTGCAGTCGCTGGACGAGCAGGTATTCCCAGACGCGGGTTGCGGCATCCCAGTCCTCAACCATGCTATCGCGATTCATGTAGTTGCGCACCTCAAAGCCGGCGCGCGGCACAATAACCTCGTCGCCAAAGAGGTCGCGGCCGTCGACATGGCCGTAGAAGGAGGGGATGACCTGCTTGGGCATTTCCTCGCCGGCAAATCCGGCGCGGGTATTGCAGTAGCCAGGGTCGAGGACCAGGGCCGAGACCTCATCTGGATGCGGGGTTAGCAACTGCACTGCTGCGCAACCGAAATGTGGGATTGAGATCTTGAGACGCCAGACCTACCTCCGCCGTAGATGTCCGCCGGCTGCACCGACGACGACAGAGGCTGTTGTGACATGTTTGGATGTGTAGGCTGTCTGATCAGATGCCCAGTGATGCCAAATTCCTGCTTGCCCGCTTTATTGTATGGCGCGTTGACGGGGTGAGGGGTGCAATCGATGCCTGCGCAAGCCGCGTGTGTGTGTCGTGTTTTGTCGCGTTGAGCACAGGTCAAGAAGGTTGCAGCTCGCTTCCACTCGATCGCACGAACGCGAACTTCTCCAAGCCAAAGGGAAAGGATGAAAGGTGCATAGGTAGGTTGCAGAGGGTACTGACCTGGTAATTTACAAGGCTTGGCATCCATCATAACCTGGGGGCCCTCTCTCAGCGCAGTCCAGCGAATGAATTACGGAGCAGTGTAGGACACAGTAGGTACCTACCTACCTACGTATCACCAGGAGGCTGACAGGAGACAGCAGCTTCACCGGTCACATCATACCTGATCGGTTGACCGAAATGTAGCTGGCAAGTCTGGAGTTTAACTAATAAACATGCCTATAGCGCTGCATAAGCTTCAGAGTACCCTAAGTTATGATAATAATTCTAGACGGGTATCGAGAAACAAGGTACAATATCAGGTTTTCCTGTTCTAGAGCCAGGGAACCAAACACCACCGTGGACTGTTTAAAGCTCCCAGTAGTCACCCCGTCACCATTCTTGGGTGCCTGAGGTAATTATGTCGTGACAACCACATCCTCATCATCATCGTCCTCACTCTCCCAAGCGCTGCCCTGCCCATATAGGACCTCACAAACACCTGCTAACGGCACGTCCATGACGGCGTCCGTTCCCTCATTCCAGACTTCTCGCCAGTTGATCAAAGACGGTGTGCTTCCCCCACTTCTCCGTCTCTCCTCCCTGCTGTTCCCGCTCACTTTTCCAGAGCTCCTCCTTTTCCCGTCTCTATCTTTCTCCTTGCCACCTTCTCCCCGCCATCTCCGATCCCTCTCCCTCTCCCGTTCTTTTTCATGATCCCAATCTCTGATGATCCTACCCTTCTCGTCCACAACTGCCACCTTCGCTGCTTCATCGACAACCGTCTCAATGCTATTGAGCGGAAGAGTCAAGATCTCCAGATTATACCCTGCCAATGCCACGTAAATGTACACCAGCAGCATCACCAAGAAGCTCGGGATCGCCAGCGACCACCACCGGTTCGGGTAGTAGTAGATGCCCAGCGCATGCAGAAACGGCGACGGCAGATAGCTCCAGAGAAGGTATATGCCGAAGGACAGCGAGCTAAACAAGTACAGCACAAAGCCGTAGTACTCGTACGTCGGGACCTTGGGTCGGGCCCGCGGCAAGGGCTCACCGTTGCCATGGTGTCCATGATGCCGGTAGGAGTGCCCATGAGCGGTTGAGTGACCATCATCGTCAGAAACATCGGGGGTCGTTGGACGGGATGGTCGCAACAGAGATGTCAGAGAAGGTGATGGAGGCAAGGGGGTTGGCGGGCGGCCGTAGAAGGGCGGCGCGAAGGCATGCTGGGAAAAAGAACGGGGAGGAAATTCATCGTCGTCCTCTTCGTCCTCATTTTCGTTCTCGTCATCATAGTCGTCGTCTCTGCCAGAGTTTGAAGAAAAGGCATTGTCAATGTCTCGTTCGTCATCATCGTTGTTGTGGTCCTCGGTGCTGTGATCGTTGGCGTTGGCAATTTCTTGGCCTTGGCTACTGTCTGGGCTGGAGCTGGAGCCACCGTTACGAAATTCCGTGTGACGGCTGGTCTCCCCATCGACCTGGGAGAGACGCTGCGCGCCGTCTTCCACCTCTTCTTCTGAGGTCATTGGAATTGATGTGCCATTATTGTGGGATGTGAGATTTGAGCCAAACTTTCCTTTACCGGTTGGAATCTTATGGATGGACCTGATCCCAAGGTTCCAGGTTGGCCAATAGACGCAAGAGGGGCCCCTGTTTCAGGCTCGAGACACCCGGGCTGGCCTATGTTCTAGTGACTTGCCCCACTTCAACGCCGGCCAGCGCGCCGCTGTTCAGGGGCGAAAGCAGCTCAAGGCTCCCCCCTTCCCCCTCTGGGTTGTATCGATGTGCCTGACGGGTCCGTATCTACCAACATTGAAAGTTATCTACAATGGCCCCCTTATGTGCCGCCGGATGTAACCCCTGCACCTAATTACAAGAGAAGACTTATTATATTTATATATACATATATGTAAAAAGTTTATCAATTCAGCTAGCCTCCTCGCCTGCAACTATTTGAATCATTACCTTTAATCCGGCCTGGCGATCATAGCCTTCCATAGACGGCAGGTCTTTTTGTCTACCCATCAAGAGGGCATTTGTACTCCCTCCCTTCAGTTCTCTCATAACCTTCCTTGTCCAGCAATGCTTCCAGGCAACTCTGATGATATATATGCCGGCATGCCAGCAAAACAAGCGGATCTAGTGACGCCCTTTGCCTTCCAGCCGTTCTATGCAGTTGGCCCTGTTTGGGGTCTTGTGCCTGCAGCTGACTGTCATCACCGACGCTTGCTCCCACACCTCCTGGTAGCTCCCCTGCGGCCAATCCCCTCCCTTCACCTTCTAACACCACACTCCTTGCTTTCTCTTTCCCCTTCCCCGTGTAATCCTCTTCCTCTTCTTCTTCTCCACCACTCCTGTGCTGCGCATACCCTACCCCTGGCTTACGAATTTTTCGCTTCCTCCTCTCCCGCTCCTTGTCTTCCCACGCCTCGAAAACCTCCCGTCCCCCCATGACCCCCGGCCCCCACACGCGTTTCCCACATGCTTCACATGCTGAACCCTTCGGCCGCCAACCGCGCTGTCGGAGCTCGACTGCCTGACTGACGCTGACGAAGAGCGAGCGTTCTAGCAGCCGGTTGGCCAGACGCAAGATGGACTCTTCATAGGCGTATGCCGCGAACACGGATGCCAGGACGCCACGCAAGTCGGCTAGGTTTGGAGATGAGGCTGCTGCACGAGTCAAAAAGGCACGCAGGATGCGGAGAAAAGAAAGATTTGTGCTGATGTTGGGTGTGGCTGTGGGGGCCGATGCTGCGGTGAGGATGCTAGAGGACAATGGAGGTTGTTTCGCCGAGTTTGGGGAGGTCGAGGTAAGAAGAGCAGTGAAAGTTGTTTGAACGAGAGAGCGGAGAAGAGTAATGAGCTTATCGGTATCGAGGCGAGGAAGGTAGCTCAGTGTGTCAGTGTTACCATCTAGAAGAGCAGGCTGACTCGATTGTGACTGTAGTGTAGAGGACACCCGTCTAGTGATCTGGACCATGGTATCGATAAGTTCAAGCCACATATTCTCATCCGGAGAGAGCATATCGTTGGCCGTTGATCTCTGCCTGCGTCGGCTAATAGTGCCCTCTCGAGCAGACTTGGTTTGCCCTTGGCAAAGCCAGATGCCAACCAGGGTGTATTTGCGGAGAGAGTGCATCAGTTCCTCAGCAGATGTTTGCAAGTCAGCTTCGGAGCTCTGTATTCCTGAGATGAGACCCTGGAGTGCCGATTCGAGCGTTTCTAGGTGTTTGACCAGTCTGTCCATGGCTTCATGAACCTGACCTCCCTTTGCCATAAGTATGACAGCAGCGTCGATGACACCCGTCTCCTCCATGGTCGGAAGGAGCTCTTCCAGCCTCAAATCGGAGGATTGGACGAAACTGACATAATCTGACACATGATCCGGTTCGAACCTGCACATCAGCCGTACGTATTGCTCCACTAAGTCCCTATCCGGTGGGCCGGCAACTGATGGAGACTCCGCTTCAGACTCGAGAACCGTCTTCAAGTATGCAAATTGTAGGTCTGGTTCCGGTGTTAATGAGTTTAAAACATGTTGATGAAGTTCCGGGGCATGTTTAGCGATCGTTCTAGCAGCCATCTTAGGGTTGAGCTTCACCAACTCCGCGGAGTGTTGTTTCACCACCTGGTGGACGTCTTGGATCTGGCGCCGGGTAAGGCCTGGTGACAGCCGTAGACATGACGCAATGCAGCTAAAGACACCCTCGCGGTCGTCTGGGTCTTCAAAGTACGTTTGAATGAGCTTGCCGTACTGCTTGTCGACCTGGTAGATACGTTTCAGTATGCGGTAGAATCCGGCCTTCTTGAACAAGGGCATGAACTCAGTCATATCCGGGGGTTGGTAGACAGAGAGAAGATACTCAGCACTGAGCTGGGCATCCTCGGCTAGATCTTCTCCCGGGTATTTGCACAACCCAAGTAGCACCTTCGAGAGAACCGAGCCAGGGAAAAGAAGATACTGAGGATACTTTGGGAGGTTTCTGGCAATGAACATATCTAGGTAGATAGTGTCGTTTGGTGAGTAATCGCCAGAGTTCATCAGCTCGATCAGGATGGAGACGATATACTGCCGATTGACTGTTTGGCCGAAAACCTGCTCTTCGGGCAAATCTCGGCCATTGCTAGCCATCCTATCAGGAGAATCGTTCAGAAATGAGTCTTCAAAGGCTTCGTTCAGAGCGCTCATAAAACTGGGGGCATCGAAATCGAGAATAAGGCGCAAATAAGGGAAGGAGGGCTCCTGAGACTGTTGTGGTCTGGTCAACAAGCGCCGGTTGCTGCCCTTCGGCCATACGACACTCTTCCCCGAAAAGAGCAACCAGTATAGCTCAGCCTTCGCCTTGAACGCAATTTCTTCCCCGAGCTCCTCCCCTGTTGGATAGACCCTGCCGGTGAGGATGTAGGAAAGATAAGGAAATATCTTGAGAGCGTTCACAGATTGTAGCTCCATGTCTTTGGATATTTGGTCACTCTGTGTCAACGGCACCAAGAGTGATAGTAGGTCGAAGAGCGGAGTGATGAAGTCGTGCATGGCCTGATTCCACACATAGAGTAAGGCATCGTAGAGGCCGTACTGTTTGCAGAGCTGGGTCACTTGATCCAAATCTAGTGTGGATGTGTCCATGTGGCATATCATCTCCTCAAGTCGACTTTCCCAGCCTCTGTTGACAAAATGTCCAACCATGACCTTTACCACGGCCGGTGGAACGGCCGTGATTGATCCATCCAGGATATATGGCTCCAGAGTCTCGAGGAAGATGCCCTGAACCCCGGCATCTTCATAGGATTCGAACATCTCATCAAAAAGGAAATCGACATCTCCAACACTCAGACAAGCGGTGAAGCACGTTTGGGCAAGCTCTTGCAAGTGCTTGTCATCTGCCGAGTCATGGTTCCTTTGCCGCTGACCAAAAGCGTACCTCAACGATGAACCCATGATCTCCATCAGCTTATCCCGCACCATATTGTGCCTTAGTACGGCATCCTCGGGTAGCCCAACTGTAAGCTTGTTGGCGTCGCCATTATAGTACGCTGTTGCCAACTTGATGGCACTAACGTAGTCACCATTTTCCATAAGGGCGATCAGACGATCGGCCCAGTTCGATAGAGTCCCGATCGACACATCGTTGACGCCAAGCAGGAAGAGACGGCCCTTGTATGTCTTGAAGCTCATGTAAAAGGCATCAGCCACGACACCGTGTAGTGTGGGATCTTCTTCATCGAGGCTCTCTACCACAGGGCCCAGTTGCCTGGAGAACAGGTCGACATGGTAGATGTGTTTGTGGATAAGGTCGAAAGCCTCGGTCATGCGCATGGAATGGTCTTCGAGAACAATGAGTCTCTGCGAGATAGTGAGCACTGTCAAGACAGAGCGGCTCAACCACTGCACCGCAACGATGGACTCTTCGCACTTCCAACGGCTCCGCGCCTTGAACTTGAGAATTGGTGGTTTGTCTTTGTCTTCGGATGGGATCTCGTCCACATCCAAAACAGTGAGGACATTGGACCAGCAATAAACGAGCTTGACCTTGGAGACGTTGCTCCCGGTAACAGGGTCGGCCACTTTGAGCCTAACCGCAGGAAACCAGGCGAGGCAACCAGTTAAAGCGCTATGGGCTGCGACCTCCTTGGGTCGCGCGGACTTGTGCTGAGTTTGGGCAATTGGAGTCGTCGATACGATGACAAGTAGGTAAGGGGTCAGCATTGCAGTGAGGCCCATAGTATCCGTAGCCATCTCGACATTACCGAGAGGCAAAGATGCGAAGGCCAACACCGTGCTGGGCTTCAGTGTCTTTCCGGGAGGTGGTTTAGCATCAGGGTACCGGCCTAATATCCTCGTAGTTATAACCGTTCTGCCAATGGGTCCAGTGCCTCTCGTTGCAAGATGGGAGAATGCCATCCCACGGTCATCAGCCGAAACGAGAGCCGTGTGGCGAGTACCCAGGAAACCAAGGTGCGTGACAGCAACTCCAGGAACATGGCCATCCATCAACTTCGAGTTCAGACGCGACCTATCCACATGAGGGATGCTAAGGAACGGCCGGGAAGCCCCCTTGGTGGTATCCCAGGTGAAGATGTTGCCGTTTGCATGGCCGCCAGCGATAGTGGTGTGATCGGCGGAAATGGCGATGGCGGTGACAGGACCAGATTCCACGGCTGGAACATGTCAGCGAAACAGGATTACAACAAAGACGAGCCAGAGCCCAACCTTTTGTTCCAGGGCCGATGATCATCTTAAGATTCTGGTTGTAGTCAAACATCAGGATGATCCCTTTCGAAGTGCCAAGGACGATGGCAGACGCGACAGCGAAGCAAGTCGGAGTGCCGAAATTCCTCTTTCCCGCCTCGGAGAACACCTGCTCATTGAGTTTTCTTAACTTAGTCCAGCGGACGACCTCCCATGGCGGCGATGGTGTCTCGGTCTCGGCAGGATGGAGCAGAAACTGGCTGCTCAACGAAACAGTCCGACTGTGGCCAGGAACTGGGGCTGGGGACGAAGGTCGCGGAGAGGAAAGGAATGGAGAGGCAATCCGGGATCGGAATCGCTGGTCGAAAGGCCTGAAGGAGGGCGTCGGGCTGGAGACTCCCAGACGGGCAGACAGAGGGGGGTGTATGCCGCTGCTGGGGGACGATATCACCGAACCCTACGGCAGGCTGTCAGCATATCCCAAGCTCCCGAGTGAGCCTAAACAGAGTTCCCCAGGTCAAATACCTGTATGGAGGGCGTGTCGTCTGGGATGTCTTGGCTCGAGCCAGAAGGGCTGATTGCAATCCTGGGCAAGGCATCGGCCAACCCTTCTTCTGAGGTGCTCTCACGATCGGCCTCGAGGAGCTGGCGATAGCGCTGTGCGATCGCGCTCCTCGGCGCAGGGGCTGCGATCCGAGATTCCGCGGGCGGGGACTCGCTTTCCGGAAGCTCGGTGATGTGGCCCTGGTCCGGGTCTCCCTTCACAGTTTCTTCGTCACTTGAGTCTGACTTTGAGGTAGGGGCGTGGCTCCCGGGGCGAGCCAGTTCAGGTTCGTTAGCCATGCTGTCGGCCGGGCCATCGTCTCCCTGGGATGTGCTGGTGCTCATGTGGTTCTTTGAATTGCAGGCATGGCTCCAGAATGCCAAATCAAGAGTCAGAAGTCAGAAGTCAGGAGTGAAGATCAGCACTAGATAATGTGTTGTGTCGCTATCTAGTAAGGCCGGATACAGTTGCATACAGAGAGGGGCTCTCTACTACACTGCAGGTGGGCATGAGAGAGCTGCGATCATAGGGTGTACGCTGGGCGGGTCGCCTTGCAGGTGGTGATGTTTGGTTGCTGCTATGATTGGCCTGCTTTCTTTCAGTGTTAGTGAGGGATAAGATGAAGGAGCGCGACGGCGACGCGACTAGCAGCCCAAGCCCTTCACACGGTGTCTGTTGTCCTGAATTGGATGTTGGCGTAATCCTCGAAAACTTGAAGCCTTGGGAGCTCAAGATCACAGATGGTCCACGAACGGCGCGGACCTTGAAGCTCGGTGGACCTGGGCTGCTGTTGCCCTCCTCTCAGCGGGCCCAGCCCACCCGCCAGCGCCGCTGCTCTGCTGCTTGCGGGTGACGATCCAGTGGGGAAATGCCCCGGGCGCTGGCGAACCGGGGGCCTGGTGCTTATCGATAAAAACACAGTCCTATCAGTGAACACCAAGCTCCAGCCAACGACCGAACGTAAAGAGCTTCATCGGCTGCTCGGTTGCTTTTCTTCCCGGCTTTTGAAGATTACTTGCAATACAACTCCCATAATCCTTTGCCGCCAATCAAGAACTCTACTTCTTCAAGATACGGAACGGTCTATCAGCTGTACAATGGTATCAATAGGGCCAACACTTCCGCCACACCTGCAAAAGCGCAAGCGTACTCCTGACGAAGATTCAGAGCTGCCATCCCCTCCACCCAAGGCCTCGCGCCGCGACCATGACGATGAAATCCCCCTATATGACGACTCCGATGATGATTATGGACCATGCGCTCCAGGTTCTTCAGCGAGAAATGGCAGCGACACCAATCAGTCAAGGCCGGGCCCAACCGTCGGCCCGTCCCTCCCGCCAGCCGTCACGGTAGGCCCGTCCAGCGTGCCAGCGGCAGAGAAGCAGCCAATTGGTCCTACACCACCGCAACCCATAGCATCTATCAATGAAGATGAAATTCCTCTAAACGACGGCTCTGATTCCGACTCCAACGAGCCTAGCCCAGCTCCTCCCCCTCTCAAACCAACCGTTGGCCCAGCTGCTCCTCCTCCCAAGCGCGTCTTTGGACCCGCGCCACCCCCGGCTGATCTGAACTCCCTCCCAACTACCGACCCTAACTACGACAACAATGCCTCTTCCGATTCAGACGACGATGATGAATGGGGCCCTAAGCTCCCAACCGGCTCTCCCGATTCAAGACCCATTACCGTTGGACCAGCCTTCCCCTCAACCAACACCCAATCCTCACAATCCTCAGCGCCGAAGCGCGATGACTGGATGCTCGCGCCTCCAACAAGCAGCGATCATCGCGCACCAGATCCAACGAAGCTGCGTGGTCGGCGGTTCCTGAGTGGCCCACGTGCGACTGCCGCCGCGGCAAGTCGAGCGTCCGGCGGTGTCAGCTCCGTCTGGACCGAGACGCCCGAGGAGAAGGCGCGGCGTCTGGCAAATGCAGTGCTTGGTCGTGAAGACCCCACTGCTGTCACGGCAGCATCTCAGTCCCGGCCTGATAGGAAGGAGTCGAAACCGGTGGATGAGTCCCGCATTCGAGAATACGTGGAACAGACGCGCGGCCGCAGCCTCGTGGAGGAGTACCAGGCTCGCCGGGCCGCGTCTGCGGGTAAAAGCGGTAGTGACAAGGAGAGCAGTAGTAATGGGAGGAAGGAAAAATGGGGTGGTGGTCCGGAGGTGGAGGAAGAGGATGATCCCAGCAAGCGGGCATTTGACTGGGAAAAGGATATGAAGATTGGCGGGCGTTTGAGCGGAGCTCAACGAAGGGATATCATGAAAAAGGCAGCAAATTTGGGCGGGAGGTTTCAAAGGGGAAATTATCTCTGAGCATTCAGAAAGGGCGCCAGGGGGCAAGCACGACCATCAAATAATAGCAAAGATACACGACGATTTTGTATGCATACCACACAAGTTACGCCAAGACAACAAAACCAAAGGCAGGAAGTCATCTGAAAATAGACACCCGACTGAACATGTATTCGTGTCGAGCTTCCATAATGCTTCTCGCTATCCCTACCACCCTGAAGCCAGCCTAAACTGGCTCCTTCGCTTCTTGCTAAATGATATCCCTATCCCTAAGTCCAGTATACCTTGATCGGAAAAAGCACAAGCCAACCACCCGTCCACCAATCCAGCCGGTGAAACCTTCCAGCCATTCTTGCCCTAAAAAAAAAAAATCGAAAAACAATGTCTCCTCAACACAAGGCCGAAATCAGCCCACACCAAAGCAATAAACCCATACAATATCATAATGCTATGCAACGCGAACTCCAAAACGGGGTAAGAGAGACTGGCGAATTGAGGAGGAATAAAACACAGGGTAAGGTAGTTGCTGTGGTGCGATGGGGGAATCGTGTTGGCTCTGGAAAGTCAGAATAGACTTTTCAAGAGCCGTTCCCATGCTAAGTTGAGAACTGCCTGAACCGCGTGTGCAGTACAAGTCCGTCCCTGCGGGATCAAAGTTATTGAGGTCTTCAATGGAGCCAAGTGTGAGTTTTGAGATATAGCAAGAGTGAAATCGTAGGGAAGAACAGACCAAGAATCCAAGGTCAACGGTGAAGACAACCACAGCCAAAAACAAGGTGTATACACGTATACAATTCCGAGTGCTAAGCACGGAGAGGGGGTATCCTGAGACGTAACGCATGTTTTAATGCATCCAGATCATTCAATGATGAGCCGACCCAAGGCCAGCCTCCAACTGTGAAGGAGTAGGTGTCGTGGGGTTCGTGCCTGAGGCAGTAGGGGCGGATTGGGGACCATGGCTCTGAGCCCGACCTCCCGTAAGTCCGCCAAGCGTGGCTCGGAGACCAGCAAAGATACCACCTGCCCTTTGCTGAAGTTCTCCTTGACGGAGTTCAGCAGCTCCAGAAGAGGACTGTCCAGATTGCCTACTTCTGTTGTTGTTCTGGTTGCTATGGCTTCTCCTTGACCGACCGAAGAGAAGAGAGACATCAATATGATCTCGCCATCGATCACTGCCCTGTGACTGTTGTTCTCTAGAGTCTCGTCGGCTGGCTCTTGTTGACGGGGCAAATGGCGCAAATCGCAGGTAGGAACGCTCTGGTCTAGAAGGTTCGTGTCTACGACTGTTGTGCAGCTCGGGCTGCAATGTAACAGTGATAATAGGAATCGCACCATCAGTACCATCCGCTGCCGGTGGACGAGGCTTTGGTGTATAATAGTCGGCTTTGCATAGGGGACAGCACGCTCGTCTGGTTGTCAACCACGGATCAATGCAAGCAGCATGGAAAGCATGGCCACATGTTAGACCGCGAACATCGTCGTCATCCTCCAAGGTATCGATGCAGATAGCACAAGTATCACCGGAGGTGCCGACGCACTCGGGAGGAAGGGCAGCATGAATGTGGTCCTCTTCGTCCTCTTCGTCTTGAGAGGCCTGAGTAGCATTCTGCGTCGGCGTGCCCTGGGGCTCATTAACGGCGTCTACAGAGACCCGAGAAGCAGCGGCAGCCACAGAACTTGAGGTGCTCTCTTTCGGTGCGAGCTGCGGACTCCTGACTTCCGGTTGCTCTACATCCCCGGCCTCAGCCTTCGATTCAGGTTTGGGTGAGGTAGGTGTGTCGGGCGTTTCACGCATGTTCGCAGTCTCGGCTCCGGCCCTAATTGCTGTTGATGTCGCACTCGTCGTCGGACGGTCGTCAGTCGACATACGCTCCTTAGATGGCAACTCAGCCGCGACACCATCCGCATCTCGTACACTTCCAGGCCGACTTGAAGGAGCTGATACGCCACCGTTGGTGGACAAACCCTGGCGTGCGCGACTGGCAACCCAGGTTTTGTACTTCTGCATGGGGAACTTTTCGTTGACCTCGTCGATTGGCATTAACTTCTTTTCCCGCCGGCGCCGACGAGGATGAGGAACATTCTCCATGTTAATGGGCTCGCCATCCTCAGCACGCAGCTGGCGATTTCGTGCACTGTACCTGAAGCAGTACTTGACACCGACAATGATCCTGTACGATGGTCAGATCATAGAATACGGAATTGTACCCCGTGCAGCTTTCAAGACTCACCAAAGGTTGGTGAAAACAACGCCAAAGCCGAGGGCAACGAAAAAGAGCAAAGAAGAAGAGTTCGACGTTCCACCACCACCACCACCACCTCCTCCTCCTCCTCCTCCTCCTCCGCCACCACTGCCGCTCGACCCTCCAAAGCTCGTCATAGTGTTGGAAGGAGACATGCTGGGCGTTGATGAAGAAGTCAGACTGGCCGTGGTGGACGTGGGCGAGCTGGTCGCGCTTGTCGCCAATACAACCGATGTTGTCAAGACGGCGTCAGTCGCCTGCCTTAACACTACCCGAGCGCCTGCTACCATGGCAGGATTAACGAAATTCATGTTGGCGCTGCAGACAAGAGGTTACAGACGGCTTCTCGGCTCTCGGTGGCGATCTGGACGATTCACGGGATGTATGGCGCCCATCAGGCGATTGTCGTCGAGTTGCTACCCCAGCATCGGTATGAGTGACAGCTCACAGCAACACCGGGCTTGCGGCCGCCGGCATTCGATATCGCAAAGCAATCGAGCGCGCTGTGTCGGGGCCCGATGGCAGGAACAAAAAAGCAGGGAAAAAGAGTTAAAGGCTGAAGCACAAGTGAATCCCTCGGAAGGCAGGGAAACACTGGGTGATGGAGCTGACGGGGTCCGAGTTGGGGGTGGGAGTGCGCAGAAGCGCTCGCAGGCAAATGAGCTCACAAGGTGGAGAAGGAGATGAGGGAACAAAGCAGGTCTTCTGGCTCTGGGGAACGCTGGGGCACTGGAGCAATTGGGGGTTTGGCACGCAGCGGAATTGTTAAGTACGTAATCTGTACCGTACGGTACACTACACAGGTAGTCAAGACACCTTCACCCTCGGGTGGCGCTCCCTGGCATCCTGGCTCCCTGGCTTCGCTGATTCCAGAGAAGGAGGGGGTTGGCGAGCGCCAGGCGAGTGGCAGGCGCATATCCACCAAGCCGTGTGCTATGTATGTGCACCGTACCAACCGATGTCCAGCCTTCTTGCCGGACGCAGGCGCAGTGGGTCCTTTCACAAAACAACACACGGCGCACGGGAGATCCGTGCCCCTCTCTTTCTCGAGTTGGAATTTTGCAGGGTCTGGCCTCCAGGCAGGGATACGCACCCTTGTGGAGGGGCTCGGAGGACAGATGATCGACAAGGACAAGCGCCAAGCGGGGAGTTTGGAAAACTCACAGTTTGGCGCCGTGACAGCGATATTCACTCAAAATGATGTACGTATTTGCAGATAAGCAAAGTGGCATATCAGAATGTTGGAGAGCATCACAAAGCCATACAAAGTAGTGTGCCTACCTTACCTAAGTACGACTGCGGCTGACCTGCAGCATACACCATTACCTACCTAACGTGACCGGTAAGGTAGGTGGGCTAAGGTAAGGGTAGATACAACGGTCAGCCGGTCAACAATGGCATAGACATGGAAATTCCGTCTGCGCGAAGCCAAACAAACTCTCACCACAGAGATCACCTACACAATAAAGCGGGGCAGCATTGAGCTTTTTTGCGGCCTGGCATCCTAAATCCCATACCACTCAGTATGCTGCGAGGAAGGCCAGGTTGAACTGGCGAGCCGCGTTTCGCAATGCCCACGGCCCATGTGTGGAACTCCAGCTTTTTTGATTCAGCGACCTCCCAATCATTTCGTAACGGAGGGTTGGCACCTTTTTCCCCCTCTCTGGGTGTCTAGGAGCATTGTATTGTAGGTTGCATCCAACAGCCCAGCGGCATATCTCCAAGTCCCTGCCGTGTGCCACAAATCACTGGCAAATATGCGCAGAGTCGCCTGACTGGATCTGAGATGCTACAGGCGACGTGGAGGAACGGGTATCACCCACTGACAAGATATTAAAGGATTTACCCAGCTGCAAGCATGGCACAGGAATGTATCCAGGCGACGTTCTGGAAGACGACTAAGCAGCTTCTGCAAAACAGCATCTACAACTACATCATTAACAAGCAATCCATACTCAGATAAACAAGTTGTAAGGTTGAAATACGCAGGCCTTGTTTAGTGATGTGGTCATCCGTAGGCACTTGTAGTAAAGCCAATATTTTACGGTGTTATTCCATGCTCTGTCTTGGTACCTACCTACGTGAAGCATCGCGGCGCTTCCAAATCAAATCCCTGCACCCTCCCCCAGTCTTTAGTTTTGCTGCTCCTTTGTGGCACAAGAACAGAATCCGAAGACCTCATGCATCCAACAATGGATAAACTGGTTTAGCGATGCGTGAAATATCTCTGGATCATACAGCTAGCCTCTGATGCTGCGCTGAGACAGAAACGTTTCCCGGGCCTTCTCGAGTGAGTGTTGTTGAGCACAGATTTGGTATACTTCGGCCTTGTTACCAAGCATACAGCAATACGTCGGGAGATGAGGGCAAGATACTTACGCAACCGACCTAATAAGATTCCTGTCCAGTGTCACAAGATCAACGCAGGATGAATAGCTTTCAACGAAGACAGCAACCTTCTATGCCCTGCAGCACCTACCACCTCATCTTAAACTCGACGCCTGCTTATCTGCACCCAAGCCATGGAGTTTGCAAGACTGCGTCCGGGTAAGTAGCGCACAAAGCAAACCGGTCTGTGAAGGTTTTGTCGATAAAATTTCGCTGTTGCGCCAAAAAAAATAATGCCTGGCACGGGCGTACGGCAACTGGCCGCGTTCTTGGCCTACCGGTCGAGACCTATGAGCGCTCAACACCGCTTTCTATTACCAGGTGGCTTGGTTTCATTACCTGGTGAACGCAGGAGCAGCGAGCGCACAGGTATGTTTTAATTCGATCCACGACCCCCAGGGCTCTCAGCTCGAGGTCCTTATTGTAAACACATTTGTATGTATTACCTACTTGTACAGGGCAGTGTCTTTGCTCCAGTTGGCAGGATCTCGAACCCATGCCAGTGTGATCGCTGGGGCGGGGCTGAAGGTGCAATGAACTGTCTAAGCCTCTCGGTGGCAGCAACGCTCCACGGTGGGAGTTCTAACCACCAGCAACGCCCCGCGATCTGGCATCACCAATCTCCAGGTTTCGGGGGTTGGTCCAGCATCCCGACATAGCCGAAGATCTCCACCCGAGCTTTCCGGGCGCCCATTGCTCACATCACGAAGTGCATGTTCCGCTGTGCTGGATAGGAAAGCATAAGGTCCCTCTAGGCAAGACCAAGGATTTCACCATTACAGCTAGGTGCCATACCCACGACACGCAAGCCGAGATGGAAAACTTACCACAACCACAACGTCGGAACACCGAAGCAGCCGAGACATCTGGTAGCATTGTCCCCAACGCTCCACACAAGCAGGAGTGCAAACCGCAGCTATGCACCACGGCCCTCGCACACTCGCTGTTTGTGCAACGGGACACCTTGTTAACAGAAAAAAATGTACAGCCAACACCAGCCGAAAGGATCTGTTAGGACGTTAGTATCCAAACGACCATCTACTCAAGGGCTGGTCCCAGTCTCGTAGTGACAAAATATTGGGTCTTGTGAACCCGTTTTGCTGGATAAGCTACAGCATTCACATGCTTTTCAAACTTCAACATTCCTCGAATCCCCAAGTTCCACGCCGAGCGTTCTGAAGCATCTGAGTTGCAATAGCTTCTTGCACTTTTTCCTTGTTACCTACACTCCGTTGAGAGTCTAGACGTGGCCGTCCACCGAGTCTATAACGCATATCACCCGCATGCCCACCGTTAACCTTTCCGCTCCCGTCCCGCAGATAAGGTAGCATGGGACGTGTCACTTGAAGTTCGATGTCAGAGATGAGACGGCTCCATTTGTTCTCATGACCCCCCATTCCAGCTGCTGCCCAACGGCTGAGCAACCTTAAGAGATAGAGAGCGCGGGGGGGATTGACGACCTCTGCTATGAGGAACATAAACAGGACACTTATTGCGTCATCACGGTCGGAACGAAGAGTATATCTGACTGACTGTAACCTTCCTAGTTTGCAATGTTGTGGTGGTCCTGCTATTGTAATAACCCTTCCAAAGACAAAAAGGGATGGTATTCCCTGTGGCAGCCCTCTCTTCCCCAACGCCCACCATGGTTTGACCGAAGTTATTCAAGAACATGGCAATGTTACCTATTGGTCAAGTCCGAGGTTACGGACAGGATTGGGCTTGCTAAACATGAATTTATGGCATTCAAAACGGCTAGTGTGCCCCAGATTCAGTTGCTGAAAGCACGGAATGACACCCCGCGATTGATTCCCTTTCTCTTGGGAAATTGCCGACTGCCATCGCCACAGAGAGCAATAGTCCTCTGCAGAGCTGGGACAGGCTCTCTCAGATAAGTCGAGACTAGTCCACCACAAGAAAGATGTTCCTAGTTTATCATAACTGGGCCTTTGCTGTAATATATCCAGACTCATTGAACATAGAGTGCCGGTAAGATCTGCCTGACTCACTGGATGACTGGCCGGTGGCTGGACCTGTAAGGTACAAAACATGGCACGGGTACCCACTGTCGTGCTCACCCCTGAGGGCGACATCAATCTGCTATTACCAAGACTTCCTCTAGGCTGTGACTTACCTGCGGCCAGTTCTAACTCTTGACACTAAGCCAGCCAGTATCTACACAAAAGAGATCCATTGATCTATGGTAGTCAAGTCTACCCCCCACGCCCCTACAGTACATTCATGTGTTGAGGACCTTGGCCTGCAACACATCAATTATAATACACTGAACCCGGGCGCCTTGTCTCCTTTCTCTTTCCCTCTTTCAATACCTCGCAATCCCGCAAGCCCGAACTCCTTCTATAACAGCTTAGAAGTTCCTGCTCATATCACCCCTGATGCGCGCATAGTCGAACAGGCCCTCGATGCTGCCGACAGCGCTGATGGCGATGTCCTGATCCCAGAGTTTCCTGTTGGCGAAGTCCATAACATCCTTCTCGGTGATGCCGTCAATAATCTTCTCAATCTCCAGAGGGCTCATGCGACGGCCGGTAGTGATGATCTGGCGGCCAATGTCCTCGGCAACAGCGGTGGTGCCATCCAGAGACAGCAAGATCGAGGCCTTGAGCTGGGCCTTGGCACGCTCAACCTCGGCCGACGTGACGTGGCTCGACAGGCGAGACCACTCGCGGAGGGCGAAGTGGACCAGGTCGTCGACCCGGCTGAGCTTGTCAGTGACGAGGTAGATTCCCCAGAGCCTATGATCGGTTAGCAACATCGAGTCCAACACAACACCCGCACGAAAAAAAAAATCACACCATTGAAACTTACCCAGTATCGCTGTAGCTGGTAGAGAAGCTCATGAAGCTAGTGGCAAGGTCATTCTTGTGGACAATGCCGCTCAGCTTGCTACCCTGGTGAGGAGCATTGCCGAGGGCCTTGTCGTAGTTGCCAACGATAGCCTGGGTGACCAGAGCAGTGAAGTAGTCGGGGTCGTTCCAGCTGACACCCTCAACAGCAATAGCGATGTTGGCAGTCGGGATAGTGTCGTCACGGATCCGAACATCAGAGCCGATGAAGTCGGGCTTCCTCTTGGACAGGACATATGCCTCGCTCTTGGGAGCCTCAGAAGGCAGGTTCGAGAAGTACTTCTCGGCCATCTCGACGAGCTGCTCATGAGGGACACCACCAGCGCCGACGAGAACCATGCGGTCTGCGGTGTAGTTGTTCTTGATGTAGTTGACAAGCTCGGTGCGAGTAATATCGCGGATGTTCTCACGGGGGCCGAGGATGGTACGGCCCAGGGAGTGGCCCTGGAAGGCAGTAGCGTGAAGGTGATCAAAGACAACCTCCTCGAGCTGCTTCTCAACCTCCTCAGCCTCGCGGAGGATGACATCACGTTCCCGCTCAATGGCGGCGGGATCGAGCTTGGAGTTCTGGAGGATGTCTTGCAGGATGTCGACGCACTTGGGCACGTCCTCGTTCAGGGCCTTGGCGAAGTAGACGGTGTTCTCGCGCTGTTTTCCTCTCACCGTTAGCGGCCGAGCGAGCTCCCGGGACGGGCTGAGCCATGACGAACCGAGGTATAGGCGTTGAGGTGAGCGCCCATGTTCTCAATCTCGAGCTCCAATTGCTGCTGGGTTCGCCGGGCAGTGCCCTATGAAGAAGGTAAATACGGTCAGCCGGGCCATGTTCTATCTTTCTCCTTCTCTCTCTTTCGCTTGCTCTCTATCCCCCCTCCCTCGTATGGCCGGGCTGGGCCTGCGGGGGCGGGGTCGTTGGAGCCCGGTCGGTCACTCAGGGGATTGGCCTGTGAGCGGCTCGCTGGCTGTCTGTACCTTGAAGGCGAGATGCTCGAGGAAGTGGGCGGTGCCGTTGGTCTCGTCGGTCTCGGCGCGGGAGCCGGCATCAATCCACATGCCGACCGTGGAGGTCTGGGCATAGGGCGAGTACTGGGAAGCGACCTGGAAGAGCAGAGGGGTTAGCGACAAGCTGGACAGGCCCAATTGGTGCCGCCGTCGTGTGACGGGGGAGCTGGAGTCGTGGGCATCGAGCTCGGGGGAGGGCGGGCTCACGGTCAGGCCATTCTTGAGCGTCGTGGTCTCCGTCTTGATGCCGTGGAAGTTGTGAGGCGTGGCGAGCCCTCGCCTGAAGGGGACATTCAGACGCCCAGCAGCGCGGCCGCGCAGGCCCTGCGCAAGGTTCAGAGCGAGTCTCCGGGACGCCATCGAGGTGGATAGGTGACGGGGGGTGGGAAAGTGAGCGGTTTGAAGGAAAGGTTTGCGGGTTTGCGGCCTCGCATCAAAAAACTCCAACGCCCGGATTGACCGATGCAGATGGTGTAATTTTGCCTCACTTCCAAGGCAAAGCTCGGGAACGCCCGGGCCAAACCTGGTTGCCAGGACCAGGAGAGCTTGTGTCACGTGGTTAGCTGACCCCTCCTGTGATCGGTCTTGGCAATTTGCAAATCGTGCGCACGCGATTGGCTGGTCAACCGTCCTCCCCACCATGTTCTCAGGCAGAGTGGCAGAGCTGCTGCCGTTGCTGCTGCCCACCTAAGCTGGTTCAAATATCAAGGCTCACTCAATGATCCAGATGGAGCACGAAGGCTTGGCCAGCCACATCATTGATTGCAGTTCAGTTTTCAATTGGACCAAAGATAAAAGAGACTTCACCCCTTTACTTCTTCGTAAATACCCTAAAAGTTCAAATTTAGACTCCATCGCTCATTGGAAAACTCGGTCTCAAGCACGACTTCATGGCATGGAACATGTGTGCTCCCACAGCCAGGCTGTTGCTGCTGCTGCTTGGCACAGACCGTCTGCCAGCTTAAGGGAGAAATGTCCTCCAGATAGATGTGAAACCATCAAATCATTGTCTACTGGTAGAAGCCTTGAATGCTGCCAATCCGAACCCACAACGACTTCCAGATCGGCCGCTAGAGCTTGTGTTGCCTGTACCCCTCAGTGTCCCGCCAATAAGCTTCCAGGCTCTGCCTCTTTCCTTCCTGTTGGGCGCAGTTGTTTAACATAAATATCAAATCCACTCGGACGTAAAAGCCTGCTCGAGCCCTAGAGTCTTGTTTCACATAAACTGTCCTTTCTTGGAAACTACCACCCCGGGTTTGGGCTTTCCCTCAGCGCTTGGCCATTCTTAACAAAACTTCGTTCTCTTGTTGATCAGATCAAGCATCATGCTCAGCAGTCTCCCCCTTGACGTTTGATATGGCCTTCTTTGTTGCAACATACCCGCCTCTAGGGCAAGTAACTCAACTTCAAAGTTCGAAAGGGACTTTTCACTCTGTGCTAGAGGTTAGCCCTGAACTCGCTACAGAGCCATGGGAGGTTGTGTTGTGGCATTCTCAGAGTGAGGGTGTGGTATGGACAGAGAGCCCCTTCTCTCCAGCTCCTGTCAATTCTTTTCCTGAAGAACTTGATGTAGGAAGGCCTACCACGACAAGACTCTTCTTCACTCTAGAATTGCCTGTATCCACTCCCTTAACTTTCACCATTAAATACCGTCAAGGGGCAACCCATGAGTGGTTCTGGGTTCGGGATGAGTTGGGGCTTGATGATGGCGTGGTGCTTCCAGGCCTGAACCAATTTCAGGCAAATGGTACTCAGGACCTACCAGACCTAATCCAAGATCTGAACCCGGACCTCAAGTGGAGGAGCCATCCAAGTCAAACCCCGGCCACTTATCTTTGGTCTATTGAGGCCAAAATTGCTGCTGCCAGAGACGAGTCAGCCTGTTTGGACTTGCCCCTGGGCAAACCTTGGGGGCACTATATCCGGTATGAGAGCAAAGCCAGCTGGAGAATTGCTGAGAGACAAAACTGACAGTCTTAGATGGTTTGCTTTAGTCCGGCCCTGGGCTCCTTGGCTGGCACCGAGACACGGAAGCTCTTCTATCATCCTCGATAGAGATGCTCTTCTCTGCTCTTTCCTTTCACTTCAGGGGAAACACCTCGTTTTCCTTGGGGTAGGCGGTGTTAACCATGTCACTACTCTGTTCCGCAGCGGTGAAGGTGGTCGTCTTGTTATTCATGTATGCTCCGGGTTTGCATTTATTAAGGAGCTGCCTTCTGCTGGGACTAACCGAGCATCAGATTCGGAATGACAACCCTGAACCGAGCACAGGTACCATCCTGGTGGCTCTTGGTGACAGTTTCGAGAATGCCCTCGCCGCCGTCATGTATCATGCTCGCTCCATGGTTTCTGCTGAGGGCGTCCTACCGACCAAGACAGCAGAGGATGTCCTTGTTGATGGTGTCGTACAGCCAGAATGGTACGAAAGGTGGTATGATGGATTGGGATACTGTGAGTGGTTAGACATTACCTGCCGTATGCTTTATCCAGAATTCTCACGGAACAAGCAGGCACATGGAACTCTCTTGGTCAACGATTGACAGAAGAGAAAGTGATGAATGCCATTGACACATTGGCTAAGAACAAAATTCAAATCTCACATGTTATTATTGACGACAACTGGCAAGACATTGAGTACAAACAGAGCCAGTGGGATTCTGGTTGGAAAGATTTTGAGGCAGAGCCCAAAGCCTTCCCAAGAGGTTTGAAACGCTTAGTTTCAGACATCCGCTCTAAGCACAAGAGCATCCAGCATGTCGCCGTCTGGCATACTATCGTGGGTTATTGGTATGCCTCTGACAAGCCCTCCAGGACTGAATTCCTGAAATCTCGGGGACTCAGGGAGAGCCATTGATGGCTTGGATCAAAATCTCTAACTTGGTCTCTATTAGGGGCGGGATCTCACCAAATGGGCAACTTGCTCGACGATACAAAACTGTACACGTTTCCTGCGACTACAAAGATTCGTCCCAGAAGCCAGTCCATCAGGATATGATTCTTATTTCGAAAGAGGATGTCAAGAGATTCTATGACGACTTTTACCGCTTCCTCTCCTCATGCAACATAAACGGAGTCAAAACGGATGGCCAATACCTCCTGGACACACTGGTCTCTCCAACGCACCGTCGGGACCTGATCAAATCTTATCTTGACGCCTGGACATCCTCACACCTGCGTCACCTCAATGGCAACGTTATTTCATGCATGTCCCTCGCGCCGCCCATCACATTTCATTCCCAGCTTCCTGTTAACCGTCCAACTTTCGTCTGCCGGAACTCCGATGACTACTTCCCTTCCGACGCATCCTCTCACCCTTGGCACGTCTGGGCCAATGCTCACGTCTCGCTGTTCAGCCATCATCTTAACGTACTCCCCGACTGGGACATGTTCCAGACTAAACCTCCCACAGACGAGGACGTTGACTACTCCGCCTTCCATGCTGCCGCTCGCTGTGTCAGTGGGGGGCCCATCTACATCACCGATGTCCCTGGGCGCCATGACCTGAAGTTAATCCAACAGATGACAGGGGTAACTCCTCGAGGAAAGACTGTTATCTTTCGACCCAGCGTTCCTGGACGGTCTCTTGATGTCTACGTTGGTTATGATGATCGCAACAGCGCCACTGCTACCCTGCTAAAGGTTGGAGCATACCATGGCCGTGCGGCGCCGCATGGAATTGGGATTATTGGGGTGTTCAATGTGACCGAACGACCGGGGAATGTCACGGAGGTGTTGCCTTTGAATAAATTCCATGGGGTTGTTGCCACCCTAAATAAGGATGGGCCTCCTCTCAAGTACGTGGTGCGGTCTCATGTTTCTGGAAAGGTGACAAAGCCCATGGCTGTTGATGACGGGCCATCAGCTGGTGTTGTAGTGTCACTGGAAGCCAGGGGCTGGGATGTGCTGTCTGCATATCCACTATTAACTGTGACTCCCTCAAAGGGAACAGAAGAGGTATCGCTGGCGAACCTGGGGCTGTTGGGAAAGATCACTGGGTGTGCTGCGGTCTTGGGGACTTCGGTGAAGGCCTTGGAAAACGGAAGAATTTTGATAAATGCGACAGTGAAGGCTCTTGGGGTCTTGGGTGAGTATCAGTCCATCTGAGTAGTGACTGTGATTTTCGTCCTAACTTGGCACAGGGATCTATATCTCGATACTTCCTAGATTGTCGATTGAAAACGATTTCCTCATCACAATTCAAGGACAAACCATCCCGGTGCGCACTGTTTCGGTTAGCAAACAGAATCAGCATGTTCTTGAAATCGACGTCGAAACAGCCTGGAAGGAGATGAAACTTGATAGTGGATGGGCGAACGAGTTGACAGTCAAGGTGTATTTCTCAGCGAGGAACTGAGTGAAGGGTAAGGCTTTACGCTGCATAGCCTATCAGATATGCTGATGAGCATCGTTGAGTCACGGTGTATAGGTTCAATAGTCTATTAAGGCAGACATTCTCACTTCAACGGTTAAAGTATCCATCGTCTCTGGACTTGTGAAGTCTTTTAAAACACCGGGAAAAAGTGATTGAAATATGTCTGTCATCTGTGGCCCATAGACCATCTGTCTGAGAACGACTGCATTTAAGAATTCCTGCAGATTGAAGTCTTGATGGCCATCTCCCTCAGATTACCACTGGCATACATCTTTGAAAGACTCAGCAGCTGACTGGCTGACAACCTTGTTTGGATTGAGAGGAAAAAACTATAACACTACGACAAAACGACTGTTGAATAGCTTTCAAAAGTGAGAACCAAAACAGTAGTAGGGGTATGTGTAGGTAACTCATCGCTGCTCTCTGTGTCTTTTATGGAAGTGCAGGCTTGAAAGGGCTTCTCCGCCCTGAGCTTGTACGTCTTCATGCCTCAAGTCTAATCTAGGTCGACTTGTTAACGCCTCACAGGGGGTTCGTGGGTCACCAGGCCGTAGTACTTGATATGTGAAAGCATAGAGCCTAGAAGTGGGCAGAGGGAGCTAAACCAAGCCTCATGAGCACCGGTGGTTGGCGGCCTTATTGGAACAGATGACTATCAATAGCCTGTTTGCCAAAAGGAAGCGTTTTGACCACATTCAACTCAGGAACATGACACGATCCGTATGTGGCAATCATCACTGGGAGAGGACGAATTGGGCCATCGGAGCATGGAGCGTCTCCCACACGGGGTGTACGAATTACTTGTGTACTTGTAGCAATGTGGGGTTAAGGAGCTTTGAAAGTAGCTGGAAGGGAGCTTCGCGATGCCGTAGCGCTCCGCGGGTCCGGGAATGGAGCCTGTGGACATGGGGCACCGCAAGTCGACACCACGTGATACTTATCAAGGCGGAAAGTTCGATAAGTAGATAAGTAAAGCCAGGGGGGTGACGTCGTGAGGCTCAGGTCCTTTCCTGCCTTCCCCTTTTCCGCAGACGGTGAAGTCATTGCTTAAATCGATTTCTGAGCAAAGTAAGAGAGACGCTCGGGTTTGTGCAAACGGAGCGCGTTGACTCCCATTGCGACTCGCCAGAGAACAGGCACCTGCTCCCCAGGCTCAGCGCACAGGCCATGCTCTCATTAAACTTTACTTTTGGTTCCCAGTGGTACGTACCCAGCGCCAAGACCGAACGGTCCGCTGCAGGGCGGCGAAAACGGCCAACAAGAACTTCGATCAAGCGAACTTTGGCGAGTTCCTGTCTGCGGCTCTAACAAGGACGACGGTCGACAAACCACCTCATACGACCATTTCGATCCGCGAACTCCCTCCTCAACAAGGAGATACACCTTTTGGTAGCCAAATATCCTGCACGCTGCTGCCAGGATGAGGCCCCCAGTCACGATTTTCCCTCCGTCGGTTAGGCGCGCCCTCGCCGCTTCGGCCACCGCCCCCCAAACTGCCGCCCTCAGCTTCACCCTTCCCTACAGACCGGCTACCGCTTTCCAGTATCGCCGCTACTCCTCGTCAAAGCCGTCCAGTCCGGATGATGGTCCTAGAGATATTGCCGCCAGGCAGGCTGTTCCCTCGTCGGGGCGGTCTAAGGGGGAGAAGAAGCAGCAGCAACCCAAGCAGGTGATGCCGCAGCCGCCTAGCGTGCCCAGCACCAGGCATATCGGGGATGAGGGTAGGTCTCCGGCAGCTGCCTACGGCAAGACATGGAGAAACAATGTTCGGCAGGCTAACGCGCAGGTAATAAGGTCTGGCCCTCTCGACCTTCTTCGCCCTCCACCGACCCATCTCAGTGACGCAGCTGCTTCCCCGGACGGTCTCGGACGATACCTTCGCTCAGATCTTCGCCCCACCCAAGTCGCGGTCAAATCGGGTAGCTGAGGTGCTCTCAACACTACAACAGACGGTACAGGACCTGGAGGAGCCCCTGTCGAGGATGAACAGCATTGCCAACACAGAACAGCAGCAGGCGCAACATCACGACGTGGTTGATGAGCACTCGACCAAGATTAGCCTGAAGCATCCCGATGGCACCGAGACTAACGTTTACCTGCAACTCAACTCCATCATGTCTGGAGAGTACCTGCCCTTCCATCCGCCACCGCCCCCAGAACCCGTTGCCGAGCCCGAGCCCGAGCCCGAGCCGGAGCAGTCGACCGACGTTGAGGCTGCTAGCGAATCGGCCAAGGAGGTCGCTGAGCGCGAGCCCCGGACGCGCGTGTACAAGGCTATGGTGACGATCGAGGAGACGGTCGACTCCAACGGCGAGTATAAGGTTGTCGCGCACAGCCCGGAGCTGATCGAGGAGGGCGACGAGCCATCGCGGCCCCGCACGTTCCTGGAGCGCCTGTTCGAGCGCCAGCTGCGTTATGACGAGTATCGCCGTCAACAGGGCCACACCATGCAGGCCATCAGCGTGCGCCGGCAACGCAAGCTCAAGATGAAGAAGAAGAAGTATAAGAAGTTGATGAAGAGGACGCGCAACCTGCGCCGCAAGCTGGATCGCTTGTAAATGGGGAGGGAGTTTTGGGTGCTGGGTGTGGCGGCAGTGATGAATGTGCCACCCGTGTGTAAATATATCCCTGCTAGTCTTGTCTCTTTTTTTTATTTCTGTTTTCGCCAAACCTTGTCTCTTCATTAGAGAGTGGTGGCATGTATGATCATCATGATAGACGGCTATGTGACAAAGCTATCACAGAGATCATTAACATCACTCCTCCTACTCCTCCTCACATCATGTCAATCCCCCCCTGCTGATAGAGACCAGTCTAGACAGGAAGCAAGGCGAGTCGTGATAGACAGTTTCTATCTGACAAGCACCGCAACAGCATGGCCCTCTACCTACTAAGCCAGCATTCTCAGACAATGTTCTTTTCCAACCACTCCTTCCACTGCTCCCCAGTCCACGAGCTGCTAATATCTCCCTGCACAACCCCATCAAACAGCACCGTCGGAGACACATGCACGCTCACCAATCTCGCCATCTTAACAACAAACTTGACATCAACTGTTACCCCATTTCCCACGTTCCGCGGCTCCCCTTCCCCTTTTTTGATCTCCAGCAGCTTATACACCTGCTCCTCGTTCACGCCGACCGTCTCGGCTGCGAGTTTTGCCAAACGCCGGTACGTCTGGTTGCGCGTCTCATCCACGACAGCCTCGTCGAACAAGGTCTTTTGTGCATCGAATAGCGCCGCTGAGAAAGCCCAGAACTTGTCTGGATCGCCGTCAGTCAGGCGCAGCACGGCTAGTGCAGCTTCGTGAGCGAGGGTTGAGGTCGGGTGCCAGGGCTGGATTTGATGGCGGAAGATGAGCTGAAGGGACGAGGACAGCGAGGGGGTTGCACGGATGTGTGGGATGACCACCGAGGTCAGAGTGCGGAAGATCTCTGTTCGGAGAGCGCGAGTGATGAGATCTAAAGTGGCGTTCTTGGAGGAGAATCGTTTGAGGGGCGAAGGCTCAGGTACTTACTGGCTGAGAAGGGGCAGGTGTAGTCAAGAAAGATCTCAAGTGTGTGGAGGGGTTTGGCACTGGCCCCGGACGGAGAGAGTGTGTCGAAGGTAAGGCGGTGCCCTGCAAACTTGGGAGGAAGCGCCATGTTTCTGTCGTTTGATGAAATCGAACAACAGTTAACTGAAAAATATTCTGCTTGCGTGCTTGCTGACGAGATTGGTTACAATTTGATATGAACTGACGACTTGTGGATTGAGATGACGGCTTCGGTGTCCCGCTATATATACTTGAGGGCTCAAATGGTGTTAATATATGCGTGAACGAGGACGATAGAGAAAGCTTTCGGATGATGTGATCAGCTTATCCCCTCCAATTTTGAGTTTTCTTTGCCTTCAGCAAATAGCTTCCCCTGAGGGGTAAAGCGGGGTGGGGGAGGGGCACTTCAGTTGGCCTGCGTCTGTTGCGTCATCCCGTCCTTCCCATTTCAACCCCTTACTGTTCCTTTGCTGGGACTGTAGCGTCTCCACCGCTTAGAGATTTCTAGTCCTGCCTATGGTCTAGTCAACCGAACCCTTCTCCTCGCTCATTATCCGTCATGTCTTGGGATGTCTTGGGACTGTTATGTCGTGTTGTTGAGAGTGTTGAATTGAAATTCGCTATCCTATGGTTTTGCTCCAATGTATTGAGATCTCAACCTCTAACTTTGACGGGCAAAGAGCATCTGGTATATGTTTACACGGTACATGCTACGGAGTGTTATTGGTGCATAAAGGGGGGATGGGGGAATTGGCTCCGGGAACTACCTCTACCTGCTGCTTCAACCAAACTCTAGGCACACCTTAACATCAACACTGCCGTTCTAATCTGACATGCGGCGCGGGATATACTTTTCATCTATCCCAATGGCATATTCTCGTCTGCCTAAGCTGTAGAATGACAGCGGCGCGAGATCCTCCTTGCCTAGGACCAATCATTTTCTATGCTTCAAGTTGCACACTTACATAAGCCAGAAGTTACTGGACATGTATGCGTTCTCAGTAAGTCTTATCACGCGCACATAATCAAGGCCGTTTCTGCCAATGACTCCAGAGGTTGCGGTAGAGCAGCGGCCGTCGGTTCTCCAGCGTCGACTTTGATGGGTCATAAATGAAATTAAGAGGATCACTTCTCAGCTCCCTCCCTTCGACCATGGACCGGTCGGGGTCTTCCATGTCAGATAAGCCAGGGATTTCACAGTTGTTGAGACTGCTAGTCCCTTCACTGCCATACTTACTGCCTTGGAGCTCTTCATTGGTTGGAGCGAGCCGCTTGTTGAAGTGTCCCTCCGCGGTCATCTTGTTGAGCTGGGTCCGCTCATGATTCTTTTTGCGGAAAGGCATCACTTTTGATATTAAGCCGCCCATGCTTTGAGATGCCCCTGTCCCCTCCTAGAGGTGTTAGTCTCAATCTGTACATTGTGGACATGGACAGTGTCAACAAAGAGCCTTTCTCTGCTGGACAAATCGTTGTTACCATATGTTTTGTTCTTGGAGAGGAACTGTTTCAAACTCAGCTGAACAAAAGTGAACTGAGACACTCCTCAGCTCTGAATTGACTAGAGCCAAATGCTTCAGACAAACAATAGGGCTTTGATGACCAGGTTTTTTTTGGTATAGAACTCTGCTTCGGGCATTTTGAGATCATCGAGGTAGGTGTTATTCCATCACTGATTAATATGACATGGCAACAGGCTAGTTTAACCAAGCTGTCTGAGCTTTTTCTACGTTGTTTACCGATTTCTGCGCTGCTCAACTCCAATACCCATGGGCGGAATCCGTACAGTCACGTCATTGCCATCCGTTCAAACAGCAGTTTCCGGCATCTGGTGTAGGCAGTGGTGGTGCTGTGATGGTAGTCATCACTGTCTGTAAAGTCCATTCATCGTCTTCCGCAACTGGAGGTGGAGCAGACTTGGTGGATGACCTGGCAGCGGTGCCTGATGTTGTGTTGGTCGTTGTAACCCAAGGAAGTGTCAGAAGCTACGTAAGCGCCAGTGTTGTTGTTTGCAAGCGTGGTTACAGCTGGCTCACCACCGTTGTAGACCTCCATTCAACTCCCACGCGAGAGATAAATGTATCCCAAGTCGTCGTGACCGTTGAAAAGGCCAAGTGTGTGTGCGTGCGTCTTTGTAGAGTCTGACATTTCGTAATGTTGACGGTAAAAAGTTATTACAGAGCCGTGCATTCCACTTGTTTGCCAACAACGCGACCTGCTTACACACTCTGTCACTCCACTACCAGCTTTCTTGGCACTCATCCGGGGGTATGTTCGCGTCGGCTCAATCGTGGTAGAGATAGTAGTTGTAAAATATCATGTATCAACCCTAAGTCGGATCTTTCTGTTGGTCACCTACCTGCAGATCATCCTTACCACTCTCGGAAAGTGTAGGCTTTTGCACCACAGTTGGGCAAGCCGAAAAGAAAGCTTTGCCGTCGTAGGATAAGAATTGGTTCTCGCTATCAATTCAGAAGGCTGCTTCAGGCATGGCCGAGGGGTAGAGGTTGCAAACCAAAGCTATACTAGGACCTGATTCGACGGTCAGATCCAAATCGTTGGTTGGGAAGAAAGCAAGTGAAGGGTTGTGTAATGGAGATGAAGTATTGATGATGGAGTCCAGAGACCACAACCGATGCTCGAAAAGGAAGTCTTGATGACACGACGGAAGAGGACAACGAAGAATCTACCAGCCCACCAACACCCCTTCCCCTCAGCTTCATACAAACGGCCATCCTTCTGCTAGACATTGTCCCACTCATCTCCAGACTTCCTATCTAGATCTGACCTGCGGATAGTTGGCCAATAGTTAGATTATCCACATCGGATGGTGTTAAATAGAATGTGCGGGACTGAGGATGTTTGTGAGATCCATGTCGTGGCTGCAGTTGCCGGGGCCTTGCTTAGGCATGAGTTGAGAGGAATTGGGGGGGGGGGGAGAAACCTAGACGGAGAAAAAGAGGGAAACACCAAAGATCAAACATTATGGGTCAATTAGCATCAATAATGCCGTTCACAAAGCCCAACTTTTGCTGATGAACAGGAGTTTAAAAAGCCAGCCGCTACGATGGCACATGGTTGAAGACTAAGTAGGACACTAGGCATTCTGATGGGTAAACAGTGCCTTCAATATTTCTTTGGACAGTTGACAAAGACACCTACCAGTCATAGCATGTTTGGATTGCTTCCCGGCTGAGATCAATGCCATTAGCAAAGGGGCTGACTAACCGATTACCTATGCAAGCATTACCGTCTCACCCGTTCGGCTGCCATCAAGGCGGGTGATGTGAGAGGGATACCCGGTTGGAGGCAATTGCAGAGTGCAAGTTGACTCCTAGCTAGAAAGCGTAAGGCAAAACAGCTTCATATCCGAGCTGAAGAGGAGAGCATAACGTTCAAAAAACACGAGAAAAGTTTTCAGTCAAAGTATAGTGGAAAATTAGAGGTCGTTGGGCATCGTCCAGCCTGTCCATTCTTAAGTTGACAGCTCAGTGGCTAATCTACCTCGCCTTCTTACGCCTTTTGGGAGGAGAAGGTTCAGATTCGCTTTCAGATTCGATGTCGCTGGCGTCTTCGATGTCATTGTCAGACATCTCGTCCCCATCTTCTGAACCATCCTCCTCACCATCGTCATCCTCTTCATTATATTCATCCTCATCACTTGTCTCGTCAAGGGGTATCATATCTGGTGCGCTGTCATCCTGAGCTTCTTTTCCAACTTCTACTTCCACCTCTGAATCACTATCGCTCGAAAAACCGGAGAACTCGGACTCAGAGTCAGAACCTTCATCTTCTGATTCATCTTCAGGCTCGGCTGCCGCAGTTGAATCGGCCATTGAGGTGTCGGCAACGCTTTCAGTCTCTTCCCGCTTTCGTTTCTTCGGCATTTCGCCGAGACGACCTGCTCGTCCTTCTATCACTGGCTCATCACCCTTCTCGGGCTCAGGAGCTGGAGTAAACCAAGGAATCTTGCCTCGCATGAAGTCGTTTAACACCTGTTTGGCAACGCCATCCACATCTGGTTCACCACCTTTCAGCAACCTTCCAGATTTTCTGGCGAGCATTTCAAGGAACTCAATGTGATCCTTCCAGCCCCTGAGCTCGTACGTTCTTTCCATATGATGCTGCTTGACCTTCCTCAAAACAGCCGGAATGTATTGCTCAGGGTGTTCAACATTCTCGACGCGGACAACGCCACGGAGAAGGAGGTCTTCCGGTGTATCATGCTGATTAGGTGGCACAATACCAGGGCAATCAATTAAATAAATGCGCTTCATCAGTGTGACATATTGCCAAACCTTGGTCTCACCAGGGATCGGTGCGACTTTGGCCACAGCCTTCCCGCGGAGGGCATTAATGATACTTGACTTGCCCACGTTGGGGTAGCCGATCAGACCGACACTAATTTGCTTGCGGTCCTTGTGAAGCACGCTGAACTGCCGTAGCAAATCAATTAGAGAACCACGGCCGAAGGGATTTGTGATGCTGGCCCGCATCGCACAAGTGGGATGATCCTTCTGAAGAATGCGGATCCATGCAGCCTAGGTCCGTCAGCATCCGTGAATCAAAAAGGATATTAAACGACGAGACCAAATAGGGACGACAAAATGTGTGAATCATTACTAAGAAGACAACCATGTGCTGTCCAACAGGACCGTGGCTGTCTTCAACTCAGCTGAAACACATCCGGTATCCGGCGACAACACCCCAAAACGGGGGCCATCAGTCCCTAATCTGAAGACCAGACCAGGGACGTTGGAGATGGATATTAATCTTCCAGGGTTGTAACGGACAATCTCCCATTGAGCAAAAAGCACGAGAGCACCCTGACGAAAGCCCTGGGGTCACCAGCAAAAACACTGGAGATACGAGTTAGAGATCAAGATTAAAGAAAGGGGGACCTACCGCTTGGCTGGATGGTACAAGGTCGATCTTATTTAATACAAACACGAGATGCTTATGTGGCGCTTCGGCAGCGAGATACTTCTCGACATGCCGGCTGCACAATCATTGATTAGTAAAAACCTCAGAAGGAAAGTAGGTATGAAGCATACCATCTCGTGCCCAGCGGGTCGCGCGCATCCAGAACATGCAGGATGACGTCTGACGAATCGATCACCTTGTCTGATGATATGTCAGCGGTCTGTTAACGTAAAGTAAAGGACTGATTGGCATACAAAGTTCGTTCCAGATGCGCTTCGAAGTTCCCTTGTTGAAGATTGCCTCCTTTGCGGTGGCAACACTGAAGTCTTCCTCAACAGGGGCCTCGCTTTCGAGAGCAGCAGCACCTGCAGCGCCACTCAGCAATTTCTTTTCTTCCAGGCGGGCATGATACGAGTCGAGGCTCTGTTCGCTGTAGCCGGCTAGCTCATCAACCGTATTGAAGCTGAGCTTGGGACGTTTCCTCTGGGCCTTGGGGCCGAAGGTTTCCGAGAAAGGTTCTCTCTCAATGGTCATCTTGGCCTGGTGTTTCTTGAGACCATCTTCAAGCTTTGGCCCATCCCGGATTAAGCTCATAGGCAGCTTATTGCTCTTCAGCAGGACCGTATAGGGATCTTTCTGTTTTTCAGCCATGGCTTCCCGGAAAGACTGCAGCGTGTCCTGGGAGATGACTCGAGTGTTGGTGAACCATTTCCGGTTCGGCTCTATAACCGCCTTGGGCACCTCCTTGCTCTGGAAAGAAGCAGCTTTGACGATCTTGCCCTTGCTATCCCGGATCGGCTTGCCCTCCTTGAGAATGTTGAGGGTCTTGATCTTCTTCGCTGAGCGGTAGAAGTTCTCTCCCTTGACATGTGGGTCGCCGGGCGTCCTGCCTTCCCGCAGGAGGCGATTTTTCTCCTTCTTCCCTGCAACAGCTAGTTAACACTGATGATCTCAGGGAGGAATGACGACAACGGACTTAAACTACCTACCTGTTCCCATTTCGGCGACGTTTTACGTACGCAATCAGCTGAGACAGGGAATTTGAGAGCAAAAGTGCAGACGGTTCCGCCTGCGAGATGGAGATTAGCGGTCTTCCACAGAGGGAAGCTGAGTGTGGAAGACAAGGAGGAAAAAGTTTGAAGGGATGGGGATGGAGCGAAGAGATTGTCAATTGAACATTTTTTGGCACGATGTGGAGCTAACAGGTCTCTTTCTTGCAGTAAATTTAGGCGGTGAAGGTGGGCAGAACTGCGGCAGGGACAGAATGCACTAAGCCAGATCAGGACTAGTGCCCCTCATCTCAACGCCGAACTTCAGAATTTCCAACTCGTGCATCACGCTCAGTGCCGTCGCCAGCGACTTCGGGTCTTGAGTTCAGTCGCAGAGCAGGTTAACTGCCCTTAAATCCCAGCTCTCTGGTTAAGGGAGGCCACCAATTCTGTCCCAAAGGCAGAATTAAACAGAGTAACTCGTCAAAGAGCATCGAACAGGTCCACAAAATGCCTCCTTCGCTCCCCCGGCCGTCGACACTAAACGGCCTCTCAGCCGCCCTCTCCTCCTGCCGAATCTCGGCTCCGGCGACTGTCATTAGCAAGAAACCAACCCGGCCAGCAATAGCATCACTTAGCACCTCATCAGCTGCTCGGAATCCGCAGCAACAACAGCAGCAGCAGCAACAGCAGCAAGCAGCGCCCATCGTCTTTCCTCCTCAGTCACCCAGGTTCATCACTTTGCCGGAGCCACCCCAGTCGTCCGAGATCAAGCTGGGACCAATCAAGGGCCACCTGCCCGTGCCTCGCGACATCTTCCCCAAGCGCGACGGTGACCGCAAGATCCAGCCCGAGTATATCGCGAATGCGACGAAACTGTCCAAAGCCGAGCTGGCCGGCCTGCCGCCCAAGACCGAGCACGAAGAGCGGCGACGGCGCATGGCTGCTGCACGTCGTAAAGCCCTCGAGGAAGGTCTCCGCGGGCTGTACGAGCGCAAGCAGCTTCGTGAGAAGCGCTGGGCAGCGCGCAGCAAGCGCAACTATGAGCGCAACCTAGCTGCCGCAATGGCCCCTGAGCGGCTGGATGAGGTGTTGACCCGCTCCACAGTGTTGGAAGCCACTGCGCTTGGTGGTCATCTGGAGGAGGACCCGCATCGGTTCGCACGGGCGAAGAAGGCAGCCAAAAAGCATGCTGCCATCATGGCTAAGAAGGCGGAGGCTCGGAGGGATGCCCTGGCGCAGCTGTACGTGGCAGCTCAGAACTTTATTGTGGATGAAAAGGAGCTGGAACAGCGTGTTGAGGAGCTCTTCAAACCCGATACTTTCCGCTACGGTGGCAGCGGAAACTGCGAAAGCATCTGGGATACCCAAAAGGCTCCTGTCAGTATTAGTGAATTGCGCGCTGACACATTTGGAACTTCGGCCAACATCATCGATGCTAAGAAGAGCAACAGCGTCAAGACTGCCGCACGCCAGAAGATTGTGGCTGAAGAGTTGACAGGAGGCAAGTTGTGATGGGTGGATGGGTAAGACCGAGGAAGTCTGAGGAGTTGTATTAAGCCGTGTGTAGTATGATGCCGGCGTGTACTGTATGAATACCAAGAATCATGGTTGTTGTCTGATCCACGGTGTCTCAATATATACGTTTCTTTGTATGCTTTTTACATAACGTCAAGGTTCTCTCTCGCTTCTTCATGGCCATAACATTGATGTTACTGAAATTAGGATGAACCGTTACATGCGTTACCTAACGCCCGCGACCCAGATGCTTACTCCATGTGTCTTCAATCACACAAGAGGCATGTTCCAAGCAAGGAATAAAGCCCTATGAACGACCGGTAGAACCACACGCTCAAGTATATATCCACAAAAGCAAACCCTATGGAAAGAAATTAACGATAACCCCCCCAGGCTTACCAACCATTACCTCCTTTCCACGAGCAGTATATGCATGGCCGCATATGCCAACACAATAAAGACAGCCCCAAATACAGCCAAGTTCGTGATATCCTTCCACATCGCCTGATTATCAAAACCAAACGAGCTCAGAATCGCTGCGCCTGGAACAGTGATATCAATCCCAATTTTATGATCAACGAGGGTCAACTGGGTGACCTCGTTCACAATAAGCGCCTCAAACCCATAGTGGAATATCGACAGCCACTGAAGCCAAAGAGCAGCAGGAGGGATTGCGTTGTGATTGAGCAACAAGCCTGCAAACAGCAAGCTGAACAGCATGACTAGGCTGCCGATCAGATTGGCAACTCCCCCATCTTTGCAGACGATGCCGATGAACAGGCAAATAGCGGCAGCGGCAAGGTTAAAGAGCACAAGCACGAGCATGAAAATAAGGAACTTGTTGAGCTCGGCCACGAGACCCGTCATAGGGTAGACAATTGTGCCAAGAAGGATGGGTGGGATGATGCGTAGTGGAATGATATCGAACAACACCTTCGCGGCGAAATATGTGATGGGATGATAATATCCGTTGGCGCGCTCACGAACAAACAGAAGACGCTCTTGGGAGAAAACCGAAAGCGAGGTTAATGTGCTGAATCCGAACAGGGCAAGGATGAAGAAGAAAAGGCCAAGGCGGTTCTGAAACCCTGCAATGTCCATGGTCAGACCATAGAAGAGGTAGCCGGCGAAGACGGCCAGAAGAATGGCGATGGCGTAGTGGGTCAACATCAACATCGGGTTACGGTAAAGATTTCTCCATGTCCGTTGTGAGAGCAGGACAAACTGCTTCCAGTAACCAATGCGCGCATAACCCTTGCCCATGGTACCAGTGTTAATGTTGGGACCGTCGGGAGTATATCCATTAGCATTCCGGCCGTTGCTGTTGAGGGCTGCAGTGACAGCTTGCTGAATTTCGTCTTGGATACTAGCGGCGATATTCGACTGACGATAGGCCTGGACCAATAGATCAAGATCTGTGCCTGTAGTGGCGGCAGGTGGCAAGTCATCGTCATCTCCATGGGGTGGAACAATGTGTGGTGTGGTCTGGAGCCTGTACGACCCGTCTACCTCATCTCCAGCATCCGAGGAGGCTGCCGTGTCGACCGTATGCTTGCGCCGGGTAAAGAGCTCTCTCTCCTGCCTGAGCCGTACGGAGTTGTGGCGCTTAGTCTTTGGCCGAGAGGCCGAGGACTCAACCGTGCCGTCGTGTTCAATGCTCCCAGAACTGCTAGCGAGCGACTTGACTGCTCTTATGCTGCTGAGTCCAACACTCCCGTCGTCTGCTGCAAGGCTACCATCATCGTAAGAAGTGGTGGCCCCGGCATGCATCGTCAGATCGACCAGGTAGTCAGCGATGTTGAATCCAGGAGGACAACTATAGCCAATTTGATCAAAATAATCCTGGCATTGATGAAGTGGGCCGGAGTAAACAGTCTTGCCCTGGGCCAGCAAGATCAGACGGTCGAAGAGAGCCACGATATTGGACCTTGGCTGGTGAATGGTGAAGATGACAGTTCGCTTGTACGTCTTCGCCAGGGTGACCAAACATTCAATGACATTATAGGCATTGTAGGCGTCAAGACCGCTGGTAGGTTCATCCAAAAACAGGATGGAGGGGCTCGTGACTAGTTCGCAAGCAATGCTTACACGACGCTTCTCACCGCCGGAGATACCACGGCCTTTGCCCTCTTCTGACCCAATGAGAGAGTCTCGGATGTGATAAATACCCAGCTGCTTTTCGACCTCAATGACCCTCTGTTCTTTTGCCGCCCGAGTCATGTCTTTCGGAAGACGGAGCAGAGCGCTGGTAAGGATCGTCTCGTGCACAGTCAATGTAGGCAACATGGTGTCTTCCTGATCGACGAAGCCAGTGGCATTCTTGTAATCCGCATCGCTGACCTTTTCACCATTGACGTAGAACTCTCCCGTGACAGCACCACGCTTGTTTTTACGCGCGAGGATGTCCAAGAAGGTGGTCTTGCCGGCACCAGACGCCCCCATGATAGCTGTGATCTCTCCTGGATGAGCCACACCCTGAATGCCAGACAAGATCTGCTTGCCGTTAAGGTTGTAGGAGACATCTGAAAAATAGAGGGTAGCGGGCTTATGGTCTGCCATCAATTTGATCGCCTCGTCGTCCGAGTCATCCAGATGGATTGGACCGTAACGGAATTGCCTCCTGGAGAGGTACCAAGTGCCTAGAATAGCTGCGACCAAAAACAGACCACAAGCGGCGATAGCCCCGGCAATCAGGGGGGTGTTGATCTTTGGAACTTCTGGAGAAAAGCCAGGCACTTCGGTGTGGTACAGACATTCTCCAGCCTGGCAAGTCAAGAAGATGCTGGCATCACCGAAGATATCGCTGATGAGATTATTCATCTCTGGCTCCTGGAAGGCACACTTCTTTGGCTCGCCGGGTCTTTGTGTGCACTCGAACCTCGCAGGACCACGAATCATTTCCACAAGGAAATCACTGATATCAACTGACCCGTTCTCACCGCAAAGCATGCGATTCGGGATGCACTCGCAACGGATTTTTTCGCACTTGTATGATGTCGAGTTCTTTCCAGCAGGGTCGAAGTTTGCGCTGGACTGACACTCGTTTAAGTGGCACATGAACGACTCGCGTTCGGCAACCCAGACTAGCTATGATTAGCAGAATAAGACTGGATGAGGCTAACCTTCCGAAACTCACATTGGAAGTCACATTCGCCAGACGCCTTGTTGCAGGTGAAGGTCACTTGCGGCACCTTCTCCTTCAAAAGGTCCCGGATGGCCTTGTTGGTGACATCGCAGACTTGGTAGTTCTGCTTGACCACCTCGCCGCCAGTGTAGCAAACGCCGCCATCTCCAGTCTCGGTAAGAGCATCACATGCCCGGTCGCTTGTGCAGACATTGCAGTTAATGCCTGTCCAGCCTTCATCACACTCGCAAGAGGGGCCTTTGCGCATGGGTCGATCACGACCTCGAGCTAGCGATCCGCATACTATATGTGTGTCGTGAGCATGTGTGTTACTGAGCTATGGGGAGGTGTACCTCAGGAGAAACATACAGGGCTCAAGACAGTTGTCACCACCGAAGCCGGCAGGACAGTCGCATTTCCCACTGTATTCGCTGCACGGCGCAAACTGGCCGCATGAATAGATAGGCAGATTACAGTTGAAGCTGTGTAATCGAACAACGATCAGTCACCCCATCCCCGCAGCAGCGTACATTGCCATGATGTCGACGAGTGTCATACCATGGAGGGCAATCCTTGGGTCGGTTGTCCATCAGGTCCAACTGTGCCCGAATCACGTCCACATCGATGGACGAGTAGTTGGTGTAGGCTGTTGTCACCCAAGATAGCGATAGTGCTGCTACCGCAAAAGTGCGCGGTAGCTTGGGCGCCATATTGGCAAAGCGGCAGACAGCCAACGGCAATGAAGAGTATTGGTCGAGCAGATGTGTTGACGGATTGGACACAGATGGGTGTGTCAAACGACAACCTGAAGCTTGGGAGCTAGAAGCTCCAAATATGGTGTCTTGGGGAGCTGCCTGTTTATCCAGATCGGCGGTCGCTAGTCTGGTGTTCTCACGGATTGGCAGGCTGCGATGACGACCCTCAACGTCCAATCGCAGGCCAACTGAGGAAGATGACGCCACACCCCAGCCTCAGGTGCTCGGCTCCTGAGCACTAACAGGTTTAAGCATCGACGTCGACCAGCCAGACGCCAACAACGTCGCTGACGGGAAAGTAATGCGGGTTCAGGACGGAATATATGGGAAGTAAAGTGAATGAGGACGGAAAGCTGGAAGCATGCACAGATGCAACGATGAATGCCAGCCCCCCAACAACGTTGCTTCGCTGCGTTGCGTTGTCCCGATGATGTCGTTATGGAGCTGCGGCAGGGCGCTGGGGTTGACGAGCCAAGAAACACAGAGTGCCTGGGGAACTTGTGCCAAGACCCCTGTCCAAGACTCAGGATGCAGGCTAGATGTCAGACGACGCCTCGTGATTGGTGATCAGAGATGATCCACCTGATTCCCACGTGATGAAGGGTCCCGCCCCTCAATGTCATGGCTTCATCGTTATCAACCCAGAAGTGGGAGCCAGAAGAGGGCGTGCTCAAATGACGCAGTTACCTGAGATCAGAGACAACTCTAACAGACTGGTAGGAGATCTTCAACCAAGTTCACCTGACCACCTGGATCCTTCATCCTATATGCTCCCGTCAGAGCTATAGCTTTCACTTCCTACCAGGTTTATCTAGAACAAGCAGAGTTGCCTTTCCAACAACTTACAGTAGTTAGGCGTGGGCTGGCAGAAGGATCGCTCGCTCAATGTTACCCATCTAGGTGGGGTCAATGCCTGGCAACGGCGACCTACAGAGATCAAATTGGAGAAGCTTCCCCTACGGGTGCTTAATCCTGAATGGGTGCCACGATAATGACAACACGCTTCTGCTCTGGAACCAGGGATATATAAGTACCGTAGAGTTTGAAAGGCAAATTGAGGGCAAGAGTTTCTCAATCGAGTTGTCTTCAGAATCCAGGGTCCCACACGAACCGACTTTTGCCGCTTTCAGACCGGGTCGCCAAAATGGTCAAGATCCAGCCCTTCGAAGTCGAGCAGTGGATGGACAGGCTGGAAACAACGCCGGGTGTTCTAAACCTTGCAGAGACTTGCGCCGCGTCGGTGTCACTTGACGACCTCATTCGCATGTGTGAGGATAAGAATTCACAGAATCCACTCTGGCTGTCCGCAAAATTGACCTACGGTGCCATCCGAGGTTCCAAGACTCTCCGCCGCCGTGTCGCCGCTCTATACGATCGTGCCTCCGATGCAGAGCCGTTATCCAGCGAGAATGTTCTTATCTCGCAGGGAGCTATCGCTGCTAACTTCCTGCTCCTGTATACGCTCGTTGGCCCCGGAGACCATGTGATTTGCGTCTACCCAACCTATCAGCAGTTGTATGCTGTACCAGAGAGCCTTGGGGCCGAAGTTTCCCTGTGGAAGCTGAAGGAAGAGAATGCCTACATCCCTGATGTGACCGAGCTTGAGGGGCTAGTGAAGCGTAACACCAAGGTATGAACTGGAGTGTCTACCTACGTCTGCTGTTAAGGGTCTGTTGGAGCACATGTTGATTAGCCACAACTTGCAGATGATCGTCATAAACAACCCCAACAACCCAACCGGCAGTACTATCCCGCCGTCCGTTCTTCTTCAAATCGTCTCCTTCGCCCAACAGCGCGACATCATCATTTTTTCGGATGAAGTTTACAGCCCACTCTACCACTCCCTTCCGTCGGCTCAACCAGCGCCCCCTTCGATCCTCTCACTAGGTTATGCCAGAAGTGTATCCACGGGCTCCATGTCGAAGGCTTTCTCCTTGGCAGGAATCCGCATAGGTTGGATTGCGTCCCGTGATCGAACCATTATCGAGGCTGTTGCTGCTGCCCGAGATTACACTACTATTAGTGTGTCACAGCTCGACGACCAAGTCGCCAGTTTCGCTCTGTCGGAGTCTGTCGTGGGACCGCTGCTAAAGCGGAATCTGGGGCTGGCCCACCAAAACTTGGGTCTTTTAGAAGCTTTCATTCTGCGGTATAAAGATCACTGCGAATGGGTAAAGCCAACCGCTGGGACTACCGCTCTGGTGAGGTTCAAGCACCGGGACGGGACCCCAGTTGACGACCCAAGTTTTGTATTGGATTTATTGGATAAGACTAAGGTTCTGGTTATGCCGGCATGCCCATGCTTTGGATTGGGAAAAGATTTCGTAGGCTATGTGAGATTCGGGTACGTGTGCGAGACGGAAATTTTGATCGAGGGGTTGAGGAGGCTAGGGAAGTACATCGAGGAACACCTTCAGTGAGATCCATCTGGCTGCCAAATCGCGTTTCATACCGCCTATCTCAGTGTATGCGGATTCTCCTATGGAACTGCAACCATAACATGCCTTGAGCTAGCACAATTTGTAAGAACCTTTCTAGAGGAGTAGTTGAGGGAGCCTCGCGCGACTTGAACTTCCCTATGGGCTCGAAATGAAAATGAATGGGCGCTGTCTCGCACCGTGTAGAAGGTACCTTGCGCCCCAGGGGTCTCAGAAACCGTTAACTGTCCATCCGGTACAATGACTGGAACATAGAAATCCCTATGTCTCTCAATTCTCACTGAGGCAGCCAAACGCTTTGGTTGGCCTTAGATTGAGCATGTAAAATTTAGTTATTCTTCCTGTGATGGATGACGTCCGATCCCAAGAGATAGCACGGTGAAAATTACTGGATGCTTGCGTAACGCATCCGCAGATCGGTGCCAAGCGCGTTGCATCCCGCCCGCGCCAAGGACGGCATTTCCCCTAGAAGGCTCCTGAAATTCTTGACTGACATCATCAGTTCGCGGATGGCAGTTCAACGTGATCGTCGAGCAAGACATGGTAATCCCAAGCCCGGCACAGCGGAATCATGTCAAGAATGGCTTGTGTTTGCATTCTATTGCCATATGTAACGAGTCAATGCCTCCTCGGGGATGACAGTGGATAAGGCGTTTCAAGGCCTCCATGGGTGGCGCTTGCTCTCTTTGCTGAACCTGACCGACACAGCAACGAACCGTTTCCATCTGCGGCAGTGTTCAAGATTTAAGACGTGGCCGATCGGACGAAGACTCTGGACTGCTGTGGACCGGTGTCTCCTCTGATCGTCAGAACGTAGGCTAGGGCTTTTCATCCAGTCCTTTGACTACTTCCTGCTCTCTGATTTCCATGAACGCTTCCATCGGATATACCTCCAGTACCGGTTTGACTGCACTTCTGGGTAGGCAGTCGGTTTTGTGGCTTCCAACCTCGATTTCACAACGTTGATCTTGTCATCAACCTTACTTCAATTCGTCAGCCTTTACCGGTATTTACGTCGCTCGTCACTCTCGACTTGCCACCATGAGAGCGTACAGCACGGCAATCGTTACCACGTTGCTGGCGCAACTGGCACAGTCCACAACGCCGGGTGTTGTGTTATGGGACATACATAAGGAAAAGAAGCCGCAGCACTTGTCAAGGTTTCAGAAACGCGCTTCGACCTATGAGGAAATTATTTCCAATGAGCAAATGCGCGGCGGCTACTTTGCCACATGCCGGCTCGGTACGCCGGCACAGAACTTGACACTTCAGCTGGACACAGGTAGCAGCGATATTTGGGTTCCCGACTCGGGCGCCAAAGCCTGCAGCAATGCACAAACAGGAGGCTGCAGCCTCGGATCATGTATGACTGCTCAAAGCTCTATTCCCTTCCTGTTCGTACTCCAACCCACTAACGTGCCGTTTTAGTTAGCCCCAGCAAGTCCTCGACGTTCCATGTAGTCGGAAAGGGCCAATTTAATATCAGTTATGTGGATGGTAGCTCGTCCAACGGCGACTACTTCACCGACGTCTTCGAGATTGGCGGTGCTACTCTGAACAACATGACCATGGGCTTAGGCCTGAAGACTGACATTCCGTATGGGCTTGTCGGCGTGGGTTATGACATCAACGAAGCGATCGTGGGGACTACTCAGTCGCTTTCATCCGTGTACCCAAATCTCCCGGTGAACATGGTCAACGAGGGCTTGATCAACACCGTTGCTTATAGTCTGTGGCTCAATGACCTAGGTAAGCCCCAAACCTGACACTCTAGGTGCTTCCGGGGCTAATAGTGTTTCATACCAGATGCCAGTGCGGGTAGCATTCTCTTCGGTGGTATTGACACCGAAAAGTATGCAGGCGACCTCACGAGTATCAAGATCTATCCAACTCAAGACAATTTTTACACATCATTTCTAGTGGCCCTGACATCGCTGCACGCAGTTAGCCCTACCGGAGAGGACACTCTTACCTCGAAGCAGTTTCCCGTCCCCGTCGTTCTGGACTCCGGAACCACCCTTACCTACCTGCCCACAGACCTCGCCCAGCAGGTTTGGAAGGAAGTTGGGGCAATCTATGCGCCTGAGTTTCAGGTCGCTGTCCTACCCTGCGACATGAAGAGCAGCAAAGGCTATTTTTCCTTTGGTTTTGCGGGCCCCAGGGGACCGCGCATTGATGTGAGGATGGACGAGCTTGTCCTCGACATGACGACAGGTCAGCCCCCCGTCTTTGCCTCCGGCCCCTATGAGGGCCGCGATGTGTGCGAATTTGGCATCCAAAACTTTACTTCGGCTCCCTACCTGCTCGGCGATACTTTTCTGCGTTCGGCATATGTCGTGTATGATCTGGCAAACAATCAAATCGGCATAGCTGCCACCGAGTTTAACTCGACCAAGAGCAACATTGTTGCATTCCCCAGCTTGAGCGCTCCAATTCCGTCGGCCACTGTTGCGCCGGACCAGGACAAGGTCCCTGACCAACCGGCCTACACAACGCCCGCGTATGCGGCTAGGCCCGGTTTTATGGGCGAGGAGGGGGGTGAGGAGAATGCAGCCGTCTGTTCACGGGGCCTGGACTGGGTCAAGACTCAGGGGTTAGTGGTTGGCATCACGATGCTGCTTACCGCATTCGGCTCGAGTTTGTTTCTCGGCCTCTAAGACATGATGTGATGGACCATGGCGAACAATGGCAGCACATCTACCAGATATATAGCTGAGGAGGTTAAGACATGCAAACAGTAGAAGTTGGCTGGCCCGACCTTGGGCTTACCACAGAGCCAGGAGAGTGTACAAAGTTGGTCTGCAATCCACTAATAGATAGGTACCTTACCTATTGAAAAAAAAAATTAGTGAAAAACAACTGAACGGCTTGTCATCGGAGCACAATACTTTTTTTTTGCTTTACGTATATGTACGGCCATTCCCATCAAGTTTTGAGTGGTGTGACAGCGGTTGCAACCCCACGCTCGGGCGAGCAGGCGTATGAGGCAGTCGGATGAGGGGTAGAGCCTCTGCGGCGCAGCGGGCGCATACCCCTGTCTCCCCAATTGGCTCCACCAAAAAATTTCACAGGCCTCGTTGCTGCTGCTTTGAGCCGAATTGAGAGCTGGCACCACCCTATCGCCGAGTTCAGGTTTGGATACTGTCCTCCACTCTCCAGCCTGGAACCTCCCTTCTTTCCCCAGTCATTCCTTTGACCTTCTGTCCCCCATTGTCTTTGTGCGTGCTACGAAGATGCGGGTGATCAGGGCTATTGCTGCCCTCAACAGCGGCCGCGCTGTCGGCTCCAGACACGCGGTGCGGACTATCACTTCTGCCCTCGCGAGTCGCGCCGCCCTCGTTGGTGCCTCTTCGCCGCAATGCGCCTCTCCATACAGTTTCCAGCTGAGCGGCCTTCGCTGCTTCAGCACCAGTCATTTTAGGGCTGCCTCCAGCGCGGCCGAGGCTGCGTATGCTATCCCAGCGCCAAACCCACCCCGATTGCGCTAGCCCACGCTGACGCTCTCTCAAACTCCAGTCTGCAGCAGGCCAAGGAGCTTGCTGCTGCGAACATGACCCCTGAAGCCGCTGCTGCGCGTATGAGCCCAGAGGAACTCAAGAGGATATCGAGGGTCCGGAACATCGGCATTGCAGTATGTGTGGCCCCAGTTATTACTCCTACCATCATCAACACCCAGCCCGGCAAAACAGAAGGGGCACGCAGGGAGAAGAGAACTGAATGAAACCGCTGCATAGGCACACATCGACAGCGGCAAGACCACCGTGACTGAGCGCATTCTCTTCTACACTGGCCGTGTCAAGGCTATCCATGAAGTTAGAGGCAAGGACGGCGTCGGCGCCAAGATGGACTCCATGGAACTCGAGCGCGAGCGTGGTATCACCATTCAGTCTGCTGCCACCTTCTGTGACTGGAAGAAGGGCGAGGAGACGTACCATCTGAACTTGATCGACACCCCTGGCCATATCGACTTCACCATCGAGGTGGAGCGTGCCATGAGAGTCCTCGACGGTGCTGTCATGGTTTTGTGCGCTGTTAGCGGTGTCCAGAGCCAGACCATTACCGTCGACCGGCAGATGAAGCGCTACAACGTGCCCCGTATCAGCTTCGTCAACAAGATGGACCGCATGGGTGCAAATCCTTTCAAGGCTGTCGAGATGATCAACAGCAAGCTCAAGATCCCCGCTGCCGCCATCCAGATCCCCATTGGTGCCGAGAAGGAGTTTGAAGGCGTGGTCGACATCATCAACATGAAGGCAATTCGCAACGACGGTCACCGTGGTATGAACGTGAAGGTCTCGAACACTATCCCTGAGCACTTGAAGGAGCTCGCCGAGCAGAAGAGGCAGGAGCTCATCGAGAAGCTTGCCGACGTTGATGACGAGATTGCCGAGATGTATCTCGAGGAGAAGACGCCCACGCCCGAGCAGATCAAGGCTGCGATCCGGAGAGCGACCATTGCTTGCAAGTTCACTCCTGTGTTAATGGGTTCTGCGCTTGCCGATAAGTGCATTCAGCCCATGCTCGACGCTGTATGCGACTACCTTCCAAACCCCAGCGAGACGTACAACGTTGCCCTGGACCGGTCTAAGGGCGAGCAGCCTGTGCAGCTTCTGCCATATAACTCCCTACCTTTCGTCGGTCTGGCTTTCAAGTTAGAAGAGAACCCCTACGGTCAGCTCACCTACATGCGCGTCTACCAGGGCTCGCTCAAGAAGGGCCAGTACCTGTTTAATGCCCGCACTGACAAGAAAGTCCGTATCCCTCGTATCGTCCGGATGCACGCGAACGAGATGGAGGATGTCAATGAGATTGGTGCCGGTGAGATTTGTGCTGTCTTCGGTGTTGAGTGTGCCTCTGGCGATACCTTCACCGATGGTCGTCTGCCTTATGGCATGACGTCCATGTACGTGCCCGAGTCCGTCATGTCACTCAGCATCAAGCCCAAGCGCAGCAGCGACGCGGACGCCTTCAGTAAGGCCATGAACCGCTTTATGCGTGAGGATCCGACATTCCGTCTGCATGTCGATGAGGAGTCCGAAGAGACCATCATCAGCGGTATGGGCGAGTTGCATCTCGATATCTATGTCGAGCGTCTGCGTCGCGAGTATAAGGTCGAGTGCGAAACGGGCAAGCCGCGTGTCGCTTACCGCGAGACCATCACTAAGCGTGCCGAGTTCGACTACCTGCTCAAGCGCCAGACTGGTGGTCCTGGTGACTATGCCCGCGTCATCGGCTGGATCGAGCCCAACTCGGAGAACCCGGAGGCCAACCACTTCGAGACACGCGTCGTTGGCGGTACCATTCCTGACAAGTATCTCAGTGCTTGCGGCAAGGGTTTTGAGGAGGCTTGTCTCAAGGGTCCTCTGCTCGGCCACAAGGTCATTGGGGCGTCGATGGTCATCACCGATGGTGCCACTCACGTTACCGACTCCAGCGATTATGCCTTCAACCTGGCTACTCAGATGGCCTTCCGCAAGGCCTTTAAGGAAGCTGGCGGCATTGTTCTGGAGCCTCTCATGAAGACGACTATCACGGCTCCTGCCGAGTTCCAGGGTAACGTTTTGATGCTCATGAACAAGCGTGGCAACATTGTGGACACCGAGGTCGGCGCCGATGAGTTCACCATGATTGCCGAGTGCTCTCTAAACGCCATGTTCGGCTTCAGTACTCATCTGCGCGCTGCCACCCAGGGTAAGGGCGAGTTCAGCATGGAATTTAGCCACTATGCTCCGGCGCCGCCACACTTGCAGTATGTGTCCCCGATCTTGTTCTATGTCTTCTGTGAGAATTGTTATACTGATGCATGTCCCTCTTACCACCTACAGGAAGGAGCTTGTTGCTCAGTACGAGAAGGAACTCGAAGCTAAGCGGACCAAGTAAGCAACATGTAGCTGTGCTTGCTGGCTGTGAGAGTTTCGAGTTTCTCCGGCTATTCTTTTTGAGTGAAGGTGTCCGCAAACTGGCCTCTTTGGCTCATTGTGGACCGAACTCGCGAGCTGAGTGCCTGCGCACCTTGTTCAGATCTGCAAGGCAATCTGGCAAGGCTGCGGCAGCGAAAAGCCACAAAACGCAGAGTTGGAAGGCAAACGATCAACGGCGTGGTGATGACTATGTATTATGGATGGTTTCATCGGGGTTATCATGGATGTCCCTTGATGGACTAAGGTAAGGTGTTGTGGTCTGGGATAGATATCTGGGTATAAGGCCAACTTCGCCAGAGGAGTCGGATGGGTGGGATTTCTGCCTGTTTATATATGTAACATGTGTACCTGTATGTACATGTATGATATTACAGCTTTTGCGAGTTCTTCCGGGCTTTGGAAGTGTATTTACCAGGAATGACATTTGATGAATCTCTCCTCAATACTGCTAAGAACCAACATGAGCTGGTGTTTTAATGAGCATTGAACCAGTCACGCTTATTGTTTTTACTTTGTGAAGACCCGGGTATACATGTACATGTACTTCATTCTACATAGTTATTTCCAGAATTTTTCCACCACAGGCACGCCAGCGCCTTTACAAACGCTTGAGGATATCCTGCACAACCTCCTCCGTGGTCGCAGTGCCGCCCAGATCCGGGCTGAGCAGCTTGCCCTCAGTGAGGTTAGCATCAACAGCCTCGTAGATCTTGGCAGCGGCCTCCTCCTCATTGAGGAACTCGAGCATCAGCGCAGCGCTGCGCAGCGTAGCAATAGGATTCGCAATGCCCTTGCCCTGGATGTCAGGCGCGCTGCCGTGGCAGGGCTCACCAATGGCAAAGCCCTCGCCAACGTTAGCGCTGGGAACCAGGCCCAAAGAGCCGACCAGCGCAGCAGCACCGTCAGACAGGATGTCACCATACAGGTTGGGGGCAACAATCACGTCGTACGCCTCAGGCTGGCGGAAGAGCTTGTACACCATGGAGTCAACAATCTGCTCCTCGACAGCGACACCGGCGTCCTTGAACCGCGGCGCAGCCAGAGCCTCGCGTGCAGTCGAACGGAACAGGCCATCAGTCTGCGACAGCACGTTGGACTTGTGGGTGATGGTGACGAGGGGGCCCTTGTGAATGCTGGGGCTGCCGGCCGCGCGGATCTTTTGGCGGCGCAGGGCGATCTCGCCGGCCATGGTCGCAATGCGGCTGCTGGCGCGCTGCGAAATGCGCTTGACGGCCTCGGCGACCTTGCCATTGGGCGTATCGAAGGTCTTCTCCTCTTTGACGTACAGGTCCTCGGTGTTCTCGCGCACAATCACCATGTCGATGGGCTTCGGCGCGGACACGACCGTCTTGACGGGCCGCACATTGGCGTACAGGTCGAGTTTCTTGCGCAGAGCCACAATGGGCGACGAGTAGCCCTTGACAGCGCTGGTTGGTGAGCTGACAGCACCAAAGAGGGCGCCGTCGCAGTCGGACTTGAGTACGGAGACCGTCTCCTCGGGTAGGGCAACGCCCGTTTGCTGGAAGGTCTCCCAGCCGGCCTTGAGATCAATGAACTCGAACTTAAGGCCCAGCGACGCGGGCAAGGCCTCGAGGATGCGGCGACCCGCGGGGATCACCTCTTTGCCAATGCCATCGCCGGGAATGAGGCCTGGTATGTGCACGAGTCAGCGGAAAGCGGCACTGAGACGAGGTTGAGCAGGTTGATATTGATCACATTGATCTCTCAATTAGCCCCGGGGTCGGGCTGTGCACAAAGACCTTACCGATTCTGAGAGTTCTCCGGGCCGCCATGGTGTGCTCTTGTTTTCTTTTTATTTTTTTTTTTCCGAGGAATATTTTCGAGGCCAATTGGACTAGTCTCGGCAGTGTCAGAAAAGCTGGACTGACGCCATAGGTGAACACGCAGCCGGGATCGGAGCTGCCATCCCGGCGATCGCCCCGCCAAGCGACACAGCTCCGTTTGGGGTCAAAGAGTGGATGTTACAGGGCGTAAGGCACAGTGTGCATTGGAAAATGAGACTGTGAGGTGTCCTCATCGGATAGGGCATGACCCGTAACTTTCCAGGTTGCTTCTTATAGTTCCACTTCAGTCTGCTAACCAACAACGCAAGATCGACGAGCTTGGATGAATGCTCAAGTCACGAGATTTCTATGTCTGGCCATGTTTTACAAAAGTCCTTGCCCTGGTCGTTTCCTAGGTTATGTTTCTTCCAGATTCTGAGGCCCAATCACCCAGAATCTCAGACGATAGTCCCTGTCGAAGCCGGATGACCAGTGGCCAAGTCAGAGACCCCGTGGCATTTCTTTGACTTAAAGTCGCTAGGATACTTAATTTCCAACCTCATGGCATGAACACCAAGCTTCTCCAGTTAAAGAACTTTCGGAGAAGGAAGTGATCCGACCACCAGTCGTCAAATCGGTCGGCAATAACCTCAAGTGTGGCCCCCCTGCATAGCTTCATACGCTCATCATATAAAAACAGACCATCAAAGCATTCTCGACAATGTACTCTACTTACAGATAGTCATCCAACTGTACGGTTTAGCGGACTACTGTGTGTTGAGTTTTCAATGGTGCTACCGAGTCACTAATGCAAGCTACTCGGTCACTTCCATGGTGTAGAGGGCCGAAGCTCGAGCTGATTCGCTTTTGCGACGGCTCGAAACGCGACATTACTTTTCTAGAGCATTTTGGTGGCGGTCTCCATGCTAATGTCTTTCGCGCAATCATTGATGACTCGGAGTATGCGGTGAAAGTGGTAGGTACCAGAGCCGGTCGAGAGGTAGGCGGATAATGTTTGGATCATTTAGGCTGACTACTCTCCAATTCCGCTTTTCCCATCCCAGGGAGCTCGTGCTCTAGAGTTATCTGGATGACGGCTACGTTAATGCTGATGATGTTATTCGTCAGGAAGACGCATTCTATTGCGACTGTTGAGCTTATGGACGCCTTAAGGAAAAAAGTCGCGAAGATCTCACCGTGCACTGTTATGGCTATGTGCTCTTGACCCAAAACCAAGAGGATGACCTTAGGCAGCGCGGTTTCGACGACTGGAATCGAGGTGCTGCTAACAAGGGACGGCCTCTTAGGGCAATTGTTAAGGAATACATAGTCAGGAATCCTTCTGTGCCTTTCACATACGAGATGTTGCCCTGGATGCGCCGAGATATTCGAGAACTCAATCTGCTAAGAATTGTGGTTTGGGACGTTCAAGCCAACAATTACCGGGCCGGAAAGCTCGTCGACGTCAGTTAGGCACTTACGGTAGCGCATAGAGAGCTGGACTGAAACTCAACCTTCGACTTTCGCATCACGATTATGAAGTTCTGCATCCAGGACCAGATATCCTTCTACACACGATATGAAGTTCTGCATTCAAGACCAGATATCCTTCGACACATGATATGACCTACCAGTGGAACGATGACCATCCGGATCGGTCACTTTTCCACGTCTTTTTCAAAACAATCGCTTCGCGCGGCGGTTGCGCAAGCCACTGGATGACCCAGCGTATCGTGAACGGGAAGGGGCTTGGTTTAACGCTGCCTTCTATGACTGGCAAAAAAAAAGGTCCGGTGTGAACGGGAACTCAGGCGCGTTACTCGTCAGGCGCAGTTGCGTCTCGCGCAGGAAAAGAGTGCCATTCAGAAGAGGTGGCGGATAGATGGCCGAGAAACGCCAGGAACGAGCAAAGTCTGTGACATGATACCCAAACGAAAGATGAATGGATGGTATGGCGCGTTGGACCGTGTATGTATGTGATTTTGCCAGCTGCCTAGGCAACCCGTAGGTGTGGTGAAGACGGGTCAGCTAAGCCGAGGCTCCATCAGCCTTGTGCTCTCCGACGCTCAAGTCCTGAAAAATGTTGAAGACGATGATGGAGGCCTCAAGGAGCTAGGTGACATCTGCAGTGATGATCAACGACCGGGGACTAACCATGATAAAGTCATTGACAAAGAGAGCTGGCTGACGGGGAGTGTTCCAGGATGTGATGATAACCAAAGGGAGCCCTCACAATTGCCTTAAATCTATGGAGGGCTGGAAGTGATGATGCTAGAATTTAGACGCACGACTCACGAAAGCATGTGCAATCAGATGAACGCCTTGTACATCGGCATTCCTTGGAGGGAAAAGCATGATTGGAACAGGACGTCCCACACGCGCGACCTGTTTGGACCCACCGACACTGCCAACGAACGACAAAGCCGCAACAAAACTGACGGGCCTGCATTCCCAGCTGTACCAGAAGATCGCAGGTCCACGAGATGCGCCAAGCCCAGTCGCCGTTGGCTGCCGAATCCCTGAAACGCAGCGTCCGTCGGCAGCTGGCCCTGGGCCAGGGAACCAGTCATTGTGGCATCGGGCTATCCGTTTGATTTCAACAGGAACCTTGCCCGCTGGACCTGTGGACTCAGGTTGCTTGGGAGCTTGGTGGCCGGAGCCTGTGCCGCCGTGTGAGCTGCCTCATCATTCTCCCCTCCATAGCTTTAAACTGCTGCTGCAGGTCCGCATTGCGCGCATGTCTTTCTGCGTGCCTGCATTGTTTGGGGATGACGAGGAGCACAACCACGAGGGGATCCGCAGCTTGCCAGCTTCCCCCTGAAGTTAAGGCCAGTCCCCCCATTGTTCAACCCCCCCTCCCCGACGGGCAGCGTGTTTCCCAATTAGTGAGGCAGGCCGCATTTTTATAGGGTGGCACCACTAAGCTGTCGCTCGACTGAGCAACCGCGTCTTCATTTGTCGCTCGGCGTCCCTTCGTCGCAGGTCTCGCAACCTCCCACTTTGTTAAGCTGGCCACTTCGCAACCTGCCATCAGCAATCAATCAACAACCCGCCCTTTCTGGCTCCTGACTGTTGCCATCACCGCTTTTATCTCGCCTGCATCAAGTCACGGCGCTTCCTCGTCGTTATTGGGGAAGCAGCAAAACACATTCGAGTCCGTGTGCTCCGCCAACAAACCCCCAAGGCTCGAAAAGACGCGCTTCCGCAGCAATACGCTGCAGCTTTTTCTTGTCGCACCCCAGGCTTGGGTTGCGCGACATCGCGACATCGCGACACTACCACAATTACCTTGCAGTTTTTTTTAAAGCAACATCTTCGCGTTTTCCATTGCGGTCTTTGTGTCGCACCTTATCTTGATTTCCTCTTATCCATCAAACCCTCTCAGCCCTTGGCTTAGCTTCCCGAAAAATCAGCAACCATGAGTACCGGCGCGGTCAAGAACCTCCGTGCTATGTTTGAACAAAAATCGGGCGAGAGCAACTCTCCAGAGCGAGGCAGGTCTCCTGGTATCCCACGCGGTAAGGCCAGCACTTTCCCTCGGATTTCACGGTGCTCCGAGACTTTGGCCGCCGCCGTGTTCTCCGTGTGCTGTACAAATCGAGGCTAACACTATGCCCCCTAGGTCCCGGCACCGAATCTCCCAGACCACTCTCCAAAATTCGGACCAACTTCATCGCGATTGAAAAGGACGGTAGGGTAGGCCTTCAGCTTCAGCGGCTTGAAGGAAGTCAAGATTCTGGTTCGGTTTTGCGCAGCGGAGTCACCACGCCCACAGCAAGCACAGAGCGCCTGAACCCGTTTGACACAATGATCAAGTCCCCTCCTCGGACATCGTTGCTCAACCAGACTATCAGTGACTCTCCGCAAACGGTGCAGGAGAACAAAGAATCGCCTTCTTCTCAAGGTCAGCCGAGCTCAAAGCCCGATACGTCCGCAGCTCCTGCGGCAAATGGAACCAAAGAGTCCTCTCCCGAGAAGGCCAGGCTATCACAGCCCCAGACGACGAAGGCTACTGAGTCAAACGGTGGAAAAGACCAGAAGCCTGCCGAGCGCGAGCCTGGTAAGACTAGTTCGCACACATCAAAGCCTACCCCAAAGCCCATCGCCGTCTCGTCAGCAACCAAATCAGCTCCGAAAGCCTTGAAGTCACCCATCAACTTGAAAGGCCCAAAGAGCCCGGGCGAGAACCAAAATGAACAGGTCCCTGTGAAGAAGACTCCTGACAAGAAACCTCACCCTCCTGAAAAGTCAACAAGTCCCCGGGCATCCACCACTTCCGTTAAGACCTCGACCTCTGTGACCGCAAAGAAGTCGTCTTCGGTTACATCATCCCCTCACACTAGTTTTGTCAAGCCCAAGCCCAAGTCGCCAACGCGCCCTGTCAAGCTCCCTCCCAGCTTGACTTCGCACACGGCCGCTTCGGGATCCAAAGTCACTTCGCGTCAACCTTCACTGTCTCGTCCCAGCGGCAGTGCCGCTACAACTGGCGATTCTCATGGACGCCCCTCCAGCAGGGCAAGTGTTATCACCAATGGATCTGTGGTTCCAAAATCACAAGCTCCAAAGCGCCTTAGGAGGCAGAGCTCGACCATCAATCGGCCGCGGCCAAGCCTAGGCCCGCCCCCCAAGCAGCCGGCAAAGGATCATCCGCCAACTAAAAAGGAGAAGCCTGTAGATGAAGGGTTCCTTGCTCGTATGACACGCCCTACTCAAGCTTCGGCCTCCAGAGCCGCCGAGAAGGCCGCCCACATCACTGCTACTAAGAAGCCGGTGGCGGCGGCAGCACCTAAAAAGACGGTGACGACAAAGACTGTGAAGAAGCCCGCATCGAAGCCCACAAGTGCTGCATCCTCTTCGACCCAGCCGCAGAGCTCGACCACTGATAAACCCAAGGTTGAGGCCGAACCAGCTTCCCATGCCCCTTCGACCAAACCTGATCAGGCTAGGGAAAACAAGCCCGATCAGAGGGCTGAGACTACCCAGCAGGCTCCTGCAGCTGAAGTCAACGCTGCCCCGGAATCGGATGACGCCAGCAAACAGGAGCCCACTGCTAGCGACATTGATGTGGCGAATGAGAGTGTTGAAACACCTCAGTCGTCTGAAGCGACAGCGCCAATCTCCGAAGATCCAGAGCAGAGTGTTCCTCAACCTGCGGCCGAGGCACCGCAGGAGCCTGATATTGTGGCAGAAGCTACGCCAGTAGTCGGGACTGCAGAGGAAGAAGCCGCAGCCGCAGCTGCGGCTGCAGAGACCAAACCAACGGAGGCCGCTGAGGGTGTTTGTGCCCCGGGCAATGAAGAAGCTAAGAAGGCCGAGGAGACATCGGGGTCAACCTCTTAGTAACGTCAGAGATCACAGCGTACTAGTTTGCATGCTGGCATAGCAGGTCATGTAGGGTGTTCCGTATTGCTTTTAATTTCTACAGTCCTTGCATGCAGGGGCACTGTTGATGTTCAGGAAACTCCATATATGATACCTGGACCAAAGGGTTTTGTAGTTTGTTTTGCTTATCGGTTTTAGGAGTTAGCGGTGGTTCATGTATGGTAGATAGCGTTGGCCACTGGCGTTAAATCAAGGAAGTTCATTTGTATTTATGTATCATGACAGTCAATTGTTTAGACAGGACATCGACATTAACCGGACAAGTGACGATGGGGATGCTACCATAGCCGAAGTGAAGGACATATTCGGCGATTTAATGTACAAAATTGTCAATAGAAACCGTACTATAACACAAGATTTGACAGATCCTTTTTAACCGCCAGTATCATACAGAGCACAGTACCCCTACTGGTTATCAATTGCGTCTCCGTTCTGGACCAAGTTGACTCACTAAATCCAGATGGAAACTTTGACACCACACCACCCACATCAAAAATATCCCAACCAAAACTCCTTTATGACGCCCGACAGAGAACCAGTCCTCCAACCTTCCTTTCCAACGCCTCCCGGATTTCCAGAACGCCGCGATCGGTGCTCAAAAACAAGGATTCACCCATGGTTAGCCCCTTGAGCATACCGACAGGCAACCCACGCGCGACCAAGTTCAACTCCTTCAGGTTCGCCGTCACCAGCCGCGACGGCTTTGAGATGGGCTGCAGGTTGCGCAGCACGGGCTCATTGTTCCAGTATTTGAGCCCGATCCATAGGCGGCGCGTGGCCACGTTGGCTGGGGTGACCGGCTCGGTCTCGAGCGTCAGGAGCTCTTCCGGCGATGGGGGTCTCGGACCGCCACGCGTCACCGATGAGATTAGACCTGCCCGGTGCATGGCCAGCATCAGCCGGAGGTTATACTTGGTGTTGGGGATCGAGGTGAGTCCCAGGCGGGCGCGGGAGGAGTTCTGCAGGTGGGCGCAGGCCTGGCAGACCGAATGGATACCCATTTTGGCGAGTCTGAGGGGAGAAGAGAGAGCTGGCTGAGTGAAGGATTGGAAGGGGAGGAAAGTGTAGCTGTGAAGCACCTAAAAGCCCCTCGTTTCGGGAACGATGTGACGACCTGTGCGGAGGACTCGACTGTAGGCTGTAGTAGATGGACGAGGAGCGTCTCGTCGGTTGGACTGGGTCATGCGTTAGAAATTGCCAGACGTAGACGTATGAGGAAAGACCGTAGCTCTGCGAAGGGGCTGGCTTACTGAAGAGAAGTGTGGACTCGCCGAACTGGGAGGGATTGCGCCTAGGACGATGTCGTCGGCCTGGTCGTCGGTGGGTGTTTCGTTGTGACAAATTTCCGGTGGACCACAGCTGCTACAACCGTCGGCTTCTTCCGTAACGTCCAGCGGCGCCCGGGCCAAGCCTTGAAAATTTGGCCAGGGCGGCCAGGTACCCTGCTGGTCGAGCGCCCCGAGGCAGCGAGGCTTGGGTTTGGGACGACGGCAAAGACTCCACAAATGTGGGGTGAGTTTGGGGACCTGTGGCCCGTGCACACAAAACCTGAGGACATGGGATCCGACCCCGCTGTGGCCCATTAAGCATCCTCACCCTCATCACCAATTGGCTCGGCGCCATCCCACTTTTTGCAGTGTAAGCGCCCAGCACGGAGAGCCTATGCCAGTGATGCTATTGCACTGCCATGACAGGAATACGCGGTGAGAGCTAAGTGAAAACGGCTCTTGATCAGCTAGCCGGGGTCTCAGGGTACAAGTGCTGCATGGTTGACGCCACTGCAAATGCTGATTCGACGATGTGGTGTGCCGGCAAGCTCAACACGCGACGGACGACGCTTTTGGTTGTGCGCGGGGCAGTGACAGGTAGGAGACATTACCCAAAAGCCGACGGGAGCCAAGTAGTGGTCCTGCAGCAAGACAGACGAATTCTGGCTGCCGTCACACCAAGGTTTAGGACGGGCTGCACGGTCCCATCGGCGACATATTTCTCGTGCTCGTCGTAGGTTTTGTCCTTTTTCAAGGTTACTCGGACTTTCTCTGGCTCTGTGTCAAGCGGCAGCTCCCGATCTGACCGTTTGCTAAAGATAAGCTGGGCCAAACCCCAACGTCGTCTCGATACTCAAGCTCCCTTCCCTTAATGCATAAACCTCTGGTAGCTTCCCTTCTCCCCGCAAGACACTACCCCTCCTGCACCCTTCTTCTAGTCGGAGCCGATCTTCCAGCGCTTTCCTGAGCTGGTATTGTCCCACAACTGAAGGCCGCACAAGATGGCTGCCCGGCCAGGAGAGGAGAATGTGGCCACACTGTAAGTGCCGCCACAGCTCGGCTCGAAAAGAGAGCAGCAGCCTGACCGCTCGTCTCAAGCTATGGCGACGTGCACTACTTCTACAGCCCGCCGACAACGAAGCCCCCGCACCACCGCTTCGACAAGGGATCATATATCTATCTGTTTGAGGACGCCAACCAGGGCCGCGCGCGCTTAGAGATTGCAAACAACCCTGGAACCGAGGATCAAGATGCCTTTACCGGTTGTAAGAACTGCCGTGTGCATCGTAACTTGGCCGCAAGGAAAGGCTGACACAGAGAATGGGAGAGCCAGACCTCGACAAAATCCATTTGCGCTACTCGTATAGGCACATATGCCTGGTAACACTCACGGTCGGCGAGGTCGAGGGCACCCAGGAGTGGCACCTCCCAACATGGGATCCGCATAACCAGGCCAAGTACCACTACAAGCTGCATTCCTTAGACATCTACTTCTGGACTCCCCAAGATGCATTGATGTTCGTCAATGGCATCCGACGTGTCCTCCCTGCCGCTCAGTGTGAGGTTCTGGACGAGCCAGGTCCTCCCCCTCGCGAGGAGCCCGAAGTCAGCGCGGTTGTGCAGAGGCTTGAGCAAGCTGCCATCTCCGAGTCCCAGGCCGAATCAAGCAACATTGACTCCAACGAGTCGACCGAACAGCCCGCTCCAAGCTTCTCCGGAGCGCCAGTGTCTGCAGTAGCTGGAGCTACTGGCATACCCGCGCCTGCTGCTCTTCCTTCCCTTCCTCCTCCTCCTCCTCCTCCAGCCCCTCAACAGTTCGCTCCCATTGCCTACAACCCTGCCGCACCTCCTGCACCCGAGCAGGTCGTCCATCGGGAAAAGACCCCGCCACCAGATGATGGTTCGCTGAACCCATTGCAACAGACGCTTGTCAACGATGCTGCGACCCCCTTCTCTCCCGGCCTTCCTCCGGGAGGGCCGAGTGTGAGCCCAATCAGCCCCACGGTACCGCCACCGACCTTCCAGCTTCCTCCCGGGGCTCCTACATTCCCTGGCCCTCCCCAGCGAAGCGTCACATCTCCTGGGTTTGCACCGCAAGGATTTGGCTCGCTCAACGTGCCGTCAACTTCAACGATCGGAGCTACTCCTGTTCCCACTGCAGCCCCGGTTCCGACGCCGGTTGCCTCCGCTCCGTTGCCCCAACCGGGCATCACTCGAGCTACAACCATGCCCGTACAAGGTGTTGCGAGTCCACTCGCAAGCCCTAGCTACCCGAACACCGGCATAATAGGCTCGGGTCTGGCCACTCCGGGCCTGCCAAATCCGTATGCTCCCGTCTCGTATCCTGGCTATATGCAGCCGAATCCTGCCGCTACTCATGCGCCAACCCCGCCAGTCGCTGGAGTGAGCGTGGCCCCCCCGCCCGCAACACAGCCGATGGATTACAGTGTACACCAGCAATTTTACGTGCCGGAGAACCATGTTAAGCCGACCCAGGAACCGAAAGGCAAGCTGGAAGCAGGGGCTGCAAAGTTGGACAGAGCTTTAATGGGGATAATGAAGAAGGTTGAGAAAAAGTTTGGATAGACGATCGCTCAGGGTATTTATGATTCTTTATGCTTCTAACTGAGGGCGTGGAGTTGTTGGGTTATTGAAAAGAAGTTTTGATCTCCATTTTTTGGTTACCCAGTCTATACCATCTTGTCCCCAGGTGCCGCGTACCATATATAAACATGATCATAACTGCTTGATACTCGGTTGCTTCGACTGGCCTGCAGCGAAGCACATATCTCCATGAGTCTGATCAGATTCATGGGCTTGAAAATCCTTTGCTGGAATACACACCGAAAGCGCTAACGCCAGCTCTTCCCCCCGAGGGCGTCATGCCTGAATAGTCTCAGCATTGAATCTCAATGCTTAACCACCTTACCAATCTAGAGCCGGCACTCCGGCATTCCTCACAAGGGACCTGCTTTGCCTCTCTCTTCTTGCCTTTCCTCCGCGAGCCAGATCCTCCTCTCCGTCATCTTCTTCCTCATCCCTGCCAACCTCCTCATCCTTTAATACATCCCAATCAATTCCATATCTTGCAGCCTCAGCCTTAACAATCCAGTCCCACTTCCTCACGAGGGGATGTGCATCTGCCACATCCGCAAAGACCACCTCCCCCTCCCGATGCTCTTGACCCAAGACTTCGTACCGCCACGTGCCATCCGCAAGGTCAAAGTACTCCGCGGCAAACACTCCGCCATTCCCACCCGGCGCAATGCGCAACTCCTGCCGCGCCTGCTGGAGCAAGTCCTCCAGACGGACTGCTTCCCTCCTCATGATCGCCCCCTCGTTGCCATCATCATCCTCCTGTCCCCCTTCCCTCCTCCCTACCACTGCTGACAGTGATGTCCCCTCCGCCGCCGCTGACGAAGCAGCAGCAGAAACCTGCAGCGCCCTCAAACCGACAGCCCCGACCAGACCCTCCAACACACCGAGCAACATCCCCGCACGAGCGCCCAGCGTCGCGCCAAGGCCGTACCCCTCGTCAAACCCTGCCTGCGCCGTTTTGGCCTTGCCCTCGGCAATGCCATCGCGGTAGCCGAGCGTCGTGTACGATTGCTGCAAGCGGGGGACATCACTAATAGGGAGCTGTTGCTGCTGCCGCTGCAGTAGGGATTGCTCTCCTTCAGGTTGATAGGGCTGGCGGTATTGTGAAAAGTCGGGAGAGTTGGGAATGGTGGCTGGATCGTCGGCCCAGACGTCGTCTAGGCTGGTGTGGGTTGCAGTATCATGAGGCGTGGCAAAATCTGGGCTGTGTACAGCCACGGTGAAGGGGAGGTCCCGATCAGAGGGTTCGGAAGGGTAATGGAGCCGCATTTCTCTTGTAACCTTGTTAGGAAAGCAAACCGGATAAAGTAATCTGAGCTGGTAAATTGTGATGATCTATTCCTTTTCAGTTGCAGGGGTTGTTGACGGTGTTTTGATAGTTTTGTTGCTAAGTAAGTGATTACAAACGCAGGTGGAAACAGTGAAAAGCTCGATCTTCGGATGAAGTGAGAGATAACCCTAACCCTGGCAAACTATGACCCAGGCCATTGTCCAACTAACTCTCCGAGGTGATTGCTTATGTCATAATTCTCTGAGATACCTGATACCCAGATAAGGAAATATAGACAGATCGAAGATGCTTCTTGTGTGTCAGCACCAGCATGCCTTGTTATATTCCTTCAATTACACTGTTGGTAAGAGACAATATGAAAGTCTCATTTGCACGAGTACCTAAGATACCTTGGTGACGCCACCATCTTTGATACCCTTGATACATCATGCTCCAACATAACCCAGTGAGAACTGCTAAACGTTCCCAAACATCTCAACCAACAATGAATGAATACAACGCGCAAGAATGTAAGCAGAACTGATCTTGACTCTTTGTGTTATTCCGTCATATGATAGCGCACTTTACAGGCAACCCACAGAGTCCGTCCTTTTCCTTCTTCGCTCTCTGGGGGCTCTTGGTACCGTTTCCTCCCTCTGAGTCTAACTTGCTCACCGAGACCGCTGGTACCTCCTTAGTTGTATCTCCCGCCCCTTTCCCAACCGCATCTCATTAGCGACTTACACATGCCGATTCCCTCCACATTCTCTTTGCATGGGTGGGCATCACGCACCGACAGACTTGGCAACCGTCTGGTAGAACTTCTCGCCCTGGATGCGGGCAAGCTCTTTCTCCTTATCGCTTGGCTGGCGACTGCCATCAGCACCAGCAAAGGTGCCAGCACCCCATGGGCTGCCGCCGCGAACTTCGGATAGGTCGGTCAAGAGTCCGAACGCCGGGTAGTAGCCCAGCGGAACGAAAATAATGCCGTGATGAGTGAGAGTGCTTATGATGGCCAATGCTGTCGACTCCTGACCACCACCCGCGCTGGCAGTCGAGATGAAGACGCCGGCATACTTGCCCCAGAAACCGCCTGTGGACCACTGCTTGCCCGTCTTGTCCCAGAAGGCCTTCCACTGAGCAGGGAAGTTTCCATAACGGGTCGGCACGCCCAAGAGAAAGCCATCATACTGCTGGAGGATGCTGGGGTCTTCGAGGATAGGAATGTCAGCAGGCTTTGGAGGGGCGTGCATCTTGTCCAAGACCTCCTGGGGCAGGGTTTCGGGGACTCTACGAAAACATGGTTAGTGATGCTGAAGATTTCAACTGAAAAGAAGGATACTAACTGGTAAAGGTCGGCCGTGCCTCCGGCCTTCTCAACGCCCTCCTTCTCGGCCTCAGCAAGCTGTCGGATGTGGCCGTACATGGAATACTGTCGTGGATTACATCAGTGAATGGCTAGAGCAGATGGGGATCTTGTTGGAGGACATACAAAAACGATCGCGATCTTGGGAGCCATAGTGTTGGGTCCTACGGTGTTCACAAGCAAAAGACCGGGATAACAAACAGTGGCTGTTAGAAATTGATGGGAATGGCTGACTGATGAGCCCGTCAGACAGCCCGGGCCTACCTGAGGAGCCCCCGGCGATTATATATACCAAAGCAGAAGCAGAAGAGGAGAGGAGGAGGTCACGACTCGCAGCCAGGGTCTGTGAGATTCGCCATTGCTGCTCGTAATGTTCACGCAGCATGCAATACACCTACTTCTGTTTCCTGGATGATCACCAGCGTCTTCCTGCAGAATCACCGGTTATGGCGGCGGCGGCTGCTGCTGCCACTCTCATGTCGGGGTAACCTGAAGGTACTTGGGGCCTGGAACCGCTGAGCCCAGGACCCCGGTCAAGCGGAAGCGGCATGGGATTCGTCAGGATGGGATAATCATGGTCAAATCAAAGACGGCACTTCCTGAGAAGTTTCCTCGCCAAAATGCCCCTTAGCTCAGCTGTGTTGGCTGTCATCAGGTTGTCAAGGAAGGAAGGAGCCTGAAAGAACGTGACCGGCCTGGAGGGACCCTTGGAAGGCTATCGACAAAGAGAGTTAAGAGGGGCGATGTGCCTGATTCACGTCAGACTCGTTTGATTCAATTTTTCGGGGCAGTACGGGTTAATCCGTACCCCTCAATCAATTTGGATACCTGCATGGCATTGCTCCTGATGATTCAATAAAAAGAACTCTGTTGGTGACGAACATTCCCCCCAACCCCTTCGGGCCCCTCTTTAGCTCCCACGGCAAAGCCCCACTCCATTTTCCCTGATTTGGTCCTTGGTGCTGATGAATAAGAGCTTACACCACAAACCGCAGCTCACCATTGCGTTCTGGGGATGACGATGCTTAGTCACACTGACAAATCGACCGTTAATGTGTCTCGGGAGCTGATCGCCTTATTCCCAAATGCAGATCGTAGCCGAGACAATTTTATTGGTCGGCCCGGCACCCAGGAAACATCTGTATGGACGATAAAGCCCACCATCTTCCAAGACGAGAAGGCTTCCAGGTTCTCGAAGTGGCTTATGATTACACCTAGAGGCTAGAGAGGCACTGACGCGTGTGCTGATCAAGCCTTGGGCCTTGCACCTTCGGATTGATCGCTGTTATAGGTTTGCGTTTCGTTCTGGTCCCTGGCTGCATGCGACCCTCCCCGGCATCAAGGTCGGCACTGATATACGCGCAGAAAGATGGTGTTGTGACGTCTCGAGCACCCTCACCCAAGCACATCCAACAGTTGCTTTCCCTTTCTGTCCAGGCACAGATGGTCGAACTGCAACTGACTTTGGCAGCCTCCCGCAAATGTGCGTGTCTGTCAAACCCCTCGATCGATCAAGACAGTTGAATGTCTTATCGCGACATCACCGTCAGGGGATTTTGGCGGCGATAGGTTGCGGGGGATCCATCACCTCCTAGGCCCTCCAAGTCTGCTTCCTTCGATAAACAAGGATTCTTGCAGACACATAAAACAGAGTGGCCACCAGCAGTCCAAAGGCAGAGTACAGGATGGTGCCGAGCCATCGAGGATCCCTATCATTGCCCAAGATCGCTCCAGCAATGGGCGTACCAACGAGAATGGCTACACCAGACACCACGAAGCTCATGCCCATCCTTGCTCCAACCCGGCCCATATCGGGACACAGGCTGACGAGAACACTTGGGGTGAGACTGACAACACCGCCGGAGAAGGCGCCGTAAAACAGCGCATAAACCACCGCGCCTCCGAGGCCGCGGATACCCAGCCAGCAAAACACCATCACTGTGCTTCCAGCCGCACACACAATCGCAAGGTTCAGCGATCCCCATCGGTCGGCCATTGCAGTGGGGATAACACGGCCTGGGATCGATCCGACATTTAGGAGTGTGACCAGGTATGGCGCAAAGCTCTCACCGGACACTCCACGGGATGTCGCATACAGCTGGATGTAAAAGAAGGGCACATAGAGAGCCAGAAACGCAAACAAGCCTCCGGCCACGAACAGCACGTACGGCCAATCCATGAATGCAGTGTTGTCGATGAAATAGCTCCAGTCTCTCTTCCTCCCTGCTTTTGTCGGCGGCACCCTAGTTCGCATGAATGCCACCGGGATTGTTGACACCCCCAGCAAGATAAATGCAATAGCTCTCGTCGCCCATCCAAACCCAGATTTTGATAGAACTTTGCTGAATACTACTGGAAACACCGTGCCGGCCACCGGAGATCCCACGCTGGACAATCCCAGCGCCAACGCCCTATGCCGGCGGAAATACTGCCCGAGAATGGCCGCCGATGGCAAGAAAGTCAACCCCATCCCACAGCCCATCGCCACGCCCTGCGCGAGCATGACCTGCCAGTACGTGGTGCATAAGGATGTCATGAACTGTCCCAGCACTGTCAAGGCCTGGCCTGTGATGAGCAGGTGCCGGAAGTAGCCTGCGTCGTATAGCGGCCCAGCGATGACGCCGACGAAGAAGAGGAGTGCTCCCTGGGCCGATCCGATCCAGCTGATTTGCGAAGAGGTGTGGGATGATAGGAGGGATGTCTCATAATGGGCTTGGAAGACGCCAAAGGTGTTGATGACTCCCCAGGTGCTGACGAGAATGGCGGTCGAGCCGAGGACCTGGAGCCAGGCTTGTAGTCCGCCATCTGGCGGATCATCAGGAGTTGGCACAGGTGGTTGCTGGCTTGTTGATGCTGGTTCTGGGTATTCCGAAAGATTGGCAGTGACTGCAGTATTCTTTTGTTCTTCGAGCTGGATTGAAACGTCGACCTCGGTACGATCGGACTCGGATGCAAATGCGGGTTCTGGGTCTTTGTCCATTATGGCAATGGCAAGGCGCGGTGACGCGACTTTTTCTCCGGACAGAGGTGTGTAGGCTTTCTGGACCTCGTCACTCGAGGAATGTTGTCGGATGCTGTTAATGCATGGCAAAAAGCCCAAGATAAGTATTCGCTGCCAGGCCGAGCACCTATCCCCTGTACTGGTGGGATTTGGTGGCGCCCTCCAAAACCCAGTCGACGGCGGGATTGCGCTTAACGCGACGACAAGTTGTCGGCGACCACGAAACTGTAACTTATACCTATAGTTTCTTTTTGAGCAAATCTAGGACCGTCGATCTTATATCCTAGTAGATATTGAATGGCCCATGCTTTTAGTCAGCTTTGTTCATGGGATCGGGAGCTTTGCTCGAGCCGACGACACAGTAACCAAGTAAGCAAGTCTACCCGCGGATGCGCTAACGCACCGCTCCCCCGCGCTCCCCGCATTCGACCCGGAAGAGGACATAGCTCATGGGAGACGTTTGGCGAGAGCAACACCAGCAGCATTATCAGTGACAAGGCGCCACTGACTGCCTATTCGTGATATCTCAAACAAGACGTTGCCCAGGGTCCGGAAGTGTCTTGTGTCATGTCCTGCGGGCTCAAGTCCTAATACCCCCTGCTTCACACTGGTTGCTGAGGAGCATGCCATTCAAGGCCGTGACACACGATAAGAGTTGGGGAAGGCTTGCGGCAGTCCTACAGTTATCTTCACCACACCGATTATGCGCTTTTGTGTGCTTGATCTCGAGCCGGCGCATCTGCCGAAGGGACTTGCAGGTTTGGAAGCGCCGGCGGCCCCACTTCCGGATCGGAGCCGAGGGCCAGGGTCCCTCCGTACATGGACACATGAGCTGCCCAGGCCAGGCCAGAAAACTTTAGGTGGTAAACATGTTCAAGTTTCAGATGGAAAAAAAAAAGAAGAGATCTGGATGGAAAAACAGAGGAGCTCTCAGCCCCTGTATGAAATGTTCATGCGAGTTAGAGTGGCATTAGAAACCATATACTTGAACGAGTGATGACAACCATCGACACATGCTTTGGTGCCCGGGCCAAGATCTCGGCGAACAAGTGGCTCCACCTGGAATGAAGGGTTGAGAACTTCGACCTGAGCTGGGAATATCACCCATACGTCAACGGAGAAAGCAAGAACTACCTGATATTATCGCTTGCTTATGTGAAGAAGTATAAGGCGAATTCATAGGGTCTTATCGAGTTAGGGCTCCATCTAACTCTCATGGATCCTGGGTATGTTTATCCGCCAGGTCGTTGTCTAACGTGACCCCCTTGTGTTGCTAAAGCAACCCATGGCGTTGACGTGGGTAAACAAACACACTGAGCGACAAAAGGCGGTTGTACCATCACATGCACCAAAGACAACATATGTAGGAGGCCATTCAAGCAGGTATAAGACGAGTATGTACACACCCATTAAGAAGTCATATATCCAATCATCAGTCATTACACCAACTCCGTGCCCTGTTATCACCATCCCATTACGATGCCGACCACCGATACAATCCAAACATTTTAGCTCAACCGACCCAACCCAATCCAAACCACCCAACATGTCACTTCAAAATACATGCGTACAGATGCAAGCGGGTCCTGCGAGGGTTTCATACCTAAGCGCACCAGACTTTCCTGTATTCTGAACAAAAATAAAAAAACGTTCACGGTTTCCCGCTTTCTGGCTCGATAACTATTTGCGGAATTTGGTCTAACCTCAAGCTCGGTAACCTCCTGAGACTGGGTAACCTAGGGATACCTTCGCTCACAGTGATTCTGTCTTGCTGTTGCTGCTGGTGTTGTTGTTGTTGTTGTTGTTGTTGTTGCGGCTGACCACTCGAGTCCTGGCTTGTTCCTGTCCCTGTCTCTGCCGTCATTAGCCCGGCATCACTTTCCCCATTATTTCTCTCCTCGGGTCTCAATTCTGCTGGACTCGATATAGGAACCAGACCTGGACTCGGCCCCGGATACTGCGGAGGAGGATCTGGGTAGGGACTTTGGCTTCTGCTTGCAATGCCAGAGGCCGAGCTTCTCCTTGAACCGATTGGCGTCATGAAGCTCTCCCCACCGAGACTGACTTCATCATAGCTCGGGGGAGGACGATCGCCCAAATCCACATCCTCGAATGTGATGACCACAGGAGTCGAGCCGGCCTGTGGGCTAGGAGATGCAATTGGGCTCAACACGGGAGAGCTTGCTCGTGATCGGTTCAATGGTGATGCATAAGGGGAATCCGGACGGAGAGCAGCAGAGTGGGTCGTGTTGATGGAGAGAGCACCGACCGAAGCGCCCGAAGCGGAGCGACCGCGGTTGCTGAGCAGGCTGAGAGAATCAGCTGCGGGCGGTGCGGCGTCGGAGAGTAGGCCAACCCGTTCGGTGCTGACAGCACTGTTGGAGCGAATGCGGGTGCCGTCAGCGCGGGCGATCCCGATGTCGGCGTAGGCCACAGTGCTGGCAGAGCGCTGGCGGGTTTCCCGGATGCGTTCATGCTGCTGGCGCAATTCCTCGATTTCCCGAGAAGCCTGGAGCGCATCCTGCCGGGCTCGTTCACGGAGCCGTTGCAGTGCGACGGTATCGTTGTTGGCGCGTGCCTCACGGCGCAAGCGACGGCGTTCTTCTCGCTCTGCCTGTTGGCGACGGCGGGCGGCGCGGATCCTGTAGAGGGCCTCCATCTCTTCGTCTCGTAAAGCTTCCTCCTCTTCCTCGGTGCGCAACTCAACAACCACATCGATACCATCGCGCTCTCCTTCACGAGCGATGACCGTCTCGTTCTCCGCAGGCTTAGGTCGGTAAGGGGGTAGAGTCATGACACTTCGTACCGAGGTAGTGCGGTCGACACCACCTCCGGGGGCAGACTGTTGACCATTGTTAATGTTATTGTGCAGCTGCGCTTCAGCCAAAGATTCCTCTAGGGCGTCCTGATTTTGGCGGTTAATTTGACTCGTGGTTGGAATATCATCGTCATGGCGCTGGGCCTGTTTATACGTGTATGAACGCGCGTGTTTGCGATAAAAGTAATGACATATGATAGCAAGCGCGATGGTGAACATAATTGCAGCGAGGATATATATAACAATCTACAGACAGCAGCTCTTGTTAGAGAGAACGAACAGCAGATGGAGCAGCAGTAGGTGACTGACTCGGGAGCTATGGTTGTTGTGATGGTTGGCAATCTGACTAGCAAGCCGTGGTAGCAAGCCATTATCGGCTACTCGCAGCGGCACGGGGGCGGAGAGCCATCTTCGCAGAACTGGAGGGGCCATTGAAGACAGTAATGGGATTCAAGAGGTCAATTGCAGTGGTCCGGCGCCCAGCTTCTCCATGCGAAGGCCAGGCTTTGTCTTCATCGCCAAAATCCCCGGAGGGAAGCCGAAAGTCGATTGTGAGGCTATCCAGATCTGTTGAATGCAAAATTGCAGCAATAACAAAATGGAAAGCTTGCTTGTGTTTCGGTGACAAGAGGGTCGCAGCCCTCGGGGAGCTGGAACAATGAGGGGTTCTGACGACGAAGCAAGGGTCGCAGGCTTTGTGCAACGTCTCGGCTCTCGATGTGCTCAGAGCCAGGTCGCCAGGTTAGCGACGGGTCGGTTTCAATCAGGGCTGTTGACGTTGTGCAAAACAAACGTGATGCAAAGACAGATGGACGACGCTGAACAGATAAAGAAAAGAGGAGGAAAAAAAACAAAAGATTTGGACCTCGGGCGCGTGCTGATGTTGCAGCGGCTGGAGTGCTGTTGCATTGCTTCCTTCGACTTTCCCCAAGAGCGCCAAGCCTTGGGCCGCGGCGTCAGGTGGTAGGTCGAAGGCCGTGGGCTGTGGGCTGCTGGCGCCCCTCAGTGGATCGCGGGGGCGCTGTGGGTTTTCAGGTTCTCCAATTGGCCCCCTGGGCCATATGGATCAGCACCCGCGAGACGCATAAGTATATTTGGGATGTTTGCTTGTTCGGGCGTGCCCCTGTCAATCCAAGTCCACTTTGCCGGGTGGTTGCATCCATCAGAAATAACGAAAATCCTTTGTGGGAAGCTCATTCTCATATCAAAGCGAACCCTCCAAGGGTTCGTCATAAAATATTAAGGTATTGTTTCAGTTGCAACCTAAGGCATTCGAGGTCAGTCGAGCCTCTCTCCAGGGCTTTGCTGGTGCGGATCGTACGGCTGCCTACATAGTAAGGACTGTTTCCCCATTCCCTGTCCGCTGCTCGAGGCCAACCATAGGCTATAGCCGCCGCGAAGTTGTCGTTGGCCGCCCCAACCATAGCGCAACAGGCCATCCCCTCAAAACGGCCAACTGAGCGGCCATTGCCCTTCTATCCTGGTGACCAAAGCAATGACGAAGGCGCCACACGGCCTGGCCTGGTCTCAGCCCGCCCCTCCAATCCTTTTTATCAATTAGGCAGAATCACGTCCCCTTCCTTAACAGAAGGCTATGCCGGTCTGACCTCTGTCGGGCACAGCACACAGCTCCTTACGGAACGTTCTTCGCTTGCCTGCTTGCTTGCTGCCATGCACCCCAGAGAAGCACAACTCCGAGCGTGGCATTGCTGCAAGCCAAGCCTGACAGAGACATCCATCCATAGGCGCTTAATAACTCTCGATTTGCACACAAACGGCCTCGCCACCTGATGTGACAACAGCGATATTGGCGACGGAGTGGACGCTCGAGTTTTCGTATTGAAGTGTTTGCGTCACAAGTGTTCGATCTGCTACCGGGGCGCAGTTTTCACTATGGATGCCAAAGATGAGAATTTTGACATCAGGATGGTGTTCGGTTTGAATGTTCCTATCCAGGTGCCTAGCCGCCGACCCGACGCGCAGCGGTCGCCATTGATGGGCCAGAGAATCCCGGATGATACAACTGGCCGGTCTTGTTAGCGGCCTAAGGAGGTAGGGGTAGTTAAACAGGTAAGTAGGTATTGATCGCCCAGCATGCTGCTTTCAACCAGACCCACGCCTTCAAGCCTTTTGGTGGCTATCATAACTGCTTTCTAGAGGCTGAAGTTGAAGGTCCTCCTAAGGCCCGGCCTTCCTTTCAGTTCCTCTCAGCATGGGTCGATCCAAAGAAAGGAGCCCCCTGGCCTTCTTGATGGACAAAGAACGAACCTGAGGTTAGAGACCAGGTGACCCGCCGTAACAGTTCCCTACTTCCCCAGGCCGTCACCCGTGCCCTTCCATCCGGTTCCGAATTCCGAGTCCCGACTCCCGAATCCCAAGAGCGGACTCACACCTTTTCCGGATCAAAACCAACGGCCCCACTTCCACATGCTTGCCGGGCCTATCTATACAGTAATCAACCTCGTTCCCATTGCATCATCCCGCACATCCCAGTCACTTTTGCCTTTAACTGGCTTGCCATTGGCATATAACATTCTTTTGTGTGAGATAGCATTCCGACGTCATTTCAAGCCTTTGTTGTCATTTGCAGTCAGTATATCGCGCGCGAAACGGCTTCTATGCCACTCCGGTTACTCCACGTTCCCCAGCTTCTCTTTTTTCTCGACCTCGGTTCCAGAAGACACGGCTATCAACCATGACAGACCAGCAGGAAGACCCTATCATCAAAGCATTGCAGGAGTACACAACGTAGGTACAGAAAAGATGCTAAGAATCAGTGAGCGATACTCAGCGTGTCTTACTCTTGGACTGCTCAGCTGCGATGTGTCCGACGCCCTATGCAAGCTTAAAGTACCGCACGGCGGCTTCCTGCCAGGTCTCACCATGTGGTCCCCCCAACGCCAGGATGGCAACACAAAAATCATAGGCCCGGCCTATACGGTTCAGTATGCTCCTCTGGATGATCCCAGGCCGAAGCATCCGAGTCATTATGTGAGATTGCGCCCTTCTTGTGCTGAGAACCTTTCAGCAACCACGGACTGACATCGTACAGATCGACTCTGTCCCGGCCGGTGCTGTTGTCTTCGTGACTACTATCCAACAGACGTCAAATGCTCTGTACGGGGGGTTGATGTCGACCCGGGCCAAAGCATTAGGTGCTGTTGGATCTGTAATCAACGGCCGCTTCCGCGACCTGCAGGAGCAGAGGGAATTGAACTATCCGGTGTGCAATCATCCTCTTTACCCATTAGATGATAGCGATACTAACTGCTTGAATAGGTTTTTGCCCGTGGCGTTGGCACTGCACCCCCTGGCCCTGTGCTCAAAGTGGTTGGTGTCAACATCCCGGTAGAGGTTGAGGCCGATAAAGGGCCCATCACAATCAACCCTGGAGACTACCTTATTGGTGACGTCAACGGTGTTGTCGTGCTTCCAAAGGAGTTAGCTGAAAAGGCCTTACCGCTCATGGCGAAACAGGTAGAGGCCGATTCTAAGATGGCTGTAGAGATTCAGAAGGGTATGACCTTTACAGAAGCTAGCAAACGCTTCCGGCTATGAAATTTTTTTTGATACCTAGATATGGAAGGTCTTTAATCACATTTTGATTCATTGTCTACTGACAGTTTGAAGTCCTTTTTTTCTCACCTTTGATCCACTGAACATCCATTCGACTTCATCCCGTAACATTGCTCGGATGACCAGCCAGCTTCTCTCTTGACAGACCCAACTAAGGTCCAGCTTAGTGCTTCGCAGCTTTGAATATGACTATTCTAGGATCACACAAAGAGGCTGTCCAAAACCAAGAGAGGTCCTTGATTGCCTCAGCATCTTCATAGCCCAAGACTTTGTAGTCAACAAGCTCTGCCTTGGCGAATAATCCAACCTACTCCTCGTCCAAGATATTCAAAAGCACACCCCCTAACTCAATTGGTGGCTCAGAGTTAATCGTCATCCCGTATCCATGACCCCCTTCGATTGGCTTGGTCCACCTCACAAGGACTCCCATGCTCTTCTTCTTTGTAAGCCCTACTCAACGGCCTCGACTAGATACCGACCAAGTCCCCCCCCGGCTTCGAATACCTGCCCATGTTTCCCACCATCGCCTCCAGGTTGTCTAATTGGCCAGCGTAGTTGAAGACAAAGCTGGCCATATCCACTAGTAACTTTCCTCTCGCAGTGGCAAGGTGCTCCAAGGACTGAGAGACATACCGCGGGAAAAACGCACCACGTCGCGGCTGAGCGATTTTCCGTGCTCTCTGGCGATCTGGAGCTACTTGGGCGAGAGATCCATGGTATCGACGGAAGATGCCCCAAGGACGATGGCATCCGGGCGATGAGACTGCTTTCTCGACCGAGGTCAAGGATTGTTTGGCCAGTAAGATCGACCAGGGAGCACTTGGTTAGTAGTTTTGCAGAAGGCTAATCGCCGTTTGGGCAAAGCCGTCACATATTCGGCTTGTTTAGCGTAGTCCTTCTTGGCTTACTCGATAGTGGTCATGATGATTGAACAATGGCTTAGTCTCTGTTGATGAGGAGATGGTGGTAATAATGGGCTGAAGGATGACACCAGAGCGGTGAATCACTTGCGCCCTGAGAGGGATGAGTTACAAAGCGTTATTTTCCCATGGCCTGCTCTTTCCCTACATCTCTCGGGCCATCTGCACCTATCATATATACATGGTTAGGAAGTCATGCTCTGCCATACGGACTGTTTCATGCCATGTCTCAAAATATTCTGGAGAGCCACAAGACCGACACGTAGAAGTGTGGTATGAGAGCATATAATACCATTAGAGCCAGGTCTCATCGTCTTACAATGCTAAATACACAAAACAGATATAGCAAAGCCGAAGATACAGCACGTTATCCTGTCACAAGCTTGGCCTCGTCTTTCGGAAAACGACAATTGTGGTTAAGAAGGTTGCATGTGTATGACGTATGGGTGCAAAAGTTGGTCATTGGCTCTGCTGTGTGATTGTGTCAGCGACCAACGGCAGTGTCGATCCAGGTAACTCATATCTGCCGATGCCATTGGCCCTGTCAATGGATATTCAATCCTGCTCTGAGCACCAAGTGCGTCATTGGACGGGGCCTTGAATACGAGACTCAAACAGATCATGGGATTGTGTATCACCTAGATGTGTTGGAACTCTCGAACTATGTAAGAATGCCTTGACAGGCCTTGAACGTTAGGCGCCCTGCGGGGACCTTATTCTGATTCCTCCTCTGCTTCGTTTTCTTCCTCGACTTCATCCTCCTCAACTTTTACCAGCGTAGCACAGGCGATGCGGGCGCCGCTTGCGTCGTGGAAAACGATTGATCTGTTTCCAATATACCCCAGTTGGATGATATTCATCGCCGTGTACGGATCATTGAACCTGTACCCATGGTCAGAATTGAGCAGTGGTTACGTAAAAGTACTGTTTTCCCCCCTCCCCTTTTCCAAGAGCGGAAAGAGTATCACATACTCTTTTTTGACATCTGGTCCTGACACCGTACCATACTTTCCAGACAAGTCTCCCACCTCACAAGTTTGTGGCATTGAGCTGTCACATGGCGGTGTATCCCCACGGACGTAGGAGTCAAGGTGTCCCCCCGTTTCCAGGCAGTCTCCGTTTTCAGGCACAGGACGCAAGTGAATGTGATACTCTACCAAAAGTGATCTCAGTCAGCACTCCACAATTTGTGAGTTTTATGTCCAACACGTACTATAAGGTGCTTGATCTGGATCTAGACCAGTCACATCGATCGTGTAGTTGATCCCGACTGTGTGCGCAACCGCCGTCACTGTACCCTTTACTGCAAGAGAGTCAAACGTAGCAACCCAAGTTTCTCCGATTACTGGGTTGTTTCGCACCGGCCGAGCATCTCCCAACTTGCCTGTTGTATGGTTGGTTGACTGACAAGCCACAAGGACGAAGATGCCAAGAAAGTTGAGCGAGAAGATCTGCATGCTGAAAACTCTGTTGAAAAGACTAAACCCTTGGACAATATTTTTTGGCAAGATAATGAATGCTGGCATCCAAGACCACACTTCTTATAGCATAGACTCGTAGACTTGGGAACACAACAATAAAATAAGAGGGGTTGACGGCGCATCAAAAAATTTTAATCAGACAAAGAGATCATGGCTCTGATCTCTTGATATCTTTGTTCAAAGTGAACCAAGCCAATAAGTTTACTTCATCAGCCGCAGCCAATATCGAGTTGGGGGTCCGACCCGGCAGGTAATGGGCCGGACTTCGGCATAGCGATAGCGGGTCTCTTCCGGCTGTATGGATAAGTTATGGGATGCTGATGCCAAGCAGGGGAACATGATAACTTGAGAGAGATGAAGGGCACGCTCAGAGGCCGGCTGTAAGCAATTTCTATTATTTCGTTTATAGATGCGGATGTCAATTCATTAGTATTTACTCTTGCCGGCATTCAAAGTCCGATCGGACTCCCGAGGGGCAAAGACGTTCATTGGTTATGATGGCCAGGGGTAGAGCTATCAAACAGAGCAAAGCTTAATCAACGTTTGCCAGATGGTAAGGCATGGGGTACTGCACCACAACCCCCCTAAAGTGACGGTCGTTTTGAGAAGTTCCTGCCGGTACAGCTGACAGTTCTCCGAAGCTCAAAGGATGCAGGTTGACTGAACTAGGACACACCACGACCAACTCTGGATCTGACAATGACGACAGAGGGTATAACTTTCTAAGCCCAGGGGAAGATGTATTAATGAAGACAGGTGCAAAACTATGCTGATATTCGTCGTTGGTATGTGCGAAATCGTAAACAGTGGTTCGCACGATGGATCAAAAACTGCAATCTAGCTTACAAAGTGGCTTGTAAGCTCAGATCCAGGTATCATTAGGGATGCGAAGTTTGATTTCAAGAGAAGAACTCGCCCAACTGAAGGAGCAGACCGCAACATTGATGTCACTCCGTCTGCCATCTTTGATTATGGAGAAAGGGCTGACGTTATCGAGATATCTGACACAGGCCTTCGAAACTTCATGAAGCTGAGTTAGACGCCACCTGCGTACGAGTTCTTCCGTAGGCAAAAGCTTGATCCTGGTTTTCCACCGCTCACAGACATCGACATACGCACGGGTCCCACGGTCCGGCCCGTCCGGGGTATGATTTGAGTCAAGTCCCTCCCTGTCTCTTTGGTCAAAAACTCTCACTATTTTGAGGCGACGACTAAATTGGCTTGAGCGATTGAAGAATGACTAATGTATGACCACAGCAGACTCGCAAAGCATGAGGAACATCCCCGCTGAGGGCTTCGTCTTACCCGCTGGAAACCAAAAAGAATTTTAATGAAACTGGACTGTAGTGATCACCCAGCTGCCTGGGTTGTTCGTAGTCGGTCCGAGATCTTTGGCCCAAAGAATCTCTTCGCAGCTCGAGTTCGTTGTCACCGCCCTCGATATATCTATCTATTGGCCGAAGAACGGGAAGCACTATTGGAGAAACAGCAAAAGCGCAGTGTGATGTTCGTGACGTGTGATCAGACAATCCGTATTGGGAGCAGAAAAGGGATAGATAAAGTTCTTTACCCCAGTCGACCTAGAAGCAAGCCTGTGGTAGAAAAGCGCTCCATCACCAATCCTCCAGCAAACAAAATCAACACCAGGCTGCAGGTAAAGGCAGTTCCAGGCCCCTCGTTGAGATGCTGGGTGACATTACCACGGCAGGCCCTGCGCACAGATGTTCAACAACCGGCCCCAACGGCTGACGTGCCTGCATCCCAGCATCCTTGGCATGTGGAGGATGAAGAAGATGTGGAAGTTTCAGACAAGTTTCAGCAAAGGTAAACGTCCGTGCCCACGCGCCTTGCTGACGAGAGTACACTTACATAGGTAGATCGATGCTAATGGCGTTGCGGGTATCTCACCGGTCTCACAGGGTCACGATGGAAGATCGGCATTCTAGCCCGGAAAGCACAGACTGCCGACTGGGCAGCTGATACACTACAACAAACTGTACACATCCTGCATCGTGCATGTTGCGCTGGTATTGCACTTACTTACCTACGGATTACGTCGAATCGCGATACTACTCGGCATCGAGAGATCTTGGAAAACTAGGAACACAGGCTTGGGCACACATCGGCTGGACGGGATTCTTACTCCAAACTACCCGAATGCGGTGGTGAGGGTTAACGATGCAACCTTTTGAATTTGGCAATGACAATCTTGCCCAGCACACCTCCTTTGCTCGTTGACCGAGCTCGAAGGGCCGTGTAAGCAGACAACTTATGGGCCTGCTATACTTCCTGCAAATAACTCGGAAAAACCTTGTTCTTCTGCAGTTTGCGATGACTGTTGGGACTTGGACGCTAGGTGCCCTACACTAGCGTACGCTAGTGTAGATGTGATCGGAGGGAGACCGCTGTCGACGACCGTTGTCGACGACCGTTTTCCTTTGATCGTCGCCAAGGTGTTCTCCAGATTCTACTTCCATCATGGTGACAGCTTGGCTAGCAAGGGGATGGCGTTGATGGGTCTGTTCAAGAGCTCTTGGCGATGCTGTGGATCTGTGGTTTTGTTCTTCTCTATCCCGCCATGCCTTGTCTGGCATGGCCCGAACTTCCTCATCCCGTAAAGCCCCGCGACGTGTTCTGATTCGGCCAGTTAGCATCGGCCACCAACGTCGACTGGCGCCCGTGAAGTCTCCGCCAAAGTCTGAGGGCTCTGTCTGGCCGACCAGCCGCTAGCGGACTACGCAATGCTACAGCGGAGGAGCTAGTTTACGTGCACTAGCGTAAACTGTGCGGTTAGCAGGGTTTTGCGCGGCCAGGACGATATCGCTTTCCAAGTCATCAAGGTGAGACCTCAGACCGCGGAGACATAATTTGCCCTTACGCTACAAACGACGAGGAAGTTTGCATTTTCGAAGGCCGGAGAGTCTTTCCGCTGGCGCTGTGCTTAACCTCGCTTCGCGTTGCGCATCCATCCTGCTGTGGATAAGAGGAAGCTAGCGTTGCTCTCCTGCAGAATACATCGCATGAGGGACTCAGGGCAACGGCAATTGGAACGCACTGACTCTGGCGGTACATCTCCGAGCCGTTGAAAGTAGGGTCAGGTAGCAGTTTCTGTATTCCTGCCATTCCAGCTCGATGACTGTCTCTGGCTTTTTCGCACTACACAGTCCTTATCAAATGGCCTCGATCTTATGGAAGGCTAGGCCAACCTCCCAAAATTTGTGGGTCCTCTGGCCGTGTGCACAGACGAGGACCTGCGGGCTAGGCAGGGCTATCCCAAACTCGGTTAGGCCGGCTGCGACGGCGAGCTAGGTTCCAGCGGTCCCCGCACGCCGATTCCTCGATCCAAGAGACCTTGCCCGATTTCTCCAAGCGCCATCTCTGTTCCCATGTGCAACGGTTGGCGGCGCATTGACGTCTGCGACACAAATCGGGGACCGGGGTTGTCGAAGGGCCATAGAACCCCTCCCAATCCACCCTTGCACAAATTGGTCCGCTTCCAAGACCTGCAGAAAGCTGGAGTGCTGGACGTGCGTCGTTGTGCGAGCTGCAGCCAAGAACTTGGACGCGGAACGCAAAGCCTGTACTCTGCAAGGGCCGCATTGTTTTCGTGCAACCTATGGAACTGAGGTTGCAAAAACTGCCTCTTTTCTTTGCTCACACCAAGGGGCCGGGCTTGGCATCCACGTTGGGGACCTCCTTCCACTTGTGTTGGGCCCTCGATTTTCTCCGGGCCCTGTCTGTCCGTCGTTAAGGTCAAGGGTCAGGCTCTCGGACCGAGCCAGGGTTGGTTAGGGGCATTGGGCACGACTTTCCAGACTTCAGTGATCAACGAGTGGCCGTTAGCTGCTGTTGTTTTGATGGAGAACAATGGCTGGCTTGGAGTGGTGGCGATTCAAAGGAACCATGCTGACGTTTCTCTGCCCTTGGTCAGATGTTTTGACCCATATTTGTCTCTGAACTGGTCCTTAGCCTTCCATGGAACATGGGACGGGTTAATTGACTGCTTCGCGTAGGTCTCATCCTGGGAGCATGGAGGGGGGGGTGCGCGCGAGGGTGCTCCGGGAATCGAGGCAAGCAAATTAACACGACCTAGCAAGTGTCAGGACGGGGTTTCCGATATCCGGGTAAAAAAGCTCAAATGCATACCTCTGCAGCACCCTTCGATACGGAGCATACCTCGGCGGCGGAGCTAAGACCCCGGGCGGGAAGAGTTAGCGTACGGCAATCTGCCGCACTAGCTTCTCGTTTTCCACACACTGTCCCATCACGGCGCCACAACAGCTACCTCTTACAAGGACAGCTGCAGTCATGGTCGGCCACCAACAGTTATCCATCTCTCCAGAGTCTGAGACTAAGGGCAAAACCCAACAGTGCGGGATCTGAAGATACCCTAACATCCAAGCGCGCAGATTGATGGATTAAATGGATCAAAATTGGCCGGTAGATATCCGAGGAAGGAGCAGCAGTACAACTACTCCTGTAAACTGTTGACACATGGGGAAAAAAGAAGTCTTGTACATGTGAGCAAGATTTTTATGTACGTACTTGCTGAAGGACCTTCGGCTTCATTCCATGAAGGACGACACATTGGCCGAGCCAGAAAACGCAGTGTAAAACTCTTCCAGCACCCCTTCTGACCTTACGCCGTACTCCCCTTAGCTTCTATCCAGACACCCCTCCCCACCATATCCCAGCTTCCGTTTTGGCCGGGGGTGACCGGTCCTACCTGCATGCAGGCCTTACCGAGTTGACCTGGCCTAAAGAGAGGCCCGTGGTCCACTGATCAAAGCTTATACTCACTTAACTCACTTAGCTCCCGGAGCTGGTTCCTGTCTAACATAGCACACTAGCTCTGCCTTACATCTGTCGTCAGTCGCCTCGCCTGGACCCCCGATTAACTTCCCGGACGCGAACTGCTCACCCGTTCTAGACGTCTCTAAGTAAAAGCATACTGGGGACAGCATTTGGCGTGACAATGTCGACAACAACTCCCGAGTATGACTATGATATCTACGATTCTCGGAGCGGCGTGGCCATAGCCGCCGTGTCGGCATGCCTCAGCGTCGCCTTCACTGCAGTCGCTTTGCGAGTATACACACGAGCTGTCATGATCCGGCAGTTCGGTGCTGATGATTGGGCTGCCGTTGTGGCCTATCTTCTTGCTTTGGCTAGCGGCCTGTTCGTGGCAACAAGTATGCTCAGGACCACCTGATCAGTCTGAAATGGAACTCCGGTTGCTAACAATTCCCTCAGATGTGATGTTTGGGCACGGAAAGCACTTGGCTTACGTGATTCAGGAGGGAATCCCGTTGTGGAAGTACTTTAGGGTAAGCCAGGGCTGTGTTGATGCTGTTCGGGTGCTTGACGGGGACTAACTCGCGGCAAAGCATTTTTATATTTCGATTGTGCTGTATAACGGCTCATTGACGGCCACTAAACTCACCTTCCTGCTTCAGTATTATCGAATCTTGGGCGGGACGGGTCGCATGCGGAAGGCTGTTATCGTTGCTTTTGTCATCGTGGGTCTGTGGTCAGTCTCTCAGCTTCTTGTCGTCATCTTCACCTGCTCGCCCATCGAAAAGTTCTGGAATTCGGATCTCCCGGGGACCTGCATCCCTAACCTGCCTTTCTGGTATATCAACGCGGCTGGCAACATCGTTACCGATATCATCGTCTTCCTTTTGCCACTGCCATCGCTCACCCGCCTCAACCTGCGCAAAGGGCAGAAACTTGGTTTGATTGGTGTCTTCTCTCTCGGTTTCTTCGTACGTACCAACCGGCCTGGACACAAAGTTAGTGAAGTGTTTGCTAACCAGTTCTACTCAGACTTGCGCCATTTCCGTCATTCGCATCCAATATCTGAAGCTCAGTACTGATGTGACCTGGGACAACGTCCCGTCATCTTGCTGGTCCATTGGCGAGCTCTGCTCCGGTATCACCTGTGCTTGCTTGCCGACTCTTCGCCCCTTGCTAGCTAAGGTGATTCCTGGCATGTCAATCCATAGCCAGAGCAGCCAGCAAAAGTACTACCGTCGGTCGACTGGCCGTGACTTCTCGAATGCCAGTCGGCTCAAGAGCACAGACGAGAACGGCAGCAGCCGCGGCATCATGTATCCTGAAGATTTGGAGATGCAGAGTGACAATGGCTCCGACAAAGAGATCCGTATTGCTGTCAATCGCCAAGATGGTAGCAGCAATTTCAACAAGGACTCCTCGAGGTCTCTCGACAAGCTGCGGCTAGGACTGAACACTACTGTTAAGACCGAGATAAAGGTTGGCACACCCACGCACGGGGCGTGGTCTCAGGATGGTTACCCTAGGGGTATTGAGGTCAAGAGGGATTTCATCACGACCACTCGGGAGTCTTAAACGGCTATGCCTTGATTTTTTTTTGATTACTCTCTTTCTGTGTATATCTTCCTCTGTTTTCTATACCATATGGGCTACAACGGATGGAATTAACTAGAATCTGGGAACAAGGTATTTGGGATATCAAATTCTTTGTGTGTACCTGGATGCCTGCTGAGATGATTTTTTGGAGGGAAAAATAATAGACGTTTGACCAAAGTGATTTGATATCATCCCCCTTGTCTTGTTTGGCTAAGAGTGGCGTTTATGATAGAGCTTGTATGCTGGGAAGAGTTTACCGCTTGAACTCCCAAATGTCTGACCTACCGAAACCCTTTCAGCTCCCGGCCCCTTTTCCTCATCGGAAAGATAAACTTTCGGCATTTGCCCCTAATTCTTACAGCGATTGTGTTGAAACAACACAGCAGACGCTTCAGCCCTCACTTCTCAGTTTCTGGTGCTTCAGTGTATTTGGCATGTCGAAGTAGTAGTGTGTGGTATGCGACCCCTTCCCTGAGGACTCGCATGCGAAGGTGTGACTGACAATCAAACATTAAAATCCAGAAGGTTGAAACATGCACACCTAGCATTGCGTAGATCCGGTGTTACAAAGATGATCACGGCACACTGCTGGATTGGAAACGTTCCACACCATCGACTTGAATCGAGCTCTTAATTTTGACGTTGCGAACTTTGTGTAACAATGCCATGTGGCTTGAGCCTCCAAACGTGTTTCACCCGATCTTCCAAAGAGCAATGATATGCATGCGCAATTTCGAATTAAAGTGTGCCGTGCCCACACAGCACGGGTAAAAGAACAGGATGAGACAGATCAGGCTGCGGCACTGCTGGTAATCCTCCCGTATGCGATCCTTTCCCTCGGGACCCAACAGCACGTCATGATGTGGTACAGGGCGAACTGCAGCGCGGCGGCAGTTGCCAATTGCCATATCAACTGCTTAATAAGTCCTCACGGAGTCACGGGATCTAGATAATGTTTGTGTGGTTGCGCTGACTGTTTGATAGGCTTCCGTCCCTGCAGTTCTGCTATTCCGTGTCACACAGCAAAACTCCAAATTCTGGGCAGCTTCAAAACTGCAAGAAAGAGGTCAAGGTAACTTCAATTGTTCCACCTTTTTGCTGCTGGCCCGCCTCTGTTGCAAATCAGGTACGAATTGACAGCTTTCCAACCATTCTCTCTCTTGGCAAGTTTATTCTCATTTGCTGGGCGTTGTATGGAGCAATCCGCAAGAGATGGAGGTCAATGGAGCACGGCACTCATTCTGTTTGGGCCCAGACCACCAGGATCCATAATTCAGATGTTGTGGATGTTCCATCACCACTCCCACTGCACCCCGTAGGTTGTGGAAATGCGATCCACTACCCTGGGACGAGATAACGGCCTCATTGCAGAACACAAAAATTTTGAAAGCGATACCGAGCTGCACATCGAAATCAAGAGGGCAATCAACCGATTCTCAAGATCGCAAGCAGCATTGTGTGGCGAGACTGCAGCCCGGACCAACCAAGACGTGCGGTGCGTCAACAATCGCAGTTTTTGAAGCCCAGCGATGCGGTAGCGATAAGCCATAGAAGCAGGAAACACATGTCGCAATCGCTCTGGGTGTTTGCATCAGCCGCATGCCACACCTTGTGGTTGGGCTCTGGGTCTTTAAGCTTTGCAGCCTCCCCCGCGATTGCGATGGCGTGCCGGCCCACGCTGATGACATCAACACACTAACGAACTCAACCCCCCAGTCCTGATCCCATCAACCATCCTGCTGGAGCCATATCGCTCGTGAGATGGATACCGGAGGCTGCCTTGGCGTCTTCATCGTCTTGTGATCATTGGACAGATGCACGGTTTTGTCAGTTTGGGGTGAGAGGCGTCAACACCTAGCCTCACATGTCCGGAGACAGGGTTGAAAAAAAAGTTCAAACGTGCTCCCTAGCATACAGGAGCAATGGAAGTATAGGCGGTGATGGAAATGGAGTAACCTCGTCTACTAGCAATCCAGATGTCTATATAAATCAACCTTTGTTGTCCTATTTGTTTGTTTGAATCCAGTATCCAGAGCCAGTTGCCCGGTCTTGTCAACCCTCAGGCTGGACAAGAATCAGTATCCAAATTCTCTTTCATAATTGTCAACTGTCCAGATCAGCTCTTCACGGCTCTTCAGTATTATGGCAGACGCTGGACGGCACGTCGCGGTCTCCGCGACTGTGACGGATGAAAAGTGTGCAGCTGTGCTGGACGAGAAGCAAATCGCCAGCTCCGAGAGTCAAATAAGCCACACAGACGATGAAGGCAATGAAATTACGTGGACTGAGGAGGAAGAGAAGAGGTTGGTTAGGAAGTATGTGATTTCGAACTGTGAATGTGGGGGAAAAAATCAAACGATTTACCAGTACTAACGGATTGATTTCTAGGATCGACACAATGGTTTTGCCCATTCTGATCATTTGCTTCTTCGCACTTCAGCTTGACCGTGGCAACATGTTGGTTCTCTTAATGTTACACCCAATTTTGATTTACAATAGGTTCTAACCTTATGTGCAGCGGCAATGCCATGACTGATTTCTTCCTGCAGGAAGTTGGCATCACCCAGTACCAGTTCAACATTGGCCAGCAGCTACTGTCTGCTGGTATCGTTCTTCTTGAGGTTCCCAGCAACATCATCCTCTATCGGCTCGGCCCCTCGTTATGGATTGGATTCCAGATTCTCGCTTGGGGCTCCGTTGCAACATTCCAGGCCTTCATCAAGGGCAAGGGACTGGGCCCGTACTTGACCACCCGTCTGCTGCTCGGTTTGTGCGAATCGGGCTTCATCCCAGCTGGCCTTTTTACCATCACCCGCTGGTATAAGCGGGAGGAAACTAGCAAGCGGTTCGCCTTCTACTTCATCGGCAACATGTTTGCTTCTGCCTGCTCTGGCCTTCTTGCCTATGGCATGTACGTTGCCCCCATATAACCCAGACTATGTGAATATGATCATAGCTAACATTTGGACAGCCTTCACATGAGAGGAATCTGCGGCCTCAGTGGCTGGCAATGGCTCTTCATGCTTGAGGGTCTCTTTACCATTCTGTGTGGCTTTATCTTCCTCTTCCTGTTCCCACGCTCTACTGCGAGGCCAGTTTCTCTCGCAGGCGTCCGTTTCTTCAGCGAGCGCGAGTCTCAGATCCTTACGCAGCGTGTCCTGCGTGACGACCCGTCCAAGTTTCAGCCGCACAAGAATGTCAGCCTCGCCGAGGTGAAGGCGACAGTACGTTGTCCCAGAAGTCAGAACCTCAGGAGAGTCAAGACTCACACAATGACCCTTTGTAGTTCACTAACTGGCGCCTGCTCCCACATTTCCTCGCAACCGTCCTTGGCATGGCTCCTGCTCACACTATGGGCGCGTATGCTCCCACGCTTATTGCGTCATTTGGCTACAACAGGCTCAAGGCCAACGCTATGGCTTCCGTTAGCGCTTGGGGCTTGTTTGTGCTGAATATTGTTTGGGGTTTGCTTGCCGATAAGTTCCAGCGCAGAGGCTTGCTCATTTTTCTGGCTGTTGTCATTTACTGGGGCTTTACGGTAAGAATTTCCCTTCCTGTTCCTTGCCATATCTCGGGCAAGCCCTCAAACTGATGCCTCCGGTTTTGATAGCTCGGCAATCGCATTCTTATTGAGTCAACGAACCGCGACCTGCGTTTCGGTATCCTTACCGTTTCTCTTATGTTCCAAGCTCCATGGCGTACGTTAATCGCTTCCCTTGTGTGTCTCTGAGCAACTTCAAGAGCTGACTTTTGGCTTAGACGCTACAAACGGTTCGTGGATGGCGCTTAACGCCCGGTCCGCTGGCGAGCGATCTATCACCATGGCCATTTTCGTGACGGGCGCCAACCTTGCAGGCATCATTGGTAGCCAGATCTTCCAAGCTGAGGACGCTCCCGTGTACCGGACTGGCTGGACCGTCATTATGGTCCTGGTTTCGTTGTCTCTGTGCTCTGTCATTGTTGCCAACCTACAGTACTGGCTCTTGAACAAGTTTCAGAAGAGGCAGGGCAAGGACAGATACCATTACTAATGAGTTTGAAGGTTATGGTTTGGGTTAATAGGGTTGAAAACTTTATCATGGATTAAATATCTGCAGGGTTTGGCCAAAAGTTGCGATTTCTGGTTGGTGTCGACAATTGACTAGAGCATGTATATGTCTCCGCATTTTGGAGCTGTTTCCTTTGGCCAAGAGTGCGAGTGTATCATAAAACGAAGGGTGGCTGGTTTACTTTATCCATGGGGGACAATTTCAGTGCACTACAACCACACAAGTCCATTTCTGACACTTGAAGTCAACCCGTTTTCTCCCTCCGATATGCTACAGAGCAACAGACGGACTTTTCACCACAGCTGCGCGCATACTTAGACATCAGGTAGTCAACTGCTCCATAAGACGACTTAAGAAAAACAATATAGTGCTGAAACTTCAGCTGGCTTAGCTAGCACACACACAGTTGGATGCGTTAGCGTTGTGTAATCATGATCATGCAGCAGTCTGCTTGGAGCACAGCAAATCTCCGCTCAGCCGTTCACGCGGCACAAAGATATCATAGGTAATTTGCCCCAAACGAAAGACTGGAAAATTTAAAGAGTATTCCTTGCAGGTGTGTGTTTGTGCAATTGCTGTTCCACATATTTGGCCCTCTTTAACTGCACTTCATGATTAGGATGGCCTAGCTTATGGGATACACCTGGCTCGTTTGCAGAGCTTGGTATCCATATCTACTCAAAGCTCATTGAAAGAAGTTTTGGGAACGCGGGGTAGAGCTGGTTTGGTGATAGCGTGGCTTTCGCAAAAAAATCTGCAGATTCTGACTTCGATACTCTCATCGTCGTTTAAACTTTGTATGGATCTCTTAACAACTGCACCCTAAACTCATGACAGCCATCGATGTCGTTAGAAATAAGGCTTTGTTTCAAAAAAGGGGATTAACACTGCACGAGTCAGGGTACTCTGTCAAAGCAACTCCCCGCAAAATGCAACCAGGTCTCGGTTTCAGGATCAAAGACGGCGGCTCTTCACTGGCTGACAAGTTTGCGTTATAGCCAGATCGCACCCTGAGGATGTGGACTACATGCATCGTGTTGGATTGGATCATCGTTGCCTATCGAAAAGCGAACGGAGCCACCAGTCACCAAGCAGCCAGGATTGGTTCCTTCAGGAAGACACTCTAACTCCTTATAGGGCCATTGCCGGTTGTAAAAGCGGGCCCAATATCGCTCCGTATAAAGGTCAACGGACTATGGTCATGCTACCATCCAACCAGAATGCAGGGGTTAATCTTCCTGGTCTTGGCAGGCACACATGCCAACAATCAAACCTTGCAATTTGGGAGAGCCTGGTTTCTAATCTCGCACAGCCCAGCGGGCCATCCTGTCCCGCGGGTAAAGGGGATCCACCCTACAAAACGGGCACGGATCCCCTGGCCAGGTTGGAATGCGATGGGACGTTGTCTCTCCTGCTCACCACCGCGTTGGCATTTTCATATTTGAATTGCTGGGTCGGCTCTGATCTTTCGCTCTTTTCGCTCCCTTCCCCCCTTAGTCGCTCTTTTACTCAAGCACAGTCCGGCAGCAGTCATTCCTTACCAATTCGCCGCCGATTTGCACCTCTTACACAGCTGACACCACGCTGTTCTTTAACATCAAACATCACTAGTGATATCAACGTCAGGAGATCAAAATGCGTGCTCTGTCTTTCCTCGCCCTCGCGGCCCCGCTTGTTTCTGCTATCCAGTTTGAAGCTCCCGTGGCCAACTCTACCATCTTGAAGGGCGACACTGTCAACGTCAAGTGGTCCTTTGTCGACACTGACCCCACGAAGTTCAGTATCTACCTTGTCAACTTTGTCGACTGGCCTCCCTTCTATACCCAAGTGGCCTCCGATGTCCCGACGGATGCTGGAGAATGGAAAGTCAAGGTTCCTTGCGATGTGAACACCTCTTGGGGCTTCCAATTGTGAGCATGCCTGCACGCATGAGATGGCGATGATGATGGAACTTGGGTCTAACACAAGCAATAGCAACGCCATCAACGGCACGAACGTCTATGTCATTCATGCTCAGACCCCTCGCTTCTTTGTCAAGGATGGTACCTGCTCCGGCGAGGCTGATGAGCCAACTGAGGGCAACACTTGCAAGCCTGTCACCGTTACGACCACTGTGACCGCCACTAGCACTGTTACCTCTTGTCCCAATGCTGGTAAGTCTCGAAGTCCTTCATTTGTAATATTCTTCCTATTTCTGAGTTTCGTGTTGCTCTTTATCATCCCATCACCACCATACCATTGTCCCTGACCCTGACGCAACAGAGCAGACCTCAACCGCAATGGCTTCGCAGCAGCCCGCCTCCTCTGAGGCTAAGCCTACTGTTAAAGGTAGTGTTGATGGCCCTGCCCAGCCGGCTGTGACCAACCCCCCTGTGGGCCCCAATGAGTCTCAAAACTACGGCATTACGAGGACGATCTACCAGACCGTTTACGCCGACCTCTCCGAAGCTGATGGCTGTGTGTGCTGAATCACCTGATTGACCAATGCCAAATTCCATCCTGCGGGAAGTTAAGCTGTGTCGAGGCGACGGAGCAAGCCGTTGAAATTAGGTTCAATGCTTTTGCAATTTCTTACTTCGAGGGATAACCCCCTATTGTACCTTTTGGGATAATCTAATAATACGACGTCATGACTGAATTGATTGGCGCGTTTCAACTCTCTCAGTACCAGTTGAGCCAATAATATTAGTGCAAACAGGGCCTTATACCAGAAGACTTTGAACCCAAACATGCTCCTATCAACAATGGCATTAGCACTCGGTATTGGACTTGGTTGATTGTGTTGCGGTTCTTCAATCGGCTCTTTTTCTTACCGTCGCAACCAATAAACCGTTGGTTGCGGGCACTATACAGCGTCAGTCACATAAGCAGGCTCTAAGTTTGAATAGGTATTGTTTGACTTGGTCGAATCCAGTAGAAGCTCATCCATCAAAGTACGACCCGTTGGCTTCAGACCCTCCCAATTCTGTGCATCTGACGTTCCCAGCATGCTGCCTTCGATTTCACGTTGCTGGCAAAAGAAGGTTGATTTGGCTTTGACCACTTAATGACAAATTCCGATCGACTCTTAAATGTGGTGTGACGAGCACTACAAGATACGCCTTAGGAATGACTCAGTATGCAACTCCTCTTGGGTTACAGGGCATCTCAACTCGATTACCTTATCTTGAGGGGGAAACTGCGGCACGATGTAAGGTCTTCAGTTGTCAGATGGTCCAGCAACGACGAGCTCAACTTGTCCAAGTGCAGTGTGCTATTGGCCAACTTGGTTTGAGTGCTTGATTGCCAACCTACCACTCGGCAGACTTGTCATGTAAGTGACAAATAACCTTCCGCAGGCACCTCAAAGGAGCTGTTAGGTAGGACTTATATGCTAAGGTACACGTGTCTCATGCTTCCGTACTAACAGTCGAAATCGCACAGCCATCAGTCTTTTTGCTATTAGAACCCTTCTTGGAAGGGTTGAGAAATTAGTTGGCGACATCAAACATCTTCAAGAACACATACATTACTAAGTCAATAGGTAATAAAGTGGTGAGACTCTTCTGCTGGTCATTGCTCTAAGTACCAAGTGCCGGCATTTCCGGTGCAATGGCCACAAGCCTCAAACAAAGCCCTGTCGCGGATTCAAGTCTGATACTAAATAGCCAGACACTGAGAGTAAGATGAGAGATAAGGTGGCGTTGACAGTGTCGAGGTGTGCCGACCAAGTGGTAACTGAAGTATGGTGCTGACGGACAACTCAAGGACATTCATTAGGTGGGATGAACTTCCAAAAAAAATCTCCCAAATGTAGCAGTGTATAAACCTCCTGTGGTGCGCAGTATTTGCGCAAGCGACAGGTCGTGTGGGAAATAATTGTTGGATCACGAAAGGGTTGCGCCTTCAAGTAAAAAGAAAGTACCAGGAGGTATGCAGTGTAGGAAATGTCGAGACATAACCCCTGGCTTTAATCTTGACATTCATGGCCACTGGATTTGGTGTTGCGGGGTCAAGAGGGGCTGAGGGGCAACCCCACCATCAGGCACAGGCCCGGTACCCCGCCCGGTCGTTGATGGAAGTGGGGAGCTCTTTCTAGATGACAGCCAATCAACATCTCGGATTACCATCGAAAGGCATCGAAGATCCAGAGCTTTCCACGAGCCTTGCGGCGCCCGAAGTGTTCGAGCTGAAATTCCTCAGCATCACCAGCCTGGCTGTCTGTTTCTACAGTTCCGGATTCAAGCCCAGAGCAGATCGAACAACATTACCCACCTGACGCAACATTGCTGGATCTCTCCACCACGAACCTCGAAGATCACTCAACTACCTACCCCTCACCATGTCGACTGCCGAAGAGCTTAAAGCTCTGGGTAACAAGGCCATTGCGGCTAAGAACTTTGATGAGGCAATGTAAGTCAGTACCGTCCTAGCGGGGTATTGCGAAGTTGTGATAGATTACTTGTTGGACGGGGCTGACAACATTCACAGCGACAAGTTTACCCAGGCGATTGCATTGGACCCCAACAATCACATCCTCTACAGCAACCGTTCCGCCGCGTATGCATCCAAAAAGGACTGGGAAAAGGCCCTTTCCGATGCGATTAAGACCACGGAATTGAAGCCCGATTGGCCAAAGGGCTGGGGACGCAAGGGAGCGGCTTTGTTTGGGAAAGGCGACCTGCTTGGGGCTCATGATGCCTATGAACAAGGCCTAAAGCTCGACCCCAACAATGCTGGTATGAAAAACGATCTTGAGGCAGTCAAGCGGGCCATGGAGAAAGAAGCCGGCGGTGCTGGTAAGCCGAATCCTCACACAGTTGCTTTGACAGCTTTCAATACACGGAGTCGCGATGCTAACGGATATTGTCTAGGTGGCTTCGATCCTAATGCGAGCATCGGCAAGCTTTTTAGCGACCCGAACCTCATTCAGAAATTGGCGAGCAATCCAAAGACGAGCGCCCTCCTTGCTGATCCCAGCTTTATGGCCAAGCTGCAGTCAATCAGGCAAAACCCGAACAACATGCAAGAGCTGTTCAGCGACCCGAGGCTAATTCAGGTCCTTGGTGTGCTTATGGGTGTCGATATGGAAATGCGCAGCCCAGATGAGGCCGGGGGCCCATCAACAACGAAGGCTCAAGAGGACGTGCCAATGCCAGATGCACCAAAGAAGGAGCCGGAACCTTCTAAGAAGGAGCCGGAGCCGGAGCCCGAGGAGGAGTTGGATGATGAGGAGCGCGAAAAGAGGCAGAAGAAGGCAGAAGCTGATAAGGAGAAGCAGCTCGGCAACGAAAATTACAAGAAGCGGAACTTTGATGAGGCCATCAAGCACTACGAAGCTGCCTGGGATCTGTACAAGGACATCACATACTTGAATAACCTGGGTGCGGCCTACTTCGAGAAGGGTGACTATCAGGCCTGTATCGATACTTGTACCAAGGCAGTCGAGGAGGGCCGCCAAATGTTTGCCGATTTTAAGCTGATCGCCAAGTCGTACGCGCGCATTGGCACGGCTTACGAGAAAATGGGTGACTTGACCAAGGCTATCGAATTCTACAACCAGTCACTGCGCGAGCACCGGACACCCGAAGTTGTCAATAAGCTTCGTACGGCAGAGAAGAACAAGATTGAAGCTGCACGCAAGGCGTACATCGACCCGGTTAAGGCTGAGGAGGCGCGTGAAGAGGGTAATAAGAAGTTCAAGGAATCCGACTGGCCAGGCGCGGTGGCTGCGTACTCAGAGATGATCAAGCGGGCGCCCGATGACCCGCGTGGCTACAGCAATCGCGCTGCTGCCTTTATCAAGCTGCTCGAGTTTCCAAGTGCGCTCGAGGACTGCGACATGGCCATCAAGAAGGACCCCAAGTTCATCCGTGCCTACATCCGGAAGGCCCAAGCCTATTTCGGCATGCGCGAATACAGCAAGTGCGTTGATGCTTGCGCTGACGCTTTGAAGGTTGATGCCGAACACTACAACGGGGCCAATACCAAAGAGATTGAGGCGCAGCAGCAGAAGGCTTTTAGTGCTATGTATGCGGCACGTGAGAACGAGACAGAGGAGCAGACTCGTGAGCGTTTGATGCGCGATCCTGATGTGAGTTTCCAATTTTCGGTATATATACGGATCGTCGTGACGATGCTAACATGCTCCCCAGATTATGAGCATCATGGCCGATCCTGTTATGCAGTCGATATTGCAGCAGGCGCAGGCTGATCCGGCCGCTCTAGCGGAGCACATGAAGAACCCGATGGTGCGGACAAAGATTCAGAAGCTTATCGCTGCCGGCGTCATTAGGGTTGGCCGGTAGAAAGAGGCGGGTTTAGTGTTTCGGGGACCGGTTTTACAGGGTGCTTAGTAGTTATTATGTTCCAGTGTTTGCTTTGGTAGTAATGTCATCCATGAGGAACGAGGACATGTACTCTAGAGGCTTTTGGATTCGGTGTGTGGTTGGTTTGAATTTCCATGGCGCCCTTAAATAAAGGGCTTGCTGTTTAGTGCGCATCGCGTTTGCACCCGTGTTGCGTCTGCCCTAAGCTTCCAAGCCCTCACCATAGAGCCATCTAACCTCCTTGGCGCTGATACCAATTACTTTGACGCCCTTGCTTTCCATATCCTTCTTGCTTTCTTCCCACGGCTCCCCGCCATCCACAGGCTTTGTCCCATCCTCAATCACAAACACTTTCCCTTCCAAACCTAACAGTTTTACGGCATCCATTGCAGTTGACTTCACGCAGTAATCTCCTGCCAGACCTACCACATATACATGTGATACCTTCTCATCTTGAAGTAAGCTGTTAAGACCGCTGTCACACACTCCCAATGGGTCGACGAAAGCGCTATACATCTCAACACGCGGGTCAGTTCCCTTCTTGATGTTGTGGGTGGCCTTGCTTGCGTCCAGCTCCGGAATCAGCTCAGCCCCCGGAGTATTCTGCACGCAATGGTCTGGCCAAAGACGTGTCTCATAGTGGCCAAGAGAAGGGTCGTCTGGATGGTAGATGGTCACGGTGTCGATAAAGGGGCGGTTGTTCGGGGGCGGGTGATTAGAAGCAAAAGAGACATGGTTCTGGGGGTGCCAGTCCTGGGTAGTGACCTTCGCTACGAAGGAGGGAAGAGAGAGGAGTTCGTTGATCACTGGGGTGATAGTCCGGCCCTCAGCAACAGCAAGAGAACCATTCTGTAGAGCACAAGGAACAAGGGAGTGGTTAGCCCGTGTTTCCGTCGAACACAATCTCTCGTTATTTTTTTGATATGGCTCGAGAATCACAGTGGGACTCGCACAAGAAGTGATCACGAGAGACTCGTTACTTGACTATCGTATGCTTACCGGCGGGCAAAAGTCCTCCTGCATGTCAACCACAATTAGGGCAGGCCTGAAATTGTAGGAGCTTTGGGCAGCCATTTTGTAAAGCAGTCAACTGACACAGAGCGTCACAGCAAAGATGCGATTCGTGTGTGTGATCTAGAGACGATGGCAGTATTTAGTCTAAGAGGTGTGAACTGGCGATGCAAGATGCAGATACTTTTTGATCAGCTGGAATTGATAGCAAAAGATCAGAGTTAGTGCGGCCAAAGAACCCATGAAAGTTGGGCAGCTATGAGAGAGGGGAGAGGGAGGGATTGAATTTTGGAGGGGCAGCAAAAGAGGGGCAAGCATCACGGCCCATGATTCGATCTGATCCGATCTTATGATAAGATAAGATCGTTCTCTCACAGGGGTTCAGCTTGGCAATAGCAGGCGTGCCCACAGAAAATAAATCTGTTGCCGATCTCATTAGTCGATGGCTTCATGGATGTAACCCCTCCATATCCTCTTCAGCCTCTCCGCGTGTGGTGAGCCATTAAAGGATGCTGTGGATCTATGAAGAGGTGAGAATGCACATAGTCATCCTCAGCTCAGAGTCAAGCTCGGACGTACTTGTGGGCAAGGGGGTCGATGCTGTTGTCCTCGGCTCAACAGTTGTTACTGATCATCACGCATTCCCTGAGCTACGGTTGGTGACTATGTAGGTACACGGAAAAAACAGAAGAGTTTCTATCAGCTCTTCGGGACTAGGCATATGTCCCGGCCTAGTCCGATCGAAGGTAGAGCAAATGATACCGATATTTGTTAGCGGCTGGACTATTTGCCCAACAGGTCCTGCTACCTTACCTATAATCTTCAGGAAATCCATCTGTGATGTGATGTGGCAAGCAGATGCAAGAATCTGACCAGCAGCTGCACCAACCACACAGTACAATGCAGACTGTACACGTATCGAAGCGCTCAGCGAACTCGCGGGCAAGTGGATGGATCCTGGTGTTCAGTGTGTTGGCATAGCCGGCGAGCAGGTCCTTTGCCGCTCATGCAAGTTCCCGTTATCGGGTCTAACCCAAAAAAGATGGGACCAAGGCAGAAACATTTGGTGGAGAGACTCATGAAAGAAATGATGCCCAACACTACGAATGCATCTATAGGGCTTCAGGCATATGGATACAGGCGGCGACTTTGTAAGAACTTCACACAGTGCTTGGAGAACAATATTAGGGAATGTTTCCCAACAATTGGAAGCTTGACAAAGATAGAATACGTGTTGTCATCCTGTCATGAAAGGCGGTGTCCAGAAAACGCGTCCGGCTTGCAGAAAAGGGGCAAGGCCATTCAAGGTTGACATCAGCCACGGCCAGCCAGCGACGTGGATCGGATGCCAAGACGTTCACACTCCACTACCCTAGTCCATAACCGGAAACGGTTGGGGGTTCAGACCAATGGCCGAGTGGCTTGGCGACCTGGGTTCCGGAACCTCTGGAGAAACCATGCAGGTGGTCCGTGCCAGAAGTGCAATTGAAATTCTTTTTATCACCGACCACCGCTCCGTTCCGCCTCAGGCAAGCGATCCCAAGGCACGGCCGCTCTCGAGACTCGCCAGTCACTCATCACCAAGGTCTGACATCTCCCGTCTCTCTTTGCCCAATTCAACATTGTTGCCGGCTTTTCGAGAGACTGGTGGCGGCTAGAGCCTGGGCAGCTGGACTCTTTGTCAATTCTTGTCCATCCCAACTTTTTTTTTCTCTTTACCGGCCGGGCGCGATTCTGTGCATGGGAACACGCCAGACACGTGCGGTCGTGGGTCTGCCTAGATTTTGGGCTTTGGTTGGAGCTTGCCGAATCGACCCCTAACCTTCTCAACTTCACCGACTGCCCACCACGCTACTTACCCACCCGAATCTGCGAGCCTGCGTGGCCACGGCAGCACGACAACTCATTCGCATCACCACTACACAGCGAGAAGCTCGCGCAACTGCAAAACCGGCGTCTAGGTGCCGACTTGGCCTGCGCCACGCAGTGTGCACCTGATTGACGCTCCCTGTTATGTAAGTAGCTGGAAATCTCCCCTTTCTCTCCCACCTCGAGTTGTTTTTCCTCTTTTTTTTTTCTCGTTTCCCCTCCATCCTTTTACCATTGGAATGGCGATGTGTCACTCCAAGAGAAGCTGATCTCGCTGTCAATAACGGGCATAGCCAGGAGCTGCCGTTTCTTGTCGCTATGTCATAACTGCTTCTCTGCGCATTCTTAACGACACACATGGCCCTCTGGCCTAAAGAATGATAGAATGTCGTCCGCTGACAGCCCTCTGCAGAGGCTCATCCGTCTGTTCAATATCCCACTCCTCTCCAATGTCGTCAAGGCTTCAATAAGCTTCGCATTACTCACTGTCACCATGATTGCGTCCAACTTTCTACCGTCACGCTTCCGCGGCGAGCAGCCGCAGTGTCAGAATGCCGCGCCCTCGTGGCTCAACAAGAAGGTCACACCACTGCTTCAGGTGTTGGCTCGCATCACCTCAACACATCCAATACACACCATTGTGATTGTTGCTCTCCTAGCCAGTTCATCCTACATCGGTCTATTGGAGGAGAGTCTTTTCGATGCCGCCAGGAGCGTTCGCAAGGCGGAGTGGTCTTCCCTCGTCGAGGGCAGCCGTCAGCTTCGCGTTTCCGAGGACACAGCTTGGAAGTGGCAGCCTTACGATTCCGATGCTCCCATCCCCCCAACTGCCGATCATCTCGCGCTTCTAACTCTCGTCTTCCCGGAGGCTCTGTCGACCGACCCTTCGCGGGCCCCTCCTCTGGCGAACTCGGTTCCCATCCCACAAAACTTGTCGATTCGCCCGCTCCCGTCGACTTCGAATTCATTCAGCACGTACTCTCAAGATAGTGCTCTTGCCTTTTCGATTCCCTACAGCCAGGCTCCCGAGTTTCTTGCCATCGCCCAGGAAATCCCCAATGGCATTCCGTCACAGGAGACCAGGGAGACCGACAACGGCCGGGAGACAAAGATGTGGATTATGAAAGCAGCGAGAGCCCGCACCAGCAGCAGCATTGCAAAATGGTTCCAGAACGCCTGGGTTGAGTTCACTGACCGGCTCAAGAATGCCGAGACTCTGGACATCGTGATCATGACCCTTGGTTACATCTCCATGCACCTCACATTTGTGTCTCTCTTCGTATCGATGCGTCGTCTGGGTTCCAACTTCTGGCTGGCTACGAGCGTCATCTTCTCGTCCACGTTCGCCTTCCTGTTTGGTCTGTTTGTCACCACCAAGCTCGGCGTGCCAATCTCCGTGGTCCTGCTGTCTGAGGGTCTGCCTTTCCTGGTTGTTACTATCGGCTTCGAAAAGAACATTGTTCTCACCCGTGCTGTTCTGTCTCATGCCATTGAGCACCGCCGCCCTGAGAAGTCGTCTGGCAAGAGTAAGAAGGCCGATGCGTCTCAGAGCCTCATCCAGTCGGCCATTTATATTGCTATCAAGGAGAAGGGTTTTGATATCCTCAAGGATTATGCCATTGAGGTCGCATTCCTGATCATCGGCGCTGCCTCAGGCGTGCAGGGTGGTCTGCAACAATTCTGCTTCCTGGCCGCTTGGATCCTATTCTTTGATTGCATCCTTCTCTTCTCCTTCTACACGGCTATCCTGTGCATTAAGCTGGAAATTAATCGCATCAAGCGCCACGTCGAGATGCGCAAGGCCCTGGAGGATGATGGCGTCAGCCGTAGGGTTGCCGAGAACGTAGCCCGGAGCAACGACTGGCCCCGTGCTGATGGGAAGGATCAGCCGGGCACAACCATCTTTGGTCGCCACATCAAGAGCACTCACATTCCGAGGTTCAAGGTGCTTATGGTTTCTGGCTTCATCCTTGTCAATGCTCTAAACCTTTGCACCATTCCCTTCCGGAGCGCAAATTCAATCTCGAATATCTCCTCATGGGCTCGCGGCTTTAGTGGTCTTGTCAGCTCCCCCCCTGTCGATCCTTTCAAAGTCGCCTCGAACGGCCTTGACATCATTCTGGAGAGCGCTAAGGCCGAAGGCCGGGAGACTATTGTTACAGTTCTTACTCCCATCCGTTACGAGCTTGAGTTCCCATCAGTGCACTACGACCTGCCGCAGAAGGCCGCTAAGGACGGCGAGGAAGGCTTTGCCATTCGTGGATATGGTGGCCGCATGGTTGATGGCATTCTCAAGAGCTTGGAGGACCCAATCCTGTCGAAGTGGATTGTGGTCGCCTTGGCTATGAGTCTGGCGCTTAACGGCTATCTCTTTAATGCTGCGAGGTGGGGTATCAAGGATCCAAATGTCCCAGATCATCCCATTGATCCCAAGGAGCTAGCCCAGGCGCAGACTTTCAACGACACCGAGTCAGCCACGCTTCCTTTGGGCGAGTACATGAAGCCTCCTGTTCCGACCCCATCTGTTCCGCCAACCCCGGCTTTGTCTGATGATGAGGCGGAGGCGGCCCGAAAGAAGCTGGCTGCTCCAACTGTCCCTGAGCAGCCTCAGCCCATGCGGAGCCTACAAGAGATGGAGAAGATGCTTCTCGAAAAGCGTGCTCATGAGCTGACGGATGAAGAAGTCGTTGCCTTGTGTCTTCGTGGCAAGATTCCCGGCTATGCTTTAGAGAAGACACTTAAAGATTTCACCCGGGCTGTTAAGGTCCGTCGTACCGTTGTCTCTCGCACCAAGGCTACCGCTGATTTGACCGGCTTCCTCGAACGCTCCAAGTTGCCATACCAAAATTACAACTGGGCTCAAGTCCACGGTGCCTGCTGCGAAAATGTCATTGGATATATGCCTGTCCCGGTCGGTGTTGCTGGTCCTCTGGTTGTCGATGGTCAGAGCTATTTCATTCCTATGGCTACGACGGAGGGCGTGCTGGTTGCTAGCACGAGCAGAGGTTGCAAGGCTATCAATGCCGGTGGCGGTGCGGTCACTGTCCTTACTGGAGATGGTATGACACGCGGCCCTTGCGTGAGCTTCGAGACGCTGGAGAGGGCTGGTGCTGCTAAGCTCTGGTTGGATTCTGAGAAGGGTCAAGCGATCATGAAGAAGGCGTTTAACTCGACCAGTCGCTTTGCTCGTCTTGAGTCAATGAAGACGGCCATGGCTGGCACGAACCTCTACATCCGCTTCAAGACCACTACTGGTGACGCCATGGGTATGAACATGATTTCGAAGGGTGTCGAACACGCCCTCAATGTTATGATGAGCGAAGGTTTCGAGGATATGAACATCGTGTCCGTCAGCGGCAACTACTGCACTGACAAGAAGCCTGCTGCCATCAACTGGGTCGATGGTCGTGGCAAGAGCGTCGTTGCTGAGGCCATCATTCCCAGTGAGATTGTCAAGTCGGTCCTCAAGACTGATGTTGACACTATGGTTGAACTAAACCAAAACAAGAACTTGATCGGTTCTGCCATGGCTGGTGCCATTGGTGGCTTCAACGCCCATGCCGCCAATATCGTTGCCGCTATCTTCATTGCCACCGGTCAGGACCCCGCCCAGGTGGTGGAGAGCGCCAACTGCATTACGATCATGAGGAAGTAAGTGAAGAATCAAGAGCCTTGCATTACCGTTTTCATGTGGGGTTGACTAACAATTTCTCAGCCTCCGTGGTTCTCTCCAAATCTCCGTCTCCATGCCTTCTCTCGAGGTTGGCACTCTTGGTGGAGGTACCATTCTCGACCCACAAGCCGCTATGCTCGACATGCTAGGCGTTCGCGGCCCACATCCGACTCATCCTGGTGAGAATGCTCGCCGTCTTGCCCGGATCGTGGCTGCCGCTGTGCTTGCTGGTGAACTGTCGCTCTGCAGCGCTCTCGCGGCCGGCCACCTCGTCAAGGCACACATGCAGCACAACCGCAGTCAGCCTCCGACTCGGTCAGCGACGCCTGCCCCCACGCAGTCAGCGCCTGTCGCAACAGGTATTGATCAGCGGGGTATGAGCGCGGCCGCTATCGAGAGGGCAAGGCGGTGATTAAAACCCCTTGTTGCGGGGTGATAAAGTGTGTTTTAAGGGGTTGTATATACGAGTACTACTCTGGAAGAGTTACGTACCTAATGTAGATATGAGGTGTACCGTTGAGGGTAATGTGCAAGACGCCTCCAAGGGGCGCTTGCCAATGGTGTACGAGGTGCAGAAGCACTGGATGTGGTGTGTCTGGAAACAGGATTGCTTGGATCTTGCCTCTTTGGCACCTACCTAAGTAGGTAACATGCGAATGCACGATTGTGATAGATAAGCTAGATAAATTAATGTTCTTGTTTCTTGTCTTTCTTTTGCTCGAACTGCTGCTTGCATGAAGTGAAAAGATGAGGATTTGATCTTCATGGCAAGAGTTCTGATGTCTCTTGTGGTCCTTGTAGGGCATGGCTCCAACATAGCCGCAGAGATGATTGCCTCAAAGTCATTCTCTTCCCCTTCTTTACTCCCCATCCGCAGTCAAGGGGTAAGTGCAGGTAAGCAGGAGGTACCTATATGGCATGATACTGAACCCTTGGGGTGTGTCGGCAGAAGGTGGGTTCTGTTCTCCAACGATAGCACTTTCTGTATAAGGAGGACGCAGTAAACTTGATGTTCTGCTGAGCACATCTCCGTGACTGGCAGGTTGTGTTACGGGCAATGTGAAGACATGGTTCTTTGATGTGTTGTCCAGTAGCCGAGTGTTCCATGCATGATAACATCTTTGCGACTTCTTGGAGGCCAGTGAGGGACGGCAGGGCCTGTTGCCACACAGGACGCAGGTTGGAAGGTGGGCGATCATTCGAAGGCCTGAGGCCTTGAAGAGAGAAATTCTACAGGTACTTGAAATCTAGAGCACCATCTGATCAAAAGGAGAGTGTGAGAGTGTGAGAGAGCAGGATGGCAAGACAGACTCGATCCTTGTGCTCTGGGAATCTTTTTGTGAACAGAACGATGGTGGGTTCTAGTCAAAATGATCCTCGACAGAGCTGTCTAGGTGGATGGCAGGGGCTAGCAATGGATATGCATACCTAGGTACCCGGCCAACCTTGTTTATGAGCTGCTCAGCCACTGCATATATCACCCAAGACCAGACGGTTAAGCAGTATCACGGTTACCATTCCTCATACTCTCCCATTGCCGGGCATCGACTGCAGGCAAGATATTGGCGGGATAGAGATGTAATGCTGTGGCGAGCTTACTGCCTTCGTTGCCCGGCGGCGTCGAGAACTTCAGTAGCAACGGCTTCTTGGTATACTCGGCAGGTTATTTCCGATCAGATAGCTCGATGTATCCAATGGTTCATCTCTGTGAGACGTATAAAAACCACAACGTCATAACATGGATGAGCCGTCCGTAACTATATCTCCCCAACTACTTGAATCGAAGCACCTTCTCCCGAGCTCTTTATGGAGTTGGGGGACAGAAGCGGAGTTGGACTGCCCTGTCTGCTTGACCAGTTTGTTCACATAGCTCCCCAGAGACACCAAAGGCAACAAAGGGAAGATGCCAGCATGCCACACCAAACCGCCAACTGCTCACTCCCCTCCGAGAAGTCTAGATCGGCAAGATCCTGGCTGTTAATTTTCTGGTCGCTCTTTAGGGGTATCACATCCCCTCATCAATGTCCAGGCTCAACAAGGTACAACAGACAACGGCATGGCTAGTCAATGGACCAAGGTGAGCCTCAGTGAGAACTCATGGTCCCTCACGGCAACAAACCCCCTACAAACATATCATATAGCCGCTCCATATCACCTTGTCCAAGTCCAATTTCCCACAAACTCTCACGAACATCACTATCCATATCACCCAAATGACCACACAAACCCACACTACGCCGCTCGAACAATACCCTTCCCTGGCTACACACACCATCCCCCTTCCATCACTTCCGAACCGCCATCACCTCGTCCAACCCAAACCCACGTCCAAACAACACTCATCGTCCTCTCCCTCGCCCTCACCCTCTTTCTCGCCGCCCTGGATATAACAATCCCCAGCGTCTCAGTCCCAGCCATCGCCCGCGACCTGACCAGGAGCAGTCATCCTGCTTTCTCTGTTGGCAAATCAACTGCCTCAGGGGGTACACTCGCGCCAGGCTTCAATCTGGATCGGCTCAGCTTATATACCCTGGATAACGCGTCAGCGGCGGGGCTGCGGGGGAAGTTGTCTGATATTTTGGGGAAAACGAGGATTCTGTTGCTGGTGGTTGGTGTGTTTTGGTTGGGGTCGTTGGGGTGTGGGGTCAGTCAGGCACTAAGGATGCTGATTGCTGGGTTGGTAGTCCAGGAGATTGGAGGGGGAGGAGTGATGTTGATCAATGTTGGTTGGGTGGAAGGGGGGGGGGGAAATTTATTCCCGCCTAGGATGAGGGCTGGGTTGGCTCCCGGTTGTCCAGTTTTGTAGTCGTTGGATACCTACTAACTAGTTGAGGACTTACATTGGGGCCATGGGCATGGTCTGAGCCGTGGTATCGACTGTTAGTCTCGTTTCAGGGGGCTTGTTTACGACGAGGACGATCTGGAGATAGTGTTTTTACGGTCAACCTGCCAACATCAGGACTCGCCATGGTGGCGTTGATGATTCTCCTCAAGCTACACAACCCTCGAACGCCGCTGCTGGACGGTCTGAAGGCGATGGACAGGCTAGGAAGCGTGAGCATTATCGAGGCTATGGCAATGCTCATGCTAGGACTCGAGTTGGGCTGTCTGCTCTCATCGCGTGGAAGTTAGCCAAATTACCTGTGGTGCCTATGCAACTGCTCCGGAACCGAGCCAGCCTGGCACCATTGGTGATCTGCGGATTCCATGCATTCGTCTTTATCTCAGGATACCGTTACCTACCTCTCTACCCTCCAGGCTCTCCTGGGCGCGTCGCCCCTGATGTGCGGCGTGTACATCCTGCCCTATGTCATGTCGATATCGCTTGCGTCTGCGGGGATTGGAATCCTTAACTCAAAAGTAAGAGAAGTATCTGGGATACATAATCCTGGGAATGGCCATCATGACAACGGGATTTGGCTTTCCATCAACCTCGAGGCGCGTCCGGATTGGGGCAAGATCATCCTCTTCCAGCTCATTGCTGGAATCGGAGCCGGGCCTAATGTCCAGGGCCCCCTCATCACACTGCAAGCAGCACTCGAAGGTCGTGATATAGCTGCAGCAACTACCATGCTTGGGTTCATGCGGAATATGTTCGCGTCGATATCCCTCACGTTTGGCGGTGTCGTCTTTCAGAATGTCATGCGAGACCAACACCCGCAGCTCGTTGCAGAACTGGGCTAGGAAACAGCAGAGCTGCTCTCTGGGCCCAGGCCGCAGCCAGCGTAGGGCTGATCACGCAGCCTGCTGAACCACAAGACGGAGTTGCCATGATGGTACAATCTTGGAAGCCGGCGCATCATCATGTGGGTGACGTACGTGCTGTGGACGGGAGCAGGGCAGTTGTTTTCGTTTCTTGTTGCTCCACGCAGGCTATCCCAGCAGTACGAAGAGTACAATACTGGGCTAGACAGCACAGCATGAAGGGAAACTGAGCAGCACCAGCCCTCGTCAGACGACGACAGTGAAGTTGGGGATGCCTGGGGAGTGCAGAATTTCAGATACGGCCAAGCAGATGTGTGAACACGGGGAATTTGTCCGTAGAGGTGCCAGGCGGGGCATTACCTGCTACCTAGGTATGCTACCATAAATGTTTTCGATGACCCAGCTACCGGACAATGACGGGCGGCGAGAATGATAATGCGTGACACGTTGGGCGAACCTGGTTCCCGGATTCTCAAGAGTCAAGACCACTCGCCTGTAACACCGAAGCCAACAAACAAGCCCGGATGACGATGCGAGCAAAGCTTGCACTAGCTGAAAGTAATGGTGACGATGCCTCAACATTCTCGAGCCAATCTTCCACGTGTAATGGGAGGTTGCATGTTGTATGTTGCATGTGGACGACCAGGAGTTGGAGGTGTTGACGATGTGCATGCGAACCATGCCATCGGGTGCAACGGTTCATGACGACGGCTCGCGCTAAGAATTCAGGCAAAAACAACGACTGGCAAGCACCCGGCGGGGTTCCGGGCCAGTGCCACGCCACCAGGCGCACAGTGGAAGGCTTCTGGAAGAAGGGCCCTGCACCACTGCAATATCTTGGCTTAGCGATTTTTCCAGCGGGGGCTTGCCCTGTGCTGCCCTGTGCTGCCCTGTTCCTCAGTGGTCAGTGGCTCGCCAGTGGCCCATTAAGCGTCTGCTCAACCAGCCCCTGGATGCGACATCAATCGGACGGGCTTTCCTCCATTCCGGTTGCAAGCTGGGGAAAGCACTAGACTCTCAGACCTGAAGGCGCGACTAAACCATCTGCAAAGAGAACAAGGTGGAAAGAGGAAACGTCGGTTTTCTCCGAGTCGAGATGTGCGCTGGGTGCTAGGGCTCGGGTTTCTTTTTTTTTTCCTGTCCAGCTGCGGCTAAGGCTGCCGTTGCCGTTGCGATGCAATCCCGCGTTCCTTATCCCCGGTCCTCAACTGGCAGTTCCACTCGGCTCCTTCATTTTTTTCAGTATTTATCCTCTGCTGATAGCTGATATTGACACCCAGAGCAGCGAGAACATCGTGCCGACATGTTTCTACGCATTTCACCTGTTTCAGGCAGCGCGGTTGGCTGGCTGTTTTGATAGGCACGATGATGGTCCACGGGAACTGTCATCAAAACAACAGCATGAGATGAGTGTGCTGGGTCTGAGATCCATACCAGTGAGGATTACTGTAACTGACATCCATCTTTACCACAAGCTCACAGCTTTGAAGTCTTAAGTCTTCTGCAGAGAGTCAACCGGTAGAACTTGGAACGTGCTCGCAAGATTTTGCGATAAATGGATGCATCGTGATGCTCTTGGTGCAGGCCCCCCGCCCTTCACCCGGAACCTCATCGTCCGCATCGAACTTGGCTGTCTTGCTCATATAGCCGAGTGCCCTCTCCGCGCTCACCTCTCCCTCTCCTCCCCGGCATGTGCCTACGAAGATCGAGACCCAGTTTCATGCGACACTGCAATGACACCGTGACATGCAGTGGCATGTTTTCTCCGGCTTTGCAACCAGGCTCGATCTGGGGAATATGAATCGGCGGCCCGGCTATGGACGAGATGGGACCCGTCCTGTTGCCAATTGGGCTGCCCCTGCCATCCTGCCTATCCTGCCGGCCTAAAGCACTTGTAGTGTATATAAGAGGAAGGCGGCCCGCCGCGGGAGCTTGAGGGCGATCTCTTGGGAAGGCCGTGATCGTCGTCGTCAAAGTCCTCAGCAAGTTGGAACCGGCCAAGAGTACTCCTACCGCGTAGTCTCACAACATGAAGCTCAATAACCTTGCCTCGAGTCTCCTGAGCCTGGTGGCGGTTGCCGATGCCGCCTCCCTGACCCAGGTCACCAACTTCGGCTCCAACCCGTCGGGGGCCCGCATGTACATCTACGTCCCTGACAGGCTCCAGACAAACCCGCCCATCCTGACTGCCATCCACTACTGCACCGGCACCGCCAACGCCTTCTATACCGGCACCCCCTATGCCCGTCTCGCCGATCAGTACGGCTTCATCGTCATCTATCCCGAGTCTCCCTACAGCGGTAGCTGCTGGGATGTGTCGTCCCGGGCGACCCTCACCCGCGATGGCGGCGGCAGCAGCACCAGTATTGCCCAGATGGTCAGGTGGGCCATTGAACGATACAATGCCGACCGTAACCGCATCTTCGTTGCCGGCACGAGCTCCGGCGCCATGATGACCAACGTCCTTGCCGCCACCTATCCCGATCTCTTCAAGGCCGCTGCTGCCTATGCCGGTGTGCCCGCTGGCTGCTTCTACACGGGTACCGTTGCCGGATGGAACAGCACCTGCGCCAACGGCCAGTCCATCGCCTCTCAACAGGTTTGGGCCCAGACGGCTCTCGACATGTACCCCGGCTACACCGGGCCTCGTCCCAAGATGATGATCTACCATGGGTCTGCCGATACCACCATCTATCCTCAGGTAAGCTTTGCAATACCTCTTCCTCCGTGATAAACAAGAAGCTAATTCTCCCATTAGAATTTCAACGAGACCATGAAGCAGTGGTGTGGTGTCTTCGGCTACACCTACGGCTCTCCGCAGCAGACCCTTGCCAACACTCCTTCGGCCGGCTACACCAAGTACGTCTACGGCGAGAACCTGGTGGGCATCTACGGCTCCGGCGTCACCCACAATATCCCCGTCAACGGCGAGAACGACCTGAACTGGTTTGACGGCATCAAGGGCGGCTCCAGCACCCCGACCACCACCGCCGTCACCAGCAGCGTGCCGAGCACCACGCTCTCTACTTCGACTCGAACTACCACCACCTCCTCGACTTCTGCTCCTACCCCGACCGGCTGCACTTCCCAGCGCTGGGGCCAGTGCGGCGGTATTGGCTGGACTGGCTGCACTACTTGCGCCAGCCCGTGGACCTGCACCAAGCTCAATGACTGGTACTACCAGTGCCTGTAAAGGCGGAGGAGGGGTCGAGACCTCTTTCGGAGAGTTTGACAATCTCCCAAGGTAGTTGAGGTTGGATGTTTCGTTTGTACATGTTACACTTAACGATTTGAAAAAGAGTTCGTACATACCCAAGCAGGAACATCTTTTGTCCTTGCAATATGAAAGTACTTGAACGTCTTCATGGTATCCTTCTTGCCCTTCTCCTCGCTCATATGATACCTGTGACGAATTTCCGTGCTTTGCATCGCTGAACAACTCGGGCACTACAAGTCATCTCATTCAGGTATTCCTCTAAAAACGTTAGGTACTTGTATTAAGATGCTGCTGTCCTATCTTATCAGCATCATCTACCTTGCTTTCTCTGTCTCGTCGCTACCGACTTCTTTGTCACGCGAATCGCATCTATTTCCCTGAGCGGCCTCTTCTCTTGGTGGAATGATGGGCAATACAACGTAATTCTGGTAGTCTGGGCCAAAGTGGATGTGATTCCACCCCTGGAACACCTCAGGATCCCTAGAGTATCATAGCACCAGTCAGCAAGCAACATCAAACACGGCCAGATTCCTAACTTGAGAGTAAACCTACCGATCATACTCATCATCATGCGTAAAGATACCACACCCCTGCGTATCCCCCGACGATACCTCCAGCAACAGTTGGCTCCCCTTTTCAACCACCACGCACGTGGGCCAAATCTCCACGTCTACCGTGTACACCGTCCTTGCCTCCAACATCTCCTGGTCAACCTTACGATACTCCCGGTACGGCAGCCACGGCCTGTGCCAGGGGTGCTCTTCGTTCACTTTGCGCAGAGACACCCGCAGCCATCCTTTGGTCAGCGGTACTGGGTCGCCCGCCGTGCCAGTGTAATAGATTTCGCACCCGTCCGGGCCGATGTGGCGGAGTGTCAGGAAGAGGTCGATGTCTGTGGGTTGCTTTGGTGGGCGCATCTTTGCTCGGTCGGCCGAGACGCTGACGCAGAGACGGGCTATGATGTGGCCTGTGATTTCAGTTTCTTCTTCGAAAGGGGGTGTGATGAAGTGAAGAACTTCATCCCAATCGTCCGGCGTGAGAAGCGCGTGGTAGGTGAGTGCCAAGGGCTCTGGCCCCCGAGGCTTTTCACGGCGCATTGTCCGGTCGGGGTGCAGATAGAACTTGGTGTACTGAGTGCGAGCTAGAGGCCATTCATATTCCTCCCGACGTGGGTAGGTTGCTTCTCCGTCTGGGTTGTTGACTCCCACGTTTCCTTTACGGATCACGAGGTTGATAGGAGGCACTTTCCCGGGCTGTGACCAGCCCACTCGGTCTTCACCCTTCAGAAAGGCGTCCAGGAAGCTGCGCTGAATCTCAACTTCGTCGTCGTAGTAGAACGGGAGATCATGACGACCTGTGATCATGCGGAGGTACTTAAGTTTAGAGCCCGCGTGGGTGAAGCCCTCGATGTTCCCTCGCAGATGAAGCAAGATTCCTCCCCAGTTGCCGACAGAGAGCAGAGGCACTTCGATGTCAGCAAGGTTGTACTCCCGGCAGGCGTGATATTCATCGTCTCGATAACGGTATTTCCTGTTCTCAACGACTTGATCGCGACGGTTTTCGAGCAGTTCTGACTCAGGGAGGTCGCCTTCGAGCGTGTCCGGTCCCCAGTTCGCGGCGGCCCTGCCTGGGCGGCCATACTGATTTGTAATGACCTGCCTATCCCACCACCATTTGATGAAGCCGTTCGAGTAGATACCTCCATGCCGACATCTGTCCCGGTAGTAGTCCGACATACCCTCCCATGGTATAATGCAAGCAAGGCCTTTAGGCCTGCGAGCTGCCACGCGCCACTGGCTGCCGGCATAGTAGCTGACGCCGAGAAGACCAATCTTTCCCGATGACCATGGCTGTTCGGCGGCCCATTCGATCACCTGGGCGAACGCATCCGTTGTTGATGGAGACATGGTGTCTAGAACACCTGGTGACTGCCCTGTGCCGACCTCATCGGCGCGAACGATGGCGTAGCCATGGGCTGTCCAGTATCCGGGATCTGGAGTCTCCCAGGCTGAGTGAGCCGACTTGTGCCTTGGATTTACTTCGGCGAACTTGGGGGAAAAGCTGCCGTTTGCCGATTCAGTAGGTATATACGATTAGGAAGATTTGGCGGTCCTAACGTACTCTTTATAATGGATATCTTTCCCATACGGCCCGTATGTTACCAGTACGGGAACACGGTCTGCAGTTTTGGGTCGATAGACATTACAGCGCACGAGATCACCGGATTTAAGGTGTACTGTGACATTTTGCTCGAACACGTATGGGAAGCTGGTGTCATCGATCGTGTGGAGGTCAAGACGGATGTGGTTGGGCATTGTGTCAAGTTTGGATCAGTTGCGATGGGGTTTTCTGTCGGCTGAGTTACAACGGCGGACACAACTTGAACACACCTCGAGGGCCATGCCCAGAGAAGTTGACAGATTACCTACCTGAGGTAGGTAAGCAGACACATTCGATTGAGCTCGAGAGCAGAGTCGGATGTTGTACCGGACGTCCGACTGGGAGGAGAAGAGGCAGCTCCCTGGGGGTACCTCCTATCCACCGGATTTACAATGGCCAGACCTTGGGAAACACAAGCAAGATAGATGGTGGCGGTTGCCATGGCTGCCATCCTTACCTACGGTGCCTACTTAGGTACCTACCAGGTAGGTTAGGTAGGTGCTTGCTGTGATGCCTAAAGCTCCCCAGACGAATGCGAAGATTCCAGGTTAGGACTTGAAGATTATGAGCTGGTTAGTGTGGCATGATTTCCTAGTAAAGGAGAATCTGAGATCTCGAGAGGGCCGGGAATGGGATACGGCATGGCTATGTGTCGAAGCATGAGGTGCTGCTGGACAAGGACAAAGGGGCAAGATGATTGTTGAAACTTGAAAGGGCAATTGGAGCTTTTTATTTTTATTTAGTTTTTATTTTTTTTGTCTGTTTACAGGCCGCGGTTGTCTATTGTGCCACAGGCTGACAGCAGCGTTAATACGGTTAATACGGGAGTCAGCACAGCAGCTAAGTAATCCGCAGCACAGCGCAGCGTAAAACGTGCTGCCAAGAAAACAGTCGAGACACACTGCTTAACCACTAAGTGATAGATACCTAGGTACCTAACCAGAGACCTAGCAGTTGAATTCTTGACCAACCCACACAAGGCCCAGATCGTTCTGCGGCTGTGTTTTTGTTGGGTTTAATTGATTTTCGCCAAAGCAAAGCGTACTTTATTCTAACCTCACCAAAAGGCGCACTGGCTGCTTTTTTCCCATCCCATCTGCAGGCGCTGCAGCGAAACCTGGATCCCTGTAGGTTCATCCAAACATGTTGGCGGGGCTAAAATTTTGAGCGTGAAAAGACTTACTGTACTCTAGGGTTGGCCTATCAGCGGTAGAGGCATCAGAGGAGTGGAAAGGCAAGACAGGATCTTGCGCCGCTCCTCGGACTTTTTTTTTTTTTTTTTGTAGCGGAGGGGTCATCTTTTGGAGAGGGAACGGTGGGACACCCAACCGTGGTGACATACAGGTTGTACCCCACGACCGCTGAGAGTGACGAAGACGCCAGTCCCTGGCCTTTTCTCCCTGCATTCACACGTACTTGCCTGGTTGCCTAAGTGAGTCGATTCATATCGCTCACATTCTCTCCGTTCATTCAAAGCAATTCTATTTTTTTTGATTTGCAAAATTTATCATTTACGAATCCAGAAACTTTGCAGCGCATCAAGACATCCATCCATCCATCCATCCTCATCATGGAGAACTTCGAGACCAATCACCCGGGCAACGACAACGACAACCAGCAGCAGCCTCGAGATGCCCTTGCTGATGGTCGGCGCATCTATATGGGTAATTTGCTTTACTCGGTCACTCCCGGAGACATCGAACAGATGCTTCAGGATACCGGCCATGGCCAGTTTGACAAAGTGCATATCTCTATCGACCCTGTCAGCGGTCGCAACCCTGGATACTGCTTCATCGAGTTCTGCGCTCGTGAGGGCGCCGACCGCGCTCTGGCTGAGCTTCCGGGCACTCTTCTCTTCGGCCGTCCTGTGAAGGTTGGCCCCTGTCATCCTAAGACCCAACGGCAGTCCAGATGGCCGGGCAGTCGTGGTTCCAACTATCAGCCAACTTTCCAGCGTTGGGGCGATTGGCGAGCGGGGGATGCTGACGCGGTCGCGGCAAAGCAACTGCAGCTGCAGAGGGAGGTGGAGGCCTCAGGCCAGTCGCTTCTCCAACGTGATGACAGCGTCGAGGAGCAGGGCCCGTCGGGGGCCATTCGCCACATCGACATTCGGAACCGCGTTGGTGATGGCACCCAGCTGTATGTTGGCGGCTTGGGCAAGATGATTGATCAGGAGCATCACGATATAGAGATGAGAGAGCTGTTTGCCGGATTTGACTTGTAAGTTTTCACCTCAACTCACTCACTCACTCACTTATATCGCGATACTCCATCTCTTGTGACTACAAACATCTACACGTTACCAAAAATCCCCCTTCCCGAGATAACTCATTTCTTACCCTTAAAAGTGTTACCATTGGCAAGCGCATCACCGCCCACGAATCTACCCGACATCTGCCCGGCAACCACAACTACTGCTTCGTTGACTTCCGCACGCCAGAGGAAGCCGCCCGTGCTCTTAACACGATGAATGGCGCACCTTTGCCTGGTGGAGGTTACCTGAAGCTGTCGTACCCTCGTCACAAGGTGACAAAGCACATTGCTCTGCCTGGCGTCCAGGCCCAGCGCGTGGATCGCTGGGGTCAATCCAGTCTAGGGGAGGCCAGTCGCGGTTCATGGGAGCCCCGAAACGACGGTTACAGGGAGCCGCCGCGTGGACGAAGTGGCTACCCAGCGCATCGAGAACGTGCCCAGAACGGTCTCGATGGCGATAGGGAGCAGCGCTCGGAGAAGAGGAGAGAGCAGAGCGAGCGGCAGAAGGCCATCATGGCTGCTGCTAGCTGGCGCTCGGGGGCCGGTGCAACCGCTTAGAGGGCGCCTAAGGACTGGGCAGCGGAGGGGAGGAGGAGCAATAGGTGTTATGATCTTTGCCAGGGTTGGCGAGCGTAGACAATTCTCGTTCTATGGCTAGCAAGTATGAACTTTCCTTGGCTGGCTTTCGGGTTAGCACGGCGTGCAATAGTTTTGGGTAGCTCTCCTACGCGTTTGCATGAAGCCCCCAACCGCTCCCCATGGCTAGATCGGTCTTCCAAGACCGAGTGAGATTTGACATGATCTAGTTTGTTTACTCGTGCATCAAGTCGCCATCTAAGCCAAACATTTGCTTATGCTATATGATCGTCATGTTGTATCCAGATCCCGTCACCTAAACACCAGAGAACCTGCCCAGCAGGAGAAATGAAGCATCCTTATTAGAAAACATCCAGCTCCCACAACTAACTTTATCCAAAGCCAGCCATCCTCCAAATTGCGGCTCCAATGTTGAGATAGGGAAGTGAGAGTGATAATCAAGCAGGACGGAGAGGCATATCAAGAGGTTACTAAAAGGAAACAAGGCAAATGAGTCCGCAAACCTCAAGAGAGGACAAAACAAGGGATCGGTAGATCCCTAGGTAAGCAGAAAGGAACAGAATGATGATCAGGAACACAGCTCTCAACGTTCGACCGTTCTGAGTCTTAGCCGTGATGTTCTGGACCATTAAACAGCCCTAGACAGCGCCCCAGCACCCTTGTACTCCGTCGAGACATGCATGCCTTCACCAAGGGTGCCAGCATCGCAGTCCACACCGAGTCGCCTCTCAGAGCTACCGGCAAGGACTCCATAGAAATACCGTCTCCCGAGTTCGCGGATGCGTAGCTCCCTTTCCTGTCTGTCCAACCTTGACAGACCCTGAAAGTCTCGTTCCTCCACAACCATTCGGCTCCGGGAGACGTAGTACAACAACCCTGCGATGCACCGCGGGTCGACTGGCATTGGCGGGTACCTGATAAAGAAAGACCAGACGAGTGTTGAGATCATCAAAATGAGGAAGACACAGCTAAGTACTGCGCAGACAGTGGCTGCTGTTTGAGTTTGTGCGAGGTTGAAAGGCACGTTGGAGAGGATGACGGGAAGGAACTCGGACAGGATGGCTGCTCCTGAGACGGCACCCAAAAATGCGTGTCGGTGCTTGATAGCAGACCAAATGCCGGAAAAAGGGTTCGTGTTAGGGGAGAAAAGGATCGAATGAATCGCAGGCTGTGTCTTGGTCGCCATCAACTGGTAGGGAGCCATGATGCTGACGCTCAGGAAGAAAGACTGCCAGCAGAAGGCGATGATAACACCGATAATGGCCGACACAAACCGTACACCGAACCGATTGGCATTGAGGAAGAGCCATAACCGACCGCCATCTCGGATGCCGCCACGGTAGTAGGCGTGGTAGTAGATGATGAAGATAAGAACCGCCAATTGGAAGAGGACGAACACGATTCTCCAGGGATATCGTAGCGTCATGAACGGGAGTTGCTTGCTCGTCAGGCCGGCAATTCCTTCTCCCCCTTTCTCTTTGTGCATAGCGGCCCCTGGATCATCTCCATCTCGATCATCAACTAAAGTCTCTCCCTCCCTATCATCGTTCAACCTCCTACCCGCTTCATCCAACAACACAATCCCATACTCTTCCTTTCCATGTTCTCCCCTGAATGAAGCCAACCCATAAATCTTCTCAGCCATAGCTCTTCTCATGTCATGCTCCCCATTCTCCCTCACCCTGACCAGCCTACTCCCAGCCAACGACGCCACACCAGCAACATTCCACGGATTCGCCGCCACACCCGTCACCCATCGGCTTACCAACCAACCCACAACCCCCACCAATACAACCACCGCGGCCAGCAATCCAACCAACGCGTACGCCGGGCCCCTACTAACCCCCAACGCCGGCCCACACCTACTGCTCGCCGTATTCAGATAACATTCGCCATGCAACTTCAACCCGACCGCCTCGGTCGCCAACGGTACAAAAAAACTCGCACACGCGACCATCAGCGTCGTCAAGAACGGTACAACCGCCTTGCCCGAAAACAGCCCTACGATCGGCGTCCACACGACGCCCAACACGCCCGAGTACTGCAAAAGAAGGGTCTGCGAGCCAGGCCCGCCGCCATGCTTAGCGAGGGCTTGCCAGGGCTGATAAAGTTTTGCGTTGAGGTCGAGAATGCGGAGCGGGATGACCAGACCGACGCCGAGAAGGGCGGGGAGGAAGGTCCCGATGAAGATGTCGGATTCGGTCCAGCTGTAGACGCGGACGCGGGAAGGAATGGAGGAAGGAGTTGAGGTGGGCGGTGTGGAGGATACCGAGAGGGTCGAGGTGAAGGTGTAGAGGGATTTGGGGAGGGTTGTGAAGCTTGTGATAGGGGGCAGAGTTGAGGTGACGGTTCGGAGGGTGCCCGAGATCGTTGTGAGGTAGGTTGTGGCTGAGATGGTGGTTGTGTAGGTACGGAAAGTACCTTCTGAGATCGAGGTGAGAGTCATGGTGATTGGGGATGTGTCGGTGGGCGTTGTGACGATTGTAGTTATTGTGGGTGTGCCGCCGATCGTGGTTGTGTAGCTTGTAACAGGGAGAGTAGAGACACGAGTTACAGGCGTGCCGTTGATAATCTCGATGATCGTAACTGGTAGCTGTTGAGTCGTGGTAACTACTGGAGTTCCGCCAATGATGGTAGAGATGGTCAAGGTCACCGGTTGGAAGGCAGGAGGAGGGGTCTCAACGAGGAACTGAGTAACGGGCGTCCCTCCATTGACAGAATAAGCCGTATAAGTGATCGGCTGATCAGCAGCGGTTGGCGTGATGACGACAGCTTCCGCGACCAGTGTCCCTCCTTGGTCCCTGACAACTGTGTATGTGATTGGGTTTGTACCAGCAGGAGTAGTAACGATGACCTGGCTGGTTGCAGTACCGCCCACATTGTTGACGACTGTCCGAGTGAAGGACCCTCCAGGATTCACTGTGAGAACAACCCCATTGTTGGTGACAACCGCAGGGACTATTTGTACCGGAGATGGTGTTACGACGACCACATTTGCAATGGTAGAATCGTCTTCCTTTGTCACCCCTATCCGAACTTGAGCGTCCACAGTCTCGGTCCTCACCTCGTCCTCTTCCGGCACAACGAAGACCGAGACTTCCTGGCTCTTGACTATCGTGACAACATTACCGCCAACTTCCTCAACGCCAGTAATTACTGGAGGCTGTGGCACTTGCTCTGGCCCCTCCGTAATCTGGTGCTCAACAGCGCCGGCGGCGCCATTATTCCGGCGAGGCACGCTACTATAATATGTGATTGTGATGGAGCCAACTGAAGGCTTGAGAACAACCTCTGGATCGAGTGTCACTATTATCGTCTTTGTCACAGCAACCTCTGAAGAACTAATTATCGTGGTTATGACAGTTGTTTCGATCACGGTTGGCGCGGGAGGTGGTATTGTTGTGGTTCTTGTCGAGACAGGGATGCTTGAGACGATAGTACCGTTGGTGATAGGCGAATAGATGGTTGTTACGACGGGACCGTCTAAATCAGTTCGGGTACCACTGCTAGTGATTAAAGTTGTCACGGTGGTCTCGTAAGTGGCAACAGGAAGGGTCTGCCATTCCGTAACCACCTCCTCGAGAGTTGGTAGCGACGATGGCTCTAAGGAAAGCCAAGTTGTAAACGTTGACACAAAAGTAGAAATCGGGATTAGCTCGTAGTCTTCGTCGAGGGGCGTGTCTGTTGAGATGCTATTCTGGTCAAGGGCATCCGTAGCCCTTTCCGGCACTGCGCCGATGGTGAATGTCTGTGGCCCGGCTGCTCCTGACGTCTCTGAGATGGTGATTGTCGGCTCGTCATCGCGGATACGCAGTCGAGCAAGTTGAGTTCTGTTTGGATTGAGACCAAGAATAACAGCATCTGCGTCCGAGTCTGGCATCTTTTTGTCGGCTACAATGACCAGCGTCATGGCAACCAGCAGCAGCACGATGATACAGCCGATGAAGGGCCATCTCAACGCCGTCGGCTTGTAGTTGGGCTTGTTGATGGACTGCCAGACAGGGGTATCTTTGGCATGTCTGGGCTCCTCCGAGCTGTTTGTCGGCTCATCGTCCTCATGCCGATCTTCAGTGGCCTGGATATCGTACTCGTACGCAGCTCCGGTGTTTCTGTCATCCCGCGCAGCGAAAAGGGATGGTGGGGGCATGTCTGGGACGGAGTAACGCACTCAAACAGACACGGCCGAGGTGAAACAGGGCCAACGCAGTATACTCTCGTGGGCTTTACGCGGGACTTTGCTGGATATGAGGTGTTCTATGGAGTAGGTCGCAGCGCCGCGACAAGGCTCTGAAAGTCTTAGAGAAGTGCGTGATCACGTAGCTCCTCCCTCCACATAGACACTTTTGGCACTGGTATCGGGCGGCCATGAGTCTATGACCGCACCTCATGTGGCCGCCTGTTTCCCCGATGGGTGGCTGGCCTTTGTGGCTGGCCCGTATTGGGCAGAACCGTGGCACATAAGAGGGCCTTTCATGGACCTTTCATGAATCCCTCCGGGCCGAAGACGTGCAGTGCGGCTGAGGAACAGGCTCGATCACTCCCCTTGGGGCTGACCATCGATTGGCGACGGCGACGAAAGGCTCCGGGACTCCACGGGCTCGGAACCCAACCAGTCAGCCCTACGCACGACCGTTTCCCTTGGAACTTGGAACTCAGTTTGCTGCATCGGGATTGGCGGTGGCTTACTTGGAACAGCCGTGGTGGCGTTGTTGTGTCTTGATAAAGCATCCCGTGGAAGGCACCACCAATCATCTCGCGATTCGCCATGAGCAGGTATCTACAGGCAGTTGGAATTTATGCTGCCATAATCGTTTGGATCAGGCACCAATGCGATCCAGCTACGGCGTCGCCATACGGCTCACGGAATAGCATCTCAACCTTACCTAGGTACCACCCAACGACTTCAAAGTTTTATGAAGCCTGTGTCAATCAGCAACGGCATCCTGATGTCTCGCATGGTTTTGCTTCCGAGAAGAGCATCACCGGTACGTGTCTTGACAAGCCCCTCCCATCCGAGCCCGCTGAGCAAATGGCGTACCCTCATGATCGTTGGAATGAGTATGTCTGTCTCGGATAGTAATGCACATGTTGCATCCCGTAGCCAGTCGCCGGCCTACACCTTGCGGACCATCGCGAAACCATTCCCATGGGAACCAAACGCATTATTCATGAAAAGCACAGAAAAAACGCCCCAGGATGGTATTGTGCTTGTCCCGCTCCAAACCACCCATGCCCATGTACATGTTCCTCTATGCCCGACTTTCCCATGCCAAGATCGAAATCACTTTTTGGATTTTCCACCGCATGGCGGGCACAGCCACACAAGGCGAGTTTCCGAAAAACCAGAGCCGTATCCCCATTCCATGACGACCGTCCTTTCCCGACCGCAAGGCGCTTAGAACACGAGGGCAGCACCCTTGGTCTTCTTGTCACCGCTGTTACACCGTCAGAATCAGTTCGGAAATTGCTGGATAATCATGTGCTTGGAGGGACCGCCAGACGTGTTCCAAAAGTGATGGGCAGAGAGCCATGATAACGTGGGCTCGAACCAGACCCGTAGGTGATGTAAATGCGAGGGAGATGTAATGTGCTGGTTGCCCAGCGACCGGGGGATGGGAATGCACGGGGCCTTGAGCATCCAAAGAATTTTTGAGGAAGCTCCAGAACTATCAAATCCAACATCGGGAAGGCGATATTGAGTCATGACTCGGGGTCCCACGCAATATTACATTCCATTTGAACCTGCATTGCCCCAGAAAATGCACAAACATCGTGGTGTTTTCTGGCGAGCTGATACTTCGATCTTCGACCACATCTCTCAGGAAACTCGCGTGTTGCTCAAGTGCTTCGAATCGCTCAAGGTCGATGTTTGTTCGGCGGTCCCTCCCTGAGAAATCAAAGTCATAAAAAATGCAGAAGAGACTTACCCAAGCTCGAAGTGCTTGCAGCGCTTCAGAGGGAGCTGCTTCTTCGTCTTGCAAACCGAGCACTCCTGTTCCCCAGTTTAGCGACATGTTCGCTCCACATCCAGCCTCTTTCAAACTGCGGTCAAGCTCACCAGACGGAGCACAATCTTCTTTGTGGTCTTCGCCTTCTTGTGGAAGACGGGCTTGGTCTGACCACCATAACCGCTCTGCTTGCGGTCGTAACGGCGCTTGCCCTGGGCGAAGGCAGAGGCCTTGCCAGCCTTGTACTGAGTGACCTTGTGCAAGGTGTGCTTCTGGCAGTCCTTCCCCTTGCAGAAGGTCTTGCGCGTCTTGGGAACGTTGACCATTTTGGCGACTGGGATCCGGTCGTGATGTGATGGGTTGGATGGTCGATTGCGCTGCACTGTCGATGTACCCTTTGAAGTTTTTCGCCCAATTTGCAAATTTCCAGCCAGGGCCACGGTGCGTGTGCGGGTAGTCGGGTAAAAGATGACCCATCCCGCCTTGCCAAGGGATCTTTAGGCGGCTTGACCCCACGTTCCGTTTCTGGAAATCCTTGGCAGATTGCGCCAAGGCGAACGCGCTTGGCTAGGGCAACAGAAACGCGTTCCTCACCAATATTGACAACACAACAGCAGAATGGGTATCGAAAGCTCAATGGCTAACGGCGTGATGCAATTTGCTTTCCGAGGCACAGTAGTACCTCATTATGAGAGCAAGACTCAGCATATGTGTAATTCCTATCCTTGACCTAGCCAACACTTCGGGAATGGTTTCAGGTTTCTTTACCTCTCGAAGAGGGCTTTCTCATTCTCTTATGCCTGGCCAGCATGAGTGCCCGCACCACCCCCTGAGTCGGACATGTCAGTTTTTATGGATGCTAGAAAAGGGACTACACGTGTGTAGGAATAATAGCAAATGCGCGGCAAATCTCATCCTCCGTTTATGGATTGCTGGGTCATACACCATCTGTGCTTGGTGCTGCAACGTGCAAATGTTCTGCCGCACATAGAATAGTAACTCAAGTCTGTTGGTAGGGCTTCAGAGCAAGAGACGGCAGCCAAGAGAGATAGTCCAATTTTTTATCTCCATGTAAAATTCATGGGAGCCGAAGGCTGTCCCAAGTTGTGAGTTCATATGTTTTACAAACATGTGAAGCAGACATATTCGCGCTCCTCCATATATCTGGCTCAAGTGGAGTGGACAACGGCCTGCAAAGTCTTTTTGGGCTCAAGCGGTGCTGAACTTTGCCCTGGTCAGATAGAGCGGCCCAACCCATTTAGCTTGCATTCTTTCTCTGCCATAGACACCAACTTGGATTGTCCCAATGACAGCGGCCAGGTATTCCTGGAGCCCACTAACAACAACGTTTATCCGGCCCGAAGTTTGCCATGTCGTCTACAGACCATAGACTGAACAGGGTTGTCTACATTGTTAATCAGGAGCTGGAGAACTCATGCATGCCTTCTGGGTGGATCAAAAATCAAGAGCACGCTCTTCTCCTGGGATCATCTGCCCGAGTGGCTATTGGCTAGCATGCTCTCAAGGAGAGTGTCTCTACACAACAGTAACCTGCTATCTTGTACGCAAAGACAGCATGTCTTTCAGCTGTCACCATAGCACAGAGATGGCCGGCATTGGCTTATTTTGAAAAACATGTTTTGCACCTACACAATTGTCAAAAATCAAGTGCCTTTTGATATACTTTACCTGCTCGCCGAAAGGTCCTACAAGAGAGGCTACCAGAACAATACTATACTCTCCAGAGAGCTTGAGTTCTGTGGAGTGCGCATGATTTACCAACCTACCGACTTTTCGGTATCGTCCACAACGTCCTCAACTACTTCTACTATTTCAGATACGCCTACTTCTCTCATACCAAAACTCCGGCCGGAGACGTCGGCCACGGTAAGCTTCAACATGGAATCGCTGCTGCAAACTGCTACACCGAGCCAAAAAGATGAAAGGGACAGAGACCAAAGTGCAACAAAGTCGTGGGAGTATTATTATCGTTGAGCGTCTTCAAGCCAGTCTTGGGTCTCACGCTGCGTTGGGGTTCTTTCTTTGGTGGCAGAGTCATCTGGCTCTTACATGAGCTATAGCTGCTCTTTCGCCGTCACTGTTGATACATCCCTTTCCCCCAAACCTATGATCTTCGAGCAGACTTGCAGGATTATCATGACACAAAACTCTCTAGCAACTCTCTATCTTCATAACTTCCTGAATATGCTGCCACAGCGTTTCTTTGCATGACTCGCTACACCAGTCGAAACAGCCGTGAAGCAACAGCTAAAGGATGATGCAGGATGATCAAAGATATGATCGTAAATAGAAACGGTTATGAAGTCGGTTTATTATGTTTAGTAACTGAACGGTACATCGAGAACCAAACCGATATTGATTCTCAATAGTCAAAGTTACTGACGCCAACCCAATACCCAGTAGCTTTTGACCATCTATGCCAAACTGTCTCACACTGTCTTAACAGTATCCTTGTCAGCAATCGTGGTCTCAGATGGATTTGTGCGACTTTTGACAGGACATCTTAGCAGACATCCTTGTCCAATCTACCATATCTATAAACGAAAAACTGGAATTGAACAGCAAAAATCATGAAGGAAGAGAGTCTGGCTCATATAGCCTTCATTACAACTTTTTGATAGCTCGAAGTGTTTGCAGAGAAGCAGACAGACACTAAACCAGAATAGACCGAATTCGGTACTCGAATGTTCTTTGAGTGCACATGAAGCACATTTGATTTTTGAGCACATCGCCCTGGATGTCCGACAGCGAAAAATTGCACTGAAACATATGATACCAAGCCAGTTTAGACACCATAGCCGTGTTAATACTTCAGGATTGTAGTACAAGTCAGAGATCACAGAAATGATTCAGCTTTTTCCCTCTAGAAAAGGGGGAATCTGACTTCCCCATGTACCTGCCATTGAACAGTTGAGCTTCACAAACGCGATTTGAACATGACGTTTCAAATTCTTCACAACATTGATCATTATTATGTGGATTTGTGATAACGGGAATGAGTTGAAGGTGGTTCAAGTGGATTGCAGTAATACTGGCTGCCGTCAATTCCCTTACGGTTCTGCTGTTCATGCTAGAACAAACTACTTCCGGTGGGAAGTGCTTCCAACACTCGCTGACAGATCCGGAAGTTTAGAACTGTAACACCATAAGTTCTCATCGAGTGTTTGTGATTGATAAAAGGGCACATGAGGAAAGACCGCACCGACTTGCGCTATTATGCGACAGAGATGACTCTTACACAGCCTATTCAGTGAAGTACGAGAGAAAACATGGTTTAACAACTCAGTCTGTTTCAGGACCGCACCATATGCGAATCTTGCTAAGATGTTTTCACGTCCACTGCCCGTGTTTGTCTAACCTTGCGTCATCTGCGCCTTTCTCAGATATGCCATTTGGCGGGCTTTCGCGTTTTAGTCAATATTATCAGCTCATATTTTCTTCAAGCGCCGCAATTTGACTGGTCATTGATGATCAATGGGTTCACCAATATCCCTGGAATCACTGGCATTTCATCTTGATCTGAGGATGACCTGATAACTGCAGATGGAGAATGAATGGGTCGACATAGTTAATATCGAGTCCGAAAGTGTATTAACGTTGCACATTCTGTAGTATGTTTCATTGTAACAAGCCAGTGGTCAACATGACAGGGACGGTAGTGGTGGACTCAACCACGATCATAAAGTTCAGAGCAATAGCTAAAGTTAGATGATTCATCCTGCTGCTCTTTCAGGAGCCAAAACCGATGAAGTCATCGCCTAAGATTTGGGTTCAGCGAACCCTTGAGCAGGCTAACAGTGGGGAAAAGCGAATTCTTGATATTCACCAATAGAGTGCATGGTGGGTCCTTTGGAGTACAAGGCTGTGGAAGATGGCGGGGCAGGAAATTTTGTAGCCAACCGTTTCTCTAGCATTTCTCGCAAGCGCCGCCCCCATCGTTTTACGACCAGTGAATCATCCACCAGCAACTGCACAACCATCTGGGTTGTTCTTGGAGGGAGCACGACATTAATATCTTTTCCTGCATTTGTGGCGCTGTGCAATCACTTTGAGTCGACCCCCTATTCGATCTTTGCATTAATCTCTCTCCATTGCAGCGAGTTCGACCAGCCATGGCGACTGAGAATGCTGCAGACGACTCGGCTAAGCTTCAGATCCTTAAAGATGCGCTCTACGAAGAAATAAGACAACATGGCTCAGAAACACGCTTGTTCACACAAAAAGATCTTCTAGACCTCAATATCATTCCTAACAACAATGTAATGCTTCTGGTCAAAGTTGTCCAGGGGCTTTGTAACGACAAGCTCCTGGTCGGCACAACAAACCACCATGCTGGTCTCGCATGGAGATGGCGCAGCCGGGAGGAAGCAAAGAAGTATGTAGTCTATGACTGTTTTTTTATATTAGATGGCAATGCTGACAATAACTCGTCAGGTACCTATCGCTCCCCAATGACGAGACCATGATGGTTTATTCCATCATTGATGAAGCTGGCGCCGACGGCATCTGGAATCGGACGATCAAGAATAAGCTTAACATGCATGAGTCTGTGGTAAAGAATTGCATCAAGTATCTTGAAAGCAAGGGGTATATCACGGCCATGAAAAACGTCGAGCACCCCAACAAGAAGATGTACATCAAGGCCAGCTTGCGGCCCTCGGAACGGGCAACTGGCGGTCCCTGGTTCACAGAAGGAGAGTTGGACACTGCCTTCATTCAGGAGCTTGAAGGCATTGTTTTTGAGTACATCAAGACAAAAAGCGCATATCGCGGGTCACAGCCCCAGCCGGCATCTGCGCCAAAACGTGGGGCCATCGTGGGCGAGCTGCGTGGGACGAAGCGTGCAGCGGCAGACATTACCAACGATGACAGCACAGCAGCTCCTTCCTCTCGCAACAGCAAATCCTTCCGGACCGTTTTTCTCCCAATGCCCGCTGGCTACAAGCATTACCCTACGGTTGCTGAGATTGCCAAGTTCATCCATGATACGGGCATCACCAACAATACCACCCTGGGCGAAGCCGATATCCAGCAGTTAGTGGACGTACTGCACTATGATGGCTTGATCGAGCCTGTTCGTGTGAACCGGCGTAAAGGCTATCGGGTCACCCGCGCTATGAGACAGGATACTGTTCCCTTCCATAAGCGGCAGAAGGATCGTGAGGCAGGTATTGGGTTGGACCAGCCTTTGGTTGTTGGTGCAGAACCACTCAGTAATGCCCTTACCGAGGCTCCTTGTGGGCGGTGCCCTGTTTTTGATTTGTGCGAAGAGGGGGGTCCGGTAAGTCCAAGTAATTGCGTCTACTTTACCAAGTGGTTAGACTTGGAGGACGTAGCAACAGCAGCGGCCCCTGTTGCATCTTTACCTCCGTAAAACGCTTGTCATCTTAACAGGGGGAAGCGGGGACTGTATGTACATATCTTTCTACGTTTAGTCGAGCGTCAGAAACCACAATAATTAATACCCGTATCCATTGCATTTGTTTACGATATCCGCAAGATACGGTCGTCCTAATTTAGTGTTTGACTTGTAGCTAAACTGTAGCCTTGGAGCTATCTGGTATAGAGCAAAGCAGCGAACATTCACCTAGCAGTCATCAAGTGGGTGACGATGCCAGTAAATCCGTTTTATAGGTTGCTCAGGCCAAGAGGCCTAGCTAACGGCTATCTGAATGTTGTAGCCCAACATCCTATGATATCGCCAGTTCATTTCTTAGTTTAGGCGACAACACCGCAGTCAACAATGGTGGGCTTCTTGGAGTAGCGGATAGCGCCGCTGGGGGAGCCAGTAGCCTCGATCAGCTTGACAACCTTCATGGACTCCTCATCAGCAACCTCACCGAACACAACGTGACGGCCATCGAGCCAAGAAGTCTTGACAGTCGTGATAAAGAACTGAGAGCCGTTGCTGCAGGGATGTCAAGTTAGCTTACGCGTAGAAATACAAGGGGTTAAGTTGTCATAGCTTACGTGTTAGGGCCGGCATTGGCCATGGAGAGCCTCCCGGGGCGGTCGTGCTTGAGCTTGAAGTTCTCATCGGCAAACTTCTCGCCATAGATCGAGCGGCCGCCAGTGCCCTGTAATTACCCCGATTAGCTTGGATGTCCTGTGTGGGTAGATCAACGGTACTAACGTTGCCACGGGTGAAGTCACCACCCTGGAGCATGAATTCAGGGATAATGCGGTGGAATGTCGAGCCCTTGTAGCCGTAACCGTGCACGCCAGTGCAGAGCTCACGGAAATTGCGAGCGGTCTTGGGGACAACATCGTCGAAGAGGTTGAAGACGATGCGGCCGGACTGCACTGTAGAAAAGGTCAGTCATCTCTGTGTATGGAGGACAGTCTAATGGCCCTCCAGAAGAGCCGCTCTGTCGGAAATGAAGAACTAGATGGCAAAGCCCTACCGAGAAACAACCGGATGGGGCTTGCCAGCAAGCATGCCTGCCAAAGGCTGCTTCCGATAAAACTCAAGCAAACATAGCTTGAAGTAAACATAGCATAGGCTTTGTCCTAAAAAAAAGGGGGGGGGTCAATTGCTTACGCCGGACCTGGCTGGTGAGGTTGCCCCTCTCATCCATCGTGGGGCCCTCCCACTCGAGCTGGAAGTAGCTGCGGGGTAATGTTAATAGGCAAGCTCCAGCATTTATAAGGGGACTAAAGAGGTCTATGGGCACCTACCACTGCGACATGTCGGCGGCGGAAACTGAGAAGGCTCTAGCAGAGATGCTGAAGGTGGACTGGAGAGACGGCGAGCAGGCCGAGGTGAGAGGAGTTGAAAGGTTGCGGAGGAGAGAAGAGGATCGAGGGAGATGGCGGGGTAGGAGGGGTCGAAACATTTTCCAGTCTGGGAGAGAGTGGGTTAGCGCTTCCACGAGCCAATCAGCGTCAAACAACCAGGATGAAGCAGGCAGAAGGCGTAGCTTTCACGTGATAAGTGAGGGGCAAGCTTGGTTGGCCAGCTGTCGACCTATCAACAATCGCCTCATAGCTCTTCAGGGGGCTGTTGGTTCTTCCCATAGCAGAAAGTTTGCCCACTCATCCATTCATCCGGGGACATTTTGCGGAGGACTGCTAGGTTTGGTAGTTCAGGGACCTGTGATGTTCACAACCCTATTGATGATTGGGACGAAGCTGTGCTGCCAATGGAAAGTAAACAGGACAAGCCATGCTGTAAGTCGCGCTGGGTTGCCAACTGTCTCTCCCTGTGTTGATTGCAAGTCGTGACACTTGATGCACAGGGCGGACAAGGACTTGAGCTAGCGGCCAATTGTCTCAAATTCTCTTGATCGTGCAAGCTGCAGACTGCTGCTTGGTTGCTAATGCAGTGAACTAGAGGCAGAAACTTCTGCAGAGCCAGTTGCGATATTGCCATTTTTCTTCCATGAGGGATGGCAGCCAACGGTCATGGGCAGGAAACGAGATTTTGATATCCGCTTGCCATCGAGTTCCCACCAAACGGGGAGAGACAATGGAAAAATCATATATATTTGAATGGAAGGATTTGCTCCGGATGCTCCCGGTCTTAATAGCCATGCATAGGAGCCAGAACTGGGGAGACCGAAGTGTTGAGCACGATAAAGACAACTCGAAAGCAGCACGTACCGTATCAATACAGTCGGGCTGTCTATATTGATGTACAGGGGAGAAGTACAGAGGGAGCTGGATCCAGGCGAGGCAGCAAGGGAAAAGTGTTTTGAGTACTCCGAGGACTAGAGGGACTAAATGGCCAAAATTTCTGCGGCAGTTGGCCGTGGACTTGGTGATGCAGCTCCCGGTCCAGCAAGCACGGGCCTCCGGCAGCTCCGGCCACGCCTAGGTCATTAAGGCCCACAAGAGCCAAGCCAAAGCAGCTCGGAGCCGGCCCATTTTTGACCGAAGGCGGGGAACCGGGTGCGTCAAACGCCAAGATTTTGAGACCAAGGGGCTGAGTCTTGGCAGGCTGGAAAGCGCAAGGTGGTGGATGCGCTGATGCCCATTCCCCTCGGGGTCTCTCGCTGTGGCCGTTGGACGTTGGCCAACAATCTTCGAACATCATCAGTAAAATCGAGTCGCGGCCATCCAACACATGAAACCAACTATCTTTCGGAAGTCTACTGCTATACATCGATATTGATCTTGCTCTTCGCTACAGCCCTTCAACTATTCGTCTTTTTAATCAAAGCGACAGCTGCAGCCACGAACCTCGATCACAATGGATCTGACAAGCTTGAAGAATACGGTGGCCAATCTCACCCTATACGATATCAAGGCAGGCGTACGAAAAGTGCAAAATGGTATGACGGTAATCGCATCAGTTGTTGTTTACCTTAGTTGTAGGAAGATACTGACCCGGAACAGCGGTGATGAACTATACCGAGATGGAGGCCAAGGTTAGCAAATCTGTCATTCCGGCCGCGGAACCTCCGGCTTGGTGCTAACAGACACAGGTGCGGGAGGCCACAAACAATGAACCATGGGGCGCATCATCTACACAGATGCAAGAGATTGCAGACGGGACATTCAACTAGTAGGTGTCCCTATTGTTTGTAGCTCATGACGACATGATTAGGATCCTGACCACTGCGCTGCAACCTATCAGCCAAACCCTCAACGAGATCATGCCCATGATCTACAGGCGTTTTACAGAGAAGTCCGCTGAAGAATGGCGCCAAATATACAAGGCTCTCCAGCTGCTCGAATACCTGATCAAGCATGGCTCGGAACGCGTAGTTGATGATGCTCGTGCCCACATCACATTGCTCAAGATGCTCCGTCAGTTCCATTATATCGATCACAACGGCAAGGACCAAGGTGTCAATGTCCGGCATCGCGCAAAGGAGCTTGTCGAACTTCTTAGCGATGTTGACCGCATCCGGGCTGAGCGCAAGAAGGCCCGCGCCAACAAGGGCAAATTTACGGCAATAGAGGGTGGTTCCGGTTTTGGCAGCAGCAGTCGCTATGGAGGTTTCGGAAGTGATTCCTACCGTGGCGGCAGCAGTTCCTCGTACGGTGGCTATGCCGGTGGCGTCTACGGTGATGGAGGTGGTTTTGGTGGGCAGACAGACGAGTGGCGTGGCAGTCAGTCGCGGGCCGACAAGTTTGAGGAGTATAACGAGTTTGACGAGTCAGAGAGGCCAGCTGCCTCGTCTAGCTCCTCACGAGCGACCCGCGAGGCGGCTGCAGGCAAACGCCCCGCTGAACCAAAGAAGGAGCCCGAGGAGGATCTGTTCTCCTTTGATGAGCCCGCCGTCCCCGCCGCCTCCGCCGCTGCTCCAGCTCAGTCGTCTTCCTCTGCGCTCGCTGTGCTCGGTTCCACAGCCGACGATGACGAATTTGATGATTTCCAGTCTGCCGCACCTGCCACCCAGTCCGCTTTTACCTCTTCTATTTCTCCCCAAACAACTACGGCATCGTCCTTCGCTTCTCCGCTTGCGGCCCCCAAGCCTGTATCAGCATCTCAGCAAGCCAGCCTCAGCGGCCTCGCTGCCTTGACTTCTATTTCTCCTCCTCCAAGCTCGACCGCTACGCCATCTGCCAACTTTTCAGCATTTTCGTCCCCTCTCTCTGCCAGTAACCTTTCCTCTCCGGTGCAAACCAAGCCTACTGGATTCCAGCCCTCAACACCAAATTACTTCTCGCCCGTGCAAACAGCAGCCGCTGCCCAGAAGCAGTCCACGGCCTCTTCTGGAGCTGGCTCCAAGCCTGGAGCGACGGCTGGTGGTGATGCGTTTGGTGCTCTATGGTCTCAGGCTAGTGCAGGCCTTAAAAAGAACACACCAAGTGGCCCTGGGCCATCCATGGGTCAGCTGGCCAAAGAGAAGAGTAGTGCGAGCATCTGGGGCGCTCCGGCTCCGTCTTCGGCTGCCTCACAGCCTTCTACTAACAATAAGCCCCTGGGAAACGGGCCTGACGACTTGCTTGGCTAGATCTATGCCTTCACGCGTTGCCTGAGGGAGGAAAATGATGTTTTGCGGAGAAGGAGGAAGGGAGTATAGGGGACCGGCATCTGCCGTAAACTACAAAGATCAACGTAGTCTATGTCTTGCTGGTCATGTTGGATCCTCGTCTTGTGGATTAGTAGGCTAGGTGTTCTGCTAAGTAAAAATGCAATAATGATCTCTTTGTCCGGAAAATAGGTATGACACGAAGGGGCTTGAATAGAGGGTTTCAGGTTGCCAACTGGTCAGCTTAGCCAGTTCAATTGCGTTAAGGCACTTTGCGCCATGCCGTAATGCAGGCAATCGGGAAAATTCCGCCTGCAGAAAGTTTGAGCATGTTTTCCCCAATAAAATTCCTGGGGTATAAAGTTTACGCTCCTTTCTCCAGCTGGCGTGTGTCGGTGAGCAGGTGATCAGGGGGCCTGGTGCAGTGGCGTTCTATGACAAATGCCCAGTCGACGCCCAGAAGCTTCGCAGCAGTGAAGGTCGCTGCGGCCGAGCCCTCAAACAGGACAAGGCTTCTGAGCTCCCGCTGCTATCTTCAAACACCCACGGCGCTGCAAGCTTTGCTCCACCGCTGCCTGCTCTTCTTCTTCCTCTTCCCACAACACTCCCCTTTCCAATGATTTCCCGTCACGTACATGACAGTAGCAGGTCTCATGGCGACAAAACCTAGGAGCTTTGGTGGTTGCTGGACCTGCCGGCTCCGGCGTAAGAAGTGCGACGAGACGCGACCCATCTGCGGCGCCTGCTCAACGCTGGAGATCGAATGCCAGTATGGAGACGAAAAGCCTGAATGGATGGATGGCGGCGAACGTCAAAAGCGCAGGGCCGAATGGTTGAAAGCTGAAGTTAAGAGGAGGGCGGCGCATCGTCGCGAGCGTCGCCAGCTCCATGGCCTCGAGGTCCGTCTTGAGTCATTGGATGCTTCACTAACTGACGAGAGCGACTCTACTGTTCCTCGGGACCTCATCAACACCACGGCGCGCCCTGTTGCCCCATCGATGGATGCTTCTTCGTCGTCATCGCCTTATATCAAAACCGAATCGTCTTCTGCATCTTCGCCAAGTGTCAGAACCCCACATTCACGATCGGCCACTCCCCATACTGACTCTTGCTCCTCTGTCCCGACGCCCGAGGATTTGTCGGATTCTCACGCCGAGTCGAGCTTAGAAGCGGCATTCTCATTAGAGATTGAGGCTCACTCTATCATGCTTTACTTAGACTATGTCTTCCCATTTCTCTTTCCCTTCTACAAGCCACCGTTTTTCGATGCTGGTAGAGGATGGCTTCTTGTTCTCCTGACAAAGAATAAGGCTCTCTTCCACTCCGCAGTAAGCCTGTCCGGATACTTCTACGGCATAATCTTGAGCCACACAAGTCAGGGACATCAGCACTGCACCAAGAACACTCACGAGGCCCTTCATAAGCAACAAGGTTTAGCTCTCCAGTGGTTGCAACGTGAGATGCAAGATATCATCACCCGCGGTGTGAAAAGCAACCTTGTTGAAGCAAACCGTGTGATGGCCAGCATCGTTCAGTTATTGACATCCGAAGTTGCAATTGGCACCCCGGGGAACTGGAAGATGCACTTGGGTGCCGCGACAGAACTTTTCAACGAAATCATGAAGCACCACGCCGTTACGCCCTCTGGATTCCCTTGTTTCATGTCAGTACTCCTTCGACTTGGCACAAGACCGTTTGAGTGGACGCCGAAGAATCGGCCGTGGGGTTCCGACCAAGCAACCTTGCGCTTTTTCACTGCCCAGCTACTCTTCTACGATACCATTGCCAGCACTGCCCTGGGCCAGCCTCCCCGATTGCAGCAGTGGCATCAACCGCTCCTTGAGGAACTTCCCGATGAGATTAAGCAACTGCTGCCCGGGAATGAGAGAGAGACCATCAGCCCGCATATCAACCTCGAGGAGTTTGCCGGTGTCCAGAACTGGGTCATTCTTTGCATTGGACAGATTGCTTCCCTGGATGCGTGGAAGAAGGAGATGAAGCGTGCCGGGTCATTTTCAGTGCCGCAACTTTTCAGCCGTGCATCGACGATCGAGCAGCGTCTGCGCACCTGCCTCGAATCTCTCTCTGATTGCCAGGCCGTCAATGGCTCGTGTCCGGCATCGTCCATCAATGGCTGTTCCCAGTCTCAACCTTTCTTACCCTATTTCGCTTCTGATGCCGGCTCTCCCTTCTCTCGTACCCTGCATACATCAGTTCTTAACACCCGGATCTGGGCCCAAGCAGCCCTCACATACCTGAGCGTGGTCTTATCGGGCTTCCAGCCTTCAAGCCCCGAAATCTGCGAGTCTGTATCGGCCACAATCGAGATGCTTCTATCTTTGCCGAATCCGGAGTGCCTGCGCACACTCGTGTGGCCATTTACCGTGACTGGGTGTCTGGCAAGCCCAGAACAGGAGCATGTATTCCGCAACCTCGTATCAGCTATGGGGCCATTGAGCGTCCTGGGAACTGTCAGGGAAGGATTGGCAATCTTAGAAAAGGTCTGGGCTAGGAGACGTGAGATAGAACAGGCACCCGATGGGTGGGATCTTGCAGCCTGCTTGGGGACGTTGGGCCAGCCAGCGTTGTTGATCTGAATACGATCTTACTTCCAACATAATCGGCTGGCTGATGTGAGGAATGGTTCAGATAAAACAGAGTAAGTATCCACTTAGGCGTACCACTCCACTTAGCATTATAGATTCTGTCGTAAGGCTAACTCTCTCAAAGTGTCAACGGCTCCTACTCCAGCGATGGGATTGCTCGGCTTTTTTTACTCTATATAGGACTCTGAGTTTGGCCATGTCAATCGTTGTCTTTCCTCTCTCGAACCATGGCTATTAAACCATGTTGTCCTTGCCGTTCCCCCATACCAGCTCTTCAGTCTCTCTTGTGAGGCATTAAACCTTTGAGTTTACTCCTTCTAACGCTTCAGGCGCTCGGAATTCGTTCTTAAGTTGATGCTGCGATCAGTTCAGTCTTGCTCCAAACCAGAGCTGCTACTACTCTAAAGCCATCTCGGAAGCTGGATCCTAGCCATGATTTCTAAATCGTCTTTGCCTTGTAACCCAAGTCGGTCAATGCTTGTTACCACAAGATCCTTCCCGCGAACTCAATGAAGTTCACGGGTTAATCATCTCGCCGCCCCCATACGCCTGAGAACCCCTTGGGTCATGATACATCCTTCCGGTTAACGACAAGGCGGGATGGCTCACGTCATCTAACTTGCTGACGCTGCCACCTCTTTCTGGGCAAATCGTGATTGGTCTGTTCATCTCTAACTCGTCTTCATGATGGCAATTCCGTGTCGGAGTGAGCCATCGATTGGATAACGAAACGGATTCATTCACATCCTTCGCCCGGCTTGGCTTGTCAGGCGCCTTCTCATCATCCCGAAACATGGTCGATTTAGGATACGGTCTCATGAAATTCCCAACGGGGCAATACACCGCAGCAGGGCTCCCACCGGCTGACCTGTAGGGAGCAACTTGCTCCTGCATTTGCATCCTTCTGTTTCTCATCCACAACGCAACCAGGGCAGCCACCCCCATAATAAACAACCCTCCATCGCTTATTACTAGCGCCCACAGCACCTTCACCTTCACACAAGCCTGCATCGCTGCTTTCTCTCCTGCAGGAAACACAAGCCGTGCAAATTCCTCTGGTACTGTGTCCCCAGCTGGCACCATTATGCTCAACCTCACATCTTTCGTGCCATGAAGGGTATCACAAGTGAGGTTCGCGACGCTTAGACCCCACACCACTGCCAGCCCGGAAAACGCTGTGAGAAAGAGAGTGTCGACCGACAGCGTGGCTGGGTAGGGCATGTAGGATGCGTTGTGAGCCGGGATAGTGAAGAGGGTGTACAGGGCTCCTGGGATGGAAAGGCCCAGGGTTAAAAGGAGAATTCCTGGGGGATTGCGCCGAGATGCTGTTGGGCTGGAGTTAGAGGTATCTGGTAGCTGAGAAGGATCGGTGACGGTTATGAGGTTGACTGTGAGGGAGGAGAGGGCTATGAGGGTTAGGGTGGTAAACGAACGAATAGTTAAGAATAAAACAGCTGGCAGACTTCGCGGATCTGTTGGGATATGTGAGTTCTCCGTTGTTGCTGGTGGGCTAACAACCGTTCGAGAAATTGGGCTCTTGAAGTGGGTTTTTTTTGTCATTTTATTTCTAGCATCGATGCTGCAATACTTCAAGACGTAAAATCAATGAGCACAGGCATAGGCTGCTGGTTGTAAGTATGTGTTGTAGATGTCAAATATTCGTCTTCGTCTGCACAGTCTGAGCCTTCCGGGCCTTGATCTCAAGACAGATCACAAAACGACGATCACATCGTTGGGTAAGTATCCTGCTACAGGCATGTAGAACAACCAGTACGTCCCCAATATCCAAATGCATGTTCTCTACCGCACTTGCAGGTCCGATTTGGCCTTGTCGCGGTCCGTTTGCTCAGACTAGGGCCGTGAGCCGTGCTGGATTGTAGTCAGATCTGGGGCCGGGGCCGGCTGATCGACAGGCCGAAGCTGCAGACATGGTGTGGGTGATGTGCATCAGACATAGAGATGGAAAACCAAGGTCTGACAGAAATCTGCCATTAACCTGCCCGATATATGTCCAAAATAGGTTGCCTCAGTCTCTTGGTAAGGAGATATCCCTGGGATCCCCCCGATATCAAACAACTAATATATCAGCGTATATTTCGATGCACCCTTCGCTGAAATATAGGTAGAAACAACGCCTATACGCCATGACTCGAAACGAAGAAGACAAAAACTTCCATCAAGTCTTCCCAGCTCCTTCCCTTTGCGCCTTGATTTCCTGTGCCCTGTAGGCCCACAACTCTTGCGGTTTCCCGTTTGAATCACATGAGGCAAACTTCCACCAGCCGTAGTGCACAGCACCAGCCAGATTGACCAGACCCCAGCGAATCGGCCCAGGCATTGGTGGCCAGTTAGTCCACATACCCTCCTCCACAGTCTTGTCTAGGTTCATCAAGAAGAGCGGCACAACGTCCATAACGCCAGCCTTGGTGACTGTGCTCTTGCCCCATGTCTTGAAGGTGGTTGTAGCGGCCTCGTTCTCAGGAGTGTCTGGCTTGGGCGCGTTTGGATGATCGGCAAAGGCGGCGATTGTGGCGACTTCGGAGTGAAAGTGGTGCTCGAAGTCGGCTTGGAAGGTCGACATGATGCGGACTAGCTCTTCGCCGTCAAAGGAAGAGGGGTTGGTCTGGACGGAAGTGAGGTAAGACTCGAATTTTGCGAGGCCGGGGAGGAACGACTCTGTTCATACCAGGGTCAGCGGTTAGAGGGAGATAAAGCAAGCAGCACGTATTTTGTAACCTCACCATGCTCCTTGTGTGTTTCGGCGAAGATAGTCTTATCCTGCAGGACCTCCTCGATCTTGTTGAAGAGGGTTTGCTCTTCGTCGTCATGGTGTGACTTGACGAACTTGTACCAAGCAAGGCAGTATCCGATGAAGTCGGCTTTGTCCTGTTCAAGAATGAGGGGAGCTTGTAGGTAGATGGAGTTGAAGCCGCGGAGGATAGAGTTGTCTGGGATTTAGTGGTTAGCCCGGTGTGCTGAACTGGCCATCTGGATATCTGGACATTAGCGTACGCAGGAGGGCCATGTGGGTGGCGCCAGTGGTGAAGACGTCAGTCCTCTTAGTCTGGTACTGGGGGGTGGTGATGAGCTTGAGAGGCCCATCGGCCCACGGCTTTGTCGGTGGCACAGACGTCATGTTGTAAGGGGCGCGGCTCAACAGAAAGCCGATGATCATAAACGGGATAGAGAGGAGGACGGTCACCTTCGGGTCAGGGCCCGGGGTTGACATGGCGATGTTAACCTGATGGGGAGCTCGGCGACAGTGGTCTCTGTCTCTGAACCACACCGAAGCAGCTGTTGGAGCTATCCAGCAGCTGTCCCAACCGAACGACAGCTGCTGGGGGAGCAGCTGCCGGCCAGCGGACTTCCCCACAATTCTTATCGCTGATAAATCAAGCCATGATTATTGGCTGGTAGCTGATAAATGGCCATCGTTCCCCAACCTACCCCTCGCGGAGCTGGGCAGCGCGGCTCACTTCTCCCATCACGAAGTTGCCCATCCCCAACCTTGCTGTTAAAAGAGCTTCTTGGATCTTCCTGCCTATCCGTCAAGATGCAATGATTTCCATTACTAGTATTATTGACTCATGATCCATGTAAATCGCGTTCAATCGCCAAATTGTTGAAAATACGAACATTCCAACCCTTATGGGTTCGGGTCAACAATATAGGTTGGACACTTGAAATGCCACTCTTATTCGCCAAGGAGACCAAGAATTCGATTTGCGGTCGAGGTATTAGCCATCTGCCCATGATGGGAATCATCATGACCTCGATATCCAGGATCTCTGCTCACTTTTTGCGCCCTTAAGTAGACAGCCTGCCAGCTGCCAGAAAACCACACCCGAAGAGGAAGGCCAGAGGTGTCTTGTCGGACCCCAATCAGGCTCGCCGGCGTTAGCAGCGCCCCGCGCAGCCCGCCGAGGTGACTCGAGCGGGGTCAACGCCTACCGGTGGAGACGTAAACCGAGAAACGCCGTCTCGGCAGGGAATGGCCGTGGATCCTAGGCATGAGGGTGACTCCAAGTATATAAGGAAACCGAATACTTCGTCGGCTCGTTCGACGAGCATAGGCTCGATATTTTACTGTGTAATTTGAACCATCCATAGCCATTGGTATTTAACAGGATTTAAACACGTTCCGAGAATCTCGACAGGTTGAAATGACGACGAATCCGCGGATCCGGGTCCGGGACGCCACCCCGGCCGATGCCCCGATTATCACCGAGATCCACTACAAGGCTTTTGCCCACGGCATCATGGACCAGCTCATGTATCCCAACGGCGTAACTGAAGACAACCGTGCAAAGTTCGCCGCCCGGCTGTTCCCTCCACCACGCAGCGAAGACGAGAAGGCGAAGAAGGGCGAGAACATGGTTTGGGTGGCTGAGTATGTCCCTGACGACGGGCCGGCCGAGATTGTTGCCTTCTCAAGATGGACACTCTACCGCCAGCCGAGACCAGAGGAAGTGTGGAAGGTTGATGCCGCGTACAAACCAACCCTCGAAATGTTTGGACAGGGTGCAAACATCGAGGTTATTGATACTTTTGTTGGCGAGATGCGCCGAATGTCAGAGAGAGCTGCCAAAGGTGAAGCAATGTTGTGTAAGTACCGGCAACGTTGTCTGTTGGAGGTATTGCATAGCTCACATTGCCACAGTCCTTGGCATTCTGGCCTGTCTTCCTGAGCGCCAGCGTCTAGGGGCTGGTTCGGCTCTGCTGCGCCGTGGTGTTGAGTTAGCCGATAGCTTGGGTCTCCCTATGAGGCTGGAGGCGTCTCCTGAGGGCTATGGGCTGTACAAGAAGTTCGGCTTCGAAGCATATGACGTGCTAGATACGAAGGTCACTGAAACATGGGGACCGGTGCAACCGGAGGGAAGCAACTGGGGGAATAACAATGCAGCTGAGCTTTTCGGTCAGGCCCCTAAGGGTGTTTTGCGGACCGTTCTTATGAAGCGACCTGTGAAAGTCTCCAACTAGAAGTTCTGGCACCAAGACCGCAAATATAGGCCCCTCAGACGCCAAATGGTCTTTCCTGTGAAGATTCACAAGATCTGGTCATGGACGATGCGTACCACCTTGGCTTGTCTCTCGACTGTTGAGCCCAACACATGCCCACAGCTCGACAAAAACTTCAGTGCCGAATATGGTGTACTCATGCAGTCGTCAGTGGCTTCGGATGAGAACTCAATTTCTTCTAGCGTCTGATCCATCATCTCTATTCGTCCTCCGAAACGCAGCCGCCGCGGCGAGGTTCGTCAAGCAAAGATGAACATGCCTTATAATAATTTGCCCCCTCTATGACAACCAATGTAACTCTGGGTCGACGTGCCCGAATGTCAGGTCGCCAACGTCTTTTCTTGGCGCTCGGCATGCTCTTCGTCAGCCAATCTCCGAGATCTCGGTCTTCCATTAGGCTCTCAAAAGTCGTCCCAAATTCCAGGAAGAGATCCCTATTTGCGTCTGTGGCCTGTGCCCATGGACTGCTTGGGAGCGCGGAAATGAAGGGCGACAATGCTGCTGGACAAAACAGTTCAAGCATGATCCGAGCATGACAAGGCCCATGCGCTGGATGCCTGAGATCCTTGGTGCATTCGGCAGTGCGCTCCGCGTGACGAGGGTCGGGCCGACGGTTTACCTCCACGAGTTGCCCGATTAGGAAATTTCTTGGCGCGCCCCTGGAGCGCTTCTCCGCACGTCCCGTCCAGCTGCAGGTTTCGGGACGACGGCTAGCGACCCCAGACCCCCAGTTCACTAAGTCGGAAACAGCCTGCGGCTCATCAAGCTCCGAGAATGCCACCGTTGCTATATCAATTGACCAGGACCCTTCAACAGCATCAAGATGCTCAGCAGCGCGACCTTGTGGCATGCTGGTCTTTATGACAGCAACCCCAATTGCGAATTTGACCTTATCGACTCTTTGAACCCGCCTGCATAGTCCCCAGGCATTAATCATCAATCCACCATCATGGCTGTCGCGGTTGCTGCTCCCAACATGGCGGCGGTCAAGGAACCCGCCGGGACGATTCCAGCCAGGAGGCTCACCAAGGAGGAGCTTCTGAAGTCACATCAGGCGTATCTTGAGAAGCAAGAGAACGACCCCCACGCGCAGCACGAGCATGCGCATGCGCGCCCAGTGAAGCAGCCCATCCTTAGTGAGGCATACCCTCCCTCGACTAAATCGATCAGAGAACTGGAAATTGTAAGCTGCAGTGCTCGCACTTCGGAGCAATACTCTACTAACACAAATGTCCAGATTCCACTGAGTGAGCTCCGAGTGGGAGAGCACCACAGAGGAAAGGCGATTGTTGTCAAAATCGCAAGCCCTCCATTCATTGGCGCTGGTGCTGTGAGCATTGTGGAAGACGAATTTGGAAATGCCGACAGGCTTGCCATATACAACCAGCCTGACACCAGCATTTTGTCAGCCGTGCCTGAGGGCTGCATTGTGGCTGTCAAAGAGCCGTTTTACCGGCACAACGGCTCAGAGAATGACTTTATGATCTGCGTCGACCACCCATCCGACGTCATTCTTCTGAGGTTTAATGATCCGATCATCCCGGAGCCGCTCAGGCTAGGTCCCCTCCTTCAGACAGCCGACGAGTGGAAGAATGCTGGCGATCGTGCATTTCTTGAGAGGGACTTTCCCACAGCCGTATTCTGGTATGCTTCGAAACACCGGTGTTTTAGAAACAGTTGGTCTAACCCACACTCACAGCTACTCTGAAGCGCTAGAATCCTCCACAGACCCCTCCTTCCACGCATCAATCTACTCTAAGCGTTCGGGTGTCAATCTCATCCTTGGCCGCTATGATTCCGCGAAAGCAGATGCTCTTAAATCCCTTAATTCCGATTCGCCTTCACCACATGACTGGAAGGCTCACTATAATGCCGGTCGTGCTCTTTACGGTCTTTGCAAGTATTCCGAAGCCATGACCCATCTCGCCAAAGCCCTCGAGCTTAATCCCAGCAATTCATCGGTCCAACGCGATCATGAACGTTGTGCCGCCCGCCTACGCGAAGAGCAGACGGGCGAGTATGACTTTAGCGCAATGCTGGCTTCAGCTCAAAAGAGTGTTCATATCGACTGCGGATCCTTTCTCAGCAACACCTATGTCGGAACTTCCCCTCTTCACGGTCGTGGTCTGTTTGCTGCGCGCGATATTAAGGCCGGCGAGATTGTGTTCGTGGAAAAGGCGACATTAATGCCAAACCAGTACGATCCGGCACGGTCATCGGCCGCTCTTTACGCCCTCACCGTGCGCCAGCTTTGCGAGAACCCGTCTCTCTCCGAGACACTTTTGGATCTGTGGGATGGCGGCTACGAGCGGTCTGGGAAGGAAGGTACCATTGTTGATGGCGTTCCGGTTATCGATGTGTATTTGGTGGAGTCCATCCGCATCAAGAACTGTTTTAGCGCACCACGTTCGACCTTTGAAGACACACGGCCTAGTTGGCCCTCTCACAGGCAGGCTCGGGGTCTTTGGGCACATGCCAGCTACATGAACCATGCTTGCGTAGCCAACACTATGCGCTCGTTCATCGGGGATGTGTTCATCAGCCGTGCAACTCGTGACATCAAAGCTGGCGAGGAACTCTTCCAGCAATATGTTCCTGTACGGTCACTTCCCGATGTCCGCAACAAGCAGTTCAAGGACGGTTGGGGCTTCGAGTGCGCCTGTGCTCTGTGCGCAGGGGAGAGGCGCAGTTCCGAAGCTGCGCTCGCCAGGCGTAAGGAGCTGCTGGCCGCAGTCGAGAAGCTGTGCAACAAGAAGCTGCCCCGCAAAGAGATCCTGCCAGAGTCGACGATCCGCCCGGTCGAGAAGCTGGCTCGGCAGCTGGAGGAGGCGCACGAGGCAGATGTGTATGACGGCTTGCCGCGCCTGACGCTCATCTACCCGTGCAACTGGCTGATTGGGGCGTATCGCGGGCATAAGAACCACACTAAGGTGATCAGGTACGCAAAGAAGGTGCTGCGAAACTTTGGGTTCCGCGTACCTGAGGAGGATGGCGGCGAGTGGGATCCGAGGGAGATCTACTCGAAGTCGGGTAATGCTACGTTGATGACGGTTCATGTGGTTGCTGCTTTGAGGAGAATGGCCGAGGCCTACGAAGGGCTTGGGCAGAAGGAAATGGCTAAGCGGTGCATCGAGGCGGCGAAGTTTGGGTACATGATGGTTACAGGGTTTGAGAATGATCTAAGCAATCTGGATAAGTAAATGGGTAGGACCGGTCCTTAACTGAATGAATCTTCATCTATTTGTGCTGTAATATAGGGGATATATCATCTACATGGCGTTATTTACATAAATGAAGTTAATTCCATGCGCACTGGTAGTCACTGCCTTTTGAAAATTTCAAATCTATCTAGTTGTTGATCTCCCGGTCGAAGATCAATTTTATACCTAATGTTCTCATACTTTTCCTATCCACCTCAGCTGCTCAAGCAATCTGATCAGAATTCTTCGTCACAGAGCAATGCTCAAGTCCCAAAACAAAAGTTTCGTTACACCTAGTCCACTCTTCCAACTGCATGTACTTTGTTTTTCCTTCTCCTGGCAAGCTCTTGTGTGCATATTACAAACCTCAGTCAGTATGCACTTCCTCGCAACTTGGGATCATAAGGCATCTGGTACCTCCGTGAGGGTTTCTGTTTTTTTTACCAAGTGTTTCGCATTCCCCTCTTGATACCGGAGTGTTTTACTGTATGACCTACCTGCCTGAACCTATCATACTCCGTGCTCTGCTATCTACCATGGCCATGAACCCGATGAGAGAATGTTTTATATACATCCCGATCGATGGCCAGGAAAACGAATCAGTTATCTTGTGATTGCCTCAGTTGGGTTCTCAGAGTGGCAGCGCAAGAGTCCAAGGTCACCTCCCACTAGTATCCAAAGCCAGTTAGGGCCCCAGTATACCTAATTGTCACATGGACACGGCAGTCCAAGGAGAAGAATTATCCTTGAAAGTCGACACATACAACACCAGTGACACAAGAGCTGATAAGGGCAAAGGCATATCTGATTGGTAGAGCCCGGAAAGCATGAGGAGGTGGTAAGAATGAGTTAGATAACCTTGCCACGCTGAGAAGAACCCCTAAAGATTGCAGGAGACCGCGAGGTACTCACAAGGGCAAAGGGATTTTATAAGGGGAGCTACTTGGACATGATGAAGGATTTCTCTTAGGTTTTCCTCTCCCCAACACAAGGACACTGAGGACCAAGAAAGATTATTACACGTAGTAATTGACTCCGCTGTGTACCCACATCGTCAGTGGCCATCATCTAACCCATTTGACCTATTATCGATCCCTGTCTGCACCAAACCAAGTCACTCGTTACACTAATGTAGCAATAAGGAGGACAACAATAGGTAGGTACCTTCCCACATTGTTCACTATGTATGTCATGACAGACTTCGCATAATGCGTCCCTAAAGCTATTGTCATTCATCTAATAGCTCCATAGCATTTGATGCCATGAACTTTGTCATGCATGCTGGATCTCAGACTGGTGATATCCTTTGAATTTGACTAGTTAATCAAGGGATCCTCTCCAGGTTGAACCAGGCAATCACTGGGACATATTGGCTTACTTTTAGCCACCCATGTGATGGGTTTGAATTCCTCTCCGTGCTACTTGCTCATCCTTCTTTATACCGCCTGGCTGTGTCTGGTGGCTGTTGAGTTTGGTTTCTCGTTTAATATTTTGTCCAATGACCCTTCATAGGGCATATTTTCCGATTTCTAGTTCTGTGAGCACCCACTCCAAACTGAAGTTGAGATGGCACGTGTTTACTATACCTAAGAACAATGACATTTTAGAAACTAGTCACTGGCAGTTGTTTGGTTCTGTAACGGGTGACTTGGTCTGGTGCAGGCAGGGATCGACAATAGGTCAAATTGGTTAGATGATGGCCATTGACGATGTGGGGTGCACAGCGAAGTCAATTACTACGTGTAATAATCTTTCTTGGTTTTCAGTGTCCTTGTGTTAGGGAGGAGGAACCAAGGGAAGTCTATCATGACCGGGCAGCTTCCTTTATAGAATCCTCATCATGCCTCGGCCATATGGCTCATTCTCTTCCGTCATCCGGCTCTAGACATCTTCCGGGATCAACCACGTATTTGTGCGGCTCACAATTATCCTGTCTCTGGTGTCCCTTGTGTTGGCAGTCGGGGACATCCCTTTCCTTGGACTGCCGTGTCTATGTGACAAATTCTCAGCTGAAACCATAGCCACTCACGGGTCCTGAGAGTTCAGACAACATGTGCAAAATCTTGTGCAGATAACCAGGCTTCACGTGAAGACAAAAATCAGTCCTTTTCAACTGTCATCCACCAGTGTAAGTAGGTGCCGCAATTAGCATCGGAAGTTCCACTGTATGTCTTTTGCACTTAAAAATTAAGCAGCTAAGAGAAGAAAAAGTTTAGCTTGCAAGATTGAACAGCATCATGATTGGCCATAGTCTCCGGCTCTGAGTCACAGTCAATAACACATACAGAAGAAGTCATGATCCTCAACAATGTATTAGGTTCACTGGTCCAGAGAATCTATCAATCATGGCGAAAGGCAGCGTCATGACCGTCACAGACCTATTTTTTTGAACAATATCCGGCACAATATTGTAACTCTGCCTGAGCAAGTGTCTCACAATAGCGTATTCCCAACAATACCGGTGCTTGATAGTGTGGCTATTTCTGCAGTTTGATCTCATGCATTCTGCTATAAAAAAGGGTAGGAAGTGGGTTTCAATAAGCAAGAACGAAGATCAGTCACGTAACTGGTATGTACTCTATGTCTAATTTTGTATCGACATGAGTCATGTTATGCATTAGGCACATTAAAATGTGCTTGGCCTAGACACTAAGTGACTCCTAACTGTCAACATAGACTCACCAACCAGATTGTCATGAATAATGATCTACACTCTCCAACACTCTCCAAACCGTACTGAGAACAATGTGAAGGCTGCTGAGTCAGTAGGAGGATTGAGCTACCTCAGAAATCATGACAAATCGTGCTGCTTATGGTGCTGCCACTGTGGCCATTGGAGTGACTATATCTTGACATCCAGCACTTTAGCATTTCTATTTGCCCTTGGAGAATCTGATTACTTTGATCGAAGCTCAGCCTTCCAGGAGTGACAGGATCTCCCTTGCGACTATCAATACCCTGACTATAAGCAATGCATCTGTACATCGTTGATTGCAAGATCTTCAATCCTTATGGGGAAGCTATTATGAATGCGATGGGGCAGGTACTTTCAGTGGGCCAATTCAACGTGATCTCATAGCCAAATGGGAGCAGTTCTTTGTGTTTCCAAATGTAGAAGAGGCATCTTTTGAGCAAAATCCACCTGCAGAAGATGAGGTTCCTCTCCACATGGATTAGGATTCCCAAGCCTAACTTCAGGCCTGTTTACTCAGCCTGAACCGAAACCCTCAAGCTTTGGTTAATGAAAGCAACAAGAAATAGACAGTTGTAAGTAATTTAGTCCTTTTTTCCAGTCTACTGTCATAGGCACAGCAAAGCTGGTTTGAACTAAATGGTCCTACCTAAGGATGATGAGAATATTGCATGACCCATAGGTGGACTTGGAATTCTGGAGCAGATAAAGCTTAAATTGTCCTAGCTGATCAAGGCTCAAAACTCAAAACAGTTTTATCAATAGCACTCATAAGTGCATGATTTCAACTACTTCCAGCAGCACAGGGGTTATGTTGCAGCCAATGATAGGGACGCGGAAGAAGCCCCCCAATTAGGAACAGCATTGGTTCCGGTGTAGTGCATCTTAATTTATCCTGAAGTTCATCATTTAGCCAGCTCGTAAGATGCTGCTCTCCAATAGAAATCTTCTATAACCCATATCTATCTTTTTATGCACTAGACACGTTTCCTATGCCCAGACTGGCCTAGAGAAATCACTTGCGAACAGTGGCTCCCAAAACAACACTTGCATTTGATCAATGCAGGCTCTTCTGATTATCCTCATACTCTACCACGACATTGATGACCTCGATCTTCATTAGCATCCAGAGTGAAGATGTTAAGATCGATCTTTGCAGCGGTCTTCTTAGTCACTGTCATTGTGGCCTCGGACTTGCGGCTTCAAGCTCAGTGTCCTTTCAGTCCCCTTATTCATACAGATCTGTGGATCTGTAAGCAAGGAGACCCTCAACTCAAGACCGTTGCCAAACCCAGGACGCTTATTTCAAGCCATGACGGAGGAGCTGCCAGCCCCATTGACAAGTCTGAAGAGCGTCTTCCACATCCATGGCAACAATCAGAGGCATGCTTCAAGGACTTCTGTCTTTTCTTTGATAAAGAGAGTGACAATGGGATAGCATTGATTACAACACTGGATAATGCCTTAACTGTGGCAAACTCGCCTGCTGATCTCTTGTCAGCCAGTGTAGAACAAACTGCTTTCTATGAAGCAGAAGTTCCTGGAAAAGGTGTTGGTTTGATTGCCAATCGGACTATTCGCAAGGGTGAGATCATCATGCAACAGCTTCCAGCATTGGTGATCCATCCCACGCCCCATATGGATATGCATCCTGAGAAACGGGAGGACTTTTATCGATCGGCTATCGAACAACTTCCCAAGAAGACACAGGAGAGCTTCATGCGTCAGATGGGAGAGAGTTTCTACGAGAAAGTTGTCAAGAACTCATTTCGAGCTTTTGTCGATGATGTTGCCCATCTGGCAGTGTATCCTAAGGTCAGCCGGTTCAATCATGACTGTCGGCCAAAGTAAGTGCTTTACCACTCGTTGACCACGTTATTTATGAACAGAACGAGTACAATGCTAAGATGAATGCCATATATACTAACCAATGTTTGCCTGATAGCGTCCACTACCGGCTTTCAGGTTTAATACACACAACTGTGGCTGTTCGTGACATCCCTGCCGGCACCGAGCTGACTATCAGCTACATATATGTCCGCAAATCACGCGCAGAACGCCAAAAGGAACTCTCTGAGAGCTGGAATTTTACCTGCACCTGTGAACAATGCAGCAAGTCAGCTGAGGAAATTGCTGCATCCGACGCGCGGATGCGCCGAATCAAGGCCCTGGAGGAAGATATCGAGAGGAAGGTGATTGAGTCAGCCCGCAAGCGTGGTTCAGAAGACACATCGGGACTCAACCCCGATATGGCTGGGGAACTCGTTGAGTTATATCTGACAGAGAGACTGGATGCACATTTAGGACCGGTTTATGTGCGTGCCGCTCTGTTGTATGCGATGTTTGGACATGAAGAAAAGGCAAAGGAGTATGCAACCGAAGCTGCAGCCGCGTTGGAAAGAGAGTACGGACCACATGCTAGAGACATCCCCAGTATGAGAGACTTGGCGGAACGCCCCCGGGACCACTGGGCTTGGGGGCTAAAGGCGGTTGACTACAATACAATGCGCAAGAATGACACAATGTTATAACACGAAGACGACGCCATAGCACCCGGAACAAGCAACCGATTATTAGAAAGGGTAGCCAAATCTCTTTAATTCAAACAGCCTTGATCATTCAGGTGTAGGGGGAGATCTTACCTTGTATAGGCACTAGATTGCTGGAGTTTCAAGGATTCGAGCATGGAGACATGGATCCTCCTAAGAAGAACCTGCCCGCTTATGATCCTATGCTTGAAGTTCAGCAGAGACCGTGCAGTTTAAAGGAGACACAGATATACGGGGACAAACTACTGAGTCATCCCAGCACTATAACTATGCCATTATGCTCCAAGTCTGTATTCTCTCCGCCTGATGGCCCATGATGTCTCTTCTTGTATCATATGAGATGATATGAGATCAAATATTACAGATAGCGCGCCAATATCTCTGTACGATAAAGCTCTTTGAAATGGAAATAACGTATGAGTGAAGACTTCACGAACTTTCATAGGGTGCTACAACGGAATAATAGTTGTTTGCCGGCTGTAAGTGGCTAGCCAAGTTTGCACTTGAAATAGTTGGCAAGAAAGCAGAGTTTGACCTGGTGCAGACACGTTGGGAAGCTATACACTGTATCATGGCTGACAGAAGCCGTGTGCAACTTGAAGTGCCGAAAAAGTTATCTTAGTGAGTATGCTATTTCGCCTAATGCTACCAGACATACGAGCAGTGAGTGGACTTCAAGGGCTGAAAATTACAGTAACGGTTTCCAGTAGTAATGTTATCTACACTGCATGTTTCATACAGAACACATTCTCCATATGAAGCCTCATAAGCATCAGAACCAGAGGCCCTTCATACTGTCTAGAAACTATTTATAGTGTTGCCATGGGGAGGATTATGCCACCTTAAGTGCAGGATATGAAGTATTGAAGAAAGTAGGTAAAGAGCGCATGCAGCGTAAGCAACTGTAAGCCACTTATCACATCTAGCGATCAGAGTTATACCTGCCAAGTTTACATCCAGATTTGTTAACTCTCGTTTGATATGTACCTTAGAAATCACAAGCCTTGCCACTATCATGAGCACAGAGCAATGACAGCTGTAGAAGAGAGGGCCATGATTACAATACGTCCGTGTAGGTGGTATTTGTAGAGTCGGCGGCATTCGTACAATGGGTGTACAATAGATCGAACGATGCCGCTAATGAAGATCAAGGCAGAGAGACAGCCAAACATCGCAGCAACCGCCAAGCAGCAGGCGATTTGTGATGGGGCATCACTGGGTGTTAGAGCGCCAAGGACACTGGGGCTTGAGAAAGGCATATCTAACCAGCGCAGTTGAGGCACTATGTTGTGAACTAAAAAGAGAAAATTGACACGAAGGTAAAAAGAGGTAGGTAGAAAGTGCCTTAACATAGAATAGATGTATCAGTCCAGAAAGAGAAAGACCCTGCTTGTTAGGAGGAACAGCGCCAAGGAGCACAAAAGCTGCCACTGCTGACAGAAGTCTCGCAATAACCTTTATTATGATTACGACCTTTTTACGTTGCGTTCCTTAGAGACCCATGAAGTTGGTCTGAGATCTGAATTAGCCAGGAGGTAGGGCAAGGGACTAGTGTGCATACTGTGGGCGTTTGGAACAAATCTGGATTGAACGACGTGCTACAAGATGGATTGACAATTGTCTTTTACTTCTCTTCCAGTAAAGGAGGTTTTTCCTTGAGAGCTCTGGGGAAAAAAAGCAGGAGATACAGGTCCGGAGATATATGTGAAGCCGGACAAAAAGGGCTCAGTTTGGGTTCGAGTGAAAGGGGGAGTCAGACCATAGAAGAAATAAGGTCACGATTAAGCTGACCACAAATGATATTTACACCCGACCAACAGCAATCTGTTGTCTTGCATACCATGTATAGGGGGCCAACAAACACATCGTTCTTTATGCCATTATGATTTAACTGTTTCATTGGTATCACAATGCACAAACATTGCTTTGTTGATTATTCCTCACTTAGCCTGAGCAGCAAACTGTCCAAGTGCAAGTAATGATGATATTTGAGCAGCAATGCGGCATGCTGATATGTGCGAATGATGTTGCATGTTAACCTGGTCCCTGAGAGGGTTATTGGTGCAAGGTGGAGACCAGGAGGATCAGTCATGGATCCGATTGCAAGACCAATTCACCGATTTCATCAAGAGGATGCTCCGAGACATGCTGCAGTATACATGTGGTGGATCTACTTTTACTCCATGGGGACAGTAGGACAGCGAAGCTCTAACTTAGGTAGTGTCATCCAGTGCTCTATTAGCAGCTTCAATGACATGAGATGTAGTTGAAGTTTAAACAGCCAGGAGCTCACACAAATAATCTGACGCTTTTGTGATTGAAAGGGTGATCTGGACAGGAACAATTCTGCTTGGGGAGTTGCTTGCTGTGGACGGTGAAGCTTGGTGACGAGCCAAGAAACCGGAAGTGCGGGGGAGGGGCATTTGGGGGGTGGGGTGCTACCTAGGTACCTTAGGTACCTAAAGCATCACTGCGACAGTGGCCCGCCTGTGGGCTTGGGCCGTTGTCGGAGCTGAGCTCAGTGCAAGGCCAGCGATTGCTGCGGGATGGAATTGAGTCACCCCTCCCCAACAGCCATCCATCCAGCTTCTGAAAAAAAAAAAAATTCCTCAATATCAAAACAACCACCCATCAAAACATTGAGCCCATAATAGCGAACCCAAGGCGACGCCAATCGCCTCACATAACTTTCCCAATGGCTCAGCTTCCCGACCCGACCGTCGACCTGGACTGGTCGGGCTATGTAGGCTCGATCCAGGAGCACTTCCGCGCCCAGGCCGAGGCCCATCCCGACCGCACTTGCGTAATCGAGACCAAGTCGTCGACGACTCCCGAGCGCAGGTTCACCTATCGCCAAATCTACGAGGCGTCCAACACCCTGGCCTGGTATCTGCACAAGGCCGGCATTACCAATGGCGACGTCGTTATGATCTGGGCCCACCGCTCGGTCGACCTAGTGGTGGCTTTGATGGGCATTCTGGTGTGTTCATAGAGTGACGAAATCATGAGATGGATTCTAACAGAGACGCAATTGACAGTCGTCCGGTGCTACCATGACGGTGCTTGATCCCGCCTACCCGCCCGCGAGACAGAAGATCTACCTGGAGGTCTCCCAGCCCCGTGCTCTCCTCCGCATCGGCCGTGCCACCGACGAGAACGGCCCGCTTGCCCCCATGGTCCAGAAGTACATCGATGATGAGCTACAGCTCAAGACCGAGGTTCCCGAGCTTCGTCTGCGCGACGACGGCATCCTGTACGGCGGCGAGGTAGACGGCCAGGACATCTTCGCCAGCGTCAGACACCTCGCTTCCGCCCCCCCTGATGTCATCGTTGGCCCGGATTCAAATCCTACACTTTCTTTCACCTCTGGCAGCGAGGGCCGTCCTAAGGGTGTGCTGGGCCGCCACTACAGCCTGGTCAAGTACTTTGGCTGGATGGCCAAGCGCTTTAACCTCTCGTCCGAGAGCAGGTATACCCTGTTGTCCGGTATTGCCCACGACCCCGTGCAGCGCGACATCTTCACCCCTCTTTACTTGGGTGCTCAGCTCCTTGTACCTTCGCGCGAGGATATCCAACACGAGAAGCTCGCTGAGTGGTTCCGTGAGCATAAGCCTACCGTCACACACCTTACCCCTGCCATGGGACAGATTCTTGTTGGCGGTGCCACGGCAGAGTTCCCCGAGCTGGAGCACGTCTTTTTTGTTGGTGATGTGCTCACCACCAGAGACTGCCGCGCCCTGCGCCGCCTGGCAATTAATGCCAACATCATCAACATGTACGGCACCACCGAGACGCAGAGAGCTGTCAGTTACTTCGAGATCCCGAGCCGTGCTCGGGATCCCGATTTCCTTGACAGACTCAATAGGGACACAATCCCCGCCGGCAAGGGTATGGAGAATGTCCAGTTGTTGGTCGTAAACCGGGACGACCAAAAGACAATGTGCAAGGTGGGCGAGGTTGGCGAGATCTTTGTTCGCGCTGCTGGTCTTGCCGAGTAAGTGAATGGACCCTTTTTTTTTTCCTATATCAACGCGTTTTGGCATTCGTTCTGACACAAAGGGTAGAGGCTACCTTGGCGATCCTGAGTTGAATGCGAAGAAGTTCTTGATGAACTGGTTCGTTGATAACCAGAAATGGGTGGAGCAGGACCAGAAGATCAACAAGAACGAACCCTGGCGCCGCTACTACAAGGGCCCCAGGGACAGACTTTACCGGACCGGCGATTTGGGTCGTTATCTTGAATCGGGCGATGTCGAGTGCGTCGGTCGCGCTGATGACCAGGTCAAGATCCGTGGCTTCCGTATCGAGCTCAATGATATCGATAGCAATCTAAGCCAGAATCCCTTGATCCGGGACTGCAAGACTCTCGTCCGGAGAGATCGCAATGAGGAGCCCACGCTTGTCAGCTATATCGTGCCAGAGACTAGGGAATGGCAACGCTGGCTCCAGGACCGTGGTCTTGCGGATGTAGAGGACGAAGGTGTGGAAATGGGTCCCGTCCGCGTCTTCCTGAAGAAGTACCGCCGGATGCAGACAGAGGTCCGCGACCATCTTAAGACCCGTCTGCCTACTTACGCAGTGCCATCCATTTACATCGTCCTCAACAAGCTGCCCCTCAACCCGAACGGCAAGGTCGACAAGCCAAACCTTCCTTTCCCCGATGTTGCTGAACGTGTCGAGGATGCCTCCGAGGAGGATCTCAAGAACTGGGAATCTCTTACCGAGACCGAGAAGACTGTCGCCCAGATGTGGGCTGATCTCATCCGCGGTCTCAACCCCAAGACCGTCAAAAGGGACAACAGCTTCTTCGATCTCGGTGGCCACAGTTTGCTTGCTCAGCAGTTCTTGCTCTCTGTCCGCAAGAAGCTGGGCACCGATGTACCGATTGGCACCCTTTACGAGCACGCGAGTCTGGCTGGATTCAGCGCTCAGGTCGACAAGCTCAAGAGCCATGATGCTGGCAAGGTTGGCCCCGAGGCTGGTGAGGCTGCTTATTCCAAGTCCTTGGACGAGCTGCTGCACCAGCTTCCCGCTCAATACCAGGCGGTTAATCTGGATGCTTTCAACTCTGCCGAGAAGCTGACTGTCTTCCTCACGGGTGCCACTGGTTTTCTGGGTTCATACCTTGTGCGGGAAATTATGGAGCGCACAGCGAAGCCCGTCAAGCTTATTGCTCATGTTCGTGGCGTTAAGGAGCCGTCGGCAGCATTCACTCGCCTGCGGCGCTCTCTTCAGGGCTACGGTCTGTGGAAGGATGAGTGGTCCAGTAGGCTCAGTGCTGTCGTCGGTGACCTGTCCCAGCCCAACCTCGGCATGGATGATGCTACCTGGCAGACGCTTGCCCAGGAGGTCGATGTGATCATTCATAACGGTGCTACCGTGCACTGGGTCAAGCGCTACCAAGACATGATGGCATCTAATGTTCTGTCGACCGTTGACGCCATGAAGCTCTGCAATGAGGGCAAGCCCAAGGTGTTCTGCTTCGTCAGCTCCACTAGTGTGCTCGATACCGATTACTACATCAAGCTCTCCGAGGAGCAAACAAGGACTGGCCAGGGTGCCGTTCTGGAAGAGGATGACATGGAGGGCAGCCGCACTGGTCTCGGCACTGGCTACGGCCAAACCAAGTGGGTGTCTGAGCAGCTGATCCGCGCTGCCGGTAAGCGGGGTCTTGTCGCCTCAATCGTCCGCCCTGGCTACATCCTGGGTGACTCGGAGACTGGTGTCTGTAACGTAGACGACTTCCTGATCCGCATGCTTAAAGGCTGCATCCAGCTCTCTGCCCGCCCGCGCATCATCAATACTGTCAACGCTGTCCCCGTCAATCACGTCGCTCGCGTTGTCGTCGCTTCGGCGTTCAACCCCATCTCCCAGGGCGCCAACGTCATCCATGTCACGGCTCATCCCCGTCTGCGCATGAACGAGTACCTCTCCATCCTCGAGTACTACGGCTATCTCACTCCCGAAGTCAGCTACGATGAGTGGAAGGTCGAGCTCGAGAAGTTCGTGTCGGCCGGCGCGCTCGAGAAAGATCAAGAGCAGCACGCACTCATGCCGCTCTACCACTTCTGCATGAACGACCTGCCGGCGAACACGCGTGCGCCCGAGATGGATGATCGCAACGCGGTCAAGGTTCTCAAGCTGGATGCCGACCGCTGGACGGGTGTCGATGAGAGCACTGGTGCGGGTATCACCAGGGAAGATGTCGGCCGGTACCTGTCGTACTTGGCTGAGATCAAGTTTGTTGCCAAGCCGACCGGCAGGGGCAGGCCACTGCCGCAGATGAAGGCGGATGTGCTAGCTGCCTTGGCTGTTGGCGGCGCTGGTGGCCGTGCTGCTGCGCCGGGCCATTAGAACGATGATAAGGTGGGTGGTGGGGGGAGGGGAAGGATTATGTGGATTAGATGCTTGGTACTAAAAAGAGATCGGATTTGATCCGGCTTGAAGTTTTTCCGTATAGAGTTGGGCCAGGATTCAGTGTTTTGTTGCAATATAACGTCTGAATGTCTGCACCCATTGTTCTGCTCCATGAAGACAAGCTGGAAAAGCTGCTTTCGTTGAACACCAACACATTCCCTCCGTCTTTTCTTTGTCGATTGCCAATGACGAAACAAGTCCCTTCATGAGCATAATTCCTGCAGCGTAACTCTCTAGTGACAGTGTAGTCATGACAAAAAATGGTGTAATCTAAATGGCACAAGCCACCAACCATGCTTCAACCATGGCTTGGTGAAACTTTGCCGGCCTAGTTATGCATGCGCGGCTAACAGCAAGGACAAGACGTCAAAAACAAAGTTGAGTTAAAGATGGTGCAATGACCAAGGCAATTGCTCTCACTGGACAGCAGAGTTACACATGTTGAGGTGTGTCACGGCTGCCAAGCATGGCATCAACCCCTGAGCCGCGGGTGAGCGGGATGTGATGCAGGTGAGCCCTGTTAAGCCTACAGCAGCACGACGTGAATACGTTGAGCTTGCATCTTTTCCTATGGATTCGGGATGGCGATCGAGATGTATGTGGAAGGAGATGTGAACGTGTGTTGTGGGGTTGGCGAGCTGTTATCTGGTTATTAGTTGGCGTCACCGTTGACGCCATCCGGTGATTGAAGGCGAAAGCTGAGGATAAATACCTACTTCTTTGACGATTCAAAACATGGGGATGGCAGAGATCCTCGACCCTAGCTACAAGATATAAGCTAGGTACTCAACCTTCGACACTCCCATCTTAGTCTGATATTGTGCGTGTTGCCCTCCCTAAGAGGAGCAGTATGAGGCTCAACATCCCAACCTTACTCCTTGCTGCTGTCCCAGCAGCCGTCCATGCAGCCTATCCAGAGGATATCGTTTACTATTGGTACTTTCCCTTACTCTTTTCTTCAGGATACACAAGACTGAGCCTAAACCCCCCAGGGTCGACCAATCTGCTCTCTTCGTGAACGGAACCATCGTCAACGGTCTCTCGTCTCCCCTCTCAGCCTGGTACCAAGCAGTTGTGCAAGCTGCTGTCTACCACGCAGCTGTCAGATCCAAGCACGAGACCCTCGCATTCCAGCAGTTAGCCATCTCTCACGCCGCTCATGATGCCATTCTCTGGGTGTTCCAAGGCACCCGTGGGTACGGAGCGGTCGATGCTGCTCTACGTGCTGTAATCCCGCAAATCGGGCTGGATCCTGACTCCAAGAAGGGCAAAGAGGCTGCGCGTCTGGGCCAGATATCCGCTGCTAAGGTGGCTGCTGCTCGGGCAGAAGATAGGCGGACGAACTTTGTGGACTTTCACTATGGCCCGCAGCAACCGGGTGTTTATCAGTACACTCCAGGGTCTCAACCCCTACCAGATACGCCGCAGGCGAGGTTTATTACTCCGTTTGCTGGACTGGGAGATATCAGTCGCTTTAGGTCACCGCCTCCTCCAAAGACGAGCTCTAAGGAGTATGAGGAGGATGTGCTCTATGTTAAGGAGTATGGGTCTCTCAACTCTAAGTCTCGCTCGGCGTATGACACTGAGACAGCGTACTTCTGGCGAGAGTCTTCTGTGACGTAGGTTTCTTCACACCGCATAGTTCCTGAACTACATACTAATAGATCTTCCTCTACCATTCAGTGGCTGGAACCGCTTCGCAGGCAACCTCCTCGCCGGCCGGTACGCCACGAACCCCCTTGCCTCAGCCAAACTCTTCGCCCAGCTCAACTACGCCCTTGCAAATGCTGGCATCGCATCCTGGGACGTAAAGTACGCTTACCAGGGCTGGCGCCCCATCACAGCCATCCACTACCCGGGCATCTGGGTCTGGTCTGGCAAAAACATCTCCGACCCATCCTGGCAACCCCTTCTCCGCCCGACGCCGAGTCACCCCGACTATGTGTCGACACACTCAACGTTTGGAGCGGCTGCGGCGGCGGTACTGAAGGCCTGGAATGGCGGGAGGGATAGGATCCCGCCGACGACGTTGAGCAGTAATGTCACTGTGGACGGGGTTGGTGTGATTACACGGACGTATACGAGTTTAGATTTTGCGTCGGAGGAGAATTCAAAGAGTAGGCAATTTGGAGGAATTCACTTTGCGTTTGCGGGTAGAGAGGGGGTTAAGCTAGGGACGAGGGTTGCTCAGGCGACGCTGAAGGTGTTTGATGCACACTGGGATAGGTTTTGAAGTTTTGGAAGATTGATTGTATGAATTATTATGACCCAAGCTAGTTCGCTCATGAGAACCTTCAGAAAGCTTTTCATAGCTTACCAAGTCATATTAACAGCTCATATGTTCACAAGGTTCAAGCTCATATTCTATCTCAGAGAGATGCAGGAAGTTTACCACAGGGATCATCATCACCCATTTGCTATAACAAGTATTTATACTCTATTGTGCCCCGCGATTTGCTTCTTTTTCCAAGCTGTCAGTAACATTCCTTAATGCCTCCACATCATGATGAGTGACTAATATTCTCCGGTAATTCTTTTACATCACGATCAGGGATCGATTGAGTGAGCTGACGCCGGGATGCAGCTCGGGAAAAGATAACCGCATACGTAACTATTGGCTCAAGTGTCATCGGACCAAGCACTCAGTATATCTGTTAAATGGTGTAGAGAACTGATTGAACAAATATAGTGTTTAATAAGGCAATTGGCTCTCGACCGGCTACTATCCTCCTCCGCTTTAGCCGAAGAACCGGAAACAATTCGGCGTCTATCCACGGCATCACCTAGGCTTGACTTACCAAGGTGACCATGGAGTCTAAAAGCCTGAAAGCACGCTGAAGATATGTAGCTCTATGTCGAATAACACTAACAGTCCGTCAAATGATCAAGTCCGACACCTGGGTGAAGGAAAGAGGGAGTGTCAAGCCAGGCCATTTAGCCACCGGAACCCGACAAAACTCCCATAGATCCGTTCGTCTATTTGCCTTTTCACCTGTAGTGCTACCAGGCTACCCCACAAAATTGCTTCCCTGCAGTACTTTCTCGGATATCTAGTGGTGCGTTCCTCGGGACTCTTCTAAGAACTATGTCCAGCACTAGAAAGAAAAATATGTACTTGTATCTCAGTGTCCCATCTCTGTCACAAAGTCCAACTTTCTGGACATTCCTCCGACCGATCGACGAAGGAGGACGACCCTAGTAACCTATCGAAGATGAAGCTCTTGTCAGGTTCGATATTGGGGCTTCTACCCATCGTAACCTCAGACCCCCCCTCGAAGCGCGGACCGACTCTTCGCCCTTCTGGCCTTAAAGTTATCCGCCAGGCAGGGCCCAGCGCAACCTGTGACTGGTTTCAGCAGCCTATCGACCATCACAACAAGAGTTTGGGCACATGGTCACAGCTCTATTGTGTAAACCCGGCGCATTGGTCTCCAGGGTCTCCAGTAAGACCCGACTTTAGCATTCGAGCGACATTCCGCAGCCACTGAGATCATGTTCTTATCTATAGGTTGTTCTTATGACCCCTGGAGAGACGCCTATCTGGTCTGCTGTCGATGCTGGAAGCGGAATCTCATACTTGGATGACACAACCATGCCAGGAATATATGCTCGGGCTATCGGCGCTGCTGTTGTGGTCATCGAACGTGGGTTTCCTGATATGAAGACTGTTTCTGTATGCTGGCTAAACTGAGAGTATAGATCGCTACTTCGGAGGATCATCACCATATGACGGACTGAATGCTGAGACTCTCCAATATCTGACTTTGGAGCAAGCCGCTCTGGACTTGGTCAACTTTGCACAGAATATCAAGTTCCGTTTCGACTCTAACCAAAGTAGTATAGCTTCAAAGGCGGTAGGCAACTCAAATCGCATCAACAACAAAAACGAAGGGCTGACTTTGCTTAGCCATGGGTCTACTATGGTGCAAGCTATTCAGCAACTCTCGGAAACTGGCTAGAGCGTTTTCATCAGGGAGTCTTCCATGCTTACCATCTCAGTAGTGCTACAATAGAGGCAACTGCTGACAACTGGTACTACTATGACACTATCCGGAAGGGCATTGACTCGTATCGGAAGGACACGAGCTGCAGCTCGACACTGAACGAGATAGTTGACTATGTTGACAGCTTCTTACTATCACCTGACAGGAACGAGACCAAGGTTAAGGCACTTAAGCAATATTTTGGCGCCCTCTATCCAATCTATCCCATTGATGATGACGATTTTGCCTAGTAAGTTGCCGCACATCTCTATACCAAGCCATAGCTGACGTTCGCAGTGCTCTGGCAACCCCATTCCATTACTGGGAAGAGACAAATGGTTACCGAGAGATTCTCGACCTTTGCAACGTCGTAGTCGATTCATGGGAATCCGAAGAGCACGATATCTTGGGCACAATCCCTGCCTCAGTGGTCAACTTTGCTGCCTACTGGCGCATGAACTTCCGTGATTCAAGTAAGCTCCTCAATCAAGGGTCAAGAAGAATCCCTTGGATAGATTAGTAACCAAGCCAAGCCTGCTCATACTTCAACGTCTGGGGCCAGCAAGACCCCTTGTGGTGCTTACACACACGAGACCCCCTCAACCCCTTTTACACCGCACGCACCTTGGGCAACCCCTGGCGCACGCGCCTGTGGTTCCTGTGCAACGAGCCTCTCGCCTCGTGGGGTGTTGCGGCTCCTGAAAACCAGCCGACGATCGTATCACGGAAGATCGACGCTGAATACTTCCTTCGTCAGTGTGAAAGGCATTTCCCTGCTATCAACGGAAAGCAATACGGTAGTAGCAAGGGGAAGACACCACAAAGTTTGAACGAACTTACCGGAGGGTGGTCAAAGGCTGGGAGGAGGGTGATCTATACCAGCGGGTGAGTATTCCAAAACTGTTTCGTCAGTACGGTTGGCTCCAGGCCAGGCTAGATGCTGACAAGAGGTCTTTTCAGTGAGTTTGACCCATGGAGAGGCGTCGGCATGGCCAGTGAAGTCCGTCCTGGAGGACCGCTTAGGTCCTCAGATGATGTTGCTGTGTTTGTCATTAAGGGTGCACAATTCGCTGCTGACAGGCTGTCTGCCCGTGGTATGAACAATCTTGGCTTGCCTGCCAACCAAGAGGTTGTCAAAGTGCAAGAGGCTGCCGTTGAGATCTTAAAGGGATGGCTCGACGACTGGAAAGCAACAAGCAAGCGATGAATGTGCTGAAGCGATGGCGAAGTTGGTTGGCCATGTCAAACCAGGTTAGGGACTAGATTGTCTGGGTCGAATATCTCTCTTTACGGAAGTAAACAGAAATACAACTGCATGTTCCACAACATGTATAGCATCCTTTGTTTCCCCATACAACCCTTTCACCGGAATATTTCCTTTTACCAATCCAACTTATCCCCCCTATAAAGGAAGAAACCCCCACTATCTTCACTCTTCAACCCTTCAACAACCTTCAAAACCCCCTGCGCACTGTCCTCAACCCTCAGAACAGCATTCGGCCCTCCCATCTCAGTCTTCACCCAACCTGGGTCAACACACACAACAATAACCGCCTCCTTCCCCGCCACTGTCTTCACCTGCTTAGACTGATGAACAGTCAACATATTCAATGCCGCTTTGCTGACACTATAGGCCGTGCGATCAGCGTGGATCCGGCCATCCAACAGCATCTGCATGCTGCCAAGCCCGGACGAAATGTTGACCACCTTTGCCGTAGGCGACAAGTACGGCAAGAGTGTTTGGAAGATTAGGGCTGGCCCCAAGACGTTCGTCTGGATGTGTTCATGCAAAGTTTCTGGTTTGAGCGTCAAGCTGTCCTCGTCCCCGTGCAGGATAGCCGCGTTGTTGATCAGGACGTCAATGATTGTGTCTGAGGGGAGTTGAGCGGGGAGTTTGGTGACCGACTCCGGGGATGAGACGTCACACTCGAGTATGCTAACTTGTCCTGGGGCAGAAGATGCCTGAATCTCTTGCAGGGCGGACAGGTCACCTTTTGTGAGACTGCGGACCAGGGCAAAGACAGTGTTGGATGGGGACTTGGAGAGTTCCTTAACGTAGCCTAGGCCAATGCCCATTCGGGCTCCAGTGATCACGTAAGTAGGCATGGTGTCGAGACGTTGAGATGGTCCAGAGTCGCTAGGATGGAGAAGTTGTCGTCGTTGAAGCGGTAGGACTTTTGATCTTCAGCCGTTGACGCAAGAGGGTGAACGCAGGGTTCTTATACTGCCGTCGGGGACTTTGATTCGAGTCATTACCCACATCAATGAGCGGGGTTAACGGAGTAATACGGATTTTAGGACAGATCAGAAATGGAAAAAAATTCTTGATCAACGCCGGCGAGGAGTCATCGATGCCTGATATCTTCATGAATGGCGATCAAGAGCTTGTCCGTTCAGGAATTCTGATCAGGGTCTCATTGGCCGATGTTTGGGATTTCGGCCCGTGTTCCGGCAAGAATCTTTTGAGATTTGTAAGCATAAGATTACCATGTCCATGGAAATCGGAAAAAGACCAGACGGTACAAGAAGGATCCCGGTTGGAGGAGCAACCCGACGAGGATATTCCGCACAAAAGCAGCAGGATTGCAAGGCATAGGTAAAAGTCCATCTGATTCCAGGGTATCTCCTGATTCTATAAGAGAGAGAACACTACCCCAGGGCAATAATTCGGTGAATAACCTAACGTGTAAGTACCGCCGAGATATCCCACACGTATGAACAGGATTGGAAGCCCATCAACCAAACCGTCATCCCCAGATGCCAAAATGAGATCAATTACAAAACCAGACAAAGTAAAGAAATCTGAAAAGTAGATGGGAATTAGAAGGTTCATGAGGCAGCCATGGTGTCCTCACAGCTGTTTGTGGTCACCTCCTCGACCTCTTCCGAGTTCACCTCCCCAGAGCCAGTCCCCAAATTGGCGTCCTAAGCAACCTTCTGAGTCTGGGCCTGGGCGGTGGCAGGCTTCATACCCCTTCTTCCCAGCAGAGTAGCGCCCTCAAGATTGAGCTCAAAGACGCCCTTCTGCTTCTGAGTCTCACGGATGTGCTTTCTAGCAGCTGCAGCAACGGCAGCCGAGTGTTGGCCATAGCCTCGCTGCTCAACAGGTGAAGAAGCCTGGGCAGCAGGGGGGACGTATGCTTTCTTCTCGCGGTCCCGGCCACGTTGCTGCTGTGAATCAGAGATTTGGGTATCGCGCATACGCTCTTCAAGCTGGTGCGTCCCATTATGTGGCTGCTGGCCTTCCATCTTGGATATCCCTTCTTCCATTTCAACGTCCTCGTCGACCTCGCTGAGACGAGATAGACCACCTAGGTGCTTGCGGCGCTTGGACTCCTCTTCTTGCCGGTGCACGGCATAACCAACATCGAAGATCTCGCGTAGATTAACGGCAGCTGGCGAACGGAAATCGTAGCGCCTGTCTCCCTCAACGATCTTGGTCATCTCAGGCGGCAGGGCAACTTCGGGAGTGGGTGTTGGCTTCTTTTCCTCGTGAGGAGTAGGACCAGACTCCCGGATCCAGGGGTGTGCGAGGAATTCCTTGATGGTGTATCGTTTATCTGGATCAACGCAGAGAAGATGCGAGATCAGGTCCTTGGCTGAGGAACTGATGTCATCCCACCAAGGAGAAAGGAACGTGTACTGGCCTTTGGCGACCTTTTCGGTGAGAGCCTCGATGCTTTCGTCGTAGAATGGTGGAAACCCACAAAGGAGCGTGTACAAAACGCAGCCGAGGGCCCACATATCTACAGACTTTGAGTATCTCTCGTCCTTGACAATCTCTGGCGCTGTATAGCCAACAGTACCGCAAGGCGTCATGGTCTGGTTCTCCCAGATGACCTTGGACAGGCCGAAATCGGCTATTTTGATTTGGCCGATGCCGCCGCCACCGACACCCTTAATAAACTCGCCCTCGTCAACCTTATCCTCATCGCCAGGTTGTGTGGGCCTGGGATGCTTAGATGGGATGAATGGGATGGGATAGAAGAGGATATTCTCAGGCTTAATGTCACTGCCAGGGTTGGTTAACCAGCCGCAGACATGAGAGGGCCAATAGTGGTTTCCTACCGGTGCACAATTCCTCTTTCCTCGTGGAGGTACTCGAGAGCTTTGGCAACCTGGGTGATTACGTGTCGTGCGAGTTCTTCGCTGAAGTAAGTTAAGCGCACAATTTGATGGAAGAGCTCCCCACCGGGCGCGAGCTCTAAAATGATGTAGTAATACTGGCGAGACTCGGAAAAGTCGATGAGCTTGATGATGTTTGGATGGTCCAGCTGGCGCATGATCTGGACTTCTTTCAAAATATTTGCCCGCTGTTGCGGGTGTTAGCCTTCCGGATCGGGACAAATCTGGATGTGAGAACTCCCAGCACTTGACTGGAAGCAAGCAGAGAACGAAATGACCCTCCGTTCATCTTTTTGGGTCTTGGGGAAGAAAAAAAAGCGGAAACTGTACTAAAAAAAAGGCTGCAAGGGGTGTGCTCGCACCTCTACGGCCTTCGGGGCCTTGGCCTTAAAATCAGGATGGAGAAGATTGTCGTTCTAGAAACGAGGTCCTGGTGTTGGTATAGGAAGTCCCAGAAAAAAAGGAAACCAGACACCAAATGGTTCTCATAAAGCCCCATGTCTTGATATGGTATATAGAGAGTCATCAAAGAAATGGATGTTATCTCTACGTACCTGCTGACTGCTCATTTCGAATTTGCGCACGACTTTGATCGCCACCTGGCCATAGTCTCCCTCACGATCCTGGGCACGGTAAACATTACTGAAGGCACCGTCGCCCATCTTCTCAATCAGCTCCCAGCGCTCCAAGCCCGGATAGTGAGGAAATTTGCTCTTTTTTGCATTCTCCTCAGCGACGATTTTCGCGATGCTGTCGGTCGGGATTTTCTTCTGCTTCAGCGACTGAGTCGGCTCAGTCGTAGCAGCACGCGTCGAACTATGATGATGCTTGTCCTGTTTGGCGCGCGACAGGTCATCGTTGGCGGCACGGGCTTGCTTGCCTGCAGCGACCAAAACAGCGTCAGCACCACATCCGTGGCGACAAGACGTTGAAAAATGCGTCACCGAATATCATTCGGAAACCTACCGTGTCGGATAAAGTTCTTGATCTGCTGTATTGTTGACATCGTGACAATGTGGGACTCGTAGTATTAATCTAACTTGTAGGGTGTTTGACAATTTGTGTTGGCCAATTGCGGCAGTCGAAACTTGAGTTCCTCAAGTCGTGGTAGAAATGCGTGACACAGAGCTTGAAGGCCTGAAGACCTGTTGCGGCGCAGTCAAGTGCGGATTTTGGTCTCAAAAAATGTCAAAAGGTTCAGCTGGCGCGCGGTCGGGGAGCGGAGATAGTGAATGAATGTTGTCGCGCTAGGTCCAAAGGACCCAAAGCTGAGGAAGCTGAAGTGCTGTGGGGTCGTCGGGAAACGATGTTCGTTGCGCAGAAATAGGCAGCTTGATGTCAAGAGAACATGGGGAGAAGGAAAGTTGCAGTACGAAGTTGGCTGTTGATGGTTTCTGTGGCCTTTTTGTTCACGGGACGGACAGGAGCTGAGAAGCCCGGGTCGATGTCCAAGTCGGCTGCAGGTCTGGGTGCTGCTTGGCGCAGGGACTGGGCTCTCTCTGATGCCCGGCACTGTCCTATGACGTATTGCGCAGCGTCATTGCATGGTGCCCGGAAATTGGATAATGAGCGGCTGAGCAGCGCGTCAAAGATGTGGGGGTCACTGAACGTACTGTGTAGCAACAGCACCAGTACAGTCCTGGATCTGTAATTCGCTTTTTGTTACGTTGTCACGGGACATTCCATTGCGAACTGTTTTGAGCCATTGAATATCATCCTTAAGGCTTTATGTCACAACTGGAAAATTCCATAATTTCAACGCATTAGAAATTTCAATTTGTACAGAAGGTTTGATGTAGATTCATCTTCAGGGCAGCATAGGGCTGGGATACCTATGTCCCCAACACATGCCAGGGGTTGTGTCCGATATGTAAAATACGCGAAAAGTCGTTGCGTAACTTACGGGGGGTAAATGATCTTCTGTCTATCCCACAAGTCCCCGCTCAGCAGCCTGGTTTTGTGGGGTGTGTGACCAGGCAGTCAGCACAAAATCAGCTCGGTCAACACTTGGCTGTTCCCGAGCGTTCTCGACGAGAAAACCTGCTTTGGACACCAAGTATGTTGGTAACAATGGCGACAAGGCCCTGGTGTCGCTATTTTTGCACAACGTTGGGCTGTTGACCGCCACCAGCAAGACAGCGAGATGCGTGCAGCCCTGCAGGCGGTCGTAGTCACCGGGTTTCCGCATTTGGTGTGCCGCGATTCCCCGCGTCTTGGCCTAGTTCCATGCTAATCAGCCCTGGGCTGGCTGGCTCACTGGCTCAAGGCCCAGTTAGTGGCTGAAGCCCTGGCGGATTCCAGTCGCTGATGAACGGGCTCCGCCGCTCTGGTTCCAGTATTCAAACTTGTGTTCGGCGGCTGCTGCCAGCCAAACACCAAATTCGCTTGTTCTGGGCAAATGCAAGCGAGAATGTGCTTTGCTGAGGATGGCAAATGCAAGTCACGTGCCCTTTTGCTCTTCCTATCCTCTGGGACAAAGGGTGACGTGATTTTATTTTCTCTCCGATCAACCTCCTTGTTCAATCCTGTTTGTCTGAGCCTTTGCACAACACCTAATAGCATTTTGGTGACGGCTCCGGGCTGTTGCTAGGGATGAAGAACAGTCCGGGTCGTCAAACCTGGGTACAACTCTCCCAACATAAGCATCACGCTTCTGTAGGTATTTGTCTAAAATTTAGTGGCATGGCTTCTGAAGGTTTGCCATTCGACCTTAAACTCCGTCTCGGGTACATGCATCCCACGGGATCGGCGCCCTACTTTCGCGGTGCCCCGCCAGCCACCGAGGTCGGCATCACCGATCGACAAGAAGGCACGCGACCAGGTCACAGACGGGCGTCCTCCCCCTTACCCACACAAATGTCAAATGTCGGATAACATGAACAAGACGGCACAAACCAATTGGCAAATGCTATTGGAAACCGCACTGGTAAAGAGGGTAAAACCATAGAGCAGTCCAGTTTTGCTAGACTTTCTGCATGGAGTTGAAGGTCTAATTGGCAGGGGAGCCAGGGTTCAAACCAGGCGGGGCTGGAAGAGTCAATGACGTCAGCCCCTAGAGTCTGGATGGATCCCAGCATCTCAATTTGACTTCAATCTTTCAATGAGCCTGATGGAAACGCACGATGAACATCCTGGCCTGGGAATGGCATTCCAAACTGGAGCAACTTGATTTTCATGCCGAGGTTAGCTGCTGGGAGACTGATGTTGCACCAAAGCCTGCAAAATCAATGTTTGCGGAGTACCTACAAGCATGAGGATTTATGTCTTTGGGTTCAAGTCCTAACACCAAGAAACGATCAGACGAGAATAGGGTGGGAACAATCCATTTAAAAAATTTCAATGTGAAGTCCCCACACACCAAGATCACAATCACCCGCAGGGTTTAGTAAAAAAAAGCTCGTCCCGTTCCGGGCTACAGAACCTTGAGTGCAAACCAGGTTGAGACCCCTGCCAAGCCGTTCCATGACCGGTGACTGTGTGGAATGCCAGCGGATTGGTGGAGCAGCGATTCGGAACTACCAACGGTGACAATGGTTTGGCCCCGTCGCCATCGTCTCCTTCCGAACTGCCCGTCCTGGTGAAGACCAGGCCCAGCGGGGTAGCAGTCTCGGCGTGCCATCGTTCAGCCTTTTCGACGGCTTGACGGAAGATTACCCGATCGACATCATGGAGCTCTTGGACTCATTCTCGCCGGTCTTGTCCAACCAATCGTCCGTAATGGTGAGCACCGTTGCGACGTCCTGGTTGAGTTGCTATGCATCGTTGACCATTCAGGGTTTAGCGACACCCTTCTGACATTCCCCCAGTCAATACTACTGTTGATCGAGTCGATATGTGGAGGAACGGTATTTTAATATTGCAAAGCATCAGAACAGCTGATCTCGGAGGATGACGTTCCTGACTTTAAGGCACACACTGCTGGACTGTTGCATATACCTGAAGGCTTCACGTAACATATCATGGCCATGCCCGCTCTTCTAGCGCTGTTCTGGCTCTTTGCTAGACTTTCCAAGGGCAGAATGCACCCTCCTTAATCAGGGCACTCTACCAAAGAAGCTACTATCCCTCTTTGTGGCATATTTTTTTCTGCTATCATCCTTCGGCATGGCCAGCAAGACTCAAGTAGCTGGCATCTCCTTCGGTGCCCTGCTTCTCGGAATCAGCATCCCATACCTCTCGGCCATTACTTCTCCATTCACATCCCTCATTGGTGACTTCTCTGTCCCTGATCATGCATTCAGCTTCCCATTTTTCAAGAGCAACATCACCACCAAGTCGTTAAACGTAACTATCCAGCCAACCTTTGTATGCGACCCTAACCATACATACCGAACCGAATTGGTCTCGCTTGACCCTGTTATTATTTACATCCATGATTTCATCACCAAGCCCGAAATTGATGCCCTTCTGGAAGTGGGAGAGCCAAGGTTCAAGCCATCACAAGTAGCCAAGTATGGCGTGTTGATGAACACCAATGATCGAACCTCAAGCTCAGCAGGCCTACCACGCGACGATCAAGCGGTTATGTGCGTGATGAGGCGAGCACGAAATTTTCTGGGAACCATGATAAGAGATGGATGGGACGACATGGGAGCACCGCAACTCGTTCGGTACCGGGAAGGTGAGAAGTTCAACCACCATCACGACTGGTTCGAAAACCCGCAGATGGCATATGATGGGACGAGCCGGAAGTGGAACCGTGTTGCAAGCTTCTTCGCAATCCTGCAAGACAACTGCACAGGCGGCGAGACATACTTCCCTTACGCCAAGCCGATCGCGTTGCCAGGACCATGGGGGGCGAAGATGTGGCACGGTGAGGTTCGCAGACAAAAGAATAAAACCGAGGAGGTGAAGCCACTATGGAGAGAGCATGAGGATGGAGGACTCGCTTTCCGGCCTGTTGCCGGTAACGCTATATTCTGGATCAATCTCCACGCCAACGGGACTGGGGACACGAGAACCCTTCACGCCGGATTGCCTCTAGACAGCGGCTTGAAGACGGCAATGAATATTTGGCCAAAGCACTTCTATCTCGAGTAGCTATAGAAAACCGACCAATTCTTCGATCGCGAGAAGTCAACAGCCCGTTCGTTCCCATATTTTTCACTTATTCCTGCGCGGCGTAGACCTTCGCCCCGTCATACCATGTCTCGATAACCTTAGCCTGCATCAACTTCTCTTTTTTCCATTCCATATCAACAATCACGAAGTCAGCCTTGTGGCCAGCCTTCAAAACACCTATCCTGTGCTCGTCGAAACAACTGTACGCAGCACCTTCAGTGCCAGCGGCAACGGCCTCGCAAAGGCCCAAAGCGAAGTGCGGGTTGACCACAGTCTCTAGTTCAGGCTCGCGGTAGGATCTCCTGGTCGTTCCAACGTAGATGTTGCCCAAAGGCGTGTGAGGAGCTGTCGGCGCATCGCTACCCAGAGCAAGCGGCGCTCCCACATCAGCAAACTCGCGATAGGCGAATGCTCTGCCACACCTGTGCTCGCCAAGCAGCCGCGGCCAGGCCTTCAAAATGGCCGGATCGGAATGCACCGGCTGGATCGATGCTGTGATGCGTCCCTTGCCCATGCGCTCGACATCCTCTTTCCTCGACACCTCGATGTGCTCCATCCGTGGCCGCTTCTCCGGATCAGCATACTTCGTCAGAACGTCCACAACCATCTTCACGGTCGCATCACCGATGGCATGCAAAGCAATTTGCAATCCAGCTTCAGTTGCCCGTTTCACGACCGGCCGCAGCTGGTTCTCCGTCCACAGAGGCAACTCCACATGCCCGTTATGCGCATATGGCTCCGACAACACTGCTGTGCAGGCATCAACGATGCCGTCGCAAATAACCTTGACACCAATAATCCTGCAATCTGGCGATGTCTCGGCGTTATGGAGCTTCGCCAGCTCAATCGCACGCTCGACCTGCGCCATCGTCTCCTCCTCCGTCTTGCACGGCTTGACCAGCCAGTACGCCGCAATGCGCATCTGGATACTTCCCTCACGCTTCAGAAGCGTCTGCAGCGCCTCCCACGAACCCTCATCCATGGCCATGTCAATAATACCAGTGTATCCGGTCTCATGGTACGCCTTCACAGCAGCCTTGATGGCCTCGATACGCTCCTCGACGCTAGCTACCCGTGCAATGTAGGGCCATACGTAGGTGAGGTTAGCTGCCTCACTAAAAACACCAAGTAGATTGCCCTGTTCGTCTCGGTGAATGATGCCAGCGGGCACGTCGGTCCATTCCCTGGCGCCGAGCTCCTCGATGCCGGCCGTGTTGGCCCATGTCGAATGCAAGTCCTTGGAATCGATCAAGATGGGACGGTTCTGACCCGTAGGGTCGAGATCGTCCAAGTCAGACGCCTTCGCGCCGTCAGGCGTCATGATATGCATCCAACCGCGGCAAAGGATGCGCGGGAGATGCGGATTGGCAGCTGCATATTCACGAATAGTATTCCTGATGTCTTCCAGGTTTTTGCAACGGCCCAGGTCAAGCTTGTTGAGCGCCTGACCGAGAAGCATCAGATGCATATGGCCATCGATGAAACCCGGGAGAATGGTTTTCCCTTGCAGGTCGCAAACAGTTACTTCATCAGGGCCAGCGGCTCGGGCCGCTTCGATGGCTGCGTCAGAAGACAAGCCAACATGCTCAATTTGCGAGCCGCGGATCAGCATGCATTCGGCAAACGTGGGTGGGCGATGCAATCCTGCGTTGGTCCCAGGGGAAACTCCCGAGAGGAAGATTTTGCCGTTGACAAAAAGAGTTGCAGGGGCCATGGTGATGGAATGTACCTAGGTAATCGAAGGTGTTTAGAAATCAACTTGTAAGCTCAATTGAACGTCGGGTTGCTTCTCCCTGCCCTCTGTACAAGCATACCAAGACTGATCCCAACCGCTGGCTCCCGGACAGAATCGACGCAATCAGACGATCTGATAACGGAGCGGAGAGTCACCAAATAAAAAATCATGCCCGCCCTCCCTTGCAAATGACAATCCCCACTGTTCAAAACGATTCATGTTCCATCCGCTTTGTTGAACTGAGTGCGGGGCCTGTTACGGCCGAGGACCGGAGCCTGGAGAAGCGGTTCGAGCCAAGCTTTGGGGCTTGGGATTTCGTCGTGCCTTTGTGCAATTTGTTAACCAGTAGAGAAGTCTCTGTTGAGCATAGCTGGTCATCAGATCCATAAGAAGATGGAACCCTTCAAGATACGCACAGTCTCTTTCTCTTCTTCCGCTGTATATCAATTTCTTGGCATGATTTATGGGTACCCAGCGCAACGCCCATGTGATATGCGTTGGCCTGGTGCTTGAGTCGTAGGAGGGCTAAGGGACAACTGCAGGCCCCCACTCATGCATGGACCAAAACATCGCGACGTTTGTTTCCCCTAGTAACGAACCCCTGAATCCCTGAGCTGAGTCAACAGAACAATCACATCCCACCGCAACCCCCGAGTTCATGCAAAACTAAACAGTCCAACTCACAAACAAATCGTCCCATCCAGATCTAAACTATACATACCCTACAACAATCTACTGGAACATACGACGCAGCTTGTTTCCCCTCCAAGATCCTACTCAGCAATCCGGCAAGTAGACTGTTTTGTTGTACGTGAACACGTCCCTGGCTTGATCACCGCCTGATTTCGACTGGAACACAATTCCACAACCATTAATACCCCAAAGCAATGAGCCCCGTTTAACGGCTTCTTGTTGGGTCAAGCAGTTGGCCCAAACCGTCTGAACTGGCAATTGCTCGCCAACGCGCCGTTGACGAAGACCATCGTTTGTAAGTACAACGCTTATGAGAGCTTGTCCTCCTTGAGATGCCATCTTAACAGCTTGGCTCTCGTTGTCGAATGGTGCAATCATCACAACTGGGCCTGAAAGTACTTCTCGGTTCGTTTCGGCGGCGTCTGGTCCGCCCGTTAAGATCACGGGAGGAATCAAATATCCACGGTCTTGCCTTGGCTTCTCCTCCAGGGGCAAGGGGACTGCGCCGAGTTCAAACGAGGCCCCGCGATCCACGGCGAGCCGTAAAAAAGAGCAAGTCTGATTGTATGCTTCCTCGCTTACAACAGGACCAACGTTTTTCCCGACACTATAGTTTTTGTCGACGTAACTGGCAAGCTCGCGGACAAATAGTTCATAAATGTTGCGTTCAACCAGAATGAGGAAACCACCAAGAAAGGTTTCCCCTTGGTTTTCAAATGCCACTCGCGCAGCGATATCGATCGTCTTTTGCCGTATCCCATTGGCTTTCTCCATGGAATCAGCAAAGACTAAGATTGAATTTCTGCCGCCCAGCTCTAAGTGGATCTTTTTGTGCACATCCGAAGATGTGATGTCCCGAATCATGCCGCCAGCCCTTGTGTGACCCGTGTAGTACACCCCATCGACATTGGCTGACGAGACAAGAGCCGCTCCCGTTATTGGACCGTCACCAAAAATAATGTTGATGACACCTTTTGGTATCTCGGCTTTCATGAGCAAGTAACCTAAGACTGGGGCGTGTGAGTACTTGGAGCATAACGATGTCCCGTTTATCATGATGCATAGGGTCTGTACCATATGCGGTCATGCTGGTCAGTTCATGAGGCTTGATGATGACTGTGTTTCCGAAAGCCAATGCTGCCGCCAATTGCCACGTCAGTTGATATAAAGGCATGTTCCAGCACGGAAACAATGCGAAAACGCCCCGCGGCGATCGGTAATCATAAGCGCGAGCTACGCCATCGATGTTTCGCATCTCGGACGTTTCCTGCACAATATATGTGGCAAAATACCTTTTCCTTCATGTCAGAACATGCCATCATTAATTGAGCGTATTGTAACTTACTCAAAATGCGCAATGGCTCCAAGTACCTCGGACCTGGCGCGTTGCAACGTCTTCCCTTGATCGAAACTCTCCCAAGCCGCAAATGCATCTCTCTTTTCGCGGGATGACCTTGCTGATGCGGCGTAAGTGCTGTGCTCTGTCGTATCGAGATGCTTGCTTCCACGACTTGAAAGACTCTTTGGCAGCCCGCGTGGCATCTTCGACCTCACGGGGTCCTGAGCATGGCAGCTCACCGAAACGACTACCAGTTCTGGGGTTGAAAATACCGATGTACTGTCCATCCAAAGTCTTATAATCGAAGCGTGATGATACGATATTGAATAATCGTATGGGGGGGTCTCTGATTTGTGAACGCCGCTGGATGAAAGCAGTGACCATCTCGGGGGTCACACAAGAGGTGATCGCTTGGAAGCATTCAGTAACCTCCTGGTCCGTCCAGGAAGCAGATTTTGTATTATCCATCGTGATATTTTTATGTCCAAAGAAAGACAGCGATTTTAAGCAAGCAGAAAGAAGCGCCTCGATCGCAAGCTGCAAGATGTGTCCAGCCCGTCCTTGGCGATGGGCAGTCCATTGGCAGGAAGGTTGTCGCGTTGCTGATGTCAGGCTCAAAATATCGAATCACATCGTGCCGAAAGAGCAATCGTTCTTTAATCGTTGGCTTCCGGATGCCAGCTAGGGCCCTAGGCTCCTGCCGGATGCAGCTTCAGCTGAGGTTTCCTTGGCTGTTCCGTGATTACCACGCGTGTCGCGTTATGGCCATAGGTAATACTTTCCAAGTTTATCCAAATTGAATTGCACTGGCATTCATGCCTTGCTTCCTCAGAATCCATCTTCTTGTCGGTCACGTGGCTAGGTGCAAAATCGACAACGTAGACGGGAATTACCTCAGTGTGTCCGAAAGAACTCTCCAAATCTTGGATCAAGCTTCCTCTTCGTCTGGGTGTAAGACAATAAGTGGTTGATGCTAACAACTAAATGAACGACGTTAAACAGTCTATAGCATGTCCCTTGTTGACGCTCATGCTTGATGTTCCACATTTCTCCGCTGTATTAACTCGGCATACAGTGATATCGATCAATCGAAACACTCGAACCTCACAAAACTACCCGGACAAGTAGGGATTTCTTCAATCTTGAAAACACAGACATTGCGATACAAGCAACTTGTTATGGCTCTTGCCTCGGGACTTGAAGCAGAGGTTAGGCAATTCGCCTCGCTTAAGACGGACTTTGTTGAATGAATCACTGACTAGTAGTTTTCAAGGCTGAATCATGTTGCAAACAATATGAAGAATCACAAATGAATAGAAACCTATATGCCATTTCTAAGAATGACTGACTCACTCAATCCACTCTGTGCGCTCTAGTGGGAGTGCATCCAAGCCGTTCTTGGGCTAAACATCGGTCTTTTAGCTGATGTTGTTAGATCGCGCCTTCCCGGGTAGAACAGGCTGGAGAAGTCAGTATAATTGAGCACCGGGCTGAGCTGACAGGTTATTCCTTTCGTGAAGACACAAGAGGGATCGTACCATCAACGTCAGCTCTGTCCTATCTAATAGGTAGGCAGCCTTGGTCAACTTGACGCAACCTCATCTTGGATCTCAGGGTTTCAAGCTTACCTGAAGAGTCCAGAAACGGGGAAAGGTGGTGTTGCTGCCCGTTGCAGGATAGCGAGGTTCCCAGAAATGAAGATGGCCGATAATAATCGCTAGGCTACAGTACGTACCTAGGGATCTTTGGTAGGAGCGACCTTGCTCGTGAGAAAGACTGGGGTAACAGGAATTTGTATGTCTATGAAATTCACGCTGGTTATCGTGGAGGAATGAGCCGATGGGAGAGTTCTAGAACTTAAGTCGTGGGTCCAGAAACCGACAATGCCGAACACTGGCAGGACGATGGGACTCAAACTCGTGGTCATCATAAATGTTTTCTGAAGCATATGTACACCATTTCAGGCACGTTTGATCAAATAATGAGTGAACCACGCTCCAGTGTCCTTGGTACTTTAGCCATTTGCATGGCCGATCTTGCAGGTCTGGGCAACAGACAGCTGCTGGAGATACGCGATACGACAACGCAAGCATCGAGAATAGGTACCTAGGGATAATGCCCTCCCTAATACTAGAAACAACCTATTCGATTGAGCGTAATGTAGGTTTCAATGTCTACCTTATGGTGGGAGGTCCGCCGAACTTCCATCCTTCGAAGTGAGGAGTCGCTCCATATCCAGACGGGGGATTGCTGGGTACCTGCTTCTTAACTGGGGAGGTAAGCCTCACTAGCCCGGGGCTTCACTTAAGTGGAGAGCTGTCAATAACCGTATGGAGCATGACAAACCGAAGGTACCTACATTATCTGCCCTTAGCCACAGGATTCTGCATCCAAGTCAGTACCTATTCAGTACCTACGGTACCTAAGGTACCTGATTCAACAGCGTTGCGCTCTCGTATGCTGGACATTTCCGCGGCAATCTGGGCACATCATTGGCAAGAAATTTTCCACATACGGTTTGAGCTCACTTTTAGCCGACACCAGCTTCAGCTCCAGGCTGACTCAGGTTGGCTTCGAGAAAAGGACAACTGAAGATGGTTCTTGCAGCAACCAATTCTTTCAACCATCACAGACAAGTGCAGTCTTTACCTGCAGGTATCGCACTCAAGACCTCAGCATTCCCATTGATAAGATGGCTGATGAAGTTTTAGCCAGTGCCCTGTCTGCGCTATCCCCCAAGTCCCTCTCACCTTCAGGTTGTTGGCTCCACTGGCAATATCATATCCCCATCAAATGACGCACACAATGACATCAGATTCTGCTATAAAACACATTGTATGTCTTGTAGTTTTGTCTTAGTAGTGAAGTAATCCGACAATTCCCAATGTCTCCCGGTGACGGGTTAGGAAGGAATCCCGAAAGGAAGTGGGCACTGATTGCTTTGCCGGAAGCGTCTTCCGAGACACTACCGATGCCTTGTCCACCCGGAATGCCTCGAGACCCCGGTTTTTCGGATACCCGCGGTCATCATCGCGGGAGGATCGGTTTAGAGGCCCTTTTTGTTCACCGTATCACTTACACAGCAGCGGCTGCGTGTGACCTAGCAAGAAAGAGTGGAATGACAAGGCGTCGAATCATCGTACGTGTTTGAGCGGAAGGATTCATATTTGGGGCAGAAAAGGAAGGTAGAAGAGCCGCAATACGTCGGTGGCGCTTTCACAATCTCGCCCATCTCAGACAGGCTTTCTTGACATATCTCTATCTGGGCTTCGGTCCGCCTCCCAGACATGCACAGGACGTTCGGGGCTGTAATCCTCGTTATTATCATTGGACTTTCTTGTCGAGCCTGCACCTTTAGCACTCGCTGAGGAATCAAACACCACCGCATTGCCGATATCTTAGATCCCACTCTGCCACATGATAGTCGTGGCGATGGTGCGTTTCTATAGCTTTTCTTTATAGGATTCGACTGATCGGACACCTGAGAAAGCCATGCGGCACTTCTCCTTTGGTCCTGCATCTACGGGCGATGGCTCTCAGAACCATGGGCTGATACTTCAAATGCGCTTTTTGACGTTGTGCAACGTCCATCACACCCTATTGCGGCAGTAAAAGCTACTGCGGGGTGGGAGGTTTGAGGTGATAGTAAGACGTGATGATGAAGCCATGCGACTGTAGCATATAACCTCACACTCTTCCCCTTCGATGATTGATTATACCAAACTGTTGGGCAATCTGGTCGGACTTCTTGTGACGAATTAAGATGAAGACAGAAACAGCGTCAACAGACAGCCCTGGAGCCATTGAGGCCCAAGGGACCAACAACATCCTCGACAGTCTCGCATCTCTCGATCGTGACTCTCAGCTTCAACGTGGCCTCAAAAGTAGACATATCCAGTTCTTGGCCTTAGGTGGCGCGTGAGTGGCATATTCCACCCATTGGCAAGTTGGGCTACGGGCTGACGGTGTTGAAGTATCGGAACGGGTCTTTTCGTAGGATCAGGAGGGATTCTAGCGATTGTTGGCCCCGTACCTCTCTGGCTTGGCTATCTGTTTATGATGTTCCTTGTGTGGATTGTCATGAACTGCATCGCTGAGATGACAACATACCTTCCCATGAAGGGTATTACGATTCCGTACTTCACAGACCGTTATGTGGACAGGAGTTTGGCGTTCGCCCTGGGCTGGAACTACTGGTATGCCTACACTTTCCTTGTTGCTGCCGAGGTCTCGGCAGGCGCCATCCTCCTGGAGTATTGGGATACACCAGTGCCGACAGCGGTCTGGATTACCATCATCCTCGCTGTTTGTTTGCTCCTAAACATCATCGCTGTCGAGATCTTCGGAGAAGCCGAGTTCTGGTTCGCCAGTATCAAGCTCATCACCATCATCGGCCTGATCATTGTTGGTATCGTCATCATGGCTGGAGGTGCACCAGAGGGAGGAGCAGTTGGGTTCAAGTATTGGAAGGACCCTGGTGCTTGGCAAGAATACGTTGGAAGAGGCTCAACCGGTCGCTTCACAGCCTTCTGGACCGCTGTCGTTCGTGCAGGCTTCAGCTTCATCACATCACCCGAGCTCATCGGTACCGCCGCTGGCGAGTCAGTTGCCCCTCGTCGCAACATTCCTAAGGCTGCTGGCCGCTTTCTCGTCCGCTTGGCGATATTCTACGGTGTGAGCAGTCTCATCGTTGGCGCGCTGGTTCCTTCGAACGATCCGCGTCTGCTTTCCCCTGAATCCAACGCCAATGCCAGTCCTTGGGTTATTGGCATTCAGCGTGCTGGCATCAAGGGTCTTAATCATGTCATCAACGCCGCTATTTTAACATCAGCTTGGTCTGCCGGCAACGCCTTCTTGTACTCAGGTTCGCGTATTCTTTATTCAATGGCCGCTATCGGCCAAGCGCCGTCCATCTTTACACGCACGTCCCATCGTGGTGTGCCTTACGCCGCCATTCTGGGTACTTGGGGTGTTGCGCTGCTCTCGTACCTCAACGTCTCGGAGAACGGTGCGCGTGTGTTCGGTTGGTTCATGAACTTGTCGACTATCTCGGGTTTCATCGGCTGGATTGTGGTCATGGTTACGTACCTGCGTTTTCGCTCTGCGCTGTCCTTCCAAGGGCTGCTGCACACCTTGCCGTACAAGACCATCGCACAGCCTTACGCAACCTACTTTGTGCTGTTCCTGGTGTCAGCGCTGACGCTCACGAACGGCTTTCAAGTGTTTGCGAAAGGTAGGTGGAATGTCGAGGACTTCCTGGCTGCGTACATCACCATCCCGTTTTTCCTGGTTCTGTACATGGGCCACAAGTTGCGATGCCGCGGGCCTGTGGTCAAGCCGGTTAGCGAAATTGATGTTATCACGGGCAAGAAAGAGATGGATGAATTTTGCGAAATGGACCATATCGTGCCGGAGCCGAAGAACATTGTTCAACGAATTTGGTTCTGGCTTGCCTAAGGGCAACATTGGGCAAACTGGAAAGGAGGTAGAGATACCCAAGGATAATATGTGTCGATCTGTAGACATCAGGAATTATGGTTAAGTGTTTTGATAAGGGTGGACGCTTTTGTTAGCACGATCAACTCAAAAAATCGCCCCAATATATCCATTCAGGGCAAAAAGTTGAAGAGAAGATCCGATCATGCTGGGACTCGAACCCAGAACCTTTACCAGCCTAAGAACACACTTATGTGTGTCTAAAACCGGAAAGTAACGCGCTACCATTGCGCCACACGACCGAGCACTACACATCCCGTTTGACAGATCTACTTATGAGTGTGTGATGATGCGAGAGCACTCAGGGACATGACAGGATCAAGCCAAAGAGTTCTCGCCGGAATCCCTCTGAAGATCGCTTTTGACAGCAACATGTCGGGTTGCTGTTCAACTGACAATCACATGAGAATCACACTTGATAAAGTGACATGAAATGGAGCGCTGCCACTAAATTCAGCTCCATGAAGTTCTTTTTACCCAGTCCAATGACGCAACCATCAGCCCACTCGTATCTTCCAACCCTAACCCATGGCATTTTCCCAGTAATTTTACGATGAGCAATGCAATGGAAAATCCACAATCCCCATCTGCCGTTCCATGTGTTCACATCAATAAAAAGCAAGCCACCTAGAAAACTGGTTCGAGAAAGCTCAAGTTAAAGGCTGACCACCGCTCCGGTCACCCCATCACGGGTTGCACAAAATCAGGGCGAAATGGATGCCTATGCAGCATCAGGCCACAACCTGGCAAAAACATGTCAAGCATATCAGCGAAGCCACACCCTTTCTTACACGTGCAACCAAAACACGACGATCTCAGCGGATTCGACCCGCCAGCAGAGTGAGAGCCACGGGGCTGCAATAGCAGCCCGACAGGGTCCGCCAAGACGGCTTCATTTAGGGGAAGCATCTTATACTCGGGTCATTGACCCCTCTCCCTCACCGACGACGCTTCCTTCAAAAGCCCCCCAACCCAACCACGTCTCATCGCAAACAATCCCAATCTGCACCTGACCAAGCCATCGACACATACTTGCATACATACCACCTAATCTGCTGTATACCTGCTATTGAAGACCAGAAAATGCCTCCTCAATCTGCGCATCTCAAAGTAAGCAACGGCCAGACTCAACCCCTGTCTCCTACCTATCTTCGGCTGCCGTCCCGGCCGTACGACCCCGCCCCCGCACTATAGATGCTAACCTGACATAACAACGACTAGGGCATCAAAATCGTCATCGTTGGTGCCGGCTCTGTCGGCGTGACGACGGCGTACGCGCTTCTTCTCGAGGGACTGGCATCTGATATCGTTCTGATCGATATCGACCAGAATCGGGCCATGGGCGAGGTTATGGACCTCAGCCATGCCGCTCACTTTGCCCAGGCCCGCGTCCGTGTGGGCGACTACGAAGACTGCGCGGGAGCTGCTGCCGTCGTCATCACCGCTGGTGTGAACCAGAAGCCAGGCCAGACCCGGATGGACCTTGTCAAGACCAACTATGCGCTATTCCAGGATATTGTTCCCCGGATCGCGAAGAATGCCCCCGATACCATCCTCGTCGTGGCCACCAACCCGGTCGACGTGCTGACCCACGCGGCCCACAAGCTCTCCGGCTTCCCTGTCGAGCGTGTCATCGGCTCCGGCACGGCCATGGACACGACCCGCTTCCGGCACGAGCTGGGCCGGTACTTCGGCGTACACCCACGCAATGTCCATGCTATCATCATTGGCGAGCATGGCGACACCCAGCTTCCCGTCTGGTCCCTCGCCACGATCTCTGGCATGCGCTTGAAAGACTACTGTGCACAAGCCGGTCACCCCTACAACGAGGAGGAGCTTGAGGCCTGTGCCCGCCGCACGAAGGAAGCCGCGTACGAGATCATTCAACGGAAGGGCAAGACCAACTACGGTGTTGCCTCTGTTCTTGTCCACGTGCTGGAGCCCATCATTACCGATAGCGACGCCATTATGACGGTCTCGCGTGTTGGTACCTATGCTGGAGTCCAGGATGTTGCGGTTAGCATGCCCTGCAAGCTGAATCGTCGGGGCGCATACCAAGATGTGCCGCTGTTGCTGAATGAGAAGGAGCAAGACCTGCTGAAGAAGTCGGCGTTGAGCATCAAGAAAGTTATTGATTCTGTGTAAGCATTGCCTCTGATTTGCGATATCCTTTGTTCTATTGTCTTAGGGGATGTATCGGAATTGTTGACCTGGGTTTTCTGGGGGTATCGCTTGGCTCAACCCCGTTGGATAAGCGAAAGTTCGTCGAGTTCCACAACCACTTACCGGAAGCGCAATCGTTCAAATAGAGCAGACGAATGGAACACGTGTATTCGGAGTTGTCTGTGAAGCCGCGATTATGTACTTGCATAGAGCGTAGGATACCCTTTTCTTTCTTGTTGCCCGTCATGCTTCAGTTCTGTTAAGTCAGCTAGCGATTTTTTCGGATCCCTCGAGTCTTAAAGCTGTTTTGTTACTTGTAATTAGCAAGGGCAGACTTGTTTGCAAGCGTATTGCCTACATTAACTCGATAGACAAAGGCGCCAAAGGAGTTGTCAATACAAGCTAGTCGCACGCACAATGGCATTGTCTTGTAGTTATTATATAAACGAACTTAGACCAGGGTCCCTGTCCCAGTTGCACTGTATGAACTTCATGATTGATCAGGCCTGCTACATTTCACAGAACAATTGAGAGGCGCCCTATTGTGCCGGGTTCTTTTCCCCGATCCTGTACGCAATTACAAAGGAGAGAAAGGATAAGCAACCATGTTCTGGAGACTTTTTGCTTGCTTCAACTCCGTATCTTTTTCTTCCACCCTTGAGCAAGGATGCGATGATCCTCCACGGCCCGAAGACTGGCCCAACGGGCGCGCGGCACTAGCTCCACTCCTCGATCCGACGACCCGGAACATGGCACAGGCTTGCTCCGGGTACCGGTATTTGGCCCGTCAACACGGGCTCCACTTGGACTTCTATGTTGAGGATTGTCCCGAGTGTGAGGGGGAATAAAGGATCATCTGTCCCGCACCTCGCGGTGGTTGCAGCTACATACGAGCTGATATTTCCAACACAAGTGAGTCACTGTAGATTTGGACCGCGAGCTGGGGACCTGTGTTGAGAGTGCGAGTGGGAGTGCGGTGGCGAGGATTTTGATCCCAACATGATGTTTGGCAGTGACTCGAAGGGCGAGAACGAAAATGGAATACGCGGGAGCCGAGTTCCGTTGGGAGCAGAGAGGACGGGTCACTGCTTGCTACTGAGCCAGGGGATGGCCGAAGGCTTGACCCGCGTAAACACAAACACTTAGAAAAAGCAAACAAGCGAGCCTGAGCCCTCGGATACTCGGGTGGGGGAAGACTGCGGGAGGTTTTGCCATGATTTGTTGTGAAGGTAAGATCACTTGAACGACGAGTTAGAGGCAACAGGGACTGGAAGAACTCCCTTCTAGTTGTCGGATCATGAGGTCCCAACAGTCTCGGGTGAAGAAGTGATAAGGCAACGGAGAGATGTTACGGTGCACATGTAACACTTGGTTCGTAATGGTGTGTGCAAGCTAAGTTCAGAGGACTTCACTCTCTTTGTTGACTCAAACTATAACCAGATTGTGTATGGAGAGACGAAGTTGGCTTACTGTTGTGAACCTCTGTGTGTTGATTATCTTGATTATCTTGTGAGCTGCCGATCAGCTCGGTGTTTGGATCGAGCTTTAAGCTTTCCTTTTGGGACCATAGCTCGATGTTCAATGTAAGGGTGAGATCGAAATCGAACAGCTTGGCAAAAAAGTATTTCCGCCTCATTTTTACACTTCCCCTTGGTGGCTTCCGAAGGTAACACAAAGCGTATTAAACAGTTTGTGGGACCACTGCAGATACTATCTGACATGTTCATCGACTTATTCAGCCATACAGATCTCTGGCTAGGGGGAACGAGCCACAAGAACACCTGGAATGCTAGGCTAACGGGAAGGCACCTAATTTCCATCTTCCGACGAATTCCATAGGTGCTGTTGGAGAGTATTTTTGCCACCACTAAACATGGGATCTTCAGCTCAGAGAGTACAGCTACCCACTCCTACAGGCTGCGGAAAGATCTAGGGAAGTGTAGTTGTCGGGAACAACCAGACTGACACACTTGCTTTCGATCAGACGGACTAAGCCTTGGTAGGTAGATCCATTTCCTAGCTAATCTAATGGGGCTGAAATATGAGAGTCGTTGGGCGGCTAGTTAGTTAGTCTGGAGGTGGGGGGTACTTCTAATAAAAGCTATTTCTCTCCCCGACGGACCCAACAAGTCAAGCAGTCGGAACATGGTCAAAACATAGGACGGAGGTATTGGCTCCCTGGGTGTCAAAGTCAACGTCGACGGCTGCTCAGAACTAGGTGGTTGGATCCGTTGGTTTCTGCAAAATGAAAATCATCCTGAGCTCAATACGTCATTGAAGTCTTCTATGTTGGCTCTAGCACCGGCCATAAAAATCGTATGACGATAATAACAAAAAAAGACCAGCACTGATAGTCGCGCGCTTGGTGAAGGAAGGATTCAGACGGAAACGCTTGCCGACCCGACACTTCGGAACCGATCTCCTTGACATTTTGCGTGTTGGCGCTGGCGAAGCTGTCATCCACCGGACCGTTCGAGACCCTGGAAACACGAAACACTGTGTTGACCTTAAACGGCCTGGCTGTGGATCCACGCTATTCATGTGGGGCCGGGACCCTGGTTCCCAGCCCAGCCCTACCCACTCCGGGGCCCACACCGGATGACGAACGTCGAACTGTTAAGTGGTTCGTGCATCAGGTAGACGCCTGTGGCCCTAGAGAATCGGCCGCTTCTCACGCTTCCTCCAAAGGCGGTGCAGCGCCAGTTCCCCGAAGGGAGAAAGTCGCATGCACTCAGGGTTTCTGCCTTGCGATTTTAGCTGCAAGTCAATTTGTCGGCTGCTGCCTGCGGCGCAGTCCGCGAACCCTGTTCATGTGTGATGGTCCAATAGGATTACGTCCTCAGATCGGATTGGCGTATGATTCGACCCTTGCCTGTAGGCTGAGCCATGCGGCCTCTTGTTAAGCCCAGGAATCCAGGAAACGCCCTGCCTGGGACGTCAATCTTCGGCCGTCCTCACTTCCATTGTCTGCAGGATCGGTCCTAATGACTCGATGACTCGTATCTTGAGAGAGCCGCATCCGTAGGGCTTCAGGTAGAACTGCTAATCTATATGGAGGCCATCAGACATATAAAGCTCTCCGACCATCTCGGGTCGGATGTGACTCTGTGGTCCCTAAGTAAAGTTGTCTGTCCTATTCCATATTTGCGGTCCGTCGCCGACGTTCGGTTACCAGTCGGTGAACCTCACCATAATCTGGAAGTCTTTACTGCTCTTGTCCTGATACCATTGATCTTCCAATAGTGCTGGTATAAAGCCGAGTCACAGGCCTTGCCCGGGCTCGCCCAATTTTTTCAAGGCTCACAGCGCCCCCTCCCCAAAAAAAATCGAACATTGACGATTGTCGATATCTACAAGAGACCGACTCAACTTTTCTCGATACTCTCCCTCCACAATGCCGCACGTTTACGTTCCCGTAGACGACCTCTACGGTTTTGTCAATGAGCCAGCCAAGCACTACTGGGTCCCTCGTCCAACCCAAACCTCTCCTCACCTCGTAAATCAGGCCCCAGACTTCCACTTCTTCGTCGAACTCGGTCTTCTCGTCCGTTCTCGCCGGCGCAATCACAACGAAGCAAGTGGCCTCGAAGATGAAATCTCGGCGCGCCTGACCAAGTTTGGCATTCCCAACCACATCGCACGTACGGGAACCGCAAGATCTTCCATTAAGCCTGAAGAATGGACCATTGCCAGCGAGCTATGCATCCCACCAAATCCGCAGGACCACCGCTTTGGTATCAAGCTTGTGTCGCCTGTCATGTGTTTCATGGAACGCCCAGAGTCATGGCAGCGTGCTTTTCGTGTCGTTATGGACCTTCTGGATCGCTATTTCGAGTTGATGAAGTCTCATTCATGCTTCACTCACGTCCACATCGTGCCACACAACGGCGCATGGTCTCTCTACCAGGTCAAGAACTTGGCAAAGACTGCACTTTACTTCGAGCAGTGTCTCGACAGCATCATGCCCCCTTACCGCCGCAAGTCTGTTTGGGCCAAGAGCAACCGTCACAACAGTTACTTCAGGTCACTGAGGTCCTATGAATGCTTCGACGCAATTGATTCGCTGCCGACATTTGAGGACCTTGCTGCAGTCATGAACTGGTGCAGCGGCGATTCTGCTACTGGTCGAGCGCTGTATGGCGAGAATAACACCGACGGCCTTCACGAGGACTTCCCACATGACGCCTACCGCTGGAGTTTTGCCAATCTAAACCACCTTGGGGGAGGACATGGTACCGTTGAGTTCCGGCAGCCCCCTGGCTCCACGACCGCCAAAGAGGTTATCACCTGGGTCATGCTCGTCGGATGCCTTGCGCGGCTGAGCTGCACTCATGGCTCTACGCTCAACCCCAATGAGAAGGGTCAACTTCCTGGCCTCCGCGAGTGGCTGCTCTGGGAAGCGAAGCGGTGTCACCTGCCAAGACGAAACCTGCTGGAAGACTTGCTGCACCAGGAAGTTCAAATGCACGTCCGCCATGGTTGCGTCGGTATGGATGCCGATTTCATCTCGTCCGACGAGGAGAATCGACTGCGGCAGAAGTTAGATGATAGAAACATTGCGGGAGAAAAGTATCGCCATTGGTTTAGCCAGCAATGAAGTGTGATGTTAGAGTTCAGATGCATCTATACTTCACTTGCTTTCATCTGATCAATCTCCGTATCGGGTAGGAGTTGGGGACATCGGAATACTGCCTGGGAATTGGAAAACATCGGCATGACTCTAATACTATTGGGACTGGCGTTCTGGGACTGGGCTCGGGGCTTGGGAAAAGTTACATGTTGTAAATACCACACCACGTAGATAGCATTTTACTGGTTAACACTTGCTCTTTGCTCCCACTACTAGCACTGCTGAACCAGTGACGTGATTACAGGAAAAGCATGATAGCAGAGACGAGGATGTCGAAATCCCCCAGATTTTACAGGCCCAGACTTTCTGCTCCTGCAAGCCCTCCAACAGCCAAGTCGTCGTCATGGTGTCCAAAGCAATATGTGAGTATGTAGATTTTAATTGTCCTCCCAGAAAGGCTGCCTTAGAACATGTGGTTGAGTTATCGAACTCTAAGTTTGTTTCCTGGCAATCATGTTGGAAGTTTGTTGCTGCTAGACACAGTGCCATAGGCAGATGCAGAGTGCAATCTCCCGCAAATGAAACAGTTTGCGCGATCCTCGACATCGACAGGGGAGGACTACAAGCAAACTTAGTCACTAAATGTAGTGGAAAAAACTAGCCATTCTAATTCACAGGCAGTGGGTTGCTCCCATGGATAAATGGCATGGCTTGTATGCAAAAAATGATGTCAATTCGTGCAGTCACATTAGACTCGGTCCAGATAAAATCCCAGGTGAGTCCTCTCAAGCTGCCCTCGGCCAGAAGCGCAATTAGCTCATGGGACTGAGTCGGAGGGCAAGAGGTAACAGAGAAAAGGAAACTGAGAGCAACCATGCGCATATACACATCAAACGGCAAAAAGGCAGCAAAGCCAGTAATCCGTACCTGCCAAACAGTCTTGTCGATGTTATGCTTAACTTTCAAAGTTATGAAATGCCTAGTCATCGATCTTTGCGATCAGAAACTGGCCCACTTTAAGGAATGAGGGTATCTCGTCCGGGCAAACCATACTGCCGAATATGGAGTATATGCATTTTTGAGTGGAAGTTTGTAAAATTGGAAAGAAAAGCCACGGTTCATCATATGCTGGACCGTAATGAGGAACTCGGCAGGCATCTGGCGCTTCAGCGAATAAAAAGAGATGCCGTTTGACCATTGGTAGGGTTGAAACCAAGCAAAGTTTTCCTCAAACAAGCTGTGTAACATAATGTAGACGAATGATGTCAAGCGCGCAAAGCTTGCCAAGCAGACGTAAAAGGCTAAATAGCCCCACGATCACCGGCAGCCAGGTATCGTCATCCATGGGAACTGACCCAACAACCAGCGGGCCGCTCTTGCCGGAAGCTATTTTAAGATGCGGTCCTCTGTTTCTCACCACGCGAGTTATGTTTCTGGCAGACTGGTTGCACGGAAGGGGAGCGGGAAATGGAGAGGTTGTATGGATGCGACACTGGGCGGGCTAGTTCCGAGAACAATCCCGGACTATTGGTCGCCGACAACCAGGTTTTTCACTTGCCTGAACGCATTGACTTGGATTCCTCGCCGTTTTGAAGTGGGCTCTCTCGGAACGCTGAACCATGGGCTTGGGGTTGTAACCGGTGAAGTGTGGAATGTGGCCAGTTTTCCCATCCCCTACTCTCCGACCGCAGCCAGCTTGCGTTGCTCGTTCGTTCTCTGACAATGGATTAAGAAGCTTTGCTGCCTGGGGAAAAGATCGGGGCACAAAGACCACACATGGTGGTTGCTTTGGACTGAACAAAATTTCCATCATTCATCTTTGGTCTCCCCTCTAGTGTTTTGGAGCAGACGAGGATCGAGTGTTCCATACGCCGATCGATGGACAGAATCCAAAATACCAGCCAGGATTCTGCTCCAGCTCGGGAAAACGACTTTTACCTGTTCGAATAGTGTGATTCCGGGGCTTCTTCCCTGGACGAGTACGGCCTCTGGGAAGATATGATCCTACCTTCAGCGAAACCAAGACTCTTATCCCATGAACGGGGACAAGCAAAAAGCCTAGCCATGGAAATCTTGTTCTTCCTCCTTACCACAATACTCCTGGCGTCGTCGACCGTTACTGCTCAGCTGACGTTCACTGCTCGCGTCCAGCAGTTTGGCCAAGATGCTGATGCCTCTGAACTCAACTTTGTGCCGATTCAACCGATGGGTCGCCGCAAGCTCCCACCATCTTATTATCGCCAACGTGGCAGTGTCAACGGCACAATCACTCTGACAAACGCTAGTGATAAGGGCGAACGAGACTTAGTCAGCGAAAGCGCTAACTGGTGTGGAGCATCACAGCACACAGAGGGGGACGATCAAGTCGCCGACATCTTGGGGGTGTTCACGGTGCCGGATTTGACGCTTCGGCAGGGGAAGGCACCGCCGCAGTTCGCATCTGCATGGGTCGGAATTGATGGCGCTGCGTGCTCTTCTGTGCTGTTGCAGGCTGGCGTCACGACTGTGGTGAGTGAGGACCTTTTTACCTTAGAGAAGCCTTTAAGAACATGACACATAGCTGAGACAGGAACACGTTCGTGACGTGGGAGGGAAACAGGTCAATTCCAATGGAGGACAGAGCGCGTCGGCTTGGTGGGAGTGGTACCCCGAGGGGGCGTACACAATCGAGGGTCTGCGTGTGAAACCGGGGGAGTGGATATCAGTCAACATTACCACAACAAGCCCGTCGAGCGCTAGCATGTAAGTGTCCTTGTTGGCATTCTACCACTGTAAAACGGTCAGCAATGGGAAGATACGAAAAGACATGGCTGACACTTGGGGCGTGCGCAGCGTCATCACCAACATCGATCGTGGATACTCCGTCTCCCTCGTTGTGTCTAACGGACCAAAGCTGTGCAGGACAGACGCCGAATGGATTCTAGAAGATTTCGAAGATGCTGGCAAGCAAGTGACGTTGGCCAATTTTGCAGACTTGTGGTTCCTCGACGCGGGCGCCACGACGGTGCGCGGGAAAAAGTTGGGTATTGATGGAGCAACCATGGTCCATATGGTCGACGAGAATGGCACCTTGATGTGCTCGGCTGAGCCCTTCGACAATGCCAGCTTTGTGGTCATGTCGCACGTCAAATAGAAATATTTTCAGAGAAGTCTAGATGTTGAATCTGTGGGCAACGGACAGGAATAAGAGAGCGAGGGCTGTTGCATCACGGATGAAGCAGCTGAGGATTTTGGGTCTGCATTGTGGCGGGGTGCCACCAAGAACGACCGCAAGTTCGCAAGGGACAAAGTAACTTGGATAAATTCGGCAGATTAGATAGCAGAAGATTGTATGTATATTATACCCGAATAATTGGTCCTGCCAGATGAGAACAGCCCAATGCCGAGGCTTTGCGGCAGGGCAATTTATCTCGAGATTGCTTGTCGGGTTGATGCATGAACTGGTTATCGTGTCTCCCAGCCGGCCATTCTGAAGAGGGAAGTCTGCAGCTCTGTCGCTGGCAGCCAGCTGGCAGGTTTTTCCGTTGTGCTTCCCTCTGCATGTGTTTCATATCAGGGAAGCGGGGCATGCCAAGACTAGCCTTCGGCCCCTTGCAGGGCCACGAGTCCCAGTTTTTGTGCCTGGCCATGGCGCGTGCCTGCGAGGTCCACGAGGTCGGCGAGGTTCGTCACCCCTGCCTCTTGACAGCGCCGAATCGCGTGTTGACATCAAGAAACAAGCTCACTAGTTTTTCTCTTGAAAAACCCTTCAGTTGTGAGTTGTGACCACAGCGGGGGGGGCTGGCGTTTTGCAAGGGCGCGCGGATGGCATCCGCTGTCCGTCCTGTTGTATTCCGCCATTCGCTAACAAATTCAGCTTGCCGCCATGGGACGATTGAGTCACCTACACAAATCTTTTTTCATCGTTATCACGAAGGCGGTGGTGCCGCCGCCGCCGATAGCTATGCCCGCCAGTCCGATCTGCCCCGCCGGGATCTGGCAGTCTTGCCGTTGTCGACATGGAATAGGTAACAAGACGCGAAACTGATACCGGGCCGGGGATACTTAGATCAGTGCGGTATCGCAATCGGAGCTCATCCAGATCCACGGATGACGTTGTTGACCATTGATGCTGCAGCTTCACAAGAAAATTTCTCGAAACAGACGGTCCACCAGTGTGGCGGAAAGTACGAATCTGTATGCGCACTGCTCATGATACGAACCGTCCACGTTCCAGCTTTCTGAATTCTCAGTGGCAGGATCAGCTAGACCAACAACCAGCCGCATCAACAACAGGTCTGGACCAGTGACTAACAGTCCCTAAAGTGAATGACTGGGCTGGAGATCTCCGGACACATCTCATCCCGGACATCATGGAACAGCCAGTTCCCACCGGGCCATCCGACTGCTCCTGGTTCTTTTCTATTACGGCTGCTCCTCCATCCCATTTCGCTGTTCCCGTACGCTAGAGTGTGCGTCTTAAGCCACTTCTCCTTGACCCGTCCTATGCGGTGACCGCTGTTACTCTTGTTCCTTGCCCCGTTTTCATTCGGTTTCTGTCTTCGGTTTCACGAAGACGTCATCTTAGCCTTCTCGTGCTGAACCCAGCGTCCGTTGACTGTTGAATATATATCTGCGGCGACTGTTGCCTGCCAGCCCACCCCAAGTGAAATTCCCGACGTCGTCATCTGTGAGAGGTTTATCTCATTATGGCCTCACCGCCTGAGAGGTCGGAGGAGCCCAGCGTCCCTCCCTCACCTGGTCAGGGGACAGAGCCAACTTCTCCATCAAGCTCAACAGATACTCCCCAACTGTCCCAGACAAGGGAAAAGAAGCGAGTTGGCTTTGCGAGCGATCTTCAACCACACGGTGCAATCCCGGCCAGCTCACCAGCACACTCTCCGGAAGGATCTCGGAACATTGTTCAAGACTATTTTGCCTATTCACGTTTGCCTTACACGGCCGACTCTACCCCAGCCGATAGAGCAACGCAACCGTCTTCCTCATTCGACAGCGAAGAGCTTGTCGCAGCTCTTTCAAAGATATTGGATCCTGAAGATCCAACCACCGGCTCCGGGCCCAGCAAACCTCGTCCTGTGCTTCGGAAATCAGCGCCTCTCAAAAACCCAGTTGAACCTGCAACTACCCCTCTTCGTTCGGAGTTGGAGGCTAAAAACCGGGCAGACCGACTCGCCTACTCTATTGGGGCAGCCTCAGTTCCTGTGTCAGCGAGAACGTCTCTTGACTCTATGAATGAAGTTGCCGTTGATGGCGGAGTTCTCTCCCAGCAATCCACAGCCACACCCACTCATCCGAGACTCGCAGAGTCTGGGGATATCAATGATCTCAGGTCACAAAAACGTACGCGGCTGGAGGCCGACCAATTTGTCAAAAGTCATCTCCGGCGAAAAAGCCCCTTATCTCGATCCATCGTCCCTTCACTCCCAGAAACGGCTACCCCATTGGAAGATGACATGGACTATGTCCCTCCGCCGGAGAAATACAGAGGCGGGATCCTCGGCACACTCTTGAAACTCTACACTTCCGATACGGACAAGTTTGGGTCAACTTATACCGATACCAGTGCATCAAGCACACCTGCAAGTACTCCTCCACATTCAAGATCGGGCACGCCGCGGCCAGAGTTTCGCCGCCCTCGGCCATGGAGAAACCAATCTTCCAGTAGCACTCTTGCTGGGTTGGTGGAGTCCTCTTTCATGTTTGCTGCTCCTGGCTCGGGCAAGGACATGTCAGAGAAAGTGAAAAAGGTCAAGAAGTCTGTCAAGTCAAAAAAGAAAGACGAAGAGTACCGGGTCAAAATACATATCGCCGAAATCATCAAACGTCATACGTATCTGATCACTCTCTGCAAGGCTCTTATGAGTTACGGTGCCCCGACTCATCGACTGGAAGCCTACATGCGCATGTCGGCTCGAGTGCTGGAAATTGAGGGCCAATTCTTGTACCTGCCGGACACGATGATCATCTCCTTTGATGATAGCAACACTCATACCACAGAAGTCAAGATCGTTCGTGCACCTCAGGGGCTAGATTTCGGTCGCCTGCGCGACGTTCATGAGATCTACAAGGATGTAGTGCATGACCGGATTGGGGTTGAAGAAGCTACCGTCCGTTTGCAAGAGGTGATCGATCGAAAACCTGAGTTTTCTGTCTGGCTACGCATTCTACTCTACGGAGTTGCATCTGCCCTCGTCGCTCCATTTGGTTTTGAGGGTCGTCCTATCGATATGCCCATCTGCTTCATTCTTGGCTGTCTGGTTGGATTTTTGCAGCTTTACCTGGCACCTGCGAACGAACTCTACGCCAATGTCTTCGAGATTACTGCAGCGGTAGCGACCTCATTCTTGGCGCGCGTGTTCGGCTCAATCCGTAACGGGAGGCTCTTCTGCTTTTCATCGTTGGCCCAGGCATCAATTGCGCTTATTTTACCTGGTTGGCTTGTTTTATGCGCCAGCCTGGAGCTGCAAAACCGTCAGATCATTTCTGGGGCTGTTCGCATGGTCTACTCCCTCATCTATACACTCTTCCTTGGTTATGGTTTCACCATCGGGTCCATTCTCTATGGATACATGGACAAGCATGCGGTCAGCGATATTCACTGCTCTTCTGGAGATACCTGGTACACCAAAAGACCTCCAGAGAACTTTTACCTTCTCTTCGTTTTCCCTTTCACAATTTGCCTTTGTGCCATCAACCAGGCCAAGTGGAAGCAAATTCCAGGTGAGCCATTTCCCTAGTTTTTTTTTTTTTCACTACTGTGATACTGACTTTCATCCAGTGCAAGTTTTAATCGCCTTAGCCGGGTTCTCCGTCAATCACTTTTCTGGCCGCTTTTTCAAAGGCAATGGCATCATTTCTTCCTCGCTTGGCACCTTGACCGTTGGTCTTCTCGCGAATTTGTATTCCCGGCTAGGCCGCTACTGCGAAAATTTCTTCCTTGACCTTTGGGAATTCCACATTGAGCCACGGCTGAGTCGTCTGTTCCTTCGTCACCGTTGTTCTTCGGCTGCCCCATACTACACCGCTGCGGCCACCTCATCCGAGCATACCCTCCATACAGGCAAGGAGCGTGTCCCCGATCCAGAATTGGGCGCCGCCATCCCAACATCTACGGCACCAAACACTCGCCCTAGCAGCGCAACCGGGAGTAATCGCAAACGCAAAATTGGATACGGCCTTGCCGCTACGGCGATGCTTCCAGGCATCTTCGTGCAAGTCCCTTCAGGCCTGGCTTCCACCGGCTCTCTCCTCAGCGGTGTGACCAGCGCGGATCAGATTGTGCGCAACGAGACAATCCTGGGGAACGGGACAATCGTCAATGGAACGGTTGGTCCGGTTCCTGTGGCGGTACCCAGTTCTTCGAGCACGGGCTCCATGACGGGGATGGGCAGCTCTATGGCAGGAGACCCGACCGCTTCACTAGCTGCAACGATATCTCAGTCGGGCCAGCTGAATAATTCTGCATTTAATGTCTTGTTTAGTGTTATCCAAGTGGCGATCAACCTCTCTGTTGGGTTGTCGTTGAGTGCATTGTTGGTGTATCCTTTCGGGAAGAGGAGGAGTGGGTTATTCAGCTTTTAAGCAGAGGGAGCAGGTATCCCTCAACTATCATACATTTCCGTTTTATACATAACATCATCCGGGTTTTGAGGGTACAATTGGATTGGTAATTGGATGATGGGCAATGTACTGCTCCACAGGATCGAGTAGCCCGGTGGCCTGGGATTGTGGAATGATTTTAGGATTGCATTTTAAATTTTCATGATGCCAAGATACCTTAGAATGATGTTCAGGTCGAAATGTCACGTCTCATCTGAAATCGTACCACTACTTCATAGTTGGTAATGGAAATAGATCTTCTATAGTAAATAGCTTTGAAGAACTCTGAGGTCATCAAGCACACCTCCATCACCAAGTTGGAGCTAAAAGATTTCTTCTAGACCTCCTTCATCGTTTCGTTGTCGGTGAAGGTTTGGCGTTTGGTAGCCACAAGTCTTAAAGGTGGAAACACGAAGTCTAGTGCACTTGAGGAGACCATGGTCTCTGGCGTATCCAAGGGCAGTCACATGTTGAATTAACCACCGTACCATCCTTCGTCTGCTCCCAAAGATTCAAGTCGAGCAAAAGCCTTTTATGCTGGACCACTTCACTGTTGGTATCAGTTATGATATAAACCAATATTGTGCGCTATCGCTGTTTTTGCCAACCCACAAAATCAATCCCATCCTAGACATTGCTGAACCACAATCGAGGATGGATTGTCAGGCTGTCCAAGGACTGGCATCCATCCCATCTTCACATCACTGGCCACAATTTTGTCAGTTAACAAAACACACCGTTCGCCGCCAGTGAGAAGAGTGTGTGAAGACAAGACAAAAATGGCTAGGCAAAATTGAAATCAAAATTGATGGGTACATTGTCAGCTTGTCTCAAAAGAACCGGTTCCCAAATGCTAGGGTTGATGAATGCTAGTCTCAACAGAGCACCTGAGCACCCTTCGTTTACATGGTTACTTTTAGCTTTTCTCAAGTCTGTAAATCTCTTTGACGTCACTACACCCATGCATCCAAAGCAGCTAAGGAAATGGTGTGCTCTTCCAAGAGCCCTGGCATCATTCATCTAACCACACAACATGACCATGCGGCCAGCAAACAAGAAACGGGCCGACCACAATTAAAGCAAGCCCAAACCCCAAAAGCCCTATAAGGAGTTCAATAGGACTAGGCTGTCTAAGGCTCAGGATAACAGGCAATTGTGCTGTTGAGACGTGCTCAAGAATCCTACGAAAAGCCTAAAACCCCAAAGCATTGGTACTGCAATCCTACTCCAGGATTAAACCTGCAGTGAAACACGGAAAAGAGGTTCTCTCTGAGGTGGGAGCTGCACAATGGATGGAAGCAATGAGTGGAAATAGGGAGCATTACGTTTGCTGTGGCTTAAAAGTTATATGCATAATCCGGATCAGGAGACTGCCATGAGTAGGGAACAAAAAGCGCACCACTAGGTCATTGAATGTAGACACACCAAGTCTACCTAGCGCAGATGCAGTTATAAACCACGGGAAAGCATACAACAACATCAGAGAGCTCTTAACAGCCAATCTAAACGACTTAAGCACCGCATTCCCTACCGAATTCCGTGCTTATCCCACCGCGCCGCCCCGAAACGCCGCCGAAACAGAATTCAACCTAACCCATCCCATCCAGTCGAGACTAGAAAGCAAGCATAATTCTTTTGCTATTACACATATTGTGGTCATAGATCGTGACCAAAGTAGCCAGAATATTGACAGGAAAGCAAAAATTAAGCCTTCTCGGAGGGCGGGTTAGCGGGAGCCTGGCCCGGCTTAACGTCCTCATCGACGTCAGCAGGGCCAGGAGCACCCGCGGGCGCGGTGGCGGCATCCTGTTCGGATGCCTCGGAAGTCGCAGCAGCAGCCGGAGCTGCCGCAGGAAGGGGGGACTTTGCCTTGGCTTCAGCCTCGGGGGTGGAACTAGAGATGGCAGCCTCGGGCTCGGCAGAGGCACGCTGCTTGCACGCAGCAAGCTCGGCAGTGGCGACCTTGTCAGCATCCGCCGCGACCGCGGGAACCGGGCTCTTCTTTGCTAGTTCGGACTCAGGGGCCTCGGCCTCCTCCTTTTTGATGGGGGCTTCCGTGGGCCTCTCCTCGGAGGTGGCTGGGGCGTCGTCGTCCATATTGACATCGCCATCGTCGTCAACCTTGGACTTTTCAACCTCGGGATGTTCGTCCTTGGAGGTCTGAGCAGCTGGCTGCTCTACCAGCGGCTCAGTTTGCTCAGCCACTTCTGTCGTGTCGGCCTGAGCCTCGTCGATCATGGTATCGTCGTTATCGGCAGGAGCTGCCACAGCAGCAGGCTCTGCGGGAGTAGCAACACCGCTGTCGACGTCCATAGTATCGTCTTCCTTCGACGCAACACCGTAGTTAGTTTCCAGTCGCATGCGGCCATTGGTCTTGTAAACACCATTGGCGCGGGCGATATCCTCGTCGTCGCTCTCTTCGAATTCGTCTTGACGCTCGACACGCTTTTCCCACTGGCGCTGGGAGACGCGAACATCCTTATTCTCATCCTCGTCCAGGTCATCAAGCTCGTCTTCCTGCTCGTCAGACATGCCAAGACCTTGGCGGGGAACATCTTGCATCTGCACAGATGGCACTGGAGCCGTCTTCTTCAGATTCTCAATGACAGCCATCTTTATCTTCTCAAGGTACTCTGGACTATTGGCATTCTCCATATTGGAGGAACGGACATCAAGCTCGTAATCCGGACCATAGTACTAGATAGGTTGTCAGCCCCAAATCAAAAGAAAGAAAGGGAGTTAAGGAAAAGGCTAGGACTCACATCATAATATTCGTTGTAGGGAAGGACAGGGTCCATCTCAACACCAACAAGGCGGCCAGTTTCATATGCCCACGTACGGGCAACATTGCGCATTGTATAGCCGCCACCACCAAGGACGAGAGTCGGAAGACCAAAGCTCCGCACGTAGTTAACGCAGTTAGCATGGCCACGCATGCTCAGGTTGAAGCAACCAAGACGGTCGCCAGAAAGGCTGTCACCACCACACTGCAGAACGACGGCTTCGGGTTGGTAGTACTGCATAACTGCAGAAATAACAGGTTCGAAGATGGTCTTGTAGGAGACATCATCAATGCCGTCGCGCAGCGGGAAGTTGACAGCGTAGTACTTGCCGGCACCGATACCAATGTCACGCAGTTCGCCAGTGCCAGGGAAGTATTCTCCATACTTGTGGAAAGAAACCGTCATGACGCGATCAGTGGTGTAGAAAGCCTCCTCAACACCATCGCCATGGTGCACGTCGATGTCGACATAGAGAACACGCTTCTTGAAGCGGAGGAGCTCAAGGATGGCGAGCACGATGTCTGTACACGCCCAAAACATAGGTTAGTGGGGAATCAAGCAAAACACAATAAAGTTGGATGAAGACGTGCGACGTACCATTGACATAGCAGAAGCCACTGGCTTCACTCTTCTTGGCATGATGCAGACCACCTGCCCAGTTGATTGCAATGTCGCACTTGTTGCGGTTCAGACGAGCGGCACCCTCCATGCTACCACCAGCGCTGATGCCGCAGAACTCAAAAAGCCCGTCGAAGACAGGGCAGTCATCACCGACGTTGTATTTTGCCTGCTCACGGACAAAGCTGTCCATGTTGTCGGGAGTAACCTTCTGCAAGAACTCGATGTATTCGTCGGTATGGAACTGAGTCATTTCCGAAGTAACCGCAGGCTTCGCGCGCTATTCCAGAGATCTCGAGTCAGCGCTGCGCCGAGACACCGGGGTGGCGGAGGCTACCAAAACTGTGATTAGCGTCACTTACATAAATTTCCATAAACTTATAAACATTGTAGTTCATGACGAGACTGTGAGCGAGGCGAATGCGGTGAGGCTTCATAGGGTGACCAGTGACATAGGCATAATTGCCGATATCCGAATCGTAGAAGTAGGCGACGCGCTTTTTGGGCGTGTCTAAGAGAGTGTAAAGAGGGCGCGTGCGATCAACGCCCGCGGGATCAGTGGGTCTCGGCATGATTTCGTCCAAGTCAAACCCTAGATCCTTAAAGTTCTCAAGGATGGCAGGGCAATTCGTGAAACGATCGAGCTGGGCGTTCGACGGGTTCGCGTGCGGGTTGCCAGGGTCCAAATAAGGAGGGGACCGTCAGAAGTCGCGTTCGTCGAAGTCGTCGCCTTCCGAAGGGTTTGAGTGATTGACGCAAGTGCTGTTATCGCCAAGTTCCCTGGTGTTGCCCTGTCGTCTCCAGAGACGCCGCCGAGAGGCCGCAAGGGTATCGCGCTATGGTGGAAAGAAGAGAAAGACGAAAGTTCGGGAGAATGAGGATCGTCCCAGGAATTGAAAAGGCTCGTGAAAGTAGAAAGGAAACTCTGATATTTGCCGTCGTTGCTATCCGAAAAATCGGAAACCTGGACCTCGACGGAAGTTGAATCGCCGCAATCACTGTGGTCAGCGTGGTAGGACTCCAAGTCGGGGTGGGAGTTGGAAAAGTCGCTGAACTCTCTCTCTCGTTCTGTTCAGCCTGCCCTTGCTGCGGCCAAGCAGAAGAAGAGGTGTGATCGGTTCGCCATGCCTGTAAATGGGTCAAATGCAGATTGGCCAGGGTCTCGATAAGACCACGTGATTACGATAACAACATCCACAGTAATTGGCTCAGGCAAACGTCGGAGCAGTCTCACTGCGAGGCTGTGATTTTTCGGACAGCACGCCTGAGGGCCAAAGTGGGGCTAAATGTGGGACACAGCCCAATTTTGTCCGCCCCATCACGATGCAAACTTATGTAATCACAGAGTAGGCTGCCGAGCTTTCGTCAACTGCGGCTGGGCCCAGGCGAGCTCCAGCCTGACAAGCGGCTGCGGGTAGTAGCTCTCAACCTAACGCCAACGCCAGCACCTGCAATCAACATTCCCCCATCACCTCCAAAAAGGCCAACAAAAGTCGCTGGCTGCAACCAACCCGCCATCACCACCCATTTTTTCCACCCACGTCCGAGAAAGACCAGTTTATCTTCTTGGACGTAGGATACGTCGCCAGCTCCGATTCAAGTTCACTTCGCGGGCAACGACATAAGCCAACATGGAACGCTTCAGGAGCCTGCTCAGTGGCGGCAACCTGGGCTTGGGCGGCGCCGCCCCAGGAACTGTATGCGCATCTCTGTCGCACGTCATTCGGAGTGCATTTATATTTACCAAAGTTAGGCTTACTGACATGTGCGATTTCTAGGACAACACAAATCTTATCGACAACTCAGAGACTGTCCACATCTCGTCTTTGGCACTGCTGAAGATGCTCCGGCATGGTCGCGCTGGCGTGCCAATGGAAGTTATGGGTCTTATGCTGGGGGAATTTGTCGATGACTTTACAGTCAAGGTTGTGGATGTGTTTGCCATGCCCCAGAGTGGTACTGGTGTCAGTGTAGAGGCCGTTGACCCAGTCTTTCAGATGAAGATGATGGACATGCTGCGGCAAACCGGCAGGTGGGCATGAACCCGTTTGATACTTGCATTCACGACCTTTCTTCGACTTTGTACTCACCAAAGCGCAATACAGGCCTGAGTCCGTCGTGGGTTGGTATCACTCACATCCTGGCTTCGGCTGCTGGCTGTCGTCCGTTGATATCAATACCCAACAGAGCTTTGAGCAGCTTACCCCCCGCGCCGTTGCCGTCGTTATTGATCCAATCCAATCAGTCAAGGGCAAGGTCGTCATTGACGCCTTCCGTCTCATCAATCCACAGTCTCTGATGATGGGTCAGGAACCCCGTCAGAGCACGTCCAACCTCGGCCACCTCAACAAGCCGTCCATCCAGGCCCTTATTCACGGCCTCAACCGGCACTACTACTCGATTGCCATTAACTACCGGAAAACGGCACTAGAGGAGAACATGCTCATGAATCTGCACAAGCATGAGTGGACTGAAGCTTTGCAGATGGAGGACTTCCGGGCTGAGGCGCAGCGGACGAAGGAGCGTTTGCAGCGTCTTGTCAGTCTAGCAGAGGGCTACGAGAAGAGAGTCAAGGAGGAGACAGAGCTTACCAAGGAGCAATTAAAGACACGCTACGTTGGCAAACTGGATCCCAAGAAGCACCTCCAAGACGTTGGCCAACAGCTTATCGAAGACAATATCGTTGCTGTGTCAAGGCAGATGATTGATAAAGAAGCTACAATGGCCAAAAAGGAGGTACCTGCGGGTGCCAATGGCCAATTCGCAGAGGATGAGATGGAGGTTGATGAAGAACTCTAAATACTAACGACTAATTCGACATTCATACCCCCCTTTGGGCGGACGGCCTTCGAATTGTGCCGTTGTATGACTACACGTTGGGCAAGGCGCGGGAACTAAAGCGGCAACCATGTAACGATGCATATTTGGGTCCCAATACATCACTGGCTTGACAATACCTTATGCAAACTACTTGCTTTGGTAAGTCTTTGTCTCGAGGCCCTCTACTTCGCCGTCAAAGTTCCTGCAAGCCACTGGGCATGACAAAGGGCATTGTTGTCGACAACCTTTGTTTCTGCTCTCTACCAGATCCCCTAGCGCTGGATTTACATGGTGTACAATTGGACCCAGCTTCGTGAGATGTCTTCATTGGACTCCATGGCCTGAATCCTTTGTTAAATGCTTTTTTACTTGCCTTGTGTAGATCTTCGCGCATCTATATTCTTCAACAGATGCTCTTATAAATACTCTGCCTGTCTTCAGATTCTTACCCATCTGGGGGAAAAGGTCGAATCGTGGTCTTCCCGACACGATTGTCGTACTTCAACTCAATGATTTACAAGGCATATTTGCTGGGGAAAAGCTGGTGTTTTTTCAATTCTTCTGCAACTTTTCTGGACAGCGCTTCCAGATTTTGTGGGAAAAAACAGTTCTTCCGACTTTGCAGCAAGGAGAAGTCATATTCAAATCCTACTCAACATCCTCCTGGTTCTGCCATTTGTCGACGAAATCCAAGCGGTGTGAACGTCGGCATTACGGCAGCATAATCACGGGAACCGATCTGTCAAAAGCTTAGTTGATCTCCCTGTCCTCATCACAATTACTCAGTTTCTCGAACAGCGTGTGGTTTAGCCCGTCATTACCTTCCTCAAAGGTCACACATATCAGACTGACAAAGCTGCTACAAGTGCCATCATCATGCTCAAAGAAACTTCTGGCAGGTCAAATTCAGTTCCCATCTTGCCTTATCCTCATCCACTGGCAAGCAACCCTCCCAATCTCCCTATTTCCGCTTTCGTCCACATCCCTCGGCCCTCCATACCGTCTTTTACTCAACCGATTCGCCCTGACAAATTATCTTCAATCACCTCCCCCATTCTCCCACCTCGCCTTTCGACAACGCCGTTAACTTCCGAAACTCTCAAACCCCTCCTTGACACAATAGACCATGTCTTTGCCCACACAACCCGCTATGCGGTAGTCGGCCGGGCTGCTCTCGCAGTCTGGGGCTACCGCGGGCCACTGCCCCCTCACATCTCGATTGCCTGTCCAACTGTCGATTCCCTTGTGCTAGTTGGATGGGCCAAGACAGCCGGCTGGTGCGTTTTTCACGACGCGAATGGCAATGAAGAAGGGGACATGGTGTTGGGAATGCCAGCTTTGGGGTCAGAACTTGTAGATCGAGATCGTAGTATGAGAAAGGGCAAAGCCAGATATGAGGAGGTTGTTGTTGGGGTGAAGTTACGGCTGGTTGAGCCGGCGACGTGGGATCGGTTGGAAAGGATTAGTCCCCTGGGGATGAGGACGCCCTACCATGGGTGGGTAGGGCAGATGATGAGGACAGGGGCGCAGGTTCTGACGGTGCCAAGCTTGGTTGATCAGTTTTGTTTGGCTTGGTCAGATGCGAAGATCCAGAGCAAGGGGCGAGAGGTCGCTGCTGAGATCGTTCAGTGGTTGTTAAAAAAGTTAGTGGAAGATTGGGATAGCTGTGGTCATAAGGCCAGATGGAATTTACCGCTCAACGAGGGGGTTGTAAAGTGGGCACGCAACGAGAGATTCTGGCGCCCGTTTAGGGACAGACACCCTGAGAGCAAAGAATTACTGAAGAAGTGTGGTTTGGATGGGCACAAAGGAAGTGAAAAATCACTGGACAGGATGATTGGAGATATAGAGAATGGCGCTCCTAATTCTTTTTTCCAGAGCGAGTCGAAAGAGATGAAATACAGTGTTGAAGAATAGCATCATAACCGCTCTTCATAGGCACTTGCTATGAGCCCAAGACACACTGGAGCTTGCTCAACAGATGAACTTCGAATACAAGACTAGTTCACTCCATAAAGATGACTGCAACATTTATTTCTTCTCCCTAGTTCTCATTGACATTGCTAGCCATCTCCCAGATCTAGCATAATGGCCGTCCTACGATATACTTTCCTGACACCTAGTTGTTTTTGTCAATTCCGAACCCCTCCTCTCAATCTCAATCTTTGGGTAGGAATCTCCCATGAGTCATTCTCTCAAAGCTGGTAATGCCGTAGCTCCCGACTCGAGAGATATCCTTTCCTATCACATTGCCCTTAGTTACTTCCCACTGGCAAGATCCTTCCATCTTCGTACCAAGTTCCCGGAGCCAACTTCTGCGAACAACCCAGCACCAGTTGCACAAACCACATATCGTCTCTGTGTTTCTTGTCACGACTCTGTTATCAACACATACTAATTCACCATGCTGGGTACAGGGGACAACATTAGGATGAGGCTTGCCACGTCGAGGCTACTCTCAGGAATATGAGTCGGAACTCAAGCTTGGCCTGCCATAGATCGAGTAGAGAGAGTGTACCGACCACAATTGTGATCGAAGAAGACACAGATTGTGCCGACAGAGTCGATTGGAGAAGCGAAATAGTTGGGTCGTCCTCGAGTGGGATTACCGATAATCTTGCAATGGGCGCGTTAGAAGACGTGGCCGGATTCGTCAAAAATTGTCTAGTCAACAAAGTTGTAGACGTTATTCCGAGCTGGTTGGTTAAAGTAGTGGAGGATACACTGCTCGAAGCATTGAAGGGTGAGCCGGTGACTCTGGGAGTTAGGTGCCACTGGTGGGAGGGTCAATGCTAGCCACGGGTCAGGAAGGAATGTCGGAACTAAGGAGGCTGAAGGGACTCAGTTGCAGTAGTTTGGAAGCTTGTTGACCGGTTCCATCGGCGCCTCCGAGACGCGTCCGTTTTTCCCAGAACTAGCAATGTTGAGGACAACTTTGTCGGCGCAAATCCCGGTGGCACAGTTGGGCATCTCTGTATCATCCGGGTAGTTGGCGATGAAGAACTCACCGAAGGGCATTATAATCGGTACACTTGTCCCTTTTAATGTTGATTGGGGCACAAATCCTGTAAGGCGTTGATGTCAATTTGAAGTATAACCGATTCTTGTTGGTGTATAAACTTACAAGCACATTTTTTTGTTGCCCAGCTTGTTGAACCATGTCAAGAAAAGGTTTCTGGACCATTTAGCAAGCCGCAAAGAGCAGCAAAATGAGTTACTTAGTCGAATAGCTTTAGTCCACCTACAACTTCGGAATAAGGATCATGAATTTGCTGGATGCAGTTGAGACTCTTATCGTTATCACAGTGGTTTGCATCTTGTCTCATGTTGACGTCGGCCTGAGCAGGAAGCAGGTTGTAAAACTCATCTGTAAAGACAGCAGGGCAGCCTCCAATTATTGTGTCGATGGTCTTGATCTTGGCAGACTTGTTCCAGTTCTCCGCTGACAGGCTCTTCATAGGTAATGCTGAACTGGCACGATCCTCTTCCATTCTGGGCGCCACCTATGTAAATTGACCTGAAGTAGACGTGTGGTAAGGCAAGGAAAAGCGATCGCCACTGATGGGATCAACCTGAAGAAGGGGTGGGATGTTCAAGTTGTAGGAAGTCGGTCGGTTCATGACCATATGGCTATGGGCTCCCGAGGAAAGCTGAGAGGTTGTCCCTATGTCTACAGCTATTGGTAGCAGCACGGCAGGCAATGGTATGTATGGAAGTGGTATAAAGGGTTGACTGTTGTTGTCGCCATTGTAGTTGCAGAGTTGATCTCGAAATCATCCTGGAAAGCAGTTCCTGGTGCCAAATAATCGAATGCGGTTTCGTTGCTCAAAAGTTCTACAAAGATGTTTTTCACAGATCTGGCCGATGAATATATCATGCATGGTATTTATAATCCCAGCATTGCGACTATATAGAAATACATTCCTTGAAAGTTATGCAGGCCCGTGACGGCTTTTATTTTCTTTTCTTTGCTCTCTGAAACATGAGCTTGCGGACTCGTTCTTACGAGTATTTCAAGATGCATTGAAACGTGTTATACGGCAATTACGCATCTTAACCATGATCACCATCGTAACAGAAAGGACAGTTAACGCCCCTGAGAACTGTTAATTGTTTTGGACCTGGTAATATAACAGCTACAACACGCAAAAAACAGTTGCATTAGAGAAGACAGTCAGGAGAAACAATATATTGTTCAAACCTCTCCACGTTAGTTAGCACAAAAGTTTTCAAAAAAAAAAACATAAAACAACTTTTTTGCAACCGTTACCGTCCCTTGGACCATTTCTTTTTGTTTCCTCCACCCTAGAGATCGTTCACATGGTGAAAAGGCATACATGACTCTCGCATATGACTATTACCGTTTATCCCGACAACTTTCCCGCCCCTTGCGGTTCGTTAAACTTCCGTTTTCTGTCCCCATGGTGGGTGGTGGTAGTGGTGTGTACTTCCGTGTCCGCCAGTCAGTTGATGTAGCGGTATTGCTAGATGACTTAGATGACGAATTGTTCCATGAATAGCTACCCTCATCGTTGTCCATGATGAAGTTGAGATGTTCGACAATGAAGCAAAGCAAAAGCGAATCTGAGATTCGTATCAAGAAATATGAAGCATGGAATATGTAACTGGAGGTCGTCAGTGATGTCCATGTCCTGTACCGTTTCAGTGTTTACACAGCAATAAGGGGTGTCTCACCTGCCAAGTCTCAGCTGAGCATTTCTGACTTGCTTGGCAACGCGAGTTGAAAGAAGGTTGCTGTGTGTGAGTGACACGGCGCAGGATGGTAATTGAACACAGCATGAACTACAATATATGGGCCAGTTCACGGCAGGAAACACTCTCATATATACCAAGCCGAACCTCGTGGCAGTGAAACTCCGGCCCGAGCCCTCTACTCCGTGCCGCGCACCGGAATCGAACCGATCCTTCGGAATGTCGTAGGGCATGTCTCTCGTATGATCAGTTCAATCTGCAGCAGACGGACAGCTACGCCAAATGGGTCTGAATCCGACACAATCCGGGTTGAATTCCGAGCTCCCTGCGCACAAGCTCCGGCACGGCTTGCAGGCCACATCAGCAGCCAACGAGAGCCACAGGTCAGCGGACAGCTCGCTGATTCGGTCGTTTATTCATAACACAACATCCAGAGGAGCAATGATCCGACCACATTCGGACCGAGCATTATTTGGTCGTCAGGGATTGAGCTGTCATTTATTGACGGAAAAGCAGAAATGCAGCAGAGGAGAGGCTCATGAATTTTATTGACCGCGCCCCTTGGCTACGAGGACAAGGAAACGTGATGGGCATATCAGGTCGAGTTACCCAGTTGTAGACGGAAAGTGACAGATGCTTCCGCCGTGCCACAGGCTAGCCAAGTCCGAGGTCAAAATGATGTCGCTGCGCTCAGAGTGCGGGGTGGTTGCTGCTTTCGGGTATGTGCAACAAAACTGACGGAACAAAGACTTACGACAGCTTTCACGAGGATCATCGGATTCAGGCCAGCCTGACTGAATGGTGTCCGAGCTCGCAAGCTCTTTTGAGAGACGGTCTTATCTTCATTCTCGTCACCTTCATTCTCGCATTACGTATCATGTACAACCGTATCTCACTTCCCCCACGACCTTATCCCAAGGCTCAGTTCCCTCTTTTGAGACGTGTTCCTTGCGGCGCGGATGACAAATTTAGCGAGCACCAAGTAACTCCAGAGCCCTGCGTAGCTCCTTAATTGCTGTGGGTACATCATCAAAATTGAGAGCCGATATGGCATACTTGGCGTGTTTTTGAGCCTCAACCATTGCTGCTTCGTCGACTACAGCTCCTGTCTGAGTGGGAGGGACATAGTTTGTCGAAGGGGGCGATGATATGTACCCGAATGTTGGCGGAGGGATACTGCTGGGATGAGGAGCTGTTGGCAGTGGCGGCACGACTGGGAGAGTAGAGGGGAAATTCGAGGATTCTCGGGGCATGTTGGGGAAGTTGCCCACAGCAAGAGGTGATGGGCTCGAAGGCTGTGGTTGTGGCCAGCTGGGCGGCGAAGGAAAATCATCTGTGGACTGGAAACTGCCCTTATGATGTGATGGCGGAAAGACCGTGGGTTCCTGCGTAATGTTCCCTGGCTGCTCTGGTGGCCCGAGGTCACTTGGAACTTGAGGTAACCTGAGCTCTCCATCCGATACGGAGGGAGCACTGGGCGCAACTGAAGCGGCTGTGGCCGAAACTGGGCTCTGCGGAAGTGATACGCCAGCAGCATCCCTCTGAAGATCGATATCAGGAACCTCCTCCACGGTTACTGGCCTCGGCCTTGTTGGAGCTTGAAAGGCGGCCTCTGTCGGCTCAGTCTCCGTTTGTGTCGGGCGTGTCGGCGCTTCGTGTTTAGGATTTGACTCGTTGGGGTCTTTGCCTTCCTTGATGGCTTTCATAATCCGCGCCGCATTCCATTTCGCGTACTTGATCTTCTGTTGTGTCTCCTGATCGGCAGGCCCCCAAATGTTTACCACGTGGAAGAAAGTTGCGGCAGCGTCAAATGTCGTTGCTGTTTGTCTGCCAACTATGTCAGAGCGCGTCTATGTTGGTTGATCGAGCAGAGCGTACTGAGTGACCTTGTTCGCCCTCACTACCCGCTCGGCGCGGTCCAAAATCTCCTGGGCGAACTGCTCGACGTATGCTTGTCCGGCGGCGTCGTCTGTGATGGCGGGTTCATTGGCATACTCAGCCTTCGTCTACACGTTGCGGACCTCGGTGAGACTGGAGTTCCTTGCAGCTGAAATGGTGTCGGACCACCTACCTTCTCAAGTTTCGACACCAGGGCCTCGGTGTAGCGTAGGATGTCGTCGTCGGTGGTATGCAGCCCCTTGGCCAGAATTTGGTTGACGGTCCAGTACTCGCCTGCGATGGTCAGAAGCCGGCGCTAATCACGCGAGGTCCGGGTCAAGTGGCAGGCTGCGGCATACACCAGTAAGCCATAATCGGCTTCACCGTCTGCAGCTGCGCAGCTTTGTTTGCGCATTTCCAGATGTTGATGTCGGCCTGTCGCAGAGCCGCAGGGATAGTGAGGTCTGCCATGGTGACAGACCGAGATGATAAGTTTGGAGAGTGCTGGGTCCTATGTCACGCCTTCAACTGCTGGTAAGGTAAGTATATTTGTATACTAAAACGCTTTAATCGAGATCAAGGTTATGAACTGCTTGAACCGCCTTGGATGCCTGTGGATGAGTCGTAGCTGCATGCACGACACCTTCGCGGCTCCTCTGCTCCTCTTTCCCCGCAATTCGCGTTGTCAAAGAGACCCCTGCTGCAAGCCCACATCAGGCTGATTGTGAATCGAGGGTGGGAAGCTTTGACCACTAAGCGGCCAAGGCTCTCTTCTGGTGGGTTCCAAAGCAAGGTCAGCGTTTTGATGCATCGATGGATCGCGTCGCAGGTGGCACTACCGCCGGTGGGCAGTCTTGCACAAGCATTGGAAATGTGTTCTTTTTCCGAGTTTGGAAACATGACAACTTGGAATTGTTTTCTCCCCAGAACCTGCCGTTTAACAAAAGGATGGTATAGCTTTTTGAATCCGCAGTAGGCATCTATCCTTTTCATCTCAGTGAACTGATGTTGTTGCTTCTTTCAGCTGTACTGTGACGATCAAAAATCACTGATTCATAGTCGCTCCCTCACGCTAGTCCCCTTCCATCCAGCTGGTGAACCTGCTGCACATCACCAGCAATACAGCTTCAGCCAGCGGATTGACTGCTCTCCCAGCAAAGCATCGAAGGCCTACACCATGCATCACACGACACTTTCCACTCTTGCAATGGCCCTGCTGGCGACCCTTCCAGGCGCCCAGGCTGGCCTTTACACAAAGAAGTCTCCTGTGTTGCAGGTGGATGCGAAGGACTATGACAGAGTGATCGCCAAAAGCAATTACACCTCGGTATGTTTGATTATCAGAAGGGAGTTCGGAATGATTCTGAACTGACTCGGGTACCAGATTGTTGAGTTCTATGCTCCATGGTGCGGCCACTGTCAGAACCTCAAGCCAGCTTACGAGAAGGTCGCCAAGAACCTCGCAGGTCTTGCCAAGGTGGCCGCCGTCAATTGCGACGATGATGCCAATAAACCGTTCTGCGGGTCAATGGGGGTCCAGGGCTTCCCGACTCTAAAAATTGTTCGGCCCAAAAAGGGTGGGGGAAAGCCAATTATCACAGATTACCAGGGCCCGCGCACAGCAACAGCCATTGTCGATGCCGTTGTTCAGCAGATCAACAATTATGTTGTCAGAATTGAGGACAAGAGCCTTGACAAGTTCCTGAGCGATAAAAATGAGACAGCCAAGGCGATCCTTTTCACAGAGAAGGGCACTACCTCGGCTCTTCTCAAGAGCCTTGCCATCGATTTTTCCGATGTCATCACGATTGGACAGGTCAGAAACAAGGAGACGAGAGCGGTCGAGACGTTCGGCATTAGCAAGTTTCCTACATTTATCCTCCTTCCTGGTGGAGATGCCCCTGGCATCGTGTATGACGGCGAGATGAAGAAGGAGGCTCTGGTCAAGTTCCTCTCTCAAGCCGGTCAGCCCAACCCAGACTGCCCTCCACCCAAGGCCAAGAGCAACGGTGATAAGAAGGATAAGAAGAGTGCCAAGACATCAGAGCAGAAGTCTTCTACCAAATCCAAGACCTCGACTGCTAGCGCCGAGTCAAAGGTTGAATCTACAACGCAGGAAGCTCCCGTCATTGTCGAGACAGCTCTTCCAATCCCCGCCATCAATACCCATGAAAAGCTAGTGAAGGAGTGCTTGAATGAGCAAGCGCATACCTGTGTTCTCGCCTTCGTCTCATCAAGTGAGGACGAAAAAGCCAGAAAGGCACTTTCCAGCCTTTCTCAGTTAGCTCACAAGCACGCACAGAGCAAGCGCAAGCTGTTCCCATTCTTCGAAGTCCCTACTAAAGACAACGAAGGTGCTGCTTCAGTCCTCAAGGCACTCGAGCTAACTGGAGACGTTGAGCTTGTTGCTGTGAATGCGCGCCGGGGTTGGTGGCGTCACTATGAGGCTGGCGATTTTAACCACAAGAGTATTGAAAGCTGGATTGATGCCATCCGCATGAGCGAGGGCACCAAGAAGAAGCTGCCAGAAGGTATTATCGCTGCCGCTGCCGAGAAGCCCTCGTCATCATCTTTGGCCGCGACATCCGAGTCCACACCGCAGCCTGCCGAGGACAGCAGCAGCACTGAAACCGCCGGAACTGCCGGAAGCTCTACCGAGGCTATGTCAACCGAATCCGCATCCTCCACTGCTGAGCCCGAGAAAGTCGAAGAGCACGATGAGCTCTAAACTGTTCTCTTCTCCAAGGTGTACTGTGAGTGACGCGTCAGCAACTTTCTCGAAAAAGCCAGATGCCGTAAACAGAGAGTGCGTTGATGTAAGCTAGCAAGCAAGATGTAGCATTTTGTAGTAAAATAAAACAAGGGGTTGCTCTCACCTGAGAGGCTCGGCAAGCAACCATGTCAACTGCGTAGATTTGCTCCGCCGTTAGCGCCGCTGTCTCTAGGCACCATCTATCTTGAGCACCACAGAGCAGAACAAATAGACCGTTACTGTCGATGGTCACAAACGTTGAGGTAACTTCAAGCCCGTCAAAGTAGGCAATACGCCCTCACAAGGAATGTGGAATCGAGGCGAGCCACAGATGCACCAACAACCCGCGGCTTCTCCCTGCAGTCATGGTTTAATCCTCATCCATATCATCCAGGCTAACACCTTTCTCCACTGCACCCTCTCGGATCATCCTCCTGCCCTTCTGGCGCACCACATGATCCAGAATCGCCCTGATTTGTTTACATCCGTCTACACCCACGGCGAGCATGCCTTCTAGCCTACTCACTTGCACTCTGCTCTCACATACCAACACGGCCACCTTGTCGCTCTCACCCAGCGTCGCGACTGTCAGCCAGGGCAGCTCTTGTTCCTCTTGGTGGTTCAAGTCCAGAAGTGGGTCGGCATTCTCATCGTTGGCCGCATACGTGGAAGTGGACCCGGCTGTGCAAGCAACGACGTAATCAGTCATAGGAATGCCTGCATCCACACAGGCAAGAGTGGCTGCGTTGATGAGTGCTGCGAGGAGCGAACCGTCTTGGGAAAGGACATGAAGGGAGATGGTGATCTGGCTGTGGGGGAAGAGATGGGTATGTAGAGAGGCTGAGAGAGCGTTTGCGACCGTTGATTGCATCTCGATGATACGCCTATGTAGGAAAGAGATTAGCTTATACGCTCAGGTAGGTCCGCGAAGCGATGAGTAGTCCGTTCTTACTTGTCGTTTCTCCCGTGTCGCTTGCGGTCAACCGAGCTGAAGCCTGCGATTACGATGCTCACTACCACCTCGGCTTCTTTCCCTTGGCCACCAGAACCACCACCGCCTGCACCTCCTGCGCCTCCTCCACCGGTAGTGCCAGCTCCGGTCCCGCGTCGCGGCCCGGGTTCGCTGGGCCCGGTCACCACACACATGACCTTGGTATGGCCCATTTCGAGGTAGCTGGAGCCGTCGGCGGCGGCCTGGGTCCGAATTTGGGCGTGGACTCGCCGCAGCTCATTCCAGCGTCGGCCATCGACGCGAAGCAAGGCGAGTTTGTATGTGGATGTATCGAGAGGCATGACAAAATCGAGGGACTGGTCCTGTTCCCCTGGCAATATCCCGACCTCGTAAACCCCTCCAAAGCACGGAGGTGGCGCAAGATGTGTGTACAAATGTGGTAATCGGCGACAACTGATGATGCGATTCTGGAAGGATCTGAAGTCGGTGAATTGGATTTTCTCGGTTCACACTGCTCTGGATGCGAAGACGCAGGCGGTGTTGTCGGCTGTCAAATTTAGAAAAAATCAATCGCGGGGCACTTGGAGCTCGAGCCACCCAAGAGTCCAGAACTTCAGAAGCCACGGAAGCGTCCATTGGTGGAGCCCAGGCTGCATGGCAATGAAACACCGCCTTCCACGATTTCCATCGCACCTCCCCAACCGTTGCGGCCCAGATGTTTCTATGTTTTGGAACAAGACGGTACGATTTGTTGCTTAGAACCCAATGAGATGCCTGCTTAGTATGTCATCGCTAGACTTATATAGCTGATGATTGGTAGTCAGCAACACTATATGTGTTTTCTGTAGGCTTACGTGATCCAGTTTTAATTGGTGAGTGTCAGCTCACCCTCAGGCAGATCGCCGACCTAGGTCCTGTCTCTGACTCCAACGTTCGAGATTTCAGTCATCACAATGGCAGTGATCGAGTCTTCTCGTTAGAGCTTTTCCAGATGCCTTTCCTTGTGCATGCTCGATGGAACACTCCGGGGAAGGGGAATGCCATCCAGATCATCCGCCGATTCCCAGTGGCAGCCAGCCATACGACTCCGTAATCAAACTGCGGAGGGCCAAGAAGGGCCCTAACAAGCGCCAACTACATCGCTGCGGAGGCCCTGTTAAGCAGTGCAAAAGGAACGGGTCACTTTGACATATACTGTATACGCAGGCAGGTAGGTAGGCTTGTAGATGTGACGTTCATACTCCTGACACCTGCACTTGGGACGCTTTGCAAACCACATGGGAAGATGCAGGCGGATCAAAACAAACCAAAATCAGTTGTTTCGGGAAGTCTTCTGTCTTCAATGGATGAGAACCGCAGATTGCAGAGACGAGTGGCACCAAGAGAGCAAAAAGCACGTTCTGTCAAGACCGTAAATATTGTCAGCTTGGGTATCTGGCAAAACAGGAGCAAAATCAAAATGCACGGTCCTGAAAACACTTCATGTCCAGCCAATCAAAGGGTGAAGGGACCTGCATAGCTCTCGTTTCCAGGCAGGCTTGAAAGTGGGTCATTTTGGCCTATTGGGATGTTACAGTCCAACGAGATCGCTGGACACTGGCCAGGGGTTCTGCGCCAAAGACGGGCGGCAGACCAGAGGTGTTCAGGAACCAAGGTCTCGGCTCATTTAGCGGTCCCCACCCCCCTTGCCCACACCAATCCTTTTTACCTGTGCACCCGCCAGCAGATGGCAGCGTTTCTCCCTCTTCTTCATCCTTCGTCATCAGGTTACTTGCCGACGACGCCTTTCGTGGTTCGAGCCGCTCCTTTTGAGATCTAGTATCTCAGTTCGCTCTTTTCGCTCACCAACTCCATTCCTCCTTCTCTCCCCTCATCCGAACCTCGAAATCAGTTGCCGATATCATTTTTGCGACTTTTCCCTGGTTTCTTCCCACTACATTTCGCGAAATCGTCCGCGGTCAACCATCGTTGATTCTATCTTCATTCAATTTGGTGGCACTTTTGCGATCTACGATCAGAGAACTCATCGAGCCTGCTTAGAACCGTTCGACGACAAATACATCCGTCAAGATGCAGCTTACTCCTCTTGTTCTCCTTACTGGCCTTCTCGGCAGTGTCGCTGCCCACCCTTCGGGTCATGCTCACATGCACCGTATGGTTCATGTCTCTGAGCGTGGCCTGCCGTTCGTCAAGAATGTTCACAACCGCCCGACAGCTGAGCCCAAGACTACCGCGGAGCCAGCCCCTGCTTCCACGCAGGCTCCTGAGCCGAAGGCTACCATCCAGTCCACCAAGCAGACAGAGTCCGAGGTCAAGGGCTTCTGCGGTAGCAGCACTGGCCTTCTCGATAGTAAGGCCAAGCGTGTGACGATCGCCCAGGTCATGTATACCGGAAATCTCGGTACCGACAACGGCTGCGAATGGGGCTCTAACCTTATGGTGGTGTCGAACGATGTCGCCCACAAGTACAAATACGTGCAGAAGTACACCAATGTCGACGACAAGCCCTACCAGGTTGTTTGTGGTAACAAGATGGGCGCGGACCGTCAGCTTACCGGCATGTTCAAAGTCAAGGGTCAAAATAACCTCATCTTCACTCTCGCTCCTGGCGAGACCAAGGCCGTTGTTGCCGATGAGAATACTCAGGGTGTGTGCGCTTTCGCCCCCTATGAGGTTCCTCTTACTTCTCATGGCCAATACGCTGGTGTCTGGGCCGAGTTTGATTTTGGCAACACCAGCAACAATGGCTGGTCTGGTGCCGACTGCTCTTCTCTGGTTGCACAGGCCTACAACATGGACGTTCCCGGCTGCCGCATGTCTCACGGCGGCGTTAATTCCGACATCCTTCCCGGCGGCATTGGCAACAACGCATATACCAAGGGCATGGAGGAGCTGGACGGCATTGGCCTCAACATTGTTCCTGGTCCCTGCACGATTGAGGTCAAGGTTGGCTTCTCTGGTTAAAATTTATGGATAAGACGGGTCTTATTTGTTCACCGATGTTCTCGCCGCTGATGGTGTCCTCGTACAGTCTGGGCACCTGATAGGGTTTGATTTCTGGTTTAGAATTGCGTTGTATATCCCGGGGTTTACGTTTGGAAATAGTATCTGGACGATGGACACATCCAGACTTAGTGTATAGTTCGGGCGTTAAGTAATTTTGGATTTTAACTGTTGGCTTTGTGCACTTTTGCGTTTGTCGAAAAGTTGGCAGTGATCCTTGTACTTTCCTGTTCTCGTAAATTGCATTCTCCTACCAACTTGGGGTCGGTCTCTTCCTGACTTTGCCTTCGCATGTCTCCGACAAAGGAATAAAGCGGCGATCACCACGTGGTAGACACGTTGTTTTCTATCCTATCTATCATTTTAATTCCTGTCAGCTGCCAGATATGCCACGATCCAACCTCATCAAAGGTGGCTCTATATTTGAAATCCCTGCACGTCTGGAAACAAGCAATTCTGCAGGGGGGTTTCTCCAAGCAATGCCTGCTCAGGTCAATGATATTGATGGGATAACAACCAATTCCCATTTCTAATTGCAAGCCTTAGTGAAAGGAGTGCAAGAGCTCAACTGCTGCGACTTGCGTGGCTGTCCGGTGCCAAGCCAAAGGAGCAGTTAGCTACATGATATTGCCCAACGGAATTGGGCACACCAGCACAGGAATTAAAAACCGTCTTGACCATGCGTTCATGCATCGAACTTTAAGCTGATTTCGTCTTATATTGGCTTGTCTCAGTCTGGTTGTGCTTTAGTCTCGACTTTTAAAAACTGGGCTATATGCTGCATACAGTTGAGCCGTTCCTTAGGACACGCCATCATATACCGAACACAAATTTTTGCCGAATGGATATGACGTGAGACGAGCATCACAAATTGAAGTCGGCTGTGTCTCTGGGCACGTAGGCTGCAAAAAGGCGTGCCATCCGTCAGATATGGGTGGAGATTGTGATGAACATCGATGGTCCTTGTAAAAGTCCTATTTCCCCTGATTCTCAACTTGAGATCAAACCCTTTACATCCACTTTGACCAACGATGCAGCAATTGAGATGCGCCAATCCGCACACTAAATGCCGAGATGCGTTGCACGTTTTCTCGTTCCCATCCAGGGCTCTCCAATGCATCACCGGCTTAGTGGTGGGGATAAGCTTGGTTCGTAGACCGGGGATTGGCGAAGATGTGCAGATCGGGCGGCGGCTGTGTTGTTGGGTTGGCGCTTGGCCGTCACCGAACTCGCAAATGCGTCTTGTTTCAGCTGTCATCCGCTCCCCGTGGTGTTGGCTCTAGTAAGATAACTAAGCCGCTCGAAACCCCTCACCTGCTCAGGTTTCGAGGAAAACTTCTTCACTAACCCCGCTGGGCATCATCATTATCCATTACTGAGTCTGGCTTGCTTTGAGATAAAACTTATCTATCATTCCTCCCAGGCCCGCAACAGCAACCAGCGCAATGCCAAGTAAGGGCGTGCAAGTATTCGCCTACATTGCTGTCCCGGACTGCAAGATTGAGTTGTCAGTCCCAGGGGAGACGGTGACCTTCTCGGAACAGCGAAAGTTTTGGAGCCGCTCACTCGAGGTTGAATCCTCTAAAATCCGCAGTCTTCTCGACAAGCGTGGACGCTTCACCTTCAAGATCTTTCACAAAGGCACCCAGCTGACGGAACAATGGATCGATGTTAACGCACTTACCGGCAATGCCAGTGGCGGCACTCTTGAAAAGATCTCCAAAACCCCTTCCCTTGTCGTGCGCGACCGTGGCCTGATCATCAGCTATGGGCTGTATGAAGCAGGCAAGGGCCACAAGGCCTCCGAAATCCATGTTCTCCCCAACAAGCATCAGTGCTACATCACCATCTCTCCTGATTATGCCTCCTGGATCGGTAGGCTCGCCCCGGTAGGCTCGCCGGCCGAGAACAAACCTTTCCATCGTTTGGTCCTCCCAGCTGCCCACGATGTAGGCATGAACAGCATGGAGAGCACAGAGGCATTGTTGAAGAAGGTTGGCGGCGCGATAGTGTCGACCCTGATCGGTGACCGGTTGCCAAAGCAGCGCGAAGCAATCTCTCAGCTCGCCAACACTCTGTCAAAGGACGCAATTTCCAAAATTGCGCCAAATATCGTCTACAGTCTGGCTATTACTCAAAAGGACTCGCTGGAGACGATGCTGCGCATCGGCGCTCGGTACTTCGAGTTCCGTCCTGCGCGACTGCATCGTGCAGTAATTTCTTGTGGTGCGCTACCGGACAAGCTGTATTTTCAGCATGGTGCCATTCCCGGAATGGCATATGACGAGTTCTTAAAGGGTGTTTTGGCCTTCCTGAGGGCAAATCCCACAGAGATTGTGGTCGTGCAATTAAGATGGGATGGTGTCCCAGATGAGTGTGCGCGACCGTCGGATAAGGAAAAGAAAGAATACTTAGAGAAAGCACTTAAGGATCCAGCTGGAGGAAACGGAGAGATTGTAGCAGGCGGGTTGGATGACATGAAGAAGAAGAGCATCGCCCAATTGAGGAAGGACAAGAAGAGGCTAATTATGCTCGACATGGTCGACTCCCTCTCAACATACACCGACGAGGGGAATGCAACACTCAACGGCGATAGTATGGTCCAGGCGTTGCCAAAGGTGCTGACGCCAGAGAACCAAAAGGGGAAGGCCTTTGTCAACATACAATGCCAGGCCACAGCTTCCAACATCCCTAAAGCTGTGGTGCACTCAATCATCGAGGCCAGCGTCACTAACAGCCTTTTATTGGCGACAAAAGGGATCTGTGATTCCAAAATGTTGCCATGGTGTAGGGATAATGTTTTGCAAGTATGCTTGTTGGACATCCTCGTTGTCATTATGAATGACTGGATTGACGGAGCTACAGCGCATGTTTGCTTCGAGCTCAGCAAGCAGCGACTGCAAAAATGATTTTTGTCTTAACAACTTGCCGAGTTCTGTTTGGAAAGGCATCCTTGCAACCTAGCAGTAGTGTTCATTCTGCGTCTTATCTATCATGTCCTCTAGGCCTGTGGAATTCAACCCAAGACATTGTCAGCATTGTTGAACAACTCAGAGGGGCTTGTCAACTTTTACGGCATATGTAGGTTGCTTACAAACGGCTCGTGAAAGTTCTGTTTAAACGTTTACGCGCAGATATTCCCAAGGATTGGCCCAGGAGGACTTCGTCTCTGAGACATTACATCAAAGTTGTCCGAAATGTCCAACAATTCCACGATTGCGTCTCCAAAACCAGTGCAATGGTGACTGTGTCTTCCAAGAAAGTACCAAATTTAATTAAAATAAGGTAATACAGTCTTAGTTGCTGCTATCAAGATATTAACCGATTTTCTGATTTCATCAACTGGGCTCTTTCCCTCCAGCACTCGAAAGCCGGACCGTTCGAAGTCCCTTAGGCTGCTTCCCCAATGTGCTCCATACTCGTATCACCTTTGACTCCGTATCACTTTAAGGAAAGGATTTCTGTCCTACACTGTCAGTTTATGATATATCTCCAATCTTCGGACCCTTTTCCGGTGCTGCTTTCATGCGTTAACTCTGCCACGCTTTCGTTATGCCGCAATGGCGCCTCCAACGTTTATGGGCCTCTCTGACAGGTTTTTGTCATTGACGATCTCGGCTGTGTCAGCAACTGGCTTCCTCTTGTTCGGTTACGATCAGGGGTGCGTATCGCCTCCTATGGCTATGTTATCTTGTCTCCTTTGACTGATCCCGCCCAGTGTCATGAGTGGCATCATCACAGCGCCAGCTTTCAATGAAACCTTCACAGAGACAAAAGATGCAACCATGCAAGGACTCGTTACTGCAATATACGAGGTTGGCTGTTTAGCTGGAGCAATGTTCATTCTGGCAGTTGGCGATCTTCTAGGTCGTCGAAGGGCCATAGTCCTAGGTTCCGTGATAATGCTGCTGGGGGTTATTATCCAAGTAACCAGTATACCAGGGTCACGGCCATTGGCACAATTAATCGTGGGAAGAATCGCTATGGGTATTGGCAATGGCATAAACACCTCAACCATCCCAACTTATCAAGGTGTGTTGTACTTGAAGATGTGGACGTTGTTTGGAAACCCCTCTAACTGATCGCAGCTGAATGTAGCAAGACCACAAACAGAGGCCTGCTCATCTGCATTGAGGGCTCAAACGTCGCACTAGGTACCTTAATTGCTTATTGGATCGACTACGGTGCATCTCGTGGCCCTGGCGATTTCGTTTGGCGGTTCCCTATTGCTTTTCAAGTTTACTTCCTGATCCTCATCATCATCCCGATGATGTTCTTGCCAGAGTCTCCAAGATGGCTTCTTATCCAACAACGTGTTGAAGAAGCCGACAAAGTGATTGCCGCAATTCGAGGGCACGAAGTTGACAGCGAAGATACAGCCATGGAGCGCAACCTCATTATCGACTCAATACGTGCAGCGGGTGATTATGGCCAAAGGAACACTCCGATTAAGGCTCTCTTCACTAGTGGTAAAACACAGCACTTTCGAAGGATAGCTCTCGGAGCTAGCTCGCAACTCATGCAACAGATTGGCGGCTGCAATGCTGTCATTTACTTTTTTCCGGTTCTATTTGAGAAATCGATCGGCGAAAGTCACGACACCAGCCTGCTTCTGGGCGGTGTTAACATGATCGTGTACTTTCTCTTCGCCGTGACCTCGTGGTTTCTTATCGACAGCGTTGGCAGGCGACGACTCTTCCTGATAGGAAGTGTAGGGCAGTGCTTGAGCATGGTCATCACATTCTCTTGCTTGATTAACAGGCAAGCGGCGTCAGCTCGTGGGGCTGCCGTTGGGCTCTTCACCTACATTGCGTTCTTCGGAGCTACTTGGCTAGCACTGCCCTGGCTGTACCCGGCTGAGATCAATCCTGTCAAGACTCGTGGGAAAGCTAATGCGGTCAGCACTTGCACCAATTGGTTGTTCAACTTCCTTGTGGTGATGGTGACACCAATCATGGTGGCCAAGATTGGCTGGGGGACGTACCTCTTCTTTGCTGCTGTCAACATCTGTTTCATCCCGGTCATATATTTTTTTATCCTGAAACATCTCGCCGCTCACTGGAAGAAATTGACATCATTTTTTGCCAAAGGCTATATGGAACAGATGTCGTATGTTCAGGCAGCCAAAGAGCTTCCATATCTCCAACCTACCGAGGTCGAAGTGTATGCTGTCAGGTATGGCCTTATTGAAGGCCCTGCGGTTGGTGGCAGGTACAACGATTTCCAATGATCATGGGAAAGATGGAGCTGTACCTCAATGGGTGATAATGATGGCAAATTTCGGAGATTCCGTGAACTTCTAACGTGAAGTCGAGTGTGTCAAATGAATCAATGGATGAACTACCTATTCGAACCGAATATAGCATAGGTGATTCGCATGCTTTTTAATCGTCTCCTTATGCTTATCGACAGAGTCAGAAAAGTTAAAGCAAATGACAAAATTGTGTTGGTGAGTTCCATGGACCGAATCTCGGGGACATTTTGAAATAACAGCCGCCATGCGCAAATAAATGATCTTTTCTTGATTGTCTATTTTTGGATCTATCAATATATAAAATGGAAACCAGCCTGAATAAAGTAAGCATTCGGCCTTCGATGCAGAATGAGAGAGTAAAAGTATCCGTACCATGTTCTCCAAGACATTACCCCCTTTCCTTTGTGATCTATTGGCAAAATAGAAATGAACAGTCAGGGCAGCTACAACAGCTAACATTAGAACATGCGACCTCCATTTGGTTAGTGACTCGAAGAGGAGAGAAAGCTTAGAAGATAACTTACCCAATCGATACCCAAACAGCAGTGGAATAAGTAGGAGCCTCAATCCCTTTGACAATATAACTTCCAGCAATACCACCTGCGCCATTGAACATGGTACACGCTGCAGTAGTAAACACACGCTTCCATTGTCTGTAACCTCTGTTAGCACTCGATATGACCAGGCAAGTGCTGGAAGCGGGCACTGACCCAACAACATTGTTCGCCTGATAGGCAGTCAAGGCAGCCCAATTGGCGATATAGGCTCCTGTGGTGAGGAAAACCCCGAAGTACCTTGCTCTTGAGTGTCCTGCAAAGCCTAGCACAGCAAAGCCTGTGATAAGACATATGGCATTGAAAGTAATGATTGGAGCTCTCATCTGGAACTTATCGGCATACCATGACGAGAGCAAAACGGGAATCACAGCGTAATAATAAGGAGGTGCCGAGAGAATGATGGCTGCATCCGACGAGTAGCCAAGTCCGTTTTCCAGGATGACGGGAACAAAATACGCTAGTGCAGTCGAAACGATGTTCTGCATGAAAAAAAGCGATGCAAACGCCCACACCTTCAAGTCAAGGGCGTGCATCAGGACCTTGCCAATCGTAAAGTCTTGAGGTAAGAGATCTCCACGGTCGGTCTGAATCCTCTTTGACACAACTTCTGCTTCCTCTTCGGACAGAAACTTCCAGCTTCTGTGCGATGTCTCCGGGAAGTCCACCATCCACCAATACGTCACTAGACCAACCACGCAGGTACACAGTCCCTGGACAACAAACATCCAGCGCCAACCCTCCAAGCCGCCTCTCCCATCCAGACGGTTCAGCCCATAATTCACCAAACTACCCGTCGCAAGCACGATCACCTCGCCGCTCTGCATAAAGGCAAACCGCAATTGCTGCTCCTTCCTCGGGTACCATGTGCTGATCAAGTATGCCAACCCCGGAAAGATCCCAGACATCGCAGCACCGAGCAGGATGCGCAAAACAATCATCTGCTGCCAAGTCTTGACGAAACCTGTACACAGAGTTATCAAGCCGAAGGCAAAAGTGATGACACTGAACCAGATACGGGGCCCGAAGAGGCGCACAGCAATGGTGCTGGGCAGCTGGAAGACGATGCTGGAGATGGTAAAGATGAAGATTGAAACGGAAAAATGGTTTCCATGATCAAGACCAAGGTCTTCGGGCATGGAAGTGACAGCAGCGCTGGATAAGACGCCACTGTCAAGCAGGTTCAGACTGCAGAGGATGCCGGCGATGGTGCAAAGGCGAAGGTCGACCTTGCGACGGATCCGGCAGGTCAGCGCATCGTCGCCATTGTCGGGGTCTGCTGCTGCGAACCCAGGGACGACAACATCGGTGTGGTTGTTGTCGCTGTCACTGGAGTCGTAGTTGGCAAGGTTGGAGGAGACATGCGCAACATTGTCATGTGAATCGGCCTCGACACTGTGAGTGGAGTGTTTTGCGAAGCTAGGGTCTGCTTGTTCTTGGTGTTGGCCTGTGCCAGCTTGAGGAATGACTGACGATGACATGGCAGCCTCATCAACGTGTGACAACCTCATGGAGGTTTCCAGCTAAGCTCTGCACAGGTTGCCGCTCGAGTTGGTCCTTGTCACAGGGCGAAAGGGTTTTTGTTCTCGGCTGACAGAGCCTGAGAGCAGGAGTCCTGCTTCGAAAAGAAAGAAAGCATGAAACAATCCAGGGTCCGGGCAGGTAAAGTGGGGCAACCGGGATTGATTTATCCTTGGGCATCCATCGGCCTTGCCTCCGGTTTGTTTTGCCCTGTAACTCGACAACCGTCGCACTTGATAATAGAAGAGTGGCTGCCGGGACTAGAACCATGATACGATTTCGAGAAGCTACACATGCAATTTTTCGATTTAGTTGAGTGATCGGACCGATATACTTCAGTGAGAAGCAAGAGATGAAACCCTGCAGCAGACAGTCCGAAAAGAAGCTGCAAAGACTGCCTCGATAGCCAGCGATGGATAATGTTACACTACATCCGGAGCAAGATATTTGCACTTCCTGATCACCAGCTAATTGCATCCTGGCTCCGAAAGCTCGTCAAATGTACAGGACAAAGAGAGATAAAAGAAGACCTTTAGCGCCTTGGAGCTAATGCAAACCACGGAAGGGAAGTACACTTTTAAGTAAGTACAAATAAACTAGGTAGCATGGGCTCAGAAACAATGCAACTATAAAGTAAGGCTGTAGAACTAGATCACTCATACCTTAGGTAGGTAGAAGTATACTTCCCAGTCAGGTACTTCTCTACAGGATTTAAAACCTCCGAAGACGTTTTCCATGCAGATTACAAGCGGGCATCAACTAGGTGAATTCTCAAGAGGTTCCCGTAGAAGCGTAGGCTGGGGCTCAAAGCACCGCCACAGACGCCACAGACCCATGGCGTTGCCCAGGAATCAGCCACCCCCTTTCCATTTGCGGGAAGTAAACAATGCTTCTTCAAGCAAGCTTTTTCCGGTAGTAAGGTAGTTAACGAGCTATTCGACTGTTATCCAGAGGCTTTCATCAAGAATGGTGCAGTTAGTTGCACTACCTAAGATACGATAATCGCCGTGGCTATAAAAGCCAGCATTACCACAAACCCGTGGTTAAGATTATGAATGTCCGGTCTGTGAGCAAACCAGTTTAACCCTTGGTATATTGACATCTCTCAAACAACCAAGAAACTGAGATTGTCTCTTGCATGTCATCAATTTGATGCAGACTCAAGGTCCAGCTCACCAATAATTCAAACAAGGGAAACTCCACTCTAAAGCTGGATGACAATTTCGGCCAGTGATCCTGGCGATGGTTGATCACCCACATAGTATGCTTTTGGAGAATCGATCTTATTTCATTAAGATGTTTCCACTCTAATTTCCATGGTATCTCTCTAAAGTATGGGAGAATAAGAATCTTAACTCGTAAAACTGTGTGAACTTTTGCTGTCATTCCTTACTTCCTGTGAGAGCGAAACTCCATCCTTGCAACATCCCTGGAGTTAGGAGCCTTTTTATACCTCCATCCTTCTTTTTCCCACCAAATTCTTATGCGAACAACCATCCAAATAGCCACCCTCTAGCTCTCATCTATAGGATACCAGGGAACTCGTGAATGCTTGATGATAAGGATTATCATTAAACTTTCAACCTCATCACCGTTCCATCATATTCTATTGTGATCCAGAGCCCTCATCGATTGCCTGATTCATCATTATCTCAAGCTCCTTGTCCTTATCTGAGCCAACTGAGTGTGTATGGTTCTGGGTAGTTGTCGAGATTTCAGCAGCTACAACTGTGAAGGATGACTCAGTAACACCTTCCAACCTTCCCTGGACTGTAGGAGCAGTTGATTGCGATGGTGCAATTGTCGATGATCTATTCAGACCCCCGATATCAGGATGAGTTGCTGGAACTGTCACAAAATCATGGACATCAGCTGGATTGGTGGCTCTTGTTCCCATGCTCAGGTTGACGCCAGCAGCACCAGCATTCATATTGCCCCTTTGGGTATCTAGGTTTCGTCCTTGACAATCGAAAAAGTTTTCGTTGCTTAGAACGACATCCTGTGAAAAGTCTTGGCTGTTCAGTGTCAAACCAATCTGGTCATCGCTTAGCGGGTTACTCTGGCCTTGTGCTTCCGCTGTCGCCCTCCCAGCATCTATTGTTGGCTGCAAGGTCAATTGATCCATAGAAACTTCGTGGGCTGATAGCTGGCCACTGGTAAAACTCTTGCTGCCCCTAAACGTCTGGCCCGGTTGTTCCCCCCCATTCAGCCTCTCTTCACCATCATCATCCAAAAATGGTGAAGGTGGGACATAAGGCTGGACTTTCACCTTATCGCCGAAGAGCCGCTTGTAAAGTTCTGGATTGCTTTGATGAACCACCTTGTCAACGTCATGAACTTCTGGATTTGGCGGAATTCTGCGCCCAGTCTGATCAGAAAGTCGCTGGCTGTTCCCGGAGTTATGCCTGCCTGTGTTGGTAAACCTTCCTGCCATTCCGCGGAAAGGGATGTCAGCAGATTGGAAGCTAACCGCCCTGCGCTTGGCGCTGGTAGTGCCCGCCAGCCCGCCGCCAAAACTGCTACTCTGGTGTTGAGGTTGATGCTCAGCGACGCCGGCACTGTGGTGACACAGCATGCTGTCCCTGACCGCGGGATGTGTTTGTGATGCAAATGGCATCCCACATCCGGGGGTGCACGGAGGGTACACTGGGCCGGGAGCCAGTTGCTGCTGTGGCAACATCCCTTCCATGAATTTATTGCCATGTCCCTCTTGTAACTGTTGACCTTGGGTAAACATCTGTTCACTCTGCATCTTTAGCTCAGCGCTAACCGTGCCCATGCGCACCATTCCTTGGTGAGCTGAAGTAAACAATGACTGGTCTCCTGGCAGGAGTTGCTGTTCCAGCTGCCCTGTTAATATGTCCCCTCCAAATAGCGGAAGACTGGATTGCATCGAGTCCAGGGAAATGCCTCGCAGTGTCCCTTGGGGCAACACTGAGCTGAACAATTGAGACTTTGTTCCTGTTATTTTTGAGGACATCGTCACTGGAGGATGGGGAGGTTGTTGCTGCGAAAGCAGCAATCCTGCCCCCTGCTGAGTGCTCAGCGCAGCCCATTCTCTTGCTTTCTTTATCCAGGACAGCAGCTTGTCCATTTGTTGTGCCCTATGCGTCAGCTTGCGACTCTCTGCGGCTAACACGTTGCGACGCTGGGTAATCACATTCACAATGGCTGCACCACGAGGCCCCAGGATGTTCTCAACCCGCGGATTTGCGTTCATGCGGCTGAGCCAGTTGTCATCTTCCTGAGCGACTACAGGCAGTATGAGCGTGTCAAAGGTGTCTGCAGTCATGATTTGGTTATCAAAGAGGTTGGTAAACTGTAAAGCGGGGGTGCCCGGGAATGGAAAGCTGGTTTTCATTTTCTCTGCACTTTATTTTGTATCAGTCTTGTGTGATTAGCGCTGGCTCTTTTTCAGTCAGTAAAAGACGTTATTTTTCATCAAATTTTCTTAATCGTGGAGCATGACAGTGCAAAGGCTTACATGTTGTCGGAATCAATGAACTGAAGTCTTTCCACTCGTGTCCTCGACCGTCTGATTGGAGGCTCTAAAGCTATATGACAATAAACGTTTTCGGTGGTATGCAAAGTTGAGAGTTTTTGACCTAAAATTTATAGGCGGATGGCAGCTCAGAGTGATGTTAATTGTGGAAGATAAGAGCTCCTGACCACAGTTCGATCAATACCAATATATCGGTTCGACGTGCCTCTGATCCTGCAGAGTATCGAAAGAGGTGGAAATTGTAATGAGAAAAGAAACCAGCCAGACAATGGATATTGCGTTTTTGCCACGTAGCTGAAAAATGTCTGGCAGGGTTTTTAGGTGATGACCAAAGGTAACGAGATCCAATTAGTAAAGAGAAATGCTGCTGATAGCTAAACTGGTTGAGAGTGTATAGAAGGAAGTAAGTCAGTTATGCACAAAAGAGATGTGTTGGTATCGAATATCATTGATTCTATGTGGAAACTGGCTCACAACTACTCACAGTTGAGAACGATCGTCTAAGTGAGATGTGTTCGGTAGGGCAATCCAGTAGGTAGGTACCAATCCAACTTTTTTGATGCAGAGTGAAAAGTTCCATTTAATGGTAGCGCTTGGAGCGAGGGGTTTATATACTCATTTTTCGCACATTTCCGTCCAATCTTTACATTTAGAGATACCCCCAAAACACTCTACCTGCCTAGACCAATTAGCCAATAGCACTCGAGGACATCTGTATTCCACACAGATGAAGTTGAAAACGAGGCGAGCGGTAGGCCACAGTGAATGTGGACAAGTCTATAATAGAGCAGGTGACGTCCTAGTTGGAGTTAATGAAGATAGGATGACATTGATCTGAGCGATACGTTGTCTTTGAAGCTCGGTGAAGGCCTATGATCCCAATTCCAAGGTACCTAGAAGAGGTTTGATGACAGCTGTTGTGGCGCCACGTGGCTAGATTCTTTATCAAACTTTTCCTTGTTGGAACCAAGCATAAAGAGTTTCAGGGCTTCATCAAGTGTATTGCGGAGTCACAAGGCTTTCGATCCTCGGATAAGACCTATGAGGACTTGAAGTCCCCGCAACTGCTAAGTTTTTGATTTCATTGAGCACAATAGCTGTGAGTTATCATATGAAGCCACGCTCTGGGTTTGGGACTCTGAGAGGACGAGCTTCAACTATGAGATGTGTGCAACTATTGATAGGCCCATTGTCATGTTTAATACTCTGTAAATATTAAGGAGGTTGAAGGGTCGGTCACAGTCTCGATCTATCGCATGCCAGCATTGTGACAACCATCCTCAATCGTCCACGAATCTTTAGTATGGCATGATATGGTACTGCGTATAACTATTTTGGACTATTCACATGGTATCCTTTCTAAACTTTCAAAGAAGCCCTTCTTAGACAGTCAAAGTATTGAAGCTCCTTGTCATGTTTTACGGCTCGTGATGCAGCGTTCCAACAGCATGCAATACAGAAATGCTGTTATGCTGCTAGAATGACAAGTTTTATCTCATGGACACAGTAGATAATTGACTATAAATGAACTGCAGGAAAAGTGGCGGAATTAACACTTGTCTTATACTTCGCAAACCTCATGTTTACTGGCAGGGGGAAGGCTCATATCGAGCATATCATTGATTGACAGGCAGTCTCCTGCTGTTTCATGAACCACTGTTTTTTGCCCTTAATCCCATGTACTTTAGATGGAATTTTATGAATAAAATTCAGTCCAAATCAAGCTTGCTATCATCTGATTGTGTGTAGCTCTTTTGGCAGAGCTGCTGTGGCTGATCAAGAACTTCCCAAGACCCAGGCCGCCGGCAAAATATCCAGAGAAAACAACAAAAAAGTGATAGCAGGATGAGTTGATGTGCATATTTCGCAACATTTAAAGTGCGAGTGAGAAATGCATCTAGATAGAAGAGATGGACATTGAAGGTGCTTAGAACTATGTCCTCTCTCCATTTTTCTGAAGTCGAGAGATAAAACTGCCTGCCATATGACGTCATAAGTCCTGAGGGCAGCCTTGGCGCCAAGACTGTGTTGGACGTTGAGTTAGGGACGACTGCCTGACGTATCAGGCGACGAGTACTCAACATCGCCGGGATCTTGGCATAAATCATCCCAACGACGAACCGATCAAGAATCAAACGCCGGATCACGTCGTCAAATCGAGCCCTTGATTAGGCACGTGTGGAATTCCATGAGACTTTGCAACTGCTAGAACTTCTAGTTGCTCTTTCGTCAATTCTCAGTACTTTATGTAGAGGTTAAAGTAAGCCAATGCCATCGCCCTCTAACCATCTATCGCTTAGATCCCCAGATACATCCCCCCCACAATCTGTTTCCAACCTCTCGACATTTTCTGCTGCTGATAACGGAAGACTTGATGCTAAAACGTGCAGTACGCAAGCTTTATATCTTTTCTAGTCATCCATCATCTTCAATCCATCGGAATCCCGAACTTCGAGCTGCCCGTTGACATTCTGACGTCTGCTACTACGACAACATTGGCCACCGGTTCCGAGTTCAATTCTACGTGATATCCGAGGAATTGAATAACTTCCTGTTTAATACTTCGATAAAGATGGAAAGTGGCAGCCAGACAAGATTAAAAAGTCCTGACTGGTCTATACCATCCTCTTCCACAGCACAGGAGTCTGAGCTTCATAACCCTGTTCCTGTCATTTCCGACCACCTCCCACAACAAGGCTTTAATCCTGCACATAGCTCCCCTGGTGATGAATCAGACAAGTCTTCTCATGAGACAGACATTGCGAAACCAATGAACTTGGGAAAATCTGGTGAGGAACAGGAAAATCTTAGGCAAGAAGAAAGAGAGGCTTTGGAAGGGTGGGTCACAACTCCGCTTTCTGTTGTGTTGGTGCCAATGGACTTGCGCAAATGAATTTCAGGGCTGACTTATACGCTAGGCGCGCGAAGGAATTGCAAGAATCCCTTGGAAGCCTTTTCAACCGAATTGAAGCTGTCAAGGAGGAATACAACAAGCTGGACAATCATAACAAGTTCTTGCAAAAATATATTGGCGATCTGATGGCGACGAGCAAAATTACAACGTCAAGTAGTCGAGCTAAGAAGTAGGGATTCTCAACATCCTGATCTTATAAGTAGCTGGAGGGAGGAGCTAAGGCAGCTGATGCCTGCGTGTTCATTGAGTATGGCTATCAGTGCAGTAACCACGTTGACAGCTTATTCTAGATGCACATGTGCAACACCATTCATCAGATTGGCTATGATGGCAAAAGGTGATGCTCAGCCAACTCTCAACTCGGGAATTGATGGCATCTTGTTGCCATGATGTTCCTAAAATGAGATACCGGGGACCAGGGTAATCTTGCAAATAGTGTACCGGTATCTGACACACTTCACTGTCAACTTCTTGGGAAAAGGAGGCAACTGCACCTTCTGAAATGTGGTCTGTGGGAGGGTCTACTTTCTCTTGTGGAGAGTCGTAAAGATGGTTACAGTGCTATAGCATAGGTCAGAGGGCTGCAGCTTATCCAGGAAAATCTTCAGTCCTCCCTTGGAGATTTGCTTGATCTTCATTAGGCTTTCTCAAGCATTGCATTCCATCTTTCCAGAGCTGCACGATAGTCTAGTTAATAATGTGTTGAATGTTGTCTCCCCATGTTGTGTCCTGTCCCTTATGTTACAACTAGTTTAAAATATAGCAGCGTTGACCATGTGAACTCTACGGACTGACCGCTTTTTCACCAATGCTCTGACCTTTTCTAAGGTTTTGGAATGCTGGCAAGCAGATAGATGAACGTCAGTAATGGCGTTTGAAGCAGTCACTGTACCTGAGTTGAACTGTGATACAAGTTGGTTGGCATGCCATACTACTTGTTAAGGACTTTAGCATGTGTGTTGTATCAGTATCTTTGTGCTGGCTTTTTGAGAGCAACATCTTGAAACAACATACTATCTCGAACAAGCATGTTTGTCAGTTGGATGCTGTTGCTCTCCTGATATCGAAAAAGGCATCAAACACAGAGCAAGACTGAGATAGGTTATATGATCTTCTTTGCCGACTCCAGCCTCCAACGTGATCCTTCTCCCAGCCGGCGTGGCGCAATCGGTTAGCGCGTCAGACTTTTAATCTGAATGTTGCGAGTTCGAGTCTCGCCGTTGGCGTGTAGGTCAACACTGGGAAGTGATCATGATTTTTACTTCTTTTTCCACCAATCGCTATGGCATCGTTCCCATTTCTATGCCTACATCTTCTTTGAAATATTAATCCTTTTCGCAGCTTCAAGCTCACGGAGCTAAGGAGAGCTCTGGGGGACTAGATTAAACAGGGTGCGCCACCCGTCCGTAAGGGACCAATCACATGAAAATACCTTATCTTATCGAAACATTTTCTATCGTGTCAGTCAGGAGGACAGAGAATATCCTCCGCCCTGATTTGACCGGTAGAATCTCTTCACTAAAAGCATTTCAACTTCAGGCTGCTGGCTGGCTAGCATCGCCGACAAAGCACGCTAATAGCTTTACTGTTAGTACGCTAATCTGCCGTGGCTTTAGTGACCATATTCAAATGGCAATAAAGGCGCCGAGCAATGTCTCTTGGTAGTGGCAACTGTAAGGATGTTATTCAGCCCTGCATGTCCGTGACTTAACCTGCGAAAGTCAAACCGGGACTGCCGATCACCCCCCTACTTGTCTTCGATGATATTTATCAACGTGTAACGTAAAACCGGCTTCTATTTTGTAACAAAGTCTCCGATGGCCAAGCTCCTGTTGGGTTTTGGTTGGGGGTTATCCAAGCCGGCGCGGCACTCATTGGTGATGTTTCTGGAGGGATGACGACATCGGCTCGTGCATTGCCCGCTGATCTCATGTTCTTGGTCCCGCTCCGTCTTTCGGCCCCATATTCTCAACCTTGACCGCATGGAGAATCAAACTATCTCAGTTAATGCAGCTTCTCCGCCGTTTGAAGCACAAGCATAGTTGTTTTGAATTGGAAACCCGCGACCGCAAACCACACACCACGATACTATCTGAGGTTGTGGTTGAGTCAGCACAAAGGCGTCCACGCCACCGAGCTATTTTGAAACTGTTCTCATCCAGAACCAGGATTCGACAAATATGAACCTACGCTCTGGCATAGCCCGCTCAATGTTTGGCTCCGGGTCTGGTTCCAGGTCGCATCACCATGATAACGATCCCTCTGAGTCTCCGGAGCGGGTGCCCCTTCTGATCGACACAAGAGCCAATGGTGGGTCAATCGTGAATGTCACTGATATTGCTCATGAAGGAACGATTCCTGGCAGCACGTTGAATGGTGGAACATTCAAGAGAAATCTAGGAGCAATTGAGGCATTTGGTATCGTTATCAGTATTGTCATTGGTAGTGGCGTTTTCACTTCCCCAGGTTCCATCGACACTAATGTTCCCTCTCCCGGAGTAGCCCTCCTGGTATGGTTGGTTGGGGGTGTATTGGCATGGACTGGCGCAAGTACAATGGCTGAGCTTGGAACTGCGATTGTTGGAGAAGGTAAGCCGAGATGTTTCTGGTTTGATCAATGAAGATTCTCACATAGGCATAGGCGGTGTTCAGCCTTATCTCAAGTACATCTTCGGTGATGTGTTTGGATTTCTTGCTGCCTGGACTTGGGTTGTCGCTGTGATGCCCGCAACACTTGCTATCTTGAGCATTGTGTTTATTGAGAGCATCTACTCAGCTGCAGGTGTTACTGGCCAAGGGGATAGGATTGAGCACAAGCTGTTGTCAATCCTTGTGTTATCATGCATTGGTTTGGCCAATTCTTTTAGCACCAAAGTCAGCACTCGACTCAACAACTTTTTTGTTGCGACAAAGTTCATAACCATCACTGCTGTTTTTCTGGCTGGTGTTGTCGTCGTCATCGTCAAACTGGTCCATCCCAAGAGCACCATTGGTGGCGGGGATTGGACGAAGAAGTCGTGGGTGGCGTATCGCGATACCACAAACCCCGACGGGAGCATTACTCACTGGCAGAACATGACCAGGTGGGAGTTGTTTGGCCACCTTTCAGCTGCTCTCTATGCTGCTCTGTGGGCATATTCTGGATGGGACAAGGTACAAAATATATTTCAAACATGGAGCAGACCGACGCTTACACTCGTCTAGGCGATCTACGTTTCCGCCGAACTGAAGTCACCTGCTCGACAGCTACCCCTGGCCATCAACGCATCTATCCCTTCCATCATCCTCTGTTTCATTCTGGCTAATGTTGCCTATTATATCCTGCTTCCTTGGGATGTGGTCTCTACAACCGACAGTGTGGCAGTGGTATGTGAGATCCCCAAGTTTTCTTACTGCTCCCGTTGACTCACACTCTTCTCTTCATTCTATTTTCTTCTATAGACAGCTATCACTCGGCTCCTTGGCCATGCCTTTGGCGCAATTTCCGCTGTATTTATCTGCTTGGTTGTAGCAGGTTCATTGCTTGGCAATTCCTTTGTTGCAGGCCGTATGACCGTCGCTGCCGCAAACCAAGACTGGCTGCCTAGCATTCTGAGAGTTGTCGGTCACATCGGTCCCGTATCTACCGTTCAAGAAACGCCAGAAACCGGCCAAAATCTTCCTATGACCGACGGGGAGGATGAAGATTCCATTCAAGTTCAGAAACGACATTCAGATTTCGAATCAGATGCTCCGATCAATGCAATCATTTTCTCAACAGTACTCTCGGCCTTGTACATATTGCTTGGAAACTTTCGTGCCCTTCTGACTTTCAACGGTCTGGGTGAGTACCCATTCTTGTTGTTAACAGTTGTCGGGGCTGTGGTCCTGAGGCGGCGCGAACCGGAACTGGAAAGGCCTTATCAGCCGTTAATCGTGATTCCTATCATATTTTCTTTGGTGGCAAGCTTTGTTGTTGTTAGGGGGGCAGCGTTTGCGCCAGCGCAGGCTGCCATATTGACTGGACTTTGGGGACTGGGTTTGGTCTACTATGCAGTGAGGACGCGATACTGGGCTTGAAATCGCAGCTTTCCGTCTGAGTTGACTGTCTTCGAGTCTGTCCACAGCCGGTGTCTACAATCTGGAGCTGAGCCGGTTGATAAGTCTTGAAAGGCAAGTCAAGAGCCTGCCTTTTGTGTATGTCAGTCTTTGACAACTGAAAGCAAATCCTATGACGTGTAGTTCAAACTTTGTTGTCATCTCCTCTCAGAATGAGCTGCATCCATTTGTGTCAGGAACACATGCTGGCAAGCCTGCAAAGCGTCTTAAACATCCTAAATCACGTTGAACACCAAAGTCAGCGCTGTTAAAGGCGCCGCCTTATCATTTGGACGATTTGCTGAATTAGGGTTAGGGTTAACAATGTACGCGCGTTCGCCCCTCACAGGATGCGTTTATCCGAGGTAAGGTTAAACCACCAATTTTGCGCCGTTCCCTTAAAACTGGGAACAATCTAACTGTTAAAGGGCGGAAACGCTTTCAAGGACGTCCATTCCTTTGAGGGGAATCAAAGCAGACAGACCATCATGCCCTTTCCCGTGCTCCCACGGCGAGCGGCTTACATAACACTCAATGCCCCGCAACGTCGAAATGCGCTCTCCCTGGCCGAGCTACGGTCATTGAGGGACCAGATTATCAAGTACAACACCTCACCAACGACGGGGAGACCACTGTTTCTACCACCGTTTAAGCCTTCTGTTCTCGGCCAGCTGGAGCTTGCTCAAGCAAAATCCATCCATGGTAGCAGCGCAGCTGCAAGTCCAAGTTCAGCCCCGACAGGGACAAGCCGAAGCCAGTACTACTCGCCATTAGACAACACAACAGAGGATTACACATGGCTCGTTTCGGCACGAGCCTTCGCACGCGAGCGAGAAGGTCTTCCATCAGTTTTGGTTCTTGCTTCTCAAGGGCCCGTTTTCTGCTCTGGACATGACTTACGCGAGTTACGAAGCCTGTCTGATGATGAGGTTCGCGAGACGTTCCAGATTTGCGCCGAGGTTATGAAACTGATTCGGCGCAGCCCGGCTCTGGTGGTTGGTCGTATCTCCGGCCTGGCCATCGCCGCTGGATGTCAGCTTGCACTGACCACAGATCTGCCAATTGCCCATGAAGCCGTCAAGTTTCGGTTGCCTGGTGCCACACTGGGGTTGCCGTGCTCGAGCCCCGCCACAGCGGTCAGTCGGCGACTAGGTAACTCACGGGCTTTCCGGATGCTAGCCACCGCCGAAGACATAACGGCCGATGAGTTGCAGGATGTGGTCCGTGTGGTTCGTGGCGGAGACGGGCCGGAGGAGCAAACAGCTGTCCTGGACCAGGAGGTGGCCCGGACGGTAGAACGGTTGACCAATATGTCTGCGCAACAGAGTGCCATGGGGAAATGGGCCTTCTGGACACAGGTTGGCTTGACTGGGCGAGATTACGTAGGAGCAGACGGCGCTGTGGTTGAAGGAAATGGTGGAGATGGTTACCAAGATGCCGTTGAGTGGGCTGGACGGGTTATGGCTCTTCATGCGAAGAGCGAGGATGCCAAGGAAGGCATGGACGCCTTTCTAGAAAAGCGACAGGCTGTGTGGCATGGATCATGACCGAAGATAGACCGCGGGATCAAAGGGTCTTGGGAATCGGCGTCCCCAACCTAAAGATGCGGCATCCCCCGAGCTGCTACCACATGCACGTATTCATAAGGTGCCGTCTTAGATGCAACCCCATAGGTTCCTTCGGCAGAGCATGCTGCCATCATAATCTAGCACTTGCCTATGATGAGTCTGCGATATATTAACATGAAGCATACATGTACCGATATAGGAATCGAGAACCGAACCACGACTATTCCAATGGTGCTGCCTTACCAGCTGATCAGCTTCTGTATATTCTGGAAGCCAGCGCCGTATCTTGATCACAATGTGCGTTGCCAACAATATCCGGAACGGGATCTCACTGGAAACGAAGGCACTGTTGACCAGTCCTGATCGCTATTTCCAATCACACTACATGTGACTACGTCTTGCCACAAGTTTGCAATCTGACATCCTATCGAGACCTCCTTGCTCCAGCAACCATAAGCGCTTGTATACTTCGTTAAAAAGAAACGTATGCTCCAAGCGGTGTGTGATCGCAGAAACCCCGGTTTAATCCTCGACATTCTTCACAGCGAGTCGAATGATAGTAATCCTGAATTTCCCGCCTGCTGTATTTGTGTAATGACATCCTCATTGACATCAATTGTTTCATATGATTCTTCAGTACCCAAAATCCCGTGTACAGATCAAATCTTTATTTGCTCCTCAGCACACACTTCCACATGTCGTGTCGAGCAGAGCCTTTCATATGTAATGAAGACTTTCTGGGACCAGCAGCTGAATTGTCTTTATCTTTGTATTACCGAGTATCAAGGTTTGGGATACGAACTGTGCCTGCAGCAACTATGCCACCCAACACGGTTGCGTGCTGTCAGCCGACCAGGAAAAAGAATTTGCGTCAGCCAAAGGATTTCCTGTACCAATCTCTAGATCGTTGTCATCAACAAAAAACACCAAACAGATCTTGCATGAACAGCTTTAATCCTTTCATTACGTCTCTGCCGTTAGCTGACGTCCACGCGGTAAGGCATTCCATTTTGAGGGTGCGGAAGGAAGAGTTCTTGTGTTTACCAATCTCGCTACAGTCGTGTTGCCGCATGTCACTGCCAGTACTTGGTGTAGTAGGCCTGCTGCATACGACGCTCGGATGCGACAGCATGGCTCCGGACCCTAACAATCGGGTCCTAGAGGTAACCGAATGCCCAGCGCCATGTTTCAAGTGCGCTGAGGATGCCACGCCGGACGCGGATGAGCTTGGCTACATCTTGGCTCGGCAACTTGGGCATGCGTTCCAACGATCTGACTTGCTCGGGCGACCGATCCAGTTACTGTAGTTGTTTTGTTTAACGGCTTTAGCACGGTCTCTGTTTCACAAGGATAGTGTTGACTTTTCTGGCACACAGAATGGTAAGTACGATCGAGACTTGCATGCTATGCCACCATGTATGTGGCAGAGTTGGTGTTCTTGCCCGCTAGTCCTTGCCTTCGCGCGTTCGTTGTCCTCCAAGTCTCGACCGTGCCTCTTGATAGAGAAAGCTTTCAGTTTCACAGAGTTGTGATCCGACAAGGAAGTCAGATTATCGTGAAAAACGGATCCAACAGGATCGGCGTTCTCTTCTGCTTTTGGTCGTCACGGCTCGGCAGTCCGCGCAACTATCCCTCGACACCATGGGCGCGCGATAGTTAAGCGCCATCGCACGCAAATGCCACCTGGGCTCCAAGGATTTAGTGTTGCGGCTCGCCAAGGTGCAATTCCGCTGTTGCCCCTTGCAATGTGAGCCGGCCATGCATCTCACCACTAGCTGCCCATACAATCTTCGAGAAGGGATGAGATCCGGGGACAGCGGGCCTAATGACGGATCCATCCTGGAGACTCCACAGTGTCCGCTTGCCACGGCCCCGTGGGCCGACTTTACGGAATCATAGACAAACTTTCCCGGTGGCCCAACTGTTGGATTTCCTCGATTGGGCTGGGGGATCTGCAATTTGAGCTTAACGAGATGTTGGGTTCGAGGCAGAGCAACATGGCTACCAGTCTGCCACGAACATGACTTAGAAGTTGTAGATGACGTCAAGTCAGGTGCTCCCCGCGTTTGGCGTCATAACAGCTCACGAACCGAGGGTCTCTGGGCTGATGGAACAGTGTCATAGGAGAGTGTTGCGGGAGTCACGTCCACTTGTTATGCCAAAGGGAGGGGGCGAATGTGAGAGTTTATCACGACGGAGTTGAATGCTGGATGGAGGAGAGCCCCTAACACTCGCTAACTAAGCACAAATTAGCGTCCTGTGGGCAGGTGCTGAGCTAAGCTGATCGAGGCCCAGGGGTTCGGGTACGCCCAGAAGAGAAAACCGTTGAGGTCTTTTCGGACGCTCCCCCTTGTTAGTTCCGGTCCGGGGTATAAGCTTCTAGGCGCACGCTAACCAAAGCTCAGGAATTCAGGCCCGATGTCCGCCAGACGAAACGCGCTGCCCTGCTTGAATTTTGGGCGCTATGCTGCCCACAGCACGCGACTTATCCCTCCCTGATAATCACAAGCGTCTTTGTCCCAGACTTCCCCGTGGACGTGATCCGGAGAATCCTAGGCCCAAATGTAGTCGGAGAATTTTGGTCAATCATAAAGAGGAACGGGCGTTGCAGCCTCTTCGCTTCCTCTTGGAGGACCACGGAAGGGCGGATTCCGCTTCTGGATTTGGAAGTGAACCTCCAGTTTAGGAAACTCAGTGTGACAATCTTATACAGCGTTCTTGTACCTCCATCGACGTCTATATCAGCCTTGATCTCCCCTCACCTTCGTTGTGACATGTCTCTCTTCGCTCGACGTCCCATTCGCCTCTCCGAGACTCTTCACCACCGAGAGTCACAGCAAAGATGTCGTCGAGCGCGTCTAAGGAAAACATTCACAAAGAGAAGCAGGCAGCTGCTCCTACGGTGACCACCACTGCTGTACCGGCCAGTAAGGCTCCTAGTAAGGGCAAGAAGGAGAAGGAGGTGCATAATGTGAGTGCAATGGGTTATGGTGACCATTATCTTCAACTGAAGTGGGGCTGACGATGCTTCATGGCATAGGCCGAACTGTACGCCGCTATCCAGGAGGCCAACATCAACCCCTGGAGCTGGACCTCTATCCACCTCTACTTCGCTATCTTTATCTCTTTCTGCTGTGCTGTCGCCAACGGCTACGATGGCTCTCTCATGACTTCCATCATTGCCATGCGTCACTTCGTTGAAGTTTTCAAGCCAAAGGAGGGTACTAATGAGTCTGTTATTTTCTCTCTGTACACTGTGTATGTGAACGCCCCTGCTATTGTCGCCCCCTCCCCCCACCCCCCAAAAAATGGTTTGCAAACAGCACAAGCGACTAACAGGCATTTAGCGGTGCCATGGTTGGCGCTCCTTTTGCTGCTACTCTCTCCGACAAGTTCGGCCGCAGGAAGGCCATGTTCTGCGGTGGCGCCGTGATCATCATCGGTATGATAATCATCTCAACTGCCATGAAGTTCGCCCAGCTGGTTGTCGGGCGCTTCGTCCTTGGTCTTGGTATTGCTATCATGACTGTCGCCGCCCCCGCCTACTCGATCGAGATTGCTCCTCCCCATTGGCGCGGTCGCTGTACCGGTTTCTACAACTGCGGTTGGTTCGGTGGCTCTATCCCGGCTGCCATCGTCACCTTCGCCACCAACTACATCGACAACCACTATTCGTGGCGCATCCCTCTCATCCTTCAGGCGTTCGCTTGCGTCATTGTCATGATTGGCGTCTTCTTCATCCCTGAGTCTCCCCGTTACCTCATGGCCAACGGTCGCGATGAGGAGGCCTTCGCTTTCCTGGTCAAGTATCACGGCAACGGTGACCCAAACTCCCGCCTTGTCCGTCTTGAGATCGAGGAGATGCGCGAGGGTATCCGCCAGGACGGTATCGACAAGGTCTGGTGGGACTACCGCCCTCTGTTCCTCACCCATAACGGCCGCTGGCGTATGGCCCAGGTGCTCATGATCTCCATCTTCGGCCAGTTCTCTGGTAACGGTCTTGGTTACTTCAATACCACTATCTTCAACAACCTGGGTGTCGACAGCATCCCGGCTCAGCTTGGCTACAACATCCTCAACCAGGGCCTGTCTGCATTTGGTGCTCTGACGGCCGTCTCGCTGACCGACCGCATGCCCCGCCGCAAGGTCCTGGTCATCGGCACCTTCATGTGCGCTCTCGCTCTGGCTACTAACGCTGGTTTATCCGAGAAGATGGCCCAGCTCGATGCCAAGGGCCTTTTCTCTGCCTCGTACGGCAAGGGTGCTCTCGCCTCTTACTTCCTCTTCAACATCATCTACTCCTTCACCTATACCCCGTTGCAGGGTGTCATCCCCACCGAGGCCCTCGAGACCACAATGCGTGCCAAGGGTCTTGCCCTGTCTGGCTTCATTGTCAACGCAGTCGGCTTCATCAACCAATTCGCAGGTCCCATTGGTTTGAAGAACATCAAGCACCGCTACATCTTCGTGTTCGTCGGCTGGGATGTCATCGAGGCCATTGCTTGGTATCTCTTCGGGTATGTTAGCTTAGCTTCCTTTTCCTCCTTCCTTTTCCTTCAAGGCACATTGCTGACTGGGTTGCAGTGTCGAGTCTCAGGGTCGTACTCTCGAGCAGCTCGAGTGGGTCTACAATCAGCCTAACCCGGTCAAGGCCTCCCTCAAGGTCGACAAAGTCGTTGTTGATGAGGAGGGCAAGGTCACCGAGAAGCTCGAGGCCTAAATTTTTGGACGAAATAGCTCGTTTGGATCTAACTTGTTTGGGCAGTACTTTACGGATACCCAGAATGTGTTGTGTATCATGATGACTTTTTATGCCCCTGGAGGGGCAGTGTCACTTATCTAAACCAATAACTGGTGGTGACTGTCAATAGAGGCATGTGTTGGCATACTGTTTCTCTTTAATAAAAACCTTGTTCATACCCCAGCTTTCTGCTTTTTGTACGCCTTGGCATGAAGTGTGCGAAGATCCTTGTTCATTCGAGCACGAGATGGTGAAACCCAACAAAAGATGCTAGTGGAGTCTCCCTCGGCAATGGCTGTTGGATTTCAGGGGCTCACCAACCCCCATTTTACTTAGGCTGCTAATCTTCACAACCTCAGCCCCGGGCTCAAAGCCCAGATGGCACCACATGCGGAGACCCCACGGGACAGTCTAACCGCAAGACTAGCCAGCTGACCAAAACTTTAAGCTAGCGATACTAGTGCCTGGGATGAAAGATCAAAAGCAGTCTAGAATATACTGTAGAACTGAGATGGCACATGTCATGTCATCCCGACTCGCCATTGCGCTGGTCGTTGGTGAACAACCTGTATGCGCCCAGTCAGTGGCGCGTCGTCAATGCGCACAGAGTCGTGATGAGGACCATGACCGCAAGGCTGATGACGAACTTTCCCATTGATCTACCTGCCAAGGCCTCCACGGTCCTCAGGGTACAACAAGATCTTCGAAGCCTTGAGCCTACTCCGTCGAAACTTGAAGCTGGAGGTAGCATATTACTTGCCTATTACCCATATAAGTCTTTTTGAGTTATTTTCAGATGTTTTGTCATCGAGGGAACTCCAGTCTCCTACATTCTCGATTGCAGTATGCGTCCTCAGCCAACGCCTGCCATGTCGTCGATAAGAAGTTCGGGCCGCCATTCATCAGCGCTCTCCTTTTATGGAAACAACTCCGTTGCCAGTCATCCTCTCGCCAAGTAGCGGACGGAGTGCTGCGGCCACAGGCAAACTACCCCAACACGATGACTGGACGCGAAAAAGGATGCTGCTTTTCACTATGTAATATACATACAGCATGCCGCAGGATTGCCGCGGCGGGGCGTCTGCTACCGCAAGACATGCGTTTCTTTGGATCAACTGTTTCGCAGCGTTTCAATTATCGAGTCTCACGCATTCACTCCTGCCGCCAGTGGTTCTTGAAGTCTTGGGGGCACGGAGCGTCGCCATGCGAAAGCTTAATCCGTTCAATTCCCACGTATGTACGACACACATTGTACATGGTGCATCATGCGCTACGTCTGTTTTCTAGGGCCCCAATATAAGCTGGATGATGTTTGCTTCGGACCGAATATAGGCCCCTTTTGTTGGTGGTTGGTTCTCCAGCATCCCAGCTAAGGTGCATGAGCTCAGCCTGCATGCTGCCGGCAGCAATATTCCCCTGCTTCCCACCGGTAGTGTCCTATCAAATCTACACATTGATGAACGCGCTTGTGAGGCGCTCTTGGGCATCTGTGCGGCAAACACGTTTGATGGTTACATGCATGGTCAGTTGATGGTTGCCATTGGGTTGCAAGATGACAACGGTAACAGCGCATCACAATCCCGATGCCGCTCCTCTCCATAGCATGGGTGCTGTGGGGCCCTGCCCCGTCGTATCTCGAGGACTTCAGTCTTGATATCACAGGATCACGGCGGACTCAACCACGGCAGCACAGAGAGACAGGTGCTGGATAAACTGAAGCTATGGCAGCTTCTGACGTTTTCTCCTTCATCCTCACTCACTATCAGCTTGGAAGAGACCAAGCTCCCGGGGAAAGGGTTTCCCCGATCAAGCTCATACCGTGAGAGTGATGGCACTAAATTGATTCTTTTTCTGACCGAATGCTTGTAATGGCACACCCCTCAGAGACAGCTAACGGTCAGCCGGGATTGTAAAATTGTAAAAGCATCAAATCGTTATCTGTGCCCGAGTTTCATCATCTAACGAGGCGTAGGCATAGGTACATGCAACTGTATGACAGCATCCAGCCCAGATGGCAATGATTGAACAATACGATAGGGAGTATCTTGGCTTTCCATGGTCTTTTGATCTCCCTCCAAGCCAGAGGACAACCCTCCAGACTTTTCAATTCCCACCTCCCAACGAGTTCGCAGCTTGCGCGTCAGGGTAGAAGAACGCGGCTACTGCGATTATGACGTAACCAGCGCAAAGCAACGCTCCCTCGAGGTAATTGCTTCTTCCGTCAAGCACCAAGAAGTTGACAATGAAGGTGCTCACGAACACACACACGGTTTCAAATAGAGTAAAGAACAAACTCATGTCCTTGCCCAGTGCCCATCCCAATAGCACTACCAAGGGTGTAACAAACAGAGCAATCTGAATGCTGCTTCCAACCGCCACACCAATGGCCAAGTCCATCTTGTTCTTCAGCGCCATGCTCACCGAGGTCACATGCTCAGCCGCGTTACCCACTACAGGCAGCAGAATCAAGCCGATGAAAGCCTCGGAAAGACCAGGATCAGTGGCGACAAGTTCGTCGATAGAGGAAATCATGAATTCAGCGCAAACAGCCACGAGAGCCGTAGAAATCAAAAGCAAAATGATGGCGGTATTGCGTGAGGCCACACAGGGGTGATGTTTAGGCGGTTCCTGGACGGTGCTGAGAGTGTCGGGCGAACCCGTGGTGGGAGCAACAGACGTCGGGTCACTGCCACGGGCTCGTTGCGATCTTACAATAGGTTCTTGTGCGTGGCAAACAGGCTCAGTAAATGCTCTGCGGACTCCAGTGGTTGGCCAAGAGTTCCGGACCGGTTCGTTGAAACATGTGGCAAGCCTACTTGTAGTCGAAGGTCGGAGAGCCAGAATGGAAAGCGGCCTAAGTTGAGATGGTATTGCCTGTGCTTCTATAGTAGGACCAGAGGCAAAGTCGATGCGTCCGATACCGTCTTGTTCCTGTCGAGGAATCCGTGAAGGGCCCTGGGAGGGAGAACCATGGCCATCACTGCTGCGCGAATGTGAAACTCCGGGCTGTGATCGGCTCTTATGCCCTTGACAATACCCATTCCATTCAACTGACTCATCCAGAGAGACTGTGTGGTTATTTCGCTGGCTAGGGCACAGGATTAGTTCTTGTTCCGACAGAGACCGCAGTCGGCGGCGAGACAAATTGGAGGCGCTCTGACGGTTGACAGCCGTGTCCGGACCGTCATGGTTGCTTTGGTCAAGAATCAGCCTTTCGTCCTTGTCTTTTCCAAGCATGGTTGAATGTATCAACTCGCTTGCGTCGCTCCTAGGCTTTGAGCCATCGGTTTCCTCCTGTAAGCTCGATTGAGAAGAATCGGGTGCCTGATCGTTGTGGAAGTATTGGGCGGCAGGTCCTGGCGCTGACTCCCTTTCCACAATGTGTTGTGGAGTTGGAGCAAATATGTAAGAGTGGGATTTGAGTTGAAATACCAGATACAGCAAGTAGACCAACAAGATGATCACGCTCGTCCCCCTGCTAACCTGCAAAACTTTATCGTCCGCGGCTATTGAGTTGGTGAAAGAGGCATGGAATGCTGTAGGGAGCAGCAAGCTTGTCACACTCAAGGAGAGCAAGCAAGCACTTGTCTGAGTTACTGTACTGTTGTAGACCTGCTCACGGTACCGGAGACCGCCAAGGAGGAAGCACATCCCCAAAATCAGGAGCATGTTGGATAGAATAGATCCAACAAGCGACGCCTGGACGATGCGGATGTGGTCCTTAACGAGGGCAACACTATGATTCCGTTAGTTAAAAGTGTAAGGATGTCTAGGTAGGGATTGACCCACATGAAAATAATGAGCTCGACAGCATTGCCGAAAGTGACATTCATCAAGGCGCCGACAGTATCGCCAACATAACTAGCCAAACTCTCCGTTGCATAAGTGAGCAAGCCTGCCAATGGGACAATTGCAACAGCATTCATGGCGAATACTACGCCGGCAGGGAGCCCAGTGAGCTCTGGGAAGCGTATCGTCAGCAAATGTCCGACTTAATCTTCACAGGGAAAAGAATGGTAACTTACGAGCTGCGATACCGACCGGCACGAAGACCAGCAGGACGTTGACAATGCTGGAGAAGATGATCTGCCTTATGGTTAAGAGTAGCTGTTGAATGGTCGTCCGGGCTGCTGTACATTCAGGATGGTGTTGGGGGGCCTCCGAAACTGGTGTTATCTCAACCTGTGAGGCCGTGTTCGTTAATGCTTCCGGCATCTTCTAATGCGGTTTAGATGTCTTGACGCGGTCAGGATGCCAGAGATGTGACAGTTGGTGTTGCAGTCGCAAGCAGGCCCGTGAGAAGTAAGCATGAGAAACTGTATCCAGATCACGAGGACAGCCGAAGACAGTTTCCCCGGATAATTGTTGTCGATTTATTAGAGTTGTCAAAAGAGTAGAACGGCCAAAGCCTGGCGCTGAGCGCAGCTAAATTGTCAGTGAATTACAGCTCTGGCCTCGCCAGGAAGATGCCATCAGGAGTTGCCGAAATAGGCAAAGTTAGGGTCAAGTGCGTATATCACAATGGCTAATGGAGACCAGCGATCCATTTTCGGCTTCAGATAAAGATCAAGAAGGCCTTCGGGACCGACAGAAACGCAGCCGTGCTGTCTTGAACCAAGATTCCAATGCGGTATCTGCTCTGCCTATTGATGGGAGTTTTATTCGCAGGCAGCAGTGTGTAGGCAAGGATCTCGAAGTGGCGCAACGCGTGCCCCTCGCTCCTGCTGTGTCTGCCTGTGTGTTCGGGATACAGCCGTTATTACGTGGTAAGACGAGATGGGATCTCAGATATCTTAGCGTAGACAGCTCGACTTCGGACGGACTCGGGCCACCTGAGCTTTTATGCAACTCAGTTATCGCGCAAAGAAGGAAGGGGGGTCAAAGCTGCCACCGACAATAGCCTGAAGAGCTCTGACGTGGACTTCAAAATCACACAACTCTGAGAACCGCGTAATAGGAAAACTAATAGTTCCTAATTTCAATTTGCATCGATGGATATTCACCAAATGGTTGCCATCCCTTTGTCAAGTGACTCGAGGATCCATCTGCCATGAGCAACGAAGATCCCCCCTATCCACTCAATCCGAGTAGTACTCCGAATCGCTATGCTCAATTGCTGGGCAACATCCGCAGCATTCATTCAGGCACTCTAGACATGCACCAAAACAACAGAGACTGGCGCAGAACCAGGCCCAAAAAGAGACAGGAGGGGGAGGTCGCTCTCTCTGCTTTTTCCTTCGCCTCTTTTCCGCAACAACAATACGTGTTGGAGAAGGTGAATAGCGTCCGAATCGCCTAGGTGAGGCTTCAACAATGACCGGACCACGCCTGGATGGGGGATGATATGCACTTGGAGGACACCGAACACTTGATACAGGCACGGGTGTTAGTCGTGGATGACGAGCTTTCTAGTGGCAGTCCCAGTTCGAACATACATGTATTCCACTCTCGGTTCCTCGCAACAGCAGTCTCCTGCCATAGATGCCTTGGTTTTTGCGATTTTTATTATGTACCTATCGGAATATGGAAATCCCACCTCAACATAGGATCTCCTTGAAGTTGGCCCCGGCTATTGAGCCTGGAAGCTCGAGTGTTAGTCCAAGAGATCTACCCCCGCGCTGCGGCCGCGCCAAGAGGAGAGAGTATGGGAATCACGACCCCGCTTATCTAAGCGGTCGAACGGGTTAGCGACAGGAAAGCGGGACCGGTTGCCACCCTCAATCACAGCCAGGAGGAAACAGCACAGAGGGTAGAAGTGTTCCTGTCTCGGTCCCGTTAGTTAGGTCGACGATGTGAAGAATCGGAGTGGCTACACCGCGGGAGCTTGGACTGAGAATTGGCATGAAACTGGCCGGCAACCGCAGACTGTTTGTGATGTGGGGAGGGGGGGGAGATAGGGAATATTGAGATGGTAAGAGGTCTTGTAGGCTGTGAGACAAGATTGTCTCGAGACCAACCGCTCACATAAGCTTCAAGGAGCGGTATATCTGGCCTTTTAATCCTCTCAGCTCAATATTGTTGGAGTCGGCTAGAGCACAACCTGGGGGGGGGGGGCAATTGGGTAGGCTTGTGGCACAGCAATTCAAATTTCGAGTCCTGTTGGCTAAAAGAATCGTGAGATGGGTAGCTCGCTTGATACGGCAGCTGAACGCTGCATATCACCAAGATAAAGGTCTGTGCCGAATAACTGCATATCTTTTGATAGGAAGTTGATCGGTTATGAATAACAGCAGACCAGAAGCGGGCGGCAATCTCTCTCTCCCGAACAGGTCCTGCTTGACACCGGTGCCAAGCCGGAGGGCGAAGACGAGACTAGGACCGATCCTAACGGCCGGGTCTTAAGGCCCAGACCAAGGCCGTGACCTGTTTCAGAACAGCTTCGCTGAGGTGTTCTCCGAAGGCGTGACTCCTCGACTCATTTCAAAGGCCCAGTGGGAAGTGCCCAGAGAGCCATTTCGTCCCCTTTCCCCCATCATAACAGGCTCAATACAACACAACTTGTGTCGAGAGTGAGCGCCTGGCTTCATCTGCATCAATCCGCTACATATCTCGACCCGAGCTGGCATTATAAACTGCATCGAGGAAACTATTGTGATCAATCAAGTCTTACTAAAGTTCTGGCGTTAAAACTTGACCTCACCATGGGAATTCCCGCTCTTTTAGCGACCTTCGCCGCGTGCGGCAGCATTGTGACATCTATCAAATCTGGCTGGGAGTTGCGTCGCATGGTGAGACGCAAAGTAGAAGCGAAAGAGTGCGAAGAAGAAGCACCTTATGTGTTTCGTCGGCTGCGCCTGGCGTATTCGGACGGACTTATGAGTGTTCAGGAGTACGAGCTATGGTACGAGAGGTTTCTCGTGGCTAAAGTTGAGAAGGACTGTAAGTTTTCCGTACATCAAGCCCCATCGCCTAATTAAGAGATACGTTGTAGAATCGCTGACATGAATGGACAGTGGCGGCCATGAGGAGAATCCGGGCCCATCTCCGAGTACTCGAAAATGGGGCGCCGGTGACTCCAAGCCAGCGCTCACGGGACTTTGAGAGGACCAGACGGCGGCATTCGATTTCATTCGAAAGTAGCCCATATAATGTCGGATGGAGGGATCTAAAAGAAACCATTGATTACCGGCAGCACCGTTCCTCTCAAGTGGGTGCGCGCCCAGAGGAATTCATCCGCATGGACCAGCAAACACATAGTCGCTCATCCTCGTCAGATAGCTCATCGAGGTCCTGTAGCGATCGTAGTTCACAGGCCTGCAAGGGGTATCGGAAATGGATTGACAGCGAGTGGCCGGACTATGACAGCAATAATGAGAGTAGCAATTACTATGATGAGAAAAAGTCCCGGCGTCGTGGGCGTGCCCCGCGATAGACAACAATGAGTGGCAGTGGCTGGGGACGAGGAAAAAGATGTTGTGGCAATCTTCAGGCTGAGAGGATGTGACTCCTTTCGCTTGACTATCTGTATCTGTAAAGCGATGGACCAGGTCTCTTACCGCCAATTTGAATTCTGGTCTTGCAAAAAGTTGATTCTTTCACACTCTGTTAGTGCCGTTGAACTTCAAAACGAAAAGATGCCGTCGACCTTGGCGCGGTTTTGCGTTCCGAGAATGCTTGGCATCACGCGGATGCATAAGTGGGGCAAATTCTGCACTCTCTCACCGCCAAAATTTTATGGCAATTGGTCCCCCCTTGCATTTAGACTCCCGATGTAAACGATAGAGATTATTGATCCATAGCAGCATTCCAGCACTCATACTCTTAAAATTTTGCGCTTGCAGCAATGGCTACATTAGCCCCTCCACCGTCAAAACGGCAAAGACGAGAGGAGATTCAGCGCACACAAACACAGCAAGATGTGACGCCGTTGGTGGCCACCGACCTGGGCTCTTTCAAAGCCAACTTTATCGACAGTGATGGCAACCAAATGACCGATGTTGTCGAGATCAACTTCGCCGACGCCACCGAAAAGAACATCTCAAATCTTCTAAACACACTATTAGGCCGGGTATGCATGTCAATTGACGGATGCTTCGTTTAGGTATGCTGATAGGGAGCCCCCAGGATAGAGAAGAGTTTACCCCCTACCGTTTCCGCATCCATATTCCCGGGAAAGATCTCATCATCGACCAGTACCCGAATGACTTGCTTAGTCTTCTACAGAAGCATGGTGTGACAAATCCTTTCGAGTATGATCCTGCCCAAATTCTAGGTCAACACTGTGCCCAATTAACATGGCAACAGGACAACAATTACTCTTAGCGCAGAACCACAAGCTATTTTTAAAGTCCATGCCGTCTCACGACTCGCTCACCGTATTCCAGGCCATGGACAACCGATTCTGTCATGCCAGTTCTCCCCAGTATCGTCAAGCCGCTTGGCAACGGGAAGCGGCGATAACACTGCTCGCATCTGGGATACCGATTCCGGCACTCCCAAGTTCACCTTAAAGGGGCACACCGGGTGGGTGCTGGGAGTCAGCTGGAGTCCTGACGGGAAGTACTTGGCTACCTGCTCCATGGATACAACAGTGCGGGTTTGGGATCCCGAGAGTGGAAAACAGGTTAACCAGGAGTTCAGAGGCCATGCAAAATGGGTCCTTGCCTTGGCTTGGCAGCCATATCATCGTGAGTACCATATTGCCGTTCCTCAGACCCGGATTTCATTATGTTAACTAGCCTCAGTTTGGAGAGATGGCACCGCACGCCTTGCTAGTGCCAGCAAGGATTGTACTGTCCGTATATGGCTAGTAAACACTGGCCGCACCGAGCATGTCCTGAGCGGACATAAGGGATCTGTAAGCTGCGTCAAATGGGGAGGAACTGACCTGATCTATACTGGGTCGCACGACAGATCTGTCCGTGTTTGGGATGCCGTAAAGGGAACTTTAGTGCACAATTTCACTGCGCATGGACATTGGGTCAACCACATTGCGCTATCAAGTGATCATGTACTTCGCACTGCGTATCATGACCATACCAAAGAGGTTCCTGGAACTGAGGAGGAGAGGCGTGCGAAGGCAAAGGAGAGATTTGAAAAGGCAGCAAAGATCAAGGGCAAGGTCGCCGAACGGCTAGTCTCGGCAAGTACGTGGAGAGTATCCGTCCGCTTACGGCCTCTGCTGACTGTTAAATAGGTGACGATTTCACGATGTACCTTTGGGACCCAACCAACAATGGCAGTAAGCCTGTTGCAAGGCTACTTGGTCATCAAAATAAGGTGAACCACGTTCAGTTCTCTCCCGATGGCACGCTCATTGCCAGCGCGGGCTGGGATAATAGCACGGTGAGTTCCCTCTCTCGTTATCCTACCCCACTGTAGAAAATCTAACCCATGGGACATGCAGAAGCTGTGGAACGCCAGAGACGGCAAGTTCATCAAGAATTTGCGTGGTCATGTTGCTCCGGTAGGTGGAATTTATTCAAGAAACCTGGCCATTGTTTTCTTGACTAACATGATTGTACAAGGTTTACCAATGTGCCTGGTCTGCTGATAGCAGACTCGTTGTCACCGGCAGCAAGGACTGTACTCTGAAGGTGTGGAATGTACGCACCGGAAAGCTGGCCATGGATCTACCAGGTCATGAGGATGAGGTATGTTCCTGGTCAATCTGCTGTGTGATGACGGAAAAGGGGTTGGTGCAGTGCCCTATTCCCGACAACCCCTTTCCACGATCAATAAATCACAATTCTGTTTCTATCTATGCACTCCTATTTCTGGTTTCTAGGAAGCAAGAACAAGCGAACTAACAGGTGATTTCAGGTATATGCCGTTGACTGGGCGGCAGATGGCGAGTTGGTTGCCTCGGGAGGAAAGGACAAGGCTGTTCGGACATGGAGAAACTAACCCTGGTAAGGTCGGAGTAAACGCTGACCGAACACTGATGTCTCTCATCAATGTAGACCAAAAATCTACTTTTCCAGTTCTATCCGTAGGTAGTAAGGATGAGGAAGCCGATGATACCCAGCCTTCTCTCTAGGCATAGGATTTCAGACCCGCAGGACACATCAATAGAGAGGACTTTTGATGGAGAGTTTCAGATCGTTTTCAGTGCCGATCGACCTGCTCGATTGATGATGTTCTCAAGAGTGGTGGTGGTCTTGTGTATCCGTACTGCTGGGCTGTGCTACAGTCAACCAGCCCCCGAAGGACTTCGAGTTACCTAACTGTTTTGCTTCTTAATGGATGGTGTCCATTTCGTTATCTAACTTGATATCCGGGAAAGGCTAAAGGAGGATACACATTTTAAGGAGACCAACATGTGTGCTCTTTCTTGTCTAGCCGCTGAGATGATTGCCGCTCCTGCCAAGTCCCTGCAGTGAAGGAAGATGCAGGGCATTGAGTTGAAACTTTACCTCTTTGAAGCTTTCTTGTCTGTAACAGCTGCCAATGCACTGTAATGCAGTGATGGCTTCAGGGTGCTGGATCGTTGCTTTAAGTCGCACCACATTGACTGATAGGGACTGGTCTTGTGTCCAACAGGAAACGAGACCTTTGGCACATATTCCGGTGTTGAAGGTGTCTGCATGCACTGCCTACTTGTGCATGCGCTGATGGTGCAGGTTGAGATTCGGTAGCCTGGCAGGCATGTACTATCCGTGAGCAAGTGCCTAGGGTGCCTTTAATGTGCAAGCTGGATGGATGGATGGCGATTGCGTGGCTTGCTGCCTTCGTCTCTTTCCAATCACATTCCCTTCTACGTCGGAACTGATCAGGATGTTTCGTTTTGCTCAGGGGACTGTCACCGGTCGGCGAGCTTCGCCTACTTTGTGAGAGGGCTTTTTCCTGCTCGAGGAGATGATATGAAAAGTTTTTCGATTGTGAAACGGGACATTCCATCTTGGTTTCTCTCGTCAAGTGTAGCGAGACGCAATGGTCAGGGAAAGGGAAGCGAAGCGCGGTATTTTCAGAAGACTTTGTTGTATCTTGGCATGGCAGCCAGGGGTGCTGGTCCGACTGGCTGCTGTGGTTTGCCTGCCGTCGAAGCGGCACAGTAGCATTCAGGGCTCGCTTTCTGGTTCTAGACTTACGTGAAGATATCGTTTTGGCCAGCGGATCCTGGAGGATGAAGTGGAAGCTCGGTACTGGGTGTCTTTGAAAATATCGTAGCATATTTAAACGCGGATGGCGGACCCTTTTTTTTTCTGCTGTGAAAGGTTTACTTGATTGGACCTTGATTGACCTCACCATTTCAATTGGACGATCTGACTTTGTTTATCTTTTGAAGACGTTCAAGAGCACGTATGACCAGAAATCGAAATGGTCATGCGAAGTGGTTGAAGTCAATTTTCCCCAGCTTTCATGCAAGCAAGATCCCCCGTACTAGACGGCTTGGACACCGGCACTGGGGTTATGCATGCGCGAGATATCGGCGCTCCATGATCCGTACCAGTTTCCGGGGGGGCGGGCGCCTGATAAGGGGAGAACCGCAAGAACCACAGCAGCGGCGTTCCATCCATTGTAGCATTCCCAACGAACCTGGATGGGATCACGGATGATATGGTTCCCTATTTATGTACCAATGACACAAACAGATGGATTGTAGGATTGTCGAAATGCTCAAAAAGAGGGCGACAAGGTTCAGTCCGTCGTTTCGAAGAACAACCGCTTCGCCGGCATTTGGCCCACTTGCCGTTCGGGGACAAGATGATGCGCAGTGCTGACTTTCGATCGCCGGATTGGGACTGGACTGTCGACTCGGGCCGTCCCATGGATGGTCTGCGTCATAGTATTCTACCATGCTATTATGCTAGTACGCACCTGTACGCGTTGGAACGGTTTTGGACAGGGCATGCTTTAGGTCTGGCACCTTGCACCGGCCCTGCACGTAGCCTCCTAGCGGATTGCTTGTCGGGGTTCGGAACAAGTTGGGGGTCAAACAGCGCCAGTGCTGAGATGGTTAACGTCTCCAGCAAACTTGAGGCAAAGCTGTCAAGCCCAGACTCTCCCATGCTGCTGTTGGCGACAGCATTCATTGCCTCATGAGAGTTGCCTAATCGGGCATTGAAGTTTTGTCGTGAGACTCTATACTCGCTTCGGGTCACGGCTCGGCGATATTTTTTGAGCCATGCCTCGGTATATATATACTAATAATATCTCTAATGGGCCTTTGATGACAACAGGCAATGAGAGCTTAGAATGCAGGTCGCTGAGCTATTTTCTGGATCCCAACAACCGGTTGCCGCCAAGAGTTTCGCCGCTTTGGGGACTGGTCCTTATATATATTCTTACCGCTGTGATTGATCAGGGAACCAACTTTCAACAAGGGAAAACAAGTCGAAAAAGTTTAAACTTAGAGGGTGCGCTTTCATTTTAGCCTGTTACAACGAGAGATCGCAACCCATGTCAACTCGGAAGATCTCGGAGTCGCCGCCATGTACAAACGGTCGATCGCATCGCCTTGTGGCTTCTTTTCGTAGCAACTGTTTGTGCCTAGGGCATGGTCCGTGCATCACAGAGATTTCCTGGTGGCTTGCATCGTTCCAGCAGCCAAGCCAGAGCCTGCCAAGGCTTGGTACACCGGATGGAAGGGTGTGAATGGCCGATGATGCAATGGCATGCGTCTTTCTCCAACACCATGGACCCAAAGATGACTGGTATCGTAATTACCACAGCTGGCACGTTGTGCAGCCTGTTGTTTTGACTGGACAGCACTCCTACATCGCCGGTTGCTGATGAGCAAGCTGCGGCACCATGTGAAATCAAGCAGCCTGAGTCTGTCATTGTGACAGTAGACTCAGGTTTTGAGCTTGCTTACGATTGTCAGGAAGGGATATTTGGTCTGTGCTTCTCTACAGTGCGCAGACTTTGGTCAACATCGCCAGGTCGGATCTTGAATGACTGATGGCCTGCCGGATTGCCAATCCCCTTCCCCGAGCTAGAGCCCGTCCAACCGTATTGCGCAAGCCAACATACACTGGCCATCTCATGAGCTGTTCAGTGAGGGGCCGGAGGGCCTACCTCGGTCGGATTGACGGAGTTGGAGCCTGAGCTACTGTTGCTTGGACACTGCGTTTAGAGGTATGGAGGACGCTGGATACAAACCTTTCTGCAATCAAAAAGCACTCAGGCCTGAAAGCTATGGCATCCGAGTCGGGTTGTAGAGTCATTAAGGAGAGGTCCAAACATTACAGCTGTTATGATGCTTTCTGTTCAGTTCCCAACTCATGCGCCATGGTGTAGAGGTGGGGCTCCCTTCGGTGTCCCATATACTACAATGCCGCAGTTCTCAGCCCCAGCTTCCTTGATTCGTCTGGATGCAGGGTTGGATTTGGGGCTTGGCAGCATCGTGGCCATGTTTTATGTGGTAAAAGAGGCGACCTGGGACTCCAGCTTCAGGCAGGTTCGAGTATTGGAGGCCGCACATGTGTTGTTCATCCCATATCAGTTGCTGATGAACATGTCCGGGTCTTGGAATCATATGGGTGGTCAGCCTTAATGTCGATGGATTGTCTACTTGTTGTGTAACTGAGGTTTCTGACGAGTCACCATCACTAAGTGCTAATGCCTCGCAAGCAGGTACCTATCTACCCTTCTGGTACTGCTCAAACCAAAAGAGTGTATTAATGACAATGCTTTATCAGTTGACCGTCTTTGATTGTGCCGTGATGCCGTGTGTGGTAGCATCATTGGCCTTTCGACCAAACCTTATTATTCTCAAAACACGGCTCACAGCCGGGCACCACCAAATCTAAATGATTTTGTACGGTAACATGAGTGATTAGATGCCTGGACGTGAATGATGGGTACGGATTACTTCGGGAGCAGAGTCCTAAGAGGCCTGCAAACCGACTACAACTGAGAGGATTAAGACCGGAGACAGTTGGCTATATGGCGGCACAGCTGGCCCAATCCCTTTTCTGCAGAAAACAAGAGCCCAGCGCCAAATGTAAGCCTCATGCAGGCAGATGTTTGTTGCTACATTGGCGAGGTGAAGTTTGGTGTTGAGCCGGTTGAAACGGTTTGTTCTGGGCGGGGCATGCGGCCAGGGTCCTGTCTGCGCTTCCTAACCCCTGTCTCCCAGGGTTTCCACATAGGCTCCACTCATGCCGGATCCCTTTCTGCGTTGGATCGCTGGAACAACCAGCAGGAACCGCAGATGCCCAGCCGTCCTAGCTCCACTGCAGTGCCTTGTCGAGAAACTTCTCACACCCCGGCTGACATGAAAGTCCTGGACCTGGCTGAAAAATGATTCAAATGCCAACGCACTTCCATGTCCAGCCTTGATTCTCCCATCGCATGGAGTCTCTGGACCTGGCCTTGTTGGTTCTCCAATATCTCTGTGTTTCTTTTTAGGACGATCCCCAATTGTTCTCGTCCATGTCTGGTTCTCTGCTTAGCCAGCTAGAGCTTAGCTGCCAGCATTAACTCTTGTCGGTGTCTTGCTCTGGCCGGATCTTAACCTTCAGAACTTCCCATCCCCTCTGTTCACCTGCTCACCTTCCATGCGATCGTCGTAACAGCTAAAGCGCTGGAAGTCATATAGGCAAGTTTGACCTTCTCCTCATGCCTCCCAACTCTTCTTCAGCCGCAGACCAACATGTGCCTGCAAAATTGTTGGCATGCTCAACGTGGCGCTTTGGAAGCAGGGCTCCGCAACTTGGGGTCTTACGTCAGAAGTGACGGGGGCTCTGGCGTTGGGGTGGATCAACACCAAGACACCGTCACTTGACCCCTCACTACGTTGGTGATAATGCCCAAAGAGTCTGACGGAGCCCTTTCTTCTTGCTTGCAAGGGCACGGAGAAGTTCAAGGTTATAATTTGTACTGACCTTCTGGACCAGGACCTGCTCTCGACGCTGGTATTCCCTCCTGTCCTCCTGGAGTTTGCGGAGATTCAACAGCTCTCTGTCGACACTGCGATATACCAACAGGTTTCACTGTTGGCTTGTCAAACTGTAGCCACAACCGCCCGTCTCCATCGATCCACGTAGTAACCTGACAGAGACCAGAACCTCGGGTGTCTCGCCTTTGTGATCTCAATACCCATATCCAGCACTTGTATCTGGCTACACGTCGCATCAACCTCGAAACGCTGGTTCCCCAGCCGGCTTGACATCCATCTCGGACTGGCATAACATTGATATCGGAGCTGTGACCCTACCAGGCTCGAAGCGGATCTCCTGGTCCCGCGGCCCTCTCCCCGAAGTTCTGCTGCATCTTTCCTTGAACCCGCGCAGGCCCCAGTTCCGGCCAATACAGTGGAGGTATTGCCATCCTGCACACACAGGTACTCTAGTGGAATCTCTTCCTAGAGGGCCAAAATTCTTCCTTTTTTTCGCTTTCCAGATCCTCCCGAGACGCGATCCCTTTTTTCTCGATGAACGTGACGTCGAAGGCTCAATAGCAGATATCGTTGGTGCAATCACCTCTTCTATACTCCTTGATTCTCCATTCTGGCAATCTATCAACATAATTTGGGACTTCCGGGAACTCTAAGAGCCCGCCATGACGGTGTTCATTGCTTCTCTGTAAGTCAATCTTCGGGCTTCCTGCCCTCCGGTATGGCGGTATCACATCTGGAAAGCTTGGGGTCGATGGGCTAGCCTTATTATGAAGGAGCCCGATGCTAATGTTTAACAGTTTCCTCCCCAAAACGGTCCAGTTCGACGTCCCGGTCACCAATCACCGGAGTGCATGGTCCGAGAAGAAGTATCCGTTCAGCACGAAACCCGCAAAGCCAAGCCCATTGGAGCAACCTCCCAGCTTGTTCCAACCAACCAATATCACCCCCCCAGAGACACCTACCGACGAGAAGAAGCGTGACAATCCTTTCGCCAATGAAGATGGCCTTAGGGTCCACATTCCCCTGTCCGAGTCGAGTACAGATAGCATCGATGGTCCGGCTGATAGGAGCTCCCCGACATGGGGTGGTCGGCCTGACCAACCTATGTCACGCGCCAACTCCCCCCCACCGCCCTCGATAGTGGACAAGGGTAGACTCCTGCAGCAAGCAATTGGTCGCCAAAGTTTCCTCAAGACTCGCGCAGCCCGGAGCGGTAGCCACGACCGGGTCTTCGAGTCTGCAAATTGGAGGATTGTCAACGCTGATCAAGGCAATGGTGGTTTGAGGAATGCTGCATTGGCCGCAGCGCGCGAAGGTTTTACCGGTGATTACATCTGGGTTGGCACTCTGGGCATGCCTATTGATGCCCTGCAGGGTACTCAACAGCTACAAGATATCGAGGATAAGCTGGCAACCGAGCATGACATGCTGGCAGTCCTGCCCTCTGATAAGGACTTCAACGGTCACTATCTGCACTACTGCAAGCAAATTCTGTGGCCGGTCTTTCACTACCAGCTTCCAGATAACCCCAAGAGCAAGGCCTACGAGGATCACTCGTGGAAGTACTATGTCAACGTGAACCAAGCGTTCGCCGACAAGATCGTCAAGAATTGGAAGCGAGGCGATACCATCTGGGTCCACGACTATCACCTCCTTCTCCTTCCTGCTATGATTCGCAAGAAGTTGCCAGATGCCAAGATTGGTTTCTTCCTTCATGTCGCCTTCCCGTCGTCCGAGATTTTCAGGTGTCTTGCTACACGCAAGGATTTACTCGAGGGCATGCTGGGTGCTAATTTGATCGGATTCCAGATCCATGAGTACACAAGACACTTCCTTCAAACCTGCAGCAGGCTTCTGAATGCGGAGGCCACTCCAGATGGGCTGCAGCTTGAGGATCGTTTCGTCGATGTATTCAATTTACCCATTGGAATCGATCCTGTCAGTTTGGATCAGCACCGCCAGGAGCCCAAAGTTCAGGAATGGCTCGAGGTCTTGCGCAAGAAGTTCCAGGGCAAAAAGGTCATTGTTGCTCGTGACAAGCTTGACCATGTTCGGGGCATCAAGCAAAAGCTCCAAGCTTTCGAGATCTTCCTGACTCAGCATCCAGAATGGCGTACCAAAATGGTTCTGTTCCAGGTCGCCCTTTCTTCTGGAGAAAAGAGCGAGCTTGACAAGACTGTCTCTGACATCGTGACCCGTGTAAACTCATCACATGCAAACCTGGCACACCAGCCCTTGGTTTACCTCAAGCAAGATATCGATTATGCGCAGTATCTTGCGCTGATGAGCATTGCAGACGGCTTGATGATCACGAGCCAGCGTGAGGGTATGAATTTAACTTCTCACGAATTTGTATTCTGTCAGGACGGCAAAATCTGCGAGAAGAAGCATGGTGTGCTCCTCCTTTCCGAGTTTACAGGTACCTCGTCATTGTTTGGCGGCAATGAGTTGTCGATCAACCCGTGGGATTACCGGGCCTGCGCGGACGCAATCATGAAGGCTGTCACCATGAACGAGGAGGAGAAGGAGGCTCGCTGGACAAAGCTGTCTGAGGCTGTCAAACGCCACACCGGTGCGCATTGGTTTACTGAATTGATGACGCGTTTGGACCGTGTGTACGAAGAACAGCAGCGCCGCGATCAGACATCGGTCCCCCGTCTTTCTCTTCATCATCTCGTTCAGCAGTACAGTCGCAGCCAGCGGCGCCTCTTTATCCTTGATTTCGAGGGCACATTGGTTAGCTGGGGCCCGGTTAACCAGATTATTCCAGTGAGCCCCCAGGTAAGTGTTCCATTTTGTGAGTCAGGTGCCCTATCGATTGCTAACAGGCGTTGATAGCGTACTCTTGATGTGCTCAATGATCTTCTTATTGATGAGCGTAACACAATCTATGTCATGTCGGGTCGTCGTCCCGAAGAGCTTGACCGCCTCTTCCGTCGTGTCCCCAACCTTGGTTTGATTGCTGAGAACGGTTGCTTCCTCAAAGACTGTGGCAGTTCCACATGGACCGAAATGGCCGACCCAGAGCAGATCCGTACCTGGAAAGAGCAAGTCAGGGGTATTCTGACATACTACCTTGAACGCACACCTGGCGCTGAAATCGAGGATCGCCGTTGCTCTTTGATCTTTCACTATAAATCGGCGGAGGATTACGAGTCAGCCATGAGGCAAGCCAATGACTGCGCCAGCCATATCAACGACGCCTGTGAGGAACAGCGCGTGCACGCGATTCCGCTGGATGGCTGCGTGCTGGTCGAGCCAATCGACTGGACCAAGAGCACTGCCGCGCAAAAGATCTTTGATGACCTGCGCACTAAGATGGGCCCCGATGAGCAACACGAGTCGCCGGTCGATTTCCTCATGGTAGTTGGCGATGGACGTGACGACGAGAAGGTATTCCGCTGGGCCAATACGCTAGGTAAGGAGGGCGTTGTCAAAGAGGTCGTCACGGTCACTCTCGGCACCAGGAATACCGAGGCCACGGCCACACTGACTCAGGGCGTTAGCGGTAAGTCATCCCAGCGTATGGTATGGTTCAGTTCCTTGAATGTTGCTGACCATCCTTCAGGCGTCCTGCTGGCCCTCCAGAAACTAGCAAGCATGGCGTAAGCATCCTTGCTGCATTGCTGTGTTTGCGTTTTGCTGCCTCTTGTTTTACTCCAGTATATTGCAGCAGAATACCGATGATGGTTGTGTAGGGCTGGCGTTCCGGTGCGCTTCCGCCGGAAGAGTTGGGTGCGCGTTGCACCCCCGAGAGAGTCTTCTCCCTGGGCCTAAGTCAAGGCTCCAACCTCGAAAGACTCAAAAAAAATACGATGATACCAGCAACAAATATATGAACAAGCCGTAGCTGGTTTCTTCCAGCTACCTTTTGATTTCTTCCCCCTCCCCCCCTTTACGGTTTTCATTATTTTGCAACTTCAACTTTTCTTTCTGATTTTTTCTGCTACGCGGTCCAAGGTCTCGGTTAGCAAACTCATGCTGTTGTTACTCTCCTCAATGTCAGTTCCAGCGTAGTTCGCAACCGTTTCCCATCCCCATTAGTTCGCGTGGCTCTTTGACTTCCTCTTTCGCATTTATTCTTCCTGTCCCTCTGCACGTCTCCCTCGTTACTTGGCCTTGTTCGCGCCATCCCGGCGATCGATCGGGCATCGACTGCTCTCCGCTTGCCTCAAGGGGAGGACCTGACCTTAATGTATTTGGGTCAAAAGTGTGCTACCCCGGCAAAAGTCAAGCTACAAGGTCGTTTGTAATCGCCGGCAAGTAATCATGATGATGGGACCAGGGAGTGGAAAACATAGAGCTGGGACGGATGGGTCAGATTGAAACTGGGCGTTGGGATGTAAATAGATTGGTTGCTTTTGCTCATGTATCCTCATGTACCCCTGGGGAAGGGTTGGGAGGAGTAACACTGGGACAATGTTCCCCAGCAAATGGGGCATGGGATCAATCATGTTCATATCACTGGCAGGGAACATATGGAGTTTAGACGGATGATCAATGGGCGGCACAACTTCGTCAAGTTGAAACTGGCTGAAACAAACAAACGAAAGTCACTCGTTAAGTCCTGACGTCAAAACATGCTGATGACATGTTGTGTGGATGGAAACTTGGTTGTGCCTTGTGCAAACTGCAAGATATGTATATGGTGTAACTGCCCGAGTGTTTAGCTCGCGCTTGGTCCTCTGGGATGACATCACCTCCGAAGTCGGACTGCGGGTAGGGTCCGTGCCAAATCAGGAACAGGCCAATGCCCCACGATCATCCAGCGATCTGGGGCCTGGTATGACGGAAGAGCTAGTCGTTCCGATCGGAGCAGCTTGTCAAGCGGGAATCCGGGGTACTCTTGCTGGAGGTATGATCGGACGGCAACCTGCGGTTGCAATTGTTATTGTGGACACTGTGATTTCACAACTTCCAGAACATCAGAATTGACAGGTCAAACAGTCGCGGGATCTTCCAGCTGTGCCTGCACACCAAGTCGAGAAAGGTATCAATATGGCGCCTTTCCCTCCACCCCCCGTCAATACCATTGACTGGTCAAACGTTGGCTTCAAGGTTCGCGAAGGTATGTGTGTTCTGTGTGCCTCGATAACCCTCGACCTCCACAGTTGCTCAATCAGGTTAATTGGCTGACCAACCTTACTTGTCGACATCACAGTCAATGGCCACATCGAGTCGCACTACTCTGTCAAGACGGGCAAATGGTCACCGCTCAAGTTCGTTGCTGACCCTTACATCCGTATCCATGGCATGGCTCCGGCCCTCAACTACGGCCAACAAGCCTACGAAGGCCTGAAGGCTTTCCGCCTGCCCAATGATTCGGGAATTGCCATCTTCCGCCCGGATCGTAACGCCGAGCGGATGCAGCGCAGCGCCGAATTTGTTAGCATCCCACCCGTGCCCACTGACCTCTTCCTCGATGCCGTTAAGGCGGCTGTTGCCCTCAATGCCGAGTATGTGCCACCGCATGAGACCGGCGCGGCCATGTACATCCGGCCACAGATCTATGGTTCATCGGCCCAGCTGGGTCTCAGCCCACCCGAAGAGTACACCTTCTGCGTGTTCGTCATCCCGACCGGCGTGTACCACGGCACGCATCCCGTCAAGTGCTTGATCCTGGACGAGTTTGACCGCGCGGCGCCCAACGGCACTGGCAGCGCCAAGGTTGGCGGTAACTATGCACCTGTGCTGCGGTGGAGCGAGAAAGCCCACAAGGAAGGCTTTGGCATCACCCTGCACCTGGATAGCAAGAAGCACGAGGAGGTCGATGAGTTCAGCACAAGTGGTTTTATAGGCGTTATTGTCGATGGCGAGGATGTGACGATGGTCGTGCCGGATAGCAAGGCTGTTATCGACAGCGTGACGAGCGATAGCATCCAGCAGATTGGGCGTAGCTTTGGGTGGAAGGTCGAGAAGCGGGCAGTAAGTGCTCCTAGTTCACTCCTGTTGCGGCACGTTCAGCAGCTAAGACCTTTGCACAGATTAAGTACTCCGAGCTTCCTAACTTCACTGAAGTCATGGCCGCGGGGACGGCTGCAGCGCTTGTGCCCATCCGCTCCATCACTCGACGCATTGCCCCCACTCTTCCTCAGGACCACCCACGTGTATCGGTTAAGGAGGGCGAGGAGACCATCACCTACATTCCCGATAATATTGAGGAGCCTGGCCCGCTGTGCACGAAGCTACTTGCCCAGCTCAAAGGCATCCAACTCGGCAAGCTGGAGGATTCCTTTGGCTGGCGTTTTGAGGTCACCGAGGAGGATGGCAAGCGCGTCCTCAACAACGGGAACATCTCTGCATAGGAGCTGTGCTTGACTGGATGGGGGACTGTCGTGCTGTTAGATGGCAGTGTTCGATGAACGGACGACAGGGCGAACACTCTTGCGCTGCGTTATCTAAGCCTAGCTGCCATGATACCTATTCTTGGGTGTCTTGTCTTGCATGGAACTCAAACAAAGGGGAAACAAGCAAAAATGGATTTTCAAAAGAAAGGGGTTGATGATCAGCATTGGATTCCTGTAATATGTGTTCTTCCTGTATACCTTGGTACGTAGTATCATGTGTCGAGATGGAGCCTACGCGTCGCAACCACCAATCTCCACGTGAAGACATTCGGAACTTCTGCGGGTGGAGCCATGTCATGTCCCAGGATCGTCGGCTGGGGTTCGACGGCGACGATCTGGTCCTTTAACAGCCCACGTAGTGTGGGGTCTCTTTTCCTTAGCCCACACTTCTCTCGGCTTTCCCCGCATGAGGTCCTGGTTGACATTATATTGATGATAGGACTCCAAGCACAAGAGCAGGTTACAGTGGTTACCCACAGTTCCCCGCTAAGGGTTCATCCTGATCACCGTTCGAGATGCCAAAACGGCCTACCCTCTATCATATCAATTCTTTTGACCCACTGTTCAAGTTCACAAAAACTAACATTACAGATTGTAAAAGTAGGATAGGTATTCTGTGATCAAAGACAGTCAGTCGTACCGATCTCCCAAACCTTGGTCATTGCGAGCACCACGACCATCACATTGTTTTCTCACCTCAAACCTTTCTCCCTCTCCAAGCCAGACCTCCCCGTCATCCAACCGAATCCCTAGCCTCCATCTGCCAAGTCCTGGCCACCAGTTCTCGAACCAACACCGCTCTCCTTCTAACATCTCCTCCTGTCTCATATCAACAATCACCAGCCTTGCACGTTTCGATCTCTCCCAGTAATTCCCCAACTTTACCCACTTCCCTTCTTGTTCGGTCCCCACCAACTCCCCGTGACTCCCCTTTCCTTGCGGTAACGGGGGTTGCACGAAAGTTGTGTTTAGCAAACTGAGCTTACTCAGGAATGCTGTTGACAGTCGGAACGGCGGAAGCCATCGAATCGGTTTGATGATGGTGCGAAAGAAAGGATGAACGGAGGGGAAAGGCTCCGCAGGGTCGTACTCAGGGTCGTCATCATAAGGAGATCTAGCGGGGGTTGACGTTGGATGGTGGTCGTGAGGGAAAACGATGATATGCGCTGTTGGTGGGTTCGATGTTGATTCTGACCAGTCGATACGGGCAAGGTGGGTTGGTAGGTTCCAGACTAGAGTTTATGATATGAGCGGTTGCCACAGGCGTCTCAAACAGGGATCATAAAGGGAGGAATTCTCATACTTTTGCGACCATTCCAGCACGCATATTTTTGGGTCACATACATGCGGGTGACACGGTAGTGGCTTTTCTTTGCTGGTCTCCCTTTCTTGCCTTCAACTTGGTATTCGAAGAGGCCTGGGGTGAATATCATCTCTTCATAAGGACCGACGGGGGTTTCATGGTACCGAATAAGTTGGATCATGCTAAGACCGCCCTTGGGGGAACCGGATTCCTTAGATGCAAAGCCAGATTGAAGCTCTAAAGGATGATATGCTTTTTCTGGAAAGTTCTTTGTTGTTGCGCGATCAGTACGAAACGGAATAATGATGATAGTTGCTTTGGTCTTCCATGGTGGTGGCGAGAGGGTGATGGGGCCAGTTGGAACCGTGTCCATGATGTTTTAGCAGATCTCCACGGGAGACGCTCTACACGCTGGGATTCCAGCAGGATAAATGCTTCTTACTCTCCTAATCTAACATCCGTTATCTGCACTCACGGTATTGCCCCGATGGACAGCGTCCCTGCCTTACCATGACATGGCAGCTGCCAAGGTGGTGTGATCGAGGTCTTGGGATCTCCCACATTACATGTCGTAAATCAAGCCAACTTCCGAGACTGTATCCAATCAAGATAACCCAAGTATGATTCGAGTAGCATTGAAGTCTGCATCCTGCGAATTCCGAGTCGTGCTGGCCATGGTTGTTGATCGCGAGGCTCAGAGGTCGGCAGGTACCCGCTAGGCTAAGTTTCCCACTGTTGTTACTTGCGTGGGGGGCACTATCCCACCAGAAAATGAGGAACGGAGTTGCCACTTTCAGACAATAAGCAGGCAGAATATAAACCGCGGGATGGCATTCCAACAAAGTGGTACCATTCAAGCTACTGTAGTGGCATTCATAGCGGGGTTTGCCCCGTCCAAACTTCAATACCAGATGCACGGCCAAATCTCCAGATGTCTCCTGCTGTGGGGTGAAACAAGGATATCATCATCACTGTCCAATATTCCACAATCGTCATTTGGCCTGTTAGATCTCTCTTTCGTTTCTGATATTATGTTGGAAACTACGGAAGGCTCGGAGGCAACCTGACCAGCATGTCCAAACTTTTAGAGATCGAAGGGATGACCGGTAGCACTTCCCCTCTCCATCTCTTGCCTAGTTGATGCAGCGTATGTCAGGACACCGCATGGAAAGCGCAACTCAATATATAGGAACATAAGAAAAATCCGAAACAGCAGCAGCGTCCTACTAACTGCTTCGCAACACCCGCTCCTCCAGGACGGAACCCAAGATTGGTTAGCTAGGTTGTTACGCAGCATCCCAGCTTTGATCAAGCAAGACACAAGAGACCAAGCCAAACTTGCTCCACGAACCGTGCATCTCAGGGTTATGTATTTCCATCTTCTCGGCCCTATCAGAATCGAGAGGGCATAACCAACACTTCGTACGCCAGGATATTGATTGGTTGCGGAGAAAAGCTGTAACAGCTGTCATGAGAGGTACAACATTTCAACCTGAGAGTTCTAGCCTCTCTGGACCACATCGTCAAGATGACTGCTTCAGCACTGAACGCGAGGGATCTGCGTCATTTCGTCGTGGCCGGGATTGGAATGCCGCGTTCCAGGCGACTTCATTCCTTTCGAGGCATCATGCTTGGCAACAGATGCTGCAAAGCTCAAGCCCAAACATTTGGAGAGTCTGAGAGCAGTCTTACTAGCCATTCTTCCCCTCGTTTGACACACGGGGCCGTCAGCAACTTGGCTCCAGCAAATGCTCTACTTAGAAGGGACGTGCTGGCTAGTGGTCCAGATGGACACGATTCTCGAGCCTTTGACCCTTGCAACAGCTCACCGCCCCAACGCTTCGAAGATCCAAGCATTTGGCTTCTACCACGCCCCCTGTGGCATGGGTTGGAATTGGAAACCCTTATGCGAACTTCCTGTCATGGAAATTTTGGTAATTATGACTTACATTCCTCCATCAGCGGTCAAACTCTAGCATCACTTAGCTCTGGTGATAGAGAAGAGAGCACCAGGCTGTCAATGCCAATTCCCAGTAGAACCGACAATCCTGGAAAAAGCTCCATTTATTTCCAACAGATAGGTGGGAGGCTACGCAGTCACCAGAGCATCCCAGGAACACCTGCTTCCTATGCGAGTTCGGCACATCCATCTCAACAGGAGCCACAGACTCCTTCTGATCGTTTCATGATTTCCAAGACCGGCTCTCACAGGGAACCCATCTACGTACAGCGGATAAATGCAAGAAAATATAGCTGGGACAAGTCCGAAGCTTGGAACGCAGATGTTATAGAGAAAATTGAAACCTCTTCCAGCCTCCACGAACATATGTCGAGCCTGGATTCCTCATCCAGTGACCCAGTACGACCTTACGGCCCATCTGGCCCTTCAGTAGTCAGCGCGGCTTGGACAAGAACTCTGACTCCAAGCACCTCTTCCAATGACTTTGGCCACATCTCCCAAAGGAAAGAGACAGGCGTCACAAGACTGCCACTTTGTCATAAAGAGATGTGGCGGTTGACTGAGTCACGCATATCAGCAACTCTGGCACAACAAGCAAGGCGCAGACATGTTGGCTTGGTTAAGCCCGTGCCACTTGACTCATCAATTTTAACTCCACCTGCTCACAGGACTCACTCCAAATATTACCCCGTCCCTGAGATCGACAATGAGCAGCTGGATGTCTTGAATTTTGATCTGAAATGTGACTCTGATTATGACCAAGAAATATCCCTCGAAAATAGCAAGACTGGTTGTCCCAGAGGAGGATATGCTAATGATAGTACTAATTCTGTTCTTCCTGGAGTTGACGATGACCCTGAAAGAGATTACGTTGTGTGTGCCATCTCGGAGAGCCGATCTTCAGATGTGATAGGATTGGCTGTTATCAACATCGCCATTGCTCGAGTTGATATCATCCGGATCGTCAATGATGACAGGTACCAGCGTCTGATCAACACTATATGGAGTATGCCAGCATTGCCCCAAACCTTCCTCATACTAAAAAAGATTATTGATGAGAACAGCAAGTCCTCTTTGGCATTTCGACTTAAACATGAGTTTCCTGATGCCGACTTGGTGCCCCTAGAAAGGGAATATTGGAATGAATCTGAGGGTCTTAGACTCATCAACCGGTTTGCCTGGAGAAAAGACATCAAAGCTATCCGTTCTGACCTAGAAAAAAACCTCCATGCATCTTGCGCCTTCGCAGGAGTCAGTTACACCCCGTTCTGTCAGCTAACACATGTAGTATGCTAACAAAATTAGGTCATGTCCTATGTTGAAGAAGCAACAGAATTCATTTTCCGAGAGAACTCCTTGCATATAAAGTGTAGTCAAGCTGCTGATACAATGGGACTTGACCGCTCAACAATAACTTCACTTGAGCTTCTTCAAAACATTCACAACAATAAAGGAAAGGGGACAACATTATTTAAACTGCTCAACAGCGCTTTGACTCCCCAGGGTCGTCAGCTCATTCGATCAACACTTCTGCAGCCTAGCACTAGCAAAGACATTATCACTTCCAGACACGAGGCTGTTGAGGAACTATCCAGAAATGAAAATTTATTCACAGAACTTAGAAAAAGCCTCAAAAAAGTTTTTCACATTGATGTCGAAAAGTCAATTCCATGGGTAGGTGACCTGAGGTCCTGTTCACTGCAATTACGTTCTGTTTAAATGGTGCTGACCCTAGCCTTTGCAAACAGGTCAGAATTAAAGGTGGTGTGGAACGACTCCCAATCCAGGATGGAGTGGCTATAGTTCAAGGCTACCACCAAATCTTGATCCCCAGTCACAAAGAGCTTCAAAGTGCAGAAAAGGACTTGAACCACATCCTGATGATCAAGGCATACCTTGCAGGAGTTCAAGCCATTCGAGAAACCCTTGAGGCATCTAACTGCACCAGCCAACTCTTGAACTTGGTGATGGAGAGGTGCTCATTAAAACGACATCTCCAATTATCACTCTGTTGAACAACACTATTGAGCCTGGCGCTGTCTACAGCAAAGCCCCTATCGATATCAGGAATAACCGGCTCTAGGCGATCAAGGTATGTTACACAATATTAGTCCGTGATGCATGGCCTAATCACAGCACTTGAGAACATTACTGATCAAAGCTTGTCAGCCCGAACCAAATGGTGTTCTGGAGCGAGCTCGCCAGTTGTACAAGGATCGCACGAACGAACTTCATGCATATGTAGATAATCTAAACTTTACATTTCAAGGTACGTCAAAAACATGCATTTCAAATACTGAACAGAACTCATCCTCAATCAGCACATCTTAACACGATACCTGAGCTTCGGCTGGGGAATGACAACCACTATTACCTTCGCTTCCAATGGACCGATGTGGAAAGGGAGCTCTCGAAAAACGCTAGAGCGAACGACAACTACTCTCAGTGGTAGCAATGCACCTTGGGAGGGGTAGAGATTGTAAACGGAATCTGCCGCAAACGCCATTTTGACTGCCAAACATTGGAGCTTATCCAGAAAAGCAGCCAGATCCAACGACAAGCTGATATTGTCACCGCTCATAGTGATAAGGCACATATAGAGCTGAAGCAAGCTTTGTTGGACTATTCAGAAACTCTTCTTGATATCAACGAAGCCATCGCAGTTGTTGACATGCTTTCCTCTTTTGCCTACCTGGCAACAACTCGAAACTATGTTCGGCCAATGATTGCAGATACATTGGTTCTCAAAGCCGCCAGACACCCCATGGCCGAAGTACGGAAGACTAGTTTTATTCTCAACGATGTCTGTTCCGGTAATCAAGATGCACGTTTCCAGGTCATCACTGGGGGGAACATGAGCGGAAAGAGCACCTTCATTAAAAGTATTGCTCTTATACAAATTCTCACACAAATCGGAAGCTTTGTTCCCGCACAATATGCCGCAGTACCGATATGTGACCGATTGTTTACTCGATTGTCGAAGAAGACAAGCCCGAAAACAACCTTGGGACATTTGCTATTGAGATGACTGAGATAAACGTGGTGTTGAGGTTTGTAAACTTGGAATCGCTCGTGTGATTCCAGCAGTTGCTGAGCAAAATTTACAGACAAGCTACAAAAAACAGCCTGGTGATCATTGACGAACTAGGCCGAGGGACTTCTACCAAGGGAGGACTCTCACTAGCCTTAGCAGTGTCCGAAAAGTTGATCAAAAAAGGATGCCGGGTCTTTTTTGCAACACATTTCATAGAAATTGGTAAGAGCAGACATTGGAAGCGTATACATTTGAGTAATAGTTGGCTGACAGTTATATGACAAGCTCGAATATTGAATGTCACATGCCCCGACCGCGTTCTCAATGTTCATGTGGTTGGGGAGAGCATTGACAAAGGAGATGTTCATCAGATTATTCTGCCCCATACTGTTGCTAGTGGGCCAGTCAAAAATGAAGATTATGGCCTCGACCTTGCTCGACGTTTCTTACCAGAGACAGTCATCAAAAATGCTGAGCAAGTGAACAGATTCCTTCACAACAGAAGCTGCAGGAAGGCACTCGGGCCGACTACAAAAGCTCAAAGACAAAACAAGCTGATCTTAACCCTTCCAGATCTCCTTCTCCAGGCCTTAAATTCTGTGATGGATGATTCAGCATTGACATCATACCTGAAAAAGCTGCAAACCGAGTTCACAATCAGGATGAACTTGGATGCGGAAGATGGGACCATGCAAAATTATGGCATGAACAGGCTCAGGCTCAATTACCAGCCCTGGAAAAGCCAAGTGATGAAGAGGTTCAACAATGGAAGAGAAAGTGTGATGAGGCAGAACGAAGGGTAATGCATGCTAAATTGGTCAAATCCCAAGATAAAAAGAGAACATTCCCGGGCAATATCGATTATGTGATGAACACCAAACAGGATTTCAAGCGATATAGAGTCTGGGACTCTTATGATATGGCAATCACATCTCGTCCAACCCCGGTTAACCGCTTATCTTTGATCGAGGAGTTGAGAAAGGTAACATATACGCCCACCGAGAAGGCCCAAACTCCACGCAGTCTGTCACCTACCACTGCTGGAAATTTGGAGACCCTGGCTCGAACTCCATTGGCTTTTTCTCATCTCACAAATAGCGAACGAAACTAGGGAATTGAGAGTGTTTCGTGTGACGGAAATGATTATAACTATGGAGATCCCAGTGCTCACGTCCAAGATGTTGCGGCAGAGGATGGTCTACCGTAATCGGTTGAGAATTACCCTGGCAATGTTTGACCTGTGACATGGGTTCATCAACATGAACGGGAATGCTGAGAAACAAGGCTTTTAGAAGTTTTCGAAGTCAGTTGTTGACGACATCTGCTAAAGACTTGCTTCAAGTTTTGACGCAGACCCAAATGTCATATTGAGATAAAGTTGAGAAAGCGGACACGCATGAGCTGTAAGAAATTTGAAACCTTTGCAGTTTATTTTGCCATCACTGCCACTGAACCAAGGATGCAAAGGTCGGTGTGGTAATCATCATATTACAGGTACCGGCATATCCCCAACATTATTAGCATTTGGCTTGTTGTCAACCAACGATCTACGAACCCAAAACTTCTCCAAACAATAACTATAGCCCCATTCAACGCCGACCGCCTCATGCAGACCCAACCTGGCTAAATCGCCTAAGCAACAAGCCTCCCCACTGTATATCCATCAATGGTAAACGAAAACGCGGATATCAATCATGACACAGTACCAATTTCATATAATATCCATGGAAAGTTCCACCATGAATCTTGCGAGACAACTGATTACTCTCTCCAAACATGGGTATCACCCAAGCTCACCGAACTAGAAGAATTGCTGCTCATGATACCACGCCTGAAACTTGTTCTATGGGGGCCTGCTGCAACAGAGAGTGAAGAGGGAGAACCTAGTCCAAACTGGACTGCATTGTCAAGATCATAACCCCGCAAGCCCAATGCGGGAGGGGGGGCGTCCTGCTCGTCGACATTGTTATTGTCATCACCTTCAGGAAGTAGAGCCGGTGGGGGCTCGGCATATATCCATGGCTGCTCCAGTCTGTCAATGAGAGGTTAGCGCTAGCCCAAACCAAAGCTGAGAAGTAGTAACGGGGAGAAACATACGGACTAACCAAGCTAGGATTTACAAATTTCGAGCCCCTCTCTCGGTCCTCATCAACGGTGCTGCCCCTCCTGACCAACTGCCCACTCCGCTCCAAAATGGGCATGCCTTCACTGCTACCACCGCTGGAAGAGTCGTCCGTCACAATAGTTACACCTTCCTCGCCCTCATTCTCTCTCTTCTTGATGCTCCGGAGTGAGATGAATTTCGTCAGCGGCTCCACCCGCCTCCTAAAACACCAGCCGTACCATAACGTCGCAACGAAGAGCGGCAAAACCAGCAGCGCAACTGTGAACGCCTTGCGCAAGGCCAAATAACCTGACATGGTAAGTTGGGTGACAACCAAGCCCAGCATTACGCGGTAGCAGATCATGGGCCAAGCCCCGCCCGTGGCATGTTGCGGCTGGTCCATCGCGTAGAGGAGCTGGTATTTATATGTGAAATGGCCAAGGGAGAAATAAGCGAGGCCTAATGCGAGAATGAGGTAGCCACCGGGTAGAGCGCTGTAGACGAGACAAAGGATAAAGACGAGAAGAGCGGTGGGCAGGGCCAAGCCGTAGTAAAACAGCGAGGGCTTGCCAAGGGCAGCAAAGTCTCGCGGAGTTTTTGCCATGAAGCGGTTGTAGGGATAAAGGGCAAGAGAGCCGAACTGCAGCAGACGGAAAGGGAAAAGACCGAGGCCCTGGAGCATGATAAAGTTTGTATAAAATACCGAGAGCTTTTCAATCTTACGGGCCAGAGTATAAGCAATGTAAGTTGTATCTTTGAGAGAGTTGCGGAGAACGTCGAAGATAGAAGTGACAGCGCCAAAAACAGTGAAGATCAAGAAGATATTGAAGAAGGTAAAGAAGAAGTTCTTGCTGATGACCGAGAGCGCGATATCGCCTTGTGAGAGCATTCCTTGTTTGTAGGAGAGGAACTCGTAAAAATATGGGACAGCAACGTTGAGTAAAGACACGACTGCTGTTGGCAGGCCTGTTTGGACGAGTGTTCGAGCAAGCTCATGATCTTTAAGCCATTGAGCAAATGATGGGAAAACAGTGTTAATGGTGCAGATGCTTAGCGCCGAGGCGAGGAAGGCCACAGGAACCAACCAAACCACAGAGAGCACAGCAACAAAAATAGTGACCGCCCAAGATCGAGTTATGCGACTCAAACGGGACGAGTATGTGTTTCTCCAAACGACATCCGATGGCGCTGGAGCTGGCTTAGTCAGCAAACGGTCTGGATGGGGGTCAATGAGAGCCTGGATAGCCATCTGGCATGCAGCGACAGAGTCCATAGTCACAAAAGCCAGATCAGCTGGCTTATATGTTTTCTTGCGTGCAGCCAGGATCTTGTCATCCAACTGGCGTAGCTTCTCGCTGTAGTAGTCGATGGCATCAATTGTGCGAAACTGAAGCCCCAAGAAGCCATACCAGAAGCGAGCTTTGGGACGTGTTTCTCCGGTACGATTTAATTCCGGACTTCGATGTTCAAGCAGGCGATCACCTTCTCCAGCCTCCTCATCGAGGTAGTGCTGGGGTCTTCTCTCGTAGTGGTGACGTTGGGCAGTGTTTGATGGCTGTCGGTTCAGATACATGCTCCATGCCTGCTCAAGTTTTGCGAGTACCAATCGCCTTTCCTCTACCAGCTTATCAAGAACTCTCCAATCGCGACAAAGAGTGACACTTTCGACTTTCCCGATTTCGAGCTTTTCAATCAGCTCCTTGATGGCCTCCTCGGACCTCAAATTATGCGGAATGCCGGAGAGTCGAAAGGTACGGTCTGTGATGGTGGACTGAGTGCCCAGGTAATTTTGGCGTACCCTGATCACCTTCAGGGTCTCCTTATCCGTGAAGTACAGAGTGAGACCCGTAAAAAGGTAGGTAAACACGAGATATGACCACAAGTACCCCAACTTAGGGTCGAAGCTGATATCAGGGTCCTCATCTGGAGGAGTTGGGTCGTCCAAGGCGGACAAGCCATAACTCTGGTGCTGGGGGAACAAGAACAAAGGGGCTGAGTCGGTAGTTGGGTGTTCGACGAAGCGGCGATTGATGGGTTCGAGAACAACAGCGGCGAAGAAAAACATGACCGCAAATAAACGCATAGCCATCTTGAAGAAGGCAAGGAAAACATATGCGTCAAGCCCAGCTGAGGCTAGCAGCTGCTGGTCGGTAATCCTGTACAAGGCAGGGACCCATCCGAAGAAGCTGTCGGGCAGGGTAGGCAAGCCGATGCGGGGATCGGATTGTCGCTTTCGCGCTGCATACAACGATTTCCATCGAGGCCGCAGCATCTGCAGCAAGGAGGTGGATGGTCAGCATCAGCAACCGAAAACCGTGTGGCCTAAGCCGAACAGGGCCCAATCCAAGACATACACAGAAGGCTAGAAAAGCGGACAAGCCCAGGGCCAGAGAGATGACGAGCTGGACCCAGGTGTCTTTTTCCCCGGGTCCAACCCATTGGTCCGCAGGGCACTTATCCTTGTCGGGTTGATCGGGGTCATCGAGTATGTTCATCATTATCACCTTTGACACAAGATGCCTCTGGGCGAGCGGTGATGGACCGGTGTTGTCGACATGTGTTGTCACTGCTGTGGGTATCCGGTAACCTGCATGTCGGTTGTTGGACACTCCCCGGGAAGCTTGGAAACGAGTGGCTGCTCGTTTGTCTGGTGGAGCCAGCTTCCCCAGTGACGTCGTCTGAGCGGAGAACGCCACCTGTGGCACATGGCTACCAAGGATAAGCCACAGCCTTATCCGCCTGTGCTTGGTAGGCCCAGCATCCTGATATCAGTCTGGCATGCTGCCAGAGCAATGACCTAGCCACCGTATTTTTTGACAATTCTGTGTCATCTTGGAAATTTTTAGTATCTGTGTTCGTCTTCAATCCAAATATACACAAAATTTCAAAGATATTTCCTGCACATGCCCTTCATCCCTGGTGGTGGACCGCTGCAGCCTGTAACTTCAAGTCCTACATCTTGCCAGTGACATGGAGCTGACCGGTGGTAAGATAAGACAGTTAAGGAATGATAAAACAGATCCTTGACAGCAAACGCCAAGTCGCTGCAGCAACTTACAGCTCCGGCTCCCCACGAATGCTTTCACATAAGTGGAGATTGCTGCTTCCAGCCATCGCTCTCCAAGTACAGATTGTAAAGTTATATAGCGTGGGGCGTTAACTTCGCTAAATAACTTATCTCTACTTCATGAACTATCTCACCGACAATCCAGGACCTGCGATCACTAAACACCAGGATTGGAATTTTCGCAGTTCGCACTCCCCCACACATGTCGCCATTAACACAGTACCGGGTACGGTACCCAAACGCTGAACGCAAGCCTCCGTACCTGCCCACTGCCAATCGGGCTGGCACCGCCTTGTTATATCTACTGCATGCCCATCTTGACATCAGCTCTTGATCATACTGGGGGGCTCATTCCAAGTTTCTTCTTCCCTAAGCGTCGCTGTAGCCTTCAGGCCATATTCCCACTGTTCAGAAAAGACCATTCCCTGCGCTAGATCCGGTGAAAGTTTCCTCACTGCGGACGCTGAGTCTTTGCTCCCTCAACTCCGCAGTCAATGCTTGATGCACGTATCGCAAACATCGCCAGGGTAATCAACACCGCTACCACAGTAACTGTTGAGATGTCAGTTTACATCTCTGACGGTTAAAAACATTCTGCTGATAGTCAGAGTCCCATAAATCAGGTCAAAGGATCTTACTAAATGTTACAGGCACAAAAATATTGCCCATTGCTGTCGTCAGCTGTGGTCCAGGTCATATTGCTGGGTGATTCTGTCGTTTTTGGCGATGAGTCGCCCTTCGTAATTAAAGTACTGATGTTGTTCAGTGAATGACGGGGCGTGTCTATGGCTCAATATCACAGATGAGCACATGTAGTACAGCCGTGGGCAATTTGAGAGTCGTTATTTCGCAGATTCTCCAAACAGACAAGTCCGCTTTATGCTCGGGAGTTTACGATATAAACCTACCGTTGAGTAGGTACTTAGTCAAGTGTGGTTTCGATGTGCGGCCTCAGCTCCCGGAGTTAGTGGTCTTAAAACAGGAGAAACAAACGAAGCGACTGTGAGCTGAAGGATGCGAAAGATTTAGGACTAATCCTCTGGCCGTAGCCCTGCTGTCGGGGGTGTTTATGGCTTAGGCTGTGGAAGTAACCATGAATTCACAGAGAATAATAGTCTTCGAAGGTTTGGAATTCGATTGACAGCCTTGCACTTGGATGTACCGGCGGGGCGTGCTTAAGTTTTCCCTTGACCCAAACATGTCTCCAGATTGCCCCTTTTTATAACTCCCACCAGTGACAATTGAAGAGCCTCATTATGATAGAGCTTGCATATCCAAAAATTCCAGTTCGTAATGTCTTCCAGCTCTGGGATTGGCTGGCTACTAAAGATATGAAGGCTCATCTTACCGAGGAACCAGTGAAGAATACCTATTCTCTAAACATAGCGGACTACGCCGATTGAATTTATGGATTTCCTTTTTTTTAGAAGTAATGCTTTATCCTAATGTCTGTCTCCATTTATTACCAGTGAAGATTATATGTACGCACAGGGATACGCATATCTTAACTCTATTTAACTTTAATGAACCGACGGAGGCCACGTCTGTTGAGCATCCTAAGGTTCATCATCTTGGACCTCTCAGCCTCCTAAGAAACTAGAACAAACAACAATACACCCAAATATCCAATCCACGAATGACAGTATATTGCAGAAGGTTCTTGAGTCGATAAAAGGCCGTTTCTCGATCAAGGCTTTGCAAATGCTGACTTGGATGTCCAGGCAATGCTGGGTGCCTAATAAGGGTCCGCAGACCCCTTGTTTTGTCATCTCACACTAATGTTGTGTAACGTCTCGCCGGTAATGAGCTGGCATGGAAATGCCCTGAATTCTGTGTTTTCTAAAGTATGTCAAAAAGCGGCCTTAACGCCGAACATGGGACTTGTGGCGGCCCGGACCACGTCGAAGCTTTATGCAAGGCTTCTGTTCTGAACCTTACGACAGTAATGAAACTCTGAACTTTCATGAATATCGGCAGCAGCTGATCTTTGGGGAGTTATCCATGACCATAATCAGAATGTAACACAGTTTGCGGCGGGACGCCAGAACGCTGTGTTGTTATACGAGCATGATCCAAATGGCAAAACACAGTGCAAGTTGTAGGGCATGATCCTCTCTTTAGATCAGCATAGCATAGCCACACGTGTATACTTTCGCACGAAGCCACCTTGGTATCCAGATTCTACCACCAAGTTCTGTTCTGGTCACTATACTCCACAGGCAAGACTCTTTAAGTCTTGGTTATTGGCTTTTTTTTCAGTCCAGCGTACAGGTAAAAGATCATACATTGTCTGTTAGGCATTCATCTCTCTCTTAGCCTTGGGAGGTGTCAGAGAGTCAAGCTCTAGTGACCTGGGTGAATGAGACAACTGCAACAAGCGAGATATATTCCAGTGAACAATATTGAAAAGTTCCTTAGTTGGATATAAAACTAGTTTCGACTTATTTACACCTTGTTTTTCTATCTAGCCTTGAGGTGCAGCGTTGATGCTATGCCATCAGTGGGATCGATCATCATGGGAGTAACGCTGACCAGAAGGCCACATGACAGAGGAACCAAAAGAAGATCCAACGACATGTATCGTAAAAGTACATGGTTACCTTAAAAGTTCCCCGAGGCATGTCACCTTTGTGTTTGACCATGATGCAACCAGTGAAGTCCCATTCGTTCTCTGGAGAATTAGCTAGAGAGGTTTTGTGAACCGCTCTCGAACCCAACTGCGAGAACATCGTCATTTTTCTGACTTAACGACAATAATTCACAAGATAAAATCCGTAGTACTGTTCATGACATTGAGTGGACCATGTACACGCGGTGCTCCAGGGAGGAAGCAGGACATGCCCGTTCGGCCGTTCGGCTGAAGCAACGGCTAGAAACCAACAGCCCGCATCACCCGACTTTCCTTCCGACCCGAGCCGACTCACTGCAGTGTAAACACAGCAGCATCAATTAGACAAGTTGGAAAATCTGAGACTAAGCCGTTGACATGCAGCGGTATCGGCAGTATCTACGGTTGACACGGACTTCGGCATAATCCAACAGGATACTGCATGATACTTACAGATCTTTGACACATCAATGCTACAATGACGGTGCAGTATCCATTCCCTCGGTCCCGTGGCCGCCTGATTGGAGAAATGGGATGGTACCGTCAGATGGCCAAGCGGAACCCAGAGTGATAACAAGGACAAGAACAGGGAGTGAAGCCAAGGGTCTAACACTGGGAAAGATAGCGATCCTTCATACATATCATGACTAAAATCGACTGAAACCATGTAAATGGGCAGTTTCTAACAACACTGGTCGTTGACAAACAAAGACTAGCAGAAACATTACATCTATATATTCACGCTCAGAACACACAAAAGTCGACTCTGTATCCCGTGAAATAATCACAAACAACCGTCCTTTCCCCGAGCAAACGAAACCTATGAATCACAGGTCCAGATACCATAGAAGCCAGAAAGGGGAGCCATCAATGACAAATGTCTGACAGTCTTTGTCATGTGTGTTCTGACTAGTGGCCTTGAATGAGGGTGGGTTCATGACCCTAACTTCGCGGTAGAAGACAGCAAAAACTATCAGGGAATTGGTGAGATCAAACCGTGTACAAGAAATCCGGTCGCATATCTCCCAGCCTTGCAATTTCTTTGTCAGTCAAACCCACAATCCAGTGGTTGCGTTCTCCCCTGCGTCTCTTTGCATTCTCTCGCCGCAATAACATCGACATGAGAACAGAGCCTCCAAAGAGAAAGAAGAACAAATAAGCCATGACGACGCCATGACCTTCGAGGTAACGTGGCTTGTTGAAGTAGATGTTGCTGCTGACCACACCGTTGAGATTTCCCCAGCCAATGACGAAGCCCAACACCACGCCGCGCTTGTATACGCCTTCGACATTATTGGCCACCCAGCTGATTGTGTTGGCGATACATGGATAAATTCCTAGGGCAGCAAGAAAGGTACCTGCATACTGAACCGCAGGATCCTCGGACGCAAGCAACATTGCAAATCCAGCCACGCCGAAAAGTGATATGCAAATATTGCACAGTCCTCTGGCTCTGGTTCGATCCGCAAGTAGACCAATGGCGACAGTAAATACTGTCGCCACAGCATAAGGGGGGACCGACATAAGCTGGGACCGGATCACACTAGTGTTCCAGCCCAGATTGGCGATAATGCTTGGGAGGAACAAAGAGAAGGCGTACAGGGGCATATCACATCCCATGTATATAAGCATACCCAGCCACATCTTCCAATCGCGAATAGCGGCCCAGAAGTAGCTCATCTGAAATGACTCGTGATCAGCCGAGGACTGCTGATCGAGCTTGAGTCGGCGGATGACTCGGGCACGGTCGTCGTCGGATAGGAACTTTGCCTTGTCTGGGAAGTCGTGCACTAGCCAGAAAGAGGCTACTCCGAGAACGATAGTGAGAAGACCTTCCAGAATGAAGATCCATCCCCACCCAGCGATGTCGCCGAGTCCATCCATCTTTTCGATGGCGGCTGCCAGAAGACCACCGAAAGACCCTGAGAGCGCTGCAGCCGAAAAAAAGACAGCCGCTCTCACCCCAAGCTCGGAACGCTTGTACCAACAGGATAGGTAATAGTTGACTCCCGGAAAGAGCCCAGCCTCAGTGACACCTAAGAACCAGCGGGCCGCCATCAGGCCTGACCAGTTGTGAACAAAACCCATCCCAGTCATGGAAGCACCCCACGCAATCCTAGAGACATTGTCAGCCTTTTTAAGCCAAATTATTGGTTGTCTGAAGTTTCGCTCGTACATGATTATAGGGATAAAAACTGAGGGCCTCATTCTTTTGAGCATGACGTTTGTCAAGGGCTCAAAAACGGAATAAGAGACAAAAAAGATCGTCAAAGTGGCGTTGTAGTCAGCAGTTGACATTCCAATGTCATCGCTGAGGCCGGCGATCTTGGCATTTCCAATGCTGCTGCGGTCGAGAAAGGCTATAAGGTAGAGAACACAGAGCTGGAGTTATATGTTAGCGCATCGAGTTGTGGCGACCCTTAAGGGAAGGGACTTCAACCCGGGTTTTGTGGGTTCTTACCCATGGAATTAGGATCCAATCGAGTTTTCTCACTAAGCGGCGATCCTAAATGTGTCAACAAACGTCAACCATGAACAGTGTCGGATTCTTTTACAAATGCTCGCAAAGCAGGAATGACACATACCATTTCGACCTTTTCTTCCGGTGAAAGGTGAGCATCGGGGTCCGGAGGAAGGTCCACAATACTCCCTTCATGACTCTGAATGCCATCGATTGACTTCTTCTGGCTATCTGTACTCATGTTTTCAAGCTCAAAGTCCAAGCTTGTGGCTGGGGAGGTCAACGGGGCTGTTGTTGTGCGGGGAGGTGGAAGTCAGCTTGAGTTCAACCAGAGTTTGTGCAGCTGTTATAAGCACCATCAAAGAAAATAATCGGATGATGAAGGCAAGGGTTTTTTGCTGGTTTTTTGGTATTTTCTATGCTAGCGAAGAGCAGTTGAAATGAAAGCTGCAGGGAATGCATAAGCCTTCGAAATCCAGGGCATATCTTGGTTATGAAAGTTCGGATTTGCAGTCTATCGGTCAGACGCGACCAGACGCGAGGCAGTTACCTACCCATTGTGCTTTCTTGGTTGTTCACCCTCTAAACTTCAAGCACTCGAGTGTGGTGAGTTGGAAGGAGTAACCCGCTTCCTCGCTGCTGTCCAAGGCCCGAGGCACAAAGATTGGACCGAATGAAAGCAGGAATGTCCACTTGTCCGCTTAGCGGCCCTTGGACTGATGTTTCCTTCCTGTTCTATGCACAATGCAGGGACCGAGCCCTGGACCCTTAGGCCCTCAGTGGACTGTGGACCAAAGACAGCTTGACGAAGAAGTGCGATCGTAGCCCCAAAAGGTCCCTGCGTGAACCTGGGATGTACTCTGGAAGCACAGTAAGGTCTACTGTCGGAATCAGTCTGCAAACTGCACGTCCGCAGTGATGTTGGAAGCTCCGATGGATGAAGAAACTAGGAGATGAGCCACAAGGGAAAAGTGCTATTGTGGAAGTGATCGTCACCCGACATGTAAGGAGATGGTGGCGTTGACATTAAGGCAGCTCAGTAGACTGTCCCGACGCGAACGTTGTCGTTGTGGAAGGTGAACAAGCAATCGCAGGGCGGGGGAATAGATGCGCAGTAAGCTAACCTTGCTGGGGCAGGGTATTAAGTATGACGCTGCAGCACACATAGCATGAGCACTCTGTATCACCTTCTAGTGCAGCTCATGTTGTCTCTCCTGGGGACGCCACTGAGGCAGGGATCATGCAAACATCGTGCACGCTATGGGGCATCCGGAAATGATAGACAGTGGATAGTTGCTTCAAATATTAAGAGCCACGAAAGAATGACACCTCGAGGCCCAAGGATAGGAGAGGCAGCCCTTTCTCCACCACATGTCAAGTGTGTGTAGCATTCGGCAGGATTTGGGACTCCTAGGGTTCTTCAGGGCTGGTGTGGCAATCCAGGCACATTGTACCCTTCCAACTTCTAGCTAGGTTAGAGGATCTTCAAAGTTCCTGGATCAGGGGCAAGCACAGAGACCACGGATGGTTGCCCCTAGGCTTTAGTTGTGCTATGCTCAGCCGCAGCATTGTCTCAAGTCTCTTGCAAACATTGAGGAACAAATGTTCAGGTCACTATTGTCGAGTCTCCCAGTGACAACCCCTAGACTTGGGTCATGGCCAATGTGTGACAGTTTTCGAGCGTAGACCAGGCGCTCTGACCACAGAAGTTCCTGAAGTTGTGGTTAAAAAGAGAAAAACAAGAAGGACAATCTTAGACATCTGGGGCTGTCGAACTATTTTGGTTCCACAGACGGAAAAGTGACCATCGGGGCATGCGGGCATATGTGGAGGATAAGGTGTGGCAGAACGTTTTCCACACACCATAGATCTTGACCTCAACAAGCAAATCCACTGGAATCCTTCTCGAGATAGATCTCGGCGGAATAAGTAGAGACTACAGACTCGACCGGCCGCTCTGCTGGTTTCACAAATCTGTCGATGACTATGCCCAATGCAGGGAAACCCGACGGTGCGAAGAATCCATGGCAGCCAACATGCAGCAGGTATGAGTTATTCACATGGACGTGAGGGGAACTGATGCCTTTCCTGGACTTGATGCGGTTAGCCGAACACATGGATTAAAAGGTCTGCAGTTTGGATTGGATGCAAGGTTCAGGCCTCACAGGTTGTCTCCCAGAAATTAAGTATGAGTGCAGCTGATACCAACGTCCTCGTTCCGGAACAGCTTGAAACAGCGACAAGAGACAGAGACCCTGTTGGTTCACTTAGGGTCAAGCTGGAGGGGATTGCTTCTGGAGCTCTTCTGCACAGAGTCGATCATCCGCCCTACTTAAGCCTATCCGGGTTTGGCGTCCGCGAGCCAAGAAATCGCTCAGATCGCGGATCGTCGATCACAGTAGTCCCGTCCCCGCAGCTGAGCAACAGCTGACCAACAAGATTGGTATAACTCCGTCATTTGTGGATCCCTTAGACATCCGGCTCATACTTGGACAGCAGAGGAGAGGGGAACTTTGTCCTTTGTATCCTTAGATCTGAACATCGGGTTTGGTTTGTCGTCATCTATAGGCAATAAATCAAGCAAATACCTCAGGTAGGTATTACCCACCTTGGGTACATTGCTCCCAGGTAAGCTTTGTGTTAGTGTAAGTTCCTGCCTTCGTTGACCCCTCAGATCATCCGCAATCCACACTCTGCACTTCGGACGCCAAGCCCGATATGCCCCCTGTCAAACGCTTGGGTAAGCTGAGTGGGTCAAGATCACCAATGACAACCTGAGATGCGCAAGTAGTAGTATGTACACTGTATAGTTGGGAAACCCTGTTCTCAGCCCAACGGGTCTCTGGTTCCGAAAGGCATGGCCAAAGTCCATGCTACACGTCATCTCAAGTATTGTCGCCAACATGACATTCCCGCTTGCTAAGAAAGTCTGTATCGTCGGTGAGTTATTCTTGTTGTCAAGCCTCTGAGTGTCGACTCTTCTCCACCATACTAGACGGCTGGATAGCTGACTGCTTGTTGTATTGCTCATTATGAGCTGACTCGTGATAATTATAGGCGCCGGACCCTCGGGTCTCGTGGCTGCGAAATCACTTCTACACGATGTACCCAGGGGAACCTTCGAGGTTACCATTTTCGAAGCCAAAAATCGCATTGGTGGTATTTGGCCATCAGACAGAAATGACACTGATGGCCTGGTGCATCCGCTAATGGCTGCGAACCAAAGCAAGCACACAGTTCAATTCAGTGATCTTGCTTGGCCAGCTGACAGCCCTGAAATACCTCGCGCATGGCATATTGGTCAGTATCTCCGCCGTTATTTCAACAGATATTGCACCAATGTCAATCTTCATCTTGGCTTCAAAGTCGAGAGCGCACAACCGGTAACTATTGGAGCTTTGGATCACAATGGGTCCTCCCAGCTGTCGGGTTGGCGGATCCAAGCTCGATCCTCCGAGGGAGAGGTCAAAGAAGAGACCTTCGACTTTCTAATTGTGGCTTCTGGCTACTTCAGCAAGCCAGCTATACCAGAATTCCGTCACGAGAAGCCTGACACCAACGTCCCAATGATTCATAGCAGTCAGTTCAGCGATCTCCAGAGACTCTTCGACAAAAAGAGCCCTCTGGGAGGTAAGATCCTCGTCGTTGGTGGTCAAATGTCCGGGGTTGAGATTGCGAGCACGATTGCTATCCAGCTTTCATCTGCCATGCATTCTCCATCTGCGAACACAAGCCAGGCTGCGGTCAACAACCCCAGAGGATATGCAGTTTGCCACCTTATCCAGAAGCCTCTCTGGATCCTTCCGTCTTATATTTCTCCGAAGGTGAGGTGGAAATGCTGGTGAAGCTTTATGTTGGTTACGGATGCTAATGTTTCGCAGCCAGATGAGCATGCACCTCGGTTCCTTCCTCTTGACCTGGTGTCCTTTAATCTTTCCAGGAGACCACAGCCCCTGACAAATACTCAGGGCCACATCTCCGAGGACTTGGCAAGAGACTTCCATAGGAAGTATCAAACTTCACTTGGTACTGACCAGTCGGAATTTTGTCCAAAACTCACTATTACAGCTTCAGACACAACCAATCCTCCATTGATTGCGATCAGTGACTACTACCTGGACCTGGTCCGTTCCGGTCTCATCACGGTCTGTTCTGGAAAATTGGAGGCACTTTCTGGCTCTCAAGCAATCATTTCTCCTTCTGGTGAGCACATTGATGACATTGCAGCCGTTGTGTTTGCCACAGGATTCGAGGCCTGGCCTTCGCTTTCTTTCCTAGCTCCCCTAGTCCTGGAGGTTCTGTCAGTTCGACCCTCTGACTTGTACAACACTGTTGCACTCGGATTCCACGGTACCTATCACCCTGAAATACCAAATCTCGGCTTCGTTGGCTTCTACAGGGGTCCCTATTGGGGGATTATGGAGATGCAGGCACGGTTTCTTTCCAGTCTCTGGGCCTCGGGTGGTCCGTCGTCGCCCCGACTACCCCAATCACTTAAAGACGCCTTAAACAACGATACGTCGCTTGATCGAACTATACGCCTTCGATCTGATTCTCGGTCCTCGCAATTTCCAATGGGCGATTATGTTTGGTTAATGGAGCAATTCGCCTCAGCGCTCGGGATCAACCGTCAGCCGATGCACAGGATCTCAAGCCTGTCATCAGATCACGATGACATGGATATTCTAACACCAGCAAGATACCCTTCTAAATCACTGAGCGAGGTACAGCAGGCAGAGGTGTCAGAGTCACTCCGACAAACGCGAACAGTTGTTCTGGCTGGCATATCATCTGCAAAATTCGTGGCCCGCGCTGTTTTCCGCTCTCTCCTCGGAGAATGGAAAGTGGAGCGTGATATCCGCAGCCGAAGTCCTAACTACCCTGCCGGTTACTTTACTGGGACCGCCAAATTTCTATTGCGTCAAGGGACTCGTGAAGGTCACGAGGTTGAATTTGACGCTCTTATCCAAGATGGCTATCCAAGTTTGGAATACCTCTATGTTGAAGAAGGGGTATTCAAGGCTGAGAATGGCTTGGAGTTTCCAGCGAATCGCCGTTATGTGTGGCGCTATAATGAAAAGACGGATAAGCTTTCCATCTGGCATATACGAGCAAACGATCGTGAGCGACTAACTGTTGAGAATCTCTTCCATGAGATCGAATTCACTATTGCTCAAGACAGTCGAGGCTCTCCTGGCTGGGCAGGTAGAGGAAGCCATTTGTGCGGCTGTGACTTTTACAAAAGTTACTATCTGTTTAACTTCAAGGCTGTCAACCTGGTCCACTGGAAATGGATGCATGTTGTCAAGGGCCCTAAGAAGGACTACACTCTTGATGCGAAATTCATCAGGTGAGAGGAGTTGGTAGTCCTCTAAGTACTGAAGCTGCAGTGGACGATCGACTAGTCTCAATGACTGCTTAAAAACTTCTTGCTTTCAATCATATCACATGCTCGCAAAACTGCGCTTGTCAGAGACATAAGTAGTACATATTCAACTGGAATTATAGTACCCCCACTTTACATCTTCGGGGTGCTGGTGTTGGGTATGGTGGGAGGGACGTAATGAGTGCAACTGACAGCGAAGGTCTCGGAAACAAGCAACCAGGATATTGCAGTGGTGCTTTAGCAGGATGAAACCTCCCTCAGAAACAGAAAAAAAACTTGCATGTTAAACTGTAGGTTGTATGGCTCACACCACTCCACGATATTCAACACAGTCCCAGGGGCTTGGCACACAGGATCCCAATGTTCGTGCTCTCCTACTGAAGTATCTGATGAAGACCTGAACAAAACTCTCCTCTACCGTTCAAGTATGGCTGGTAACACAAGTCTCTAAGCAGTTTTACCCTTGTTCGTTTGTTAGCGTGGTACCATTTTCCAAGTCACATCCCCTTTTTGGCAGGTAGCTTGAAGCTCTCACATTTCGAGCCCATCATCATTGATTGTGAGTATCCCGGACATTTTTAGAGGCAAACTTGATTGGGAGGAATTTCGCGCTGTCAGAGAAGAGATCCGGCAGCTGCATCTGCGATCTTCGAGCCTTCTCAACAGTCGCCGACCTTCGGCTGCTAGCAGTCTGAATCAGCAACCAAAACCTTGCTGTGGCTTGCATCAAGTACCACTTTAACGAACCAACAAGGTTAAAGCTATATGTACAAGAGCAGTGCACGAAAGTAAACAGAGTCAATGTCCTGCGGTCACTGATTAGTTAGAGAAGTGGGCGAATATCTTCGCGTGTCAATGATATTTAGGCTTTAGAATCTCTTGAGTGACAACTGAGGTATATGCTTCAAAATCGGCCGGCTATTTTGAGAAACGTCACACATACTGCGTGTCGAGGGAGTAAGATATTAGCAAGGCAAGCTTCGATCACACTTTCGAAATCACACATCCCTGGATTAGGTGGGACTTTGTCGAAAAATGTACTCCCCCTCCCCTCCCCTCTTCTCTCTCTCTCTTCTCTTTCTCATCCCTGATCCCTGGGCTCTACCCTTGCTCATGGGCGGTTAACTGCACCGTCTGCATTATGATAATGTGCAAATGCTCGGAGGCGATTCCGTCTTGACATGACGTCCTAGAAGTTATACAAGCAAGTATTAGTCCAAGAGAACTAAAAGATATGGAGTTGCAAGTCGCACTAAAATGTGTGTCATCCCGTGGAAGGTACAACCAGTCCAATAATACCAAAGAGCCAGAGAGGGGGATCTTGACTTCCTTGTTACACCTCAAGCATATATGGCCAATGAAAAGAAACTGATGTGGATATTTTTGCAGATCAATGCGCAAGCAGCCGTTAAGCTCAGATAGGGCTAGCCTACAATTTAAGCCTTTCTTTCATGTATCGAGTTTCTTGTCAAGGAACGCAATTGCTGTCTTCGTTCGGGGTTTTATCAACTAGGGTGTTATAGACCTTTTGATAGGAGCTCCGTCAACCGCCTTCTACTCGAATTATTCGGCTAAACATGATGCAAAGTATTCGGGCACCGGTGTCGGAATGGTAACACATGCACCAGCGTACGCTTGCCGTAAGCGCAAAAAATACATGGACAGCTGCATGTCATGGAGCCGGGGTTTGCACGGCGATGTTGGCAGCGACAAAATCTGGGGGTAGATTTAGTGTACAGTTGAGGATTTGTTGTCTTCATGCTCAGTGACAGCGCCTGCCTACTGAGGCCGAGACCTTTCTGTGGCGCATGCGGCCCGAAAATCGTGTTGGATCCGATTTCTGCTTTATTTGCGGGAGTCGCCACACAGCTAGAAAGCAGACCCTACATAGTGTAAGCAATCCACATGATGGTCGTGGTTGGCTAGCAGAGACCTGAAAGACTTGTTTGTTTTCAGCAAGTCCTGATGCATCCTTCGCTCGTGGCTAGCAGTGCTTGGAACTCTCTCGCCGAGCCAGGCACAAGGCAAACGGGTACACAAATAGTCTACTTTTTTCTCCATAATCAATGATGACTGTGCTATAACCAGTAGCAGAAAGATCACATGCATGTATCTTACAGAAATGCAGACTGAACTGCGAAAGTGAGTTGGGCTTCAAGAAGTTCTATACCTTCAGAACCAAGTTGCGGGCTTGGGATAGTTGCAGAATATCGATACAACGACACAGTCAGCTGCTAAAGCATCCCCCTTCGACATGGTCTAGCCCTAGATCATGTCCCGCTTTCCGGACACAGTCTGATGTTAAGCTGCACATCCGCGACAGACAGTCTGTTGTGACCATATTGGCGTCCAATCAACATGACAAACGGTCTCATCAAGTACCACATACCCCCAAATGGCGTTCATCCGCTGGCGGTGCAAAAGGTAGCCAGGGGCAAGCAAGCTGCCGCTTCGATTTGAACAGCGCAGACACAAATCTCACAAACTCCCTTGTCTGGCCTGCTCAAAGATTGGTGTTGCCTTACACCTAACAAGGGGCAAAAGTCACGGCTCAGAGGCTGCTACAACTGTCATCAGGATCTGCGAGTACACCACCTCTTCATCTTATGTACAATCAAATCCAGCACCCTTTGCGCCAGTAACGTTCGAAACTTCCCAGCCAACTAAATATTTTCTCCTCCTATTACCCTCAAGGAGGTGACACCAGTGACCGGATAGCACATATTGCATTTGCATCTACTATCACAGCACTCTTCAACTTGCTAGGTGCAAATGTTTTTATCATCACCAGTATTCTAGCAGCCCTCTATCTCCATCAGGGGTACGTTGTCCTGGCTCACAGTGTCAAGTTCTCGAGCCTTCATATCTTTTCACGTTCACCTACAGCTCAGGTTCTCATTTGAAGTTTTGGCCATACGCTTTATCACTACTGCCAACCTAACCTGCTCCTTTAAACGAGTATCACATAACTAACTAACCAGAGGTTACTCAGCAATTACCTTGGGTTAACGTACATCCCGCTTCAACTGCTCCATGTACCTTAAGGGTGCCCACTTCCAGCCTATTTCGGTGTCGAGATCCTTGCTTGTCAACACTTTGGTGATAAACATTAATGCCACCACCTTCTCATCAAGAGCTATTCGCTACAGCTGGTCGTAGCGCGTCTCGAAAGAAGGCTACAGAAGTGGTTTGCGGGGCCGTGCTGGGGGGTAAACTGACTCCCTTGATTCTTTGTACTTCCTCAAGCCGAAAGCTGCGACCGCCACAGTTCGGACAAACTGACCCTCATCGTCTGCAATTAACGACCGACTGGCATAAAGCTCGAAACGAAGTCAACTCACACCCGTGTGGCTGCCCCGGCACATAAAACACTGCTGCGAGCAGGAGAGCAAACCCATACACTTCAACTTCACGTGCGAAAACAGTTACTTCAGCTTTTCTTGCGTCGCCGGATCTGCATTCATGGCCTTGGGTTTTCTGCAGCCTGTTTTGCAACATGGAGCCAGCATCTTGGGTCCTGATATACGATCGCTCTGAAAGCATCGCGAAGATGAATCTTACAGACAAGGAGCGTCTCACTATTCAAGCAATGGAGCGGATCGGTGCATCGTTTAGTCTTGTCGGTATTGCATTCATCATCTTCGCTTACGCAATCTTCAAGAGGGCTCGAACGGTCCCAAATACCTTCATTCTTTTTGCTTCGATTGCCAACTTTGGGGCAAGCATTGCCTGTTTAATCGGATCCGCAGGTCTTACGGATGGATCATCGTCCGCACTCTGTCAGACTCAGGCATTCCTCTTGGAAATGTAAGCATTCTACTTTCTACCCCTTTCAAATTCGCTGAAGGAATGATTCTAACTTCATCTTTTCAGGTTTATGCAATCAGACCCTTGGTGGTCATTCGCCATGGCAGTCAATGTCTACATGATCTTCTTCATGGCCTACCATCCCAGTCATAGACACATGTGGTTTTACTGCATTATCTGCTTCGGTGTTCCTGCAATTCCAGCCACAATCTGTCTTCTTTATTCCCCTAATGGGTCTAAGATTTATGGGGATGCTACAGTAAGTCGCCACTCATCATTTCCAATCTACATCAACAGACAACTTAGGCTGACAACCGATCCTAGATGTGGTGCTGGATTGATGACGAACACAGCCCCCTGAGGATATACACATACTATGTTCCCATATGGACCTGCATTGTTCTATCTGCTGTTATCTATATTGCAGTTGGCTACCACGTTTTTCGCCAGCGAAACCAGCTGCGAAACCTCACCTTGAGTAATCAAGTAAAGGAAGCTCAAGATGAGCTAGATGTCGAATTCCATCCACTACCTGAAAAGGTCTGTTGTTCTTCTCTCGGGACTGAGACATCTTCCGTTCCATTGATCCAGTCTTGACCAATAGTATCCTTTCATATAATACGGAACTTCGTGATTCTGACATTTATCTAGGGATCATATGGAGCAAATTATGGGATTGTAACAACCGAAGTCCGCATTACTGCTGAGTCTTCTTGCAGTCAGACTCCTCCTGCTACGCCAGCAGCCTCTGTCGATCCAGTCATTCACAAGCTCGACACACGTACAGCCCCTATCCATTCGTGGGGTTCTCCACCGGAAGATGGTATCGAACTAATCACACACACACAAATGGCTCAGCCCAGGCCATATACAACCATTGCCACCATCACAACAGGGCACGTAAAGGAAGAGGAGGCGAAACACAGCTATCTCCGTGAGCTATGGGAGAAAATAAAGTACAAGCTGCACAAACTTGACCCAGTCAAGCTTGCATACCTGCGAACGTCCTTCGTTTTCGCCATCTCCATCTTGGTGACTTGGACCCCCAGCAGCATCAACCGAGTTTACTCCTTTATCTACCCCGAAAGCGTCAGTTTCTCTCTCAATCTCGCTAGTGCTATCGTTCTTCCTCTTCAAGGTGTGTGGAATGCCGTCATCTTCATCGCAACCAGTTGGGGAATACTCAAAGAAGAGACTCAAATTTTGCTGTCTAAGTGGGCCCCTCGGTTTTCTCCCCGTGATCGAAGCCGTGACCCTTCGAAAAGGGCAATAACATCAGACAATCGAGGTCACAATCCTCGAGGGAGCGTAGCAGGGGCTGAAAAGCACAAAATGGCTAATATTAGGGTCATTCGTGGGGGCTCTCTTTAGAGTTGGTCAACCCCTTAGGCTGACTGGCCAAAGAGGCTATGGCTACTTGTGATGATGATTTTATTTTAAGAAAGGGTGCTCAATCACCACTTGCATCCCTTGGTCTTGCTTTCCAACCTTTCATTGGATCTACTTAACCACCTTCTCAAGCTCATATGATCGAGGGGTGCCTTGGGAGGTTCATATCTGTTAACGATGATTTGTGATCGGTGTGCTAATGAGGGAGCTCTGAGCAAGTTGGTACATTCTCCACGAGAATCACAGTTATGATTATTATGATAGCAATATACCCACATTCATGTTTGGATTCGTTTCCGAATCATAGTGTTATGATCTTTGATACCTCCATGCTTCTTAGATTCGTCAGGGAGAGCATGCTTCAATGGGTAGATAAGGCATTGCGATCTCTAACAGGCAAGGTTGCATGCAGTTAGCTTTCTACTCGTCTGTGCTTTTGAGGTTATAGTGATCCGTAGAAAGTGTAGGAAAGATCACGGATTCAAGTGTTTTAAGCCTCAAGTGTGTAACCGTCAAACTCTCCTTAGCTGGCCTCAGTACTTGATTAGAAGACTCTCAGGCAATAGAAGTCACCAGCCCGCATGGCTCAGTGGTAGAGCGTGACACTAGTAAGCGGATTTGGGGTGTCACTGGGTGACATGTTTCTTCTAGCCCGCATAACTATGTCAAGGTCGTCAGTTCGATTCTGGCTGTGGGCATTACCCTATTAACAGGGTTTGGTACTTGTTTTTTGTTTAGGCTTGTTAAACCCTGAATGTGTGGATGTGGGGTGCAGAGGAAAATCTTTGCTGGTGTGTTACTTTAGTAGGTGTAATCCTGCAACCAATTGGTGAAGCGTGAGTGTGTGACTTTCTCCACCCAGCAGTGACACGTGACTGTCACATGATCAGGCCAGAGGAGCACCTGGTTTTCAGAAACTTTCCCAATGGCTCGTCATTTGGTTGTTCCGTGAATTGATCATCCACCCACCTTCAGTCCGCTTTCAGCCATGTTGGTTTGTTGAAGTCTTTTACATATTGCCTGACTCTTCAGCCATTAAAAACATGCAAACACATCCAGGCTTCCCAGTTATGTCCTTCAGGATCTTTGTTATGGGTGAAAACAGGATTTTTTTGCCAATCTTCCTTTACCCCAGGATGCCCCTCTATTAAGGCAGATAAGTCGATGGGCAAGCTGATCACTTGAAACGCTGGTTTCTGGTGCAGTGTGCAACTTCTACAGATGACCGGCCTATCAGTCTAACGAAAAGTATGGAATGTGAATCATGATTGATTGCATTAATAGGACGAGCCATTGTCGATTCAGCAGACAGAAAAGCGATCCTGCAGGTGAATGACATGCTTGCAACACTTTCTCACGAAATCCTGTCTGTAACATAGTTCTTCTCAGTAAAACATTGTTATACGTTACACCTTCAGTGCTGAGCAATAAGCACTTCGTATCCGTTGAACGGCATTTTGAAGGGCATATGATGATATCAGTATTTCGTCAAATGAGGTTCAAAGTACTATACGTGGTGCGACGGAGTGCTATCTCAGTTCCAGAAGTGTCACGACGTGACCCACCATCCTATACAATTCCACTCGAATTACTTTTTCAAGGTATTCACTCTGCCGGAAGGCCGACAATATATCTGAATGGTTACAACTGTAAGATCACATATGCGAGCCTAGGACAAAGTGATGTGTCTACCTGATTGTAGTTGACCAACAGTTCCCTCCTTTCCCGGTTCTTGGTACCTCACTCCCCATGACAACAATGCCTTAAGACATATCGCACAAGATCTTTGATGCTCATGCAATAGCGACAGATGGGAAACCGAAATTTCTATCACTGCAGTACAGAAGTATATGGAACTGAACAAACAGGCTAGGAAAATACTGTTCTGGAAAACAGTCTAGCAAGTGGTCTGGTTCCTCGCCTTGTTCAAGATAAACATTCCGTAAACAGATTCGGGCTCTCTGCCTAAGGACTCTTGTTGTACTGTTCGTGATGAGGTAGGTATATTGATCCCTTGAATTGCCCCTGGCCGATCTTTTCTGACAATCCGTTCCTGATGGAGGGCCTCACCAGTTGGAGCAGCACTCAAGTAGAGATCTACTCTTTGTCAAACGCAGTCTACTTGATGGTGATTGGGCTCTTGAGGCATTCACCAGCAAAACCCATTGCTGTTGCCACAATGCTCAGCACTTTTACACAACACGGATATGCTTTGCCATGGTCCAGATTCAGAAAGTTAAGCTCCTATCTCTTCTCACGGGCTTCTCAAACGTTAGCTGTAGTTTGCCAATACCAGGAAGGTGTGGAGCAAGCAGTAATCCGTTAAAATGAGGGTAGGCCAGAAACGAGACACCCATTTTGCAGTCTTTTAGAGCAGTGTATTCTGCACCTGTGGTGCAAGTAGCTCGGAAACAGTTGAAGAGGGGCCTGACCAGGAGATGATCATGAAAGTGTAAGAGTGTACAAACAGAAAGGTCCACAGAACAGTGGTAACAACCACACATTTTATGCCACGGCAGACCAAAACATCCGAGAATACTGTATCACAGATCACAAGCACATACCAGCTAGCAAGGCGGGGTCTCCAAATCGGAGACCATGTCTAGAAAACAATTGCGAAGGTGTTATTCACTGTAAAGTGGTACGGTGCCATCACAGCATATACTGTGGATCCTAATGGAGCATGCCATACTCCTTTCTTAGCATTGATATGGTACTGACTGACCTTGCTAGTTAGAGACCGAGAGCCCATCGAACAGGCCTGGCACAACACACATGACTCTGTCATAACAACAAATATAAAGGGACACATAAGTAGAATTACACTTGCATAGGCAGCGCGAGCCTAAGACAGATGTGGGTTGAGCCGCACAGAAATTGTTGTAGGACGCCGGAAGGGCACTGAGCCTCAAGTGGCCGGTAACAACGTACATGAAGGTATAAAAAGTGTCGTGGAAGATCAGTAGCAAGTTGCTTCTTGCCGCTTTGTTGGACCAAACAATCTGTGAATTGGACAAACGGCTGTCGAGCACACAACATAGGTGGTTTTCACCCAGCCAGGACATTGATACTAATCCCCAGGAAAATGACAGCAATAACCGACCGGACGCCAACAGCGATCCTGTCTGATGGCAACCAAGAACCCTCCTACATGCTCAGTAGCGTCTCCGAGCATCATTACCAAAGTTGTGGACATGATGCAAAGGCAACACCTCGGATGTCTAATGAGCACCAAACTCAGGTTGCATCAGGGCTCCCATCACTAGAACTTTTCAATTCCATTACCATCAAATCTTCTGCTAGTTCAGTGGTTTTAGGCGAAGTCGCAATGCACAGTGCTAGCCAAAGCTACTATATGAACAAGGATTTTCAGACACCAGAGGAGACCTCCACTACCGCGATACAATACGAGATTAGGACAACATCAGCAGTTACCAACCCTCTTGTTTACCCAGTTAGCGACGTCTCCAATATCTTTGAGGAATCAGTATCACCAACCTCTTCGGCCCCGTCAACAGCCATTTCGAGCCTGTGCCGGACCGATAGCTCCAGTGCATCACAGACCGAAACTGCCACCAGCATTGGGAGCTCAAACTCTGCGGACGAGCCCTCCCACCTAAGCTCAGTAGACCTCAACATGATGCTGGCTGTGAGCCCAGAACACGTTAGTGAATCCAACCTGTCACCGCCCATATTGTTACCGAGTCTCGATACACATTTTCCGCAGGCTAAGCCTTCCACCCTCACAAGTACATTCCTCACCTCTCCAATGCCTACTGTTATTGATGCGGACACGGGGCCCAGGGGCACTGGCTCAAGCGAACAGGGCAGCAATAACCGGCAAGAGGAGGGAGATGGGGGTGGAAGTAGGGAAGGCATAGAGGCAGACTGGTCTACATCCCACCGACATGGGCCGACCTTTGAGGATTTGAGGCGGACAGCAAACCTTTTTGGGCAGCTCCGTCAGGCCAGGGATGAGGCTGAGAGAGCCGGGCAACCGATCGAGGACGAGGATGAGGTGGCACAAGTGATTTTGAGCCACCAGAGTGCGAGCCAGTGGTGGGGAAACAACACGGAAAGTGACCTGGTTCTGGAGGAGTGATGGGGGAAGGTGGGGAGAAAGTCGGGACTCTTACCTCAATGTATTCCCAGCCTATTCGAAGGGTTGATGTGTACCTGAAATGTTCCATTTTCTTATGCTCAGTTTGGCTCACCGTTTTCATGCTGCCTTCCGTCTAAGTTCCATCTATAAGTGCTTGTCAAGTCAGCTCAAGTCTTATGTTCTCTTTGTGAAATGGATGTAGTTTGTGACACCCCAGCCTTACTGAGGATGATGGCAAAGACTGTTCGGTGAACGCAAGTAGAAATGATGATGCCAGAAGGGTAACACCAGAACTGTTGTGAACTCTGTGAGAAGAAAATTCCCGGGATGTGAGCATCGAGAAGTATGGGTGATAGTATGTTTTTGCACCCGGTGTCACATTTTAGGATGAGTAAAGGACAAAAGAAGTGTATAATGTCTCACCGCCACAGCTAACAAGAATCTCAGTTTTCTGAAATGTCAAAGCAATAGTGACGAGCAGTACTTGATGACAAAACAGAATCTGATGTTTTCAAAGCAATGAAAACAGTGCAGCAGCAACACTAAACAAAGCAAAAGGAGCCAGTATGTGGCTAATGAAGGTCTATCAGTAATATTAACCATGTCATATACACATTTCAAAACCTATCCTCTGGTCTTTTCCATCCAAACGACGCACCAACCTCCCTTATCCCATTGCGAACGCTATCGACAAGCGCTTTGGCCATTCCTTGACCGCGCCTCTTGTGCGAATTGACAGTGATAGCTCCACCGGCACTTATGGAAGATGTAGACACTGGCGGCTCACTGCCCATTGTGGGAAGGACGTTGTCGCTGGCTGAGAGACTAACAAATAGGGAGAACGGAACAAGCCAGACACAGAGACCAAAGTAAGAAGCAATTTCAGAAAAGGTAGGCAGATCGTGCGGGTGGTCGTAATAGGAGGACATGCGTTGGTATGCTCGTTCTTGGCGGTGGGAGAAGTGTCTAAACCAGACGTAGTGGTTGATCAGAACGAGAGCTGGTTTCAGTGTCAGCACGCCTTGTACCAGGGAACAGGTACTTCCAAAATGACCCAACCAGACGTCCATACCGCATGATGCAATGAATAGAGGATCCGTGAGCTTGACAAAGGGGAACCGCCGCATATTGCCAAGGTAGATGAAGTGGGAGAAGACACCCAGGGCAGTCGGCCAGAAAGGAAAGCGGTCGACGAGGCAGAGAAGCAGCTGGAGAGCCATCACCGAATAGATCATTTTCGTGAGGAAGCGCTTTGCAATTACGGTATGCTCTTCGACAATCTCTGACAGGTAGTATAGCCCAGACGCTGCAAGAAAATCGCCATAGTCAGCCGACAAGAGCAAAGCAAGAGGAGCTCCAGGTAGCTTGGTGCTGCGTACCGATGGCTAGAGTCATGAAGCAGAAGCCTAGGATGGTACCGAAGTACCCAACAAGCGGTAGAAGCCACATGTTTTCTTTCCCTAACACCAGTCACCCGGATATCTACGTAAACGTTTTAACGTTCGAGCATATCCAGAGGGGCGACGGCGGCGTGGAACTTCGCTGATCAGATGTAGTAGTTTCTTTGGAGGTCTTGGCGTTCAGGAGGCTGTTGCCCGGCAGAGCGTGCCATGACGTTTTGTAGCGTGTCAGCTGCCGAACCACAGGGGGGGATATGTTCTTATCTTATCGATAAAACTTGATACGTCTTGGCCGCTCTTTTATCACCCACAACAAAGTTGCGCCTGGCCATGACAATTTTGGAATCCGATAACATTACGAGCATCAGAAACTCTGTTGCATCGCCGCCCGCTTTCGATGTCGAACTGCTCTGACGGGCTAATTTATTGATCCATTGACTGGAAGATCAAAAGCCTATAACCGGCTCAACCTTGGACATATGTAGTTTGCTGTGCTTCAGTGTTCAAGATCTTTGCAGAGCCCCACCACGGCCGCCAAAAATCTGACACTACTTTTGCAACGGCGCTTCCAGTGGCCTTGCATTGTACACAGCTCTCTCTGGACCATCTCAACTTCCCCAAACACCATACGTGTGGTTTTATAGCCTAACGCAACGATCCGACCTTGACCATGTCTCGCCCCGAGGACACCCTGTAAGCCTGCCACCCGTCACCCTGCCTTCACCACAACAGACACTGACAACCATTTAGCGCGGCCGATGTCCACTACAACGATGCTGAGGCTCGCAAATATACCACCAGCTCTCGTATTCAAAATATTCAAGCGGCAATGACTCGCCGCGCCCTTGAGCTCCTCAACCTCAAATCGCCCAGCTTAATCCTTGATGTTGGCTGTGGGAGCGGCCTGTCAGGCGAGATCCTTTCTTCCGTACCACCCGAAGAAGGCGGACCCCATGTCTGGGTGGGAATGGACATAAGCGCGTCTATGCTGGATGTTGCGCTACAACGCGACGTTGAAGGAGACCTCTTGCTATCCGATATTGGCCAAGGTGTACCCTTTCGCCCAGGTACGTTCGACGCCGCAATCAGTATCAGCGCAATCCAATGGCTGTGCAATGCCGACACCAGCGAAACGTCGCCTGCGGGGCGGCTGACACGCTTCTTTAACGGATTATATGCGGCGCTGAAGCGAGGAGGAATGGCAGTGTGCCAGTTCTACCCAAAGAACGATGTGCAAAAACAGATGATTACCAGCGCGGCTATCAAGGCTGGCTTTGGCGCGGGTCTGCTTGAGGATGATCCAGGAACAAAGAATGTTAAGGTGTACTTGGTGTTGACGGTTGGCAGCACTGCTGTTCAGGCCAAGGGGGGTGACATCACTGGTGTTGTGGAGGGCATGGATAACGTCGAGGTCCTCGATAACCGCAAAAAGGCTAAGCCAAAGAGCGGCAAAGGGGAAATCAAGAAGGGGAGCAAGGCCTGGATCATTAAGAAAAAGGAACAAATGGAGCGAAAGGGGAAAATTGTCAAGCGCACATCTAAGTATACCGGACGGTCTCGCGGGCCTAAATTCTAGCTTCAGCCTTCTTGTTGTAAGATTCTGTTGTATCTGGGACGGCGTTTTCGGGTCACCTTGAGATATCAGTTTGCTTAAATTAGTGCCTCACAAATCGATACCCAAGTTCTTCAATTTATATACGATGAATTAGTCACTTCGGGCTTTGGTATGATTGAATTAGGTGACACTCTGTGGCCCATCTCCCCTTCAGCACAATCGTGAAGAGAGGCCTCGATGACCGCTCTCTTGCAGGTATGTATGCTACTCTAAAGTCTAGAGCATATCACCTGATGATAGATTGAGTCGGCAACCTCCGTTCTTGGCTTCGATCCTGGTGGGCTGGGAGTAGGTGTCAGCTTGGGATGTTTTGGCCGACCAACCCACGAAACCCCACCTTGCAAAGCCCGCTCCACTTCGATCCGATAACTCCGCCGGCGATCCGCTCGCTATTCGGCCGCGACTCGAAAACACCGGAGCCAAAAAAAAAACAACTCTCGTCTGTTAGTCTCGGCCGATTGACAGGGATTGCGACATTGGAATATCCTAACGGTTGGATCCACAAAATTTTCGAGAAATGAATGTGCGCGTGTTGCTTTCAACTCTCATACCCAAAATGTACAGACCATCATCAGCCACAAAGAGGATGTGTACCTGTCTGCCCACCCTAACATCACTACTGTAGTAGTTTGGTTAGAGTACATGAGTGTCGAACAGCCTGCCATGGCTATATGGATATAGCTGCTCCCCTTGACTCAACGGTTGTTCTGTGTTGTGTACGCCCGTTATGCGCCGTGCAAATCTATTGACGCAAATGCTATTCACCTGTTTCCTACCCCCATGGCCTAATGGCTAGCTGATGGGTTTTATCCTATCAGCTGTGGAATGCCGCGAACGTTGTCAGGGACGCGGTGCAGGTGGTGTTTCAACGTTTTCGCCGTTCCCACCGAAGTATGACATGACGGAAACCTATCCCATTTAAAGAGCCTTCTCCATGGAGTCCAGAATAGCACGAGTGAACTCGTGGGTACTGGCGTTGCCCCCCATATCGCGGGTACGAACTTTGCTGTAAGAACAGTCAGTATATAACAGCACTGATGCTACCTGGTTAGCCACTAAACGTACCCCTGAGCAATCACATCATAGACCGCGTTGGAAATGCGGTTGGCGTGGTCATCAAGGCCAAGGTGGCGCAGCAGCATGGTGCCGCTAAGCAGCAGGGCGGTGGGGTTAGCCTGGTCCTTGCCCTTGATGTCGAGACCGACGTGACGGCAGCCGGGCTCAAAGACAGCGACGTCACGGCCCATGTTGCAGCCAGGGACAACACCAGGGCCGCCAACGAGAGCAGCAGCAATGTTGGACAGAATGCCACCATACAGGTTGGGCATGACCATGACATCAAACTGTTGGGGCTTGCTGACGCACTGCATGGAGGCGTTGTCGACAATCATGTCGTTGCACTCAAGCTGGGGGTAGTCCTTGGCCAAACGCTGGAAGGTTCCACGGAAAAGACCGTCGGCAAGCTTCATGATGTTGGCCTTGTGGATACAAGTGACCTTCTTGCGGTTGTTGGCAAGCGCGAAGCTGAAGGCAAACTTGACGATGCGCTCAGACTTGGCGCGAGTGATGATCTTGAGGGACTCAACGACACCTGGGACGCTCTGGTGTTCGAGACCGCTGTACTCGCCCTCGGTATTCTCACGAATGATGGCGAGGTCGACGTTCTCATGGCGTGTCTTGAGACCAGGAATGTTCTTAATCAGCGAGATGGAGGCATAGATGTCGAGCTCCTGGCGCATAGCCACGTTGAAGCTCTGGTGGCCGGACCGGTCGATAGGCGTGTGCAGGATGCCCTTCAGGCCCAGCTTGTTTCTCCTGAGCGAAGCGACAGCCTCCTGGAACTTCTCCTCTCGGCGGGCAGCGGTCATGCCCTCATCGAGACCGGAAACCTCGATTTGCTCCCAGGTAATAGGGACATTGTCGGCCTTGAAGATTGTCTTAACGCTCTCGGCAACTTCGGCACCGATACCATCACCAGGAATGAGGGTGACAGTGTATTTGCCACCATACTTGGTCGGCTTGAAGATGTCGGACTGGACGGTCTGGGAGGGAGCATCGGCGATGCTAGCGAAGCCGCGCGCAACATTCAGGCGCTGCTGGGACTGGGCGGCGGCCCTGAGCACGCGCTATGGATGATGGTCTCAGCAATCTGTAGGGACTTCACATGGTGGGGACTTGGTGCATCTGGGCTGGCATTTTGTGGCAGCGAGCGCAGAAGAGCCCAAAGCAATACGACAATTACATACCTGGGCGGTGCGAGCCGAGTTCCGGGAGAGCATGGTAGGCAATCGGATTGTTTAAATGTTGGCGTTCGCAGGTCCAGCAGGCCGTCAGGGTGAGATGGGAGCATGCAAAGGGCAGCGCAAGAAATGTTCAGAACAAAATACTGGTCAAATGCCGCAAAAACAAATGGCCATTGCGGCACTGAATGCTCTGCCCTGTTGGTCGAGCTCTTTTTCGGTCTCCATCTTGCCGGATGCGTGGGGCTTCAATGAGAACCTTGTTTCCACTAAACCCCTTTAGTCTTAGCGTCGTTTGGCCCGCGCGCCTGTGACGTCTGCGCGTGGAGGGCCTTGCAGCCCAGCGAAGAAGACGGTGCGGAAAGCTGCGGTTTCTTTCACATGCTGTTGGCTCGATTGGTCCTTTATCTCTGCCAAGGCAAGCTTGAGGGCACGTTTACATCAACGCATCTGCAATTGATAACAACATCGGCTCCCACACCTGAGGTTCGAACACAGATCAACGACCATAATAATCCAGGAGTCCGACAAATAGGCTGCGGAGAAGGTATCTTCCGAGTATCGTGCACTTTGACGACATTCGCTAATTATCCCTGCTCCGAGACAATGGTGCGGGCTTCCCATTGCTTCGGCCCCTTTCTTGCACTGGCAATAATTAATACCATAAGTCAATCCTCTGTTTTCCATATCGCTCTTCACAAAATAGCCATCTATTAACAACTGATTCGTTATTCATGGCATTTCTGGGCCGACTAAACGAGAGAACACCCTGGAAAATTGACAACTCCAGGAACGCGGATCACACTTTGTCTTTGATTCCTTGTGGAATATTCTGGGATTCTAGTCTACCTGACAGCCAAAGGGTTTTAGCTATTAGAAACGGATTAAAACCATTCCGGATGCATCAAGCCGTCGGCAGGGTACGTGAACAGATTGCCATCCAGCAACAGACGTGACTTGAGTCGTCTAAGGCCAGCCGCGCCCTCATTTGGACTTGCGCTTGATAGCTCTTGCGGGATCTCTGGCTCCAGGCTGTTGTCTTGGCATTCTGGTATGAGCTTTCCGGAAGCCAAAAAACGGTTTCCTTGGCCCCTCCAAGGGCACACAACCTGGCCTCAACGGTCGGCCCCACAGACCCAACAGCGACGAGAAAAAAATTGACCGATTCTTCGGGTCACGGTCGGGAATTGAGCCCGACGCGGGGGTCGAACCCGCAACCTTGAGATTAACGGAGAATCCTTAAGAGTCTCACGCTCTACCGATTGAGCTAGCCGGGCGAGGCTGCTTATGATAGCCGAAGGTGTGAGAACTTTGCGAAATACAAGAGTGATCATGCCATCATAGCTTCTCCATGAGGCCCTTGGACTATTGTGACTTGAACTTAACATTCGGTCGAAGCTTCCATCTCCCCTCCGCTGGATCAGGCTATGCCCAAGAATCCCTTCGATCAGCGCAGCAATCATTGGCGTCGTCAACCGAAACTGATTGGTGTACCGTGTATTCTCGGTGCTCAACACCAGCCTGTCAAACAAGTCACCCAGTCCAGAACATGACTGGTGAAGTTGAACTTTAACGGCAGGTGGCTGGGTCGGGGTAAGTCGGCCGACATATAGGCAGTGGTAACATCATCCCGCGGTAGAACAAGCTTGCACATACATTCGTCGTACCATGATGGTTTACCCGACACCACCGTTTCAAGTTGTTCGCAAGTAGCTGAAGAGAACGGTTGTGACTCTTCTGGACTTCGATGACTTTATGACTTTCGGGCATAGTGAGGTAGTAGGGTTGTCGGACGAGCAGGTTGTTTGGACGTGGAAGAGACGCCACTGTGAGGAAAAACTCGACCTTTGTCCTTGTTCCTCCTTCAGAGGATCTAGGCCTGTGGGCAAGCTCTGCGACCTCTTTTATTCCCAGAGCCATTCGATCTTCGTCAAAGCATGTCTAGATCCCGTCTCGGAAGACACAATACAATTCTGCTGGATAAACGACCGGCTTTCGTGGTAGGCCAATGATAAACCCGTCGCATACTTCGACCACGTCGCTTCTGCAGTTTCGGATTCGGCGGCTTCAACAAACACCCGCATCCTCACGGGAACCATCTCGAGCAGAGTGTCTATCCATGTCTCGTTGGATGGATCGTCAAGCAACTCCTCCATAATCTTCAGCCAGACCTTGACGCAGTCAGTAGCAACAGTAACAAGGTTGCCTTCGTTTGGATAGAAGGCGTCAAGTTCAACCAGTAGTAGCTGTCATTTTGACTCTTATGACCACATCATGTCCGAGAAGGTCCTTGACAGAGGCAATTGACTGCTGCACTTAGCTTTCCTCCTTGTCCCAGTAGTCGCTTATCGCTAGACGTGCCTTGAAGGGTCTTTAATTACCCAAGTTAGGATTTGCTTGTTGCCCTGATCTTTCTCCGGAAAAGTCGCTTACAGAGACGAAATTTCGCTCCTCGTTACTTCCAATCCTTGTTTATTCAAAAAACACTTCGTTTCTTGCTCGAAACTGTCAACAGCTCTGGCTGCTTGGTTTTTTTTTTCCTATTTATCAAACATGGCTTCTCAGCGAATGGCCAGCTCGGCTTGGCTCCCCAAATCAGGGAGGTGACGGGCCACATCCCAAGCAACGTTGTTTAAAGCAATAATAACGAGAAGAATGTCGAACCGGGACTCAGATTGTTGACACGTTTTGCTATCTCCTCGGAATACGAACCAAAAATTGGCAGCGTGAGAGAAAAACTGGTTAGCTTACTCAAGATCTCACCCGATGAAATCATTCTGACACCAAATTTCGAGACAACTTTGGCCAAGCTTGCCGATCTGCACTCATCATCACACCAAAATCTCAGTTCAACAATCCAGAGAAGGGCCAGAAAAACGGATGGCAGCGCAGCCTGCTTGCCTTTACCCTTGAGCATTTCAAGTCCCTTGTCCGAGGGTTGGGCCGCATCAATGTGGGTACTGATGACCTTGTGCGGAGCGCGGTGCTAGATGCGGTGAGCAAAGAAGCATTTTGCATTTCTTATTGTAGACTCTTTGAAGGGGAATGGCGCAGATGATCATTGTGAGATAGAAGTTTTTGTTGGTGTGTTGTATCTACAATCCACTGCTAAGGGGTTTGAGCTGAGTATTGCAGATATTGCGGTCAACTTGTTGGACCCGTTGTAAGGACTCCCAACGGCAAATAGGACTGCAGACAGGATGAATCACTTGTACACCGGATCGTAGGGCACTTTTCCCTTAGATCAGAGTTAACAATAGCCGGAGTTATGGATACACATCTTCGTACTGCACTGATCGTGCCTCGTAGGGCTTGGAAATATGGCTGGTAGAAGGAAGTATAAAATACCTACATTGGATGGCTAGTCTATATTCCCGAGTCCGCGAACTCTAGCATTTTCCCGGTTTCCCATGGCCTTCTGCATCAGCAGCAATATCAGTTGTTAACGAATCCGCTATACCAAGCGAAGTATTACTGGCTCTTGCAAAATAAAGCTAGGAGATGCATGGTGAATCATCATACCTGGAAACAGGTGTTTGCTTTTTTGTTATCATTTGCCAAGTCAATTACAGCAATTCGTGGACAGAGGGGGTAGCGAGACCGGTCATGATACCACTGGAAAGTGTTCCATGAATCTCTCAGCAACTGCTAAGTGTGACAGTAACACGGGATGAATTACGTCTAACGGTACATCCCACAGCCAAAATCGCAATATGCAGCCGTATCCATCGAAGAGAACAGCAGCCTTGCTCCCGGATTCAGTAGCACAACTTAGAATGCCGACAAATGCCGAAGAAGAAGATCAAAGTCTGCCATCTTCTTCATCCAGGGGCTCCACCCTGACCAAGATCTCTTCCAACAATCCTTCGAGGAAGGTCCCGACATCATTCCCCATCCCAACCGGCTCAGCTTTGTCGGTTTGGTCGATTTCTTTGCAGATATGCGCCAGCTTATATACCAGTTTGCGAATCTTCTCATGAGCAGCCTCTGCCCGCTGTTGTTTTGGAGTTATCAGGTGATGTTTATGCTGCCCCTCACTGTTGGTAGCGCCAGACGGAGGGAGCTGGTATTTTTGTTGCAGGTTTACTTGACGACGCCGGAGAGCCTCTTCGAGGGCAGGAAAGATCACGTCGTTGAGGGCATCTAGCTCCCCGTTAGGGTTGGGAGGGGCAGGGGAGGGGAATGAAAGTGGAACTTCGTTGGCACTGCCGCCACTGGGGTGACGGGGGACTTCTTTGGAAATGAGGGGTTGGATATGAGAGCTGGAGTAGACTGGCCGGGGAGGATGGCTTTGGGACAGGTGATGACTGGCTTGCGATTGGGGATATTGAGGATGATAAACTGAAGGTTGAGCCAGGCTTTTAGGTGGAGGATGCAAGGGCTGATGTGTCGATGGTCTTGATGTGTGTTGATACTGCTGTTGCTGTTGCTGTTGTAGGAGATGCTGTTGACTTCCGCGGAACGGAGGAATATCTGGAACTTTGTATGCGGACAGCTTTGAGGAAGCTGAATGCAAAGTTGGGCTGCGCGGTTCGATAGCTGCACCAAGATTCAACAAACCCATTTCCTTTTGTAGCTCCTCCTGAAGCACACGGTCGTAATCAGGCGAACTGCTCTCCGGGAGTGGGGCAACTGGCCTCGAAGCAATCGAGGAACGGGGTGTCTCGGGGACAGGTAGTGACTTCTGGGGGGAGGGTGGAAGTGAAACTTTGCTTGGTGAAGGAGGTCCAACTGCTGAGGATGGAACAGGTTTTCTCTGAGGAGACGTCTGTCGGGGCGTTGCGGGGATACTGGCAACCTTCATAGTGTCCCTCTCCATCGAGACTTTCGCAGGGCTGGGATCCCGTCTCCTCTCTGAGTTGTTATCGTTCTCGAGTGTCCGCGAAGCCCTGGAATTGGCAGCCGATTCACCCATGTGGTTCAACATAGCTGGCCTGTGGATAACGTTGCCCTTCTCATTCACAAAGCGCACTGTGCCAAAGTCCCACATGTCCTCGTCTGCAGGGTTACGATTCTCGGGCTCATTGTCTTCAGCGGCTTCATACTCCTCCTCTTCTTCTTGCTTATGGGTGGCAGCCCACCGATTGTACCGCTCAATAAGTTCTGTAAGATAGCTTGTTTTCTTGGCTTTCCGGACAAAGGGATGTTTAAGGAGCTCCTTGGCTGACGGCCGTTCCTTGGGATCTCGTTGTAAGCACAGTTCAATAAAATCTTTGAAGGCCTTGGTAAAGTTCCCTTCCAGTCTCGGTGGCGGGTTCTTGGGGATCAAGAAAAGCACTTTCATGGGATGGATATCGGCATAAGGCGGTTCACCGTTGGCTAGCTCCAGTGCCGTAATACCCAGGGACCAGATATCCGCCTTTTGGTCGTAGCCACTTTGCTTGATGACCTCAGGCGCCATCCAGAAGGGTGTCCCGACAAATGTATTCTTCTTCGTCATCGTTGCTGAGAGTTGACCCGATACGCCGAAGTCTGCCAGCTTAACCTGGCCGTTTGCCGCCAGCAAGATATTTGCGGCTACTTCGGGTTAGCAAAGTCACATCATGTGTATGGCGTAGAAGAGAGCCACAAATCTTCGTTACCCTTGATATCTCTGTGCAGCTTCTTGTCTGAGTGCAGGTAATCCAAACCCATGAGTAGCTCACGGATGATTATGGCAATGTATTCTTCGCCAATAAGTCCAGGCTTCATCAGATCAGCACAGCTTCCGCCTGCGCAAAATTCCATGACAATCCATAACTCTGCGCCCTTGGCGTAGGAGCCGTAGTACTTGGTAACATATGGCGATTGCAGCTCAGACAAAATCGCGATCTCTTGGATGATATCTTCGACCTCATCTTCAGCGCTTTCGATGTCGATGATTTTGATGGCGACAGCCTGGCCGGTGCGCTTGTCGATGCTGGAACCAAGTCAGCACTTGGAACGCGAGAGACAAAAGAGGAGTCAAGAGCTAGGCAGCACAGGCGACTGACATACCCCTTGTAGACTTTGCCAAAGCTTCCGCCGCCTGGTAATTGTTCAGCAGTGAGGACTTTTCCAGATGGATCCCACGCTACCAACCAATGCAGTATTCTTTGGTGTAAATCGTCTCCGGGTCTATGGGCCCATCGCTATCGTTCAGGTGGCGCTCCCGGTCGGCCATGGTTCGTCAGCTGCTTCAGTCAAAGGTCCCCGGTGTTGTGACAACAAAATCGGTGCTCCAAGACGAGGGGTCGCTCTGATCGGTCGAGGATCGTAACTCGAGATGGACGTGTGAGGACGATACAGGGGGGCGGCGGTGATCGAAGCCCCAGTGAAAGGCTATCTCAAGTGCTCTGCCGGATTTCAGCAAACTGCCATGGCAATCTTCGGTTATTGAACAAGTTTGATAAATAAGAGCCAAGGTCTAAGGACATGTTGAAGTAGCGAAAGGAAGCAATTCAACAGGGTGTGATGTGAAGGTTGCCGAGCAAGGCTGGCCCAGCGCATAGGGGTCGCATACCTCAAGCTTTTCTCTCCTTTTTTTGTCTTGCGGTTTGAGTGAGGTATGTAATCTGTGCCTCTCCTGGGGCCTGACACCGGGAACGAACAGTTCGGGGAAACAGATCGGCGATGCAGCGGTGCGGACAAGCAAATGGGGCTTGTTGGCAAACAAAAGAGCTGCAAGTTGGACTCAACGGCGTCCTTCGCCCTCAGGAATTTCGGTATGTCAACTGCAACAAACATAAGCATACCTGAGTCGCACCACCAAAGGCGGGCAGCCATCCATCACGGGCAGGAACCCCTCTGCCGTGCTCTGTGTCTCGGCGTCGGTGTGCGGTTGCCATGGGATGAACCTGGCTGGAGCGGAACCTGAACTCAAGCCGTGTGGGGTCATCGCGCATCAGCTGCTTGCAGGCAGCTACCTAGCCCCCCCCCCACTTCTCCACACCTGCCAGGGGGTATAACGACGAGTCACAAGACAGCTGGGACAAAGAAACATGAGGAGGGCCACTCATCTGTTTCCAGCGCATCTACGGCCAGTTGAATTGGAGAAATGCACCAGCAGCAAATCATGTTTGGTCCCAAGAGGCGACTTGAAATCCAGTACGCATTCGCCGTCAGCGTGGAGCGACAGCATCTGCGGCTGTTGTGATCCAGCCTAGGCATGATTTACTTTCACTGGCCTGGGCCACCTTGTGCTTTCTCAGTACGTCCTCTCTGTGGTGAAGAATGCTGCAGGTAATCTGTGTCGATAGGTGAACCCGTAAAATGTTTGGACAGACAAACCGGCATAAGCTCATTACTTATGGCATCTTTGACGTCTACCTTCCTTGAGTCTAGAAAGGAATTTCTTATGACGGCTGGTCAATGCTGTCATGCACAGTAACCAGCGGCAATAGTTGTCACGTCCAAGAAATGACTGGGAAAACCAAGCCAAATTCAATTAAGTGAAGATAAACTCCTATTTCGTGAGCAGGGCTGTGACATCGTGCCCAATGGCCCATCGACAAAGTGCCTTATCCACCAACAAAACTCCAGAAGTCGATGAGGTTCAGAGTGAAGAACTGAAATACCGAGTGTCACCGCCCATAAATCATGCCATGGTGGAACGAAAACAAACCCAACATTCTGTTCCGTCTATGAGGTGTAAAACCACCGCCATCGCTTCTACGACACACATCCCTCAGAGACAACCTTTCCATCCACTTTAAGGAAGTCCGCAAAGCATACTTAGCCCATGCAGAAAAAACCGCTCCCAGAACGAATCTAATATCAGGAAGAACGGCCTTGGATCAATAACCAGCACATTTCGTTTCGTCATCTGTCCCCTTGGAAACGTATTTCCTTGTTTATTCCTCCTCGACAAACTCTAGCATCACTGTCCCATTTGCGAGCCCTGCATCCTTGATGGTCTCGTTCAATTTCTCGATGAGATCAACGCCCTGTGGCATGGCCTTCAGCTCGAACACAACACCCTCTTTACCAGGGAAGAGGTTTGCCTGGTCAGCTTTGATCCACTCGTAGATTCGAGACACAGGATCATCAAGGAGGAACCGCCGGATAATGCGCCCAGCTGGGTTCCTGACCTGTATCCTGGTCGTCGTCTTGGGATCTGCGGATGGTTCCGTGTGAGGGCGGTCTGACGGGATACGTGCCCAAGGCGATGCCTGTTGAGACTGTTGCTCCTCCTCTGACTCAGGGGTCGAAGGCTCAGACGAGCTCTCGGATGTCGCCCTCTCCTTACCCTTGGCATTGGAGAGATCGCTGGAGGACTTGGTGAGAGCGTCGGGATCAATGACTGTAGAGCGGTTGGCAGATCCACCGTTCGGCTCAAGACTGTTCTTCAGAGCCATCTCTAGCATTTCCTCCTCTGTCATGCGGTCAAGATCCACGGTGCGTTCGGAGCGCTTGATCTTTGAAACCGGGTTCTTGCTATAAACATCCAGGCTGTACCGGTCGAGAAATTCAACCAACTGCGAATGGAACTCAAGCGCGGTTGGGAACGGTCTGCCGCTCCAAACCTTGACCTGCTCGCCTGTACGGGGATCGATAATAGACACATGAGGGTAGTTGTTGGGATTATGGTGGGCATCGTTCTGGAAGTAGTAGGTGATGTATCGCTCCGCTTCGAAATCATTCTTCTCGTATTGGAGAAAGATGAAGTTTTCCCGAACCAAGGACTTCACCGCATTGTCCTTCCAGATATCGCGATTCAAGGCCTGACAGTTGAAGTCTGACATGTCCTGGAGGTTAACTAAGAGCCATTTTTTCTCCTCTTTGCCGGTATCGCGAGCCTCGTCCCAACTCAGACGGGAAATAAGCTCGTATGGAGGACGGAACAACTCAGCCAAGCGCGAAGCTCTGCTATTCTCAGCCCCCGATGCAGATCCCGATCCACTATAGTTGTCTCCCCAAGGTGATTGTGCGAAAGGATTATTGTTGCGAACTACTTCTCCAGCGTGTTAGCTAGGAGATAACAAAAGTCGCACAAGGGTAGAAACTGGTTATTCTCGGAGACTTACTGCGCGCTTGATGCTGCCTGCGACGAAACTGCTCAAGCATGAGAGAATGAGGGTCGTCCTCCCCATAGTCGGGCCCAATCAACGTCTCCGTCCTGCGGGCAATTGGGGCGCGCACATTGTCTTCCACTACTTGAGCCGAGTACAGTTCCTCCTGAAGACGCTTCGCCATCGCTGCGTCCTCCTCCTCCTGTGCCTTCCTCGCGATGTTGGCAGCCTCGGCTGTGTCGTCGCCACTATCAACTTCTGTCATTGGGGCATCATCATCAGAGTCGATGTGGATAACCCCATGTTCATCTTCACGTCCGATCCGCGAGCGATTCAAACGGCCATGTTGACTCGTCGTGCCACTAACGGCGGCGATGGACGAACCTGTGTCGGCGCTGACAGTCCGCTGCAAGTCTTCGTCGGCAAACCACAGCTGAACGGCTTGTTCGAGATCACCACACATATCCAGCATCTTTTCAGCAACAGCCATGGTAGCGCCTGTGATACCTATAAAGGCATCAATGTCCCCCGCCCTCACCATGTTTGGTTGAGTCGATGCTGTGGAAGTACGGTTGTTAATGATGTTGGCTGTTCTTGCACGTTTCACTGGTTGTAGGAGTGTGTTGCCAGAGAGAGCTCGATTCAAAAGGATTTAGCTTGTGTAGGTGAAAGTTTGTTGGGCGAGAAAAAAAACCAAGGTAAAGCAGAGATGTAAACCAGCTGCCAAGGTGAGAGATCAGATTGATCGATGAACCGTGCCCCGCGCAAACCAAGTGTTAAGTCCCGACGAGGTTGTGGGTCCGAACTCAACAACGAACGAGCGGTTGATGCACCAAATAAATAACCGCTGCTCAATCACCTCAATATTCATGCAATGAATGATGCGGCTGTTTGGTGCCAGATGATGGATGCGGCTCCATAAAAAGATATTGTCGAAGGTGCGTCTTTGGCTTCTGGAGCTTTCGCAGGCCACCGCTGGGTGACGCAAGAAGCCCAAGGCTGCTAAGCGACCCCACCATGACATGAGCTGTGGGGCTTGACAAGTGTCAGGGTTAGGAGTATTTCAGCCACTTGTGTTGGTTGCACTGTGGTCCCAGCCAACCGGGGCTAATGCAAAGGGGTAAAAAAATCATGAAAGGTGAACGTGTATGACTGGCAGCATGTAGCACAAATCTGGAGTCATTGGTTGCCTCTTCTTCAATTTTAGTAATTATAAAGTTGAATTAACTGCCTATTAACATGGTACACTACATCAACTTTCGGCCAGCGGCGTCCATCCAGCGCTGGCCTCGATGGATTTGGACTCGAGCTGCGACTCCTGCAGCATGAGTACCAGCGGCCGAGAGCGTAGATATTAGTGTAGTAAGAGCCCATGCTCATGCAAGTGCTAACATCTGGTCACCAGTCTTCATCTGTGCCTTTGTGCTAAACCTTGAACAGTAAGTCCAAGCACTCTCTCAAAGTCGTTTGGACATCCAGTGATCTTTCTTGGGAGAGTGTCTTTTCTAGCAAGCCCTTGACTTCACTCTTCCACTCGGCACTCACTACGGGGGAAACTTTCGAATTCACCAACTGAATGAGAGCTTTGGCCGCTCTTGCTCTCGCGAGACGGTGGTTTTCTGTTCCTCCATCCTTAGCGCCAAAATCCAAGGTGTGAATGAACCACTCCATGACTTCCACCACACCAGGTCCCTCCTGCTGCAAACTTGAAGCGACCTCCCCTTGACCACCGGAAAGAGCATCTTCCAGAACCTCCCGGACACAGTCGTACCAAGGTCCTCTTCTGATCACCGCGTATTCTTCTTGTGCCACACAAGGTGACCGAGCGTTGAGGGTCTTGCACTTGCCGGCAGCAGCTTCAAGTGCCGAGGCAGCTTCGTGGAGCACTGTGATGGGGTCTCTCCTCATCTTAGGCCTGTTGTATCCTTTCATCACGGCTTGAATTGCCGCCCAAGCTGTTTGTGTCCTCAAATCCAGTATAGCTTTGTCCTTCTTGCCTGCTCCCGTGCTGGTTGTGATCATATCAATGTCCATCGAATCACTGTCCTTCTCTCGTTCTAGGACGAGAAACTCCCTGACTATATCAACAATCTCTCCAAGAACATCAATATCTTCCCTCTCTCTGGCAATTTGCCACAAACACTCAAAAGCGTATGGCCGATAGGCATCATTATTCCGCTTTGCTTCCCGTACCGCCACGTTCCATATCCTTTTTGCAAACTTGGTGTCCGACTCCCAATTACTTCTGGTAGCCTTGACAAACATTGAGAATGGCTTCAACAACTTATCTTTGCCATCGAACGTCTTTAATGCTAGTGCCCTGTCGTACACCGGCCACACTGTCCCAACCAAAGCTTCCGGAGACACAATTGGCTGCGATCCATTGCCAATGACTGCATCAACAGCGGCTGCCATCGACAACGCTCCGGCATGCTTGAGTGCCCATTGCGCAGACTCAAGGCACTTATCAGCAAGCACGCAAATTTCGTTCAAGTACCTCGCCACAACCCTTGTTCCTGTCCCTGCATGGAGATCCCAAGCTTTCACAAACCCGGTCGAGACGTAGGTATCCGTATCATGCTTCCCAAGAAACACAAATGGTAGTAATAAAGACTCCAGGGCAGAAAAGTGATCGGGAGAAACGGTAGCCAACGCAAGGATGGCGTCAGCGACTTTCTGACGGCGTGTTTCAGCCTCAGATGCCAGATATAGAGAAGACAAGTTGGCAGCAAAGGACTGCTGGGCTTGAGGAGGGCAAACACGCAGGACGTAGGCAGCTGCGCGGGCATAGTGAGCTGAAACCTCGTCATTGCGGTCAAAGAGTGCCTCTTTCTCGAGAAGGGTGAGGAACGATGGCCCGTGGGGAGCGAACGACAGAGAGTGACGTGTTGAAAGGGTCGAGAGGACACGAGAGCACCCAATCTTCGTGGGCATACCAAGCGCAGTTTTCACGGTATCCAGAAGAACTGGCGCGAGATCTCGCATGACAGTATCGTCAACATTACGCAGACAGTTGTCAATAGCCTCAGCAATGGGAGACTGAGAGACCATAGCACTGCGTAGCTTGTCGATCCTCTCGCGATTGTCTTCTCCTGCTCTCTGATAGTGGTAGTTTATGGCTTCGGGTTCAATTGTGCTCAGCAGTCCAAGCAAGTGAGGGACCATCATGGGAATGTATGGCTTGAGAGCCCGTCCGCCACTCTTGGCAATCTTGATCACGGTAATAGTGGCAAATATCTTGACTTCTTGGACACCACTCTCTATGCCTTTGTCAGAGAGAAGGAACGGAAGCGCCTGATTCATCATGGCCTGGGATGTGATGGTTGATCCTGACTCCTCAAGCTGCCGCACTAAGGTATTGGAAAGAGAGATGCAGAGATGGAATGCCGCAGTACGCACTGTCGCTTTGACATCGTCCAGAACCTTCAGGGCAACGGTCCAAATGTCTTTGTAGTACCGCTCATACGCCTCAAATGGGCGTCCAGAAAGCAAATCGGCAATGGCAGCACAGCTAGCCTCTCGAACGCGCCATTCTCTACCAAGAACGCTCTTCAGTAGGTCACTTATGATGCTCTCAAAGTGATGTTCAAGAACAGCTCCTGGGTTCTTGACTATGGCCTTCCAGATATCGTTCATTGAGCGCTGAACGTTGGGGTTTGGGTCGAATCTGTACCGATAGAGCTTTGGATACAGTTTCGGGTCCACCTCGGATTCTGAAAGAATATTACTCAGCCCGAAGCGCCCGAACGCTGACCGCGTCGACCAGGTTGCCGCGTTGGTTGCTAATGACATGAACTTGTAAACAAGGCTGGGGTCGCCAACTTCATTTGCCAAGCTGATTATATCCTTGTAGGAAGTGATTGACTTGCCGTCGCCTGTAGAAAGGGCACCGGTATCAAAAAGTTCAGTCTCGTGATCGACCTTGAGCTGTGGTCCTGATCCAGTGAATGTCGATACAAGATCGCGGACGAGAGTCTCTTTAAGAGTAGCATCCCCCTTTTCATACACAAGAGATAGTCCGCGCGACGCTGTCTCCTGTACTACTTCATCTCTTGCGCTCAACAGTTTCATGAAGGCGAGCTGACATTCTCTGAGTCTTGATTGAATTTCATCGAGATGCGAGCAATACTGGATCAGGCAGAAGAGCCAGATGCCAGATGCCTTGAGTAATGACGGCTTCGTTTGTTTGCAGTCTGTGAATAGCTTTTGAAGAACTGCTGTTAGCCGATTCGACTGTCGTGGGAGTTGAAGTCCATTTTCTCCAATTTCCACATCGATGGTGAGCTGAACGACATCGGCGTCCCAGCATCCTACTGCTGCGGTAATGGCTTCTCCGATGGCAAACTGGGTTTCTAATTGCTTGATCTCATACAAAGAATAGAGCTTTTCTAGGATGAGGTCCAGAATTTCTTCCGCTTTGCCCTGTGGAAAGGGTGCCATGGAAGATCTGAGAGCAATCGCCAAGCGTCCAAGAGCGACTATTGCCTTCTCATTTCCCTTTTTTCCTTGATTCATGAGCGGTTCAACGAATTGAGTCAAAACTTTATCCCGAAAACTCTCGTCATTTGTGTCTTGTTTCATGATGAATATGCCCGATGTCCATAGCTGAGCATATGCATCAAACAACGCTTCCTGGGTAGATAAAGAAGTCGACGCGAGGATTGAGAGAGGAGGAAAAGTTTGGCCGACATCAGAGATTTCGCCAGTGATGTCCAGGCGTGAGTAGTAGATTAGCCGAGAGGAGAGGTGACCGAGGGCAAGGAATGACCCTTCAGCGGCATTGAGGTCTGACCCAACCGAAGAAGCATAGGCGCTTGCAGTTTTGATCAATCTGATCTTTAGCTGCCTGGCTTCTTTGAGGCTAACAGATGGATGTGCTGCAAGGATGCCAAATGCCTTGGCCCCCAAAGCCCGTAACTCCTTTTTGTTTGAGCAGATCAGAGGCCACAGTTCGGTTGAACGAGGAGCTAATAGCTCCAAGGCACTGCTTGGAGAAAACGAGGCAATATCCACGAATGACTGAGCACAAGACTCCGCCATTTTAAGATCATCTGGCTGTACCATGCCTTCAAATGCTGCGCGGAGAAGGATGATAAGGGGGTTACCTTTGTGTGCGAAGCCAGTCAGATACTTGCGAATCGCTACGCGCGATGGGAGGTCTGACTGAACGATGATGTCTAAACGCCTTTCCCAACCAGGCTCTAGCTTAAAACTTCCGAGGGCCGTTAGAAAAAGGATTCGGCGACAGTAGTCAACAGCCACGGGGAAGGCTCCTATCGATTCTGCTGAGAAGTTAACAAAGGGATTGTAGTCATTAACGTCCATCCGTTCGCCTTCAGAACGCGAGAAGGGTTTAACGGGCGCAATGGTTTCCATGAAAAATGCTTTCGTCATCTGCTGCCAATCCGGAAGGTCTGTGTGACCATCGTCGTTTGCATAATACGTCCAGGGATCGAGCCCTTTATGACCTTCTTCAATTACTTCGCTGCGCTCGCCGGAGCGACCTGAGATCGCAAGGATGTCTATCCAGCGGGCATACACATCAGAAAAGGGCAGACAACGGTTTGCCCATCTTGTCACAGCATGTCGGACACTCCGGACAGTATCGCCCTCGCCATCTTGGAGAGTCATGTAGGTGAGAAGAATGGAATGTAGCTGCGTACTGACTGCCAAGCTATGGGGCGGTTTGAAGAGGCCGGTAAGGCTCGACAAAGCCTCATCGATGCTGACTGCCACGTCAGCCGTTGGATCTTCGCTGAGGGAGCGAAATAGCCATCCAGCAAGAGATAGTCTGTCGGATTCTGACATCGAAGTGCCCTTAGCCAGCAGGCCAATAGTCTCGTAGGCTCTTGAACGCAGAGCAATGTCATCCAGTGACTGACGCTGTGGTTTTGGCCAGCCTTGGTCCGCGACAAACTCCTTCAGAAGCGTCACCAAAGGAGGGCCCACGTAATTGTAGTCTGCCTTCCCAGGCCCTATTCGAGCCACCCAGTTGATAAACTCAAACAAAGCCCGGTGAAGCCTGGTTTTTTCCAATCCAGAGGGCTTTGCCGTTGATAAACTGCCATCATGTTGTATATCATCAGCCGGCTCAGCTTTAAGGACGACGTTGTGGCGAAAAACCGCAAGAATAGCATCGGTGAAAGTAGTTGCTAGCTCCGACTTGCTAAGGAGATTAAGAATGCGAATTCGATACGCTGCAGGCAGCTTCATGTGTTGATCAAAGAGTTTCTGGAGGAGGGCTTGATCCTCTAATGAGACTGAGCTACGCTTGAGCATATCCTCGCCAACACCAGACACACGATAGTCGGTACTTGCTGCAGCGTACAAGGCAGGCATGAACTTTTCAGCGTCAGTAAAGGCACCACTTGCCAATAGGTGGACTACCCGAATCCGTGTTTCGGGCAGGCTCAGTCCTCCTGTACTCGGATCCCACGTTCCCGGCTTTCCCAGGGTTAAGGAGTGGACATCGGCATCTGTCAAACCGGGCGATGGTAATGCTCCCGTTGAGTTGACTCGAAGAAGCAGCAGCTTCCCAAACCATTCTGCAAGGAGCATGGCATCTTCAGGCTGTGTCAGACCCAGCGCTTCTCGAAAGCTAAGATCCTCCTTGCTTCCCCGTTGTGGAATTTTAACGGCTTGAAGGAGACGAAGTACGATGTTGAAAAGTTGGCTGAATGTTGTAGTTGAGGAGGTGCTGATACCCTGAAGGGCTTTGGGAACCAGAATCCGCTGCTCATCTGGACTTAGCCTTCCCACACTGTGCTGGATGTAGACCAAGTCGAAGTGTTTGATGAGAGGAGACGCGGTCGTTTTATACTGATCCAGGAGTGCGGCGACGGGGAGAACGATGCTTGGGAAGTGTCAGTGAGAAGAGCTGAATGAGCAAAATCGCGTTAGACAAAGGCAGGGATAGAGATCTTCAGACCTTGGGGACTTGATGAACTTGTTGATAGTTTGACATGTCGAGATCACCTAGGCCAAGTAAGCAGTCTTGGTTAGCTTATATCAAGTGGTATAAAGCGACTAGGGTTTTACCTTATTGCGAACGGCGACATGTTCGCTGCCTGCCTTCAGAAGGAGCGGAGCTAGGTAGACCTTCAAGAGCCGATCCAATTTTTCATCATCGGAAGAAGCAGACAAGATGCGCCATTCAACCTTCTCAATGAGCTGAAGTTCTCGCTTCTCGTCCGATGGAGCCGTCATTGTTCGAGTGATCCAATATATCCTATGCTTGTTCGCTGCTTCTTATCGGGAGCCTGAGCACCATTGACTTGCTCCGTGTGATGGAAAAGTACAAATGAGGTAAGGATATGTCAGAGAGACTTGACTTTTTGAAGCTTCCTTCTGTATCGATGTAAGTTGGTGCTAGTTCGTGCGCCTCTAATTATCAGTAATGTAGGCACCTTTGGACACGCAATGCGGTGGGCTGTGGAGGAGCTTGGCTGGGCGCCATGGCTCGAGTAGGGGGTCAGAGATGACTAAGCAAGAACAGAGAATCCCTAAGAGGGTGAGAGAAACTCCCCAGGTTCAAAGACCTTTTGGTATATTACAACCCCGGAAATCCTGAAGAAAAATTAGAAACCCGGTCCAGTCTCTAGATGATTAATCCGGTCCGCTGTGGGACAAGACTGGCGCAGAGTGCTGGCAGAGTATGTCCAGAGAGTCCATTTGGGTTGTATGACGTAATTTACATTTAGTGAGACAGTTATTGGAAATCTAAGTTTGTGCATTAGAAGAATTGCCTGAAGTGCGGACAAGACGGACAGCTTGCTCTTGACTCTTCGTATCTGCGTCTTTTGTTTTTTTATTTTTTTCACATATGCATACAGTCCAGCATATACAGCGTACTCCAGAAGTAAACATCTTCCGTCGCCGGCAAGTGGTCAACGTAGGATTAAAAGTGCTTAAGTGATCCATGCCGTAACAAGCACCTAGCGGCCCCAATGTACTTCTTGCACTAGAGATGATTGAAGACAAGCTTGGGAAAAAAGCATAAAATGGAGTGTACTATACCCCGAACACTCCGTACTGTATCCTATACTAAAGGCATTTTCTACAGCCGCAATATCTCTATACCAACTTCATAATCTATCATTTATACATCGGATTCTACTTACAACTGCAAATGCTCGTCAAGGTAGGTGGGACACCCGAGGGTCGGGTTTTGGGGTAAGGACCTCTTAGCACCTATCTCCACATAGACACATACTCATGGGCTGCGATGGAAAGTGAAAACAGCAGACATAGAAACTTAATACCCAAAGGAAACAGAACACTTAGCATTGAGAACTGACTGGCTGTACTCTGTAGAGAGATTTATATGCTGTTGCGGAGTGCCTGTCCAGACTGAGGAACGGTTGAAGCATACAGAGTACAGAGCATCCGAGGTAGAGCTGCTACAAGACGACGTTTTAAAGAATAATCAAAACGTTTCAGAAATATTCAGTTCTATAGCCGGCAGATGAAAATTCATACGATGCAACAGGCACCTCTATTTTTGCGTGTCACCGTTGGGAGATGCTTCTATTTTGCCCTTTGCCCTTTACAAATCCTGGAAAATGGGTTAATGTTAAGGAAGGAAACTAAATCGCTCCATGATGTAAGGTTGCAGCGGTTTTTTTTTCCGTGACCTTACATTGGTTTGTCTTGTTTACTTCTGCTAGGCGTTACTCAGGTTACACCGTATAGTTATTTATGATCCACTGTCGTGAAACTGCCACCCTATTAGGAAAATCGAGACTATCAATCCTATCTCGCGGTTGGCACGACAGTGTGTCCATTTGAATTACACTTCAACGGTCGTTATACGTGAGTCATAATCCATAGCCTTCTTAAACGATGTCGATTACCTTCAAAACTGCGTTTTGTGCCTGAGGTGATGCAGCGAACTTGTAACTAGCTTGCCAAGCTGTTAGACACGTGACGTGTCTGTTAGTTTTAGCGCTCGCTCTCAGATGATGAGCAATGACTATTACCTTGTAAGCTGCCGCTCCGTGTGGCAGTTTATGGTTTAGTAAAGTGGTACTTTGAGCAGTTCTGGAAGAGATTGCTGAACATTTTTGTACTAACGACACGGGTCTTGCACATTGAAGCGTCTGTCAACCGGACAAGACTGATACTGAGTATATGGTAATAGGTGCTTGGTTTCCGAGAATGGGAAGCCTCTGGCCTCAAGAGTCCAACTGCAAAATGCTTCATACTAGAGCAAGGGTCCGTGACGTCACAACATAGAAGTTGTAAATTTGGAAAGTTTATTTTACTCCATGTATTAGGGTTTAGTCCTATGAATGTGAAAAATAAGAGGAGTTTTAATTTTGGAAAACAAGAGGCCAAACAAGTGCTTATAGGAAAAGGAAGGGAGCTGGTCATTCGGTTCCCTACGTACGACGCCATTTGCAGTTGTGTTCTCTTGCTGCATCGTCTGTAGCTGACTGTTGCATATCCTGAAAATTGCGTCATGATAAGCGTACCCAGCATGGGGTACCCTTGGCTTACTGAATCGCATTCGGTGGTCGGAGCGCTCGGCGAGATGAGGGAGAAGACAACACAGATCTAGGTAGAAGCAAGCACGATGTAATTTTTACTGAGGTACTGGCATCACGATATGGTTCTATACTCGTTGACACATTACCTGCTGTCCTGAAGGCATGGTCAATGGATGCATATAATTTGCTGTTTACAGGAAAAGTTATCCGTACCTCAATAAAGACTGGATGCAAATCTATCAGAGTTGGTGGTGCTGGTTGACTTGCATGCCGCTAGTTCGAAGCAGAGATCGGCGTAGCCCGCGGTTGTGTCGGGATGGCCGAGCTTGTCCTGGGCATTCTGCATGTTGTTAGCACCAGAGAGAGAAGGCTGTTGTCAACCATGCGAAGCTAGAAGGTTTGGGTTTAGACTCAAGTCCACACTGATTTCACTCCGGTACACCGCAGCCAATGCCGTTAATTCTCGGTTTCGACTTGAATTCCATGCCAGAACCGTTGCGCGTCCAAAGCTGTCAATGCTGACCTTTGTGCCAAGCTCAACAGGCAATGATGACGGAAGTCTGTTGCTTTTGTATGTCCCTCTGATGATGTCCAGTCAGACGCTATCCTTGTCGGACTGCCTGTTGCCACACCATCGTACTCGAGCCCTAAAATGTGGACCTGTTTGCATCCAATCCGTCCGCATACAGGGTTATGTACAATTTCCACCATGGCTTTGTAAATACCGAGTCTTACCCTTTATACTCATGGGCAGGCAGAGAGACTAGTTTGAGCGTTCGCAACACAACGATTCCAATTGACTTGTGGTTAAGTAGAGTAACTGGGATATTTCGAGGCGGTATACAAAAATACAGAAAAAATGTGCAGTTAAATGATGATTTGGGTTTAATATGTCAACTGCATTAATCATTGACGCCGTTTACCGTGTCCACAAACTCTGGGATTGGCTCGTGGGCCAACTCGTCCACCAAACGAAGCTGATCACCCTCGCTCGGCGTGTACTGATGAAACGAAACATCGAAGTATCCGATTCTCACATCTCCAACTAGGTAGCTACCCATGAACTGTGGAAATCATAATTAACGGAGCAAGATCCGAGGCTCTTCGTCGAAGCTTTTGAAGCTGGATAACGTTAATATGATCAAGGAGACTTCATTTTAGAACCAAGTGACTCGACTGCCGGAAGAGGAGCCTTTGTAGAAAGCTATCCTGTTGTGTCTGGCCGCGTCGATTTAGCCCGTTTAAGAGAAACGTTTTCAGACCCTCTGGCGTGCTACTTGAGTTGGAACAGGAAGAATGTAGTGTCCCGAGCACGTGTTTCAAACTTATGAAGTCGCTTCTCGAGCCCGTCACCGTCCAAGTTCGCTCCTATTACACAAGGGCCCGGGAAGGTTAGGTGCCATGCCAAACCCCGTTAAACAAACGGTGCATTCCAAGGTGCTTCGTCCTGCTAGAGGGAGCAGCAGGCTCACCGGCACTCCGATAAACGCACACCCCGATCAAAATGTCACGCCGTCCCAATTTTCGCAGCGGGTTCTAGTCAGAATTTGCACTCCGAGCTTCCGATCACCCCACTTTGGCAGGCTGGGACACCCCGCATTCACACCTACCGCGAGAAAGATCTCTGCTCGCTGGTCCGAAGCTGGAGTGGGGCACAACTGTATGTCGAAAGGCTCAAAAGTCTGAAAGCCGCTGCCTCTACCAGCTAACGCAGAGACAGCGGCCATCACCAGTATTGTGTTCGTGGGCGACACCAATCGCCCGTTAGGAGTGGCAGTGTTATCGAGAAACACGACCAGTTATGTTTCAACAAGATTCCTAAGAGCAAATTCTACGTTGCTCAGTTCCCTTGTGGTTGGCACGTGTGTAACTTTTGCGTTGGTTTGCAGGGGGGCATGGACAAAACATTATGAATGCCTTGTCCCCGGTCTACCGCAAGTATCAACCCTAAGCGCTGCCCGAGCATTTGACACCGACAGGAGCCCGGTGACTGTCTGGCCGTGATGGGGAGGGTACAGAGGATGCGGTGCGCACCAATCCTTATGAAAGCCAAACAACCAGGCACATGCCGTAGGGTTTCCAATGGAATACGTTATCGTGCGATAGTGTACATACAGCACCAACACCGGTAGGTAACCTAGTCTCAATCCCAATCCTAATCCATTCCCATCCAGACGATCTCCCGCACTGGGTACCTGAGGCAAGGCTCGATGTAGTGAGTATGGATTCTGCACGCGTGTGCCGGTGATGGCAGCGCAAACTTTTTTGTTTGAGAGGACGAGCTGTATTCGGGCACGCGGCCTGTCGGCTGTGATGCGGGGACCCTGACACGGTCACTGTGCTTTGCGCCTGCCTGCGCGGCGCTGGGGCCGCTTTGGGCTGGGCCTTCCCCACTTCCAGGGCAAATTCTCCCACGGTGCTCGTGCTTTCCCGGTTTTCGTCTTTTCCATCCCATCTGCTTCCCCGAAAAAAAAACTCTCCACCAGGACCTCTGCGTCTCTCTTTTTCTTTTCCTTCCGTTTCACCCCCGGCGCGCAGTTCCTGCACTTCTGCTTTTTCTTTCCCCTGCGCCTCGGATATTCTGCGATTTCACAAAGCATCCTTTTTGCGTGTGTTTTTGCCGTTGTTTGTTGCGCGCTCCGGCCCTTGCTCTCTGGCATCGATTGGTTTTGCCGACAGCCGACTGCACTCATCACTCTGCTCTCTGCTCTGCCCGCCTTGTCGCTCCCCGTCCTCATAATTCGCGCGTCCCTTGCCTGTTGACATCCAGCGAATCTCGGCGTCCTTTGTTTCTTTCGCCGACCGTGCCGATCGACAATCATTCGCTGCTCTGCGAGTTGCACGAGGACCAGCTGCCCCTCCGCAATAACCCCGCGCACGTTGGAGTTTGGTACAGTCAGAGTAAGTAATGCCTTATGGACACAGATATCGCGAGATTCCGTTTGTCTGGGTGCCCCGCCCGCTGCCGATCGACGTATGGCTTGTTGTGGAGTGTATGGACATTAGGATGATGGGCCGAACTGGAGTTGCTCGAGGAGATTGGGGGGGGAGGGCTTTGTCGGGAGAACGTCATGGTGGGCGGAGGACATGGTGGTGGCAGTGGGGCTGGAGGACGACACCAAGACGCTCGATTCCTTGCGCAATCAACCCCTCGAACAACCACTTCGCCCCCGATATCCCAACCCATTGGTCGACTCGGACCTCCGGTAGTCGTTAATCTTTAATCCTCTCGTCGATTTCGCCCCCCAGCAATTACCGTGATCTTCGCTTTCGTAAAATCTTCGCCAGAAAGACACTACCTGGATGTCCATCCGCAACCTTATACAGCATTTCCACGTTGTCGGAACCGCGAGACAGCGACATGGGCATTGGTCTGAGATAAGAGCCATCTGGTCAGCTCTAAGGCCACCTCATGGCCGCTCTCGATCTCGGCATGCCCGGTCCTGAGCCCTCCAGCTCTCTTTGGCCATGTGGCGCTTGTCGACATCGTCCGTCGAGTTTGTCACCGGGCTGCGTCAAACCTGAGATATTCCCACAGTTCCCCCCTAAGCCTCATATTGGTCGACAAGGGTCCGGAATCCCATCATCATATTGGTCAGGATGGTCTTCGCCTTCCACCATTCAAGAGCCTGCCCCAGTACCACTCTTCGGTGATTGCAAACTTCGCAATATCGAGGACCCATGGCGCTTTGATCCATGACATATATCGCATACCCTCCGTATCCCCATCTCGCGCTCGCTGCCAATAGCACTTCGGATATGGCATGACATTCGTTGTTTCATGCTGTCACGAGCGTTTGGTCAACGTTCTCCCTGCGTCTCTCCAGCTCATCCTTGCGTAGCCAGCCTTTTGAGTATTGAGCATGACAAGCCATGTGCGTCAATACTACGTTTCACTTTCACGAAAGTTGCCAAGGGCTCGGATACTTCGGGAATGGATCCAACGTGACTTCACCGATGATTGCGTTTCACCGCCATCAACATCTGGCTTTTGGGGACTCCAGAGAACAAGATATGGTGGTCATGGTCAACGATTATCTCTTACATGGAGACGGATCAGGTCGACGAATCTTCCGAGGCAGCTTGAGCGGGCGGGGCACACCTCGATTCTCAAGCATTTTATAGCTGACTCAATCTGACAGTTCTCTTTGATATAGTATTTCCCTGGGGTATCATTCGAGACTTAACCTTCAGTCACCCCATCCGAGTTTCCTGGAACTCAGCCATCTCTTCCCGTCTCTTCCACAGTGCGCCGTCAAGACCTTGAGTTACAGGCGTGTGGACATCGTTTTCAACGGTGCTGTTTCAACTCCGGCTACTGTTGACCTCCGGCGATCTTGCACCGTATTCGGACTAAACGATTGTACCTTGTTTTGTCCACCAGTGTTTCTCTTTTGTAAGTAGGTCGTTTTCTCATTCACAGTTTCCCTTGACTCTGCTCTGTATAACTTTGAATCATTAGCCAGCCTTCGTGATCAAGCCCGACGTCAATGATGTCTGGTGCTTGCTGTTTCTCTGTCACTAGTGTGATAGTCTGCTTTGAAACACTTACAGCAATTTAGATGGCTCGTCACAAGGCACAGTTCTTCAACGTCTTCTGTTCAGATGGCTTTCACCTTCAATAAATCAGTTGCATTCAGATGGCTCCTATTCAGACGAGCTTAACGTTGGCGATGTTCAGACCGATGGTTTTCAGGGTCGGACGAGCTCGCCTTTAATGTGAACCTGGAATTTCAGTGCTCTAAAAGCAAGCCACCAAGACTCGTCTGTTTAGCCATGCATTTAGCCATTGGCGAAGCAAACATTTCAATGGTCGAATTTGTTCGAAAGCTTTGCATGGCTGTCCTCTCTCAGGGGTTCTGTCAGCTTTGGACACCAACATTCCCCTTGTTTTTCATGCTAGGCTATTGGCATCCACAGTGTGGCTGCCTCCGGCCAATATAGATAAGCGTGTCTCAGTGCTTCGGCCTTCGTGCTGGTCCTATCGTGTCTTGCAAGCTCGGCTAACGTCAGTCCGTCAGATTCACTTTGACCATATTGTCAAGGTACCATCAACCGTTTTAGGTATGCTTGTTTCATCTCCTTCTTCTGCTGTTCTTTATGGATCACAGTCGTCGTATGAAGTGTGACGGCGGCTCGTTGCACCCATAGGGCTTGCTCCTCTATTAATTTGCTGCTCCTCCGTTTTTGCTTGTCAGTCAATCCGGAGATTTCATGCCTCTACCACCTCCCCTCCCCTTTCCAGAAACAAAATTGCTTTTCTTCATTGTTAGCATTCTAGTCCCTAGCGGGATAACATTTTGGGTCCATTCTGAAGGTCTACCCTTTCAACAAAGCTCTGACCTCGTCCGTATGCGTCTCTGGCTCTACCCGCCCCGTCGTCTTGGGCATGATAGCCATATATACCTCTTCCCTCATCTCTTCTATTGATTTCTACTATATCTTTGCTTAATGCGTCTCGATTCGAGTCTTTCGCACATTACTCATCCTGTATTCTGCGATCATAACATTCCTCGGTAACCTTCCCGTTCTCTCCTTGATTCCTGGCCTTTGATCGTTCGAGTTGAACCTTCTGTCTTACCATTTGGTGCCATAACTCGCGCCGATATTGGTGCCGTCTGATGCGATGTGTTGAAGCCTCAAGAGAGGTGTTAAAGGCAGCATGCTATTCAAAACGTCCTGCTTTTGCTGTCGGAGATGACTACCCCTCAGTGAGGCGGTTTGAGTTCTCTTCAGGAAATCGCGTCGACTATGTGTAACATCAAATCAATCAGACTGGCAATATCTCCTGGAAGTGAGGCGCCAGATGTGAGACGAAATCAAAACTTGAGATGAGCCGGAAATTGAGTCTCCTCAGTACTGTTTAACTAGCTATCTATGCAGTTATCGACATCATCTCTTGGTATTTGGGAGGGCACGAGTCTAATCACGTGCTCCCGTCCGAACTCTGGCAGTCTTCTGGGCCCGAGTATATAGCGCCACTTTTCTTCCCCCATCGTTCCGCTTCCTTTCCTTCACAATAGTCATTTGGGACGCGTAATCTCCGTTCCCGCGCTTCAATTGACCATTTTTCTCACACCAACGATCCCACTAACACATCGTGGTCAGTTAGGACAGTGACGTGACAACATCGTGAAGCCAGGTAAGTAACCAGTTCTCTTTTCGTTTCACTTGTCAGCGTTTTTCCCCTCAACCTGACTTTCTAAGTCCGCGTGCACGCTGTCTGTTTGGGTGAGCTCAGTCGATCTCCCGCGTTTCTCTCGGACTGGATCGCGTTTCCATCGGTCCAGCTCCTAGATAACACGGCGTCGATGCCATCTACGCCCCTCCAGACTCCGACACCGCGACCTTATCCATACGTTAGTCAATACTTCGGTAATTTTCAGTTCTTTTGGTGGTGCAGTTTTCAATTTTTGATTTTGCTCATTCCTGGCATACACGGCGCTGGAGATAAATTCAAATATCGCCCGAGTGGACACCGACTTGCTTTTGCTAACCAGCTTCGTTTCAGCAATCATGGCCGACTACTCTTCTACCGCCGCACCCGGTACTGGTACCAATGGCCCGAACATGAACGGTACCAACGAGGCGAATTTCTCGGCGCCTGCACCCATTGCCCCTAACCCCGATGCCCCAAAAACACTCTGGTACGTTTTCCCTGTTTATCAACTTTAACATGCATTAACGGTGTCTAGGATGGGTGAAATGGAGGGCTGGATGGATGAAACGTTCATAAAAAATGTGTTCCAGACCGTTATGGGGGAATCTGTCCAGGTGAAAGTTATTCGCGACCGTAACTCTGGGTAAGTCCATTTGATATTTCAAGTTTTGCGTCCGATTTTCTATGCCGACTTCTTTGATCTCCCACCATTCCTGCGACGCTCCCGTCAGACCTGTCAAAAGGATAATCTACTGACTCGTTATTAGCAACGCGGGTTACTGCTTTGTTGAATTCCAAACTCCGGAAGCTGCTCAGAAAGCGCTTGGTTTGAATGGCACCCCCGTTCCCAATTCAAACCGTGTTTTCAAGCTCAACTGGGCCTCTGGCGGTGGCCTCGTTGATCGACGGTACGTTTCTGTCCCGGGATCAGAGTGATTTTTCAAATCTTGATATTAACAAGGCTTCAGCGACGATCGCGGTCCGGAATACAGCATCTTCGTCGGCGATCTTGGCCCCGAAGTCAACGAATTCGTCTTAGTCTCCTTGTTTCAGTCTCGTTTTCCGTCATGCAAATCCGCCAAGATTATGACAGACGCCATGACAGGCCAATCGCGCGGCTACGGCTTCGTTCGCTTCAGTGATGAGGCTGATATGCAGCGCGCTCTGGTTGAGATGCAGGGAGTTTACTGTGGCAATCGCCCAATGCGCATCTCTACGGCTACCCCTAAGCAACGCTCTCATCATCATCAGTATGGTCATCACCCGCCCGCCCCGATGATGCCCCCGGTTCCCGGCCATCCGGCGGCCCCTCCAATGTGGGGTAACTACCCGTACTATGGGCAGCAGTACAACCCTATCCAACCTATGAACCAGTTCACGGACCCGAACAATACCACTGTGTTTGTTGGTGGCCTATCCGGTTACGTTACTGAGGACGAGCTCCGGTCCTTTTTTCAGGGCTTTGGAGAGATCACTTACGTCAAGATCCCCCCTGGCAAGGGCTGCGGCTTTGTCCAGTTCGTTCACCGTCACGCCGCAGAAATGGCCATCAACCAAATGCAGGGCTACCCAATTGGCAACTCGCGTGTCCGTCTATCTTGGGGCCGCTCTCAGAATAACTCCGGCGTAGGCACTCCCTACCGTCCTGCTCCTCCGCCACCCCATTATATGGGTGGCATGCCCCCCCATGGTGCTCCCCCGGCTCCCGGCTACGGTCCGCCGTTCGGTGGGAATCCCCCTCAGGGCCCTCCCCCCGGCCCTATGGCCGTAAGTCTCTGTGCCTCCTGAGGCTTTGAAAATTGTCCACTAATGGCTTTTCCCCAGTAAATCTCATTTTGCCTCCTCTCACTTTTCAGTCCTTCATCGCACGGCGTTTGGTGGTGATGGCGCAACGGGGGCACGAAAAGCATGAAGAGGCTGGTTTTTTCTCAAGCCACCGTCGCAAGTTCTTTTCTCGTTTGGGCCTTCTCCGGTTTTCGGTTCTCACGATCAGCTTGCTTTGTCCTTTCGGCATGGCTTGGCGTTCTGGTCTCGTCGGCTGCTTTGGTTCGTGACGTTTCCGGCATGCATATGTCAAGAGACATGCGAGAATCGGATGGAGGTAAAGTGGAGGGCTTGAGAAACTCATTTCGGTTTTTCTTTTCTAGGTTGTTTCATGCCAGGTTTTACTCTGCAACATTTCGAAGCGGTCACGGGTTTGCGCGATCTACCATGCCGTCTCGTTCTAGGCGTTTGGGAACACATTGGTCAGTTGGGAGGATGGTGAGGTCATTGGCCGATCTTTTCACCCTTTGGCGACTCGAAGATTTCTTGATAGATTCTTCGATTATGGTTTCCCGGCGTGGAGGCGACAGAGGTTCATCGGGCACAAAATTCTCTTCGGGACAATTCAGTACTGCAGTGGTATCGCAATGAGTTTTTTATCACCCGTTTTGATGCTTGGTGACTTGATTGCTTCAATCCCTCGTTTGAGTCTTGTTAACTTATTGATCAGTAACTCGAACTCTCAGTCTGGCACGATTGCCCTTGTCCCATGACTGAAGTATGCCATGTACTTCAGATCACAACGAGGAACCCAGATGTGAGCTCTAACCTATCGCAGGAATTCGTAAACGGAAAGGAGCTAAGTGTGACTGGATTAAGTTCTATACGTCGCGATGATGACCACGATAGCAGCCAAAGATAGGTGTTAACGAAGCAAGGCGATATGTTTTTTTCACGCTGTGTCTCATCACAATGGAATTATGACCGGGGTATGACCAAGGTAAGCTAATTGCTGAGCTACAACCCTGACAACCATGGTGTGTAGATGGTATGTTGCGGCGACATTATTGTTCGAACCGTTCCAAACCTCGGGTACGTTGACAACTTTGTCAGTCTCTCCCCAGGTGTCTATGTTCGGTTATTCTGTTTAACCTTTGCTGTTGAGATTCGAAACCATAGTGTCAAGACTGACGCTATCATCATGGATTTCATTCGGCATTTAACAGGTAATGGGGGAGTTGCTTGTGATACGGAGCTGAGATTTAATAAAAAGGAGGGAGAAATACAAAATATAAGAAGGGATGAATGAAGAAACTGAATAAATGAATGAACAGAAGAATTAATAGATGGAAGAAAAGAATGACAGAATGGGAAAAATCAGAAAATGAGAAAAATAGGACAATGGGGCAAGAGATAAATGCAAGAAGTAGTAAAATAGTATCAGCGTGCGTGGAGATCAAATGACAGTGTCCAGATTTGTTTTAGAGCCTGAGCATATATGTGGGAGGTTGCACGGGAGAGAGCAGTGTATTGAAAACAAAGGGGCAGACCTGGAGATGGAGAGTTCCGAAGAACTTTGCGATCCCGGCCTCGACTGCCAAAATTTTATTTTATTGTTCTGAGCTGCTCACTCACAGGCTTAACAGCAAGCTTTCTGAAGATGGGAACTCACCAAAGCTATCTTCAGAAGGACCAGTGACTCAAACGATCCCTGTGATCCCATTGTGGAGTGGTGTAGTGTTGTCGAGCTGTCGGAAGCAGCTCTGTCGCTCATCTTGTCGAAATTTGAAGGAGTGTACCATTGGGAAGAGACAACCCAAAAGCTGACATCCCATGTCCCATGAAACAGTAGTCGTTGGTGTTGGTGAAGCTTTGGGATACAAAATAAAAAGTGTGGGCGCACCTGACGTAAATTGGCTATCAGGTAGTCTTGTTGGAACAGCCATGAGCCTGTGTACGTAGTATGGACATGGAGCTGTGAAAATGAATCGTTAAGATGACCAGAATAGGAAGGTTATTGAAGGAGAGGGAATGGGGTGGAGCACAGGTTCCAGTGCAAAAGACAATAATCGGCGGCGGGAGAGCTTGAACGAAGAGATGAAGCAAGGGAGAAGTCCAAAACTATCCTGGAGCATGGAAAGCTAAAGACAACAACCACCGATTTCCCTAGTTGAATATTACCTGGCACCTTGAGAGATGAGTATCATTGGAACTATTGACTCAGCTTGGAGGCTGTCAAGATGTGGCATGCACCACTAATATAGGCAGTAATGCGCCCTTTTATACGTACAACAGAGGCTGATGTGACTCGGAGGTGTGGGGCCATGATGAACCGGAATGACTGGGACCTTCGGCGCTGGAGGTGGGTCACCGCTTGGGGTGAGGCCGCCAGGTCAGATTGGCCACTTCCTTCTGAGACATCAACGCCGGGAAGACGTGATTTCTTGAATGTAATCAGCAAGGTCTGCATTCACAGCAAGTTGGAGCTTGAACGGCCTAACTTCGTTTGGCTCTGGTTTGGTCTCAACCAAGTTGAGCATGAATCGATATTTTGTCAGCGATAGAAAAAAGAGAATGCGGAAAATTCAGGGGCTTCAAGGTAAATAGGAAGAATCAAAAGCCTTTGTCGAATCAATTCCTTGCACTAGTGTGCGGTAACAGGAAACGAAAGTAAGTGCATGAAAAAACAACAACGCAGCTAATGGTTATCATTAACACAGCGAATAGTTATCGCATCCAGTATGGAAGACAGCAGAGTCGCTCTCTATATTTTGTTTTCTGAGAGATATTTTCAACTCTCCCTTTTTCCTTACCTAACAAGAGCGGGGTATCTCCTTACCAATCTGGAGTCCGGATCTCTGACTCGGAGCAGAACTAACCAAGAATATTGGCAGTCAGTGGCCTTTGCAGTTCATTTTCTTGTCAAATTCACCAATACCACATGGGTATGGTCCTTCGCTTCGGAAACTTTGTTAATCTTTCTCTCACAAATGCAGAAAACCAATGAACACAATGTGTGTTACAATAACAGAGCACTGTTGCCTGTGTGGCTCTACCAGTGCCGGAGTGACGTTCAGCAAGAGATGCATCGATTCTGAGTGTTGTTCTTATCATAGTTGATTTCCGATCCCCGTATATTCCCTAATACAATGAATGCATCAAGCACTTAGCAAGAATCTCTCAGGTGGCAATCATGGAATGTCACATGGACACAGCAGTCCAAGGAGAAGAAATATCCCTTGACAGTCGATATATAGAACACTAGTGACACAAGAGCTGAGAAAGGGCAAAGGCATATCTGATTGGTAGAGACCGGAAAATTTGAGGAGGTGGCAAGAATGAGTTAGATAACCTTGCCACGCTGAAAAGAACCCTGATGATTGCAGGAGACCGCGAGGTGCTCACAAAGGGCAAAGGGATTTTATAGGGGGGCTACTTGGACACGATGAAGTATTTCCCTTGGGCTTTCCTCTCCCCAACACAAGGACACTGAGGACCAAGAAAGATTATTACATGTAGTAATTGACTTCGCTGTGCACCCACATCGTCAGTGGTCTCATTTAACCCATTTGACCCATTGTCGATCCATGTCTGCACCAGAGCAAGTCACCCGTTACATGGAAGCTTCCCATTCTGCCAGCATCACAACATTTCTAGGCCCATCAAGAGCCTGAGAGAGCTACAACATTTCTCTGTGCGCAGCACCTTGGACATGCTTTGTACATATGAGGATATCAATGTGTTCTTGACCTGTGTCATGGACCAACAAAACCGCCACTTTCAGCTTCATTCAACGTCCAATATCGCTAGAACCATGGTTTGTGGATGGAAAACAGCAAGATTGTTTCACAGTCCAGCACAACAACTCTACTACCTTGTGAGCGGTGATATTGGTTTTGATATAAATGGCTTTAGCTTTGACATTAGCACAGAAGTTGTCACAGAATACGACAGTCCAAGGAAAGGGTATACTGACTGCTAACATAAGGACACCAGAGATAGAATGAATGTCAACGACACAAATATGTGGATAATCGCTGAAATATGTGGAGCCATACGACCGAAGAAGTTAGATGGCCGATGCAGAAAACCCTGGAAAGCCTGGAAGGCCGAGGCACTCACAAAGGCAAGAAGATTCCATAAAGGAAGCTGCCTTGACACGATGGACTTCTCTTGGATTATTCCTCCCCCTAACACAAGGACGCTGAGGACAATGAAAGATTATTACACGTATCAACTGACTTCGTTATGCATTCCACATGGTCAGTGACTATCAACTAGCCCATTTGACCCATTGTCGATCCCTACCTGCACCAGACCAAGTCCCCCGTTACAGCAATACAGCCCCAGCCATCCCTACCAAACGAGGAGATTGAGGTGACAATGCTTTTTAACAATACGGTTGACGGCAGCGTTGAATACGAGAGTCATACTTGGTAGTATCCCTCCTGCAACCACGACCTTTGCTTCGCCTGCTATTGCCAAGGAGCCTGCCGCCGCTTCTGCCCCTTTTGATGAACCGGATCTATTGCCACTGGTAATTCTTGTTAGAGCCAGATGCCTTTTTGGGCGTCCGTCGTCTTCTTCGCGTGCTGCTGCTCTTGATAAGGGTTCAGTTACGATCCCATCCCCTATGACTTATCAAGCCCAGCTCACAACCCCACAGAAGGGAGTAAAAGGTGTCACGCGCTAAGCGTTGAGAACCCGAAGAAATTCAAGGCTTCGGAACTTCACCACAAACACCCCCAGATGACTTACGAACAATGGTGGCATATCGCTTCTTACCCGCCATTGTTTGAGATGCAACAAAGTGAATGGTATCTTGACACAGGACAATGGTCTCTTCCCACAGTGGATCTGGAAAGTCCTCGAGTCTCGCTACTACGTCCTTAACAAGAGACACTCGGTCTGTAGTCAAGAGAGTCCTTCAACTAAGAAGACACAACGGCCAGCGTTGGGTGAGGAAGCGGGATTTGATGGAACTATTTTGATGATGGGTGGGACTAAAGATATTGAAGCCACGAGATGATGCTACCCGCTTCTCTATGACGAGCGTCTTCGCCGAGTCAGACTACACTTACCAATGATAGCAACAGGGCAGCAGAGCCACTGGGGAACCATATGGCGGTATGAAGTCATTAGACAGATAGGAAGTCTGGACCATCGATCTTCTCGACTTGCTAGCCTCTAAAGTGTTTCCACAAGATTCGACATCATCCAACTTTACCATGCGGGGACGTAGTAACGTCATAACGTTGGACCATTGAATCGCAAGCTTGCCAGGTCTTACTGAGCAGACAGGTTTTGGGACTGTTCCCCATCGATGACGTTGGTTGAAGACGCTCTCCACAACGACCCAGCTGGGGTCGTCTTTATCAAGTCGGCCTATAAGCTAAACTAATCCCTATGTTTATAACACTTTAGCCACCTATCTTTTTCCATCGCACCCAACCTTGTGGTCAATTTTTGATTTTCCACTGTAACACTAAAATTTGACCTTTCCGCAACCAAAAAATAAGCCCCAAACATGAGCGACCCTACCAAGAAAAGCCCCTCTGATACAGGCATCACTGGTGCGGGCAAAGCTGTGACATCAACCCTGGGTAACACCGTTGGTGGCTTGGCCGACACGGTTGGGGGTGTCTTGGGCGCTACGGCCCGCGGCGTCGGCGAAACTGTTACTGGCGCCACTGGAGGTCTTGGCAAGCCCTTAGGGGAGGCACTGGGCAAGGCTGGCTCGGGAGTTGAGGGAGGAGTGGCGAATGTCGCTCAAGGAGTCCGAGATGCAGGCGAGTGGAAGATGAACTCAGAGGCCAAAAAGTAGATGACATAGTACTCATGTATTCGGTTTCTTGTTTGGTGCCACTGGACTTTGGGGACAGAGGAAGGCGAAAGGTGGTGGTTCGTTCTACTGTCTTCAGCCTTCAGCAGCATGTTCGAGTGAGACATTCATCAAGGTTCTTTCACTTCTGTATATCCACATTGTTACAAAGATGCTGTCAACAGTGACATGCTTTCAACACAACAATCACATTCAAAGGCCATTTACCAGTATCATGGGAACTTCATTTCTCAGCGTCATATTTTCCTTAGATCACATGGTAGAGCCTTCAACAGCAAGCTGAAGTACACTACTCACAGCCCACAGGCAGAGAGGTCACAGTATGGGTTAATGTGCTGTTCAGGTAGGCATAAGAAAAGGGCAGTCATTTTGCTCCGCAGGTCTTAGGTCCTTCGTGTGCGATATGCATGGTAATGATTGCTTTAGTTGAATCCCAGAGACATCGCCAACACATGAGTGTGGGGTCGGGCGCAAAGGGACCTCTAGGACCCTATTACGTACCGGGTACTATAGGTACACAGCTAGAGTTTAGCTGTATGGTAAGTGGATGGAATATTCAATGCTTCGTAAATGGTCAACAGCTATCTCGAAAGTCTAATATAAACATTGAGCTTCGCAAAAATACCTATCTGCATAAACTCCCCAGTCCTCGTGCTATGCATATATGTTTTCGGCAGTGTCTTCGGTGGATATTGCCCCGAAAAGCCGATGCAAGCTACCAGCCCAACCATCAGGCAGGCTGAAATGTTGATAACTGCGGGCTGTGGCAATGTCGCTGACAATTTAACCTCGCTCGTCGGTGTTCTATCCAACAGAATGAAACTTAAGGAAACGTACGGTGTTGAACTCGTGACAACAGCCATATGCTGAAGGATGCCCAATGCACTGCTACATCTTTTACAGACAGTTCGAGATGCGCATGTTGCCTGATATTTCATGAAGTCTTTGTTCCTCGAAACCGGAATATGACATTCCATGTACATGCATGTACCAAAGTGCATTTCCATTGGACGTGAGTAATGCCTACACTGACTGGTTCCAACCAGCAACTAATTAATGACGAATGACAACAGGATTCGCACTTATCTAGCTTGCTGCTTCGTAACGAGGGCAAAACAGGCGATAGAACGGAAGCATGGGGGCTAGCCCAGGACATGTGACCCGTTGGCTCTTCTTACCCCCCTGTCACCGACTTCTAATGACCAGTTCACCGGTTCAAAAGGCGACCTGCCATGACGGAAGTAGCCGCCATCGACCCGGTAGTTTAGCTTCCAGAATCACATCCGAACTCTATGACTAGCAGGCTGGAGCGATCAGGGGATGGATCGACGAGATATCTGAACAGGCAACTTTGATCCTTTGGATTCCTTAACTAGTCGGCGAAATCACATCAAGGTGAAGTTCAGTATCTGCTAATGCATTAAGTACAATCTATTGGAAGGGGTCTATCTCCATTTTAACTTTGAAGACTGTGGTCCGGTGAAAATTTCCAACTATCTCGTGATGTCAATCCTCCAAGTCCCAGTTATCTACACTACTCCCTAACTTCGTTCAGCGGTGAGAATGGAAAGATAGTCTGTGCCATTTGCTGCACAGGTCCATAGAAACGTTACTACTGCTGTCAGGCAGCGATGTGTCGGTGACGATTCACGAACTGAGCAATCGGAGCCATTCCCAGCGATTAACTTTGCCAAAAACTAACGTGTCGAGCAACGCATGTACACTTGAAGTCTACAATTAGCACGGCCTTTTTTTCCGATATCGGATGTTATTCTAGTTAGATCCCGAAAACTTGTCAACCTGTCATCAAGGTTGCTAGCTTTACATGGAAGTCAACGCGCAGATACTCGATCTCGCAAACTATAATCCAACCAAAGTCAGACAGCGTTCCACAGAACTCCAAAGGTCGGGCCGGTGTGCCAAGTAGGGAAGTTCTCGGGTTGACACAACGGCACAATGACAAACAGAAACTGTCAACACACTTGCCACATCATTCTTGATCTGAAAGGATGAGTGCCATCAGCAGAGCGGTGAGAAGGATGGAAGGGAAGGGATATGGCCTACAAGAAGACGCGATGCGCCCATGCATTGCGTTCAAAGCAGTGTAGATATATCTGCTCTCTTGTCCTTCTCACTCATCATAGGATGCTAGTACAGAGTCATAGCAGCCCAGGGTTCTGAAAAAGCTGTTTTTGTTGCATGTACCGAGCAGATCGATTCCCCTCCTCGGAATGAAGTCACTATGGCTCTATCATCAAGCGAACATTTAGACGAAGCCGACAAAAAGCTGGAAGCTATGGGATACAAACCAGTACTGCTCCAATTTCTTTGCCATGCCTTCCAGACCTCAAAATACTGGCAGATACTGACTTTGACCAGGTGTTCAAGCGCGAATTTTCTTCCTGGTCCACATTCAGCTTTGCCATGAGCATATCCGGCATATATGGCTCCTTGATATCTACTTGGGTCTATGGACTTCAGGCTGGTGGCGCTGCAGCCATCATGTGGAGCTGGATTGTTGGTGGTGCAGGCGCTCTAGCGCTTGCTGTAAGCCTTGCCGAGCTGTCATCAGCTTATCCCAATGCCGGGGCAATGTATTACACCTTACGGTTTCTGGCGCCTGAGAAGCACATGCCTCTTCTTTGCTGGATGTCAGGTATGTGTCCCTTGAACACCTAGGATCTTGTAAGACAGATTGTGTATACTGATAATGACGGTTGATCACACAGGATGGATTACATTGATTGGGACAATCGCTGGCAGCGCCTCGACCGAGTATGCCACAAGCCAGATGCTCCTTGGTGCCATCTCTATCGCCACAAACTCGACATACAAACCCACTGTTGGTCATGTTGTTGGAGCCATGGCGTTGCTGACCTTGATTCATGCCGGCATCAACACCTTGCCTACACTCTGGCTCACCCGTCTGACCAGCAGCTATGTGGTGCTCCATATGACCGTGCTTGTCAGCGCCTGTGTTTACTTGCTGGTTCAGACGAAGAATAAGAACAGCCTAGCCTATGCTTTCACAGACTTCCAGCCAACATCAGGATGGTCTCCCCCGGGATTCGCGATTCTGTTTGGCTGTCTTACCCCCGCGTGGATCATGACAAGTGCTGACAGCACTGCTCGGTATGCTCGCACTGATCTCATAACCCTCAACGATACCACGCTGACAATTTGGGCTTCCCAAGCATCGCCGAGGAAGCAAAATCCCCAGCATTGACCATCCCTCGCGCCATTTTCGTTGCATCATTGTCAACATATATTTTGGGGTTTGTGTTCAACCTTGTTTTGGTTCTTTGCATGGGCCCAGGAGGTCCCTTTCCGCTGCTAAATTCGCCATCTGGCCAACCCGTCGTGGAGCTGTTCACTCAAGCACTCGGACGGGCTCCAGCCATCTTCTTCACACTTTGTGGAGTTATTATCATGAATATGGTTGCCATCCCTGGTGCTCAGGCTGGTAGCCGTATGGTCTTCGCTTTGGCTCGCGACGAGCTGGTCCCTTTGGCACGCATGTGGACACGGGTGGATGTCAAGAGGGGCACGCCTATCCTTGCGGTATGGGGGTATGCCGTAGCTGTCGTGATCGTAAGCCTCCTCGGGCTTTTAAGCGAGATAGCTATCGCAGCCGTGTTCACTGTGTGTGCCATTGCCCTTAACGTGTCTTATTTATTGCCCATACTCTGCAAGATGATGTATCCAAGTCGTTTCGAGCGAGGGCCCTGGCATCTCGGACGTTGGAGCATTGCCGTCAACGTCATTGCTGTCCTTTGGAATATTTTTATCGCCATTATATTGTTCCTCCCACTGCGGTTACCTGTAACGCCATCGAATGTGAGTCGTGTTTCTTTAAAGTACTGACCCTTACGCAGTGAGCCTGAGATCTAACATCAATATTCGGAGTAGATGAACTATGCGATAGTCGTGTTCATTTCAGTGGTAATTTGTGCATGTTGCTACTGGGCGCATGGAAGGAACTACTATATGGGGCCAGGGACACAATCCTTGAAGCCTTCCCACAGCACAACCGGCACGACAACTGAGGTTGGAGTCTAAGGTTTAGAAAGGAAGAACCGAAGGTGAACCATCGGAAAAGGGCAGGGGGATCGAGGAAGAGGAAAATAGAGTCCTTATATCTTAGGAGTTTTGATGACTGGATAGCATAGCGACACTCTACAGATTGATTCTTGAAAAAGCTGTTTGTTTGAGGTCGCAAGACAACTTGTAGTGCCGACCTTAGTAACTTCATCCCTGGCATCCGTGTCTCGGAGTGGATCCTCGGGAAGTGAACCCATCGTCCGAGACGCCGGCGCTCGGCGCTCACTCTCCCGAACCCCCCACCTTGCTGGTTCTTTGCCGGAGCTTATCAAGATGCCAGAAGCAAAACATCCCGTTCCATACGAAAGGAAACAATTAATTTCGTCATTTCTGCAAGATCGGTGGCATGTTATTGATTATGGCAGTGAAGGTTGCAATTCGAAGGAACATGAACGAAGTGAGTCCTCAATACCACTAATCCGTTTCTTAATGCCATGGGCAATAGTCCACAATGATATCATCTGCCCAAGAATCTTTAGTGCTAACCCGTGTTTTGAAACACTGGGTAACCTGTTTGTCTTGGCTGACGGAGCGTCAACCTTAAGATGGATGTCGGAGATGGACAATCCGCGTTACATCGTCTCTTTTGGGACTCTTCATCCATGTCGTCGGTTAAGGAGCTTTTTTTCATCACTCAACCCCTGAGCACATTCACATCATGGCAAGGTTGACCACAGCTGAGCACGCCCTGGCAACCGCCTCATTTTGGGAAATCGGTCGTCCTTGTACCGCCCTCCAAAGGCCTTGATGGGAACTTCGGCGGGCTCCATTCCATGGGATGGGCCCGACAACAAGCTTGCAGCGCTGCTTTCGCGTGAATACAAGCATTTACCATGTAACCATGTCCCAAGATATCCCCTGCCCGGCCCCGGAATTAGGGATCTTGTAACCTGATTACCGCTGGTCACGGAGGGTCCACATCCCGCGATCCCCATGAGCCTCACTCCTAGCTTTGAACCGACGTCTGGCTTGTTACCGACAACCTACAAATTATAAAAGTTGTATTCGAAAAGCCCAAGAAGTCTTATAGATGTCTTGTCCTCAGATCAAGCTCATGATCGCCGATCGATCGAAGTTAAGCTTGCTCGGATCGCCAAGATGAAATCTTATATCCTCGCTGGCGTTCTCACCACTGGCGTTGCCGCTCAGAGCGGACCCTGGCAGCAGTGCGGCGGTATTGGCTGGCAAGGCTCGACTACCTGCGTCTCTGGCTACCACTGCCAGTACTACAACGAGTGGTACAGCCAGTGCATTCCCAGCCAGGGCTCGACCACCCTCCGGACCTCCACGACTCAGGTTGCCCCGACTTCGACCATCTCGTCTGCCCCGGCGACTACCACCACCAGCTCCCCTGGCGGCGGCAGCAAGAAGTTTAAATGGTTTGGTGTTAACCAGTCCTGCGCTGAGTTCGGCAAGGGCATCTTCCCCGGCCGCTGGGGCACCGAGTTCATCTTCCCCTCTACCTCTTCCATCTCGGTGCGTCGAACCTTGTAACGATCGTTCAAGGTCACTGAACATCACTAACTGCTCATCCAGACCCTCATCCGCGATGGCATGAACACCTTCCGTGTGGCCTTCTCCATGGAGCGCCTGGTCCCCAACACCCTCACTTCAGCATTCGACCAGGGTTACTTGAAGAACCTGACCGAAACTGTCAACTACATCACCAACAACGGTGCTTGGGCCGTCCTCGACCCTCACAACTTCGGTCGCTATTACGATAACATCATCACCGATGTAACCGCGTTCAAAACCTTCTGGTACAATGTCGCCAAGGTCTACGCCAACAACCCGCGCGTCATCTTTGATACCAACAACGAGTATCATGATATGGACCAGAACCTCGTTTTCCAGCTCAATCAGGCTGCCATTGACGGCATTCGCTCTGCTGGTGCTACTCAGCGTATGTTCAGTCCTTCGAGTTTGTTTACTTACCAGCGTTTTCAACCAATCAAGTCCCCAAAACCCAAGTCAAGACGACCCTTACAATTTGACTTGACTTTGACTTGTTGGAAACGCTGTTATTTATTCTGTCTATGGGGACATAGTTATCACATTTCCAGACCCTCCACGGTTAAGGCTGGGTATGGGGTCAGGCTTGATGCTTGATTCAAGGGCTCGATGTGTTGGCGCCAGGAACTTTGTTCAATCACAGCTAACTTATAAACAGAGTACATCTTCGTTGAAGGAAACTCCTGGACCGGTGCCTGGACCTGGAATGTTACCAACACCAACCTCGCCGCGCTGGCCGACCCCGAGAACAAGATCATCTATGAGATGCACCAGTACCTCGACAGCGACGGCTCTGGAACCAGCGAGGCTTGCGTTAGCACTGAAGCTGGTGTCCAGCGTGTGATTGGTGCCACTCGCTGGCTGCGCGAAAACGGCAAGCTCGGCATTCTGGGCGAGTTCGCAGGCGGTGCCAACCCAACCTGCCGCACCGCCATCACCGGCCTGCTCGACCACCTCCGGGAGAACAGCGACGTCTGGACTGGCGCTCTCTGGTGGGCTGCTGGTCCTTGGTGGGCATCATATATTTATTCAATGTTCTGTTCCCCCTTTTCTTATTGTTTTCTGCATTTCGAGAAAGTTTGGCTAACATTATGTCGAACAGTGAGCCTCCCTCAGGCACCGCATACACTTATTACATCGACTTGCTGCGGCAGTACGCTTGAATCACTTAAATAACTGCAAAGAACGTCCAAAGATCGCTTATGAGCATACATCCTTTGAACGCTGCATTGCATTGCCAGAGTTAGAACTGTGGTTAAAACTCATGCAGGACAAGCATCCCAAGATCAAGTCAAGGTCACATGACATGGATTGTACATAGATACCTTGTCAGCTTTTCTGTACATACTTTTGCTAACCTATATTGAGCTGGAGACTGCGCTCGTCACTTCATTCCTCGCTCCGAACGGAGGGTTTGTGTCGAATTTGACTTAGTTCCCACCCCTCCAAACTCATCATACCTACCACATTCCTTGGTACGCCCTTCCGGGGGCTTGGAGTTTTTTCAGAATCAAATATAAGAACTGGGAACCCAAGCTCAAAATGCCGTCGATTTCAAGCAGTCCCGGAGTTAAAACTAGCAAATCGACGAATAAAAAGCTAAGCCTTAAAGTTAGGTATATCGTAGCTAGAAACAAGGTAAATGGAGTTACAGGTCACAATAACAAGTCAGAAACAGTACTTTAGGAGGGAAACAGCTTGTAACTCAAACCCGCTAAAGCTCACTAAAGGCCAACTGTGCTAATCGGAAAATACCTACTTGTGTGTGGAATATGGGAAAGGGACCCAACAAACTAGTTTTCTCGAACTACGTTCTCCAAAAACTGTTATGGTAGCAGGTCGGTCAAGCTTCATGGTGAGGTCGGAAATCCGGCATCCAGAATTTTGCTGCCCCACTTCCTGGTTACGGCCTGCATCGACGTCATTGGTCCTTGCAGTCGGGTACATCGCACACAAGGGCCACGCCGCGCTGCATATGGGAACAGTGCCTTACATATATGTGGGAAATTACCATTTACCAACATCATATCCCTTGCCAGATCATTGAGCTCGCAAAGTCAAAAAGTAAAAGCTGATTGCCCACATGGCGGAGCTCAATTAATGCATGCGGCGCGCTGCCCACCCGCCCCGCCTTCGCTCAACAAACGGTCAACGTCTCAACGACAGTGTTTTTGGATCAGCGCTCTAGAGCCCACGCTCGAGGTTTACGTTGTTTGTTATGGGATGCGGCTTCTCAATTGTAGCAACAACGTAAAACTCTTTGCGCTATCAACACTTGCCAACTTCACAAGGAACTGATCTTAGATATTGATATGGAGCAGTAATTGCCTGATTTAAAAATCTTCCAACCCCCCCGTGCACCGACTCAATACCTCCTCCGAGTCCCCCTCTACTTTTTTCCGGCCGACTGCCAGTTCCCAAACCACCCGATACAACACAGTGCTAAAAGATCTATTTCAGTCTACCTAAAGCTGATCCGAAAGCGAGCAGTCCTTAAGTTACTTACAGCAAAATCTTATTTGACGATTGAAACTGTGAAACGCGCTCTGCATCGGCTACAGCGAAGCTGCATTGCCTAGGTGACACCACGTGGAGGTTGCAGAGCCCGACTTCGCCCTGACCAGAACGAATTAGCTATGATCGAAGTAGGAGATCCTCCTCGATAGCTGGGGTCATACTCAAGCCATCGTGCCGAACAACGGATAAAGAGCATGGCGATTGGAAGTCATGCCAAGGAGATGTAGGACACCTCAAACCCTCCTTTCGTCGGATTATGACACGATTTTTGACTGTCCCTAACTGTTGTCGACCAACAGTCGCAAAGGTAAGCAAGAACCAATAATTTGGAAACGCACCTCCAGAGAGATTTAAACAGAAGATTGCTTCGTGCCATCGCCAGCTCCACTCTCCTCTTTCTTTAACTTTCTTACTGTGGTTATAGCTTTTTAGGCACTTGGAATACCCCATAAAGTCAGCCTATCTCAGCGTGCAGTCAGCTGGGTGAGGTTTGCTGTAAACTTGGCACACATCGGCATGCCTTGAGCAAGTCATTTCTCATGTTTCTTGAGCACGCCAAGTTCGATCCTCTTCTACGAGGACCCTTGTAGGTGCCGTTCCCTTTCTCAAGGGCCCGGTTCCTCGCATCTTCCACCTTTTTTATTTTCCCCAACAAACATAGACACCATGGCAGCAGGTCAAAATCGCTTCTCTTTGTGCCTATGATGGATCGCTTCTCCTCTGATCTCTCCCTGTTTCTTTATCATATAATCAGACACTAAGACTAATATATTTCTCCTTCCTTGTTATACTCTTCGCTTCCGCCTTCTTCTTCTTTCCTTTGTTCTCTCTTTTCGTCTCTTCGTCTTCTCTTGTCTTTCTCTTTTTTTGCCCTTTCCTTACGATAAACCCTGGAGGTAGGTATAAAACCGAAGAATTAAGGCTGCAAGCTTTATTAAATACGAATGATAGCAGGATCTCAAATATCCCTGTAATTATCTGCAGGACACTGAAAGATGTGGGTTCATTTTTCCACCAATATCTTCCATGAACAGTGACAGCATTTGAGTAATTTGATCAGGAACGAGTCTTTTGCCGGCAGTTGGGAATAATTCGCTGAGATTCTGCCGTCTTTGAAGCAATGCCAATGCTGCCAACCCCCAGCATGGCGGAACCACGCCGCGGTTCAAGCGAGAACTCCACGTGGGGATCCCGAACCGCCAAATCATGATCCCAGAAGGAAACATAAACGTCAGGACGTTACCCACTAGGTAGGGCTGAAACGAAACGAAGAGGCGTGGTTGCCATGTCTCGAGAGGGTTGTGTCTGAGCTCCGAACGATGCCTTCGATCAAGGTACGTACTCTATCTTCATCACCAACAAGGTCAGAGCAATAGCCAATCGGAGATGAGCATCTCATCATCTACGTCTTTAAAGCTCAGCCATGGCCCGGGGGTTCCCCACAATATCGGACGCCAAGAGTACGGGGTTTTCGAACCAGAGTCCCCGATCCAGGCCGGCTCCAGCTGGGTACGACCAGTTCTGGTGTTGTTATGAGCATCGATTTCCGTCTGCTGTATGAACGCGCGATTTCCCCATCAATATGCATGCAAAGATACTAGGTATGCAATGCCTTTTTGGATGGCTGCAAGCCGAGGGACTTTGAGTACTTCAGTTGGCAAGTACTGTATGAAAATCGGGCAGCCAGCTGACGAAAACAAACTTGTCAGAAGTCAGATTGGTATGCTGAAGCAGTATAGCCGCCAGCCTAAGGTTGCGTATCATCTAATCTTGGTTACATTACGACAAGTGGTGTCTCGGCGAGATGCCGGGGCGCCCCAGCTCTCAAATTTCACTTCTTTTGGAACTTTGACCCCATCACTTCATTGTCTTTCTCCCCATTGCAGACAGAAACACTCCCTTTTTTTCTCCAAGCCAGTAAGTTTCTCACAGCTAGTATTCTCGAGTTTCCTATGTTTGGGCCCCCTTCAATCTCGTCTTGCATTTTCCATAGTACTTAATGTATCATGCACTGTTGTTTTTGGTTGTTTTTGGTATACCAGCTCTCAATTTAAGCGCTTCCCCGCAGATCCAACGATAAAGTCCGGCCGGCTCACTGACCGAACTTTGGGTCCATGCCACCTTGAGTCGCATTTTCTGTCGGCAACCTCTTCTGCTCTGCTTTGACCTGAGACCCTACCGCATTGTCTCTTGTGTTTCTGGTTGGCCCCTCAAAAAACGGTGGCTCGCCTGTTGTTGCTTGCGCGTTACCTGCCTACCCCCGATTCTGCCCGCCACCAACGGTAAACCTCCCCGATCAGCTGCTACCTCAGATAGATGTGCCTCCTCCGGACTCGTTCCCTTGCAACCATCAAACTGTCTGCGGAGGGAACGCGTCCGCCCCTGACAAGACCGAGTCCGCAGGGCGCTGTCAGTATATGTCGGCGGGCGCCCCAGACCCCCCTACATCGCGGACGTCATCTTCACTATATCAGGCAATGAGGAGTTGGCCAAGATGTCTGAAGTTACAGACGTAGGCGTTGTGTGGATATGGCCAGACAACACTACCGTACCGACGAACTTGAGTGATTCGACCAGCACGACGCCTGCATTTCCGACACCATCGTGGATCATACCGCCGAATCCTGGGCGATCGCTACAAGTGGATATCGCCGTTTGTACAGTTATTACCTTTCTCATCGGCCTTGGGTTCGTGATAATTCGCTTTTACACGAGATGGGTCAATCGCGTGCTATGTCACTCGGATTGGTGCATTTTGCTGGCTCTTGTAAGAACATGTCTACTGCTTTGTTATGCTAACAGCTCTGCTGACCTTCCTAGCTCTGCTCCGCCGGTCTCGTGGGCAGCACCTTTGAACGTTAGTTGCTCCTTGCCAGGTTGAGTGACATGCCGGTTGCTGACAGAATCCATAGAACTCTCTCACGGAGCGGGAAAGCATGTCTGGCAACTGGAGCTCTCAAATATAGCGAAGTTCCAACGAGTATGTTGACATGTCCCTTCCCATATTTCCCACAGTCTGCGTTTGCTAAACGTTCGCCAAAGGCAGCATGGTATGGTATTCTCTGTTACACCTCGTCTCTTGTCTTCACCCGGGTGTCCATCCTCTTACTTTACCGGCGCATTTTCAGCTCCAGCTCCAAGATGAAAAAGGCGATACTAGTTGTCATGGTATTGGTCTTAGCTGTCAGCATCTGGCTAGTCGCAACTGTGTTCACTGTCTGCGTCCCCTTACAGGCCTTTTGGGATTGGACGCTCGGCTCCAAGAAGCTTGTTTATTGCCACCCCGGTAGCATGTACTGGTTTAACTCTGCGCTCCATATCGCCTCTGATCTCGTTATTATTGCGCTTCCTCTGCCGATACTTTGGAAGATGAGGCTTCCTCGCCGGCAAAAGATCGCTCTTGTTGGCGTATTTGCGTTGGGTTTCTTGTAAGCAAGTCCTCCGCTTTTCCTAGGGCAACCAGCTGACCTGATCCTTTTTAGTGTCTGCATTGTGTCCATCGTTCGCCTGACGAAACTCATCGATATTTATGTTCCATACCCTTCCATGGATGCGTTTTACACAAGCGCCCCCTTGATCTACTGGACCACTGTGGAGGTCAACTCCGCAATCTCCTGCGCCTGCATTATGACCCTCAAGCCCCTAATCGAGCGCGTCTTTCCGCGACTGCTTTCCCCGGAACAAGACCACCGCGACCCGACACTGCCTTGGATCACACCCATCAACAACGACGACGTTGAGTCACACTGTGACGCTGCTAGCCAGGCATCGAAAGTAAATGGTCCCGCCGACAGCATCACAGATCCCAGCTCGGATCCTAATAGCAATCACCGACATCCAAGCCGACGTAGTCTCCTCCCAGAATGCACTTGCAAACGAGGACACGGAAACAGCAGCGGAGTGCTGTACACTGCAAACTCTGAGGGTGACGGAAATACGAGCGATGGTGACGACCCGACCGAAAAGTACCATGAAATTTTGTACCTACATCACAATGAACTCCACGGCCACAGCCATCATCATACAATGTTTGATCTAGAGGCCCAACGCTCCATCGGCAGCACCAACTTATCAAGAACAACCACGACAGCTGTTTCCCCCACAGCATCTGCCCCTGCAGTCGCTAGAGCCGCGGATCCCTTGACAACGGGGCGTGCAACGAACCGTGAAGGAGACGATGACCACGACCTTGATGAGAAACGAGACGAGATACCTCTTACGCAGGGTGAGGAGCATATCTTCACTCTGCAAGCCCCTCCCAGAGCTCACCTCCGATTGTCCACGGCCCAAACGGGGACCGAGAGGCGTGATCAGAAAGAATCGGAGAGCCCGACGAATATAATGTCCGCATAAATCAAGAATTGGTTCTCCTTAATTCCCGCCGACACGCCGACTTTTCATTCTCTAGACCATGAGTACGGGCTGCAGCTTGCCGTGAGCATGCTTCATGCATCAAGATACGCTTTCAACAAATTTCCTTAGTCCAATTGCCTGTGGCTGACAGACGAAGCTGCTTCGCTCATGATCACGATTTCGCATTACGTTAATGATGTTTACATTCTTTCTATCTGTTGATACCCGACGCGGATGTCATGTTTGTTCTCATGAGGGGCGATGTAACATATTCGGTCACTACCACATTGTTGGATGGTAAATTCAATGGGATTGGGCGTTCAGGGTTGATAGGTTGGTTAGAACTGACAGTTGTGCACTCTTCAGTTCTCAGAAAGGTTACTTCGTAATACTCCGATATGTACTTGTGATCGTGGTGGGGAATTAGGCTGCGTGCTAAAATTTATGTCCTCTTTTCGTCAAGTATCTGCCCTTGAGTTTCAGAGGGTAAACCATACGGAGGTTTAACGGCGCAGCGCTAACATCTCCATTTCAGTGTTGAATGGCGTGCCCGGTGCCGTTTACCTCATGTCACAAGCCATGCCAAAAGAAATAGATTGCCTCGGAGGGGAATGACTGGAGGGTTAAACATGAGAAACAAAATAACAATAAAAATGATGAAGAGTAGGAAGGAGGAAAGGAGGGAAGGAAGGGATGCAGGAGTGAAAGAATAGAATAATGAAGATAGAAACCGCTGCATTATATGGTATAGGCTTAGCGTCCCTTCTACCACAGATGGTTCTTTGGCTGCTGGAGCTTGATGTTATACCTTACTGAGGTTGCAAGACCTGCCCTATGTAGAAGGACACTCGGGCATTCAAGTCACATGTTCAAGTCGCATGATTTTTAAGTTACTTCACCAAAATTGTTGAAGTGCTTACCTAGTAAACATCATCTTTTTTAGCCTAACAATTGTGCACTCATCGACCGAAGATTGTTGTGAAACATCTTACCCTTGGCTCTATATGAGCACTGGAAAGGATTTTGGATGATACTCAACTTGAGCCTTGTTTGCTCCGCATCTATCATCATTTTCTGTTTCTTATAATGTCTGCTCTGTTTTACTTTCTCATGGAATTGCTCTTCCTTAGCCTGTGTGAGCAAAATGGTGGTGTAGTACAACATTCTTTCTTTCCACCTTCAAAACAAGGCTTTCACTGCAGTTTCTCCATTGCTACAATGAAATATAGCTACCTTGGTGGAAAAGTGCTTTCATCTCTAAGCTCCAGAACTTCCATGGTCATCTTCACAAAAGTGGGTTTGGCCGAAGAGAGGAGTCTGTGAGCTATAAAATTGTCGACACAGCCAAAAACCAACATTTTCCTTTCTCTTCTATATCGCTCTTTGCGTTCAAGTGCTGTAGGCGACATTTAGTTGGCCTCGCTAGCGATCGTTCGCTGTGGCCAAAGTTGGCTGGAGTGGTTGAACCTGTCTATAATCGGCTAGAACTTATGGTTCCGGCCCTTCTCCCCCTCTGCATGATTCCGATTGTCCTCAAGATGACATGATCTAGAATGAACCCATAGATTCAGAAACTCAATGCCCACCAGTCTATGAACATCATGCACAAACGGCTCGATAAATCCACTGATACAGCATGATGTGGATGTGAAGATGCAGCAGTGAAAAATGGTGAAAACACTTTTTGAAAGCGGCACAACAACACTGCACCTGGCTTGCATACACACTTTCACCATATATTGCGAGATAATGAAGGCTGTATCACAAAACTTAAGCCATTCATCGGCAACTAATGTTCAGGTAGATGCAGCTTTTAGTGAGCGGAAGAGTGTTCCGGGCGCATGATTGTGCGAAATCTCATCATTAGCACTTCTTGAAAAGATAGTAACACACATATTCTTGTGCTTTTCATCATCTAGGTCCCCCCAAAAAGGGCATCGCTCACATTCCAAGTTATCGAAGATGGGTTATCTCTGTCTTCTTTTGCGGGGGCTCTTTTTCTCAAAAACGACGGACATGCAAAAAGTTAATAGCCGGGACGTCACCTCCACATTTCCTTATCCTACTCTCTGGGATGTGTTTCTTCCCTAGCACAAAGAAGCATTGAAGTGCCATAAATAGGACCACATCTTCCAATACAACTCGAACCGTTGCATGCAATCATACCTCGAGGTCCAGGACAGGTTGCAATCTCCTACTCAGTTTTTGCACTAGGCTCTTTTTACCACCCTGCGTATGCTGTAAATGCAGAAGTTAAGCTTACCATGGGCTGCTCAAGGCAGTAACAGGACAGCCGATGGGTCCCCCAGAGAAGTTTCCGGGACATGAACCTCCATGCTAGTCGCATCGGAATTGACCTCCGCTACATGTGCCACCCAGCAGCATTCCCGTCGTCACCTTACAGCGCACCCCATCTCCAAGCATCTCTTATAGCCAGGCACAACGCTACCCAACGTGGCCCGACAGTGAGTAAGACATTGGTTAAGCAAGGGACACAAGCAACAGGTGGTGTGACAAAGCGTGAGAAAGGGCTGGACTCAATACTACTCAGATGCATACCTTCAGACGGAGTCTAACAGCGCATATATCAGTAACATGAGATGTCTTGGGGACGAGTTGTCTCTGTTCCCCTCTCTGGTCCATACCTCGCCTACTTGCTTGCCTCCGGGGTTCCCGCTCTGGTTCGTAGCGACGCTTGGCACTGGTTTGTACCAAGGGTTAACGGGAGGACCTATTTTTGGATCTTAAATTAGAACAGCCAACTTGCCAATCCTGGCAGTCGGATTTGCGGGAGGCAATATGGATAAATTGCCTAGCTCCGCAACCAAAATCTTGACGACCTGACATTCGACCGACAACATGGTGGCGACCCAAATCCAACCTTCGCAATGCATCGGGACCGTCACCGTCACCATGGGGCTCTCGAGGGGCCTGTTTGGCATATAAGGACAAAACGCTACTCTGCAGAATCACGGCCGTGAATCCTGGAGAGTTTCAAACCCAGCAACTTTTCGACCCTGATCTCCTAGAGATCCCTCGACCAGCCTTTTCGCACACTCACCGATCAACGAAACTTCTTTGGAAACCACTAAACCTTTAAACTATTCAGCCATGGGTCTTCTATCCTATCTTACTGTTTTCCTGGCGGCCACTGGCTCAGCCCTCGCCGCTCCAGCCGCTGAGTCTCCCGCCGACATCGCCGTTCCGACCCCCAAGATCACTAGCATTACCTACTCCGGCAACGGCTGCGTCAGGGATCCCAAGTTGTCGGGTAGCTTCAACGACCCGACCTTCACCTACCAGGGTTTCACCCTGTCTCTGCCGACCAACACGACGGCCAACTGCCAAATTCACATCCAGGCCAGCGGTGCCGGACCTGGCTGGCAAGTCGCACTCAAGAGCAGCCAGGTTAAGGGTCGCCTGGTCCTGACCCCTGGCACATCGCTTACACACTACACGACTGTGTTCTTCAGCCAGAACCCCACCAAGACTGTGAGCTAACTTCTCAGTTGCCTTTCTTTGCGCTATGAGGCTAACATCAGCTATCAGAGCACTGTCTCCGGCACCGTCAGCAACGACAGCCGCAACACCATTAGCCGCAGCGTCACTCTGGTCAGCAAGGCCGATAGCAGTGAGCTCGCCTGGTCCCCTTGCACCGGTAGCGACGGCTACACTGGTATTATGAACGTCAACTTCCGCGGCGTGCTCAGCGGCAACAGTCGCGCTTACTTTGAGGCTCAGACCGAGACCTGGGAGCTCCAGTGGCGGCGCTGCTGAGCAACCCAATTTAGGAAGGGTAGGGGATGGCAGATTGTGAGTTTTGTTGCTATTAAAAAGCTTTCTGTTATATAGTTGATTCGTTTCTTTTGTAGATGTTTGCAGAGTACAAAAGTTTTTGATGCAAACGTTGGGTCTCTCTTCCAAAGCCAAGAAATCTGTAATTTCATGCTTGAAGGGGTCTGTGGGGCGTTTCGTTGCTTTCGCTTCTGGAAGTTGTAGCATCTCCGCATGAGCCATTCGCGACTGGAATACCACGCAGTTGGCATGAATGTGTATATAAATAGGTACCGTTGCATACATGATGGTGCAGAATATGTCGTAAATAAACTATCTGGGCCAGGGCAAAACCGGGTAACATCGTCTCGCTAGCAGCGAGCATATCAAGAGAGGGCAGCCAGAATGTCTTTGACATTTGTCTTCTATTACTTTACTTGATGTAGATATCTATCTGGTATCCAATGCGGCCCATCCGTGTAACCTTTGCACCGATGCCTATGTTAAAGCAGAGAAAGCCAACCCCTGAACGGACAAAAAGCACCAACGCCAACCATCCCCAGCCAACAGTAAATATCAACGGCGTTCTGAAACCGCCAACAGCCGCCCGCTTGTCTGTTCCAGTACCCCCTTTTGGTTAAGGCATCTGTTTAAAATGTTGGGCCGAAGCCAATGCTGCGATCAGGCTCTGGTTCTCTTCGTTCCCAACCCCAATGGCGCTGACTCGACCAGCTCTCGACCCGCTACTTGGGGTTGTTGTGTTGTGAGAAGATCGTTATGTCGTTTTGCGACTTAACAATTAACGGATGGACCGCGTTCCTGAGGTCAATGGCTCCAAAGAGTGGGCCCAACGGGACAGAACAACTGGGAGAGCAATCTCTGCCCCCCCCCCCTAATAGGGTTAAGACTCGTCGAACTCCATAAACCTATACACCAGCTAACCGTTCAAGGGTTGCTGACGTAACTGCGGGCACGACGCAGATCCTCAAGATCATGGTGCAGCGGCGCATTGGGGTCAATGTTCTTGTTGTCCAGATCCGAGTCGGAGGTCTCGTCGTCGCTATGGTAGGCGTACTTGCTGTGCTTGCGAATGGCTGCGCCATACTTCCAGAAGAGGAACGGAATGCCGCAGCAAGCCAGACCCAAGAAGGCGAGGAAAGTGGAGGCCCACTGGTCGCCCATGCGGTCGTACATCTGCTCCGTGAAGAGCACAACACCGGCGCCCCAGAAGGAACGGATGAAGGTTTTGGCGGCAAGTGCCGACGCAGCCTGGTGCACGTACGAGTCGACGAGGTAGTTATTGGCCGCGTTGTACAGGAAGATGAAGCCGAAGCCGATGGGAAGACCCGCCAAGCAAGGGCCGACCCAGATAAGACGGGGATATGAAGTCCAGGCGAATATGAACAAACCGATTGGAATGAACCAGCAGCTGAGCATCATGGGAATGAGGCGAATCTCAGCCGGCGGCTTGCCGTTGTACTTCTTGACCATCTTTATGTAGTGATTGTTGACAAAGGGCGAGCACAGGGCGGAAAGAATGACACCGACGGCGACGGGAATGAACATCAGACCCGTGATGCCGGAAGAGTAGCCCTTGCGAACTTCGAAGATGATTGGATAGGCAACGAAGAACATGTAGAGCAGGCCGTAGAGGACAGACATGTATAGGCTGATAAGGAAGACGATGAGCTCGCGGAAGAGCAGCTGGAAGGGGCGAATCAAGAAGATGGCGATCTTCTGACCGAAGGGAGTGGGGTCGAGATCTTCCTCAGTGATGTAGCTGTTGTCACCGGTCTGCTTCCGCAGCTTGGCCGCACGACGTGCCAGAATGGTAGGCGCGTAAGTCTCAGGCACGGTGAAGGAGATGAGAACCCAAACGACGAAGGCAAATATCAGCTGGATCCAGTAAAGCCACCGCCAGCCAGCGCCATCGGACAAGAAACCACCGATTAATGGACCGACTGTGGGAAAGTGTTAGCATGCAAGAACTTGAGTCTTGACAGCAGACTGGGGTCGCATACTGGCAGGACCGATGAAGGGAGCAGCAGAGAAAGCAGCCATTGGGACACCACGTTCTTCGTTACGCCACAAATCGGCAAGAGTACCGCCAACCAGGGTCATGGGAGCAGAGAACGCAATGCCATCAATGACTCTGCACACAATGAGAGTGCCAATGTTCTTGGAAACGGCACAGGGAATGATGAAAACTACGGCGACCAGCAAAGTCGAGGTACTAAAAATAAGACAGGTCAGCAGCTAGATCTCCCAACTCTGCGGAGGAGACCTACTAGATGATCTGTCTTCCGTACACCTCAGATAAGGGGGCGAAGATCATGGGGCCTAAAGCATCAGTGTCAGCAAGGGCTGTCTCAGAGCGAGGAACAGAGCCGACAGATGCTTACCGACACCAAAACCCACGACGAAAACAGTAATTGGGAGAAGAGCCGCTTCGTGACTGACATTGAATTCCTTGGCAACGCCGTCCACATCGGAGGTGATAACACTGGAGCAGAAGGCGACAACGAAACATGTGATGGCGACAATCATGGTGCAGTACCATTTGCGGGCCTTGGACCAGTTTTGAGGATTACCAGGGTCGCCTTCTTCGAACCTGACTAACTTGTAGTCTTGTCGGGTGTCCCCGAAGGGGGCCTTGTTGCCTTTTTCCATGACGTTTGCGATGTTTGGTGGGTTCTTTATGTTGCTATAAAACACAATGATCGTTGAGTAAGAGTAATGTCGAGACAAATGTAACTAATATTTTCTCCGGGAGTCGGCAAAAAGGTATCAAAGTGTTTTCGTCAAGATTTACTGTGGTTTTCGTACTGCTCACAAAAGTTGGGGAAACGAATGGAAGTGCTCGAATCGAACTGGAAAGGAAATGCAAAGTCCGGTTACTGCCAATCACACAACACCTTGCACATGAATCGGAATGGCGAATGGAACATGGGAAAGACTCTACACTTATATCCAGCAGCTCTGTAGACGTGAAGCCTTGCTCGGGAAGGCTCGGTAATGACTGCACAGCAAAAAACTTCGTCATCCCCTGTGTAAATCTTAGCCCAACGCGACGACTGTTCGCGAGCGGGACAATCGCGAATCTGCCTTCCATCGGCCCCAGACCTTCGGGTCGCGGTGGACTTTCATTGGCCAGAGCCGCCATTCTTGCAAGGAGCTGGCTTCTGGTGTGCCCGAACGCCAAGTGATATCCAGAGCCTAAGACGGCGTGGCCCCTGAAGTGGTTCTCAAGCATCGCAGGAGTCTCCGAGTCGGGGAGTGTGAGTATCCTTTCTTGGCAACGCCACCCGCGCCAAGTTCCACTGGACAAGCGTCCCCGGCATCGGCATGTGGAGATCAGAGCACGGCAAAGACATTGGTTGGCCGGGCTTGGCCGGATGGCTCGGCGTCTCGCCGTCGAGAAAAACGCGAGACTACAGTCGTCGGTGTCGATAAGTGCAGCCACGTGCTGGATTCGCGAGACGAGAGATGCAGAGAAAAGAACGTGTGAAGGAAAACAACAGCCAAACGGTGCCTCTACGGTCCAGAACACCAGAAACACGGGCTGCCAGAAGAACATCGACGTTCCAGAACCTCTAAGCTGAGATAATTGCTCGAGAGTTGAGTGTTGGCCCTTTTGTCTTCCATGGCTCATGGTGTTATAAGTGGGGGAGGAAAGGGCCCTCGCCGGACAGCGCGGTATTTGGAAACCAAACGGCCGGATGAAGTGGAGCGTCTATTAAGGCTCGAAGAAGATATTTTTCCCCTAGCGGTACTTAATTTAGCTGGAAGAGGTAGCCGTCAGCCGTCTTCCTTTCAGCCTTCCGCCTTCCCAGGTCTGTGCTCATCCAAGCTGATGGTGAGTGGCGGATGAATCAAGTTGAGCAGAGCATTATTGCCACAGATGTTGATCGCTGTGGGCACAAACCTTCGATCTCAATTTCCCTGGCAGCCGTTCATCCTATCAGCTTGATAACAGAAACTGGCCGCTGGCCGTTGTCGTCTTACGGGACGACAGGCCCTCTGACTGCATATTGCATGGAGGATTGTGGGCCGCAAGTGTGGAGTCAAGGTTTGGCTGTTTGGTGCTGGGTTCGCGTGAAGTCGGCCTATGACGTCTTGCCGTACTTGAAATTCACAAAGCCGAGCCGGTGAGACGAAGAAGTGCCGAGCAGTCGGCTTGGGCTCAACATGGCCTGCGGACTGGCCGTCTCTCTGGTAGACGCCTCTCTTTTGCTTATGAAGTCGCTCTCGACGGCAGACGGCCGAGAGACAACGGAGTCGCTGCTCAATATTCATCAGCCTTCGATCATTGATGGACAAAAAAAAACCAAAAGAACAGGCTCGCTCTTTTGATCTTCACCGATCAGCGCAAAGGCGACCGCGATAGTTCAAGAAATTGCAGCAAGGCAAAATTGACTCCCCACCCCACATCAAGTGACCAACGAGTTTCCACCATTCCACATTGGGTGTGGAGTCCAGGAAGAACGGACACAGTCAAGCTTTTTCGGCCCGCTCCCAAGTTTCTGCCCTATCGGATGGTGGTGGATCCCTCCGAGTTGAAGGCAGGTCGCAGCAGGGCTCCCAGATGACCAGGGACAACAACATCAGCTCATTGTCTCCAGTCATCGATGTCATCGACGGCATCGGGCAGCATCCTAGTTCGTCATTGACTTTTTCGGGCGCCACTGTGTTGTATATCCAAATGGTTTATCTCGATGGACACATTGCCATGGAACATGCCTTGGCATACTGAAGGGACCGACCCCGCCTCAGAGAACCTATGGGTTAGCGTCTTGTTTTTTATTATTTCCACTTGAGAGGACCTTCAAAGAGCAGTACGAGTTGTAACATTCAAAAAGCTTAAAGCAGCTTACCGTGTCAGGGAAACTGCTGGGATGTAGTTTAGTCAACCTTGGAAACATTTAACCTCGATGGGGAACTTGACATCAACACGTAGCATGGCTTTCCTCACTCTTGTTCAAATCTCCAGCATTGTGTTTACATATAGAACGCATGCTGTCTTCACGGTGCTGTTGGGATATGCTTGGCAAAACTCACACCACCCTTCATAATCTCTTTTCTGATCACCGCAGCTGGCTTACCTTATATGGAGCAGCAGAAGGAAAGCAAGGCAGACATGAGTGGACTATCTCGAAGTCCTTGTTTTCTGGGAAAAAAACAAAAAAAATTCAACTCACTCTTTGTCGAACATTACGCCTGCGCGCATGAGACATTAGTACAGATAACGGACGTGAGGTACAGCGTATCCTCTGAAACCAGTCAACAGAGCGGTGAAAATCGTTGAAAAGTTACCAGAGCACGTGATATATCAATCACAAGAAGTTGTAAATTCCTTCATGGCGCAATTGGCTAGCGCGTCTGACTGTTAATCAGGAGGTTGGAAGTTCGAGCCTTCCTGAAGGAGTTCAATTTTGTCCGCGCGGGGTTTTTGGAAGTGAGGGTGGTTTGCAATTGCGTCAGAGCAATTCTCTGCAGGTTCAAGCTAAGCATTTAGCCTTTTTTTAAGAAAAAGGTGGCTTTCTGTGACCCAATTTTGGGTCACCCGGATGTTCCAGGCGCGTAGTTGCCCCACAAACTTACCGCAGGCTGCCTTTGCGTTTGCGCACGTCGCACGCGGTGGCAGCCATGTAGCGCCTGTCACGTGACAGAACTCCACTCCATTACAGTAACTGCTGTTTCCAAAGTTTCCAGGTTCGCTCTCGACGCGTTGCTGCGAAACCTGTGACCAACAACGCCCGCTCTCCTCTCAAGTATCAACATCGCATATTCCGTGCGCCAGGCATCGAAACAATGCCAAGGCACATTGATCAAGACGTGCACTCCGCGTTTGTGGAGTTTCGCGGCGATGGTAAGTGGCTGGAATTTTTCCTTACCCTCTGTCCTGATGCGACGAAGGCTGCTGTACACGCTCGCCGTACTCTCCGTACTCTCTGTATGCGTATTGCAGTCACCGTCACCGTATTTTGTTTCTGTCATGTACCCCATCCCTATCCCCATCCCCATCCCCATCCCCATTCCCTTTCCCATCTCTGCCCATGCCCATACCCGTACCCATACCCATACCCATAGCCACTGCTCTCGCGCGCCACCCCCGGCTGGCCGGCTGATGTGACTGCTTCTCCACAACTAGATCCCAGCGCGAAATGCCTGAGTGTGCAGTGCATCTACTGCCAGCAGACCCGGGCCAAGAACACGACGCGTCAGAAACAGCATCTTCTTCAATGTGCGCCCTACCTCCAGGCACATCCTGATGTTGCTCTCCAGATCTCGGGCGCTGCGTCTGCCGCCAGTGCCCAGGCTTCCCAGGCCCAGGCCCAGGCCCAGACCCAGGCCAACGTTGCCGTGCCTGGTCAAGCGTCCGGAGATGCGCCCGCCGACGGCACCTACACCCACGACGGCACCGTGGGCGAGCATACTGCCCTGACTTTCGTGCCGAACCCCCGCATCAACGGCACGCCCAGCCAGGGCCGCCCGTCTCTGGGAGGCGACGGCACTCCGGCCCCCAAGAGGCAGAAGACCAAGCCGACCCCCTCCAACATGCCCGAGATCTCTCTGCAGGATGTCCATAAAGCCTTCGTTGAGTTCCGCGCCAACGAAACCGACAAGTGCCTCTCCGCCCGGTGCATCTACTGCAATCAAGTCCGTGCCAAGAACACGTCTCGCCAGCGGGAGCACCTCTTGACTTGCCCAGGTTATCAGAGCATTCTGAAGGATAAGATCCCGGCCAATAACCTGCGGCATCAGTTCGACCAGGACGACGTTGCTAGCACTCTTGCTCTCCCCGCGCCGACCATGGACCTGGACTTCCGCATCAGTATCAAGGTTAAGCCAAAACTCAACATCGGCCCGAGCCCTTCGGGTCGGCAGAGTTGGATTCCTTGCATTGGTGGGCAGTGGGCAGGCCGCTGGGGCAAAGGAACCATTCTTGTAAGTTGTGATCCCACCCCTTCTTACTCCACATGGGTCCCGAGCGTGTGAGGCTAACTCCAACTTCCAATAGTCAGGTGGTCATGACATCCAGACGAGCGTCAAGGACACCGCCACGCGCATCGATGCCCAGTTCCTTCTCCAGACTAACGATGAGCATCCTGCTCAGATTGTTCTAACCATGAAGGGCTGGCTGACTGCCGAGCGTGATGTTATGGAGCGCCTGCAGGACCCGGTGGCTGCTGATAATGTGGTGGCTCATCGGTATCGGCTCCGCGTGACGTTGCAGCTTGAGACGGGAGACGAGCGTTATGCCGATGTCAATACAGGTGTTTGGGTTGGCAGTGGTTGTCGTAGGGGCGGCGAGATAGTCTACGATGCTTACCGGATCAGCTAGTTATGTGGCTTTTCTGCCATCTTTGATTTGAGGATGATATGAAGTGGAAGTGCGACTATCCCAATATTCGTTCGGATGGAATTCGCGTCATCTATGGCGAGCTCAGCCCATCTCTTAGCTTGACATGGCGGTAGGCTATGGACGAGTAGTTCTAATCTTTCAGGACGGTATGGCCAATGAACTTACGTCTGCTTTTTTCACCCACTATTTCTGCTACTTATACAAGGGGTTTCGTTATAGCTTACGAGTAAAATGTCTTGGTTCTCGTCGTTCTGCCTTATTGCAAATGGCAGATAACTGAAATGCAATATTATGAATGATTCACGGCCTACAACATTTCCATGGATTCAGTCGCCCCATGTCAGTTGAGGATTTGACGTTTGACCCATGCGAACTACTCCATTATTGGTGCGGAAGCCAAGTCAATGGTCCATTCACTGCCAGTATCTCCACTTCCTCCTTGCATCCTGCTGACCACATCGCTTCAGTTTGTAGGGGAAAAAAAATCCAGCCGTGAGATGTCGTTCATATCGGGAAAGTAGTTCGCCGTAGCCCCACGATTGGTTTCGCCAAGTGCTCGGCGCCATGACTTGGGTCACTGATTTCCGCAGTGCCGGCCTTCACCGGTTCTGTAACCCAAGTTCTTTTCGACCCTTCTCGGCAATAGTGCTCGACATCTTGGGAACCGGGGTCCCGCACCTTGGCAGCCACTGTGTTACAAGCCAGCCCGAAACGAAACACATAGCTGGGACAGCCGAGCTTTGATACAAATGCTTATTGCCTATTAGAGAGTGCCTTGAGCCGCCCGAACGGTGCAAGTCTGAGATAAGGTAATACGGTTGGGTCAACCTTGCCTTTACTTATCGACAGTTACCACTGGCAAGCATTAAGCTGACTTTGGTGGATAAGTATCAACCAAGAGTTTCAGAACACCTTCTGCTTAGAGGTTCTGCGATAAAGTTAGGGTTGGCAAACCAACCACAAAGCGACTGTTCACTGTTGCTCATCTGCCAGAAAGAGAGATCGAGTTCCAAGTTTTTAGCCAGATCTTGTGATCCAATCTACCAGCACTGCAACGACTAAGGTAACTCGAGATCAACTCGACAGCAAAGAGGCAGTCCCAGCAGAACGGAATATCCACTCAGTGGCTGCGTCGCTAGACAGGGATGTACATAAGCTGCCTGGCATAGAACGATGCTTCAACATCAGTAGCATCCCCATAACTACACTTAAACACTCTCCTTTTCATCTGCTTATACCCATTGCTCTTGTTCACTGCTCTCCCTGCCAAAGACCCAAACCACGGAAACTATCCGCGTAGCCCAGCGGTCATCTTGTGCTGCCAATACAAGGGGGTCGATGAAGTCGTTGACCTGCTGACGCATTAATCCCACGAATATTACGCCTCAACTACAGGGCTCAGGGGTTACACAAAGCTTGATTGGTGGAAACCTTTCCGCTAGGGTTGGTGATTCTCAATTATCCCTTCGACAACGTTAAGACCTGGCTCTCCTCCAATTTACCCAGCCACAGAGCTAACCGCGAGGGGATCTGGAAGCAAAGGGGCAAGTATCCGACGGAGATATTTCCCAAAGTACTAGACTGCAGGATCCCTCCCCAAGGGGGGTCATCCCCAGTTCGAAGGGAAGTTTTTCTCACTGCTTCTGCGAACCCATAACTGGATGTTAACTGAGCGTCTGGATTTGTGAAGAAAATTTTGGCCGGCCCTATCGGTGATGTGTTCTAAGTTGAGCTATCACACACAAACTGACAGTCGCAGTCACGCGATAACATCAGAACAACGACCAACGGGTCATGGCCAGCTCCACTGCAGCCAACCAATGGCACGCACATTGTTGTTGACTGTGTTCGTCACTTGCTCGGCCAGTATTCCAACGGTTCGGGCACTCAAAATCTTGGCGTTTAGCCCATTTGAGAAGATGAGGGCTCATTTGGTGACAAAGCCTGCTGATATCTCCAGAGTACTATCTTTTCCCAAGAGATAATCCTTGAATATTCTAGATGGATTGATAGACTTGGCCACTCAGAGTTACAATGTTCTACTTACCCCCTGAAAGCTTGTTTTCTCAAGTGTTTTGCCCAACCAGTATCCAATTCTGTCAGCGCAATACCTTTGTTTTTTTTATTTTTTGGGATTTCACTCTCTTCTCACTACCGGGCCAATGGATACTTAGTTGACGTTGAAAGTGGTGTGGCTGAATCTTAACAGCCTGGTGCTTGGTGCTCAAGTCGGTGCATATTTGGCCCCCTGATCAGCACCCTGGCGCCCAGTCAGCTTGTGTAACTCTAAGTACACCCCCAACGCTCCCTCCCAGAACGGGATGCCTTTTTGTCCATGGTTGTATTCACCATTAGTAGACCTTGGGCTCTAGCCTGCGCCTTTTTCTAGCTCTCCCCAGCGTAACTCGTCGGCATCATCAAGTCATTTTCGAGCTTCCCCCTGGCATTGCTTGGCGATGTGGCAAGAATCGGATTCTTTTACCCCTTCTCAAAAGCGAGCCCAGTTTTGCGGGCTTCCAAGCCCTGCCTTGAGTACTCCAGGCGCCCCTTCTCCTATGTCAAGAGTCAGCCTACGAGCCCATCCTGCTGGGCCTAGGAACATCAACACATCGCTGTCACCGTCGCCCATCATTATGATAGGCGGTCATACCGACTCTATTGTTTCTTTATGGAACGGCTATGATGACGAGGCGTTACCAACTACTCTTGGCTACAAAGAGGGAATTTCCGCCTTTGATGCCGATCCTACAACTAATCCCGGGGTTATGCCTAATCATACACTTGAGCACTTGCCATGGGCACCTACGAATCCCTTCGCCGTTCCCCATCCAACTGCATGGCAAATTGATGTGGCTGGAATTACCGCCGGACCTGGAATCGCAAGATCACTCCCCAACGGAGCGTCAGGAAACACAGTCACCCTCAGTTTGCAACAGCCAGCTACATCCAGCCTTTCCGGCCCCCCAATAACGATTGAAAGCTCGCAGTCCAGTCCCCTTAGCTATCTCTTTTACGATCGAAACCCTGATACAGCATGCTACTCTCCTATCAAACTGCCTACGACTGAGTTCCAAGCGATAACCAAGGACATACCAACTCCACTGACAGGCTGTTCTTCTCCAGGCCCGCAAGGCCCCTTGTCGCCGATTGATCTATCATCTCTGACCTCGCGACATGCTTCGATTGGAGGAAGAAACTCGAAGTCAAATGCTACAAGACCTACAAAACTGTCATCACTGCAAACAATGGCGAAGTCAATAATCAACAAACATAGAAAAAGAGGAGTCCAACTACGGTCAGCCCCTCGCAAGTTCAAGCCAACATTGCGCACAAAGACACATAACTCTATCACAAGGCCCAAGTCACCTCAACAACTAGCCAAGGAAAAGGATCATAAAAGCGTAACCAGCAAACGGGATCCGAACAATAACAGCAGCAGCAACAGCAACAACAAAGACAAGAATGTTACCCCTGAGCAAATCCGGGAGAAAGCACGTGTCAGCCACAATCTAGCTGAGAGACAATACCGCGCCAAGTTGAATTCGAATTTCGAAGTCTTATTAGACGCACTACAGGAGTGCGGTTACTTGATCGAGGATATCCCGATAACGATCGACGGCGAAGACTCTGCGATGGACGACTCGGCGGCTGGAGGACCTGACCCCGAGGATCACAGGGGGTATCACCGAGACAATGGGGATAAAGTTGTCGCAGCGGCTGCCAGGCATGTTGGAAGACCAGAATGTGGGCGAGGTGACGCTGTACAGGACAGTAGGGGAAGGAGCGGCAGTCAGCAGCAGCAGCCTCGCCGGATCAGCAAGGCCGATGTCCTCAACTTTGCCGCTCAGGTCCTTTGTCTTCAGAAACATAAGCTTGAAGAAAAGGAAAAGGAGGTACAGGAGAAGGATGAAAGACTATCGAGGTTGTTGGTCTCATTGAGGAGCATTGGTATAAAGCCGGCGGACTCTTTGATGTTAGGATCTGAGTGACTTCTACAAGTGCAAGGTTTGATTGATGTGTTGCAGCTTCTATGTAACGGGGTACAGGGTTCAACGATGGCCGGTGAGGCCTCACAACATTGAAGAGTGCCTGAGCCACTGCCTGTTCAAAGTTGTTAGAGTATATTGGTCCTAACAGCATCTGGCTTCTTGTACATAGTTTGAAAATGTCTTCGCCCGGCCTCTTTACTGTTTTGGGAGAACATTGCATCATCAATCCTACCTTAAGTCACGATATTGTCCAGGAACAGAATTGATATGACCTAACATGGGATCTGCCCTGCTGGTGCTGACAACACATTAGTAATACACTCATCCCTCATTCACACTACTCCAAGCTTGACCCCTGACCCTGTTGGCGTTGCTGGATGCCGAGTTCCGAGTGTTGTTCCAGACCATAGGAGCACACTTTGCTCTTTGAGAAATTCTATCCTTAGTGCGAAGTCAGGTATTCTCCTAGAAGCCACAGATTCTTACGTTCATAACCTGCCCAGAGACCCCATCCCCTAACCTGAGTCCTCACTTTCAACACCGGAGCCAAAAACACCAAAATGGTCAACTCTGAACACATGGCCATGCATAAAGCCTGATAGGCTGATGATAGTTTGCTCTCGATTGAACCACATTGCTGTCTCTCGCTCTCTGCTTTGTCGACGGAGAAACAAGGTGTACCGGAAGCAATACTTAACAGCTGAGATGGGGTACATGGTGCCAACCTGATATTGCTATCACCCCGGCATCCCCATTGGCTGATATTCGATTGACCGTTGATCAACATTGGCATTGTTCCATCATTGTTTTGAAAAAAGCACTCTTCATCCAATGGACCAGCATGAACCAACAGGCAGTGTCCTGAGGGTGTAGATCAGTTGCAATGTCTTCGAAACTCTCCAACGGTGCGTCGCTCCTGTCATTATTGATCATAGACAAGTTGGTTTCAGACCCCTTGGCTCTGGAATTGATGTTTCTACAATTCTACATAGACTACATACTTTGTAAATAGCAGTTACAAAGTCAAGAGGTCTCGGTTTGAGTTGGGCTAGTCTCTCGGAAGCACCTACTGACATTGCACGTGGCTTTCCAAATCTGCGTATCGGGGTAACATCGATGGTGTTTGACGTTGCACTCTGCCAACGCCACAGCCTCTGCGCTAAGCCCGAAACGAGCTCATCTGTCCAGGAATAGGCTCTTGAATGAGTATTACCACAGCCGACCAGGCCCGGCAGAGCTGTCTGGGCCCTCGGCATTTAGCATTCCGTAATCAACATGTCACAGCTACCGACATTATTTCTCTCCCACACGGCACGAATGCCGGGAGGCACAGTCATGGAACCTGGTAGGCTGTGGCAGAGGAGGCCGTGTTGCTGGGAGTGGTATGCACGGCGTTACACTACACTATATACCGCAGCGCTGTCCGCTCCGGTACTGAAGCAGTGATGAGGGTTGGGTTGCTGGTACAACTCAGCTGAGAACAGTCTGCGAGCCCATACGACACGCTGAAATAAAAACTGGTGTGGCGCTGACATCCTCCCTGCGGGACATGGGAAACAGAGGATGTTACCAATCAGGAACATTGATAACCATCCTTTATCCGCATCCTCAATGATCGCCATCCGAGATATCAGTTATCACCGGCTTCTACCATGAGCCCGAGCCTATCTGCTGGATCCCGCTCACAGTCATCAAATGACACATGGCGTCGAGGACTGTTGGGATTGGATGGATGAGTTGGGATGTGACAACGAAATGTGACGACATCTGAGCTCGGCCCAACGATACCCCCTAGGCTGCAGGGTTCAGCCATGTTGAAGAGGGTAAGGTACCCGTGAAAGCGAGGACGAGCCAGGCTATCAGGCAGCAGGATTCCTGTGTCCCTGGTCCTCGGAACCGACGTGCCCTTTAATTAGAACTGTTATCAAGCTCCCACTGCCCCCAATCACCGGAAGAGAAGGATGAGATATGGAGAAAGGCTCCAGTATCAGAGTTCGGCAATGGCTAAAAGCACTTGTTAATAAGCCAGAGAGTGATGAGCAAGTGACCCAGAGCCACTCTGCTGGATACGCCAAGTCCATAAGCAATAATGATGTATTGCTTGTCTTCCTTTACCTTGGACCTCAAAGGCTATTGTTCTCCAGTGCCATCAACTATGAGTACAATGAGACCATCCGGACGAGTATGTGAAACAAGCATATCGAGAGTGTATTATTCACCTTTAGCCAACCAAATCCCCATAATTGCACAATGTCTGAACCAAAAAAAAAAAAATAAAAGCCCCTATTACACAAATACCAAAGATACCCAGTATTAACCGCCCCGTCTGATAGTTATACACTACTCATGCCATGCTTTTATCCAATGAGGTCCGTAACCACAGCGCCATGCCTTTCGCACATGCCATCGTAAGTATTGAACAGTAAGAAGCTGTAGATATGATCAAAAACATTCACACCACCCGCTCGTGGGATGCCTAAGTCCAACTCGCTGCACGATGAACTCGAGCTCCCATTGACTGCTGTCATCCCCATCGGCAGTATCTTCTCCTATCCTTCCTGCTTTGTCGCAACACCGCCGTAGTGACACTCTTGCCCAGCAACACAAGTTGTTGTTCTGTGACCAATACTCGGCGTCATCTGCGCTTAAGGCAGTGAAATCTGTGAGGATGCAGCGAGAGTAGACCCAGTCATCTTGGTCGTCAAAGTGAGGTCGGATGCACACTTTTTGTTGCGATGGTAGTTGGCGAGAGGCTGTGTAAAGTTGTTGTGATGATGATAATGATGGTAGAGTGGCTAACGATGGCGAAGAAGAGGTTTCAAAGGCAGATTGGTCTTGTTTGAGGAGCTGGTCTACTGGCATCCTTGACAAGGCAGTGGTAGATATCCGCTCTGCAGACATGGACTCGATGCGGGAGATGATGTTGCGAACAAGAGACCCTGGTAGACCAACACACTCGTACTTGTTCATGACTGATGATTCAGGCAGGTCTGGAAATTCCTCGCAAAGCGGTTTGATGTCAACCCGACAAAGAGGAAAGTGCATAAGAGAACCTGGGTGTGCGTTGTGGTGGCAGTCGAGCCGCCCGTCCATTGGCGAGGACATGGTAGAGAGGCGGAGGGAGCTCAAGATGCGTCTTCGGCGTGGTGTTCGGACGGTGCTGCAGTAAGTAATTCGTAGTGGATGGCGATGTGAGGGGTCTCTCAGATGTTCCAAAGACCCAAGCTAAGGTCAGAGAGTACACATTTGCTGATAAGCGCAGTCGAAGATGATAAGCAAAAACAAGGCTCCATGAAATTGCACTAAGCTCTTGATGATGGGGCACTTGCGGATCTTATGTGTTGCCGGCGGCGAAGGCAAGCTCAAAACCCCAGCAGCCCAACAGGCCAAAAAAAGATGGCACGTCAGCAGGGTCAGGCGCTCCAAACACAGTGAGCTGGGGGCAGCTGGGTGGGGAGGGGGGGCCACAACCTTATGAATTGAAGCAGCGGCATAAGACATGCACCTAGTCGCTCAGCATGCCAAGCCTGTTTGAACTTTTTGCTTGGTCACGACCAGTAACTTGGCAAGATGTGCAGATACCACCTTTCGGAGCGACTCCTGCTGGGTGATGGTGCTTGCACAGACCACAGCGGAGGACCGCTGCCGGCGGCAGCACTCAGCAATGGAAAGGAGACGAAAAAAAAAAAAAAAAGCTAGGTCAGGATTCCCGGACCAGCTGCTGCAACGCAACGGCACGGCAAAGAACCGCGTCCGCCTGTGGAGATGGTCTGGTTTATTGCGGACTGGGCAGTTTTGGGAGTGGAGGACCTGCTTGCGCCGTGGGGTTCTGCGCAACAAAACCGCGGACCTGCTGGCTGCAGGGACAACAGAAACACGACTGGCCTAAAGGCTGGGCAAACTGGGGGCTAGCACCCAAAGCGGTTCGCTTCTGTCCCGACAGTGTGGCAGGCCAATTGAGCGCAACCTGGGCTCCACATAAAATCTTTTTATTGGCCGAAATTTCTGGGGTTGATTGAGGACATGTGCAACTGGTCCATACGATACCTGCACGAAACGAGTCAGGGCAGTGACGCAGCTTACCCACAGTCCCAGGCCTCGAGTCACCCTCGCCCGTTCACTGTACGACATGTATGAAGTTGTTGTGTTATGCCTAACGCCAACACGTGTAAACCAATCACTCGGTAAAAGATCAGACTTTACAGGAAAATTGAAGCGACCTCAAAGTCGCTTCTGAGAACGCTACCATTTGACAGCCTTCACTATAACCCTTGTGTGGCCTTCCATAATTATTCAGCTCAGCTTGCGGCGGGTGGTACAGGACTGTCTGCTGTGGAAGGCTTCATCATCACCACTTTGAAGTTAGAGACTCCGCAGTTGAATCACAACAGAGGCTATTACTCCGCTTCGATACAAACAAGCTTCAGCGATCATGCAGCTTCTGAGTCCAAAGTCAATTAAGCCTTGTCTAATTGCAGATCTCCGAGGACCTTGACTCTCGACCCCCAAGGCCCCGCTCAAAGTTGAGACCGTCGTCGAAGATCGATGCTAAACTACTTAGGAACTTCCTAAGAGAGCAAGGTTAACGCAAAAGATTCTTAAGACCAGAACTTTCCATGATCGCAGCCTTGCCTGCACTATGCAGTCTCTTGACTCAGCCCTCGCCATTCAGCTGGACGCGGTCCTCGAAATCTGCTCACAGGGGGGAATTGGACGCTGGCCAGAACTTTGGTCTAGGACAACGCGGTACGTGCTCTGGTATTTTACGCTGCTGCTTCTAGAAGCTGCATGTACATCCACACAGACATCCAGATATTCGGCGTCAAACAAAGCGCTACGCGTCAGAAAAAAACAATCGCTGATAGCGACGGTTTGAACCGTGTTGGAAGGATTGTGGCGCCTGCCTTGCAGCTCGGCTACCACATTCGCAGCTTCACCGGCCTGCTAGATGCGCGGTAGGGTTGAAAGGCCAACAGTCTTAGCGCGCGGCCTTGCCCCTG